GCATCACCACCGGCCTGAGGAACATGAAGGACACCGGCTTCCCCCTACGGTTCCAGATATGGACCCTCTTCACTATCAAGCTGTGGCACCTGGCCGTGGCGGACGCCCTTATGGTGGGCTCGACCATTGTCAGCTTGGGGATACACTGGATGTCGAGAAAGGCCCCGGCCAACGGCGTGCTCACCTGGAAAAAGGGCGGCATGGCGTTGCAAAGCATCTACCAGGTCGCATGGTTCGCCTTTTGGGTCTTCCTCCCCTTCTACCTCGACTGGACATGGACCGCTCAGGTCTTCTTCCTCCTGCACACCATGGTCCTACTCATGAAGATGCACTCCTGGGCCTTCTACAACGGTCATCTCTGCGAGACAGAGAAGCGCCTGCGCAGCCTCGACAACCACAGCCGCAACAGCCCCTCGGACCTCCGACCCGCCTACCTCTACCCCAGCGCTGAACGTCCCGAGGCCACCACCACCGCCACCAAGAGCCGCGTGAGTCTGTCCGACGAGGACAATGAGAAGAGCGCCGACGAGCTCGGCACCCTCCGCGAGGACCTCGCGCGCGAGCTCACCTCGCCCATCGGCAACGTAACCTACCCAGCGAACCTCACGCTGGCCAACTGCGGCGACTACCTGCTGTGTCCGACCCTCTGCTACGAGATTGAGTACCCTCGCCTCGAGCACCGAAACTGGATCTCGCTCATCTCCAAGATCATCGCCACCTTTGGCTGCATCTTCCTGCTCACCGTCGTGTCCGAGGAGTTCATCCTGCCCGTGCTCACCGACGCCGCACAGAAACTCCACCCCGTCCTGGGCCACCCGCCCCCCGTGTCCGAGTCGCTCCTCATCCTCCTCGAGAGCATCTCCTGGCTTCTCTTCCCCTTTATGCTCACCTTCCTCCTCGTCTTCCTCGTCATCTTTGAGTACGTCCTCGGCGCCTTCGCCGAGATCACCCGCTTCGCCGACCGACACTTTTACTCCGACTGGTGGAACTCGACCGACTGGATGGAGTTTTCGCGCGAGTGGAATGTCCCCGTCTACTCGTTTCTCCGTCGTCACGTGTACTCCGCCTCGCGACCCCATCTCGGCAAGTCCAGGGCCACCGTCATCACGTTCCTCATCTCGGCCGTCGGCCACGAGATTGTCATGGCGTGCATCACCAAGAAGATTCGAGGCTACGGCTTTGTCTGCCAGATGCTGCAGCTGCCCATCTTCATGATGCAGAACACCAAATGGGTTCGCGGCCGGCAGACACTGAACAATGTCTTCTTCTGGGCGAGCATGATCCTCGGGTTGAGTCTGGTGCGTTGGTCCTATCAAGCCGCCCGCGTCTGCAGCATAGCTAACGATCGCAGATCTGTGCACTCTACGTGCTTGTATAATTACACTGTGCATGTACATGCAACACATACGGCATCGAATTTACGAAATCATGGTCGGCAGCTTGAGAGCTGTCGAGGTTGGATACTTAGACATGGACACGCAAGATAAGGGTTCCGGTAGATGTTGTATAGTCTCTTCTCTTTACTTTCTCTTATATACCCCTGGAGCAGCGGCTCCATGCAATTCATAACTCATGCGTTTTATCAATGTTATTCGAAGAAACTCAATTTGACACTGCCTGCCTAGGATAATATGAAACCCCTGGTGATGTATGTGACTCGGTAGCCAGCGACGACGTCAGCTGCTCTGTCAGATCTTCACAAGTGCCGTACTTCACTTCACAATCCTCCAGCAAACACCTCTACGCCGCAACGCGATCAATATCGATATTGCTCAAGTCTGCGTAGTGAAAAATGTGAAAACAGTCAACATCACAATTGGAGAACCATGTGTCTGAGCATGCATTGTTCTACTTCATCTTCATTGCTAAAGTACATTGATGCATTACGGGTGCAAGTGCCCCCTGTTCCAATATCGCAAACTCATAAAGATCCGTGTCCTCATTAAAAAGAAAACCCAACCCTGGCCTAACTCCAAAGACTTTTTCAATCGTCGGGGTATCAGCATTTAGTCAACCTCCTCCATGGCGCTGTCGCCGGTGGCGGCGGCAGGGGTATCAGCCGCGGCGGCACCGGCAGGGGGAGCGTCGTCCTCGTCGATGCTGAGGCCAACGCGGACGAGACGGTGGATGCGCTCGGCGAAGCTGTTGGGCTCCTCAATGGTGAAGCCGGAGACGAGCAGCGAGGTCTCAAACAGGAGGGTGACGAAAGACTTGACTTGGGAGTCGTTCTCGCCATCGCTCTCGACCTTGTTCTTGAGCTCCTGGATGATGGGAGACTTGGGCGAGATCTCAAAGGTCTTCTTGGAAGACATGTAGCTGGACATGGAGGTGTCGCGCAGGGCCTGGGCCTTCATGATGCGCTCCATGTTGGCGGACCAGCCAAACTGGCCAGTGCGGACAGCGCAAGGTGAGGTGCCGAGCTTGTGGGAGACGACAACCTTCTCAACCTTCTCGCCCAGGATGTTCTTGAGGGCCTTGGCGAGGCTCTCGTACTCCTTCTCCTCCTCCTCGCGCTTCTTCTTCTCCTCCTCGGTCTCCTCGAGCTCGAAGTCCTTGGTGATGTCCACGAGCTTCTTGCCCTCGAACTCCTTGAGCTGAGTCATGGCGTACTCGTCAATGGGGTCGGTGAGGAAGAGAACCTCGAAGCCCTTCTCGCGCAGGGTGTCGAGGAAGGGAGACTTGGCAACGGCGGCAGTGGACTCGCCGGTGATGTAGTACATGTTCTGCTGGTGCTCGGGCATGCGGGTGACGTAGTCAGTCAGCGAGGTCATTTCATCACCAGACTTGGTGGAGGAGAAGCGCAGGAGCTTGGCGAGAACCTGGCGGTTCTGGGTGTCCTCGTGGATACCGAGCTTCAGGTTCTTGGAGAAGGCGCTGTAGAACTTGTCAAACTGCTCCTTGTCCTCAGCGATCTCCTGGAAGAGCTCGAGAGACTTCTTGACAATGTTCTTCTTGATCACCTTCATAATCTTGTTCTGCTGCAGAGTCTCACGAGACAGGTTGAGGGGAAGATCCTCAGAGTCGACAACACCCTTGACGAAGGACAACCACTCGGGGATGAGGTCGGTGGCATCGTCAGTGATGAAGACACGGCGGACGTAGAGCTTGATGTTGTTCTTGGTCTTCTTGGTCTCAAAGAGATCGAAGGGAGCGCGCTTGGGGACGAAGAGGATGGCGCGGAACTCGAGCTGACCCTCGACGGAGAAGTGCTTGACACCGAGGTGGTCCTCCCAGTCGTTGGACAGGGACTTGTAGAAGGAAGCATACTCCTCCTGGGAGATGTCGGCGGGGTTGCGAGTCCAGATGGGCTTCTGCTTGTTGAGCTCCTCCTCCTCAATCTTGGTCTCCTTGACCTTCTTGGTCTTGGGCTTCTTCTCCTTGTCCTCCTCCTCGTCGTCGACCTCCTCAACCTTGGGCTTCTTCTCGTCGTCGTCCTGGACCTCCTCGACGTCGGCCTCCTCATCGGGGACCTCAGTCTCGGTCTCCTTGGTGACGTGGAGGTAGATGGGGTAGGAGATGAACTCGGAGTGCTTCTTGATGACCTCCTTGATCTTGGACTCCTTGAGGTACTCGAGCTGCTCGTCCTTGAGGTGGAGGATCATCTCGGAACCACGGCCAAGGGCAGGGCCCTCGTCGTGGGTGATGCTGAAGGTACCACCGGCAGACGACTCCCAGACGTACTGCTCATCGTCGTTGTGCTTGGAGCGGACGATCACACGGTCGGCCACAAGGTAGGCAGAGTAGAAACCAACACCGAACTGTCCGATCATGGACACATCGGCGCCGGCGGTAAGGGCCTCCATGAACTGCTTGGTGCCGGAGCGGGCAATGGTACCCAGGTTGTTGACGAGGTCAGCCTTGGTCATACCAATACCAGTATCCCGGATGGTCAAGGTCTTGTTGGCCTCATCGGGGATGATGTCGATGCGCAGGTCCTGGCAGGACTCGAGCTCCTTGGGGTCGGCGAGAGCCTTGTAGCGGATCTTGTCGAGGGCATCCGAAGCGTTGGAGATGAGCTCACGGAGGAAGATCTCCTTGTTTGAGTAGACGGTGTTGATGATCAGCGAGAGCAGCTGAGAGATCTCAGCCTGGAACTCGAACGTCTCAGACATGATGACGGATTCTGAGAGCGTTAGGATGGCTTCGTGGTGTAGCAAGCGGTGTGAGTGTAGCTTACTGTGAGGGTATCAAAGGGGAATGGGACAAACTCTATATGCTGAAGGGGAAGAGTTGATGCTTTGGAGAGGGATGAGAAAGGATGAAGAGGAAGGAGAGAGGAAGAAGAGGCGGTGGTAAGAGGTTTAAGAAAAAAACGGAATGGACCCCTCTGTGCCTGCCTACGAAGCTCAAGAGATTCCATCGGATTCCATCTGCACTTTGGGCAGAATTCTGGTCTTGCAAGCTCGCAGCCCCTCCAACCTTCGAGAATCACCGGCCGCCGCGGCAACGAAGCTTCTGATTGGCCACAAAGTTTCCGGGGCACCCTCACCGCCTGCCACATTCCGCCGTGCAGTCAAGTTTGCCTCAAAGTGGAGGACGATGAGCACGATGGCGAGGGCAAATTGAGCATCGCCGTGGGGAGCGATAATGCCATATGTGTCTCAATTCTTCACTTTCATCGTTCGCGCTTGCATTGGGCCGTGGTAGCTACTATATCTTTGGCTGTCGCTCACAGACTGCGAGGCTGAGACCAAGCAAGGTGACCCCACGTGCTGTTTTGGTTTAGCGCCGTGATGCACTCAGGGACCGGAGGAGCAGGAGATGTTGGGGATCGAGGTGCTATCTCGCTTTGCCTACCCTAATGGTAGTTCTGTGACGAGAACAAGAACTTCTTCAAAGTGACTAGCCACTGATAACTCACATTGATATCCTTGTATAGCTCGACTTGTGCTCATAGCATGTATAGAGCCTAATTCCATTTCAATAAGGGCCTGAAATACTAGGTCATTGTCTGTCAAGGGCTGGACGTTTGCATCTCACAACGGTACGCAGAAACAAGCATCACAGAACATCACTCGTAAATTCGGGGTATCTATCGGACCCTCCCTGCTCCATATCAGAACCGCTCGCTAATGTCGCATTCAAGAGACCCAGTACCCCCCTCCAAAACCATACCATCTATCTAGTTCGCAAATATCCTCAGCTTCCAGTCTACCCCTACTGTAGCCAGAACACATCGTATTTGTCCCTCTGCAGCAGGAGCCGTCTTGCTTGGTGACCCGTTGGCGTCGCCATTCGTCTCTGTAGTCGCTTTCGAAGGCGCCCAGCGTACGCATGAGATGAAGTGTTCATGCGAATCGCTGAGTACCTTGACGCATTTTCCTTCCTGGCTGAGATCCCATGCTCGGAGTGACTTGTCGTCTGACACAGAGATGAGATACTTGCCACCTGGATGGAAAACCACCGCCCTCACCCAGTTGTCGTGCCCTACAAGTGTTTTGATACACTGGCCCCTGGCGTCCCAAAGCTTAATCGTCTTGTCACGAGAGCCGGTAGCCATGAACTCGGCCGAACTTGTAGGCGGCGGTGGTTTCTTCAGACCTGCCAACGGTGCTAAGTGTTGATATGATGATGGCGGCGCGATAGCGCAGCATTCGTTGAAGTGCTCATGCCCAATCATGGTCATCTTCGTCTCGGCTGTTTGTGTCGAAATGTCCCACAGCCGCCCAGTCTGGTCGTCGCCTGTTGAAAAGAGAAACTTGCCATCAAAAGAGGGCGCAATGTCTCGTACCCACGCTGCATGCCCTTCTAATGTCCTGACGCAGTATCCGGTTGTAATGTCCCATATTTTGATCGTCCTGTCTCGGCTGGCGCTCACGAGTAGATTGCCCGAGGAAGGTATGAAGCGGACTGCGCTCACACTGTGGTCATGGCCTGGCAGCGTCCGAATGTTCTTGTAATCGTCGCTCGGGTCCCAAAGTTTGATCTTGAGATCAGAGCTGCATGACGCCAAGAGGATTCCTCCCCTTGGACCGCCAAAATCCACGTCCAAAACAGCCCTCGTGTGGCCTTTGATCGTGCGCTCGATTTCGCCCTCTTCCCAATCCCAAATTTTGATGGTATAGTCATCCGATCCGGTGGCGACTGATGAGAAAACCGGGTGAAAGGCGACACAGTTAATGACATTGCGATGCGACTCCATGACATGCCGAGGAGGATGCCGTGGTAGCCACGACGACGGATCCTTACTTCGCTGGGACAGCGCAGATGGTGTGAGGTTGTCCATTTCCGTCTGTAGTGTTTTGTTCCTGCTCTCGAGGTCCATGACCTAAGCAAGCATTAGCTGAGCCCTTCCCCTCGAGTTGCTTCCTCACCCTTCGTTGCAGCCGGCCGACAATATTCCACTTCTTCTCTAACAAGGTCTCGTACTTCTTTGCGGTCGCCGCGTCAAATGTTTCCTCGGTCAGATTGGCTTCCGTCCGCAACGTCGCAGCAGATTCAGGGAGGTTGTGTGTCGCGAGGTACGCGATAATGGCCTTGTGCCTGGAGCTGATTAGTGGGTAGTTGCAAGCTTGGGCACAGGTACGGACAGCTCCTCGGCCTGCTTGGGCCCCAGCATAGACGTGGCCATCCTGGGCAGCTATGCAACTTCCAGTTCGAGCTACCCAGATTCCTTCCAGCAGTGCGAGCCGTGTATGGGCGCTTCTTCCAGAGGCAACTTGCGGTGGTGGTGGTGGTGGGGTATGGATGATCGGTGTGGTGTTTACGTTGGGAGCTTGCTGAACGTCGGACTACAGCTCCACGATGCACGTCGCGCAGCGCCTTTTGAGGTAGATAGAGCGTGTCGGCAGAGTTGCATAGGTCTCAGAGTTTCGCATTGGGCGTATTACAGATTGAAAGCCTCCCGATCGCTGTAGACAGGCTCACCGACGTCAAGCATTGGCAGGAGGTGACAGGGGAAAAGCGGCGGGGCAACGTTTTCCCCTGTCCCGGCTCAATGACGTGTGGGGCAGCTTCCGAGCTCAACTTCATCTTGAGCTTCATCTTCAACCTGTGATCGTTTTCTGCTCTTTGTGTTGTTCTACCATGAAACGAAGAGTGTCGACAAAGCATGTCTTTGTCACTCAGGTGCTTCTTTCACGCGGCAACTTCTGTCGCCCATTTCCTGCGATTGACTTTGGGCTAAAGCTACGGGGGGACCATTTCTATGATTTAACAGAGCTGGTTCCTTGAAACCTTCATACCGCATTTGCTCGCGCTTACGATGCGTATTCTTCCTTGACTTGGCGCTACCAGAAGGCACCCTTCAAGAAGCTCCTCGAATTACGGCTTTGTGGCGGACTGAAGCTGCAGCTCAAGGCCTTGCTGATCGTAGACCATGGTGTAGTGGATTTGAGCCTTGGCCTCCGACTTCAAACTGAAGGAAAAAGACAATCCTGAGTCTGGACACAAGCATGTTGGCTCTGACGGTCCAATTGTAGCATTGTCAAAACTTTAAACCAATCTCGCAGCACGGCATTCACATTTTCATAGACGGGATTCGGCGTTCGACTTTCTGAGTCCCGTATGTTGATCGATAGTTCGATACGTAGTTGCGACAACTCATACTTCGAGAATATTGTCGGGTGCTCATCTCTGAAGGGCAAATTACTGTAAGCACATCTGGCTGCTTACGAGTCGCATCGTGGCCTCGTGAGATGAACATGATCTCATCGAAATGTACGCCCTCATGAGGCCTCATACCCAAGAATTCTTCCGACCTGGATACGCAAACCTGGCCCGCGCCGGTCACTCCGTGCGTCTCATCGAGATTGATGGGAATCACGGCGATGTCCTCTTCGAGAGGTCCCGTTCGTCGAACACCGCATAGTCATCCTTAGCCCATTGTGGCATATCCAACAATGGCCGTGGTGTGGTTGGTGGTATTTGTCGAAATCAATCGCTTGTCTCTGCCGTTATGATACATTTGTAGGACCTTGCTCCTTATGGTATATCCAATTCCATGCCGTACCCTCTGTAATTGCCCTGCCAGTGTGTCAATGCAGAGTGATCATCGCCTCCGGGTCTCGCTTCCTCCACTTTGCCAACCACAACCGCATGGTCACCGACTTGGATCATGCCGCCAGGAGGAAATTTGTCGCCGGCAGCCAGCCTGCACTTTAACACCGCCATGACGCCATCATCATGTATGACTCCATGCTCGTCCCATTTGAGCCCCTCCCACATACTCTCTGAGTTTCCCTTTGTGAACCTGTGCGCCAACTTGGCTCCGGCGGCTGCTGCCAGGGGAATATGTATGTTAAATCGTGGATTTTCGGTCAACGCCGTGAGTGTCCGACTAGGCGTGGCAATATTGAAGGTGATTAATGGCGTAGGTGATATACTGAGGCTCGTGAAGGAGGACAGGGTCATTGCGCGGGGTTTCGAAGGTTCGGAGTTACGTGAGGTTGCGGGTGGCGAGGTGAGGATGACAACATTGGCGGTAATGGCGCGCATTATGTGGCGGTAGTCCTCTTGAAGAGGACTGAGGTGTGTTCGTGTCGAGTTATGCCGCACTAGAGGTATTAGTGACATCTCTTCGAAGAGTGACAGCAGCTTGAACTTACCTATGGTCTTGGAGGATGTGGCAGCTATCCATGTTGGCTGCGATAGCCGGACACAGCGTAATGAAAGACTGCGCATTTCAATGTCGCGCCCGTCGTAAAGACCTAAGCAGAAGAGAAAGAAGAGAAGGAAATACAGTTGTGCTCAACGAGATGGGGTTGGATCGCCGAGTGACGAAGTTGCGATGCGACCAGAAAATCCTTATCGATAAAGTTTCGACGCGATAGCACGCGACGGGCTCGACCCGATTTTTTCCCATGTCGGCCGCCGACTTCGAGCACGACTGAAGCATCGTCAACCCAAGTTCGACACACGACGACCTCATAAGCGCAACACTCGCTTGTCCACATCCAACACTTGCTCAAAGATCAACTGGGGAGACATCAGTCGGTTCGCCGCGCAACAACCGCCATGGGGAAGCTCTCACCCCTATCCTCGTCTCTTCGCCCCACGACCTCCTCTTCCACTCTCACATGCGCCGCCCAGCAGGTCAGGCACGCAACCTACGTGGCCCGCCCTCGACGCCCCTACACATTCACCCAAATCATCCAGCTCTCTGATGGATCGGCATACACCCACCGCACAACCTCGCCTCAGGCCCTGTATCGCGCCAACAAGGACTCACGGAACACCCTGACGTGGAACCCCAGCGAGACCTCGCTGAAGAACGTCGAGGTTGATGAGGCCGGAAAGCTCGCTGCTTTCCGTGAACGATTCGGCCGTGCATTCGACAACCAGAACAAGGAGGAGGGCGTCGAACAGGCTCAGGAGGAGGTGGAGGATGAGGGCTACGGAGATCTGATTGCGAGCTATGCACCAGACAGGAGTCATGAGATGAAGAGCCAGGCGCCGGCGCAGAAAACAGGCAAGGGTGGAAAGAAGAAATGATCAGGCCAGTATAGGGTCAGCACGCACTGCCACATGTACATCACGAGTTGCGCTGAGGGAGAAGGCGAATGTACAACATGTATGTAAGAATAAAAACATCTCTTATAGAGGCACAAAACTACGCTTAATCAGAGTCCTCATGCAAACGGGCACGCGCCCTGTCGACAGCCGTGTCGCCGGGGGCTTTGGTGGCATCCTGGTTGTACACTGGTGGTTTGTAGAAAGCCGACTCGTCGTCTTCGGCGTCAAGCTGCATCAGGAACGTCTCCCACTTTTCAATGAGCTGCAATAAGGAGTTAGCGCGGCGCGCACATCGATGCGTAAGCAGGGGCTGCGACTTACCTCCTTCTGCGCCTCGACAGCACCCTCGAGGAAGGTCTCGACGCCGCTTTTGAAGTCTTCGACCTTTTCCTTCTCAAAGCGATCCAACTCAGTCTTCAGTGACCGACCCATGTCATCGAACAGCAGCCTGGCCTGGTGCACCTTCCGCTCGGCCTCCCCGACTTCGGCGTTGACCTGGTTGAGACGGTCTTGCTGACTCTTACCCTGACGAAGTAGCTTGTCTTGCGAAGCCTTCTTCTTCTGCAGCTCCGACTCCGCCGCGTGCCACGCATGGAAGCCCTTTTGGCGCTGAGAGAACGCTTGCTTGATGGACCCGATAAGACGAATGTATTCCTCAATGATGATGCCAAAGGTGAGAACATCCTGCTGCGCCTGGCGGTCGTAGACATCACGGATGGTCAGCTGCAGATCCGACAAGGCGTCCAATGGACCGGACAACGAGGGCGACAGCTCCACAGTAGAAAGGGCGTGAAGCGAAGCTGAGAAGTCGCCGGCCGCCTCGGCCATCATCTTGCGCTGGCCAACCATCTGGTCCATCGCCTTCAACAAACCCTTGAGCTGGTTCTCGAGCGCATCCAAGTAGACCTTCCTGTCATGGAACCAGTCGTCCTGCTCGACAAACTTATTGCTGCTTCCCACGCTGATGCCCAGCGAGCCTAGGACGCCCTTGCTTTCTGTGGGCAGAGGGTCCCTCCGCTCCTTGTGCTTGATGTCGACATTGAAGGCTTCGCTCTCCAAGAAAAGCTTGAGGTCCGCATCGTGTTGCAGTGTGGGGTGCGAGGCCGTCTTGTTCAGCATCTTCTCCAGGGCGGCCCGGCGGCTCTCGACAAAGTTGCTGTCGAATCGTCCGACAGCCTGCTTGTCAGGGGGCGGGGGCACGACAAAGCCGGGGTTGTTTGCGTGGAGTGTGTTATACAGCCACAGGAAATCGCGGTAGCGGCGCTTGACTTCGAATTCGCTCTGCTTGTAGGCCTTGGATGTTGTCTGTCTGGTCAGCGGCGGCGCCCGCGTAATATTAGCCGGGTTGTTTCAGCTTACCCTCGTCCGCACAGAGTAAACAATGTGCGAGCTCGTGAGGTCGCCAATCTTGACCGGGTCCCCGACGTGAATCGTGAAGTTCGGCTTTGAGGCTTGCTCCACGCTCATGCTAGGCTGCGTGCTCGTCCTCACACCACTTGGCCGTGCGGCCTCCACGGGCGGTGGCGCTCTCCCGCCAATGTTCTGCTCGGCTTCGTCGCCCTCATCGTCGACACCATGGGGATCATGGGTGCGCCTCGCTTGTTGGCCCTGGGGCATGCTAGTCCGGATGACCATCTGTTCCTTCTGTGGAGGTACTGGGGGCGCATTGTCGTCTTCTGCCGGAGGCGCGGCACCAAGGGGACCGAGAGGGTCGTCGACCGCTTCCAGGCGGGTTGGCTGCGCAACCATGCGACGAGGTCCGCGAGAAGGCTTCGACGAGGGTGCTGGTTGCGAAGCGGAAGGTGTCGAGGGGGACGTGTCAGCGGCTTGAGAGGGCTGCGACTCCTCAGCCGAAGTCGTGGGCTTGGAGGTATCGGCCCATGGCGATTCTTCGGGATCCATGTTGCGGGATGACAGCGATACTGTCAATGAGTGTTGCGAGGGTGTGAGTTGGAGCTCAGAGAGCTGTTTATTGGAGAGGCAGATGCGGGATGCATGTGTCGCCGGTCAACGTCAGCGGTGATTGCAAGGCAGCCAATGAGAGGATGCGAACTGCCCCGCATCTTCCATGTCGCGGTACCGTGAGCATCAGAGCCCAGGCTGCCACTTATTAATATGCCAGGCACACGGAATACTTTACGTTTTCAATGATTGAACCGACTTTTGGTAGAGCAAGACCGGGCTCAGCTTATGTGTCATTCTCAAAAAACAATTGTACAAAAAATGCGGCCGTAGCATGATGAACCATTCGAACGCTAAACACCCAAGCCATGTAACCGGATGCATCCATAATGCCGTGTTATACATATGACAACTTATTGCAACGTCACACCCTGTGTCTGTGACCTGTGACCCTCCTGGCTCCTTCTCAACATGCCCCTGCCCTCGTCATCCGCCTCATCGTCGCTGGTCAGACCCTCAAGCTCAAACTCTTCGGCATCCCTGACGCGACCCTCTTCCATGGGTCTCCCGTTGACGCCTGTGTACCCATTCATCTCCTTGGAGGGTATGGGGTTCGCCAGCCTGTCATACATGTGCACCAGCATATTGGCGAACAAGAAGACCAGGGATGCTAGTGAGAAGAGAATCAAGATATAGGCCACGTGGTCCATATCAGACCCGGCAACGAGCAGCATCTGCTCCTCCGTGGCACCCATGAAAAGAAAACCGGCGGCGTAGAGCAAGAAGATGGGCAAGAACTGGAACGAGTTCCATGTCCTGCCATCTTCGCTGAGACTCTGCTTGTCGCCAAGGATGAACGCCACCTCAATGATGCGCGTGAATCCCACGGCCATGAGCGTGTGCCCAAACATTTTGTGCGTCGCCTCGCTGACCATCAACTCCTGCGGGTGGGAGGACATGGCCCATCCCGTAATGGCGATGACGAAGCCGGGGATAAAGTTGCGCTTCGGGTTGCCATCGCGGTCACGGCTCATCCACATCCCAGCCAGGCCAGCGCACCACCAAATGATGCCCATCGTTGTGTGCTGCCAGTCGTTGCGCACCCAGGCGGTGCCCCAGCGGTGCTCCGTGAAAGTATTGACACACCCCCAGGCGGCGATGACGGCGCTGTCGTAGAACTCTTGCGAGCGCCCCGTTTGTCGCATCCATACCTGTCCAACGAGGAGAATGATGGTCAAGAGAACGCCATAGGCAATAAAGGCGCTGCCCATGATAAAGTGTGCGGCGCATTGACCAGTGTGCTCACCCTGGCAGAACCCAAGCGCAGTGATGCCACCAAAGAGCATCTGTGTCCAACTCAGCACGGGCATCGCCTTTCCCAAGATCGAGTGGCAAGGTCGGATTAGCTTGCGAATGAAACCGTTGATGCCCTTCTCCCAGTGGCCCTTCAGGTACAAGCCCAGCACGACCTGGGCAATGAGCAGGATCTGCAGGATATGCGCGAACAGGCCGTGAACATTATTGCCGACAAACTCACGGCCGCCGTGCGCGTGACCGAGGAAGAAGCCGAGGAGGGCGAGCATGGAGCCCACAATCTGCGTAGGAACATGCCACCGGGATTTCGTCATCTGGGCCTGTTAGCTTGAATTGGACCTCTAGACATTCACCTACACCAAGGACCATGCCTATCGGAAAGATGACGCCGTAGGCAAACATGTTGACGAAGATGTGTATCCACAGAGTCGTGTCCTTGTTTTCGTTAGCCCACGCTCGTTGATAGCTCTGGTATTCCATACCAGTGGCTCGACGGAGATCGTCTGTCCCTCTGGTATCTCGCTACCGCCATGGTGGTCGTGAGCAATCGCTGGTCGTGCAAGCAGGAGCGAGGATATGGCAAGCCCCGTCAAGGGTGTTGTGAGGCCTCGAGATGCCATGCTGGTTGTTGTAGAATCGGCCGCGTGGTCCTTGGACCCTGAATGTACGTAGGTAGATCAGGCAAGAGTCGGGATTCGGGTGCAGACGTAATAGGACCGTGATACGATGCAGTCGGGCAAGTGAAGCTCCAAGCAAGAACGGCGGAAGGGACAATAGACACTTGAATAAGGAGAGAATGAAGTTCGATGGCAAGGTCCCGAATCCAAAGCTCAAGGGAGGCTTACCTATGGGGTCGACCTGGTCTGGTCGGATTCTTCGGTCGCGCGGGTGGACCGTGAGAGTCGCGATATCATTGCGGCCCATGTGATTGGCCTAATCCTGCTCACGAGTGGGGTTCATTGGCTTCATGAGCCACGCAAGGCCAAGACGTCGCCCCTTTTCCTTATGCTCCGACAGAGCGACCCATCGGTGCCGGAGCATGAAAAGCTGACGGTACCACGATGCTTTCATGATTGTCTTTCCTATTGCTTCATGGGTGGAAGCCAGGCGAGGGCGACCCGTGACTACCGGCTCGTCACGTTACAGTACGATACGAAGGGCCTATGTGGTATCGCGGCGCCGTGCTTTGGAGTGGAACTTTTCTGATCTGTTATTGAAAGCAGTTTGCCAGACCGTCGCTAGATCATGTGTCGAGGAACAACAACTGCACAGATTCAGACTTGAAGTATCCTGTGTCTTGAGTGTGAGCACGCAGTTGCATGTCGACGGATGGCCTGGGCACTTGCACCATGATTAGGTGCAAATCTACTCAATGGGAATGGAGATATCTCAGCTCTGGTCTGAGTAGCATATGGAACCTGTTTGCCTCCAAGATTGCTACAGTGGTGTGACAATGTCGCACCACCTCGCCGAGGGCATACCATCATATTCAATTGTGAGACCGTAGCGGCCGGGTCGGATTCATCCTCCTGACTGGGCTACATGAACAGGTGCAAGTGGTCGCCTCGCCCAGTAGACCATCTCCCTCCTGAACCATCCGAGAAAGCGTGTGAGAGATCTGACCTCAAAGAATCGCCATGGAGCTTACCTTCCTCCTGGTCAGCGTCTCCGTTGTTGCCGGTTGCCATATCATACTGTCCCTGGTGGCTGGCTACCTTGCCTGGTACTATCGCAAGCAGTGGAAGCGCCTCCAAGCTCAACATACAGTCGATGAAGAGAACCTGAACACTGTCTCTACTTCCCGCGGTCGCAGTCAAACCATTCGCAGATCATCGCGCTATGGCACACTTCACGAAGAAGGTCGCCGCCAGCATACACGAGACGGAGAAAACTCGCGGGAGGCTGGCATCCCCAACGGAGGTGCTCAGCGAACGAGGCGGAAGCCTAGCCCGGAGGAGTTCATCTTGAGCACATTTGACCATCCGCGCACTCCGCCAAAGCCTCCGATGCCTGTGAAAAGTGCGGAGCGTGGCGCCAAGAGAGCTTCATGGTCGCTTGCTGCTGAGATTGCGAAGATTGGAGAAAGCTCCAAGCAGCCGCAGGCTATGGAGAACGGGAAGACTCTTGATCCGGCTGCGGTAGAGGGTGAATCTTGGCGTGTCGGGTCGCCAGTATCGGGGAGGCCGTTGTGGTTCGAAGTCTCGACCCAGGACGTTCAGGAAAGAAATTCGCAAGACGGTTACATCTGAGCGGCGCGTTAGCACACCTCGTCTGCAGTTCGTTGTATAGTAGCTTACCTCAAGCCTTCTTCAAGGTTTCGCTCTCTTTCTCGAGGTAGTCTTTCGCCTTTGACCACAATTCAGCCTCCATCTCCCGCTCCACCTTGTTCCCCCGACTGTTCAGCCAGCCAATGTCCAATTTGCCCACGTTGCCCATGCCATCTGGCTTCAACGAAACTTTGGTTCCCTTGGCCGCAGGTTTGAGGTTCACAATTCCAGCCTCCTCTAGTGCCATGATCTGCCGCTTCATCCGGACCTCCACGCTGTTCAGAGCATCGAGGAATGCATCAGTTGCATCCTGAAGTCCTTGCTTTTGTGACGCGACGTCGACTTCCGATGCGGCGTGGGGCATCGACACAGCGTTCAGAGCATTGGCAGTGTGGTTCATCAATTGTACAATCGATTGGTCGATCGCGTTGAGCTGGCGGATGTTTTCCTCGACTGTAAATGGTTTGTGGATGTCGACGGGCTCATCGCCCATGGGAACGTCTCCTGACATTGTAGAAGTCGCGAGGAAGCAGGCTTTTGGGGATATGTTTGAAATGGAGAGAAATGTTGCAAATCTGGCGCTGGTTGTGTGAAAGTATATATGTACGAGTGAGTGAGCTTGATGGCCTGCTGAGAGACTAAAGTCAAGTGAGATGGGTCCGTGCACAGCTACATGCGCAGTTATTGTTTGGTCTAGTTGACCGTCTTGCGGTTATGCCTCGGCTAAAGGGTACGACGCGACAAGCACCGCGCCTTCATCCGAACTTGGCTTCACTCAGGATCACATCCCTTCACCATCACGACACATTGCGAAAATCACAGTAAAACGCCTACGAGGAACGAACGTGGCAGCATCAGCCATCTGTTAGACTCTGTAATTTGCTCATCGCCAGTAGCACTCCGGCGCCTCCGACGTCTCCATTTGCGACACCTCATGAGCCGCGCCTGCACTCAATGAGCCTGGGCGCTGCTTCCCTTGCTTGAGCCGGCCGTGGAGGAAAGGGCACCCGCGAGAATTTGAGCATAAACTCCTGCCATCGAAATGTCCGGAAATCCTCCGCCTCCAACCCCTGGTGGGAACTTTGGCGGCGCACCGCCGGTCACATCGCCAGCACCAGCCACCGCTGGAGGGGCCGCTGGTTCAGGGTCTACCATGTCGAATCAAAACCTTAATCAAATAGTGAGTTTACTGCGAAAAGATGGCCGATAACACCACATTTGGAGTTCATCTGTTTGTTTGTGCTGGAAAGCGGGAGCTCGCACCGACCACACCTCACGTGTGTGGCTGTCCTCTGCACGAGGGGCCTTTGCGCACGCGAACTGCATTGTTCACAACGTCTGATGTTCAGGCTCAGGCTTCTTCACACGCTGCACTATCCCTCGCCGGCTTAAACTCTCCACCCTGCCTTCGGTGGCAGGCTCTCGCATTGCCTTCCGTCCCCCCTACGTGCATTGAGCGCAATGCTGCATTGAGGCAATCATGACTAACAACATCGGAAAGGTCACCGACTACCTCCTCAAAAGGGGGTTCAATAGAACCGAGGAGATCTTCCGACAAGAATCGAAGCACCTCGGCGCAGATGGCAAACCCCTTCAGCAGTTGGCCAACATGGGGCCCAAGAAGTATGCCAAGGCTTTCAACTTGTTGTATGACTGGGTCGAGAACAACTTGGACATCTACAAGGTGCGCTTCTACAACAATATGATACTGGACCCTCTAACTTGCTCAGTTTGAATTGTCAAAACTACTCTGGCCCATCTTTGTCTACTCCTTCATCGAGCTCGTGAACCATGGCTACGGAGATGACGCAAAGAGATTCCTCACAGACTTGAGTCATCACTTCCAGCACAGCCATAGCGATGATCTCAATACCTTCCAAACGATCACATTACCACAGCATATCAACGAAAATGCGACAGCCAAGCTGTACAAGGACAACCGCTACCGCATACCGCTCAACCAGCATGCTACTGGCGATCTGTTCAATTTTCTCGAGCGCGAATCGGAGCAGGGTGGCTCCGTCATTCGCCAGCTTCTCGTGACATACTGTCAGATCGACTCGACGGCGCGGGGACCCGTGACGCCCTTCAGCTTTGAAGCGGTGTTCCGCAAGACGAGGAATATCGACCTTGATGATGTGGACAAAAACGAAGGCATCCCAGGCGTCAACATCGGCCTGTCAAACCGCGACGTACTGGACCCAGCGGCACCATTAGCTCTTGGTCCACTGCCCATGGACACAGACTTGAAGGAGGATGTGCGCGCTGAAATCCAAGATGAGGAGGCACGCAACCCGCCTCAGGATGGTCGGCCCAGTATGCTCGAGGAATTTGACCAAAGAATTAAGCGTGAAGAGAGCGCCGATGTGCCTAACAGGACGGAGCTGCCCCTTCCGCCGTCACGCCCACGGGACATTGCCTTGGAGATGTCGAAGCTGAAGGAAAACCGCGATCGCTTCAAGATTGAAGGGCGAACAGGGGGTGCTGGCATTCCTGTGAGCGCCTGTATCTTTACCTACCATAACACACTGAACACGTGAGTCTTCCCGTCTTGGAGGGAGCAACAACTCACACCTTGCAGGGTTTCTAGCATGGACTTTTCCGACGATGGCACCATGGCGGCTGCCGGCACGACTGAGTCGTATATCCGCGTTTGGTCTCTGGACGGCAAGGCGTTGCCCTCCTCAAATCCTTACGATAAGGACCAAAAGTTCAACAGCCGCAAACTCGTCGGACACTCCGCCCCCGTGTATGATGTGCACTTCTCGGACTCCGCGTCAGGTCCCCCCACCAGATTGTTTGGCGAAGAGGGCAAGAAGAATCCCGCACTGGACACCCGAGCGAAGCTACTCATCTCGTGCTCGGCCGACGGTCAGATCCGACTATGGTCCCTAGAATCGTGGACGTGTCTCTGTCTATATAAGTCTCACGACGGCCCTGTATTCAGGACGCAATGGGGGCCTCATGGTCACTACTTCCTCAGTGGTGGCTACGATAAGGCCGTCCGTGTATGGATGCAGGACCACGCCTCACCCCAGAGACTGCTCGTGGGCCACGATACGGCCATCTCTTCCATTGCTTGGCATCCGAATGGCTTGTACGTCTTTTCGGCCTCGGATGAAACCGACAAATCCATTCGCATGTGGTCAGTCGTCACGGGTCAATGCGTGCGTGTGTTCAGTGGCCATAATGACTATGTCACGGCACTCGAGTGCGCGCCAAATGGCAAGCTCCTTGCCAGCGCTGACACCGCTGGAAACATCATGTTCTGGGATCTGAGCAACGGCAAGCGCATCAAGCGGTCAAGAGGTCACGGCAAGGGCGGTATTTGGTCCCTGAGCTTCAGCATGGAGTCTAACGTGCTTGCATCTGGAGGCCAGGACTGCACCGTTCGTCTCTGGGATGTCGAGCTACCGACCGACCCTCAGAAGGCCGCGCAACAGCATGGGCTCGATAGCCTCACTGCGAACACCGACCTCAATGCTGCCAACGACCCCGCTCGCATCGGGGGCGGGACAGGTGGCCCCTCGACGTCTGCCGCCACCACTGGTGCTGGCGCGCCTTCCAAGAAGAAGGGCAAGGAGGTCATGGTCACGCCCGACCAGATCAGTGCATTCCCTACGAAGAAGACCCCCGTCATGAAGGTGAAGTTTACGCGGATGAACTTGGTCATCGTTGGCGGCTGCTACGATCCCGAGCGTTAGGAGCCTGGGCGTAAGCCGGAGTAACCTTAGTTGGATGGAAAAGGGTACAGCGGAGATGGGGACATTTGCCCTTTGGCGTATTTAATTGATGGTACAGGGCTCTCGTAATGTAATATGACGATGCCATTCTGGAAACATGAAAATCCATGAGATGTGCTGGACTGAAGTTTCGTGAACATTGTCACCACATGCGTTCCTTCGCGCAGAATGTCATTGCAATTCCCCAAGCTCATCTTGAAAGGACAACTTGCGTCTCTCAACTACACATCACCAAATCCAACTCATTCCACCCCACGAGCCTTCATGAAATCCACAAGGTCAAAGAAGCTCTTCTTGTACCGCCGCTCTTGCGATGTCCTATTGACCGTTTGAATGCCGAAATGCGCCGTATAATCACCAAATTCCCTACCAAAGTCAGTCAGTCACCCACAGTACTGGAAAAAGACAATGAGACTTACCAATTATCCATGTAACTCCACGCAAACGCGCCCGAGACGTGGACGCCGTCTTCCCAGATGGCATTGAGGACCTCGGACATGAAGCTGAGGTAGTACAGACTGCGCGGCGTGTCGAACAGTTGATCGGTGACTTCCTTGTCGTCCTCCCCAAACACGGGGAAGCCAAACTCGGTCAGGACAACGGGGTGTCGCCACGTGTTCCAGAGGTAGTTGAGATAGCTACGAAGATAGGTCGGTGTGATGTAGACGTATGTCTGCGAGCGATAGCCAATATTCCAGCCATTGACCTCTGTGGTGGTCTGGTTGACGCAGTAGGGCCTGTAGGTGGAGCTGGCGTTGGCGGCGCAGTCCATGATGCTCTGCGCATTGCCTGCTTCAGGCGGCGCAATGACCGTTGCCGTGTAGCTACGCGGGTTAGTCCATCTCCTGTAGTTGTCATTACGCGACATGACTCACGGATCGATGCCCAAAAAGTCCGCTGTCCCGTTCATGTACTCGAGGTCTTCTGCTGTCAGGGGCACGTAATCCTGGATTGTCGATTTGTAGGATTCGGGGTAGTCGATGCCCAAGTAGATTGGGTTGCAAAAGGGGCCTAGCTGGAAACTGTTGAAGTGGTCGGCCGCCTCCACATCAGCTTGACTGGTCGGGTCACGGGGGACTCCAAAGTTGTTGTTGAACTTCATGGAGATCTTGCCCTGACCGTTTAGCTCCTCTTTGTAGAAGTGGTACACCTGCGAGTGAGCCTTGATCACATTGTATACCGACTGCCCGTTGTCGCAGTAGAGGAGGGGCTCGTTGAAGGTAAACCAGGTGGCCACGCGGTCGGCGTAATGGGTCATGACGATCTTGGCGTAGTTCACAAAGGCGTCGGGAAACGTCTCGTTCTGGTAGGCGCCGTTAACGTATCCAATCTCCGGAGCGCGCTGGGCCTCGGTCAGGTTGTCGCCGTAGAACTGCAGCGGGGTGTCAAAGTGCAGCAGTGTGACTTCGGGGACCATGCCCTTGGAGACGATGAAATCGATGAGGTCGTTGTAGTGGTCGATTCCCTCCTGGTTCACGGGCGTCTCGGGCAATGCAAAGGGGAGGATGCGGGTCCAGGCAATGCTGAAGGAGAAGTATTTTACACCCATGGCGGCCACCCTCTCAATGTCCTGCTTGTACAGGTAGTAGTTCTCGTTGGTCACGTATGACTTGGCTCTGTCATCCTGCACGAGAATATCCATGAGCGACGGCGACTTGCCCTCCTCGGCGGTAGCGCCCTCCACCTGGGAAGCCGAGCTGGAGACACCAAATTCGAAGCCCTCGGGGAAGTTGTAGCAATCATTCGGACCAAAGTAGTCGCGTGGAGGGAGCACGAGCTCCTCGCTTGGGATTGGCGTGGGTTCGACGGTGGTGCTGTACACGCCTGTTTCCGTAAAGTTGGGAGGATTGGCATACTCCCACAGAGCAGTCCAGGCAGCATTGCCGTAGGGGTTGTCTGTGTCTGAGGCTGTCTCGGTAGCATTGGGGTCCCATTTTCCCCATGTTGTATAGGATTGGGATGGAATCAGAGTGGCCAAGACCTCGGGTGGGCAGGCGTAGGTGGTTGCTGCACTGGGTGTGACGGACGTGGCCGTGCGCTGCGTCGTTGTGAGGGTGTAGCTGAAGGGCGTGAAGGAGTATGTGGGCTCTGGGGCCTGGGAGGCTTCACATTGGGGACGATCCGTGGGACCTTGCGCCGGAAGAAAGACTTGTTGAGCTAGCGCAGTCGAGCCCAAGAGCCCTGCGAGTGTGAGGCGATTCATGATGCGTGGTGTGGCCGTGGGAGCTGGACTGACCTCAGGACTGCGCAGGCTGGGGGGAGTATAGAGATATATCCTCAAGATATCCGGTGTCTGTCACGTCTGCACAGAATTTGGATGCCTCAGTGACGCAAGCAATAGACGCTTCGTCGCCATACAAGCCAATCAAGTTCTGGACCTTTTGATAATTCTCCTGATCTTTCGGAGAATAGGAGAAACTTCCCCAAACCACGGGTTCATCTTCTGGGGTATCCTCTAAAGGACCGATAATGCGGGGGACGATCGCCCAAATGCGTCAATCAGAGCTGAGCAGGTGAAGAAAAATGCTGCAAAATGCGTCATAGCCGCTAGTCTTCTGCAGCCTTCACCATGTCAAGTGCGTGAAGCGAACCCCAGGCCTTCCCCGCAAGATGGCAGCCTCCACGATGCTGTGGGGAAGATCGGGGAAATGCAGGCCGGCAGTCCTGCACTTGGGTAACTGCCGAGGCTGCGTGTCAGTTATTGAGACAATTCGGAGTCGGCGTCTTCTGGATCATGGAAAGCCGAGCTCTCGGAGTCGGCGTCTTCTGGATCATGGAAAGCCGAGCTCTTGAGACCTCGAGTCAGGGACGTCGATGGCTCGCATCTAGACTAGAACGCAGCCATCGTGGGCGGCGTTCTGCACACACCCAACCACTTGACACTCTTGAATGATCTCGTTGCAGTTGCGCTATATGTATCTACTGATAATTCTGCGGTATGAGATAGACTAGTTGCGAATTTCCGTCAATACAGCTGGTTGTTATTTACAGGACAGCTTATAAATATTCCAGCACGCGTCCTCTCTATGCTCTCCTTTAGTTCCTTGGCCGAATCTACAGTCCAAGGATAGCCTGGTAATTGAACTTGGGACCCGCAACCCACTGAATAACAGAACCACCAACGGCAAGATACTGCTCATGAGGCAGCCAGCTATGCAAGTGGGAAGTGTAACACCCTGTCTGACGAACAGGCTTGTCCTCAAACCTGTCCTGGATCCACCGCAACCATCGAGGGCGGGTCGCATCCAACGTGGGAACGTGACCCGTGCCGTTGACTACGAGAAACTCTAGGTCGTGATTGGGGAACAGGGCGCACGTATCTTCGACGGTGGACTTGACACCATTGTAGGGAACGTAGACATCTTCTGTGCCTTGGAGAACCAGCAACGGGCCCTTGAAATCCTTCCTGCCCGGGTTGGCGAGCTTCTCAAATGCGGCAGCGTGCCACGACTGCTCGGTATAGTTTTCCCTTGTCACCTCAGCCGTGAGAAAAAGCTGTTGCGCAGCACCGATGCCGCCCTTGATGCTAGTCCAAAGCTTGTTCCTCGCCACACCGAGCGGGGTGAGCCACAGGTCGAGCGTAAAGTCGGGAAAGATACTGCTCATGGCGATACCGACAAAGTTGGATATGAAGGCAGGAGAGACGCCAAAGACATCAACGACGGGACTTCCTGCGACAGCGCCTTTGTAGCCGCCAAAAGTCTTGACAGGAAACTCGTCCTCGCTCAGGGCGAGACGCTCGGTCACACCCCAGGCCACACCACCGCCCTGGCTGTGGCCCATGGACACGAACTCCTCGGTCAACCTGCCGGGGAAAGCGTCCCAGGCTGCTTGCAGTGCGTATAGAGCGTCTCTGGCACCGACTTGGGCGACATCCCATTGGTGTGCAATGTGACTCCCGTCCCAGGACTTGTCGATTCCCAGTCCGGCGTAGTCAGGGCCAACCAGCGCGTATCCATCTTGCGCGAGCGCGAAGGGTGTTGAAAACCCGTACCAGAGGTGTCTCATGGCAGAAGGGGCAGCGTCAGAGTGGAAGCCTGAGGTGCCGTGAGTCCAGAGGACAGTCGGAGCAGCCACGTGAGAGCTGTTGGTCTGCCCAAACTGACGAGGTTCAAAGGGCCAAAGGACGAATGCCGTCGTCGGCACGACTGTGCCGTTGAGGGTGGTGGTTGTGTACATGAAGCGTGAAAGAGCGGTGTTGGGAGGGATGGAGAAGCCAGATGTGTCTGTGACAAGCTGGGTCTTGAGGACGACACCAGGTTGAAGGGGGCCAGTAGTGTTGGTCAAAGGTGGCAGGGTGTAGAAGTCGTCCTCGCTTGGTCCCCCGTAGGCGAGCTGAGAGCGATCCGAGTTGGTGGCGACCTCGACGCTCTTTGCGATTTCGTCCGTCAGCTGCGCATCTCGGATCTGTTGGGTGGAGAGAGTCAAGGAGGAGTTCCACGTGTTGGGCTGGACCCCGAAGTTGGCGAGCTGTGCTGCGGCAGTGGACGCCAGCAGAGCCAACATTACAAGGCTGCAACTTTTCATCCTAGAGGACTGAGGTGGTGAACTTGTCGTGTTTTGCTGGCTGGTTCGTGTGGTAGGTTGCTCTGCTTTGTTCGTGGTGCTGTCTTGGGGTTGAGTATCATTGTCCTTCTTGGGTTGCATACTGGCTTATATATATGTGACGAGACAATTTGTACATTGGTAATCATTCCAACCATGTCAGTATCTAAGAATATTCAGATGATTCCCTGAGAATCATATCCGGACGCCGTGCTGTGAGATCGTTGGACCCGTGGGTCCGTGGCGGCGCCGGGGAGCCTTTTGTGGAGACACGGCGAGCCACGGAGCTCCACGGCGTTCCGGAGGCCGGACTCGGGACCGGGGAGGGGGGGGGAGGGGGGGGGCAAATCCCACTCTCGAACGTGCAAGTAACCAAGTAACAAGTGTGGCCACAGATACCAAACAAACATGCAGACACTCAAGATAAAAAAAAGAAGGTATTGGAACCCACCCCCCCCCCCCCCCCCCCCCCCCCCCCCCCCCCCCCCCCCCCCCCCCCCCCCCCCCCCCCCCCCCCCCCCCCCCCCCCCCCCCCCCCCCCCCCCCCAAATCCCACTCTCGAACGTGCAAGTATACGTTTAGCAACTGGTGACAGAGAATCCAAGCAGGAATGCATAACATATCGCTTCATTTAAGGAGGTATTGACGTGGATGAGCTGCATCTTGTATCTCTACTGAAGTTAGGCATTGCAGGGTAGGCTACAGTTCCAGTGCCAATATGGTCAAATGTCAGTGCAAACTCGCATGGTGACGAGCATCGGAACTTGCATCGTAGCAAAGAGCGAAGAGGAGAATTAGCTCACACGCTGTAAAGAACGCGGCAGTAGTTTTAGGCGAATCATTGGAGCCCAGAGACAATGACAGCTTCCATCTCCTTCTCAATCTTGTTGGTGTGGCGCGTCACTGTAGAATATTCAAATGCAGATGGATCATGCTGCGGAGATACTCACTGGCCGTTGTATCGCATAGTTTCCTCCCTGCCTCGTGTGAAGAGAAGAGCTGCAGAATGACTTACGGACAGTCTCAGGTGTTGTTGAAAAATCGGCTGAGCGAACAGCTTCACCCAGTGGAATCAAGCCTTGTGACTGATAACGATGGTAAGACGTCGTAGCCCAATATTGCATTCCCCCTTACTGTTGACCAAGATGTTCACCTCGAGTCTCGAAACTTCGCGCCCCTTATCCAGCAGTACTTCATAGACGAAGGGGCATGGTTCAACAGACACTACGCGACTGCGGCTGTGTGCTGCCCATCACGCATCACCTTGTGGACAGGCTAGGCAACCCACAACATGAGCATCATTCGACCGATTGGCGACGACACACATGAATATGGCCCTATATTTCTTGAGATACTCCGGATAGTGTCCCGTAATGATCTCGACGGCAGTTCCCCATTTCCAAAGAGGATTGAAGATCAATTGCCAGCTGGTCAGACTGTCCGAGAACACGCCGCCGCGGAGTATTGGGGGACATCACACTGTAAGATTCTCTTTTGCGTTGTGTGCCTGTGAGCACGGCATCTAGCCGTTTCGCATGGGAAGGAATATATGCTAGAATTCAATTAAATTGTGTACATGACGGCTGAGAATGGATCAACAGCTTGGCTGAGGGCATTTGGCCTCGACCTATAAAAAGAGAACAAGAAAATGAATGACTGGATCAGCCAGCAACGCCGGTGGCAGGATACCCTAGGAACCAGATTAGCAATGGTCAGGTCATCAGACAAGAAGCACTTACACCACGAGCACACGGCAATGGCAAGATAGAGACAGACGAGCATGACGCCCTCGAGCCAATTACTCTTGCCATCGCCAATGAGATAGTTGACGAGAAGAACCGACACAAACATGACAGCCACCTGGAACATGTCAAAGGCCAGGGTCATGTCCTCGACGCCCATGCCCCAGCCGATGATGACGAGGAGAGGGATCACAAAGAGCGCGACCTGAATCGAGGAGCCAATGGCCACGCCGATGGACAGGTCCATCTTGTCCTTGTACGCGACCTTGACGGCCGTGACGTGCTCGGCCGCGTTGCCGACAATGGGCAGCAGGATGAGGCCGACAAACTCCTCGCTGATGCTGCCCGAGTCGGTGATGGCCGAGATACCGCCCACCATGTACTCGGCGCAGAAGGCGATGATGACGGTGGCAATGGCCAGCACGCCCAGGGCCACAAGGAAGTGCAGCTCGGGCTCTGCCTCATCGCCTTCATCTTCCTCCTCCTGCTCACCATCCTGGCCTTGGGTGGCATCCCCGGCATTCGGATCCTTCCTGCGACGCCAGAGCGACTCGGGTTCCACCTTTTGGCTCTCGACAGCAAAGTCCCCGCTGTGCGTGTGCAGCTGAAAGACGAGAAAGGCAGCGTAGACAAAGAACAGGATGACGGCGACACCGCGCGAGAGGGCGGCCGTGCCCTGGCGGTCCTCAAAGGTGGGATTCTCCTTGAAGACGGTCGGCACGATGAGGCCCGCGACGGAGAGGATGAGGAGACTGGCGGCCGAGTCGACGACGGTGGTGTTGAAGTACTGCTCGCGACGACGGTAGCCGCCGGCGAGGAAGCAGCAGCCCAGCACGAGCAGCAGGTTGGAGAGGATGCTACCGATCAGGGAGGTCTGGACGATGGCGACCTCGCCCTTGGTGAGGGCGATGATGGCGACGATGAGTTCTACGGCGTTGCTACGTCGCTATTAGTCTTTTGATCTGCAAGGCCCAAGTATGTAGAGTTTGGGATAGCGTGCAAAGCCGTACGTACCCAAACGTCGCGTTGATGAGGCCACCGATGGACTCGCCCGTCCGCAGAGCGACCTCCTCCGTCGCGTCACTCAGCATCGCCGCCAGAGGGACGATGGCGACAAAGTTGACACCAAACACGATGCGCCCGTCAAGACCGGCAGCGCCCACGGCAATACCAGCCGGCGCCGCCAGGAGAAGAATATTCAGCCATGACCCGAGCAGCGTCCTCCTGATCTGGTTCGAAACAGTAAATGGTTCTCTGGGATGCACAGCGCGGTAAAATCGATGCGAGCTCTTCTTTTGCAACTTGTCATTGTCGTCTTTGGCGTCCTGGCCTTCCTGTTTCGTCGTGGCCTCGCTATCCTCCTCTGCTTTCCCGTTCGATCTTCGATTGCGGAGCGCATCCCCGTTGGCTTGAGGGGATGTGCTGGCCTCTGCGCTGGAGAATGTGCCGTCGAGGGTCCGGTCGCTGCCTTCATTCTGCTTGTGGGTCGGATTCTGTGGTTTATAATCTGTCGGTTCTGTGTAGCCGTGCCTCAAGCCTGCCTCGAGGCCGCTGTCGGTGTTGGCACGGGGCGCGAGCGTCCTCCTGACCTTGGCGGCTTGCTTCCATTTGCTGCGTGCGCCCAAGATGTTGTCTGCAAGATTCATCGTTGGTTAACAGGGATGCCTTTGAGTGCGCGCGCCATGGCTCGATGCTAATGTGAAGTGAAGGGGACAAAGGGGACGGGATGTGGTTGATGCAGGCACCGAGTCCACAGTGCTTCGCAGCGGGTGTGGCTGCGGCCACGGATGACGAGGCTCATCTGAGCCCATATTGTGGCGGCTTAACAGATCGAAGCACATCTTGTATCGAATCATGGTGTGAGGGCCGCTTGGCATAGCTAGCAGCAGAGAAGAGGAGAGGGAGGGAGGGAGTGGGTGGGACCTACGCGTCGCGCTCTGCGTCCGCCGCACGTTGGGCGGCATGGCGCTGGTTTGGGGACGTCTGTACATCGATCAGAGATTCGGGAAGAGGGCAGGGGAAAAAAAGGTAAGTGGGAGAAGTTCTGGTGTTCCGAAAAATCTGAAGAATGAATGAGTCGGAGGATTTGGCGCATGGACGGCTGGTCCCCTTGTCATTTGAGTCAACATTCAAGGGGGCGCGGACTGGAAATTGGGCGACAATGGACGTCAATGGACGTCAATGAACGCCCGATTCTTGATTTCTTTTAGCGTCATCTACTGTGGCTTTTTGCTCATTCACGTTTCACTGCCGGCCTTAAGTGGCTGAGGCAGCATGGCTGGCGCGCTGGCTGGCGAGCTGGCAGCGGGTGAGTGGTGATGTGGTGGTCGAAGCTACGTGTAGACCGGCTAACACGGCGCAGTGGAGCGACGTCATGAGGCTGTACAAGGATGATATTGGCGCCAACGGGATTAGATGGGATTATACACCCACTTGCCGAGCGCACAGAGTCCCCAGCTCGGTTCGAGTCCTCCGTATGCCTGCCAGTATGCCCAAGCGTACGAGTACCAGACATCTGCTGAGATCGCCGTGTTTACATGACTTCGAATGAGCATTCCCTTCGGAACAGCCTGTGCTCACGAGAGCATCCATCTAAATGGACCAAAATTCAAATCAATAAATCCCCAGGTACTGCATGTCCTGGATCGGTGGCCCACTCCGCATTCCGTCCAAGCGCCCAATCAGGAAATGCGGCGCCGGCCACGACCAGCGGATCTGCATCAGAAATGCCGGTTTTCCGGAGAGCTCAGTCAAAGACTCAAAGAAACACCAACAATGACAACCAACACTGGCTCGATCGATATGCAGGGACCGAGTTCAAGCAAGATAATCATGTGTGTCGATGTCATTCTTTGGGCTGCCTGCCTCGTGAGCCGCAACGAAATGTTGGCACCTGTGCATAGATCTACGTCTAGTAACTTTAGTCTAATCGATCTCCGGATACCTGGCGAGATGCTCTGGCGTGGCGAGATGACGCTCATAGCGGCCTCAGTCGTGTCCGAGATCGCACCCACATCCCGCTGGCCAAGAGACTCCTGTTTTTTTAAGTCTGCTTATAGCACAATGTCTTTAGTTTGTGGGCTGGGCTGCCGTAGGCTACAGTTACAGGGGTAGTCTGTGATTATAGCCCCTCGAGCATCGTGATAAAGGCGTCCTTGAAAATGCTTCAGAAGCAAAGGGCTGTACATGTTCTTGGTGCCATTTCCAAATCTTCCCTTGATTCTTTCTTCTATGTATATGCTAGGCGTTGTTGCTTTTGATTCTATTACGGAAGAGGCTTTTTTGTTAACTTGTGTGTGCGTCCTGGTACTTATTCCACCCGATTCAAATTTGGCACAAGCTGACTATTAGCTGCCGGAGATTCAAACAAGGAATCCACTTGCCCCGGCCTGCTAAGGATGAAAAATTCCCCAACATGCTGTTGCTATAAGCCTATAACTTAGATGCGTCAGTCTGCTGCAGTGCAGGGTAGGTCGTAGCCAGAGCGGAGGCGGACAGCCCCTTGACTTGCAATTATCATGAAATGTACGAGCGTTATCTCCTCAATCGGGCATTTGAAAGTGTTGCCGAAGTCTGGCCTGGAAAGGGTGCAGGTCGGTGTCGAGGCAGCAGAAGAGGGAAAGGGTCACATGTGATTAATAACTCATGTATGTACAAATAGGCATCACACCCCTGTTGTCGCGAAAAGGGGCTCATCCCTTCATGTTGCTTCGGCAGATACTGCGTTTCCAAGTGGGCTTAATCTCGCAAAGACAACGCGCACCGTCATGATTGTTAAGCATCCTCATCTACATATAGCTAGGAGCTCATGTGTCCGATGAGACCTGCGTCACCTCCACCACGGGCTCCTTGGCCTCATCTTCCGATGCCACAGCCCTTCCCACTGCATGCTGCGGTGCCGGCAGAGTTGTCGACTGGTACGCCCCCTTCCACGGCCCCAAGGCTTGCGCGACTATAACCCACGTCGGCAGCAGCGGCGCGACCCATCTCCCAATGATGCGGAACAGCCACGTCGACCACGCCGAGATACGAATCAGCTGTTGACTCTTGGCGACCGATTCGCGCACGCGTGGCTCCCTCTTCTTGTTGACCTCACTCAATACCTTCTCCAACTGCACTGTCGTCACCTTGTCGTTTTGCTTAATGAGATCCTGCAAATGGTCCACCAGCATGACGACCGACTCGGCACCTTGCGCGCCACCCTGCGCGAGAATGGGATTCGTCTTGGCCACAGCGTCGCCCAGACAGATAAGACGGCCATAGTGCCAGCGGCGCAGGCTGTGATTGGGACATGGCTGCGTGGTGATACGGTACCTGTTGGCGTAGACGTCGCCAAAGGTCGTCTTCTCACTCAGCTTGGCGTCGGCGTATTTCTCACAGACAGCCGCGCCCTCCTCAGGGGTCCATCGAGGGAAGTCAAGGCTGCTCGTTGTCTTGTCCTCGCCAGCCTTGAAGAAGATAAACCAACACGCCTCGCCCTTGGCACCGCCAAACACCCCAATGGTCATGTCCTGGCCGGTGACCTGGTAGGTGTGATCCTTGCGTAGGTCCCCCGTGTTATGGGATAGGCCAAAAACACAGGCAAACTCTGTAGCTGCGTCTGCGCGCACATTGTCAGCAACAAATCGCTCGACTATTACTGCGATATGACAACTGACCCTCTCCTTTGTCGCCCACAAACACCTTGGAGCCCGCCTCCTCGGCCATACGCCACATCTCGGCGCGCATGATGCTATGCGTGCCATCCGCACCAAGCACGAGATCTGCATGATGCACCTCTCCACTCGCCATGTGCAACCGAACGCCCTCGTCGCCCGGCAGTTGCTCGATGCGGTTTACTCGCTGGCTCGTGTGGATCTTCTTCTTGCCATCCTCGCTCACATTGCGATACAGCACCCGGAGCAACTGTGAGCGCGTCCACGTGCGGATACCATACCCATCGGCAGCGGCGTGGATGCCGTCCGCCACATGATGCGTGTACATGGGTTTGCCCGCAATGTCGCGCGCTGCCAGCGTGCACAGCTCCGTCGACTCGTCGTACACATCGTCCAGAACCCCGAGCTGGTCGAGCACGCGCTGGAAGTTTGGGTACAGGGCGAGACTAGCGCCCACTTCGGGCGTAATGTCGTCGTACGCCTCGAGGAGGACAAAGTCGATGCTTAGGCGGTGGAGATGGAGGGCGGCGGTCAGACCAGTCATGCCACCGCCCACAATTGCGACTTTGAAGGGGGCCATGGTGGTTGTCTGGGTGTGGAAGGGGCACGGGAGAGTGTTCGCGCTCGTGGCTCAAGTACAAAACAGAGGGAGGGGAATATGGCGAGGACAAGAAGCACGAGTCAGGAGGAAGACCCTGAAATCGGACATATTACTCTCTCCCTCCACAGGCGATCGCGGAAGCCTTCGTCGTGTCCCGCCCGTCTAAGCGACTCTTGACAGGTGCTGCTATCCCTGCAGGTGCCGGGGTGCCTGTCCGTAATCCCTGCTCCAGGCGGCCTTTAAACTTTACTTTGAGATCCTGTGGGTACATGATCTTCTTGTTTGGTCAAGGACAGCAGCACATGGAAGCATCTCGAGTCGTTACACTTACCACGACATCTGCTTTCCCAAGTCTTCCCTTCACATTCATTCAAGTGGCTTATGAGGTGGCCACTGTTCACATGCGACCACAATCGAAGAAATTGATCATTCCCGACTTTCGGGTTTATCTGGGCCGCTGCAGATGCAAGCTGGGCCTCGAGCCAATGGCCAGCGAGGGTAAAAGTTCTCGAGCCAGGGCTCGTGCATGCTGCCCCATGAGACTCGTTTCATGCATCGAATTGACACGACCAACATGCCAAAACGTACGCGTTCGACGGAAGACAGGCCGGCAGATGTTTCGGCCCAAAATTCGAGCAACACGCATTCTGCATGTCCGAGCTGGCCTCGTCGCTGTCGACAAGTGCTGCATGTGGTTCATGTCGAAATGGCGCCGCGCATGCGATGAGGCATTCGTTTCGCTGGCCCTCTCACGTCTCTTATGAATCCAATAACACATGATGCTTCTCTCAACTTTCTTTGAATGGAAATTTTCGATGGTGGAGAGGGCCAAGTCGTGGACCAACATTTGACCCAGCACTTGAGGAGGAGGGATCAGGGAGTCAGGGACAGGCTGGGTTGGGCTTCATTCAACAGAGCCAACACGACGTTTGACGAGGTTCGGAAATCAACATATTTAAACAGCGACCGGTCTCTCCTCCGATGCCACAAATAAATCCCATTGATTCTCTTCTGCCCCTTGCTTGTTGAACGTGTGCTAACAACCACACGTGCAGTCAACATGTCAGCCGCCGATTTAGCTGCTCTCTTCCCGCCAGACCAGTATCCCTACCACTGGAATGAAGTTCCCATCGTAGGAAAGAGCCTCGCATTTCTCATCGCTAACTATGTTCTCGAGCCTGTCGTTATCGCTGTCGTTGCCCTGCGGTTCTACTCCCGTACGACGATGGGGACATTGGGCTGGGACGACTGGTTCGTCTTGATAGCCAAGGTACGACGGCCTGTCTGCGAGCTATTCTCTTAAATTCTAACTCTCCTAGATACTTTGCATATGCACACTGACCGTGGTCACATGTCGTATGGCCGATTTCCCCTTCGAACATCGTCACGCCCTAACACTTGACAGTAAGCGCCATCGGATCCGGCTACTACGTCGAACAAGTCGCCATGAATCTCTCAACAGTCTACCTGTTGATCTTCATCCTTCAAGGCTTCTTCCTCTTTGCCAACATGACCGTTAAGCTGAGCGTCTGCTTCTTCTACCTGCGCGTCTTTGTCGGCAACGGCATGCGCGTCGCCACATACATTACCATGGGCCTCGTCGTGGCCTGGGCCGTCGCCCATTTTATCGCCGCTATCTTCATCTGCAACCCCGTTCAGGGGCAGTGGGATCTTCGCTTCACGCCGACGGCCCAGTGCGGGGACCAGATGAAATTCTTCCAGTCAGGCCTGAGCATCAATGTCGTCCTGGACTTTATCATCCTCGTCTTGCCGTGGTGTACGTATTCCATGCATGTAATCGAATCAGGCAATAGGTTGGCTAACATCCACCAGACACCATCTGGAATCTGAACATGCGCATGTCCGATAAACTTGGACTCACGCTCGCCTTCTCCATCGGAATCGGCATGACCGTCGTCGGCATCATCCGTGCCATCTACGACACGACAACCTCCATGAAAGGCGACATCACAGCGACCCTACCCACAAACCTCTTCCTCACCGTCATTGAGCAGCAGCTGGCCATCATCACCGTCAGTATTCCCATGCTTCGCCCGCTCTGGTGTCGATATCGGGCCCGGCTTGGCGGCTATAGTCTCGAGGAGAGTGAGCAGGTGAACAAGGGGAGTCTGCCCAACGGCACGTTTGGTGGATCTGGTGCCAAAAGAAGGAGTTTGCCACGGCGCAAAGATGACAATGACATTTTAGAGTCGCACTTTGAGCTTGGGAGTGTCTCGGGCGAGGAGGGACACCTAGATGCAGTGGACTCGGGGTCGGAGACGAGACTCGATGGAAAGAGGAGAGGGCGCGCGACATAGCCGGGCAGATTTCTTCTATACAATTTATCAAAGCATCTCATCTCAGCGTGGGGGTTGAGTATGAGGAGGCTGCATTAAGGTCCCTCAAAGTCCAAATACGACGATACTTAACAGTCTATATTCGCCCCTTACTCATAAACATAGCAAAATGGTGTCCTGCCGAGAGTATCCAGTGCCTCCCCAATGGTGAGCAGATCAGCATTGACACCCATATTCAGGGGATCCGACTTGACAGCGTCTCGGCTCGGCGGCCTATTGAGAATGGTAATAGTCCCCGCAATATCCTTGGCCTGGCGCGGGTGCAGAGCCTGCCAGATCCAGTAGACGCGGTCAACCATGGCATGATGGAGGAAGAAGACGGGCTCGTTGGGCGAGGAGAAGAGGTCAGACGAGTCACCACCCATGGCAAAGTGCCCAGCGGCGTGGATACCGAGGAATTCATCGGCGAAGCGGCCTTGGAACTCGTCCTGGAAGGCCTTGATGCTGCCCGAGGCGTCGCCCATGGTGATGTTGTAGAGATTGGGCAGGGTCATCCACGTGTCAATGGCGTAGGGGCTTAAGTCGCGACGGAGGCAGCGAGGGTTGTACTCGAGGGGTGTGGTGGTCGCCTCCATGCCCGCCATGCCGGGGGACGGTGGGCCGAGGTTGGCGACGGCACCGACAAAGGGGCCGGATGCGATGCAGCCGCCACCCTTGCCGCTGGGGATGTAGATGTTGTCGAGACCGGAGAGGGCACCGTCGTGCTCGACGAATTCGCCGTCTCCGCCCATGCTGGTCTCGGAGCCATCGAAGATGGGGTTTGTGGCAAAGTCGCCAGTCTCGAACCAGTTCCAGTACTGTATGCCTGTTAGTAAGACGATGCGCTGTTATATGCGCTCGAAACAACGTACTGGCTGAGTGCCTTCATAGCCGCACTCGTCTTGGAGTGCCTTCTCGTAGGCCCATGTGAAGTAACGGTGCCATGTGAGGAAATTGCCCTGGAGGAATGTCAGCAGACGTCAATTGGTGGTAAGCATGTTCATTGTTACAGTTCCGTGGATGCTCAGCGTCTGGTTGATATGAACGGCAACAAAGTCGTCATATCGAGTGCGAGCGCCAGGTGCAAAGGCAGGGTCAGCCTTGGAGGGCTTTTCACGGAGACACAGGACAGCGCTGATGTAGTCTTTCTTTTCACCATCAGAGAGTGTCTTCCTACAGAGTTGAGTCGCAGTGTCAGAAGAGGACGTAGTCAATCTGGGCATTGGGAGCTCGAGCTTACCAGTCGCGACGCACGGCAGCCTTGGACACTGTGCACTTGTTGCAAGTCGATCTTTTGGTATTGCTCTCCTCAGACTTCTTCAGTGCCGAAATCGCCTCGCTGTTGAGGTCGAGCATCACATCGTTGACGGACTGCTCGGCAGGCGCAGCAGCGACCAGCGAGGAGGCGCCGAGAAGGCCAGCGAGAATAGCGAGTGAAATCTGCATGGCGGATGGGTTGGAAGGCCTCGGAGATGGAGTGAGAGAGATCAGCAGTAACCGATGAGGCGGGCAGTCTTTTGACTAATATGTAGAACTGGGACTTCTCCCTTTCGCTTGATCGCCCGGCGATTCGGAGTCAGCACTGCTGCTGCCAAGTCGCACATGGAGCGTTGTACCAGGGATGTTTGTTCCCAGCATAATGCAGGTGACGGCTATAATCAAAGCAGTCATGGTTGCACACCGCGCGTCCGTCAGTCCCGACCGGTTAACGTGCCCTCTTCATCCTGTGTCCTGTTGGTCGGACACCGAATTCAGACCAGGACCAGTCGTCGAGGATACGAGATTGCGGGCGAGAGACACGGTTGAATTGATTCCCCTGCATCATGCACACAGGGATGAGGGAAGAGGCGAGGATGGTGTAATATATCCGGCCCATACGTACCAGCTTTAATCTGCACGGGCGAGTTGGCCTTGAAGACTGATGTGCATGCGAAATTGGGGCAGCACTTTCGTCTTGCATCAGAGAATCAACAATGTCAGGGGTGCATGCCAGTTCAACCAACAAGGCTGCCGACAAATCGCATTATCCTGCATGTGCATAAGCCGTCCACAAGTACGGCAAAAGGGCCGGTGTCGTTCGTTCGCCCAGGCCTGCCGTTTCCGAATTCAGGCTATTATTGTCTATGCCTGCCAACCATGGACGGGCCGCTTTGCGCAGATCCGGCCCGAATGTACATCTACCCAAAACGAAGCCAGGAATGAGACTTACATGATCAAACAGACAGATGTGGAGGGATGGCCCCTGGGCGACGGCTGAGGAGTTCTTCATGTTGGTGAACACCTGCATACATCAAGACCTGTGCCGCTGACCAGCCTCCTTGGCTTGACCAAGCGTTTCTTGTTTGATGGTGGCGGAAGGATTTCTGGTCTTGTCCATGTGCCACTCAGCGAAGCAGCCTTGAAATTTGATGGCGGTGCCGTCTCCCTGGTTCTTTGGAGGATGTATTTGAGTTCTGATCCCCTTTGGACTTTTTGGCTGCCAGTTGCAACCTCTGCTCTGTCTTCGGGTCCCGCGTGTTGTTCTTGAAAATGGTGCCGCCTCCTCCATTCGTCCTGAACGAGGACCCAGAGCGCGTCAAGGACACACAGGCGGCCATGATAACGGGGGTTATTACAGCGGTACACTCGATTGCCCTACTCGCCGTCCTTACCAGGACATACATTCGTCTGATCATCCTGAGATGTCCTGGTGTCCAAGATGCGCTCATGGTCATCTCTGCTGTAAGTGCTCTCCATCCACAGGCTACTCATGTCCCTGCCCTCAATTTCTGTACAGGGCACATCCAGGTTCAAGTGGTGGATTGAATCCAGTCTTGACTTCCAATTTAACTGAACCTCTAAATGCAGATCACCGCCTTGGTGGGAACAATCATCCTATTCATGCAAATACCATACGGCCTGGGCAGACACGCCGACACCATCCCACGACCCGATATTGCCACCTTTGGTAAATTCAGCTTCATCCATACCGTCGTTCCTCTGCTCGGCGGCATCGGCTTCCTCAAAGTCTCGATAGCGCTGGAGCTGAAGAAGTTCAACGGCAGTATATGGCGTTGGTACAACATCACTCTGTGGTGCTTGGTTGGTTCGTGACCCGGTCTCGCCTAAGAACTTTGTCCACTAATCTGAGTGACACAGCATTCGTTGTTGCGTATACGTTTGAAGCGTGGATGTCGTTCATCTTCTTCTGCCAGCCTATCGCCAGGCAGTGGGACCAGTCGCTCGACGGATCGTGCTACTCGGTCGACATGTTCATCAAGTTTGGTCTGGCCAACACGGGTAACCGCCGCTTACCCCCAACCCGATTGTTGCATTTCAACTGATATTCTATGTGATAGCCTTTAATATCCTCACCGACGTCGCATTCGCAACGCTGCCGATTCCCATTGTCTGGTCTCTGAAGATGCCGGTCAAGACCCGTATCTACCTGATCCTTGTGCTCAGCCTCGGATACATGTACGTGTACATCTGGCTGGCTTCGATCAGCCACGTATAGAGCTGACGGAAAGACAGTGCCGTCGCCATGGGTGTGACCAAGGCCATCTATCAGATCAACTACAACCCAATGGGCGACACTACATTGTAAGGCCACCAATGCCCTTTGTCGACGCACTACTTGCTTACATACCACACCACAGCGGCTACGACGTCCAGTTCTGGGGCCTGTGAGTAGTGATCATGCATAACTTTGAATGATGTCCAGAGCTGATGACTCCTAGCTTACAGCTCAATGTTGGCATCATCGCCGCATGTGCTCCCTCTCTGAAACCCCTCGTCAAGAACATTCTGCGTCTCAAGTCGGTCACCCCTCGGTACGGCTACACCAACTCGGGCCACCGTAGCAACAACACTGGCGTTTACACCATCGGGGGCGGCTTTTCTGGTTCCCACGGCTATGCCAGGCAGGGTAACCGCAGCGACCACGCGCCGGAAGGGTTCGAGATGCACAACGCGCACCGTGGTAAGGATGGTGAGGTTGCGTATACGACAGCGGTGGGGAAGAAGAGTCGCCATGCGCCGCCGGGTGTGTACGCGTCGCGGGAGGGTAGACATTCTGGCGAAGATAGTAGTGGAAGCCAGGAGACTATCCTGCCACTGCAGGGTGGCAAGAACATTGTGAGGACCACTGAAGTTAAGATATCGCTTTAAGAAATATATTTGGTGTGATATCAAGACGTAGCTTTCACTTATGAAATACCTCAAACACAGGTAAGCCCCTAGCTCGTTGTATGGATAAGGGAGCTCTTGAGCCACCCCTTATGTAGGTTCTTGATTATTTGAACGGGCTTCGTTATATAGGGGAGGGATTTCATGGAGGATCTCCTCCAATACTAACTTTTGTTAATTTCCGAGTTTGGGGAACTCTCTATTCAAAGCTGCCACCCCACCCCCTTTTTCTTACCCGTACTCTATTGTCCCTCCCACCAAGGGCCCAACGGCGCCAAAATCTACCCCCTTTCAATTTGATCAGTATTATAGGGCTTGACCAGAGCGCAAACTCCCTATTCTCCCTACATTGGCAACACATGATAGCAGCCTCGCACTGTACTGTGTGGCGGGAGTAGTGCCTAGTACATTTCATCTGACAAAGATGACCTCTCGCTGTGGTCAGGATATATATATGTACGATGGAGTGCTGAGGGGGCAAGAAGCATCATCAGAGTTGTGCGTTTATGATAATAATCACGGTAGTAGCCGTTCTGATCACGGAGGAGACGCATTGCGTCGAGACAAACACTGCTTGGAGACATGTTCACTTGAACCCATGTCCATATCCACGGCATATCTCTACATCAGTACGAACAAGCCCAACCATCCGACAGTGGTCATCAGCAGCAGGTACATGCACCCGGTGCAGCCATGAAGTCGGGCGGACGAGTCCTCATCGGGCACAGCCGTCGCCGACTCTGGCTCGGTCTGTGTCGTTTGTGTCTGTATCTTGGACTGTGTTTCGGTATTGGTCTCGGTCCTGGTTGAGGCCTCGCCCCAGAAGCAGTCGGCGGGCTCAAAGACGTTGAGGTGCTTGCTGCCGCCGCAGATCTCTGTCTTGTTGCCAGAGCAAGAGGTATCGCAGTCGCTGGCGTTCTCCGCGAGGTCACCAAGAACAGCGTCGCCGCACCAGCACTCGTTCCCAGCCTTGACTCCCGCAAAGATAAAGCCGGCCTCATAGCAGGCATCCTAACACGTGGCGATGGTGAGATTGTCGTCGCCGCCCTCGTCGGTCACGCGCTCCTCGAGGGCCGCGTACTTGGTGTTTTCGTCCGTGTAACAGCCCAAAGCGGACCAGCTGGTCGGCGAGGGGCCGAGGGTGCTGGTCAAAGCGGTGGAAGTGGCGGCGATCGTGGTCTCCGGCGCCTTAGACGAGGTGGTGGTAGTTGGGAGACGCGCGAGGGGCACGACGCAGTAGGACTGGATGCGCCACGACTTGCAGTCGAGGCCAACGGAGAGATTCCAGCGGGAGAACTCCTCGGGGGTGATGTTCCAGAAGTCGCGGACTTCCTCCCAGACCAGGTCGTTGGCATTGTCCTCCCACATGACACAGGGTGAGATGGTGTCGGGGTCGACCTAGAGACTCGGCGATTGGCCCGCCAGGACGCCAGGGACGGCGAGCAGGGCCAAGTTGCCAACAGAGGGGCGGCCTTCATGTTGAAGAGGCGCGGCAGAATGAAGCAGAGACGGGACGTGAGCAGACTATCAGGTGTCAAGGAGGCATCGCGGAGGCGTCCGTCTTGCTTATGGACTCCAAGAGTCGGCGTGCGCAGATGATCGCGAGCAGAAAGACAATCTCCGGCGCGCTTTGTGTCATTGGACACCCGCAGGGCAGCAGGGGTAATTATGCATATCTCTGGGCAGCGGAGACAATGGAGATCCGGGCCACCGGCCCCGCCGTGTGAGTCGCCCCGGACTCGGAGGACCCACGGGCACCTTTGTCCTGCCGCAGAGACCAGACCTTGATCACGCGGGTCTCGACTCTAGAGTTATGGACTGTGTTACTTAAAGTAGGAGTCAGGACGTGGCAGTCCAGTCCTCGACGGCAACAACAGCATTTCACCACAATCAGCTTCAACCACGTGAAGCAGCCTCGCCATCGGCGACTCCACGTCGCCACTTACAAGCCTCATTATCTGTACATGGCGTCTCTGGCCTCAGCAGCTCGGCTCCGGCCTGTTGCGACCAGGAGTCCTGCACCAGCGTCTTAGACTCACCTCTCCGTACGTAGTATTGTGACTCGGTCTGTGACTCATCCTTGCGCTCTCGTCTCTTTACCTATCACCAACATGTTCTTCGAATAGATAATCTTCATCCTCTTCAGCTTCTTCCCTTTATACCTACCCATTCACTCACCCACTCTCAATCGCATTCGCCGCCATGCCCAAGAAAAGAAGGCTGCCCGGCCACGGCAAGAGCAAAAGCAAGGGCAAGGACAAGAAGCTGCGGCCCTTTCATCAATTCAGCCGCCTGCCAGCCGAGCTTCGCACCCGCGTTTGGGATCTCGTCGACGCGGAGCCTCGTGTCGTGGAGCTCCGATATCACCGCGATTATACAAAGAAGCGTGGCACTCGAGAGCAGATTCGCTGCCTCTCAAGGGCGCCCGCTGTTCTCCATGGCTGCCGCGAGTCTCGGCGGATAATCATCCAGAGGAACCTCTACCAGCGTGCCTTTGTCCGGCCCCTAGGATACAACTGGGTGAACTTTGCGGCCGACATGATCTCCATCGGGCCCCTGGATTCCTCGTGGCTCGGGATCGAGAGGACGCTGATCCAGCGTTTCCGCTTCGAGAGCGAGAATGACGAGTGCTTCTTCCACTTTCAGTCTTGGGAGCTGAATACGATGACCAGCCTAAAAGAGCTCCATATTATCTGCCTGGACGGCGTCACGTACTGGATCGACATCGCCGAGGAGAGGGGCTTCCCTAAGGAGAATGTCTTCTTTATGGCCAAGGGTATCGCGAGCCACATGTACAGCAGGCGCGAGATGATGGAGAGATTTCCCTCGCGACAGTTTCCAGAGTACAGCAGTAGCCACTACCGCCAGCTGTACGACAAGAGGATCAAAGGGACCTTGGCGGATGTGCCTGAAGAGCTTTGGTTTGGGGTGTCCGAGGGGGAATTGCCTGCATACCCGCTTGGCAGCACATAGTCAGACTTTAGGACGACGGTAGCCATCCGCGTGAGACCTGACTGCACAGAACCGACCAGCCATAGACACGATGTATGGGATCGGTTCGCAAACAAAAAGACTTGTCCGTGGCATGCCAAGGCGATATGGAATTCCTTCTGGCCCCAAAACTCGCCAACTTTGATTGTGTTGCTCCGCTTCCACAGCAGTAGATGTACAACCAGTTGAGGCACAGTGTGGCCGGTGCTGCTATCCAGGAGCTTTCCCAGAGTCCACTCCACAACTATGACAAGGATGTGATTTCAAAATTGGCTTTCAATATTAGGAGGACAAAGCGGTCTCTTTGAGATAGGCCAGGTGGGCAGCCCAGGTGGGCAGCCCAGAGGGGATGCTGATGTTTAGGGTAAGTGATGATACTAGACGTTGGATATTGGGACTATTGGCGACTCATTGTCTAGTAAAGACTAAATCATCGAATAGTAAATTTATTAACGGTCGATATAAGTTTACTACGATTGATCCGTATGTGCACTTATAGTTCACAGAGGGTTGAGCGTGAGTATATGTACCTAACGGGTCGACAGCCAAGGTACAGGTCCAGGTCCAGGGGAATAATTATGGAAGTTCATTCTCTTTCAGCAAACATCATCAAAGCCGCCAGAACCCTCACCATGCGGCCCTTTGCCGTGCCCTCGCGGCTCGCCCTGTCTCGGCCGATCACACAAATCAATTACCATCACTTCCATCATCGACTTCATTCTGCTCATCGCCTCTACTGGCCGCCCCACGCCCACCGTGTGCCTACAGCACGCCATTCGTTCAGCAACAGCTCCTTCGCGGCAGCGCATAATTATCCAACCTCCCGATTTTCACTGCGGGATGTCCCCAAAGAGCAGCTGGAAGACCGCACAGGGGCATGGTGGGACAGGATTTCGGCCGCCGCCAGAATCTCCCTCGATGGAGATGAAAAATGGGGATGGGTCGCGTACCGCTGCGCCTACGCCCCAGAGCTCGATGCTCGCTGGGAGACTACCAAGCGGCGTATATTACAAAATCTACGTAAGTCGATTGCTAGGTCTGACGCGCCCTCTATTGTCAACACTATGGACTTTATCTTCGTGGAAGACCCTGCCCTCGAGGGCGCCACGAATGATCAGCTAAGAGCGCGCTTCCAGACGTGGGCGCACGCAAACTGTGCAGAGACGTACCATAAGGGGATCGACACGACACGAGGCTCACGGTATGAGTACTTTCTTAAAGTCGACGGCGATCTGTTGCGTGAAGGCAACGTTGGTCTCGTCCAGGGCTGGCCACTTGAACCGTATTACGAAGGCCACCCCGAGGAGGAGGAAGAGATGGACCCCGAGGATTGGTTCAAGGTCCGGGACGACGAAATCACGACGAATCTCTACGACAGCCTGCATGATCACGAGCACTATTATATACTGTATCGATCGCCGGAGTATCGGCCGGCTTATATTCGCTAGACCTTCTATAAACAGGACCCAATTCGACTAGGGCTCTATAGTTGTGTCTATTGTCACGCTCACCTTACAGACCGAGCTTGAAACCACCAGGCCACAGCCGCTGCAAAAGTCGCAGGGGGTCGTACTTGCGCGAGACGGACAGCAGCTTGTGCTTGTTGGCCGCGCCATAGCCGTCATAAATCTCCTGGAAGCCGGCGGCGTCGCCCATGTAGTGGAAGGCGTCGTAGACACCGGCCTCTTGGGTGGCGTTGCCAATCTTCCAGGTGGTCGTCTTGATCCAATCGTACACGGCCTCGCTGTGCTCCTCGCCGCGCCACTCGACCACCTCCGCCCAGGCGAGGTAGGTGCCCTTCTCTTCGGGCTCGAAACCGAGGGCGTTTCCTGCGGGGTTGGCCTTTTGGGAGCCGGCAAGCCAGAGATCACCAAGGGGCTGCCAGTCCATGGAGATGAGTTGGCGGTCCGCAGCGGGCAGGATGGCGAAGAGCTTGGGCAGCTCAGCCTCGAAAGCCTCCCAGGACACCTGGATACCCTTTAGCAGGGAATCGTAGGTCTTGCCCACAGTCGTGCCGGCAATAAACATGTCGTTGATGCCAGGGACGACCAGCTGGCCGGTCTCGTCTGCGAAGCGAGACAGCGTCGTCTTCGAAAAGGTGTTGCCGACGTTGGGAAGGTCCCAGAAGGGACGGAAGCACTCAGGCTCGGCGTCCTCGTTGCTGTCGTAGTACAAGATCACAGCACCGACCGTGGTTTGCTCATCGACGGCCACGACCTGGGGGACCATGTGGGACAGCGGGTCCGTGTTGAAGGCGGAGTAGTTGGCAATGGCCTCGAGAAGGGCGGGAATGTCGGTGACAGAGTAGACGCCGGCGTAGACATCACCAGAGGGGAATGTTTTGAGTCGGAAACCGGTGACGATGCCAAAGTTGTTGCTGCCGCCCTTGAGCGCCCAGAAGAGGTCGGCGCGGACGTCCTTGGTGACCTTGACGACCTGGCCGGTGTACAGGACAATCTCGTACTCGACAACATTGTCGGCAGCCCAACCGTGCTGGTTCCCGTGGAAGCTGATGCCACCACCGAGCAAGAGACCCGGTACACCGACGGGCGAGAGACGTCCTCCTGTGGTCCCTAGGCCAAACTGGCCCAGGTAGCTGTAGACCTCGCCCCAGTCCAGGCCGGGTCCCACCCAGACCGTCTTGTGATCGTCGGCGAGCTCCAGCGTGGTCAGGTTGCTCATGACGAGCAACGGTCCACCGTCGATGCTGTTGGCGCCACGGATGCCCATGTGGCCTCCTCCACGCACGGCGAACTCGGTCGACGTGACCTCGTTAACGAGCAGCGCGGCGGCGACGTCTTCGGCCGAGGTTGGGCGGAAAACGCAGGCGGGCGCCATGATCTGGTGGTTGGACCAGAAGTTCTCGACCTCATAGTCGTAGACGGGCTGCCCAGGGACGAACGTCTTGGCGGAGTTGGTCAGGCGCAGCGCGTCGCAGCCATCCCAGGATGCGTTGACCTGTGTGAACAGGCCGCCCAGGGCGTAGAGCGCCGCGGTGATGTTGGTGGTGCAGGCGACCATTTTATCCTTTGAAAATAACGATGGAGGAAGGCGATGGAAGTGAGCTGCTGCGGGAGATGGGGCTTCTTAACTACGTGTTCGTATCCAGAAGTTCCGAGCGGGCGCTGTCCTCGAATGTCGAGGCTCGGCCGTCCTTCTGAATGCATCGCAGTCCCGCCCGGCCCCCGGCAAGCGATCCACGAGCTCGCTGGTCCGTTGGTCTGGAAATGTACATGTAATTTTATGGTCTGCAGTCCCGGAGTCCCGGGCTCCCGATGGAGTAGGTGATGCGTCGGGTACCGCCTTGGGGACCTCCATGTGCCTCCTCTAGGCGGCGCTCTACGAAGCATGATGCTGAGATTGGTAGTAGGGAATCATATAATTATTATAATGAATCCTCGGGAACGCAAAGGCCCTCTAATACTGATATTCAGCTAAATTAGCTGGGACACTTTCCCACTTGCTCATACCGTCCCGTGACCGTTTCGACGACAACAACTGCAGGCTTTTGAGCGGGCGAGATGCATGGGAAATTGACCTTGTGCGCCGAGAACTTGGAAGAAAGGACTCGAGCCAATTGAGAGAACCAAACGTGGCATGCATGCAGGCAAGCGGCAGAAAAGGCCCTTGTCATGCAGAACCAGACAGACCCTGGCCTGGTCCTCTGCCGTGTCTCTCGCTTGATGGCGTTGATGGCCTTGCAAGTTGGACCCCGGCCAGCTTTTGTATTTCAGCTTTGGCTGAGGCGGCCGAGGCCCGGCAGCATCCCCGGATTCCCGCAGATCCACAGGCAGGGGTTTGGCATACAGACCTGGATAGTCTATGTATGCATGTGGACTGATTAGTCGAGTACTACGGAGTACCGTACTACGACCAACAGTCGGCCGATCCCAATGAGGGTTCCGTCTATCTACAGCGGGACATGCTGGAGCGCACGCAAAAGGTACCATGACCGGATCCCCTGCCTTGGGCCAGTCTCGACGCTCGAGTTTCCAGATAAACACATGACCCAGTCCACCTGCGCTCCCGGAAACCCAATGTCTCCCTTCCTCCTGACACTCATCCAGGGCGGTTCTAGACAAACGCACATACCAGGCTACAGTCGACACGTCAGAAAATGTCTGTGGATCACGGTGTCATGTACCTGAGCGATCCGCCTTTCGGCGTGGCCCGTGATCCGAGTCTGCCTGGCCAGGCGGCGCCGTTGACGATTGTCACGATAGTGGCCTTCTCGTTGGCAACGGTGTTTATGGGCATTCGCGTGTATTCTCGCCAGTGTATCGTGGGAAAACTCTCGTTCGATGACTGTGAGTCCACTTGCACGATGTTTCTGTGAATCCTTCAACATATACTGACTGCGAAACAAAGATGTCATGGGCCTGGCGTATGCCTGTGATGCAGTCATGGTGGGCTTCACACTGAACAGTACGATCCTTCTTCCCCTCTTCCTCGACAGCAGACCTAACAAAACCCAGTGCTCCGATATGGCATGGGCAAGCACATCTGGAACGTCCCTCTCACGGATCTCTTCCCGCACTTCAACCTCAGCAACATGGTCGCCGCCATCTTCTTCTGCGCCGCCACCGGTTTCGCCAAGGGCTCCATCCTCCTCTTCTACCTACGCATCTTCCCCGCCAAGGCCGCGCACGTCGCCGTCTGGACCGCCTTTGCTTTCACCATTGCGTACTCGTTTACCTCGGTGCTGGTCAACATTTTTGCCTGCGATCCCATCAAGGCCTCGTGGGACTTTGAGGCGGCCAAGACGGCCAAGTGTATCAACCGCCCCGTCTTCTACTTTGCGCAGGCTGGACTCGGTATTGCGACGGATGTGATCACAGTGTTGATCCCCCTTCCTTGGTTGAAGTCGCTCAAGCTGCCTACCCGCCAGAAGTTCTACGTGGCCATCATGCTCACTATGGGAGCATTGTAAGCATATCTGCCTCAGTTGCGTACATGAAGATTAGACTAACATTCGCCAGTGTCTGCGTTATCAGCGGTATCCGTCTCCAATCTCTCAAAGTCCTCCTCAACGACCCCGATCTGACCCGTAAGCCAACTTGGCCCTACAACCCTCTCATTTCCACTAACTAACACCCGCAGGCAACACCGTCCTCGCCCTCATGTGGTGCGTCCTCGAGCTGAACCTCAGCGTTATTGGCGGCTGCATCCCCACGATCAAGCCCCTACTCAAAGAGTTCTTCCCCCGACTCCTCGGAACCAGCCGAAGCCGCAGCACCACCGGCGGCGACATTTACCTACACTCGTCTCGCAAGACGGGCCGCACCACGGACAATGGTCACTCGGCTGTGCGCCCATTTCACGCTGGCTTGCACTCGGCCACCGGCGACACAGGCAGCGAGGAGTTTATCATTTCGAAAGCCTATGGGTCAAGCATGAACGGCGGCGTGGTGGAAGGCAAAATCACGAGGCAATACGATATTGAGGTGGAGGTTATAAAAGACAACAATAGACATTGATGGGGTGTCCCCTTGATCTATGATAGTAACGAGTTAAGGGTAGATCCCTCATGGAAAGTGCATCATCCACGGTAGCGTCCTTTCGTCCTTCGTCTGAGGGTCCGCGAACCAGGCATTCGACATAGTCACGCCCTCCTCGCCCACATCCCACGTCCCGCTCTTTACACAATCGGTCCACGCGTCGAGCATCTCTACGAGTCTCAGCGGCCTCGCATCGCCCCAAGGTCTTCTCACCGTAAAGGACCAAGTGTCCGCTATACCTCGGTCCGTAATCAAGAGCGTTCCGTCAGCGAACTCGTGGCCCTGCACATAGAGGCCCGGTCTGCGGGCAATAGTGAATTTACCCACGCCCCAGTCACGGTCAAAGGTCGGATCCTCAGGTGTCGCCGGTACGGTATTAGTTACCGACGGGAGGAGGCAGGACGCGAACATATCGCTACCCTCCGGAGCCGAAGCATTGAACTTACGACGCGGAGAGGCGTCGTCTTCGGCGTTCATAAGGGCTAAAAAGGTATCGGGTGTGAATGTCGTAAGTCCCGGTGCGACGAATCGAAAACGAGGTCGCGAGGCGCGAGAGAGGAATGCTTTGCCAAAGGGGCTGATCTCGTATTCCTCGACAAGATCGGCCGGGAGCATTGGCTCCTTCTCGGTAGATGGGGATAAACCGGGCATTCTCTCCGTGATAGCGACAAGGAGGTCGTCCCACGCTTCGAGAGCGTCGTCGAGATCTCGCGCTACCCAAGGCACGAAATCTACCGTATTGCTCCATGGATCCCAACAGAATTTACCTCGATCCCACATCTCGAGCATTTTCACTAGGATGACCTCGAGAGGAAGCCACGACGGCGATTCATCAGGCGGCAGCTTCGATATATCGAGCCGCCAGGTTGTAGCATAAAAGGTTTGTAGCTCTACGTAGAGCCCGCCGTCCATAAAGGTATCGGTGAGGTTGTCCGGGTAGAGTAAGATAATCTCGCGATCATCCAACTCGCCGAATACAGTGTCGTTCACGTCCATACTCCGCGGGTCGGGCTGACGGAACTCAGGGGTAAGAGGCAAGCTATCGGGTTGGAACCTATCGAGCTGAGAGAAGAAGCGATAGATCCTGCGCTGCTCCAGTGGCGTTGCGTCGCGTGCATCATTCTCACCGTCGTGGCCATCACCGTCGTCGACATGGTCTTCTTCACCATTATCATCGGACGTATCAATGTCGCGATCCGTGTCAAGGATCCATGAGGCGCATGCCGGTGCGCGCTCGCGCATGCGTCTGACGAGATCCCGGCGGATACCGTGATCGCCCCCAGTCAACTCGTGCGGGCTCTGCGCTATGGCTCTCTGGAGAATTTGGTTGTGTAGCGCGGCGCAGCGCTCGGGGTCGAACGTGCCATCTTCCATGGACACGTGTGTCGAGGTGTTGCCGGAGGGTGCATGTGGGCGGCATGTTGCTTTATTAGCGCCTTGACTCTTGAGGGCATTTAACGGGACTGGACTCTGCACCGCCCGCCCGAGAAAATGACTACCCTAAGCAGATTTAATCAGAAGATTGTGAACTCGACCCTACTCAATCTACGATAACTAGTATCAAAACATATCTGGAACTCTTTTGTAAGATCTGAGTCAAGCCAAAAATGGCCGTGTATCCTTCTTTTGCTAAGCCAGGGTCTGCGGACGAATCACTCATGTAAAGTGTTTGCCTGACGGATAGCTTACAGTCATTTCTGCAAATATCAAATTAGCCAGCGGATGCTCAAGCGAGGTTGCAAATAATACAGAGTATCCCGATGCGGAATTTAAAGCGGAATTTCAACGGGTGGTATCCGCTTCGACAGGAAGACGACTCTCATTGCTCTCCCAGACGTTTATCGAGCCCCAGCATCCCATGTCCTCTGCGGACGCATTGCCATGCCTTTCGTCTTCACTCATCCACTTACTAGTGGCAGCAGACGCGGTTGCGTTCCCTTTCAGAATCTACGACGATCCAATCTGTATCTAAATAGCATTCCCACCTTCTTGGCATTCTTGTATCATGCCACTCAGCGTCTCTAAGCTCTGCATAAGTAGCGACAGACGCCCTCTCTCTATCCTATAGAGATAAGCTGCTGGGTTGCCATTGCCCCGGAACCGGAAAGCTGCTGTGAGCCTAGGGTTAGCCGTGAAGCGACGCGCAAGTTCTAGCAAATAAAAGTGTTAGTGTTCCGGTCCCGACCCTAGTTTTAACTATATGACGATTTGAGCCGGGGAACGCACCGGTAGTCTCTTCTATAGATCTCGATAAGACATAGATAGACTCGACCCAATAGTCCTCATGGATATCGTGAATGATCTTCCCAAACTGCAGGACCTCTGGGGTGTTCTCGTTGGCCGCGACTGTCGTGTTTTTGGACGAAAAGCTATGTCTCAACTCATCTACCTATTCGTTAGTAACCCTAGACCATTCGCAATGGGCACGCACTTGGAAATAGTGTTGAGATAGGACCTAGAATCCCGGGATCATGCGCCCTGCGAGGACGTAGAGCCAGTAGATTGGCTAGCACGGGCAGAGACCACTCCGTCCCAAATCTTGAGGCTATTGTCATTGCCTTGCCGACATCAGAGGCCCTGGTTGGTTCCCGCTCTGTATCCACGTAGAACGGCTTTCGACACTCCATCACTGCTTTCGCCAATCGTGCTTCTTTCGAGTCACGTTCCATTTCGACTCTGAATTGGGGTAGTATGGTGAACAACTCGTCCTTGACAATCTTGTCGCAGGTCACCGTGGATGAACGACCCTTGGTCTTGATGTTTGTCTGCCCTTGGGAGAGGAACTCTCCGAAATAGTAGGCACCCGAGTTAGGCGAATATCGCTTGGTTCGCAAATTCAAGTAGTTTTGGAGTCCTCTCTCTTGGCCGTTCGGGACCTTATCATGGAATTCCTCCATCAGGTCAAGGTCTCGTATGAACACTCCTTTTGGGAACATGGTGGTGTCGACGATACAGAGATGCATTCTCTGCAGCTCGGTACCTTCCGTCTTATGCTTATAGATAATGTATTGGATCGCAAAAAGCAGCGAAGTTGTCCATGATATGAATGGGTCTGCGCATGATTTCGGCCACCATCGAAGATGCTCGTTGAGGACTGTAGCGACATTTGCAGCGTCATCTCGTGCAAAAATGTCTGTTAGATTGTTTTCCAGAGCGGCAGGGGATTTCATCCACTGGGTATTGTTCTCTCCGCTGGAATTTCTTGAGTAAACACGAAAGAGATAACGAGGAGTGTTGTCCAATTCTGTTGCGAGGTTGCCTGACGGACAGAACGGAATCTGAAATGGGTCGTCAGCGAAACCAAGACATGTTCCTCGGTCGATCTGTAATGCGCCGAGGCTGGCGGCTAGTTCGGCCATGGCTCCGCAGCTGGATATAGCTTCTTACAGCAGAGATAGACTCAATGTTATGTTGTAAAGAACATAAATCGATGCGGGAGCAGTCGGCGTCAAGGCGCGGGGTTCTGGTTCGCACCCTGGTGCCCAACCAACATGAAGGTTGCAGCCCAAAAAAAGGCGGCCAGCTGGTCGAATTCTAGCATCCAGTATGAGCGGGGGAATGCGTCGCAGTTTGGTGTGTCTATGGGGGGGTTCTGATGCCATTGCGAGGATCTGTCGTGAGGGGAACGGTCGACATCCATGTCGTAGAACGCTGGGCATCACGGGATTGCTAAGACCACGGAACCCATAGTCAGGAATATTTTGAAGATGGAGATTCCATAATAGAAGATAACAAATCATGCGACTCCTATGTAGAGGAACCATACCTACCAGGTCTGGTTTTCAAGCAGGGAGCGGTCGTATCTACAAGTGTCTTCTTATCGTTAGCTATGTAGGTGCTATGAATCCTCTCCCCCTTTTACGTCTAGTCGTGAATGGCAGCGGTAGATATCTGCGGACCTTCCGCTGCACGCTGACCACCCTCCCAAGCTGGCACGAATTTCATCAAGATGCAGCTTGGAGTGTTTGACCGGGCAGCCTCACAAACTCCAGTCCCTTGGACTTGGACCGCTAATCCGCGAATTTCAGTCCTTTGTCACCTGCTCCTTTTTCTACCGTAACAATCCACTCCATTCGCCCAGCTACTGTTATCATCCTCTCTCACGTCGTCGCGCATTTCAATGACTGTGGATAGAATCTTTTGTGGCGGTATGTTCTGCAGATCTGCCAGGACACTCAGCTGAATGTGACCTGTGTGATATCCCACGCACAAGAACAGGGCTCCGTGTCAAACGCCAACCCCTCACTTCATGCACAGTTAAAAATGTATATGGCCTCCTCGTTGCCTCACCGCAGCAGTCGCATAAAAATGGCCAGCGGGCGAAGCGCAAGGGAGGGCGAGAACTACTGCATCCGACTTATATGCATTGATACCAACAAATCAAAGACGTCTTGCCTGCGCTCAGCCCACGACAGTCCAAAGCGGCGATTCTATCTTTGAAACAAAAATCTCATTTTCTCATCCGCCAAAAATGCCACGTGTACCACGAAAGCCAGTCCCGATAAGAGATGGGTATCAAGGTGGGCTCGGAGAGGACCTTGACGTGGCAGACGAAGCGAGACCACGCCATGCGAAGCGAGAGAGCGAATGTGTCAGCCTGAGCGATTATGGCCCTGATGGATGGGAAGTAGACGAGGATCCAGGCCGATGGAGGCCATATTACTCTTCCTCAAACCCTTTGAGCTTCGCCTCACCACCTCGCCGTGGACGTCGGTTGGCCCACGTTCATGGCCGGGAGGGCAACAACCTCTCCAACGATGTACTCGCATACCGGCCCCGGCTACCTCGCACGCGTGCATCAGATATGGAGAATATCACGAACCGAGGACGGAAGTATGCTATGAGCATTGTCTATTCGTTCCTGATCCTCTTGGGAATTCTCCTAATAGTGTTAGCCGCTTTGACCATCAAATATGCCACCACAGACACTGCGGGCTTTGGCGCTGACGGTCCCGACTTTGCATTATACAAAAACTCTCGTTTCCAAGAATGTGCAGCAAGAGACCCGGCCCTCGCAAATTGCAGTCTGGTCGACGGTGGCTTAAACGCCATCAATAGAGACCCGGAGCATCAAGCTATGCTGGCCTTCGAGTATCCCTTTGAGCAGGACGGGCCCCTCGCCTACGACTGGTGCAGCCTCGCAAGCTGCTTCAAGGATTTCAAGGTAATTCCTTCCACTGCACGGCCTTCTGCGACGAGACGATCGTCTATTCTAGTGTGGTGCTCAATCAACATGGCGGCAATCTCCGGCGTGTGGGCCATCAGGAAGCTCCTCAGCGGCCAGCGGCACGACCCCGAACACTGCCCAGGCGTTTCCTTGTTCGACTGGGGAGTGTACGCGTACGATCTTGGCTCCTTCGTCTTCTGGTGGTACGAGATTTCCGCAGTGGCTAGAGATCCCGCGGCCGCGGCGCAGATCTCGATCCTGAACTGGATCAAGACAGTCGGATATCTGCTGCTGGTCAACCAGCATCCGATCTCTTGCCAACTGCACCAACATCCCCGCTTGAAGAAGAGCATATTCAGTGCCGTGCTCATAATTGCAGTCGCGCAGTGGATAGCAACTTGCTTCGCAGTAGGCACACAGTACGATGATATTCTCCCCACGAAAAGGGCTCCGAAACTTTCTGCAAAGTACGAATGCCTAGCGTCGCGCATCGAGGATGCCCCAGGCACAACTTCCTGCTCAGCTGATGTGCTGTGCTCGATGAGTTGGATGTACAGTGTGGCGGATTTCCTCGACGAAGAAAGATCAGCTTTATTTTATGCGGGAATATTGTTCATCTGCGTCAGCACTCTTTTCCCACTGTTCATCTTGGTCAGTTTCCGAGATGCAATGCTTGATAAGCAGTCCTTCACCATACGACGAGAGACCATTCTGCATGTTCCCAGATGGCTCGCCGGAGGTCTTGCCCTCTACTACGTTCTTGGCAATATCGCAATCGCTATTCTGGTGCTCGTGGATATACAACACAAATCAGCTTCCATGGATCGTGAAGCCCCCCTCACGTACCATCTTGGATGCACAGCCTTGCACCTCGCTTTTAGCCCATGGAGACAGTATCTTGACATCAATGACAAAGGCCGCGCGTTGAGGGTGGCCAAAGGCTGGTTCAACGCATGAATCTCAGGATCCGTTGTGGGCACACGGCAGCTTTCGTTTTTCTCCTTGTTTGCTTAAGTACTTAACGACACGAGAAACTTGGGCGGGTGTGCGACTCGAGTACGTTATACCGTTCCGCAATCCAAATGACCAGATACGAGCAATGACCTTGCCATCCACTACACTTCCCACGGCGTGAAAGGGGCTACTGTTGTCCCTAAGGACGCTTCAGTAGAGTCCATGAGCGTGATCTGCAGGGCAGTTCGGGGCAGTCCCGTCCTCGACCCTAGGTGTACATTGTGAGAGGTGGCGCGCGAGGTCTAGGCCTGGCGTTTGCCGAAGCACTCGTCGAGGCTGGGGCAAAGGATGCGTTCATCCACATTTCACTTGAGCAACTTCATGACGGGGAACAACTTGGTCGTCAACGGCGGCCACACGGCGTGGTGACCTGTTGACGCCATTGTGATGCATGCGCGCGCGCCCACGTCATCATGGCACGACCAGCAGGTGCCTTGCACTTAATTGCCGCTTGTGAGAACCGAACCTCGACAAGACTTATTCACAAGGAAAGACATCCCAAACAAACATGCCTTCAATAGGCTCCGTTCAATTGAAGCCCTCACAGAGGCAACCGTTGCTCAAGTCCCGCGCTCAGAGATCACGCCCGCTCGAGGCCAGCACGACAAAGTCACACCCCAGAGATGACGCACTCAAGGGCACGGAAAACGCCAGTTTGTACTTTGTCGGCACCGCGACGACAATCCTCGAGTGGGAAGGCATCCGCCTCATGACGGACCCCAACTTTCTACACGCTGGCGACCACGTCCACCTTGGACCTGGTGTCACGGCGGAGAGACGCACCAATCCTGCCCTGGAGCTGGATGAGCTGCCCTCGCTGGATGGGATTCTGCTATCACATTACCACGAGGACCACTTTGATCGAGAGGTGGAGGACGCGCTCGACCGCAATTTCATGATTGTGACCACGCCTCATGCACGGCAGTGTCTGACGGCCAAGGAGGAACCTTTCCACAATGTCCACGCCCTCGACTTCTTTGAGAACCTGCTCCTGGAGGGTGATGAAGCGGAGAAGAACAAGACGCGGCCCGTGGTCAAAGTGACGGGCATGCCTGGCAAGCATATCCCTCCTGGTTTCCTGTCTGCTGCCAATGACCTCCTGGGCGCTGTACCACCAACAAACGGGTGGATGCTCGAACTGGGCCACCATGGCAAGGAGGAGAAACATGGCAGCGATGCTGCTGACCTAGAGGTGGGCTACCGGATCTACATCTCGGGCGACACACTCTTCGTCGACGATCTGAAGCGGATTCCCGAGTGGTTAAACGGCGAGAAGATTGACCTGATGCTCATCCACCTGGGGGGCACATCCATCCCCAGTGCGTCCGCGCCCCTGGTCATGGTGACCATGGATGCGGTGCAAGGGCTGAAGACGATGCGTCTGATGGACCCGGACGTGACGGTGCCCATTCACTTTGACGACTACGACGTATTTGCGTCGCCGTTGGATGACTTTAAGAAGGAGGTGCAGGGGGCGGGCATGGAGGGGAGGGTGGTGTATCTGGACCGGGGGGAGAAGTATGCTTTTACCGTGAGAGGCTGAGCTGCAAGTGCTCGTTGATGCTGGGCATGGAACTTGTCCAATCTTTCAAGGTCGTTTCGAAGCAAGCAGTTGGAATAATGGCTTGGTTCAAGTTGGTATACTGGATAGTTATGTATGTCCATGTCGATTTCGGGCTGAGAACAGACTTGCGTCCAGAAAGCCTCTCGTCAGTCAGTGTCGTGTTCAAGAGAAATGTCAACGTGCTAGTCCCGGATGAGCAGGGTTCCAATTCGACACGAGCTTTGTTGGAGGCGGAGGCTACACCAACCGTCACAGGGAAGTCCTGAGCACTGAAGCAAATGCTCCACAGGAACGAGGCGCCCGCCTTGACTTTTAAATCGATCGACGATCATACGTATATACGTAGGGCTGACTTGTGTGAGTTGTGTCTCTCGGCCCTCGGTCAAGCGTGCCGATTGCCGAATGACTCGGGAATAAATGAAAACGCCCAGACAACACTTTAATCTTAGTGGCAGATTCTCACCACTTGGCGCCAGGCTGCAGGCCCCCAGGGGCTGAGCGCGCCTTGGCACCTGTCAGCAAGAACTTTTGCTCCTTGGAACCGACATGGGCTGGGAATGAACAATTCATAAATGCCCGTCTTCCCACTTCTTCATATCTCGTCAGACTCAGCGCTCCGTCCAACTTCATTGCGCACAGCAACCATACATATTCGCGCAACCACATTCGCTCAAGCACGCTCGCTACCATGAAGACCACTCCGCTCAGCTTCTGGGCCTCGTCCATCGCCCTCTTGCAGGTCCCAGGGCTCCATGTACTCGCGGAGCCGACCATCACCTCCAACCCCACTGCGACCACCACCACGACGTCTGAGGAACCAAGCTGCACAGCGTCCCTCGTCACCAAGTTATGCGACTACCCTAGTCCGTTTCGCGCTGTCGCCAGCAGCGGCAGAAGCCACTGCTGGGACTGGTGCAACGAGAACCAGCCTTGCGACTTTATCATCTTTCTGCCCCATAATCCGCACCTCGGCGACGGTACCTGCTGGTGGTACCCTGGCGAGAGCTTCGACGAGAGCAAAGGCACCACCGAGGGCTGCGGCAACCCGTACCTGGAAGTATACGACAAGCCCGTGTGCGAAGGCTCGAGCACCACGACCTCGGGTGCTTGCGCTGCCACCGCGTCCCCTTCGGCCATCGCCTCCGTGTGCGACTACCCTACGCCTGACGACGACTGCTGGAGCACCTGCACCGCCAGTTCGGGTGCCGTCGACTGCCTGAGCCAGTGTGCCGAGTCTGACGACTGCAGCTATGTCGTCTACAACCCGCACGGCGAGACCAACTCTCCGTATGAGCCGGGCACTTGCTGGATGTATCCCGACGGCGAATACAATCCTGACGACGCAGGTACTTGTGGCAGTGGGGGCCCCGAGCAGTACGTGTACGAGAACGTGTGCCCCAAGCCATCAAAGGCGTCCACATCGCTGTCCTCCTCCGCCTCTCCACCGGCTACCGGGTCTGATGGAGGGTCTGCTACGGCCGAGGCCGATGGCGTTGTGGCTGATCGCGCTGAGGCTGGGCATAATGAAGATGCTGCTTCAGCGCCTGTCGCCCTCTCGCTCACTGGCCTCCTGGCCGTAGGATTGGCCATGTTGTTGTAGGTGCCTGCGGGCGAGATGGTCACTTATCTATGTACATGTATATGGAGCCGCCTTTGCGCTGAATATACATGCATTTGCTGAAGCGCTCTGAGCTTCTACGTGGCTGACGTGTGTTCCCGCCAATCGGTCTTGCCTTCCGACGCGACATACAATCGACGTAAGGCTGCGACGATCCGCACCATAGACTTGATCGTTTCTTTCCCCATTTTCCCGGAGACTGCCGCGTCTACATGCTGTGAATAAATCTACAAGTGACTACGCAGAAACGCGTCTGGTGTAGCCTGACAATTTCCCAGAGCAACTGAACAATACATCGTGGAGACGAAATTTCCCATTTTGGGCCTGTATGTGGACCTGTCCCGATCATTAACGTTGTCTTCCGCACTTGAGAGGCCTCTCGTGGCCGAACTGCTCGTTCCCCCGAGGACAGGTTGGCCATGCATGCCGTCCGTCGGGCCAGAGCGTCTTGCAAGTCGACTCAACCTCGGGGTTCCGCTTGGTGAAGTTGGCCTTGCTAATATTGTACTCTTTCGTGACCAGGTTCAAGATATGACCATAGCATCACATACGACTTGCGCGTACATCCCCTTTTTTTCAAGTCCGACAGCCCAGTTGACGATGAAAAGACTCGCATCAAACGTCCATCTGCGGAAGCTCGGACCGCATGGCGAGAAACAATGAAAGCGTCCTCAAGGTCCGTGCTCGCGAGACTGACTTGGTGAGCGGCACAGTTCTTGCACGACACATGGGACCTTCTCTGTATAAATGCCGATATGCTGGCCGGGTTCTAACTTGTACACCTCCTAACTTTCGAGTACGTGCCCGTACGTACATTTGCGGCCCGGCCGATCTCCACCTAATTGCAATCGGACGGCTTGAAAAGGGTCGCCGTACGTACGTCGCCGGCCCCCCTCAGTCAATCCCGCGACATCATCCTCTCACGCTTTCTGTCCAACTTTCATCACTCACTCATATTTACACCTTGATAAAGCTCCCCGCGATGGCTGATTCACAGAGGTCCGATCTGAATAAGGATGACGATATACCTCCCTTTGGTCTCATTGATTTCGACCATTACTTGATTGTAAGTACCGTGACCTTACCGTCTAACTTTTTCTGGGACTAATCACTCAGCAACACTTTGACCTGTCGCGCCCCATTGAGACCGACAAGGACCAGTGGAGGCACCTTTGCCAGCAATACTGGCAGCTGTACCCTCGCGAGCGATGGGTGAGTCGCTACCCTCCCCATAACGAATTGAGCTTCGCTAATTGGTCAAAGCCATACCACAAAGCCCAGTTGGATGCCGAAGATGCTTGGAGGAATCATAACGAGCCACCGCCAGCCTATCCTGTGCTTGAACGACGCATTGCGCCGTTCCAAACGCCGCTCGAGCGGAGGCTAGGCGACGGCTCGGGGACGCAGTGCTGCCTAAGAACCTGCTACGACCCTGAGCTTGAGGAGGACTACCAGGAATTCATCCGTGAAAATCAGATAGACCGAGAATGCCTACTCTACGCCTCTGGGAGTATCCTCGACGACGAGGAACGCTATAAGGATATGGATGCTAACCCTATGGAGGTCTTGTACAATATGCCTGGGTACACTGATGTGGTGGACGTAATTGACGAGCCGTTGTATGACGAGCTTCTGCCGTGGAGCGACGAGGAATGGGCCGCCGCAAGAGATCCCGAGGACCCCTGCAAGGTCTCCGCGGAAGTCTATAATATCATCATGGTTATAGATAGAGAGGCTCTCGAGGAGGGTCTTCTCAAGGTGAAGTGGTTGAACTGGCGGAGCGAGGTTGTCTGGGAAAACAAGCTCTACTGGGGCGCAATCAATTCCTTTGTGCAGATTTGGCTGCAAGGTTTTGGAATCTACGACTTTTCGAAGAGAAACGGGGATATTATAGGAGAGGGATGGATGCCAAGCCCCTAGGAGTCAGGATTATGATCAGTGTTGTTTGCCAGGCATGTTTGCCTTGCTTAGCCAGGATACACGCCATTGTCTAGTTCCTCCTCAACTGCCACGACTCAAGTGTTTTGGATGGGTACCTTTGGTCATCCACCCCAGCAAGGTCTGCCAGAGTCCGGCCATCGATATCAGGGACATGGAAGCGGGACACGTCCGCATCAACGTGAGGGATAAAACGATCCCTCAAGTCAAACAGCAATGTCCAAATAGCAGGTGCGCTCTTGAAGGCAGCTGCCACCAGCCCACCAAGCCGCTGCCCAAATGGTGCATATTGCGCCACTTTGCCGTACACGTCGCCATCACCGACTGCGCGTGTAGGCGCCGTCATATCTCGCTGCAATTGCTCAAGCACACCATCCATGGCTGCTTCTGTCATGAAGAGGCCGGCCGGCGTGACCTGTCGAACGCGCTTCAACATCTTCAGCAGGGCCGAGTCAGCAAGTACTTGGTTGGGCTCAATGACCTTGCTCGCATAGCTCCAGCGTCCCAGCAAGCTCTCCAGCCAGCCTGCTCCAATCCGAAGGAAGCGAAATCGCTGCCTGCCCAGATCGTAATGCACACCAGGGATCCATTCCTCGTGAATGTTGGACTTGGAGTGGTCCTTTCTGCTCGCGAGGCAGGGCTGGAACACCCAAAAGCGATCATGCAGCGAAACCAAGTGATACACCTCCTCCACGACGGAGGATACGTTTTGGTCGTAGAACTCAGGCCAGTCGAGCCCGACGCCCCCCGTGAAAGTTGGAATACCCAGCGAGCCTACGGTGTCGAACAAGCCCATGAACCGAACGGGGGCGCGGCGGGGCGGTTCATCCTTTCCTTCGTCGCCGATCAAGGGCCAGGCATGCCGCGCGCGAAAGTTCACCGACTGTTCTGAATGTGGCTCATTGACGTGATAACGAGAGCGGTACAAGCGATAGACCTCGTCGCAGAGCAGATCTGTCTGGGCGTCTGTCGCACGCTTCCGGACGATCCCGCAGTTGTTGATCATCCCAGCCACGCACCTCACCGTATACGCGCCGCGGCTGAGCCCAAAGAGCAGGACCTCGTCGCCCTCGGTGTAGTGATGCACGATGAACTTGTAGGCGGAGATGCACTCGGCCGCGAGGTCCTGTGCGGTCACACCATTGAAGAGGTAGTCGAGGAACGTGCTGTTGAGGCCAACACCATGGCGGTAGCGCGCAGCAATGGTATCCGTGGTCAAGGTGTATTCGTCTTCCACATTCAAATTGTCAATAGGGATGCCGAAAAACCTGGCGAGATGGTAAATGTTGGACTGCGTGCCAGTCTCCCGGCCGCACCAAGTACCGTCGCTCATGACTATGATGCGTCGCATGGTTTTGGGGAATCTTGGTCGCTTGATTGAGAGTATGCGTTCAAGTCAATTTCGAGGTACATGTAGCTTATTAAAAAAAACAGGGCGCATCACAGCCATATTAGTACGCAAATGAAATCAGGGCACGGGTCATGTTGTCTGAGATTCAAGACATTTCATGCCTCTAACGACCTAGATCCAAAGTGGCTGCGGTAATGTGACCCAGCTTTCGCCATCGCAGCTGACATTGAATGTTGCAGAAAGCTAAAATGATTAAGCCTCAACGCCACTTGTCTCACCTGCACTAGCCAAGCGTTCATGTCTCTAGCGTTCCCTCTTTTCTGTACCGCGGCAATCTCTAGCCAAAGGTTCAACCTGCGGAAACTCATCACATTAGGGGTTCATGACACCTGACAATGTCCAGAACGCCAAGGTCATCCGCACCGCCCATGACCATTGAGAATTATGGTTTATACCACTCAAAAGGAGACCGACACATGGTGTGGCTCGTCACGGTCTACTAAACTTACAATAGTGCTGTTTTAGTTCTGTGAATCGTACTGCCGATGTGTCTGTGCTCGTATCTAACTTTATACTATTCGGAAACGACTACTCCCTACAGGCGGCGGGAAAGACGACACGTCAGACTAGACTATGTTAAGGCGAGAGAGTAGGTGGAATGATAACACGAATGTTGAATTCAATACATTTAGATCAATGCCAGCTCCCGTATCACTAGGCACGCTTATGCCCTTTGATCGGACATGGGAGTGCTGCTGCCCAGTATATACTTGTAGGCCAAACTATAGCTTCCCCTAGTGTTTCACCTGAAATCCCTTCCTTACACGAAATTCATCTGAACAAGGGGCCATTTCGAACCTTCAAATTTCTTCGCCTTAGTGAGTCTGCACGTAAATCTCAGACGAGCCGCTGCTTTGGTAGCCCTCCGTCGCCACAATCTGGTAGTAGTGCGAGCCCAGATTCATTCCGTGGCTGGCCCAGGCGTTGAAGTGGTTTTGCATAGTCACGGAGCCTCCGACGCGCTTGCTGGTGCGGACGGACCAGTACTGCTGGAAAGTGCGGGTGCCATCGATGGAGGGCTGGTTATAGCGGGTGGACACGTAGATGTTGTAGGTTCCGCCGTCGGTGTTGACGGTGCCGCGGTACGAGGCGCCGTTGCTGGGGTTGTACGTGCCGTACGATTCAATCACGTAGTACTCGACGAGGGGGTTGCGCGTCCAACCGTACACTGCCAGGTAGCCGTTGCCGCTGGGGTTGAAGGAGCCACCGTAGTTGATGGTTCTACCGCCATGAGTACTGCTCTGTATCACCCTCGGTGATGTTCTTGGAAGCTTACCGGCCATTGCCTGGGTTCCAACCCTTGCCTCCGACAAAGTTGCCCGTGTCACGCCAGGTTACGGCATACTGGCTGCCAGCGCCCATGGTGTACTGGGCGTAACCGCCGCCGTCAGACCACCACGAGTAGTAGTAGCCATTGTGGTAACCCTCGCTGTTGCCTGTGGTCTGGCGGGCTTCGAGAGTGCTCGTAGCGTTTCCGTCGTCCTCAATTTCGTCGAGGAAGTCGAATGGGCGGCCCAAGACGCCGACGACGGTCGCCAGAGCGAGGAAGAGGGACTTGAATGCAACCATGATGTCTTGGTGTCGAAGACGAGTTCTGGGAAGCTGTCTGGGTTGGGAGATCGTCTCAAGTGGCAGTGGACATTTCGGCTGTTTATATATTTCTTCGTCCGTGTCAATTACTCCTCATAGTACCTATTACACAAAGCTTATGAATCCTCAGAGCAAAGGCTGTAAGAAACACGCCTCATCAACCCACAAACCACCATATCATCCGCAATACTAGTGTAATATTGCTTCGCAAGTCAACTTCCGAACTCATAGCGGAATAGCATATCTGCATTGTATACGTAGCTTAATATTTGCATTCCGGCTAAAATCGACAATCTCAATGTGGAAACACCGTCGCTTGGCTGCGATAGCTCTCAGCAGGTCCCAATCGTGGTGGAAAGTTTTGCCAATGCTATGCCACCCTCAAAAGGCCAAGCCATAGGTCTGGACCTTAATCTTATGCCGGCAGACAGGATGGCCGTGCGGAGATGCAGGCCGTTTTCATATACGGAGGACGGCGTCAAAAGTTTTTAGTCGCGCTAATTCTACATATCGACGTAAATAGCTAGTTTTAGTGTAAATTTACTAGCGCCGTTCCCCGCCCCTCGACGTACTTATTTCTACCCGCTAATTCAATAACCTTCTAAATATACCTCGGGATACGTTTAATCTACCGCTATATCTACTCTTACGGGAGGTCTTTCTAAGCCTTTTCCTACCTCGTGATAGCTTCCTTTCGTATACGCGGCGCACCCTTCTTCGTAGTATACCTCTTTATCCACGGCTAGGTAGGCTCGATTATATTAAGGTCCGGCGAGTTACCGGGCTAAGGAAGGCGGCGCGCGCCTTCCTAATCGAAGACTTAGTATTAAAGAGAGTATAAGTATACCAGAGCCTTATCCTCTTAAATTAATATACCTAGCCGGCTAGTAGCCTTATATTCTTTCGCGAAAGGAATTAACTTCGGCGTTAAGATAATCTTCTAATAACGCTATTAGTCGATACTACCTTTACCGCCTCTCGTAAGCTTCCCGGTCTTTTTAATCTATCGCTATTATAGTACGCGGCCGGGGGCTTTACCCTCGCGAAGCTTTATACGATTTATACTAACCTCTAACTCCTATATCTTCCTTACCTCTAGCTCGAATACTTTATTTAAAGCCTTAAGTTCCTTCTCGGAGGCTTATTTCTCTTAAGTAATCTCTAAGTACTAATAATAGTAAGGACTTTTCTTATCGTAAGAAAAGTAGCCCTAGAATATAAACTTAGAAGACCCTTTCTATCGCTTACGGATATAGCTCTTATTAACCTTCTCTTTAAGCGTTCGCTAGATCCGATAACCGCCGCGGCGATATAATAATATTATAGAGGTCTCGTCGGACTAAATTACCTTCTTCTAATTATTAAGGCTCTAATCCTTCCTTTCGAGGTATTATTTAAGCTATTCTTTCTTTATCTTCTATATTAGACTAGGCTTCCTCGTAGGCTTAGTCTTCCGGAAGCTAGCCCTACGGAGTATTCGCCGGATCGTCGTAGCCGATATCTCGATACCGAAGTAACTAAGATCGCTAGTAATATTAGCATAGCTTTTCTCTCTTCTATATCGATCGCGGCGTATAAGCTTTAAGACCTCTTTTTTAATAACGGTCTACTTAGAAAGACAGCTAGAACGAGGGTTATCGGTAAGGAGGGCGTCTATAAGGACGATCGGCTAGATAGTAAGGTCGAAGCCTCGCGCTATAGCGCGGGCAAATATCGTATTAATTATACTCTTACTAACGCCTATAAAGGCTATTACCTCGATAGTAGTCTTATTCGAGGCCTTAAGGCTTATAATTATAGCCCTTATTATAATATCGGTATACGGTATCTTCACGGTCGGCTTCAAAAGAAAAAATAGTTATATTTTATTAATTATAATAACGTTCGATAGTGAGGGGAAAGTCGGCCTAGTAGATTTATACTTAATATAGTGCAAAAATTCCATGGGTCTAGCTAATCCCTGATCTTCTAGCGTCTTGGCGACCAAAAACTTTTGACGCCGTCCTCCGTACAGCGTGCTCAACCTACCCCTTGTCAATCCACGAGTGGGAATAACACATCACGGTACATCTCATTTCGATTAAACCCAAAGGTAATTGAAAGGAGGCCCCTAGATGCAAGGAATTTTTGCGTCTTAACCCTACCAGGGATCCTTTGATCTCCGATTTCGACCCCCGGCGGCCGAGCAATGCTGGCGAGGATCGCACGTGCAGTTAATATATCCTGCATAATACCTGCCGCTTCCCCAGAAAGAGAACTTAGGCTAAATCTACGGGTCCAGCCTCTGGCAGTTGGTGCGCACGATTTGATTCGCTGTGCTACCTGATGTCACGATGTGACAAGGGCCACGCCTAGACTTTGATGCGGATGAATACCAACTTCCAAACAAGGTGGTGCATTTCCCCGCCTTGTTTTGCGCGGTTGAAGTTGAGAAAGATATCGCAGCTTGCGCTGAGTGATGGCAGTCCGGCGGCGAGCAAAAGGAAGAGGAGAAAGTGGTGCCCGTGCTCAGGGTCGTGTGACGCTCGATGCATGAGGGCTGCCTCTTTTAGGCATTTCCGATAGTGCCATGGAGACTGAATGTAAAAAGGAAAGCTTGCGAAGAATACAGCCTCTCAAGAGCTTCTCGTGCCGCGCCGAGCATGGCGCATTTCTTCCCCCAACATGCCATTTCCATCCCCTAGTGTAAGTGCTCGCGTCTGAGGGATTCTCCCCTTGAAAAGCAGCAGACCCAACGGTGTTCGCTTTGTTTGAACCGCAGTGCAAGGTGATAGTTGAGCCGTTCGTCCGGCTTCTCGGTGGAATAGGCATGTCAGCGGGAGAACCCGCGTGGTCCAGTACACGGTGGCTGGACTCTAAGAATGACAGAAGGTTGCGCGTCAGAACGTTGTTACCGACGTCGAAAGAGGACTGGACATGTGATCAACGGGAGATATCACACCAATTGCAGATGTATGAGCTGGATACTCGGCTACCTAGGTCGTCTTTTCAAAAATCACTAGATCGTAGAGCGAGAATCGTCTTAGTTTTAGCGTCAGCGACGAATTTCGGTCGAGGAGCTTTTCCGACGTCGAGAACAAGTTAGAAAAAAACGACATTTCTTGTATGCGGGTGGCCTCGCAAGCATCCCAATTCTTATATGTAATAATCTAGCCATAATTGTCTTTGGAAACTGCGAGATTGCGCAATCAGGAGGACAGGACTCGACGGGACGTAAAACTTTCTACGATATGTATGTTTCGAGTCACAGTGCTGGTGCTTTCATGTTAACCCCTTGCGTCTAGGGTATCTCACGAATCACCGATAATCTGCAGAGCACACCTGGGCCCTGGGCCCTGGCATACATGTAGGCATCGACTCTCACTCCACCCATGTCGGGACTCGGGAGTACCGGCTGCTCCCGCAACAAAAAGAGAGCCATGATTTCTGGCGCCCTCGACTCTCCTATCCGTGTGACTCTGCCTCAAGAGCCGGGTGCCGGCGCCTTCGCTTGCTGGCGGATCGCGAATTGGCGGCAAAGGCAAGGCAACAACGTCCACACCGGCCCCTAGCTTGTGCAGGAGAATGTCTAGTTCAGCCGCTTCCCTTTTCAGCTATACTCCTTCTTGAGGTAGCTCGGTCAGCACATGCACGGAGGCTGGCAGAAATGCATTTCTCGAACTGTTTCTCCTGCTGGTCATCAAAGCCATTGGCACCCCCTCCCGGCTGCCGACAGCGGTACCATCACCTTGGGGACCATCTGTCAACTCTCCATTGCTCACAGTGTTCCGGCGGGCACGAAACAAGATCAGGTACCGATAACCGATGGAAGAGACGGCCATAAACAATCCTGCGCCGCCCCAAATCACCAGCCCGAAGAATATTCCTTCGGGGTTTGGCGAAGGCGAGAACATACCAATGCCACCCATCAGGGCAAGTCCAAATGCGAAAATCAACAAAAGAACTTTTGCAATTCCTTGCGATGTCTCGGTAAAGGCGAGATATGTGTGCTTTGTGTTGTACTGTAGCCTACTATTGAGCTCTGAAGTCTTGTCGTAGAGCAGAAGGGCGGCAATGAACAGGGTGGCAAGGACGGCTAGAATGGAGAAGACGGCAAAGAAATCAAACAAAAGCGGCCCCAGGTCTTTGAACCGTGCCTGCATGGAGAGTATGCCAGCAGACAGTGACAGAGGCAAGAAGATTGTCGCCAGGATGGTCAGCTGTCTGACATTGTCTGACTGCCTCCTTTCCCTAGTCGTGGTGAGTAGATCCGTCTTATGTTCGACCCCGTCCGCCATTTGCTCTAGATGAGTCCAGGCTTCCCGGATAGAGCCTTGAATTTCAGCCGAGATGATTGCAGACGCTGTTGTGGTGTTTCCTTGGGCTGCCAAAGTGACATCTAATGTAGATTCCAGAGTGGCTCTCATTTCAGCTCCCACGCGCTTCAGGTCGCGTAGGAAGCCACTGTCTCGCCTCAACTCGTCCATTTTCCATCGAAATATGCGCTGTTTTCCTGCAGGCCCATGGAGAGCGCACATTCGAGGTTCGAGGAAGTGGACGGAGAACACCCCGAGGAACGCGGCAAACAGATTGAGGTGAGCGTGGTATACCTGGAGGAGAAACCACTGCCTGCCGTTCGGACTTGAGCGCATAGGCGAGTACATGCTATCAAGCAGCTGCATCTCCCGCAAGAAGCGGGCTGTAAAGGCGTCGTCTGGGCTGCTCGCAGCTTGTTGGGATGCGTCGACACGGAAGAAGGTTGAAGAGAGGGGAACGCGGGCACACTGAACGACAAGTCCTGCCAGGTATGTTGTCAGAAGGGCCGGACGCATTCAGCTCGTCAGGCCACAGCACATGGCGAGGCTCACCTGTAATTTCACCATGCCCGGAGCTCTCGATTCGTATTTTTCTTGTAATGAAAGCCATGAAAGGGATCGGGATGTTGTACCACGAGTCGGAGGCGTTGCGCCGGGATTTGGGACGCGCCATGCCGATCAGATGGAATTCTTTCAAGGTGCACCAATTCTCTTCCTGCGGGCGGCGCCATTGATGCGAAGCAGCACGGAACCCCAGAGAGGCCGTAGCTGGCATCACCTCTGGCGACTCGGCACTGGGCTCTGCGAATAATGCCAGCTCAGCCTGAGAGAGGTGCGGCTGGACGGTCGCATGGTCATCCACGCTCCCAGACACGGTCCTCGAAATCTGGATCCGGCGGTAGTGAAGCTTCTTCCCAGGCTCAGCATCCATGATGGCCTTGGCGGCTGTGAATATTGCTTGCGACAGTGTAAGCAGTGTGCGGGGGCAGAAGGTCAGAATCCATGTAGTTTCCTATGCCTCAGTGATTTTCTCTGTCGCAGTTGAACCAATGTGCGGAATCACATTATCTTCATCGAGGTGTGCGTAGGTGTAGCTTCCATTGGCAGAAGATGTGAAGGTGGGTGCGAGATCACGTCGAGACTAGAGCCACAAGATCTCCGCCTCCATCTCATCTGGCTCAAGATGACCCCAACTGTTCCAGGCCTTCACTCGGTTTCAGCCGGGATTGTGCTTATCAACGTTGGCGGGGATGGACCACGGGCCACAGGGACCCCTGCGAGGCGGACGAGAAGCGCCGTATTTTCCCATCTGAACAACAAGTTACCGCACCTTACCATCAAGAAACGACGTGAGTGGCCGCTTCATGTCTGGCAGACGAAAACACCAGGGTCCTGTCCAATATATTGAGGCCAGTTGGCCACTCACTTGCACCTTCTTTCACCACGCGCATCACGTTGGGCAGTGGAGGACATCTCTCAGCTGCCAGTGTGCCTACTACTACGCCTTGCTCGCGACAAACATGCTGCAGTGGAATCCAACGTCATCCACGAGAGGTTGATGGTGCTCGACATAGCCCTCGTGCCGTTTCCTTGTTTCGTTTCCTTGCCGCTTCGTCACCCAGACACGTGTGTTGAGATCATTGTCACGGAGATTGCAAACCAAGCATGTCCGATCCTCGAGACTGTTGACCATTGGCTGTATCTGCGCACTCACCACTGGATTCGTCGCCGCTCAGGCATTTCTCGATGAGAAATGCGACCACGGTGCGGTATTCAATCGTGAAGTCTGGAGAGGTGGATGGTAAAGGTTAAAGAAGTGGCCGTTCTTTGACCGTACCGGGTAGGCTCGCTCGGTGAGAATCCATGTCTGTGGGTGCCAGGGCGGCCGCAGCACATGTACTCATCCAACGACTGAGGATCCATCGCGGGGAGCATATTCACCAAACCTGAGAGTTTCTCGACGTGTATTCCTGCTATGGAAGAGGATATGGCGCAAGAGAATTTAAGCCTTAAACAAGCTGTATTAGTCGATCATATGCTTGTCGACGACCAACACAACTCCAGGACGATCCGTACTCGCGATGCGATGATCTATGAACGAAATACCAACTGCATTCTGTATCCGATGATGCTTTCCTGTAGGCCTCTGCGGAACAACTTTGCCGGGAGCTCGATAACCCCTTGAGCGGTTCCGAGGTCATTTGATCTTGGACCCGAGTATCTCGATGCAGCACGGAAGGAATTCGCCTGGAGGCTTCACGGCGACGAGGGGGTCAACCTCGTGTCAGGCGGCTCATTGGCATCTAGAGGATGACAATTGCAGAGGATAGTGTGATGATTCTAGTGAAGCCAAGACGGACGGGTGCCGTTGGAAAAGGGGTCGACTTGGGTCAGTCACATCAACTGTTGTCCGGGTCTGGGCCTTTCTGGATGGCATCCGACGTAACTGATTCAAGTATAGAGAAGGCTGTATATACACAATTGTAAGGCTCAACAGCCACATACGAGCAGACCCAGTGGAAAATACGGTATCGCGTCTAGTTCTTCCCTTCCGTGGAATACCTTCTATTACTAGAGGTTGGTTCTTCAGAGTTCGAAACAGGCGACCTCCAGCACCGGATGTTATTAAATAAGCACATACCGAGATAAAATTACTCATTACGGCGGCAAGAACATGTTCTTCAACAACGGTATGTGGCAGACCGCCTATTACACAAAGGCCATCAAGCCCATCAAGAGGTCAGATTGTAATACTTCGTGCCCCTTAAGTAAGGTCCATGTGGCCCTCGACACGCCGGGATGCAAAAACGACTGATATTTCTTTCTAATATATTGATTCCCGACTAATATGCATGTAACAGTATGATCCGCCTTCGCGACTTGACCTTAGCAACAGTGTCTTTAACGAGACTATGGATTATAGGAGCTTCGATAACTGCGGCAACATTTGACTAAGGCACTTGGCTCTCCAAATAGCTGGTAGCAATGGTCGATTTTACGACAGTAGTCTCATTTCTCACTTTAATTTTCCAAGCATGGGAACTTTTGCTAATCTTGTGCTTAACAAACAGTCGAGCACGTATTTGACGGGGACCTCATCGGCTAGTTCATGGCGGACGCCAGTGCTAGGAGGTAAGATACCGTGAACACTTCGCCCCTTCCCCTTCTCTTTAGTGTATTATTCACCCAGATCTCAATTGGAGACGGATCCTATGACTAATATTACTCTCGTAAAGACTCCCAAGTGGCGCCACCGCTATCGGGGCAGGTCGCTATCAGCTTCTTCCAACAATCTCGCATCGACCCCCGCTTCCGCTGTTCGACAGAATCATGAGTGTCCGGGCAGCTGACTGGAGATACTTCCTCGGGCCTCATGCCAGTTCTCAAGGACATCAATGCCGCCAAGACTGCTTAACGCACCATCGGAGCTCACCTGTGCTACTTGTCACTATCCTTTCTAGCCCATGTCGCCTGCGCTCGCGATCCCGCGGCCACACTGCTCACCTCTAATATATTCCATGAACTCCGTTTTGTGGAGGGGCACGTCTGTGTATATCTGCTCGATAATGGTTTGGACTGGAAGCCATGATCGGGGCCCAGGCTGTCGAGTTGGTACTTGGTGGCGGGTCTGCGACCTCTGGCGGTGACCCCGGCGTGTTGCATGTCGCTGACTTGTGTCGTTGGATATCGTTGGACCTTGGATGTGGCCCTGGCGCAGGGGATGTCCAATTTGGGTATCCGCCGAAGAAAGAGACTGGCAGGCTCGATGACAACACGGGTCACTTGCGCTTGGCCCTTTGCCTTCTCGGGCCTGTCAACCGAGCCAAGAATTCCACTTGGCGAATCTTCTTACCACACTTTCCTATTTCTACATAGTATGTGAACGCGTAGGGACCTGGAGGCAAAACGAGGCTGCGCGCGCCAAGTGCCCAGACGGCCTGTGAGCTTGAGCTGTCTCATCCGACGAGCCACCCCCTCTTTCCAGCCTCATTGCCTCTTGGCTTGGGGTTTCCACGGCCTATCTAACCTGTTAATGAATAGTTTTGGGGCGAGTTTAGAAGCAGGTTGACGTGGTCTAGATGGCCTTTCCGAGTATGAATTGAATTTCTAGTCATTATGGTCAATAATCTCCACATGTATACATGCCATCGAGGTTAGGAGACGAGGCAAAAGAAGGAAACGCCAAGAAAGGCGGGCGCGCGTGTGGAATGGGGATAAGCGCAAATTAGCCTCCCGGGAAACGGACCGGCAACTTATGCTTACTGCGTAGGTCGCATAAGCGTCCATGTCAGTAACCTTAAAACGGTGGGCTTAACTAAATTTAGTTGCACTCATTTTGCCTAGCAGTGACAGGCCCGTGTATCCCTGATCGTCGTTCCAGTGGCCGGGTCCCATGTCCGCAAACGAGCCAAACATAAACCATGAACACCATTGAATCTTGGTTTACCTGCCAATGCTAGTAACTTTCGTTCGGGGAGAATGCAACCCTCGCACGCGTTGGGGGCCCGGGGGGGGGCACGTAAAAAGACGAACTTTGATTGGAGGTGTCAGGGGAGGGGCAACGGGGTGGATAAATCGCGTCTGGGTAATATGGCGGCATATCTACTTGTGGTGATGGCTAAAAGGTGGTAAAAGTGGTTATGATGAAGGTGGTGGTGGTAAGGACAGAATCTGCCCTTTAGCGAATCTAGCTATCGATGTGTGATGGGGAGCATGATCGCCCAATGGTCTGGTCCCTGGATGATCAATAAATATCTCTACATGCCCACGCCTCAACCCCAGACTTCTTCGTTTCCTTTTGCTTTCTTATCCCTTTTTCATCAGGCCATTTTTGCTTTGGCCTGCGCTTAATTTTGTCCTCCTTTGGCCTCCAAGGCGAACACAAACAATCGCAAGCTATGAAGTTCCTCAAAGCTTTCAAGGGCACACAGCCCAATCACGCGAAGGCTGAGGCCCTTGCCCATGCTCAGGAGGAAGCTCCTAAATTCGAGCATGTCAAGTGGACCAGCGACCCCGGTCTTCGCACCCTCTACTGGCATTGCTTCGTTCTGCTCGTCTCGTCTGCCTCTACTGGTTTCGATGGGTACGTTATGACTCTTCAATATGCCATCGGTATACTGACCCTCTCCTCCTTAGCATGATGTTCGGCTCCGTGCAGAACTTCGATTCCTGGAAAGAATTCTTCGACAATCCCAGCGATGCTAGACTCGGTCTCCTGGGTGCTTGCTACCAGATTGGCTCTGTCTGCTCCATTCCTTTCGTTCCTTTTGTTGCCGATCGTTGGGGCCGTAGGCCCGCTCTCGCTTTTGGTTTCTTCCTGATGACCGGTGCTGCTATTATTCAAGGTGCCTCTCAGAACTGGGCGAGTATGTATTGAGTTCACATGACCTTTTCGACACTACACAGTTGACTGACATGTTCCTCTAGCCTTCCTTGCTGGGCGTGTCTTGCTTGGCTTTGGCAACAGTTTTGCCCAGATGCCCTCGCCCATGCTGATATCCGAGCTCGCACACCCTCAGCACCGAGCTAGGCTTACTACCGTCTACAACTGCCTCTGGAACGTCGGAGCTGTTGTTGCTGGATGGACTTGCTTCGGAACCAACTACTGGCCGAGCCACTGGTCGTGGCGTCTACCTTCCATCTTTCAGGGTACTCCGTCTTTCTTCCAGCTGATTGCCCTCTGGTGTAAGTGAACACCCGGAACAGGTATTCGTCTTTATAGCCCGCTGACATGTGTATAGGGATTCCCGAATCCCCTCGATTCTTGATCGCCAACGACCGTTACGACGAGGCCCTGAACATCCTTGCCAAGTACCATGCCAATGGCAATGTCGACCACCCGACTATTCAGTTTGAGTACCATGAGATCCGCGACACTATCAAGCTGGAGCAGACTGCCAATGAGAGCAGCAGCTACCTTGACTTCTTCCGCACCAAGGGCAACCGATACCGTCTTGCTATTATTGTCTCCATGGGATTCTTCTCCCAGTGGTCTGGCAACGCTATTGTTTCCAACTATAGTGCTATTCTTTACGCTAATGTTGGCGTTGCGAGCTCCACCGCGCGTCTTGGTATCTCTGCCGGCCAGTTCACCCTGGGTGCCATTGTCTCCATTTCCTTTGCCCTTCTGGTTGATCGCTTTGGTCGTCGACCAACCTGGTTGACCTCAACTGGTGGTATGTTGGCCTGCCTTGTCTTCTGGACAGTCTGCTACGGCATCTATGAGCAGTACGATCAGCAACAAGCCACAACTGGAGTTATCTTCTTCATCTGGCTGCATGGCTTTTTCTACTCTATTGCTTGGTCTGGGCTGCTCATCGGTTACGCCATCGAAATTCTGCCCTATTCTTTGCGCGCCAAGGGCATGATGTTGATCAATATGTGCATCAACGGCTCCCTCGCGCTCAACAATCAGGCTAATCCCATTGCCTTCGCTTACTGGGAGGGTGAGACCTGGAAGCTCTACACGATCTACTGTGTAAGTCCCGCTTGGCTACATACTTGCAACTAATGAGTGGTGCTAATAATGAATGACAGTGTTGGGTCCTGTTTGAGTTTGTCTTCATCTACTTCTTCTACGTTGAGACAAAGGGCCCGACCCTGGAGGAGATTGCAAAGGTCTTCGATGGTCCGGACGCGAAGGTTGCCGCCATTGATTTGGGCAAGGTCAAGGATGAGGATCAAGCCCAGGATGAGCAAGACGAGAAGCACGTGGACCAGAACGCTTCAATTGAGGTAAGCAAGGTCTAGTGTCTCAGGGAGCTAGGATCTTTCTCTTTCTTTTCTTGCCCCCCGAAGATATCGCCACTCGTTCGAAGCAGTTATCTAGGCGAGACAGCCCCACGATGGGTGGTTCTCAGTCACTGTCCCTAAGGATTAGTGTGGACAAGCCACCCCGTAAGAAGATATTCTATTTCTCAATTTTTAACTGTCATAAAGGCTTGTGATGAGCGTTACTCTCACATACGACCATACCTAGTGGAAAATACGGGATCCCGTCCGCTCTCCCATAGTCAAGCCGCTAAGGGGCTGATTAGTAGTTGGGTCGGTGACGACCAGCGAATACCGGCTGTTGTATGTTTTTGTCTTTTTGCTATTCATAGTGAAAACATTCATTCGCGTGGCGGACTATTTGGGCAATCCCTCGCGTCAATGACAGCTTCGTCTGCACTCCAAATGTGCATGTTTCGACGATATCGCTCCAATCCTCAAGCTGTGACGAAATCGCCTCGCCGGTCTTTTCGAATTAGGTTTGAGTAGTCTGGGTGACTTTGTGAGTTTGGAAGTAGAGGTCCAATCTAGAATAATTTAGCGTCGAGTTTGAACACTCCTTTTGTCCATGGATAGGATCATACGATGCAACGCCTAGCGGCACATGCAGGACAGTCACATGCCGACGAGCATTCTCACATCTTGCGGACGTCAGGGCCATTGACATTTCTACCGCAAGAGAAGCTCATTAATGCTCATTCAGTAAGTTTCTCATTATCTTCATCTCCATCTCCACGAGTGGCATCAGACGCAAATCCCAACTGCACAGTCAATGACTGAAAAGTATCTTCGGATCTCGCCGACACGCTCCCCCGCTGATAAGCCCAGCTAGACCTCTCCTCGCGCCCTGCGTGATGAACAGTCCAGCGATTTGCGACTTTCAACACCAACTGCTTGCACTTGTGATCCACCTTCACCATGTCTTTGAGTCAAACTGAACCCCCTCGGACCACCCTCCGGCTGGCGTCCGGCAACGGCCCCATCACCCGGTCCGTCCTCCGCAGTCCACTCCGTGACGCCCAACCCGCCGAGATCCCCGTCATCGACGTGACGGGCGCCTTCAGCTCGTCCTTGGAGGACCGCAAGGCTGTGGCCGCCCAGATCCGTGACGCGGCCACGACGTTGGGCTTCTTCTACATTACCAACCATGGCATCCCCACCGAGGTCACCGATGGCGCCTACCAAGCCTGCCTCGACTTCTTCCGCCAGGATGCCGACGTCAAGATGGACGCCTGGGAGCGCAAGAGCCGTTACTTCAACGGGTACAAACCCCCCGGCTCGCAGCGCATCAACAAGTCGGAGAGCATCGACTGCCGCGAGACCTTTAGCTGGACGTACGACCCTCGCTACGACCCAGACGTCCACGACGTCGACGCCATCCCTGACGTCGCGAGACGATTCCTCCGCATGGAGGACTTTCACTGGGACGCCACAGCCAACAAGCCGCACTTCAAGGAGGCCATTGTCAAGTACTGGCGATCATGCCTCGCCCTCGCGCGTGTGCTCATACGGTCCTTTGCGTTGTCTCTCGACTTGCCCGAGGACTACTTTGATTCCAAATTCACATATCCCGACGCGGCCCTCGCTCTGAATTACTACCCGCCTCTTCCTGCGCCGCCATCGTCTGGCGAAGACGACGCGCAGACGCAGGTGTCCATCGGTTCGCACACCGACTTTCAGCTCTTCACCATGCTCTGGCAAGACAACGTGGGTGGCCTACAAGTGCTCAGCCGCGAGGGTCAGTGGCTCCGCGCCGTGCCCATCCCAGGCACGTTTGTGGTCAATATAGCCGACTACATGCAGCGCATCACCAACGACCGGTACGTGAGCACGGTGCACCGAGCGCAGAACTGGAGCGGACGGGAGCGCGTCAGTATGCCCTTCTTCTTTGGCTTTGGGCTGCATGAGAGCTGTGCGGTCGTGGAGAGCTGTGTTGGGGAGGGTGAGAGGCCACGGTATGAGGAGATTGGGTGCGATGACTGGGTGAAGAGGCGGGCGCGCGCTATGCACAAGGTTGGCTCGGATGATGAGGATGATGGGTAGGGTCTGGTCGAGGCGCTTCAATATCGGGTCAGGAATGGATACTGTGTCTGATATCTTCTGTGTGTGTCTTGGTCACCCACTGCTGCCATACGGGTGCATTGTCCTGTGATTTCTCGCCATCACTTCCCACCTCTCTGCGACCCCTGCATATAGCCTACCCGGGCCTTGTCGTCGAACTAAAAAGTAGGATTGATATTCGAGAACTTGAGAAGCGTGCTGTGCGCCTTGACGGAACCAGCTATCGCTTCCCACTCGGCCGCCACCTCGGAAGCCCATTCATGCCTCCTCTCGTCGATTGCATCCCCCCATAGCCGGTTCCAACCGCTGAGATATGGCTGGCCAAGAGCCATGGCAGGCTTGTTGTCCGCATATACCAGAAACTCATGCCTCACAGTTCCGCGACTGGTAGAGCCACTCCACTGCATTCGTGCGACGCCCACGACGACATGGATACCATTCGGATACAGCGAGATCCGCACGGGTCCATGGGTACCACGCTCGCGTATCTTGAGGTCCAGGTCCCGTGCCGTCCTCAAGCTGATCAGATTGAACTCCAGACTGGGGTCCAGGATCGCGTTGACAGGTCTTGCCGCCTCATGCAGGCCTGGCCTTGATACGTAGGCGGTCACCCGCTTACAGGGCTCCACGGGAACTATACAAATGTCCTTGTCGGGTATAGTTTTGATACGCGATTTCCTTGCGGCAGATAACCCTTTTGTACGCCTGCCAGAATCATTGCTTCCGACCACGGTGGGTGACTGTGCCATGGTAGTCGCAGAAAGGGGGTCAATTATTGCACCGCCGACTCGATTCGCATTGTGCTCCTGACGTTCCCTAGGATCTTCGAGTCCAGATTTATCCCCAGTAGTGTCTCTGCTCCTCGTCCCTAGGGGATCAGGGTGGCGGGTCGTGGCGTTCGACTGCGCTGGCCCGGCATCACTTTGGCTGATCCGGTCCGCCATCTTGAGCAAAGTGTGCATCGCGGATTGAAATCTTGCATTTGGCATGTCGGGAAATATGTCGTACATTTCGGCCGACCGTGCCTGTATCTTGGCTTGTCGCTTGAGATTCTTCAATTCCCGCCGCAGCCGCTTGCTGTCACACAAGATTGCATAGGTCAGGTCACTGTTTCGGTTCCGTGGCATCAAATTGTGCCACATCGGACTGAAGAACTGGACGTACTTTTCTGATTCCAGTCGCTTCTTGAATGTCAAGTCGGCTGTGTTTCGATAGTCACGCATATTCAGGTCTAGTAGGACGTTGTTCGTGATAACAAGAAGACTGGTCTGTATCTGTTCGACGGCCTGGCGGTGGCGGTCGAGCTCTGGTCGTAGATGAAGTAGCCATCTGTATGATTCCAGAAAGCTGACTCTTGTCTGAATCTCTTCGTTCAGGGCCGGCGCAAGCTCCTTTTGGCGCTTCGTGAGGTACGTGGCCGTGGCGTTGATGGATCTCAGTGTCTTGTCTTTTTGCAACTGGCGGAAGACAGGCAGCTCCCCGTTCTCTGCCAGCTGCTCCTGCAGGCTCTGAATGGAAGATCGAATGGCGGTCGCGGCCACGCGCAGGCCGTCAGCCGCGCAGCGCATCTCCTGACCGACGATCTTGCGACCACGCGCCGCCTTGTAGATGCTCCTGGAAATCCTGAAGAGCTGGCCACCGAGTTCGTCCAGCGGGAAGAGACTCATGCCCAGTCCGGCCATCTTGACGTCTTTTGGAAGGGGGAAACAAACATGGTCTGGACGATGGAGATGCCCGCGCGACAGCCAACTTATCAGGGTCGACCTGCAGAATGCGCATGCACCTGGTGATGCAGCTCGCACACAGGCGTCCAGGCTGTGAAAAACAACCGAGAGCAGCCATTGGACGGGTCATTGCGCCTTCTGCATTGGCTATGTTTCTACGTGTACGTGAGCCTCCTACGTCAACCTGGAAGAACGCCTGCAGGAATGGGGGCTCGGGAGAATGGCGGTGCTACCAATGGGTGGTCTTCTCGATCGCGGCTATGTTGAAAGGGAAAGCCATTGTAATGATAAGGAGAATGTGGACTTGGCTGGAGGTTCACGAAATGTAGGAAACTCGGTATGTCGTCGAACAGAGGATCACGATCAGCGCAAAACTCACGATATGTAGCACGACACAGGCTTGGTTCCCATCAATATCAGTCTATCCTTCCTCGTTGACTGAGATGATCTGTCCATTTACAGTACACTTTGACGCTTCGTAATCCTCACAGGAAAGTCCTCAATAAGCCAAATCCCCTGTCCTCGTTAGTACACCGCGACAAAAGGGCCTTTGGAGTAACGTACCGCATTCTGAATATGGACCGGTCGCTCAGGTCGCGTCAGAGCAAAGTCGAAACGTCTCATGAGCTAAGCAGTCGGTCAGTCCATGGCCTACCCGAAGACAAACGGCATCCTACCTCGACAAACACCTTGTTCAGCTCCATGAACGCCACGGACTTGCCCAGGCAACCCCATTTCCCGGCCGAGAAGACGAGGTCCACGACGCTCGCCATGGTCGCCACGCGCTCCTTGTCGGCGTCCAGCCAGCGCTCCGGGAGGAACAACTCAGCGTCGTCCCCAAAGATCGTCTTGGAATGATAGATGGCAAAGGGGGATGTGCCAATCTGTGTGCCGCCAGGGATAAACTTCCCGTCAATCATGTCGCCCTCGGGGGGCACCTGCTTGAAAAGGGGACCGGCGGCTGGTGCCCTGATACGTAGACCTTCCTTGATGGCGGCCTGGAGATACGGCAAATTGCGCGCCTCGGCATCTGTGATGGGGGAGGAGATGGTGCCGGCTTGGACGCCGCTGTCAATCTCCTCCTGTAGCTTCCTGTACGCAGTCGGGTTGCTCAGGATGTTCAGCATCATGAGGCGGATGGTGGTGGCGGTGGTGTCGCTGCCGGCGACGACGTTGAGGAGGGACTCGCGGGAGGCCTCGTCCTGCGTTAGACCGTGGCGGATAAAGGAGCCCAGCATGTCGGGTTGCGAGACGGCATCTTGCTCGAAGCGCTCTGCGACCTTTTTGTTTGCTACCCTAGTGGCATGTCAGCAGATGTGTTAGAGTGCTGACAGAGGACAACCTACCCGATGAAGGCGCCAAAGCCGAGCTTGTCACTGGCCTTGGGCAGAAGGCCTCTAAACAGGGGCGAGTGCAGCAGGGACACGAGGGAGGGGATGTTGCCGGTCAGGACGGCGACGGGGAAGAAGTCGCGTGTGATCTTGATAAAGTCGTAGACGTCGGCGTCCTGCTCCATGAAGCCAAAGGGGTGGCCAAAGGCGAGGTCGCTGATCACGTCGAGGGTGAAGTACTGGATCTTGCGAGCAAAGTCGACGGGGCGGTACTGCTGGGTGGTGGACACGTAGTTGGCCTCGAGCAGGCGCACGAGGCGCGCAATGTGCTCGTCGACGGTGCGTTCCATGGACTCATTCTCCTTGCCCGAGTACTACAGAAGTCAATATCCAAGTTGCAGTGCCATATACATATGCAGGTCATTCATAGACATGCATGTGCAAAGGGGCGAATCAGCTTACACCGGCGGCCATTTTGTTCCGGATCCTCATGTGCTCGTCATCGTCGCGCTGCGAGAAGAGGTGATCCTGGCCTGCTTGGAAGCGCAGTGCATTGTACCCTGTTTGTGAGTCAGTACAGAAACGAGAATGCATAACAGCAGGCATCCGGGTCCTGGACTGCCACGTTAATGAGAGAGGCTCAGGTGCTTACATGGACCCCTCGTATATCGCGAGCGAACAGCCATCATCCGTCGCAGCAGATCTGGGTCATCGGTGGCCAGCTCGTTGGGCCCGATGCGCACGAGCGACCCTGCATTGCTGGTCAGTCGAAATTCTGACGGGAACTAACGAGGGGGTGATCTGTCGAAACACACCATATTTCTCATTCGCCTGTTGAATCGCGTACGGCTGCTCGCCTCGCAAAGAGTGCTTGACCATCCAGTACTTGGAGAAGGCAGCCCAGAATGGCCCGGGAACGTGGGAGAGGCGGTACCAGCTGCGCAGGGCGTCGACGAGGAAGACGGCTGTCGCGAGGCCCAGGGCGGTGGCCACGAGGGCTGCGGGTGACCACGAGGCATCGTCGCCTCGTGGACGGTTGTCCATTGTTTGTTTTTTTTGATTAATATGATCCGACGGCAAGGCAAGGCTGGCAGGCGGGCGCTTGTCTGTTGGCGCTTGTTGGTCGACAATGTGCCTGGAACAAGGACCAGCAGAACCGACAGGCTGGGTCAGTCTCTCGCGAGCAGCAGCAGCAAAGAAATGAGCTGACCAACAGTCCACTGCAGACAGCGTCGCAGCGACCGACGAACGAGGTCCACCGACCACGAGCCTGCCAATGGGATGTGTCGCGAGACACGGCACGAGGGACTGGCGTGTCCATAATCTCCTCCCCGGACGGCGGACGCAGCCAACCGCGGCAAACGACGACAGCAAGCCAAGGCGGCCCGAGCCCTCTTGCAAATGGCTCTGCCACGTTGGCCCGCATACGTAATTCATTCATGATTGCAATCAATTCGAGCTGGTCGCTCGCTTGCTTGCTGCCTTTGTCGGCGGATCTCCTGCTGACTACTACTTTTTGTCGGCTGTTGGTCCGTCGTCTTCTGTCGTCGGCATCCAACACACGCACACGCGCGCATCGATCGGATCAGATCCATCAGATTTGATTGATATCGATGCCCCATCTCGCCCTGCGTCTTATTTAATTGATTGATCAAATCGTTGCATGGGAACACCCCGCCAGACAGCCAGCCGGAGCAGCAATGTGCTGAGCGCCAGCAGATCCCCATTGCTGCACTGACCTGACTTCGATCCAAGATACGACACATACAGACTGGTCTGGCTGGGACAATGCCAGCGACCAACGAGCCATCGGGCCCTGTCGGTGATGCGACTGCTCGTCCTTCCGCTTCGCCTCCGCCTCAGTCATCATCATCAGCAGCAGTCGTCGTCGTGGACGATGACGATGATGTTGATGACCCAACCCTGTCCGCCAACAACCCCACGGTTGAGATCCAGGGCTCCATTGTGCGTACACGCGACTCATGTCCCTGCCCTTTGATCTGATCTGATCTGATCCGTCACTCAATTGATCAATTGAATCATGACTGGTGGAGCCAATGCTGATGACACCGTGTGCGTAGGCTGCCGACAGCGTAGAGACCGACTCGGCTCTGGGTGCTGTGAGTTGAGCCCCCCGGTCGCATGACCACCAGACTGCGACTGCGACTGCGCCTGCGACAGGGCTGAGCGCATCACAGTCGCAATACTACATGCCATACTGATCCTCACCCCAGGAACTCGCATCCTCCGTCGCGTCGCTCTCGTCGAGCATCCTCCAGTACCAGCTCGAGAACGGGCGCAGCTATCACTCCCTCAGCCGCGGCAGTAAGGCGTCCTCACTGTCCTCTTCTCGTTCCATGTTGTTGGCTGACCGCTCCCAGAATATGTGCTCCCCAACGATGAGGTAATCCTGATTCCTATGCCTCCATACATGTCCCTGTGGAATGCTGACCCTGGCCTCCCCCGCAGATGGAGAATGAACGGTTAGGTGAGTGACGCTGCGCGCGACCCTGTCTCATCACATCCCCCCGGCCAAGCACCTACGTACATACATACATACTGCACCCAAATCCTGACCATGCACAGACTTGCAACATGAATTGTACGTGCGCACCTGCCAGGGTATCCTGGCGCTGTGCCCAAAGGGACAGGGAGCGCAGCGCGTGCTGGACATGGGTACCGGCACTGGACAATGGGCCATTGACTTTGGTGAGTCTCCTATTGTCTGCTGTACTAAGTCTATCAATCGTGCTGACCTGCCCACAGCCGATCTACATCCCGATGCCGAGGTGGGTGCCCGTATCTGGAATGTCTGTCGATACATGCCCTGCTCACCAACTCTAGGTCATTGGCGTCGATCTCAGTCCCATCCAGCCAGACTTGTATGTCGACGTGCCTTTTCTTGTCAAGAAAATACTGACATGGTACATTTCAGCGTTCCCCCCAATCTCGTCTTTGAGATTGACGACCTGGAGAAGGAGTGGACATGGACCACCCGCTTCGACTTTATCTTTGCCCGCATGATGCTCGGCTGCTTCCAGGACCTCCCCGGCATGATCAAGGTCGCTTACGACAACCTCGAACCCGGCGGCTACCTCGAGCTCCAGGACATGGCCCTGCCCGCCCTCTCAGACGACGGCACCCTCGCGCCCGACAGCTACCTCGCCAAGTGGTGCAAGGCCTGCCTCGACGCCGGCGAGAACCTCGGCCGCCCCGTGTTTCCCGTCACCGAGTACAAAAACTACCTCGCCGCCGCCGGCTTTGAGGATATTGTCGAGGTACAGAAGAAGTGGCCCACCAACACCTGGCCTCGCGAGCGCGAGCACAAGGAGCTCGGCGCCTGGGCGTACGCCAACATTGCGGGGGGACTCGATGGGCTCTCGCTCGCCCATTTCACGCGTGGTCTGGGCTGGACGCCCGAAGAGACGCGTGTCTTCTGCGCCGAGGTCCGCAAGGATCTGAAGAATCCAAAGATTCACGCCTACTGGCCCATGTACGTTCCTGTCTTGCCTGTCGTCTCCTAAGCTAACCAGTCGGCCTGCCAGCTATTTTGTGTATGGGCGGAAACCACTGCGTCCACGGTATTGATGATGAGTATCCAAAATATTAGCTAGAAGCCCAGCGTTTAATAATGACTTTACATTCTATTCTCAAGATTAGGGTGACTCCATGTGAGGCGTTTATCTTGGAGCTGGACTAGGACAGGCTGCCTGCTTCAATAATTCTATCAACGTCTCGACATATATTTACAACTAACGCGACATCCTCTCTTTTACCCATGGCACCCCCCATGCTTCTTCAGCGGGTGCTCATCGAAAAAGTGCAAGATCAACGGCGTGGCATCAAACTCAGCCACCGCCCCTTCATTATCACTGTTCGTCCTCGTCGACGGCCAGTCGTGCGCAATATTCTCCGCAAGAACATGCGTCACCAGTCCCTTCTTTCTCCCCCTCCCATACCGCGTGATATACGTATTGGGCGTGTCCGCTGCCAATGGCGTCGTCTCCACCTCATGGCTAATACCATCGTTTACAGCCCACTGCTCAACCCAGTACGGTATATTCGGCAGACAGACTCCCCTCCTCGAGGCCCCGCTGTACGCGACCGTGGTGTCTTGTCCTCCGTGAAATTCCAGCATGGGGACATCGTGTCTATGCGGGTCGCAGGGGATCTCAAACTCATATGGCGGCTCGCAGACGTCGACGTCCGTGTAGAAGGAGCCGGACACGGGGGCAAACGCGGCAAAGGTGTGCGCGAGGTCGGCGTCGCATGCTAGGGTGCTGCCGACTATACCGCCGCCCTGAGACTTTCCTGTTGCATGCACGGCGTCCGTGTCGATGCAGTACGTCTCCTTCATAGCGGTGAGAATGTCCCTCGTAAAGGACTTGTCGTCTGCGTCAATGCCTGGGTCGACGGACCAATAGCGCTGCGCAAGATTAGTCTCAAGCATCTCTCTGGTACGGCTCTCGACTCACCTTGTAACATGTGTTGTCGCTTTCACAAGTCGGCCGCGGTGTGCCCTCTGGATAGACGACCATGCGGTGCGTGTTGAAGTCGGGATCTGTGAGCAGGTCTAGATCTCTCTGATTCTCAGGGCTTCGTGAACCCCCGTGATACGACAGTACCAGCGGCGCGGGATTCCCGATGGCATATTCTGGGGGCACAAACACAAGATATCGCCTGCCGTCAACTGTGGCGTTGTGGAAGCTGCCGGGTGTCTGGCCCTCGGGGAGTCCTTGCAATTGGCAGCCTGGCGAGGGCGTCCACGCTGCTGCCAGGGACGATATGGCTCCCAAGGCCAGAAATTGAAGGGTCCGCATTTTGATAGTCACTGGCGAGGGCTTCGATGTGCTCTTTGTGTGCGTGGACTGGGTGGGCTTTGAGTTAGTCGCTAATACTAGAATCGGCTCCTCATCATCCATCCTCGCACTTCTTGGGCCCAAAATCCTTCATATATAGAGATGAATCTGCATGGATCTACAGAGCACTAGATTAGCAGGTGTCGTCACTCTGCGCCGGTGGTCTGCGTGGTCTGCGCCGGTGACATGAAGCCAGACCATTCATGTTGCATGGGGCACACTACTGCACGATGCCTCTGACAGTGCTGAACGCGAGAGGGGAACGAGAGTCGAAGCGAACCACGCGACCTGTATTCCCGACGTCAATACTCGCCACATGCGACGGTATATTGCAGCGGAGCCGGCCCCTGTGTTGCGGCCATGGTGGTTGCGGGACAAGCGGCACTCGCAAGTAGGACGCGGACGCAGCGAGCAGCGAGAGGCTTCGAACAGGGAACACCAGCGGCGAATTATTACTTCTAGTGCCGTCTTCTTTGTGCTACGTACTACAATACTCACGAGTAAGCTTATGCCTCCTCCAAGGTGCATATGCATAGACGGGCATATCCGCATCTTGTCTCACCCTGTAAGACACAATCTCACTTCTCACCATACATCACACATCACACAATACGACAATGAACATGTACTCATAGAGTGGGAATCATCTCATTAAACTCATTATCATCTATCAGAAGTGAAATATCTTTCCGCCAACGAATGATCAATTAAAAAAAAACCACTCCTTCTCTCATGTCCTCTCGGCCGACCGCCTTACAACAGGGCAACGACACCAGCGAGGAGGAGAGCCGCAGCCGAGCCGCCGACCTTGTTGGCCGCGCCGGGGACGGGCGCGGGCGCACCGGGGGTGGTGCTGGGCATCTCGACGGGCGGCACCGAAGTGGTGCTCTCGGGCTGCTCAGCGGGAGGCTGGACAGTGGTCTCGGGCTGGCCAGCGGGAGGCTGAGTGGTAGGCTCAGGCTGCTGAGGCTGCTCAGGCTGCGTGGTGGGCTCAGGCTGCTGAGGCTGCTCAGGCTGCGTGGTGGGCACAGGCTCGACAGAGTGCGTGATGGTGCAGGGGCAGTCAGTGATGGTGAGCGTGGTGGGCTCGGTGACAGTGTAGGTGTTGGTGCCGTGAGTGAAGGTGGTAGGCTCAGGGCAGTAGGTGGTGAGGGTGGTGACGGTCTCGGTGGTGTAGATGGGGGTGCCGGAGCAGGCGGTGGGCTCGACCAGAGTACCGTTGTTGTTGAAGGGGTTGAAGCCCAAGCACTGGGCGTAGTTGGAGGCGCAGGTCGACTTGTTGGAGCCTGGGGTGACCTGGCACTTGCGGAAGGCATCAGTGCAGTCGGCGGCGCACTCGTCCTTGGTAGGGGGCTGAGTGTGGGTGGGCTCAGGCTCAGCAGACGTGGTCGAGCAGGCGGTGGGCTCCTCGTACTCGCCCTCGTAGGGGTTGTAGCCGAGGCACTCGGCGTACATGGCCGCGCAGTAGGACTTGTTGGAGTTGGGAGCGGTGACACACTTGTTGTGGGCATCGGTGCACGCGGCGGCGCACTCGTCCACAGCAGGGCCGGTGGGAGTGGGCAGGGGAGTGACGGGTGTGGTGATGGTGCAGGGGCAGTCGGTGATGGTGAGGGTGGTCTCCTCGGTCACGGTGTAGGTCTTGGTGCCGTGGGTGATGGTGGTAGGACCAGGGCAGTAGGTGGTGATGGCCGTGACGGTCTCCGTGGTGTAGGTAACGTGGTCACTGACGGCGGAGCTGGTGGTGTTGCTGTACTGGTGAGCGGCAGCAGAACCGGCGAGGGCGCCCACGAGGGCAAGACGCATGTTGGCAATCATGTTTGTGGTGGATCGCTTCTGGTTGAGTGCAAATATGAGCGAGTGTAAGTGCACGTGTGTAGCGACTGGACAGTTAAAGAACGGTTGGAGGAGAGGAGAGGCAAGACGTTTGAGGGCGGGAGGAAACCTGCATCTTAAATGGCTGCTCGCACCATCAGGCTCTTGCTTGTTTACCCACCATCCGGCAGGATAAGCAAGGACAGGTTCCTGGATTCGATCTGATCACTGACCGTGGTGATACGAGCCTGACCGTGACTGGAGCCGCAGACGATGGTTGCTGGGCGCCCCACAAGTCGATACGAGCGTGTTTTCTTAGCTTGAAGTTTCCCGTCCTCCGGGTTGGCTCGCCCTGGAAAAAAAGTCCTTACATGACCTCATGCTGGGGCCCGCCAAGGCGAATGCCGACCGGCCGAGGATCCGGAATGGGTTCGAATACGGGGTTTTGTTCCCAAAGGGCCCAAGGGGGGTTGCGGTTGGCAGGCTGTTTGCTGGCAGTGCGTGCTTGAATGCCATGGCAATCATGCTTATTGTACCCGCGTTCCTGGCGAAAGAGCCATGTTGCTGAGCTCTCGCTGTGCTTGGCATCCAAAGTCAATTGGAGAAGAGCCACGACGAGCTTGCCTAGCAGATGTGATTGCCGCACTGTCAGCTTGTGGCTGCTCGTGGCAGCAATAGTGGTCAGCCCGTCAGCCAGCCAAGCCGCCTTCGTATTGGGTTCTTGCACTGCTCATTCGATCGCGATTTGTGCAGATGCTGCCCAGCTGGGCTCGAGCCCTCCCGACGTGGAAACACTGCCGCCTGATGACTGGTTGGGCAGTGCGTCCGTCGCTCAACAGCTTGCCCGCACTTCTTGGCCATGGAGTCGTGGTGGATGCATGACACAACATGGCCATAATTCAGCCTGTCCGTGCGTACTCTAGCGCTCCGCGGTGGCCGACGCTCTACAAGTATCCAGTCATCAGGCGATGCCTAAAATTAGTCTCCTCAGTTAGCTAGCCTTGCTACATTTGGTTACCTTTTGGAGAGCAGTATTTCTATAGTCGGTAAAACAGGCGACTAAGATCCGCTAACGGTGGGTTGTTCCTGGACTAGACCGTCTGGAAGTTACGACATTCCGATTTTGTGTGCGAGAGCCTCACAACCCACGTGACGTATTCGATTTCACCCCCTCATTTGCCCGCTTGCAAACATGCCGACTTGGAAGCACTTTGCGGCTCTCACAGTCTGGCTTCCAATGCTGTGATGCCGCATGACGAATCCCAAGCGACCATTCCAGAATGAACAGCCGGTCGCCGGTCGTCCAAAACGGACAAAGGCCCACGACATGATCTCGCTCTGTGCATGTAGTAATCATAAGGCAAAGTCACTGTCAACAGGCAATCTCAGGCAACAGCCGACGTCAAGACCCCTGCGTGGCTTCTCAACTCAGCCTTATCCACTCTGCGATCGAAATATGCGTTATGTCGTTCAAGCAGTCGAATAGCAAACCTCTTGCGGATCAGACTACCGGGACACGCGCGCCCGACTCAGTCTGATCGGCTTTTCCAGGCGTCCCATGTGCATCATATTCATGCCTTCAGCTGCGACAGTTGCGATCCGTATTGTGCTTTGAGATAGAGGCAGCTCGCATGATGGAATACCTTTACTGCCTGCCGATTCGAGGCATCTGCGACTATGCGGACACACACAAGGATAAGGTGTGGCAGGACTATGCTGCCACTGCGGCTGCATATGCGAGGGAGCTACTGGAGGTGATCCCACCTATCGTGGAGGAAAGTAGCCGGAGTCTCGCATGCTCTACCGAGCCGAGTGATTAAGGTGTTGCTGGTATGTGGGCCACGCACTTTCTCATTCTACTCCAGGCTACTCGTTACGATATCCTATGCTATCCTCCCTAAGCGAAAAGTAAAAGGGCTCACCAAGCTCGACCAAGCAAGTCAATGCAATAGATATTGACGTTTGCCAGCTCCAGACCGTAAATCCAGTATATCAATTCCCTCATCAAACCCCTTGTATGTTGTCTTAAAGTCACGGAGCATTTGCTTGTCGAGAATGTTCCTCTTTGGGCTTCCACCCCGGTGGTGTCATCGGACCATTCCAGAAAGTAGAAACCCTTCTTCCAGCGAGCAAGCATTCGTTTCACGGTGTAGATACCTATATCATCAGCCTGGCTGGGACCAGACTCCTCCAGGCTGCCCTTTGTAAACTCCCCGGACGTAAGCAAGTACGCCAAGCACGCTAAGCTGTCCCAGGCGGAGGGTGCAACAGCGTGTTCTCGATCAAGTCACTGTCTACAAAAGTCGCAATTTTTAGACCCGATTTCATGTCTGTTTCAAGTACGTACTCTAAATAATCGAATCCCTTATCTTCATGTTGAATGAACTGCATCCTATCACTAAAGTAGCAAGCGAAACAGTAGCTCTTGCACACATTTCGATGTATGGTAGGTCCCCAAGACAGTCAGCCTTTTCTTACAAGGCATCCAAGCCACCATAAAGGCCGTTGTGCTGGAAGTTGCAAGAGCGCCAGTCTCCGGCATTGAGACCGTTCATCTTATGCTGCGTATCCATGCAAAGCTTGTAAGGCTCTTCGCCATTGACCCAGATTGTCGGCGGAGTGATGTCGTAGCCAATCCAGGAGGTCTTAGCGCTGATGACCAGTCCCCCTTCCCACGTCCATTCAATGCTAAACCCTGGGCTCATAGTTCGCCAATTGGTCGATGAGATGATGTTGCAGTTGGAGTCGAACAAGACGGCAGCCTTATCCGAGGCTTTGTTGCCAAGGTTGTTGCCGTCCCAGGCGAGCTCGACGCCGCCAGCGGTCAGGAGACCAAGCTCATTGGGAGCGGGTCTGAACATCTCACAGGCGCCCACAAAGTCCACAGGGTGGCGCTTTTCGATCCTAGATCACTTATTAGCGTAGCTTTTACATGTGCCGGGGCAATGTACATCTCAGGCTGAGGCGCTGCGAGGACGGAGGTCGCCATCAGGAGGGCGCTGGTGAGGTGGTTGATAGAGTACATGGTGAATGGAGGTTGAAGATTGACTAGTGAGTCGAGAGTCGCTATGACCGTGAATTTGAAGAGGAGGAGGAGTGATTGGATTCGAAGGTGAACGCTTCCAGTGGAAAGAAGGTTAAAGTTAAACTTTTTAGAGTTATAGTATTCTCCAGGGCTGTTCACGAGCTCCTTTTATAGAGCCCTTTCAAGGCCAGCACCACGTCACTCGTTCAGAGCTGATGATGCAATGTTATGACCCGGCATACGGCGGCGACGATTAAACTTGTGTTTCGGAGCGGCTCTGTTCTGCAAGAGGGAGAGTGTTGCGCCAGTGACCGGCCACGATACTCTCCAGTCCGCTCTTTCGCTGACCCGTGAAGTCACCTTCGCTCCCGAGCCAGCATCTCGGGGCCGAGACATTAGTCCACATTTTAGACATAGAAGACTGTTTTCGAAGGATTGTAGCATTGCCCAGGGAAAAGGTGCAGAGCCAAGGTGCTTATTCAAGCGAGAGACGTCAGCCGAGCCAAGTGACTAGGGGGCCCGCTCTTCTTGGCACATTGCAATCTGCACGTCTTCTCTCCCATTAGGAATGTCAATAGAAATGCCCCTTGACGGTGAAAAGCCTTATGAGAGCTTCTCGGGGCAGGCCATCGGTCACAATTAACCTCACAGCGCCCCACAATATGTCTGGGCTGCGCGGCATTGACACAAAGTGAGGAGGCTTTCTTCTATCTGCGAGTCAGCCAAACTAGATTTGCAGATTTACGCCGTCGCCTCGTATTAATTTCAATAACATCTTTAGGACAATGATGAGACAGACTAAGGCTTGAAGCTGTGGTTGAATGTGGCAGGAAAAGGAGAACTGGATCCAAGACTGGGAAGTAGGGAAGTCCGGCGTACTGATCCATTCCATTTCGATGAAACTGATACATCTATGTTATGACATATCGTGACGTACCAGTGCATAGTAGCCAAGATACACAGCGGCGATCGACGGATTCGAGTACATGACCAAGGCTTTACTAGACTAACACGGCGTGCGGTGGTGTGTACTGTGTAGTCGTTGGACGACTACAAGCGACCAATGGTCGCACGCTGCCGGGTCTAGCGTTCCGCGCGCTGGCCGACACTCCAGTCCATCATCAGTCAATGCCCGAAACCACTTGCTGGCTGGCTGGCCTTGCTGGTTTTGGCTAACTTTGGTGGGGAGTATTTCCACAGTCGTCAAAACAGGCCACAAAGATCCGCTAACGGTGGGTTTTCTTGGACTAGACCGTCTGAAAGTCGGCTGCCCTTGCAGATACTGCTCCTAGTGCTTCTCCCGAGTGGATTTACCAAGTTGGCGCAGGCGACTGGAATGGAAGAGTCTAAAAAAAGGTGACGACGGACTTCGGTCGGCCCTTTGACACGACAAGTCACAAAACCCCTCTTCCACTACTTGTGTCTGCCTACCCTGTACAATGCCCAGCTACGACGTTGCATGTGTCACGGTGCGGCTGATTGAGAGGAGTGCAAGTCAAAGAAATGGTGCCTAGTGCGTAATGAGAGAATAGATACAATCAAGTCAGAAGTCAAGGCAGCTGCAGTGGTAGTTGAGGGTGTACAAGACTTTGAGTTTAAACAATGCATTTGACAGGCTGCCAATGTTGTCAAGCGGGCATTGCGCTTTTGCACTTTGACACTACTTTGAATTAACAACCAATTGAGCGCTAGCGAATTGATCTGGCGATGTCAATATTAACCATAGTTGGCTTGATGAGATTGGAGCCAGCTTAGGCACGCATCAATCCTCATTCTGACCGTCGAACATGGGATTGTCCTCGTTCGCCATGCAGAATCCTTATCGCCTCCTTATCGCACACCGCAGGGTCCTGCAGGCGGCGGCGGGGCAAAATTTCCAGAAATTCCAACAAGAGAATTTCCATCACCCTTCACATTGCCAGCAAGTCCACGACGTCGACCTGATCCAAACAGAACGAAAGCGTCTGCAAGACATAACCGCCGCCATGCCGTCCATGAAAAATCCCAACGGCCCTTCCAAGAACCGCCTCGCCGCCCGCGCCGCGTCCAAGAAGAAGCGCTCCCAGCAGGCCTCGCACGAGGGCCGCACGCGCATCACCAAGAACGACGCCGCCCACGGCGCGCGCGAGGGGCTGCGGCCTAACAGCGGGCCCGGGAAGAAGCTGAGCAGCAAGAAGCAGCGCAAGCTGGAGAAGAAGATGGGATACGCGATGAAGAGGAAGGAAGAGGAGGAGGGCATCGTGGAGATGAAGGGTGCGTTCCAGCGTTCTTCGCAGGGGAATGTGTGCTAATTGTTCTTCAGATGCCCCTGAAGTGAAGGAGGCTAAAGAAGATGCGGAAGGCGACGTTGATATCCAATGAGCGCGACGATTGACGAGTCAAAAAGGATATGGAAGGCTGGAGGAGCTCGGGCGTCTCGTGTCGCCACAGTGCAAGCAAAGCAGCGAGACGACCTCCAGCATGGACAGATGGACGGACGACTTGCACTACCCGATAAGGGTCGAAACCTATTGGCATCGTATGGCGTTGGGCGTTCACATTTCGGCAGCGATAGACGAGCATTCAGGCATGCGTGGGACCAGCACTGGGCCAGCAGCCCACCACAGACACATTTAACGTTTTGAAATGCGCATACACTCGGCTACAACCTTCGTGTCACACCGTGAAAGGGATATATTGAGGTAGTCTGGCTTTTTCAGCTGAATTTGGTACTCTTCTAGGTGGGCGTTACTGAATATGGACAGACAGTCTGTCTCTGCCCAATGGATTCTGTCTCATCATGACACTGCATTCCTCAGGCGACACAGCCGCGAGTCCGGGTTTTGCAAGACAGTCTTAGCCGGCATATCCTTCCCGAGGAAGGGTAGCCGGCACTCGCTCAGCTGAAAGGGGGTCCGACGCAGGGTCCAATCCCAGCCTTGGCGTGGCTTGCGCGTCGTTCGACACAGCTTGATGGGCACTGGAATGTTGCCTGCACGTGGTCAGTCCAGCACCACGAGACATACGTTCAATGGCGGACAAAACACCCGAAATCCCCGTGTCTGTTCTGCGCCACTGCCGAGAAGCGTCTTTTCGGCGGACTCAGCCAGCCATGGCATGGAAGTGGCCTGGTGAGTGCACTGATGAGCTCACAAACCACACAGACGAGAGTAAGCAATTCAGTTCGTGTTGAGGCCTAAGACAATAACACCAATTTCCCATCCTACCAGTTTCCCATCATATCAATTTCCCATCCTGCCGATTTCCCGTCATATCAATTTCCCATCCTGCCGATTTCCCACCATACGTATCAATTTCCCATCTTCGCCCAAGTCATCCAAAAGCCAGTTCATAGGATATCCGTTCCCCGGTCCTTACTCAGGACGCAGCAAGGAACAAGACGTCTCGGATCCGACGCACGAGCCACCACTGACACTTCCGAGGCGGCTTCCACTGCTTCCGTAGCGCGAGCTGCCAGTGGTGCTTTCGATACGGCTCCCACCGTCTCCGTAGCGCGAGCTGCGGCTTTCACAGCTTCCAAAGTCGTCCATGGCCAAGAGCACCCAGTACGGGATATGGAGTGTCTCCAAGTCCTCCATGCAGCCGGGGCACCAAGTGTTAAAGCAAAATACCAGACATCTGCCGCAGCAGCACTGAGTGTCCTGACGCGCCGCTTCCACGCGAACGACGCGGCGGCCTTGGGCGTCCAGTTCTCGGATGCGGTCCAGGATGAGTCTTGCCACGTTTGCAGGGAGCCAATTGCGCCTGTGGGGTTCGGTGGAGAGCGAAACTCTAGGTTGGTTGCGAGAACACGCCAAACAGGTGCCGCTCGAGCGGGAAGGTTCAGGGTCGTAATCGGTGGCGGGGCGGGGAACAATGGCGTCGGCACGCATGGGACCGTCTTCAATCCACTCGCTGATTGTAGAGAGACGCGTGCGGTCCGGCAGGACAGACTCTGCGCGCAACGTGGCCTCGGACGAGCCGCTGGCGGACGAGACTCTGGAGGACGAGCTTCGGCCAGAGGACGTGTCCCTGGAGCCTCGGTCGGAGGACGTTACCGCAGAGCTTCGGCTGGTGGAAGGGGCCCGGGACGAGGTGACACTGGAGGACGTTACCGCAGAGATTCGGCTCGCAGACGGGGGCCGGGACGAGCTTCGGTGAGAGGGCGTTCCCCCAGAGCTTCGGCTGACAGACGGGGCCCGGGACGAGCTTCGGCTGGAGGACGTTACCGCAGAGCTTTGGCTGACGGACGGGGTCGCAGAGCCTCGGTCGGAGGACGTTACCGCAGAGCTTCGGCTGACGGACGGAGCCCGGGACGAGCTTCGGTGAGAGGACGTGCCCCCAGAGCTTCGGCGAGGAGACGTGTCCCTGGAGCTTCGGCTAACGGACGGGGCCCGGGACGAGCCTCGGTGAGGGGACGTGTCCCTGGAGCTTCGGCTGGCGGACGGGGCCCGCGACGAGCTTCGGTGAGAGGACGTGCCCCCAGAGCTTTGGCCGCTTGTAACGCTGCGAGAAGAGCGTGAAAGCGGCGGCATGTCGTTGCCGTCACCAGTGTCAGCGCAAGGTTTCAAGGTATAGCTATTTACTTACTGCCGTTCCTTCGGCTGGATCTGCCACTTGAGCTTGGCATGGTCTTTGTTCCTGAGGAGGAAGAGAAGGGCGGTGTTGTCGTTGGTTGTCGATATGAAGGCGCTGAGATGAGATTGCTGATCGAGAGCTGATGTCTGTCTTAAGCTCTAAGAGGCGATCTGCAGAATCAGTTGGTTAGAGGGAGGTAGAGAGACGCCTTATATGCCCTCAGGAGGGTAGTCTGAATGTACAGACGGACATCACTTCTAGACAAACAATGGATCACTGAGACGATACCTTTACACCCACCAAGTGAAGAACACAGCGTAATAAGTTTGTAGATTCGCGAGAGAATGGGGTAAAGCAAGCTTGTGTCGAGCCTGGATCAGGGATAAGGCGCTCTCGTACCTTGGTTCTCCTTTGAACAAGGGAATACAAGAGGTCTCTGTGGATCGATGGAACGATCCGCAGTTGCAAGTGGCATAGTAAGGGGCCCGCGTGTCACTCAAACTTAGTATACTTGTGAGCAGATGTACAATAATCACGAACTAGGATTGCGCAACCGTGAGTTCCTTACACGACGTAACATGGTTATCCTTGCGACGTGGCTCATCTCAAGGTGGGTGTCAGTCACAGCAAGTCAACGGCTCGTGTAGCGTGCTGGTTCTAAGTCACGAGAGAAGATGGATAGAAAAGCCAGAACTGATGGGGGCCGAGAGCAAGCTGCGGTCTTTTCCAGATTCCTCTGAATCTCCTGGTGCTAGCACCGCCTGCGACACTTGGTCAACGACAGCACCAGTAGTAGCTCTTGACCATCTGCAAAGCTGTGATATGGGTTTGAGTTCCTAAAGTGAGCACCACTCCTGTGTACCAGGCAGACATTGTGCGAGCGAACCTATTTTGGTTCATTTCAACTCTCTGGTATCACAGTATACAAACGTACCAAATGGGTTGCGTGGTTGAGGAGCCCAGAGATATCTGAGACGTAAGCGAATCCAGACAGGCCACTGTATCACTTTACACAATCACCATGGTACATTCAAGTTTTGATGATGCGAGGATTGTTCACAGTTTCAGGAAGTAGTTTGTGACTATCGACAGATCTTCTTCCCACGTCGTCTTTCACGTACGTGTGGCACATCGAATCACGAAACATGGTGGTAGAACGCTCAGTGTTCCCAAGAGGTGTCAAACTTGTTCGCATGAATGGAGATCGTGAGTCGTCATGAATCTGGAACATGTAGCACGGCGACAGATGGGTGTCTGTGTGCGCGTCACTCCAGGACAAGTGGTGCCTCTTCGTTTGCATCCCATCTTCATCCATCTCCTGGCGTGCCATGAATTTATGCGACGGCAAGAAGACCAATTCACAGTATATCGAGAACTTCTCATGCTCCCTCACTCCATCATTCTGGTATTTCTGCTTCGCCCTGGTCTTCTCCTTTCTTACTCCCCGAAGCACCTATTTCTCATCACCGTTGCCATCTGGCCCCTTCGAACCAGAACAGCCTGACAAGCAGCAATATGCAGGGCCACAAACGAGGAGCCGACGATGCCTTTCTCGACCATGAAGATGACTGCATCATCGTCTCTGAGCAGCCCGAGACAGCGCGCAAGATGCGCCGAGTTCATTGGGATCTACCATCTCCATCGTCGACTTCCGAACTGGACATGGACGCAGCACTCAGCCCAGCACTGCACCTATCTTCTGCTTCAAGCGTGGCCACCCCAATGGAAATTGACCTGACTGGTATTTCCCCCATGATGCCTCTTGACCTCTACTAATGGCCGCAAAAGAGGATAGCGACCAATCCGAGGACGCTGAAGTCACCCAAGCTCGACAAGCTCGACTCGACGAGTTCCGTGGTTTCACAGCCGCCAGCTTCCCTGCGCTGATGCTGCCTATCGAGACGAGGCTGGCTTCGATTGAATCCTGTACCCGTCGACTTGGAATCGCGCGGGAAGAAAAAGTCATGCTTGTCGATTTGTACATTGACGAGCACTGCCTCCCCATGTGGTCCATGTTCAGCTGGGACCCCGAAGAAGTCAGTTTGCATGACCATCTGCAAGAGCGCTTTGCGGCAGTAGGCTTGGTGCGCAACATGGGCGAGCCACTTCAGAGCGACTTGGTCGTCAAGGCGAATAAGAGGTTGGACGTTGCGCGCGACTTGGGTCTTACCATCGACGATATACACATCGGGGATGACTTACTTCCGAGCTGGGTTTGCGGATCACCAATGTCTGTTGAGTCGTGTGATCTCGACACCTACAATGCGCTCAAAGAGCATGGAGGAGGCGTTAGTCAGACCACGCAGGGCTATACTGAAGATGATGGTCAGCAACACTCTCCCAAGGCGGAAGTTCCTGACGCCGGACTCAGCGACAATGCTCTCGTCACTGACAGCGAGGACGACACAGTTTCATCACCTGAGTATGAGGAGTACGAATCATACTGTTCTGATGCGACGTTGCCCGTCAACATTTTCCACGACGCAATCATTGCAGACGCACCAGATGGAGTAGAATGGGAAGTCGACCTCGAGGTGTACCTCGCACACGCAGACGATCCTGACGTGGCCAATTTGCCAGAGATTGAGCTGGCGCTCGATCGCGACGGGTATGAGTACCACTTTGATACATCGGAGGCGATTGATGTCGCTGCGGACTTTGACATGACTTGCTCGACAAACGTGCCCGCTATTGAGCTCGAGACGTACGAAGAGGATATGGAAGACGATATCATCGATCCTGGACGCACGGTGAATGGCAGAAGGAGGATCAAGAGGAGGGAGTTGCTTGTGGTGGAAGATGGGGACCAATGTCATGGGAAAGAGAATGGACAGGAGGGAGAACACGATTCTGATGTCTCTGAGGAGGTGACGGATTATGAGGAAGACTCAGGAGCACCGCTTGAAGACGGGACGGATAAGAGCACATAGTTCACGACCAGTAGTGTGAATACACGAAGAAGAAGCGCCCTGAGCAAGAGATTGAACTTTGGTGACCCGTGACCCGTGAGTCCCCGTGTGGTCACTTTCATCTCACCTTTGATATTCTTTCATTCGCCGCGTCACCTCAGGCATTACGCTTGAGATGCCTTTTGAATCACTGGATCTGAGCCGAGTTTTGCATTTATAGTGTTCCCACCCTCTTTTCTTCTCACTGCTTTCTCTCCCCTTCTCACGGCTCTACCTCCTCAATCCTCCCGCAAGCGGCACCACCACGATGTCATCACATGAGGATACAGTGACGGAGGATGCGTCAAGTGACGAGCCTCTCTTTGCCGACGACACGATGCACTACTACGAAGAAACTACTTATCACGAGATCGATGCCAACGGCGACCTCTTCATCTGCCTCAACGATCCGAACGCTCCGCTTGCAGTTTGGAAACGAGAGGAGCACCATCCATTGAGCCAAAACCTCATAGGAGGAAAGCGAATCCCCCGTACGAAAGTCGCCACGCCTCCCAGAATCAAGGATTCATCAGTGACCTTCAAAGTCTCTGCCCGAACCATGGCGACGGCATCGCGGTACTTCTCTGCGCTCCTGTCTGGCAATTGGACAGAAGCACAGAATGTTGCGTCCGGCGAGCCGCTGGTCATACAAGCGCATGGCTGGGATGTTTCGGCGTTTCTCTTGTTTCTGCAAGTTCTACATGGCAAATGCCTCAACGTTCCGTTCAAGATCAAGCATGAGCTTTGGGCGAAGATCGTTCTAATCATCGACTACTACGGCAGCTTCGAGGCCATGCACTTCTGCACAACCGTATGGTATGAGAACTTGCGGGACAAGGTTGCAAACTTCGACGGGAGACGACTTTTGCTTGATCTAGCAACAGGTTGCGCACTAACAAATCGTGAACAAACACAGGAGGCCGCGCTAGTTGCTATTCGTGAAGCTACCTGTCGCATCCCGACTTTAGGATTGCCAATACCACAGCGCGTCGTCGGTCAGTACCCTCGTTTCGGACTTCATGAGCCTTCTGACTAGAATTTTGACAGATTGGATCAACGAAACGAGGGAAAGGGAACTCGCCAATCTTTTCAGCCGCTTTTACTATGCCATTTCCCGTACCTGGAATATCCAGCGATGCACAATTCCGAGGTCAACTGTGGTCCGGCTAGTTGGGGCTTGTTGCTTCACGAGGCAAACAAATTCAAATTGCTCCAAGGGCACCCAGAAGCGCCCTACGACGGATACAGCTTCGGCGACCTCGAAAGATCATATCTAAAGCAACACGCGGGCCCCGAGTGCTCAGCCTTGTGCGTGCATGACGGTCTGCATGCGTGCTGTAACATGAGTGAAATCCTGGAGCAGGTCCTTGACTTTTACATGAGGCCGGGCACATTTTCATCGCCCAGTGCTCATTGGAGAACCTTCCCTTCACTCAGTGAGGCTGATCGGAGCCGTTGGCCGCGCGGTGGTGAATCTTCCGTGGGCGATACTAGCGGCAATTCCGGCGACGATTCAAGCAACGATTCGAGCGGCGAGACCAGCGACGAATATGTGGTGAGACTATCGGAAAGGACGTCAACTCTCGTTGGTCCATAAGTTGAGGAATGAAATCCCCAAATAATTCGCCAATCCCAGAAGTATGCACTTGGTCATAGTAAGCGGGTTTCAAAAGTTGGCCACTACAGAACGCCATGTTACTTGGTCCTCAATCATTTCCAGATAGACAGGGCGATGGTTCAATCAAACGAGGTCTCAAAGCTTCTTATCAGTTGGTACAGCGTGCATCGCGTCCTCCGTGTTCAGTAATCCAAACAGGCAGCTGAGTTGCTCATGACTGTGGCTGTGTCGGCGTGATCTGTACATGTACGGACGGAGTACCCACCTCGGAGCCGGGAGTCGGACATCCCTGGTCTAGTATTCGCCCGTTCGCCAAATTCCAGATCGTGAATTGTCGCACCGCCGGTTATCGGCAAGGCCATCCATCCCCCGAAAGTAGCAATCAGCAAGCTACAAAAGTACCTGTTCATGTTGATCACTGATAGGTGACAAATGCCTGTCGCTCGCTGCCTTGCGCAGCGTGCGTAAGCTCACGTGCAGTCGTCGTCAACCACGACAAACGGACAATTATCTTGATCAGTTGATCCCCATCCACTGCAGCGACTTGGCTTCCAAGACGATGCAAACAGCTCACTTCTAACTAATCGTCCGTCTCCCCCATGGCTTGTCTCAACGACAATACATTCGGTCCCGCGGTGCGAGGATGTCGCGGCGACTTTGACTTTACGCAACGGTTCGAGGAAATCGTGCTGGCATTGGTGCCTGCAGCCATCCTCATCGGCTTGGGGCTGGTGCGCTGCAGCGTGCTACTGAGACAGCCCAAGGTCATCGAGGGTCGATTGTTTCAATGGCTCAAAATCGTGAGACAAGCAACGTAGATCATCAAGTCTGGGAGCTGACTTGTCGCAGGTGGTGGCTGTGTCGTTGACTGCGACGCAATTAGGCCGTGTCGTACTGACCACGCAGGGTGATCACCATGTGTCCTCCACGAGACTGGCGGCGGAAATCGTACAACTGTTCGTATATGCCGTTATTATTGCATTATCACATCTGCAGCATGCACGGAGCCAGAAACCGTCCATGATACTTGAATGGTTCCTCTCCGCCACAATCTTCTGCGACATCACGCGCACGAGGACGCTCTGGCTTGCTGCATCAGACGGCGCATCGCGCTATGACGCCCATCTCCTCGCGGCATCGACCGCCCTCAAGGTCGTCCTACTGCTTCTGGAGTCACGGCAAAAGTCTCAATGGCAGATTGACACCAAGGAGCGCAGCCCCGAGGAAACGAGCGGCTTCTTCAGTTTGTCTGGCTACGCGTGGCTCAACAGGCTGCTCTTCAATGGCTACCGTCGCGTACTGGACCTCGATGATCTGTACGTGCTTGACGAGGACATGACCACTGATCGCCTGAGAACGCGGTCCAATGCGCACTTTGAGAACCAGGGCGCGTCAAAGTACTGGCTCACTCGCAAGCTGTTCCACAGTCTGCTCGTGCCAACAATCCTGCCCGTCGTCCCACGATTGGCCATGACAGGCTTCACATTCTGTCAACCATTCCTCATCGAAGCATTGCTGGACAACTTGCAATCCTCGTCGCCCTCTTTGAACTCAGGATACGCTCTGATCGGCGCCACGTTCCTCGTCTACGTCGGCATCGCTATATCCAACGCAATCTACTTCTACTGGCAAGAGCGCATGGTCACTATGATGCGCGGTCTTTTGGTGAGCGCCATCTACCGCAAGACGATCGCTCTGCCCACGACAGCCGTCTCCGACTCGGCCGCCTTGACACTGATGAATGCTGACATTGAGCGCATCACAATCGGATTCAAGCCATTGCATGAGTACTGGGCCAATACTATCGAGGTCGGCCTGGCCTGCTGGCTGCTCCAGGCGAAAATCGGCAACGCCTTTGTAGCGCCTATTGTCGTTGTAACGATCTGCATCATTCTCACAGCCGGCGTGGCCTCGGTGATAGGGAAACGTCAACGCGAATGGATGACTGCCATCGAGGCGCGTGTCGCGGCCACGTCATCTATGCTCGCCAACATGAAGCCGCTGCAGATCTCTGGTATGCTGAGCCCAGTGCAGAAGATGGTTCATCAGCTGCGCCTCGACGAGCTGCGCGTCGGCAGCCGATGGCGATATATGCTGCTCGTCGCGGTCAACCTGGCGTACACGCCCGAAACCATTGGACCTCTGATGGCGTTTGCGTTCACGGATCGAACACTTGGTGTCATTCGAATTTTCTCGGCCATGGCTTACATTACTCTGTTGACCATGCCCCTGTCCAGGCTCTTCCAGGACGTGCCCAAGACGGTCTCCGCATTTACTTGTCTCGGGCGCATCCAGGCCTTCCTGGACCTTTCGGATCGGGTTGACGCGCGCAGGATTCCTTATGAAACCAGTGCCTCTGAAGAGTCTGAAAAGGAGGCGGAGAAAGCGGCCGCTGTGCAAATTGTCAATGGTAGTTTTGGCTGGTCAGAAGGAACATACGCCCTGCGGAACGTCGATCTGAAGATACCCTCTTCCTCGCTCACCGTTGTTCTGGGACCTGTTGCGTCAGGTAAATCTACCCTGCTCAGAGGCTTGCTGGGAGAGACCCCCTTCAGCGCGGGCACTGTCCACTTGAGCTCTTCGCACCGCAGTATTGCCTACTGTGACCAAGAGCCTTGCTTGTCGACAAACACCCTTCGCGCCAACATCATCGGTCAGAAACCCTTTGATGCAAAGAGATACCAGCGGGTGCTGCACGCCACAGCTCTCCATATTGATGTGACCCTGCTTCCCAACGGCGACGAGACCAGAGTGGGCTCCAGCGGCGCAACGTTGAGTGGTGGACAGAAGCAGCGTGTGGCGTTGGCTCGCGCGTTGTACATGGATGCCGGGCTTCTCCTCCTCGACGACATCCTGAGTGGTCTGGACGCTTCGACGGCAGCACACGTCTTTCGCTACGCGTTGGGACCGCAGGGTCTTCTCAGCGAGGAGGGGAAAACGACAATCTTCTGCACACACGATGAGAGATACGTAGCCTTTGCCGACACGGTCGTGGTGCTTGGCGAGGGCGGCGTTGTCGCGGCCAATGGCACCTTTGACGACCTGGCCAGCCAGGGGTACTTCCCCAAGGTGAAAAAGAGCGCACAAGAGCTATTGAACGAAGGCCCGCCGACCATCGATGAGTCGTCCGTGGAGGTCGCCAAGCAGGAAACCCAGGAAGACAATGCTGTGGCGCGAGATGCCTCCCGAAAGGTGGGCGATTTCGCCGTGTACCGCACTTACTTCTCCAGCATGTCTCTCTGGGTCCTCATCGTCTTTGTCTTTGCCTGCGTCTGCGATGGCTTCATCTTCAACTTTCCCAACGTCTGGCTCAAGATCTGGTCCGAGGACGTGGCCAGCCCGAATCCCGCCCAGCCCAACGCGTTCTACATTGGCATCTATGGACTGCTACAGGTCTCTTGCCTCGTGGTTCTCACCATCATCGTGCTTCTTTGCACGCAGACGATGATCTCTCAGTCTGGCTTGGTCATGCACGCGAGCGTCCTTCACGCTGTGTGCCACGCGCCCTTGGCCTTTCTGGGCATAGCAGACAGGGGCGTCATCATCAACCTGTTTGCTCAAGATATGACGCTGATCGATAGCGAGCTACCAATATCTCTCATCAACTTTACCGCCAACTTCTTCGGGGGCCTCGGAGCCGCGGCTGTCATTGCTTCGTCCTCGCCATGGCTCGCCATTAGCTACCCGTTGCTGTTCGCCGTGCTATGGGCCATACAAATGTTCTACCTTCGCACCTCCCGACAGATTCGCCTCTTGGACTTGGAGGCCAAATCGCCTCTTTTCACCCACTTTATGGACACGATTGCGGCGCTGCCCACGATACGCGCTCATGGACAGGTCGAAGCGTCCATCGTCACCAACGACTTCCTCCTCAATCGTAGTCAACGCCCCGCGTACCTCCTGTACATGATCCAGCGATGGCTGCAGATTGTCCTCCGCTTTCTCGTGGCCGGTCTGGCCACCGTTGTCGTGGCGCTTGCCACGCAGACCCGTGCCAACTCTGGTCTGGCCGGTGCTACGCTCATCACATTGATGAACTTTGGCGACATGCTGGCGAGCATGGTCATAGCTTACACGCAGCTCGAGACCAGCATCGGTGCCGTCGCGAGACTGCGATCCTTTGCCTCCTCGACCCCTGTGCTGTCAGAACCTGAGAATCAATACCCCCCTGAGGCCAACTGGCCCCAGTACGGCAACATCAAGATCGAGAACGTGTCGGCTTCCTACAAGGGGTCCAGTTCAGAGAACAAGGATGAGCTCGCACTGAAAAGTCTCACCATGGATATCCGCGCTGGCGAGCGTGTCGCGCTCTGTGGCCGGACAGGGAGCGGCAAATCGTCACTCGTCCTCCTACTCCTCCGCCTGCTCGATCCTATGGAGCAGAGCAATTCTTCCATTACCGTCGACGATCTCGAGCTCACCAGCGTAGCACGCGAAACTGTTCGTAAACACGTCATTGCTGTCTCGCAGGACCCCATTTTCCTCCCGCCTTCGCAATACTCGACCATCCGCACCAATCTCGACCCCTATGAGGAAGCCACAGACGATGAGATCCACGAGGCTCTGCGACGCGTCAATCTCAACTTCCTCGTTTCCCCAAAGAACGGTGATCTGCACAAGGGCCTTGACGAACATTTCTCCATCGACCTCCTCAGTCAAGGCCAGCGGCAGCTCTTCAGCTTCGCCCGTGCTGTCGTGCGTCAACTCGTCCGTGGTCGGCATGGTGTGTGGCAGGGCATTCTGCTGCTTGATGAGATATCCTCGAGCGTGGATCAGGAGACGGACGAGAAGATGTGGAAGATTATCGAGGATGTCTTCAAGGGGTACACGACTATTATTGTGGCGCACCGTCTGGACTGGGCGGCCATGTGCGATCGGGTCGTCGTCATGCGCGCGGGTCAGATTGCGGAGGTAGGAGCCCCGATGGCTCTGATCGAGCAAGAAGGAGGGATGTTTAAGGAACTGTGGGATGCGCAAAGGCAGAAGAAGTGAGGATTGGATGGTCTCAGCTGAGGGTCCGGAGTGGTGGGATGGTTCGTTTGAGATATGAAGCAAGCGCGATCCGCGTATGTGCGTACGTTACATTAGTCATTCACTCTGAACTCTCGAAGAAAGAGACTGACCTCAAGCTGACATCGAAGTGAGGCGAAATTGGTAGCCGCCCTGCTCTTTCCGCAGACGACGTACACTTCCCGGAACTTACCCCCAGCTGCCTGACAACGTAGCCCTCAACTTCTTCTCTCACATCTCGCCAAGAAATGGGAAAGCAATTTACTTCGCTCAAGATGTCTCCAGACCCAGCCATAAAAAGCTCCTCAGCGCCAGCGCGTCCTAAACCCTTCACCAGATACCTGATTGATCCCAAAGGCGATACTATAATCGTACTTCAAAACCCGGGTGTCCATCGTGTCATCGGAGATAAAACCTGGCCTCAGGCAAATCCTCCTCAGGCAAAACCCCCCCAAACAAATCCTTTTCGGGCGAGTCCTTTTCTGGCGAACCCTACTCGGTCAAACCCTCCCCAAGCGAGTCCTTCTCAGGCGAGTCCTTTTCTGGCGAACCCCCCTCAGGCAAACCCTCCTCAGACGAATCCTCCTCAGGCGAATCCTCCCCAAGCGAATCCTTTTAGTCCTTTTGTGGCGAATCCCTTTCCGCAGCCGACAGTTCCATCACTTACAAGCCAGACACAAAGTAAGTGGTTTGGCAAAGAGAACTTTCAGTCGTATTAACCACGGTCCGTCACAGACACGGCTCCCGCTGCGCCCAAGCCAAAGCCAACCAGGGTCGAGTTTCTCGTCTCCTCAAAACACCTTACACTAGCATCCAAGTACTTTGAAACCATGCTTGAGGGGCCCTGGTCGGAGTCGACCGCCACAACCTCTCCGCACCGAGTTATCAATGCTTCAGAATGGTGCCCAGATGCTTTCCTCTTGGTACTATGTGGAATCCATGGTCAAGCGAGACAGGTCTCTCGGGGGCCCCTGATTGCGATACAAGCTCGAGTTGCTGCGATCTGCGATTACTATTAATGCACGGATACAATGAGTATCTATGCAGACTTTTGGGAGGCCAACCGGCTTGCACTTAAAGAACCCCATCTGGTTTTAGCAGCCAGCACACACATCTTACTGTTCATTCGAGCTGCAATTTCTGGCCACGCTCAATCTCTGTCGCAATTCACTCAGTGGTACGCCTCGTACGGCCGTGGCCCCCTTGACGATCTGAAAGTACCCATTGCGCAAAGCACCTTACGTGAGTCTTGCACATTCTTTCGCACTTCTTGCTGACGATTTCACTAGAAAAGGTCCAACGCTTTCGAGAAATGCGTCTACAAGAAATATTCGACGCCATTTACAGGACTTTAGAGCTGATCTCTTCTCCTAATACAGTGGGAAGCCCTTGCTCAAGAGTCTGTGTTGAAAGAACAATGGGACAACTCTGCCTACCCTTGGCACGCACAAACTTGCTGCATCAAAAGCCCCAGTCCCCCTTTCTTGGCCACTCTGTCAAACAGCTCTCTGATGGGTTTCAAGGGACCCGTGGGCTGAATTCAAACAACTACGGAGACATCGTGTTGCCGTCACAGCTAGATGGTACTGGCCTTTCCCAGGCCTGCAAGTCACCTCACTGCCAATGCCTGACCCTCCTACACAGCACAATCGGTAAAGTCAATAATCAGATCAAGAACTACAACTGGGCTGCGGAATGATTATCGTGTTCGGTTTCAAAGACGAGATCTGCAGTCTGTAGCAGCAATGTCGCGCAACATTCAAAACAATATGTAGCAATGCTAGGAGCATGAGGGACTGTAGACTATCAGGAACAGGCAGGTATCGATCATGTGCGTTTGTTATACTCCGGGCAATCGAGTGTCCTAGGACAGCTGTGGTTAAACAGTGATTAACATTTCTGGAACTGACTTGAGGAACTACCCACCTTATCAAAGAAACTTCACCAAGGCGAGCTATTTGTCTATTTCACTATCTAATCAACCCCTTCGAACCGTGTCTGAAAACCATGCAGTGTCGTCCTCACTCTATCTCAGGGTCATCCTCCAGCACTTCGGCCATCTCCCGAGCCGAATACCTCTCTACCGCTGTGGGCGCCAAAGCCCCCTTCACAAGGCCACGCAGTCCATTGCACGGCATCAGCTCCCACTTCCTCTGCAGAAGTGTCTGCCAGTCATCCAAGTCGGGTCCGTGTCCGCTCTCAGAGCCGTCGCATGACCCATGGCGATCGTCCCAGACCTGCAGGTACTTTTCGGGGAGCATGACGAGCCGCAGCAAGAACAGCCCCGTCACGCCCAGCGAGAAGATATCACTTCCAAAGCCTAGATATTCCCCAAAGGCGTACTCTGGTGCACGATAGAGCGCCGTCCCTCGATCAGGGGTCGAGCCTTCTGGCCCAGCTGCACCGAAATCGATCAGGATGGGAGGCTGGCCCGGAGTGTACAGGATGTTCTGAGGCTTGATGTCGTGGTGCAAAATGCCTCAAGCATGGAGATGGGCCAAAGCCGAGCACATGGCCTTGAACACGGCCCGCGTGTCCTCAATTGTGCCGCTGTACAGATGCGTCAAGGGGCTTGTGTAAGATGCGAGATTCGGGTGGTCGTAGTATTCCAGGAATATTGCATGGCATCTCGCGTCTGCGCCATGAAATCCGACAATGTTCTCCTGTAGTGATGGTTAGTACCATCAAACACTAGCGGGAAGACAGGTGTCCATGGACTTACATGGTTGTGTCCCCTGGTCATCTTAACCTCGTTGTCAAAGATCCGGGCTCTTTCGTGTAAAGAGCTGGCCCGGGAACTGCGCAAGATCTTGACAGCTACTAAAGACTTTTCACTGCCGGACTACAGGATGCCCTTAAAGACTGCCGAGGCTTCTTTTCTGGAAATTTCGTCGACTTTGATCACCGAATACCTGCGTTCATCTGCCGCCCGGGAATGGCGGCGCTTTTTCAGGGTCATCGTAGCTGTCTGGCCGAGTCCAAGTGTAAGCAGGCAGTTCCCCTGATCAGTCTTTGCTGTGTCTTCTGGTGGCTGATTGCTCTTTGAAATTTCATTAGAACATGCCTCTCAAGATGCCGTTCTCGAACTCAGCTTACCAGTTTTCTGGAATCAACGATCTGCGTGCCAGTCGTTGTCCGCCTCTTTTTGGACAACCCCACGGCGTTCGCGGGCAGGCGTTTTTGACCGATAATCGGTACAGAGGAAACGTTACGGTAGACCATAAACGACCTAGGCAAGAGCCAGACATTGGCCAAGTGGAAGCTTTCGTGGGAAGAGATCACCCAATGGCCCGGCGTAACTCGCACGTACTCGCCTTGTTGTACCGTCTGCACCGCAGAAGGGCCACCAGCCTTTCTTTCAGCTTTCACTTTGAGCAGATGGCGCTGAAAATGAACCGGTTTGTGGTTGACGCTGCGAACCATGACATCGTCGCTGGCAGGATCATATGCAACGTGGAGCCTCGCCGAGCCCAGAGTCATCATGCAATGTGCTCCCCACGCGCCTTGCTTCACAGCACAGACAAGGTAGTCGAGATCGCCAAGCAGCACGGTCTCAGAAGTCCCCTCCCTGATGGACAACTGAGCTGTGCTTGGCGCAATCACCAAGCGAGTATGCAGCGGTACGTCGTTGACTAAAAGTCGATGGAAGGCCAAGACGACATGATCCGGCAGGCCTTTCTTGCGGCCGTTCTCTTGGAGCTCGAAGGCGTAGCTCACTCCTCTGGTCATATCCAAGAACTCTGCTGAAGCAGACATCTCGTGGGCGACGGAAACGACCGTTGGGATTCGTTCTGGAGCTGAAGGTTGGCGTTCAACTGGCGGAATGCGTATTACTCAGTGCTTTGGATGAAAATTGATTCAAAAAATGCTTCTCTTCCGATGTCTTTTGTAGGCTTTGTGATTGAGCAGTAGAGAGATGTCTGAAAAATTGAGACTGGGAACACAGCAACAGAAGTGCGATTAAAGTACATGTTGACCTCAGAACCTCAGTGACCGCTCCGTGGGTTTGCTATGGCTTCATGACGCAGCGGCAATGGCATCGGATGGAAGTATCTCGATCTGGAAGGTCCCTTTTTGTACATGCTCAGCGGCTCTCATCATTGTGGTTGAGGGGAGGTTTCTGGTGTTTCTCGGTATGTTGGAGTAAGTTTGCTGCATTGCGTTTTGTCACATGTTCCCGCACGCAAAGATAAGAACACAAGATTGCCAATAGGAACAAAAGATACAATAAACTGTATTAAATTCGTCAGATCCTTCCGTTTGATAGCGACGAATGGACCTAGGGGCAGGCTGCAGGCATAGAAAACTGTTTGCCCTGCATCCGGTCTTCTGACTTTTACGAGACTGATGTCGATTACTGGACTGGTAATATCTTTGATGTGTTTGAAGAAAGTCGATAATTGTGTGGACTTCTATGTGTTTGTCATTTTGCAAGTTACGGTCAGCATGTTTTCACGTATCTTAAAGAAAGTAACCATTTGGTGCGGAAACTCCACCTCAGCGGTTTGCTTCTCTGGCGCCGCATGTCAACACACGAGATGGGACATGAGACCTGTAACCCATTCCCTCACAAACACAAACGGCCAGGCTTGCCATGGCCTGCCTCAGTGGCGGCCCGGCGCTTCACCTCCGTTCACTTGGAGATTTGCCCATTCTGAACCTCGCCAATGGCCCTGTTCGTCATCCAGATTGCTGCTTGAGCTTGTCGTCCAAATTGCTCACCATTCTCGCGGACGTTTTCCCACGGTCATACCCGCCATCATCAACCGTTCTTTCTGTCGGCAGTGGCAGCGGTCTCCTGGAAGCCTTTCTGTTCGATCATGCACAAAACACTCTCAACGTCGAGGGCGTGGAAGTGCATCAGCAGGATGACACCCAGGTCAACAGGTACCTGCCTGAGCCGTGCTACCACACCGTGCGGGGGACGTGGGATCTCTCACCACGACTACGCGATGCAGATGTTCGTGGACTGTTGTTTGTCTACCCACGCCAGGTGGATTTGGTACGTCGCTACGTTGAGGCCGCGTCTTCTTCGCAAGCGCAGCACGTCGGCCACATTGTCTGGTTAGGACCGCAGGCCGACTGGGCAGATTTCAAGGTGGCCTTTGCTGGGGTCCGCGACTCTGATCTGAAGATATTGAGCGGCGAGGAAGCTGGACTGGAGGAATTTGAGATGATGGCGATTCTGCAGAGGACTGGCGATTGAGTCTCGAACATGACTTCTCTTGAAGATCTCCCTCTAACAGAATGAGGGCTGGAGTGGCTCCACGGTCACCCATGGTCCTTCAACAGCAGCTCCCACGGCTATTGATGATGGCGGCGGCAGAAATTGAGCGCAGCCCTGCAACGAGCCCCCTCTGGAGTCATTCTGCTTATCGAATATCGATCCTATGTTCTCTGGATACGGCCAGCTTGGTTCGCCGAGCTGTGAGACTCATTCCAAGGTGAAGCGGGCTGGCCAGAGCTGCCAGAGTCAGCCCACTGCGTCCACAGCTCGTACGCAACACCCAACGCAAAGTACAGCCGATTCATTTCAATGCGTACATTCCACCTTCAATCAGACTGAGGCACATTCTCAGCATTTTCCTGGCGATACGAGTGGTACCACCTGCGTGAACTAGTCCTTCACTAGCACCATCTCGCTTGCGTCATCCTTCGTCGTCGCGTACTTGGAGCTGGAGAGCTCCCCGCCTACCTCAGCTCACCGAGCTCACACCTCTCTCCCCCTTGCCCCATCAAGAGCAACCAATCTTCCGCATCGACAAGTACTTTATCAATCAAAAAATATTAGAAAAACATGTCTTCAGACACGAGCACTCACAACGGCAATGTGCGCGCGGCCGCCCAGACCCAGGCATCCAATGTCTACTCTGTCGCTCAGCGCTCCCTCGACCGCGTCGTCCCGGCATCCTCGCGCCAGGCTGTGTATGAAAATGCGTCCGAGTTCGCGCACACAAGGCCAATTCTCTTCGTAAGGCCTCACTACCACCATTCTCCTTGCTTGTGCACAGATGGGCTAACACGGTGCAGTCATTCGTAGTGGCGCAGCTCGCATTCTCCTTCCTGCCCATCCTGCTCTTCATCGCGTTCAGCGTGTCGACCGTCGCGTTGGCGCTCGGCGTCGCTGTGGTCTTTAGTCTTTTCTGGATAAGCGTGGCTTTCATGGTTCTCGTTCCGACGTTACTGGTCACGTCTTCCATTGCGGTTTTGGTCTGGGGCTGGGCTATCGGAAGCTTCCTCATTGCACGATGGCTCTATGTCCACTCGCCTATCGGTGTTAAGGGAGACCTGCAGGTAGATGCCGCTGGTCGCAAGATGGAGGTGAGCAAGAACGAGAAGGGCGTGGATGGCAGGGTTGAGCGAAAGGATTGAGCTCGATACGTAGCACGCTCCCACCTCCTTGACGAATGTATGAATAAAAGCTCGTGTTTCCAGTGCTTTCCATTCCTAGAGACCTGTCTATCCCATCCCAGCAGTTACGTATTACAGATACAGACCCTCTGGCTCGCCCTCCTGCTTAGTACGGAGCACACGCTCGCGCGCAGATCGCAAGTCCGCCATCTGCACGCGCATTCTGCGCTCGCGTAGCGCCAGCATACCAGCCTCCGAGCAGATCGCCTTGATGTCGGCACCTGACAAGTCGTCCTTTTGCGAGATGAACTCCTCCAGGTCGACGTCTTCGCTCAGGTTCATCTTGGACGTGTGCAGTGTGAAGATCTTGCGCTTGGTGTTCTGATCGGGATTCTCAAAGAGAATCTTTCGGTCGATACGGCCCGGTCGGATCAGGGCAGGGTCGAGTGTGTCGATCTTGTTGGTGGCCATGATGACCTTGACGTCGCCGCGATCATCGAAACCGTCGAGCTGGTTCAGCAGCTCCAACATGGTACGTTGCACCTCACGCTCACCGCCGGATGTAGACTCGTATCGTTTGGTGCCAATGGCGTCGATCTCATCAATGAAGACGATGGAGGGTGCGTTCTCTCCAGCAACCTGGCAATGTCAGTTTCGTGATCACACAGTGGATAGCCTAAGCACATACCTGGAAGAGCTGGCGCACCAGGCGAGGGCCGTCACCGAGGTACTTTTGAATGAGCTCGGAACCCACGATACGCAGGAATGTGGCAGATGTTTGGTTGGCAACTGCCTTGGCCAAGAGCGTCTTTCCGGTACCAGGGGCACCGTAAAGGATCACACCCTTTGGTGGCTTGATTCCCATCTCCTCGTACATCTCAGGATGTAATAGAGGCAGCTCCACCGACTCTCGCACCTCCTGGATCTGTTGCTCCAAACCACCAATATCCGCGTACGACTCTGTCGGCGCCTTGTCCAGCTTCATCACACTCACAATCGGGTCGGCATCGTCTGTCAGCACACCGACAATGCTGACACTCTTGTGGTGCAGCAGTACGCTGGCTCCGGGCTCCAGGAGGTCTTTGTCGACAAAGCTCATGATGCTGACGTAGTACTCGGGGCCAGTGGTGCTGCTCACGATAGCATGGTCGTCATCGATAAGCTCCTCCAAGGTGCCCACACCCATCGGGCTGCCCCTCATATCGTCAACGCGACCGCGCTCGTCGGCAAGTCTGTCCTGATCGGCCTCATTGGCGGTGGCAGAGCCCTCCTTGGCAGCCTTTGCCTTGCGAAGTCGCTCCTGGTTCTCGACGTACTCTTCCTCGAGGAGCAGGTGGTCATGAATGCGCTGCATTCGCAGGAGTCGGAGCTTGCAGCGACTGGTCGGGTAGACGGCTGGAAGCTTCGCAGCGGCGCTGGAGCCAGCAGCCTTCTTCTTCTTGCGGCCGATGCGAGTTGTCGGGCGAGGCGGGGGCTCGTACTTCGGCTTGTCCTTCTACAAGAGTGTCAGCTAACTGCGCAATGTAGCTAGGAGAGAGACGAACCTTCTTATCCTTATCATCCTTGCCATCTTGGCCGCCCATGCCAGATTGGCCTTGACCCTGGCTGATGTCAGTGCAAGGTTCTTTGGCGCCGTCTCGGGGTATTTACCATCTTGGCGGACTGCTTGTGTCTATCTGATGAGCTTCTCTGACGCTTATGCGCTTTTTGGGGTTGTTCGAGGGCCGACGTGGATGGGCTGCTTGTTGTGCTGATATGCAGGGAGCTGGCGCTGTTGCTTTGGCGTTGGATGATGATGGAATCTAGGCGACCCCCCAGGCGCCAGCCTACCACGACAGCTTGGATCGGGTCACGTGCAGATTAGTAATCCACCACGCGCCATGAATTTGGGCCATAGCAACGACACGCTTCTGTTCAAGTCCTTCACACTCGCGTGTGCAGCGCCAGTATTTCAAAGCAGGGCGGATAGCCTTGCGCAGCCATGCTATAGACTGCGGAGTATGGCAGATCAATAGTTTGTCTTCAGTACCAGCCGGCCATGGTTTCTCACCACGCACGGCGCATCACTTTTCGGTGAAAACTGACACGACAGACCGCCAATGGTGTTAGGTGAGGATCGACTCGAAATGGCGACTATACCAGGGCAGCCTGCCTGCAGACCAAATCCAATGGTTGAATGACTCGAACAGTCACACTTTGGGGTATTTGACGTTCACACAGTGGTCATCTGCGTGTAATCACCCGCCTGGTCTCTACTCCAGCCTGTCTTTTCAGCCTCAGCGACCCAGCTCTTCCATTAGGGACTTTCCTGGACTGTACCGCGGTGAGCGACATGCAGCGGCCCATGCTTTCAAATGAACTGAATCACAGTTGCGCCGGGCAAGTATGAGCATATCAATATAAGTACGAATAAAAGGTCATAACAACCTATCTGATCTCCTAGGTAGGGCCCCATTCTGCGATCGAGTTTCGCAGAGTCCAGCCATCAGCTATCCTCTCTCCTCTTTGCCCTTGTCCACCCACCCTTCTCAGTCAGGGTCCCATGCGCATAGTCCGCATCTCGATTGTCATAGTCAAAACTATCCGTTCCATCGAGATACACATGATTGTACCGCCAATCCCAAACGGCTGCATAGACGGCCCTGTACGACGCGAAAGCCGTGGCGACCCCGATGAGTGCTCCCCCGACAATGTCATACCAATGGTGCATCCTGTCGACGTTAAGGAGGCCGCAGTTGATACTGGCCAAGAAGATGGGCACCGCTGTGACCGTAACTCTCCAGATCTCGGGTCGGCGATTTGCCCACACTTTGAGTTTGGCGTTCAGCCAGAGAGACAGGTAGACGGACGCCGCGAGCCCCGCGGCACTGTGTCCGCTGGGGAAGGACGTCATGGCAATCCGCAACAGGTTCTTGTCTGTTTGCGTGCATATACTCGTCGTGTACATGATGTTCTGAAACCCGTTTCCTTGCGGAGGAGTGATCGAGGCGTTGAAATACGGCTGACACACGTCAAGGAAGTTTGGCCTCAAGCCGCCGATCAATACTTTCAGAACGACCTGGAACAGTGTCGCCAGCAGGACAGCGTGCAGAAGGCCCATGACGGCAGCGTCCCAGTCCCAGAACGAGCGTAACCACCATTGTGCGGTGGTAAAGACGCCGAGAGGCAGAAAGAGGGCGAGACAGGCGACCACAGCGGAGGAAAGGATCCAGTCCCTCGCTGGGTATGCCAGGTCGGTGTTGACTACGGTGCGCTGGGTGTCCTGATACACGACGAAGCGGCGCTCGAAAGGGGGCGACACACTGTCCATCTTTATGCGCCAGTCAGTACACGAAGCAGAGACAATACCTTGGGGCCGTCACCTACGAATAATGATATTGCACCAAGCGCAACAAGCACGAGCAAATCTGGCCAGCGGCGGCGCCACCAGAGAATCAGGGCAGCTAGAGGGCGAGGGCGTACGGACACCAAAAGGTCGGCTGGCATCGTGAGGGCAGTCAGGAATCTGACCGGCTGTGATGGATAGCGAGTAAGTGATGGTTCGAAGGCGGAGAATATTGGAGTTTGGACGATGTAGTGTTTGGGTTAGGGGCACATTGGCTTTGTGAAGACGGTAACATCAAACGTTCAACGTGCACCTTCTCTTAATTTGAGCTCCAGTCGTCCTGCCCGCACCTTCCACTACTACTTTACTTTCAATTCGAGCTCATTGCAGTACCACATGTGTTTCTCGAAGGGTTGTGACTTTGAGGACTTGGGTGCCGCCGGGTAAGCTGGTCTCTTCAATATGAGGCCAGACTGCGTCAACACTGCGACGACAGCGCCGTCATCAACATCCCACCTCTACCCCGTCTTTTCATCCTTCTTCATGCCGTAGGGTGGGAAGCAGCTCTTCCTCGCGGGATAGCCACAGGGATTCCGCCCATCCGAGGCACCGGTCGCGGTATCTGTGGAATGCTGCGCGCCAGCTTCGTGGCTTCCGGTCTGGCCGGACTTCTGGACGTTCTTTGCTGATGGTCAGTCGTTACCATATTAGTTATCGCTGGATTCAGTGAACGTGCCTGTTGAACTGTGGACGCGTCAGTCTCGTCGTTCGACGGCATGTTTGGAGATGTTGTTGGCGCGTCGCGAGCTGCGCTGCTTTGATTTCCCATGGCGATGCAGATCTTGAGGGATATTCAGGGCGGATAATGCACAGTTGATCGATTTTGCGGACGGGGAAACGTCGACGAATAATTAGTACGTAGCGCTCAAGACACCAAATGGCGATGATGCACGCGGGCAAAGCTAAAAAGCAGGCTTGAGGAATGACGTGGGCAAGAGTCGCTGGGATGACAAGACGCAGCAGAACGTTACACAGTATCAACAATATCTTTTGATCTAATCGACAGGCTCCTAAAAATGATTGATCCCTACAGGAGTCCGAAACGCAAGCAATGCATCCAAGTCAATTAACACGCCAAACCGATCGTCTTTCGACAAATAATAGCATAGTCGGAAGTCCAACCGTTTACAGCAGAACAACGCCAGCGCCAACACCAGCAGCGACGACCATGTACAGGCCGACGGCGGAGTTGAAGACGCGGGCGATGGGGGCGTTGGTGATACCAAAGTCCTCGTTGTCACCACCGTTAGAGTCGCCGGTGGAAGTAGGATCGGACATGGCGCCAGTGGCGGTGGCAGCCTCGGCGTTGATCTTGGAAGCAGAGGCGAGGGCGTCGGCGCAGTCCTCGCCGTCGTCGGCATCCTTGGTGGAGGCCTTGCCGTCAAAGTCGCAGGCATCCGCGGCATTGTCAAGAGCCTCGTAGTACATGCCGAGGAGGATGGTGAGCTTGGACTTGGAGTCGCAGGCCGAGTAGGCACCGTAGATGCCAGTGGTGCCGTTGCCGTTGATGGCCTTGCAGAGGTCGCCCTCGTTCTCGCAGATAAAGTCAAAGATGTCGCCATAGTCCTCCTTGTCGACCTTGGCCTTGACCTCACAGCCAGAGGCGGCAACAGCGCAGTCGCAGAGATCCTGGCTAGGGGTGGGAGGAAGACGAGCGTTGGCCCTCCAGTACTGGGAGAGGTCCGGGCACTCCTCACGCTCGTGGTCCTGGTCGTAGTCATCCTCGTCAACACCCTTGGGGTCGACCTCGGCGTGGGCCTTCTTGAGCTCGTAAAAGTTGTCCATCCTCTGGGGCTTGTTGTTCTTGTACTCGACGACACCGTAGTCATTGTCCTCCTGGTGGTACATGTAGACGAGGCCACCAGAGAAGACGCCAGTCATCTCATCGGAGAAGAGGGCACGGGTGTCCTCAAAGTCACGGCCCTCGGCACCACCCTGGGTGTTGCAACCGTACTCGGCAAAGAAGACGGGGACGTTGTAGTTCTTGTAGAAATCGACCCAGTCAGAGTAGCCAGACTTCTCCATGGAGGAGTCGCCGCACCATGAGTAGATGTTGTAGCCCCAAAAGTCGGTGGCCTCCTCATCCTCACCGCAGTTGAAGTAGGTGGCAATGTCATCGCGGATGTCAGGGTGGTCGTTCGTAGCGTAGCCGACACCGAGCTTGTAGCCCTTGTCCTTGATGTGGGCCTTGGTGTCACGCAGGGCAGCCTTGACATAGGCAGAAGCCTCGGTGTTGTTGTTGGCATCCGAGACCTCGTTACCGGCGAAGAAACCGATGACGTTGCTATAGTTGGCAAGCTCGTCGACAACGGCCATGTAGCGCTTGTAGTGGTCGACGGTCCACTGGGGGTCGTCACGGACGATGGACAGCGCGGGCTGGGAGAGATCAGAGAGGACGTAGATGCCAGCCTCGTCGAGGAGCTTCATGCACTCGCTGTGATCAGCGTTGGGGTTGACGGCATAAGTGCGGATGGTGTTGATGCCAAGCTCCTTCAGCAGAGGAACGTCCTTCTTGCAGAGATCGGGCTGAGCGAGAGGATCCTTGTACTTGTCGCTGTCATCGTTGGTCTGACCCTTGGCGGATGACTCCTCCTGGTAGGCGATACCCTTCATGAAGAACTGGGTACCGTTCTCGTAGAAGAACTTCTGGCCCTTGATGTGGATGGGGGCGAGTTCAGCGGTGGCGTAGCTCGCCAGAGCGAGCATGGAAAGTTTGGAAAGCATTGTGAAGAGTTTGCAAGTTTGCTTATGGGTGAATTTGTTGATGCTGAAACAAACGTGTGTGACGCGAACGCGGACGTGCGAAAGAGAGTCGGGAAGATGAGGCCTGGAAGGGAGGCGGCGAACCTCGGACTACCGATGAGCCGGGTAGAGGGCAAGAGCGTTTTGAAAAAAGGGTAAAGAATTAGTGAAGGAGGAAGAAAGTCCGCGCAACAGGAGCGATTGTCGTTGATCTAAGAAAGAAGAAGGAGGAGAGGGAAAAGAGGCAGGCGCCGTCGCGAAGATGAAGGGTTGCCAAGCTCAGACCAGCGGCGAGTCGAGCCCCTGATGGTTGTCCTGGAGTCCCCACATTCGCGAATTAGGCGATGCAACCTCTGAATTCATGACCCAAACGCCCTGAAGAGTATCGAGGCGCAGCAGCTGCCACGGCGCTGGGCACTTGGAGGTTTGTTCCATTGGCAGGTCTCTAGCCAATGGTGGGCGCGGATGCTGCAATTGGAAGGCAGGGATTTCGCGTTGACACAGTGCATTTAAGCAAAGTGCGGTGGGGACCACTAGCCTTAGCGTCATCTCAGGATTGCTATCAGTAACGCCGCAAGCCAAGGCGCGACTCTGTTAGTCCTCCCTCAAAACGCGATAACGTTTTACGCTTGTTTCAAGCATAATGCCGAGGGAGCGTCCGGCACACTGTGTCTTAGACTTGTTCGTAGCCCATCACGAGCGGGAAAAAGGGGGCAATCTCCAGTACATCTTACCCATGCAATAGACCGTCAAGGACTGAAGATGCACACCGTGCCGGCTCATTTTGATTTCGAGGCCTTCGTCGGGTTCATCATGATTCTACGAGAGATCCCCAAGACCGCCAAGTGATGGGTACGCAATCGCATCCGCATTAAACAATCAGTTGCCAGTTTGCCACAAGCCATTGGCTTCACTAGCTCGCAATTCCTGCTCCTGCTCGGAAATCTTGTGTGAATAAGCTGACGCGTTACTGTATTACTACTTCGAGAGCCCTTTTTCCACGTCTCCACGGATAGTCACAGATCGCCTCGTCAAATTTGGGGCCTGTCCACAAAATCCGTCGTCGAAAGGCCTCAAAGATCACTCATACGTCTCAGATCGCGCGACGGAAACCCTCCCCAGTCGAGTCTTGTCGTGCATGGCGCTTATGAGCTTGGCTTTTTCTTGTAAGTTCTTGATGACTGGACGCCTGCTCCATGAGCGACAATTGCCGTGGATTTCCTTGTCGAAGCTTATTTTCCTTGTCGATTCGCAAGACGTCGATGCATTGAGTGACCGTGGCAGTGAAACGCTGCATTCCTTGTGCAGAGCGAAGATCGTGATGTCCTTTCGTTTCAGATCGCGTGTGCCACAATAGGGCTCAACTTGATTGGCGTGCCCACGCGAGCAAGACTGGGAAGAGCTGTCTCATCGACCGAAAACCATGTTAAAAGCGATGCCAATACCGTAAAGGACTTTTTCCCACGCGTCATACACCTTCTTCACACCTCCATTCGTTGGGCGAGGCGACCGGGCGTGTGGATCATCGTGAGACGCGTGGCTCGCATTGTGTTCGGCGTGAGTGGCCATGGTGTCTCCAATTCAATGTAATGCGCAGTCTATTGGACCACAGCTTTCGCGGATATGCGGTTGTGTTGATGAAAGTTCGTTTTCTGATGCTAAGAAAAATTAGGTTGAGCTCCAGAGAAAGGGCCCACGAGCTAAAATATAAGGTTGCTTTGCGCGACACAGCCTCGTTTTATAGCTTATTCCAACATCGCCATCGAGCAAATGCACATCTCACTTCATCGTTATGCAGCGAACTGCCTGATGGCGACTTTTGCCCGTCAGGTGAGTCAATGGTAAGGCGTTCACTGAAGCAAGGCGCAGCCGACTCTGCCACGTTATTATGCATGATGAGTCCCCACCATCATCGCCACCAAGGCCGCAAGGCGTGTGCCCTCAATCATGTTCGTTGTTTGTCACATTTGTGATGTCAATACTTCGTAAGTTTTATTACCAGCCATACTGATTAAGTCTACTTTAATACTGATAAGGGGACTGTGTCTATACTGGTCGTTACTCGTGATATAAAGCCAAGGGTATCGTATCGCAATGCGCTGGAAGTATGGAAGTAAAGCATCAGGGCGTTGAACCCGCACATGAAGGGTAAGGCACGCCAAACACAAAGGTCATGGCCCAGATGCGCGCGCTCTTCTCACGCGCCTGGACCTTGAGGATATGTCGTGTCGCACTCGACAGCGCCCACCTTCGTCCCGCGAACAGGCGTGCCAGAGGGTTGTGGAAGCTAAACGGCTGCCGCGCTGCTCCCGCCAGGGGCGCGTTGGTCGGCATGAGATCCTCCAAGGACATGTTCAGGACAGAATCGGCTGTTGTTGTGTAGTCTTGCTGCTGAGTCTCATCCCAGACAGACCAGAAAAGGCGACTCCAAGGCTCTGCCGCCTCAAAGAGCTCCGCGTCGAACCTTTCCATGTCGTCCACGGACATTCGAAGGAACTCCAAGTACGCCTTTATCAATCGGACGACGTCGTTGGCCCGGCAGTCCATTAGATTGCGGCTCCTCCATATGGTGGTCGCATGGTAGGCATGCTCTCGTTCGCGGGCGTTGCCTAGATCCGCCAAAAGCCAGTGCGTGGCTTCTGTCAGCGGCAATCTCTCCGTGGCATTGTGCCTAGTGCCCAGGAAGATGTTGTCCATTTTCAGATCATCGTGGCACAGGTCGTGATGTGCGTGCATATCCTCCAGGGCCTGGAGCAATCTGTTCAATGAAGGTCGGTAGATGATGTCCAGGTCGCGTGCTGTATACACCGGCTCTGACTCGTGCAGCCGCTGACCGAGTTTGGCCAGATTACCATTCACCTGGAATTCTGTGACAAAATGCCATTTCCGGGGCTGAGGTTGTTGCTCCGTTGGTGGAGATGCCAGAAAGTAGTCTGTCACTGGCAGAAAGCTAGCGTCGTCTTCGATCATTTCCCCACGCCCTACTATCCCACCCATGATCAGCGATGCGGCAACTTCAGTCGGCCACCTCTGTTCAGGCTCATGCCCGGGAACGCAGTTTCGAAAAGGTGTGTGTCGCTCTCTGTAGACCTTGACGACAACATCGCGATAGCGGAATGCCTCTCCTTCGAACCCGCCACCCAGTTTTGTCCATTGCAGGCCGTCGTTCAATAGCGCGTCCCGCGAGTACGCTGATTTGTCCGCGGAGTCTTGGTATGGCGCTCGCTCCATCGATTGCCATTGCGGATCGGCGAGACGGATTTGCTCCTCGACAGAAAGCCGCGTGAACTGCGTCGGGCTGTACTTGATGGACAGCTCCCGGCGTGCTGTGCAGAATTTGTCGTAGGCGTGCAACAAGCACAGGAGGAGGAGAATGGCTAGAAGGGCTCGTGTAATGCGACAGCTGCGCGGCGTTGACCGCAAAGATGTCCACGACCGGCGCCTCCAGGTGCTGGGACTCGCTGGCCTTGTCTGCTTGGACATTTTGAGGCCCTGTATACCTTATCGAATTCGGGATACGTAGTGGTGTTCACTCTGGGGGGAGGGCTTGCTTTTGTAGGTGGACTTTGTAAGTATACAACCCTATGTCATCGACGATGCTGTTGTCATCACACGCGATCGGCGGCACGAATATTTCGCGCCGGCTCCGGTACTCGTCGCTTGGCAAATTTCTTGCTCATGTAAGAGCCAAGCATGTGCAGCTCGGGCGAAGAAGAGGACCAGATGTGACACTAGACTAGGTGCGCTGCTGTGCGTTACGTCAACGTGTGTCCATCCGCCTGGCCAGAGGGCAGGACAGCTTGGCAAGGCGCCTCTGCTGCGTACTTTGGATAGGCTCCTGAGACCTCAGTCGTGAGATGGTTGAAGCACTGACGACAGACAAAGCGGCGGGACTGGGGGCGCAACGTGCGTCGGGGGCCATCGGTTTGCTGTCAGACCACGCCGCAAATGCCAATGACGGCTGAAATCAAACCTGGTTGCACAGCTGGGGTGTTGTCCTGCTTTGTCTCTGCAAAGCAAGGCAGCGGCGAGGCTTGGCTCCAGCCCGTTTCAAATGTAATTCTGACGCGACAGGGACGACTGGACGGGCGCCATCTCATGAGAGATTGCACATAATGATAACGATTGGACACCATCGCCAGATGCCATCAGCTGTTGACACGCCCGTCGAGGTGAGATCGATATCGAAAGATTAGATTTAGATGGATAAACAGTGGACTTTTTTCCGATATTATGATGATATTGTGCATCCGACCATGTCCGTTTTGGGATCTGGCCCATCCATGATTCCATCATGATCCATGTCATGCATAGCCAATGATAGGGCAGTGGGACTGTCACGACAAAAGAACAGGATCAGAAATTCATTAAATATCCTTCGGTCGTAATAACCTTTTCTCAAAACGTGTATACTATTTTCCTTGCTCATTCATGAATAACAGCAAAAGGCAGCAAGATATATATATCTTGCTTCTCAGCGGTGCCAGGGCGCACTGAGTCTGTTCCGATCAAGAGAAACAGTCGTCAAATTGCCCAAATCATGACTAGAGCTCTTTGTTGTGATCTGCCATGAGAAACCACTGTAGCTGCCTGCTGTGGATGAACCAGGCTGTCAGATACCCATCACCCCCATCGGATGGACCTACAAGACTGAAATTTCTGGCTTGTGGTCCCTCGATATCTTGCAGAGCTGGTGTGTTATACTTCCTCATTTATCAAACAGGTGGACTTCTCAGACCAGGAAGGCTTGATTGCTGATGTCACGGATCTCTTGCACTCGTCCGAAGCAACTTCACGAGACAACAGTAATAAGACAGCCAGTCATAGCAAGGAGTGTCATTTCTAGAGATACAAGAGCTACATGGCAGTTTTGGAAGGCAATGAAACCTTCCACGGCAGCCCTGGTGTCTGCGATTTTAAAAAACAACTCGCTCAAACTCCCAGCATCATAGCATTTACCATTGACCCCTTTACAAGCCCCCAAACCGCAGCGCAAACCTGGGCAGACTAAAAAAATAGCACCACACCCTAGATCAGTCGGGTTGATCATCAGTAGGCGCCGTCTACCTTGAATCATCGTCCCCTTGATCGTACGTGATAGTCACGACATCAGTCCTTACGATGCGACCATCGCGCTCCTTTTTTCGCCAACCGTGGCCTCGTCTGTTCGTGTTCACGTCATCATCCCGAAGAATGCTCTCTTGAGAATCCACATCAGCATCGCGAATTCTTGAGCCGACTGTGTGCTTGGTGCCCATGTGGCTCTGATTCTCGCTGCGGTCTCGACGGCTGTCGTCCAGTTCCATGTCGCTTTTCATACGACCATGACTCGAGGAGCCGTAGTTCTGGTATCCCGATGACCCATTCAAGGTGCGACGGCCGAAGAGTAGATCGACCAGTGGCTGCAGGACCGGAATACAGCAAGCGATGATGATGGTGGCGGCCTCGACGCTGCTGCACGTTAGTTGACTGTCTTTCTGACATCCGACAAACAAACTCACACAGTCCAGACAACAAGATCCGACGTGTCATACGAGAAGTCGGCGCTGGCTAGCGATGGCAGACGCGTGCACTTGTAAATGGCAACAACGGTAGCACTATGAAATCAGTGCCTGAACAACATCTTGCCAAGATCGGGTCAGACTCACATTGACCCGATGCCCAGGGCCACACATAGCGCAATCTTCTTTCGGATGTTGATCTGCAGCTTCCAGAGCACAACAGCGGGATACACGGCGAGGTATAGATCGGTCACGGCGGAGAATCCTAAAGAGGACTGTCAGTGAATGTGCCTTTCTCTCCAGTGAAACATGCTTACCTCCAGCAAAGATGGCATAGTCCACGAGAACCCACTTGTCAATGCAAGTCTTGTCGGTAATACTAAAATTCCACAACGACTCTGCAGGCGAACACTGGGCATATAGGATGACCACGCACCCGAGCAGAGCAGCCACACAGAGTATCGACAACGCCCAGAGGAAGATGCGGTGCCACTTGCTGGGAATCAATAGGCGCTGGAGTAGCGCGACCACAGCCAGCTTAGGTATGCCAAAGGCCACAATACCAAAGGGAAATCCGAGAATCGTCCAGAAGATGGAACCTTGCTTATCGTTGAGACTGAGGGTGTCGAAGTGTTTGCCGTTCCCGTTCTGTGTTGCTACAATAGCCATCACCACGCACGTCCACAAGAAGAGCTGCTTTCTTAGCATCCAGACTAGCGAAGGAAGAAGAGGGTTCAACATACAAGAGACGGCGCCACAAGCCAGTCGTCGAGATGCATCTTGCCCATGATCTTCTGCCTCGTGAAGATTCGGGCGGCAACAAAGATTGTGCTCACGGCCGAGAGTGTGACAGTTACCGCTACGATAGACGGGGCCTTGTTCGCAGCCAGATAGGCCGCCGTCTGATGAGGCAGCAACGGCGGCTCCGCGTTGGGATCGGTCTGAGGTGCCATCCTGACCTAGCCTTTGACGGCGCGAAGGGGAGCTTCTAGGGAGATTGAGATGGTTTAGCAGTCCAGTCTGCTCGGCACAGAAAGATTCTATGGCAGCAACAGATTGAAGAACAAAGAGTGACTATCGATGACTGGCTGATACCTTGCGGTCCACCTCGGGGCCGGATCGAGTGGGATACCTAATAAAGACATTCCATTTAATAGGGGCGTCAGCGCCTCTCTCGAAAGGGGTGGCCTCTGAGGGCACGGCTGGGATCCAAGGCCATGGGCCGCTTTCCAGGAGGGCTGGCTCTTCCGGATCGGTGTTGTAACAACGAAGATCTCGTCGCAGTCCGGGTCCGCAGATTGTCCGGCAGATGAAAATACTTTCGAGAAAAGATCGTATTCGGGATCGAACGCCCCTGGCCACGCAGAGCCTGTCGAGGATCGGCCATTGCATGTGACAAGCCTCGCAATGAGGCCCTCCAGTCGTGCCTAGGCTTGCCTTCGCAAGAATCGTACCAAAACTTGAGACGTCTGTCCCGTCCCCTGTCGCCTTCTTCATCCCTGTCCTCTACCTCTGTGCCGCACACGGCTTGTTACATTGCACTCACGACGCATTTTCTCCTCGTGACTCGGCGCTTGAGCGTTCCCTCCACGGAAAGATCCGAGTGCCACCCGGAACTCAGGAATTCCAAGCCATTGTTTCCGTTAAAAGGCTTGAATATTGGTTCATGTTCGGTTTTCCAGCAAAGGCGTGTCAAGTATTGATTGCGCGGGACTATCGAGTCTATCGAGGGTTCCGAACGACGCGGGTGCTACAGGAAATGATCAATCATTTATCACAATGTACATGGCCTACGTAGAATGCAGCTTAGAGGTCTAAGTGCTTGGCCATGTCCCTCAGCCGCCCGGATATCCCTGTTCATCCTCAAGCGCGATGGTTCGGTCGTCCTGTTTCAGTATGATTTATAACTGCTCGGGCTGGCCATCTTGAATTCTGGATGAATGAATGAGGTCTGTATATTTTATATTTTTGAATCCTCTAAGGAAATCAATTCCAGGGGCGGGGTCGACCCGAATTTATCCTGGATAACGCGGCCGGCTGTCCGGGGTCAGGGGTGGTGCCACATCCGGGGCAAGGAGCCGGCTCGCATCCTGGCACGACCCACCTCGTGGGGGATAACACGTTGATTTACGAAGCATCGAGAAAGGCTGGAGATTAGCCATGAATTCTCGCCGTTTCCACGTATGTAAGCCTCTCCAGCGTCTATTTATTTACCTGTTATCTCACTGAGGCTGTCAACCACCTACGGAAGAAGCCGAAGCAAACTACCAGACCATTCGGTAGCCAGAGCCATACTGATAATAATCCTTGCTTTGTACACCCTTTCCTACAGAAGTCTATGAGTGTCGGCCGCACGCTTCATCCGTTGCCCCCGTGTCCTAAGCTGCCAAGTCACCCCACACACCATATGCATTATGTCCTGCTGGTGACAGCTATTGTAGAAGTGACAGACCACTGTAGCCTGATGCTCGACCCCAAATTTCGTGGCGATCTTGGTACTGATTCGGCTTCAGTCGAGGTCTATAGAACGCTTTGACCTAATAAGCAAGAGTTGGTGCCTAATCACTCTGTGACGAGTCACATCCGTCTGGAGCTACTGTTGTAGTTGCATTTCTCAAACGAGGCCGGCGCTATTACAATGCGTTGAAAAGGGGCTGGGCGCACCTGAGAGAACCCTCGTGCCTGCGTATCACGATACTCGTGCTGTATGCAGGTTGCAGGTTGCAGGTTGCAGCTGTTGATAGCAGACACCAACTACCTCAATCGTATGCGATAATACCAGACCACATGTGATCCATCAAACTGGTCGGCAGATGTTGGTATGCAGGTTCGAACCCCTCTTCCATAGTTCAGGGGTTGGGTGCCTACCGCCTGGTAATTAACCTGGTTAGCTACGCTGATATCTCTTGTGGGCAGTCGTCTGCAACAACGTCCTGGATAGAGGCAGGGTCCACGGGTTGGCGTCGAAGACTGGGAGATTCCAGCCCAGGGGCCGTGGCCATCCCTACCTGGGTACCGAGTCGAGGCATAATACATCTGTCAGAACTCACCCAAGATTCCATTCCGTGTCATTCAATTTTTCCCCTCTTCTCATAATCCCATCGTCCAAACACCTTACCTGGCCCGCCCCTATTGCATCTGTAGCCTGTCCCTCGCATTGCTTCTTCCAGTCCTCTCTGTGTATCGCAAACATGACCGTCAGCAACGGAGACGCAAAGCCCGCAGAGGTATCCGTCACCTCCGTCACAGATGCTGCCGCCGTGCCGTCTTTGATCAAGCAGATCAGTGCTCTGGGTGATAACTTTGGCGAGAACACCAGCGATGAGACTCGTCTGAGTCTTTGCCTAAAGGCTAGGGCTCTATGGAAGGCTCTCGAGACTCCCCGTGAGACTATGATCCGCCATTGCTGGGGTCAGGTATGTCTCGATTCTTTTGAAAGCCAAGACACTCATCCAGTCTGACACCATCCAGCCTGCCGCCATGTGCGCTCTCACGGTCGGAACAGAGAAGGGCATCTGGGAGTATCTCGCCGAACACCCCGGTCCCTTCAAAGCAGCCGAAGTCGCCAAGGCCAAAGAAATCGACCCTCCCATTCTGTGCCGCCTGATGAAGCACCTCGCCGCCATGGGCTACCTGAAGGAGCTCGGCCCCGACACCTACGAGCGAACCAACTTCACCAAGGCCATGGCCGTACCCATCATTGGCCAGAGCTACCCTCCCATCTCAGGGGGCTGCAACGCTGCGCTTGACCAATTCTCAAAATGGGCGCACAAGACGGGCTGGAAAACGCCCAACAGCATCTCTGATGGGCCCTATCAGATGGCGTTCAACACGGAGTTGAATTTCTTCCAGTGGCTTCAGGCGAACCCACCGTATGGCCAGCAGTTCAACTACCACATGGGCGGGTACCACCAAGGTCGTCCGTCGTGGATGGACCCCGGTTTCTACCCCGTTGAGGAGAACCTCGTCAAGGGCTTTGACAATGCCGAAGGCAGTGCCCTGATTGTCGACATTGGCGGTAGCATTGGTCACGATCTGGAGGAGTTCTACAAGAAGCACCCCAATGTTCCTGGTCGTCTCATCAACCAAGATCTCCCCATTGTCATCGGTCAGATTGAGAAGCTCGACGACCGCATCGAGCCCATGTCCTACGACTTCTACACCGAGCAGCCCATCAAAGGTACGTATCTATCCTCATTCTCCACACATCAGATACTAACGAACCCCAGGCGCCCGAGCGTACTTTATGCACTCCGTCCTCCACGATTGGCCCGACGAAACCTGTCTCCAGATCCTCTCCAACATCACCGCGGCCATGAAGCCCGGCTACAGCAAGCTCCTTATCAACGAGAACGTGATTCCTGACACGGGTGCGCACTGGGAGACCACGGGATTGGACATCATGATGTTGACGTTGCTGTCTTCTCGGGAACGCACAAGGGAGAACTGGGAGGATCTGTTGAGTAAGGGCGGTTTGAAGATTAGTGGTATCTATAGTAGCAGGGAGGGGGCAGAGAGCTTGATTGAGTGTGAGCTGGCGTAAGGTGGGTATATTTGGATGTTTAAATGAGTAAATGGATTTCAATGCCTATGTCTTCTTCGAATGGACACTCATCTAGCGTCCGGTGTCAGCTTCTGGTAGCATTGGGGTGGAATTTGAGTCTTGGAGGAACGCCAGATGTGACTACCGACGAAGTTCAGGGGCTCGATTCAAGCTGCAACCAAAGCGGTGTGAGAACACAGTACCAAAAATTGAGTATCCATTCCTATGTTACTTTGATGTTCTGGGGATTTCCTCCGCGAACTTGAGCAGAAATCTTTTTATTGATGTCGGCAACCCCATTTCATGCATTCAGGGGTCTTGATTCTTGAACCAAACGATCCTACAGGCCAACGACAGCCGGCGTCGACGTGTTACAATAAAGTTCTTTCAGTGGGCTTATATTGCTTCGTGGTTTAACCATTTACTCTCACCTCTTTACGCAATAATCATCGCCCGAGTGACCCTTTATCACGTTGTTTGTCAGGCTCAGCATGCCGGTAGTGGCCTGCGTAGGGTAGGTAACAAATACGTACCACGGCCCCTGAAGCCTTGATACCAGGCATCCACAAATCGAATTTCACCCCGGTCCATACTGCTGCGATGGTACAACCTCATATTTTGGTAAACCTCAATTCGACACCTGTCAAAGTCTCCCAGGCCTAATGCAAGGAACAGCAACCCTCACAAGCTGACGCCTTTGGCATCTCTCAGTCTCTTCACCGCGCGACACTAATGTGCCTAGTGTGTCCCAGATGCGATCGAGATCAGGATTTCGTCATAAGCTGCCACTGTCGCAGGCTCCTGGCCAAGACCTTCACGTCAGCCTTCCGCTGCCACAAGCCGCAAGATGGCTACGCACAATAATGATGTAACATGTCTCCAGAATACAGGCCACAATTCCACGCAAAGAAGAGGATCATGGAGGCCTGAAGAAGCAGCGATTTGACGGCAGTGGAGAATCTCCTCGTTGTGAGGACACTTTGGTCCGAAACATTGAGCATCGCAAGGCATGATGTCATATGAAAATGTAGTCAAGAAACTTCCTTGGAGGGGTATATGAGCTCCCAAGGGTCAGAGTTGGTTGCTCTCTTCTTCATCATCATCATCAATTCTACCGTCCGTACTTTGATACAATCGAAACCGACTCACCCCAAAATAACAACATCAAATCAGCGAATATGGTTGGCAAGGCTCCCAGTGAAGGTCAGAAGGTAAGCATTGACTGAGAATCCCAACCCGACGAAGCTCACACGACCAGGTCGATCTCGGCCAGAACGCTCCCTCCAAGGTTGAGGGTGCCGGTGTGGCCACCGAAGGCTCGCTCGCTGCCGAATCCCTCCAGGAGAACGGTGGCTTTGCCGCCAACAAGGGCATCCACGGCGAGAACACGTCCTCCAACGCTTCCACCACCGCCACCCTAGGCTCAGCCCCCAACGCCATGTCTCGCGGCGAGGCCAACGACCGTACCTCGGGCAACGCCGCCTCCTACGACGAGGCCACCAACTCTGGCTCCTTCGCCGAGGGCCAGAAGGCCAAGAGCAACGCTGGCGCTGCTCCCACATACATTGCCTCCCAGTACGCCGTGGATCAGTCCGGTCCCCACGGCAAGAACATCACCGAGGGCTTCGACGATGCTGGCGTCCAGGACGGTACCCAGAAGGCCTTCAACGCCGCTGTGGGCACCAAGGACGACCCTGCTCGTGTTGCGGAGCTGCAGTTTGAGCAAAACAACGAGGCCAGGACAAGGGGAGCTGGCCCTCGTGACGGAGAGATCACCAACGAGACCAAGTACGATGCGCTGAACTCGTCCACGTCTGCTTAAGGGAATTTGTGGGAATGAAGGCGTCCAGGAACTGTATCATAGCATCTATGAATGACGACACGACGATCTGAAAGTCATGATTTACTTACTTGGTCGGATGCCGTTTTGCGCCGCCTAAATGGTCTCATAGTGTACTAACTAGCATGCGCCTATTGGGCAATAGGCTTATTTTCGTTGTCCAGTTCCAACGTGCTGAATACTCTCGCCTACAACAGCAACATGGGTCGCGTCTACGAGCACTCCATCCCTCCCAGCGAAGCAAAAATGATGCCCCCGCACAGATTTGAACTATGGACCTTTGCATCACTTGTTGCTACAAGTGCAACGCTCTACCCCTGAGCTACAAGGGCTGTGATCCGGGGAGCGCTTAGAGGGTCCTAGACGCCTACGACGTGGTGTGGCCACTGCCCGTCTTCGGGAAACATCAAACTCGAGGCATGGCCACAGAGAAAGAAGACGCATGACTCCGCCCAGTGGATATCAGCCGACGATACACTTCTAACTGATCCGTCCTACTGCGCGAGAAATTGTTCTGCGGCTGGAAAATTAGTGTCTGCATCGTGCTGAATGAGGGGACAAGGCGCATGACGTCAATTGCGCCCAGGCCCCAGGGTCCTGCCGGATAAGCACAGATCATTCGGGACCGTATCAAGGTGCCTTGGGTTTCAGACCAAACGGTGAGAACAAAGAACCGCTAATGAAAGCTTCGAAGAGTGAAAAGGGAAAAAGGACAGACATAATTAGGAACATCCCCCGGTGCAAAGTCAAAAGCTTTCACAAGCCCTGCCTCAGCTGGATGAGCCAGTCACCTTGATGGAGGGTCATGTCCAGTCGCCTCAATGATTGTCAGGCGGCTTGTCAGTGGCCGCCGCACCAAAAATTTGTCCCTCCACTGCCCCACCACGGCGAAAAAAATCACCCCGCCTCCAAACAGTGGCTCGACACTCATTCGAGGCAAAACGACTTTTTGAACAAACCACCAACCAACTCTTCTCTTGGACATTCCCGCCACTCTTTACTGAACTGGCGGTCGACACATTGCGTTGAGTCGTATTCTCTCCAATACCCTTGTTTCTTAGTAGTCGACACAAGGGACTTCAGTTGTTTAACGAGCACTACATTCTGTGCCGTATCTCCCTGACCCCTCCACTCTCTTCCTTTTTTCCCAACAAAGTCCGACAAGATGCCTTCCGCCTCCAAGGAGAAGCGCCTCGCAAAGAAGGCCGCTGAGGGCAAGCTCAAGGGCGGTAAGGCCGCCAAGCAGGCCGAGCCTGAGCTCGATGCCCACGGCAACCCCATCGTCAGCGATGAACCCGCTACCAACGACAAGAGTGCCGCCGAGATCGACCGCCTGGCCTCGCAGATGGACAAGCACGGTATCTCCGACCGTGTCACCACTGGTGTCCTCTCTTCGGTCGCCTCCAGCAAGGACGTCAAGATCACCAGCGCCAGTCTCGTGTTCCACGGACGTGTGCTCATCACAGACTCGACCATGGAGTTGTCCTTTGGTCGCCGCTACGGTCTCCTTGGAGAGAACGGCTGCGGAAAGTCCACCCTCCTCAAGGCCATTGCCGCCCGCGAGTACCCCGTCCCCGAGCACGTCGACATCTACCTGCTGAACGAGGGTGCCCCTCCCAGCGAGCTCGGTGCCCTCGAGTGGGTCGTCAAGGAAGCCGAGACTGAGCTGGAGCGCCTGGACAAGCTCGCCGAGAAGCTCCTTGAAGACGAAGGCCCTGAGAGCCCCGTCCTCATCGATCTCTACGAACACATGGACAAGATGGACCCCTCCACCTTTGCTACCCGTGCCTCTCTCATCCTGACTGGTCTCGGTTTCAACAAGAAGACCCTCCACAAGAAGACCAAGGACATGTCTGGTGGCTGGAGAATGCGTGTCGCTCTTGGAAAGGCCCTCTTCGTCAAGCCCTCGTTGCTCCTGCTCGATGACCCCACTGCCCATTTGGATCTCGAAGCCTGTGTGTGGCTCGAGGAGTACCTCAAGAAGTGGGAGCGCACCCTTGTCCTCGTCTCCCACTCGATGGATTTCCTGAACGGTGTCTGCAACCAGATGATCGACATGCGCGACAAGGAGCTCAAGTACTACGGTGGTAACTACGACTCGTACCAGAAGACACGGTCCGAGAACGAGACCAACCAGATGAAGGCCTACACCAAGCAGCAGGATGAAATTGTCCACATCAAGAAGTTCATTGCCAGTGCTGGTACCTATGCCAACTTGGTCAAGCAGGCCAAGTCCCGCCAAAAGATTCTCGACAAGATGGAGGCCGATGGCTTCATCCAGCCCGTGACACCCGACCGTGTGTTCAGTTTCCGCTTCGCCGATGTGGAGAAGCTGCCCCCTCCCGTTCTGTCTTTCGACAACGTCACATTCTCGTACTCCGGAAACCCCGAGGATGACCTCTACCGCAACCTCGAACTTGGTTTCGACATGGACTCCCGAACAGCCCTTGTCGGCCCCAACGGTGTGGGCAAGTCGACTCTGCTGCGTCTCATGACCGGCAAGCTATCGCCCACTGGTGGTTCCGTCACCCGCCACACTCACTTGAAGCTCGGTCTCTACTCGCAGCACAGCGCTGAGCAGCTTGACCTGACCAAGTCGGCGCTCGACTTTGTGCGCGACAAGTACCCCCAGAAGTCGCAAGACTACCAGTACTGGCGCCAACAGCTTGGCAAGTACGGTCTCAGCGGAGACTCCCAGACTGCCCTGATGGGCACCCTGTCAGAGGGCCAGAAGAGCCGTATCGTCTTTGCCCTGCTCGCCATCGAGAGCCCCAACATGCTGCTGCTCGACGAGCCTACCAACGGTCTTGATATCCCCACCATTGACAGTCTCGCGGACGCCATCAATGCTTATAGCGGCGGTGTTGTCGTCGTGTCCCACGACTTCCGGTACGTTTATTCTTCTTCCCCCACAGATGATGCACACAGCTAACCTGCGACAGTCTCCTCGACAAGATTGCCAAGCAGATTCTCGTGTGCGACAACCGTGCGATCCAGGAATGGGATGGCAGCATTGGCGAGTACAAGAACTACCTGCGCAAGAAGATGATCAACGCCGGCGCTGTCTAAACGGACGGCCGCCCGAGTTGAGTATGGATATGAGAACATGAGCAAAAGTTTATAGACAGCGGCCACCGAGGAAGCACGACACTTGCTGCTTCACTTCACATGTTAGAGGCCGCTTCACCACGCGGGCGCTGCACACTGCATCCACGCCATCATAGAGGATGGTCCTTTTGCAGTCATGAACGCCCAACAGTCAGGAAGGGGCACGGATACCCCCTTTTCATAGAAGCGGTCTAGTCGGCCGGATGGATGAATGAGTTTTTGTCATGGGTTAGAAGGCATCTAGGATTTTCTTTGTCGACAAATTGTTACGTGCATTGCCAATAGACTTATCTGCGCAGGTGTGCTTTGATGCGTCGTGACTGTAGGGTGTGTTGAATAAGGTGCTCGGCTCACCAGTCCCGTGGTGGTGAAGACCGAGCGAGCCGGCTCGCAATCACGTGATACCTGTTTGACCGCTGTGACGCGCGTGGCTGGATTCGGACAAGCGCGAGATTGCCCAGCCAGATAGGGCGACATTAAAGCGCGCACACTAAAGGGAGCAAGACAAGATACAGCGAGCAACAGTCGGCCAACGTAGTAGAGACGCCTACAGTATCATTAGGATGCGCACAAATGCATATCTGATGAAAAGCTTCGAATAAGCAGAGGAAATCAGCAGGGCGAGCTGCCCCGGTATCACCAACACCGGATTGTGTGATTGTGTCTGCTTCTGGGACACCCTGGTCCGTGCCCCAGACCGGAGACAGCGTAATTATTATGGGTCTCAAATGCAGCCGCTCGAATTCTGTGTGCACTGCCTTTTCCCCTGATGATGATGATGAAAAAACTGGCCAAGCAGTCCGAAGAATGATGGCAAAGGGAAATGACGTCCGCCGTCGGATACAATAAGGGATTTCGAGTGTATGCACCGGTCAAAAGCAATATAGCATGGAGCTTGTCTCGATCGTGATCCCTGTGGGCGGCCATGGTGGAGGAGCCGGCAGGAATTAGTTGGTCGGGATGAGTACGGAGTAAGAGTAAGGTAAAGTTGGATGGGACACACGGGAGTGGATGAGGTGAGTTGAGGCGAGGCGAGGGCGCAAGGACAGCCTGCAATGGCGACAAAGGCGCGAGCAAGGTGTGCAACTGTACCAAATGGCCAGTTCATCGCGTAAAAACACAGGGAATCAGCGTACAAGTATTCGTTATCAACCCCCATGCACAGCAATTCTCGTCATTTGTCGGAATTGAAGTCATCACCACCAGATCGCGACGTCGCAGCAGTCGACGGCCTCACCCGCAAAGAGCGGCAGGACCAGCCGGGCGCTCTTCCCCCAGCCTGACACGCCCACCTTAACCCCGGGATCGTGTCCATCTTCTTCTTCTTCAGCCTGTCGACCAACTTTGCTGTCCACATTCCCATCACTTCGTGGACCTGCGTGCCCGCTACTGCTGTTTCTCTCCCCATTCCTGCTTCTCGTCGTCTTAGTCGCACCGCGAGTCGCGATTGCAGATTGCTGCTTGCCATCGCGAGTCCCCGATTTCCCTCGCACCGCGACCAACCACCGTCCATGAGCCGTTAGCAATCTCCCCAACAACCCTCATCCGTGAGGGTCCAGCGCACGCGGGCCAAAATGGACAGCAACAGCTTCCGCTCCACGGTGCTGCAGGGAGACGGCCACGACCGTGACAGTCGGCGGGACGAGCGCGACCGTCGCGAGATGAACAACGCAGGGAGCCCGAGCCAAAGCCACAGCCATCACTCCACATTCAGATTACGCTCGCCCACTAGCAATAACCACCATCAGCAGCAACATTCTCGCAATCAACCGCCGCCATTCGCATCGCCCAACCACCATTCCCATCATCGTATCCATCAACCTTCGCCGCAGCCGCATCACCACGCTTCGCCGCCTCCATCGTCGCACCATCCATACATGTCACAACAGCCGGTGCCCCAGGCCTCACCTCCAGGAGCAGGTGGTCCTGTCGCGCCCGCCCTGCCTCCACCAGTAGGCCTGGCCCATCCTGCCTCGTCTTCTTCGCCATTGCATCCCCCCGGGGCATACTTCCCTCCGGCGAAGGCTTCACATCACGAATCGGCCGCGCCCCCGACCTCGCGAGCCTTTTACGACCCGACCAGCGATTCGGCGCCTGCTCAGAGGGAGCGACGCACCTCTGACGCCTCCTGGAACGCGAGACCCAAGGTGAGCAACGCGATGAACATTTCCCCGTGGCCGAGTCGACGTAACTTCAATTTTTTTTTTACGATCATTTCTTTTTTTCGCTTCCAGCATCAGACTCCCGACACGTTTGAAGCAATTTTCTAACGCGTTTTACCTAGTCTCCCGGGTACTGGCAAGATCGCCCACAAGCCCACTGGCCCCGTGAACAGCAACGCACGCCCAGCCGGGGTTCCGTACCGTTTGGATCACCCCCATCAAGAAATGCTGCGCCAGACACAAACAGCATGTCCAACGGCTCGGGTGTAGGCCAACACGGCCCGTCGCCTCAAAAGCCCCCTCCATCGAGCGTATGTCTCTTGTTTGACCATGTCGTGATCCAAACGTTGACCATTCTCTCAGGCATCTAACCGTGCCGACCCCATGTCTTTTTCGAACATTCTCTCCAACGCTGAACCATCGAAACCGCGCGAGCCGTCACCCGTACCTGTACGCCCCGTGGAGAACGAGCCCAAACCCAAGATCGAGCCCGATACTGAGACGCACACCGATCGAGACGTCATGGAAGATGACGACGAGACAGAACCCGAGCCTCGCGAGAGTGTTGTTCCCAAAAAGAGAGCAAGGAAGTCAACCAAAGGCAGGGCTTCCGACATTCGCGATGAGGCTGCCAAAGGTAGAAGATCGTCGACCAAGAGAGAGTCACCCGCACCTCCTAGTTCCCGCCCTCCGGTGCCTAAGCGACAGGCCAATGGGCAGCCGAAACCAGAGAAGACGTGGTCGACCGAGATGGAACGCCGTATAGGACAGGCTGAACGCGGTATCGACTCTGCAGACAAGACGCTTGCACCCGACGATGCCGATGTTGCGGCATACAAAGCCCGCGCCTCCAAGCGCCGGAAACTTATGGAAAGCTTCGAGGCTGACCAGGGTGTCCTCCGCCGCAACGACTTTGCAGTCACAGCTGGCAAGAAACTTGCGCGTCATGCCGAGCTCGGCAAGCGTCGCTATGACGAGGTCTTCTACGAGTCTGCACTCACTGAGGTGCGCGAGCAGGAGCTATTCGCTGAGAAGGAGCGCAAGAAGGATATGCAGCGCAAGCGCCGCCGTGAAAAGTCCATGGCTGTCACCCTGGAGCTCAAAGAGGCCGCCTTGGCTCGTGCAAACGCCGCCGAAGATGAGGAAGAGCGTCGGAAGCATCTGCGCGATGCCGAACGCGCAAACAAGAAGGCCCAACAGACAGAACACATCCTCCGCAAGGGGATCAAGGGCCCTGCCCGTAACGTGGATATTGGCATGGACGGCGGAGCCATGTCGTCGTTTGGAGCCTCTGACGCCGAGACAAGCACGCCCAAGAACAAAGCTTCCAAGTCTACCAAGAGTGGCAACCGGCCGAAGAAGTCTAAGGAGCAGAAGCAAGCCGAAAAGGACTCGGCCGAAGCGGCGCAGGCCGCCATCGACGCTGGCGAGGAGCTGCCCGCTCGCGACGAGTCCAAGGTCCGGCTCAAGATCACCAACAAGGGCAAGAAGGGCAAAGATAAGGACAAGATTAAGGACGAGTCCAAGGACAACGTGGACGGCGAGCCCGAGGCGCAGGACAAGGAAGATGCGAAGGAGAAGGTTGAAGACGTGCCTGATCTCGAAAAGAAGTTCATCTCGAAAGGCTACAACCAGATCTACGACCAGATCCTCCGCGATATTGCCCGCAAAGACGTCAACAAGACATATCGCATGGCATCCGACTCTTGCGCAACCAAGGCTAGTAACTTGAAGAAGACGGCCGTCCTCGCGTCAAAGGAAGCCAAGCGTTGGCAACTCCGAACGAACAAGGGCACGAAGGACTTGCAAGCTCGTGCCAAACGTGTCATGCGCGATATGATGGGCTTCTGGAAACGCAACGAACGCGAGGAGCGTGACTTGCGCAAGGCAGCCGAGAAGCAAGAGCTTGAAAACGCACGCAAGGAGGAGGCAGACCGCGAAGCCGCTCGCCAAAAGAGGAAGCTCAACTTCTTGATTTCGCAGACTGAGCTGTACTCGCATTTCATTGGCAAAAAGATCAAGACGGACGAGGTCGAGCGCAGTACCGATAACCCCGAGATTGCGCCCGCTGCGAACCAGCAGAACTCATCCATGGTCAATGTTAAGGAGCCTACTGGTCCGCTGACCGGCAAGGTGACTGACTTTGAGAATCTCGACTTTGACGATGAGGATGAGTCGAACTTGCAAGCCGCTGCCATGGCCAATGCGCAACATGCTATTGCCGAGGCTCAGAAGAAGGCTCGCGATTTCGACAACCAGGGTCTTGATATGGACGAAGAGGGCGAGATGAACTTCCAGAACCCGACCGGCCTCGGCGACATGGAGATTGAGCAGCCCAAGCTGCTGGACTGTCAGCTCAAGGAGTACCAGCTCAAGGGTCTCAACTGGCTGGTCAACTTGTACGAGCAGGGCATCAACGGTATTCTGGCCGACGAGATGGGTCTCGGCAAAACCGTGCAGTCCATCTCTGTCATGGCCTATCTTGCTGAGAAGCACGACATCTGGGGACCTTTCCTGGTTGTCGCGCCAGCGTCCACCCTCCACAACTGGCAGCAGGAGATTGCCAAGTTCGTTCCCGAGTTCAAGATTCTGCCGTACTGGGGCACTGGTGGCGACCGAAAGATTTTGCGCAAGTTCTGGGACCGCAGGCACGGCACCTACCGCAAGGACGCTGCGTTCCACGTTTGCGTCACATCCTACCAGCTCGTCGTGTCGGATGTGGCATACTTCCAGAAGATGAAGTGGCAGTACATGATTCTCGACGAAGCACAAGCGATCAAGAGCTCCCAGAGTTCCCGATGGAAGAGCTTGCTCGGTTTCCATTGCCGTAACCGTCTTCTCTTGACGGGTACACCCATCCAAAACAACATGCAGGAGCTATGGGCTTTGCTGCATTTCATCATGCCCTCACTGTTTGACTCTCACGATGAGTTCAGCGAATGGTTCTCGAAGGATATCGAGTCACACGCGCAGAGCAACACCAAGCTTAATGAAGACCAGCTGAAGCGTCTCCACATGATCCTCAAGCCATTCATGTTGCGACGTGTGAAGAAGCACGTGCAGAAGGAGCTGGGTGACAAGATCGAGGAGGATGTGTACTGCCAGCTGACGTACCGTCAACGTGCGTACTACAGTAACCTGCGCAACCAGATCAACATCATGGACCTCGTCGAGAAGGCCACAATGGGCGACGATCAGGACTCGGGTACGCTCATGAATCTTGTCATGCAGTTCCGAAAGGTGTGCAACCATCCCGATCTGTTTGAGCGCGCCGACGTCACTTCGCCATTCTCGTTCGGATACTTTGCCGAGACGGCTTCGTTTGTGCGAGAGGGCGACAATGTGCCTGTCGGATACTCTACGCGCAACCTGATCGAGTACAACTTGCCTTCGCTCGTCTGGACCGAGGGCGGTCGTCTGGACAGGGCCGGCAAAGACAACGAGAAGGCGGGCTGGCGAAACAAGGCCTTGTCGCACATGATGAACATCTACTCGCCGGAACATGTAAGGGAGAATCAGGATGGGTCCAAGGGGTTCTCGTGGCTGCGATTCGTTGACGCTGCTCCTTCGGACGTCTACAAGGCCACGCACAACAGCCTGTTTGACCGCGCGGCTGATGAGCTGCAAAAGCCTCAACGACTGGGTCGCTTCCAGGTTGCCTATGACGAGCCTGAGGATGGCAAGTTTGTGCCGGCTCACGCCTTGCTCCGGATTCGGGACCAACAAGAGCGCCGACCCTTGGCCGACATTACTCGTGAGGGTGTCCTCAGCAGCCTGATGAACGTTGCCAACCAAAGCTACTTTGACTCCGGCCTAGGCAGACTGGAGGCAGCCGGCAAACCGCAGGCCTCCGCACCCCCCATGGAGGTATCATGCAACAGTCGCGCCGCTGTGCTGGAACGTGAGAACACATTCTTCAACGTGCCGATGCGCAAGGCCTTGTATGGACCTGCACTTTGGGAGGAAGAGGCCCTCGTAGAGAACAGGGTACCGCTGGAGCTGTACCCACCTCGCAAGATGCTTCCCAGCCCGGATGGTGAGAAGAAGAGGTTCACGAACATTGGCGTGCCATCGATGCAGCGCTTTGTCACTGACAGTGGCAAGCTTGCGAAGCTGGACGAGCTTCTCTTCCAGCTCAAGGCTGGCGGTCACCGTGTGCTGCTCTACTTCCAAATGACGCGCATGATCGATATGATGGAGGAGTACTTGACGTATCGCAACTACAAGTACTGCCGTCTCGATGGCTCGACCAAGCTTGAGGACCGCAGAGATACGGTGCACGACTTCCAAACCCGGCCGGAGATCTTCATCTTCCTCCTGTCAACGCGTGCGGGTGGTCTGGGCATCAACCTGACGTCTGCCGATACCGTCATCTTCTACGACTCTGATTGGAACCCGACCATCGACTCGCAAGCCATGGACCGTGCTCATCGTCTGGGCCAGACCAGGCAGGTCACCGTCTACCGTCTCATCACCCGCGGAACGATCGAGGAGCGCATCCGCAAACGCGCCATGCAAAAGGAAGAAGTACAGCGTGTTGTCATCCAGGGTGGCGGCGCCAGTGTGGACTTCTCTGGCCGTAGGGCGCCCGAGAACCGCAACCGCGACATTGCCATGTGGCTGGCGGACGATGAGCAGGCGGAGATGATTGAGAGGCGTGAGAAGGAGCTGGCGGAGAGCGGCGAGCTCGAGAAGCAGCAGAAGAAGAAGGGCGGCCGTAAGAAGAAGGCTGACGCCCCGGCCAGCTTGGACGACATGTATCATGAGGGTAAGTTGACTTGCTTGTGTTCTTTTTTTGTACATCTGGCTAACTCAGGACAGGCGAGGGTCACTTTGACGATGCGAGCAAGCAGCAGTCCGGTACCGCCACGCCGGCCGAGAGCGAAAACAAGGGGAAGAAAAAGAAAAGTACGACCAAGCGCGCCAAGACGGCGAAGCAGCGCCTCGCTATTGCCGATGGCATGGTCGACATCTAGGCGGACAGTCGCGAGAATGGACGCCTCACGGCATCCACGCGTGCGCGCGCGGCGGGGGTGGAATGTACAGGATTGGAATTTTACACTTAATGAAGGGAACCAGCAAAACTTCAGGCGTTTGATCAGGGACAGCAAGAGCTTTTATACAGGGCGCAGATGCGCGGTGGTGGGCGCGATGCCGCGTTTGTATCAGTATTGATTCGGTAGACTTTGGCGGAGGATATGAAGCGCCTTGTTACAATACGGTTGTACATTGAATCCGCGTGACTGTTGGCTGACGCAGTAGCCATGTATGTGTATTTGTGCATGTACGTTGCTCTATAATTACATCTCTAAGTTCTCAACCCAGTGTATCAACTGACCGCCCAAACGCCAGACACCCAGCAAGCACCAGCACATTCATGTCAAGAGAATATCATACCCATCCTTTGTGATGCGCACCTCTTCCGCGCCGAACCCATACTTGCGCCTGATCAGCTCAAAGATGATGAGGCCGGCGCTCGTGCTGGGCACCTGGCGGATCGAGTTCCACCAGAAGCCCCTGTACAGCCAGCGGACGAGACCCGTCCCCTCCGCCTTGGCCTCGGCTGCGCAGACGGCGTACGAGGCCTGGTACGCGCGGTAGTAGGTCCTGAGCATGCGGAAGCGACGCTTGGGCGGCGTGGCGCGGATCTTCTCCGCCTTGGCGTCAATCTCCTCGAGGTTGTCCCAGTGCTGCACCTGAAAGTGCGTGAGCGGGTGGAGGAGGAGCTGCTGCGCAAAGGAGGCGCTCGTGCCGGCCAGCAGGAGGAACATGGGTTCCAGCGCGTAGTGCGGCCGGATCTGTGTGGTGCCCACCTCGTCGTCGTCCTTGTGCGTCGGTCGTTTCAGGGCGAGTAGGTCGATCATGTCGGCGCCGAGACCGGAGTAGTACCACGTGACGAAGCGGTAGTACCCTTGTGCTTTAACGTACTCAAACGTGCTGAAGAAGACGGCGCTGCCCAGACTGTCTTTGGCAAAGGAGAGACCCCAGCCCGCAAAGATGCCGCGCAGACCAATCTCGCGTAGCTTGGCCGCGCCAAAGGTCCACATGCTGCGTGGCTTCCCGTTGCCGTCGGCGGGCATGAGGTCTCGGTGGTCGAAGCGAGCCTGGAGCGCGTCCAGCGGTGCAGCAACGACAGACTGGATACCCCCCGCAATGAGACCTGCCATGAACGTGTGCTGCGGCGCAGGGGGCGGATAGACCCTCTTGGTCGCGCGGCCAGACTCCTCGTGCAGCCTACCAAGGATGTGCAGGTAACTCGTGTAGAGGACAGCGCCTACGCCCACGTTGGCGATCAGCGGCGGCATGATCTGCTGGGGGATGACGCTCCATCCTTGGTGTCGGACAGCTGAGGTCAGCACGCCAGGTGTCGTGCTTCGTAGGAGGAGCCACGTCTGGCGCATGAGCATGCCGATTCGCGAGGCATGCTTGTCATTGGCCAGCGCCTTGAGCATCTGCGCCGTCTGGGCATTGTGCAGCGTGCGCGCGTAGCCCAGGTAGTCCACCCTCGTGCGGAAGAAGGCCTTGGCCGGGGCGCGAAAGTAAAAGGCTACGACCTGGGCGCTGAGGGCGCGCACGGACGCTGCCGAGGCGGCTGTGGCCGCGTTGTTCCTTGGGTTCCTGTCCGGGAAGGGGTCTGCATCTGCGCGGGAGGGCGTCGAGGAGTCATGTGGGCCGGCACTCATTGTCCATCCGGCGCATGATGAGATGTGTGAGCGCGGCTGGGAGGTGGTAACGAACGTTGGATTCTCTCGTGGTGAGTTGGGCCGGTCGGAAGGATTGAGAGGTTGCGATTTGGGTGATGTGAGGCTGTGATGAGTCAGCAGTAGTTGTGTCCTGTCATTGGCTGGTGCAGCGGGTATAGCCGGCTGCCTGGCCCTGGGCCTCTTTTGGCTTGACAGTGTGAACAACTCTGAACATTATGGAATTCTACGAGATATTTGGGCTGGGTCGTTGAATTCTCTGTGCTCTCTAAATGTAGAACTTTCTGACGCACATAGTTCAGCCGGAGATTGCCCCCCTCACATCCACCGGCCATCCATCCCAGCGACTAGCAAGGACCCTCCCCTCCTTGACAACAGTCTTCACCGTGGACTCCCAGTCACTCAAGACACTAACATCCTCCAGAGGGTTCTTTTCCAAGACAAGCACATCCGCTACAAAGCCTTCCTTGATCCGGCCCAGATCCTCCCGTCCAATGAGCCGTGCCGCATTGATCGTGGCACCCTTGAGCACCTCGCCATCACTCAACACTCTCTTCCGTATCGTAAACTCATTGGACTGCTCAGCCTGTAGGGGACCGAGTAGATCGCTCCCGTGGCAGATCAGGACGCCCTCCTCGTGTGCGATTCGCATGGCCTCGAGCCCCTTCTCCAGCACGACCTTGTTCTTCGCCTGGTTCGCAGGTGGCAGGAAGTCCTTGTACTTGTCCATGCCCATCGCCTCGTACGTCACCAACGTTGGCGTCAGGATGGTACCCAACTCGGACATGTGCTTCGCGGTAGGACGGTCCAGGAGATTGCCATGCTCGATGCCCCGGACACCGTTGTCCACTGCATGTCGTATCGCCGCAGGCGTGTACGCGTGAGCAGTGACGTAGGTCCCGTAACTCTCCGCCACCTCAACAATGGTCCGCACCTCCTCTCTGGTGAACTGTGTATTGGTGAGCTTGTCCGTCGGAGAGGCGACACCCCCACTAGCCATGATCTTGATAAAGTCAGCGCCCGTGCGGAGATTCTCTCGTGACGCGCGCGTACACTCGCCCACGCCGTCGACGACGGTACTCAGTATCCCCGACGAGCAGCACTGGTGCGCACTCCGGACGTCGCCGTGACCGCCTGTCTGCGAGAGGGCCTTTCCGCTGGAGATGACGCGCGGACCAGGGAACACGCCCGCTTCAATGGCCTCTTTTAACGCGAGACTGGCGCCACCTGTGTCTCGTACGGTCGTGAAGCCACGCTTGATCATCCGCTCGCAGACCCACGGCTGGCGGAGCAAAGAGACGCCCACGTCATCCGCAGTCAAGTCGAGAGACTGGCCGTTCGGAACGGCAGCGAGGTGGACGTGGCAGTCTATCAACCCGGGACACAGGTACTTTCCCTGCAGATTGATGACCGTGTCTCCATCTTGGGGCGAGATATGAGGGCCGACGGCGTGGATGAGACCGTCAGTCAGCCGTACGCAGGTGAGGTCTGTGACGGAGGAGTAGAGGGGCTCTACGACACGAGCGTTGACGAGAAGATGCCGTCTTTGCGGCGGGAGCGCGAAGGGGTCTGTTGATGACTCTGAAGTAGCTGGGTCGGAGGGAACGATGCGTCGGACTGTCATGATGGCTTACACTGGCGGTGTATGTATGTAATGGTGCAGACTCCAGAGAGGCAAACGGCGGTGGAGGCGGCCTACCGTTTCGACAGCTCGGAGACCGGGACGTGGGGCCGAGCCTCGAGGTGATCAACATGAACGTCCGTGTACGTAGTGACAGTAAAGTTGTAAATTCCGTGTCCGTATTCATTCCCATGAAGAAGCAATGCGCCTAGATACGCCGTCCCATGCTGTTCCCTACCCGCTTGTCTCAATACTCCTCCGGCTGCGGCCGCCCGTCGAGCCACTTGCTCATATACGGCCCATCAAGCCAGAAGCCCAGCTTGCGGTAGTAGCTCCGCACACCGACGCCCGAGATGACGCTGAGCTTGTCGCTGCCGTGCTCGTCCCGCGCGATCCGCTCGGCCTCCTCCATGAGCAGCGTGCCAAAGCCCTGGTGCTGGAACTTGCGCGGGTCGCGCGCGTGCACGGGCACGGCGGTGCCGTACACGTGGAGTTCGCGCACCATGCTCGTCGGCTGGCCTGTCAGCTCCTCGCGGTAGGTGTACTTTTCGGTGCACTTGCGCAGACGCAGCAGCGCGACGAGGATGTCCTGCTTGGGGTCCTCGTAGGCCAGGAACGTCTCCCAGCCGCCGTTGGCTGTGTAGTCGCGACGCACGAGCTCGATTTGGTTGGGGCGGATCTTGTTCTTGACCTCGTTGACGCCGACCTCGCGTGTGCGCACGTCGCGACACGAGGTGCCAAAGTCCTTCATACGCGCCAGCGCCAGCTCGCGCAGGTTGCCGTTCTCCACGCCGGAGGAGACGAGTGGCATGGGGATATCACGCTGGACGCGGTAGATTCGTGTCCACGGCGGGATGAGGGCCAGTATTCTTGCCACGAGGTCGATGAGCCCGTTGGGTGTGTAGTTCTGGTACCGTCCTGTGCGCCATAACTCGTAGAGCCCCGTGCCACGGATGACTAGTGTAGGATAGATCTTGAGACCGTCGGTTCGGAATGCAGGGTTCTCAAAGTACTCCCTGAACTGATCCATGTCGCGCTCCATGCCCACGTTAGGCAGGTCAGGCATCATGTGACTGACGACCTTGAACCCAGCATCCTTGGCCAGGCAAAAGGTCTCTGCCACCGCGGCAACCGTATGGCCTCTGTTGGAATCCCTCGCCACGTCCTCGTACAGACTCTGCACGCCGACCTCCAACCTCGTGCAGCCGTACCGCAGCATGTCTGTGAGGTGCGGCTGCAGACAGTAATCCGGCCTTGTCTCGATCGTGATTCCCACGCACTTGATGTTGCTCATCTCGCCCGCTTCCACGGCCTCGTCCACGTTCGACGTCTGGTACCCGCTCAGCGCATTGTGCAGCTGCGCAATAAAGTCCTCGCGATAGGACTCGGAGAGTGACATGAACGTGCCGCCCATGAGGATATATTCCACCTTGTCGACCGAGTGCCCCAGACTCTTCAACTGGTCCACTCGCCCACGCGCCTGCTCAAAGGGGTCGTAGCGTGCGCGAATCGCTCGCATGGAGGTGGGTTCGTATCCAGTATAGGACTGTGTGCTGTATTCGAAATCAGAGTCCGGCCCGCCGGGGCAGTAGACGCAGATGTTGCCCGTGTAGGCAATGTGCGGACAGCGATGCGGCTTGCACATGACCGCCACGACCGCGATGCCTGAGCTCGTGCGGATCGGCTTGGCGATCAGCTTGGGCAGGATGTACTTCTTGTAGTGCTCGGGAATGGCGGCGATGATGGCGGTGAGGGGCGGCACGGACTTGAGCTTGTGCTTCTTGGCCATCTTGCCGCGGATCGTGTTCAGGTTGACGTCCTTGCCGGGCTGGCCATTCTTCTGGGCCTCGTGATCTTCGATGAGGGCGTTTGCGAGGTCGGCGCAGCAGCGCAGGAAGCGCTCGCTCTCGGGGATCATGTCGGCCGCCTTCTTCTTGTTCAGCGTCCCGGCAGGCGCCTGCGCGGTCATCGTCGCGGTCGCCATGGCTGCTGGGGGAGAAAGGTGGTGCAGTCGCTGGATAGAGAGAGTCAATCGCCAAAAAGTTGCCCCTCCGAATCGTCAGTCGTGAATTTCGAGAGTCGAAACGGTGATGGTGGGGTCCAGCCTAAGATGGGCTGTCCGTAACAAACGTTTGTCCCCGTTTCCAACGGTCGGTAGGCCGACGGCAATATCGGAAAAAGTGCGCGCCGGTGCCCCGGCCACACCCGATTCGGTCCTGGCGCCAATCAAGCGGCAGCTGCAAGAAACCGCATCGCGAATTCGAAGCTATCGTCGAACGAAGCCGCGAACCCCCTTCTGGTGAAGCCCATCCTCAAACCACCAACCCTCTCTTCCTCAGCGCCTCGTCTCTCTCTCTCCCTCCGCACACACACTCTGGTCATCACCATGCAGGCCATCTCTCGCTCCGTTCTGCGCCCGGCTGCGCTTCGCCAGGTTACCAGTCGCGCCTACAGCTCCAGCAGCTCGCCCTACGCGCAGACCATTGAGAACCTGCGTATCAACGGCGATACCAAGGTCATCTTCCAGGGCTTCACTGGCAAGCAGGGAACGTATGTGATCGGCCCCTACCCCCCGCGCTAGGTTCAATGGCTGACTGTATTTAGCTTCCACGCTACGCAGGCCATCGAGTACGGTATGCAAAATGACGAGAGCCCTCGACGAGACGCAGCAGCGGACACTGACACACCACAGGCACAAAGGTCGTCGGCGGAACCAACCCCAAGAAGGCCGGCCAGACGCACCTTGACCTCCCCGTGTTCAAGAATGTGAGCGAGGCTGTCAAGGAGACTGGCGCCACCGCCACTGCTCTCTTCGTGCCGTACGTTTCTTTCATTGTGCCCCCATGAGATACTCTCCTAACAACGCTGCAGCCCCCCGCTGGCCGCCGCCGGTATCGAAGAGGCCCTCGAGGCCGAGATCCCCCTCGCCGTGTGCATCACCGAGGGCATCCCCCAGCACGACATGGTCCGCATCACCTCGATGCTCAAGTCGCAGAGTAAGACACGCCTCGTCGGCCCCAACTGCCCCGGCATCATCGCCCCGGGCCAGTGCAAGATCGGCATCATGCCCGGCTTCATCCACAAGCGCGGCCGCATCGGCATCGTCTCGCGCTCTGGCACCCTCACCTACGAGGCCGTCAACCAGACCACCCAGGCGGGTCTCGGCCAGTCCCTCGTCGTCGGCATCGGCGGTGACCCCTTTAGCGGCACCAACTTTATCGACTGCCTCAAGGTCTTCACCGAGGACCCCGAGACGGACGGCATCATCATGATTGGTGAGATTGGTGGCTCGGCCGAGGAGGACGCCGCCGAGTTCCTCAAGCAGGCCAACACGGTCGGCCGCGGCAAGCCCGTCGTCAGCTTCATCGCTGGTATCTCGGCGCCCCCTGGTCGCCGCATGGGTCACGCCGGTGCCATTGTGGCCGGTGGCAAGGGTGGTGCCGACACCAAGATCAAGGCGCTCGAGGACGCCGGCGTCATTGTCGAGCGCTCGCCCGCCGGGCTGGGCAAGGCCCTGTACGACGAGTTTGTCCGCAGGGATCTCTTGTAAGGGGCGAGGCGGATGCATGTAGTGTAATGGCTTTGGGTCGCCGGTGTTGTTTCCTTGCGTCTGTTCCAATAACCGTACGTCACGTAACTGATAGAATGGGAGCATCATGGGTTGGATGTGAATATAAGTGAAACTTTACAAGTCCATCAAAGGAATTGTTCCTCTTCTGATAAGATATTCCGTTTATTTCTTACAGCCGTAGCCAATACCATGCCCATGACAAACAACGCCTTTTCCCATGCCCGTGCTGCTGCTATGCTTTCAAACCCGGCGACTCACGCCATCCATACACACCATCCTCATACTTCCTCCTCTGCTATCTTGGCCAATATGTGGGTGGTAATGTCCGCGACCGCCTCGTCGCTCGGGCGGTAGTTGTCCCCGTTGAACGTGGGAACCCGCCGCTCCTTGAGAACCTGGACGACGATCTTGGTCGAGAAGCCCATCTGAGTCCAGGTGCCGACCAGGCTCGGGTGGTAGCCCCCAAAGTCCTCGGGCTCGGGGGCGGCCTGGCTCTCAGCGTACTTGCCCTGCAAGTCGAGCTGCCTCTGGGGGGCGCCAGCATACTTGATGCTCCACTCCTGGGCGCGGCGGGCGAAGAGGGCGGGGGTCTTGACGGCCTGGCTAGCGACCTCGGCGTCCTGGGGGTCGTCGGTGTTGGGAACCTCGAGGAGCAGGCGGATGCTCATCATGGCGGACTTGATGGTCTGGACGGGGCTCCAGTTGTCGCGGAGAATGTCGAGGCAGATGGCGCCCGTCTGGGAGCTGACGTTGGGGTGCCAGATCTTTGTCTTGAAGGCGATCTTGGGCGGCTTGAAGGGGTACTCGTTGGGCATCGTGATGAGCAGGTCGAACTTGCCGCCCTCGTAGGGGGTCTTGGGCGGTCCGAAGATGTGGCCGTGGAGGTACTCCATCGAGGCGCCGCTGGGGTCGGAGAGCTCGACGGTGATGCCCGCGGCCGGGTCTGTCTGGATGTCCTTGAGCTCCTTGGCGACGCGGCGGTCGCGACTGGAAGGCATGGTGGCGGGTGTGGTATGTGCTGCTCGGGGTATCTCGTGCTGTTGATGTTGATGCTGGGCGATTGTGCTGTGCTGCTGTGGAGGGGCTGCAACTGAAGACGTCAATGGCGGAGGCACCTTTACTGGGGCGGCGGGAGCGCACGCTTTATGCAGGGTACCTTATTAGGGTAGGCCTTGGTGATCCATCAACTCAAGGAGCAAGGAACAAGATCAACAACCCTTTGTTCTGGACGAAAATGACGATAATCACTGTGTTTGGGGTTACCTGTTCTTGCAAGTAACAAACCACATTGTCATCCATCACCCGGCCCTTGGTCCCTGTAGAGCATGGTGGACCGCTCTCAGCCTCTGGCTGAGCTCTCGCTTGTGTTGCAACGTTGGTCCATTCCACGGAAGTGGCATGGAGGTGACGAACGGTTACATCTGCTCTAGCAATTAGACTGGGTGTGCTCTTCATTGAACACAGGTTACCATCAGAGCATCTTGATGATGCAGTCTGCCGCCTCTGCCCTACCCTGCACCACCAGGCGTCACACCAGCTGGGGTGCATCAACGGGCAAGCAATTTATTGAAACGCAAATTGAAGCGCTATTCATGTACTCGTGGCGGCGGCATAGATCTTGCTTGTTGTTGTTTGTCTTTTTCACAATGATAGCTGATGCTGTGCTCCTCGTTGGTCATTGACAGGGGATTCAACATCGTTCATGGCTGCCACATCCCCTGTAGTTAAAACCCGTTACGCCTTGTCGTCAGTTTCTGCGACATGATTGCTTATCACTCGAACAAACAATCCATCCATCACACCGTCTGCCTATTAGTTATTTTGATCCAAGGTGGCGCACACGGACGATCCAATTGTATGCCAAGCCGCGCGTTCGCATGCTCGCTCTCGCACAGACAAAGTTCGCCTCCTCCCGCTAGACGCACTCAATCTCACCATAGCAGCCTTGCTGCGCCACGTTGCGTTGCGACAGCCCACCACATCCTCCTCGCCATGTCTGACTCTCCAACTCAGTCTACAGGAGGATCAGATGTGGCGTACGCGGCCGTGTGGCACGGGCTTGCGTCAGTGTCTACCCGATAGGCGTACGACTCCCTTGGTGCGAGATGTCCGAGTCCGAGCCCATGGACATGATGGTATAAGTTATACAGCCTCGCCGGCAAAGGCAGCTGGTCTAGATAGCCATTATCAAACTCATCAACTCGTCCATCTTGCTACACTTCACTCTTTACCACTTTTCGCCCGTACTCCACCGCAACCATGACCACGGTCGTCACCAAGTACAACGACCAGCTGCCCCAGGGCCAGCACCAAGAACAAGACAGCCCCCCAGAGTACATGGCCGAGCCAACAATCACCCGTCGCCCAACCCTCGGCCAACGCCTACACCGCTTCTCCTCCCGCGCCGGCACCCCTCTAAACAAGGCCTCCAACATCCTCGGCGCGGAGGGCTGGTGGCCCACCTCCCTCGAGAAGGAGTCCCTGAAAGCAGCCCGCATCCTCTACTCCTTCACCAACCTCGCCGTCGCCACACCACCGCCCCCAAAGGCCGGCGGACCCAAGCACCCCATCGGTCTCAGCAAGAAGAAGCTCGTCAAGATCCCCGTCCACGTCCTCCGCAACTGCGCCGGGCTCGCCATCTTCAACACCATCCGCGCGGGCGCCTGGCACGGCAGTGTGAGTGGTGGCTCGGGCGTCGTCATTGCTCGTCACGCGGACGGTACCTGGTCTCCGCCCTCTAGTTTCATCGTGTCCAGTCTCGGGGCAGGCTTCGTCTTTGGTCTCGACGTCTACGACTGCGTCTGCGTCCTTAACACACCCGAGCAAGTCGACGCCTTCACGAGGCCTCGCCTCGCCCTCGGTGGCGGCGCTAGCATCACAGCCGGGCCTGTGGGAGGGGGTGCGTCCCTGGCGTCTGCTGTGAGCAAGGATGGCAGGCCCATGTGGAGTTATATCAAGTCCCGTGGACTGTGGGCTGGTCTCTCCGTCGATGGTACCGTTATTGTGAACCGTGGCGATGCGAATGCGCTCTTCTACCAGGAGAAGGACATCTCAGCACAGAGGATCCTCAGGGGTGGTGTCGCATGGCCAATGGGTGCAAAGCCCCTCTTTGAGGTCCTCAAGGCTATTGAAGGCCGGGGCGAGGTTGATCGCAGTGTGGTGGACGAAGTACTCAGTGAACCTCCCCCAGGTGATGGCGCGGCTGCAGCTCCGGCGGACTATGTCGATGTGCAAGCTGAGTACATGGACGACAAGAGGAGCATGGGGCATGATGCGGAGGTCCGCAAGGGGGACGATCTATATGAGAACTCAGTGGTGGATGAGAAGGAGGCTCTCGCCAAGGCTGGTGTCTGATTGAGAGAGCAGCGACTGTTGTAGGATAGGATGCCTGGATTCCTTCATCGTCATTTCGGAATAGCGAATGGTATTAATGATGTTGAAGACTGTAGAAAAGAGTTCCTGGGCGTCACCCCTTTTCAGGGGCCAGTGTCAACAATAGGCTTGGCGATGGCACCACAACTTGCCAAGGTTCAAGATATTTAAAACAAAGGGCAATCACCTAAAGCAACGCTTCTTATTTCATATAGACGCTATTCGTATCCATAAAGATAACATCAGCGGCATGTCGCTTCCACCAGATCGCACAGCCCAGATGTGCGCTACCCTTCCCCAACCCGCTTCCCCTCATTTCTCTACAGAACTCATTCAGTCGCGGTATCCCGAAGGAGCACGAAAGTTCATGATAGGTGCTGCTAAGAACCAGTTGTCGGTGAATCCGTGCGTCGGATCGAACCGCGAGTGTCCAGCCTTGCCATTGTGCGTGTCCACCCAGAGCCTTGTCACAATGTCAGCCTTGGCCCTGATCCTCCACGCATCCGCGTACCCGATGCTCGGGCCTATTCCTGTCAGGATGGATGCCCACATGCGGACGCCTAGTTTATCAAGGGACGTGGTGAAGCCCAGTTTCGCAAGCTTCCGTTGCATCTCAGCATCGTTCCGGATCATCTTGTCGTTCTGTGCGGCGGCATGTATGCAAGCACCGTTGAGAACCCCGACGTATGCCAGTACTTCTCCATTCAGGTTATGCGCCTCGTTGCGGAGAAAGGGGATCGAGCTGCATTTCAGCCGACTGCGCGCATGGAGGCTCTGACCACGAGCAACGAGCTCGTATTGCCAGAAACCGCGCTGAAGCGTGGAGAATGCCTCAAAGGTATGGAGAGGCCTCTTCTGCCCTTGCCCCTCGTAGACACGCATCTTTCGGTATTTCCAGAACTCTCTGCTCGCCTGGCGCCTGACGTATTGCTCTCGCGCAGTGATGACTCCCCTATCACGACGCTCCTTTCGCCAGGAGTTCTCAAAGTTCTGCTTGAACCGGCACCAAAACCCGCCAGCAGACGCTCCGACAGAGGGGGGACGCCGTGGTGCGCTTCCGAGTATAGAATACAGCGCGTGGTATGTCAGCGTATTGACCTTGCCGGCCATCACAGCGGCATCGCCCAATAGGCGCGGATGGAGGAGATCTTGGATCGCCCCCTTTTTGTCGGGTTGCGCCGCAAGGAGCAAGATATGTTGAATTCCAGTATTGATGCCATCCGACGGCAGAAGCAGAATGAGTAGTGTCACCATGGCGATGCCGTAGTTCTCTGGCAGGATCGCGTTGCCAATGATGCCACGGTAGATGGTCTGGTACGACAAGCACGCCAGGGTTGCTGCCGCAGGCTACGCGGCGCAAAAGGCGTCCAGCGTTTGAGTGTTGTCCATACTCTCCATGATTCGGACGACAACCTTTGGGGGCAAATCTTGGAGTCGCTTGGCGCTCGTGAAGCTGGTGAGGCACCGACTGAAGTCCCATGATGGAGGACACAGCATGCGATGTGCGGCCAGGATAGTATGCCAATACAATCGGCTCTCATTCAACGCAGAGCCATTCTGAGAACGAGACTGAGCATTGTCAGGCACAATTCCTTCACCAGCGAGCCAGTATCGACGATATCGCAGGCATATCTTGGGAATAGTCGCAGGAGTTTTTGGATCCGGCGCCGGTGGGGAGACAAGCTGCACTGCGACACGTCCCAACTTTGACGGTGCTCTGGCGGAGTCATACAATCCCAGTGGCGAGGGATGAAGCGGCAGGTATCCACCAGGTCGACAGCCATTGTTCGAGCGAGGGACCTTCCTCCTCTTGCCAGCATACGATCTTGGTCGGAGATCGAGGTCAACATAGCGTGAGAGCCAGGACAGACACCGCTTTGGCTGCGTAGGCTTTGCAGGCTTTGCAGGCTTTGCAGGCCGCACAGACTGCGTAGCCGGCGGGTCCGACTTTTGGCATGTCTGCGAACCAGAGTCCGGTGGCTTAGGCAACTCTTCTGCTTCATGTCGCAGACGAGGCGGGCTTAGGGTATTCAGCGAGTCGGGCGGAGTAGCACGGGGCGTGGGCTCTTCAAACACTTCCTGGCGAATTTCCCGCTCTAGAATCTGCCACTCGACATCGCCATCGTCATCGTACGATACATGTGTCTGGTCGTTGTTTCCGGATTCTGGCGCTGGCGATGGGTATCCCTCGCGTGCAGCTTTGTTGGCCTGCGCCCTGAAGAAGGGGGGTTGCATAGTCATCGTTGGACATATCTCGCAGCCTTCATCGCTTTTAGGCATGTTGGGGGACATGGTAATGCTGCTGATGCATAGGATAATATCGAGGTAGTGGTTGGGAGAAGTGTAGAAGAGACGCGAAGCGCGGACTGTCGTTGTTGTTATGTAAATGCAGCAGCAGGCAATGCCAAGGGCGCACTTGCCCACAGGTTCTGTTTCTCCAGGCAACAAGGCACTCACTCATTCCGCTGCAGTGTATTTGCCAGCTGAATATAAATTCATCACAACTCCTATAACAAAGAACCGCTTCCGACATGACCCATCCCCTAATCGCTGCTGCTGTTGTCACAGTTCCAAACATGAAAACCAAGAGAGGGGGAAAAAAAAGGTAGAGAACGAAAAAAAGCCTGTACCAGATGCCATCGTCTCCTCAGTCCAGCCTAGCCCAGTTCCTCTCCTTGACTCCTTCCTTTCGGCATACCTGTGGCAACCACCCCCTAACGCCCGAATTTGCAAGAAAAAAAGGGAGAAAGGCCCAGCCAGGCCAGACTCCACAAAAAAAGATCATCCAGATGTTCCAACGACATGCATTGTCTGTCCAGACAATTTACTTCCTCGAACTTGAGCCGCCAAAGTCGACCTCGCGCTCCTGGAGCTGCTTCTTGTCCTTGCGGCTCTTGATGACGAATTCCGACATGATCTGGATGTGATCGGCCGGGTAGTGCCAGTAAGGGAAGGCAGGTATCCTAGACAGGTATTCGCGGTCAGGGGGTCCCAGCACACTGACAACCTCGAGTGAGTTGGTCGAGTACCAAATGTAGTCGATGACGTCGGTGAAACCGGGCGTGTAGTTGGTAAACGGCATCTCGTCTGCCGTGTTCCTAGTGTGAGCATATGCGTCACGCAAGCTGAACGGGTGCTCGATGCCGTCTCGCGTGAAATTGCCGTACTGGTACTTGGACAACTCGGGGTGGTCAGGAGGCACGTGGCCCTTGGACAACAGGTCGTACACGGACGAGTCGGCTGTGGAGTTGAGATCACCGCACACCAATAGTGGAATTTCCGTGTTGGTGCGGTATTCCTGGCTCGGGCCGGGCTCGGCTTGAGGGGGTGGTGCTTCGGCATCATCGTCCCTGGGCAAGACGATCATCTTCTTGTCCTTGACCGCAGGCCAGCGCGCGTATTTCTCGGCCAGCTTGGTGACGTGCTCCATCAGAATACCAGTCTGGATCAATTTGACATCTGCCAGAGCCACATCCCACGTCAAGTGCGCATTGATGAGCATGATGCGTGCGCCTGTCAACCGTGACTCGAAGAAGCACACCACAGCAATGTTGTCCTTGGGCATGACACGGTTGAACACGTCGTGCTGGTTCTTCATGTCTGACCTGTTGATGGCGATGGAGGCAAATTCGATGAGCTGCTTGTCGAGTAGGATGAACTTGCTCTGCTTGTAGAACACGGCGCAACCGTCGACGGACTGGGCGTCCCTTTCGGACATGGTCTTGGCGCGCGACTTGGGCCATTGCACACCCTTGTAGTCCATCCGCGCAAGAGGCGGGCTGAGGTCTTCCTTAAACGCATCGGTCGACACCTCTTGCAGTGCTAAGAAGTCGGCGTCCCTCTCCCTCAACTCCTCGAGAATACAGTTCTGGCGGTATGTCCAGTTCAGGGCCTCCGTCGGAGTGTAGCCGTATGTGCTCGCTGTGGCATACTTGTCGCACAGGATATTCCACGAGAAGACCTTGATGCGTTCGAGATTCGCGCCAACGTCTTCCTGGATGACGATATTTTCGCGGGGAGGAGGCGTGGGTGGAGCTGTCACCATAGTTAGTATCATTGGAACACGGAGAAGAAAATGATATAAAACTCACGCGGTGCGCTTTCTTTGAGAGCATTGATCAAGCTCTTTGTTCCCTTTTCCACGAGTTCTGTCTTCACGCCCGCTTCTAGCGGATTCCCCTCGACGCCCAACATTTCCAGCAGATGCAGGGATCCCAGTTCAAACGGTAGCTCGGTGATGTTGTTGCTGAAGAGGAGGAGCTGCTTCAAGTATGTGCACATGCCCAGCTCCGGCGGGAGGTCGACCAGCTGGTTGTACGAGGCGTCGAGGTGTCGCAGCTGGCGGAGCTCGCCAATCTGCTTGGGCAGGCGTGTGAGTTTGTTGGACGCAATGTAGAGCTCGTTGAGAAACTGGTAGCGAAACAGCTCGGGCGCCAGATTCCGTAGACCCTGCCCGCTCATGTCCATATTGTGCCAGTCCTGTCGCTTCGCCTCGTCCATCGGGTTGTACGGCCGTCTCCTATCGGCGAGGTCGGTCTCGTTGTCCGCTTGCGTCTTTGTCGAGGCCGCCGGAGGACCACCTATGCCTTTATTCTCCGACGCCTTAAGCCGCGCATAGTAGTGGGGTTGCTGCTGCTCCGTCATGGCACTGTGAGCCCGCTCTGAGTCCTTAAACAGGCGAAGCTGTTCCTGCCATCCTTCATTCGGCGCCGCCTGGCCTCCTCTGGAGCCGCCATGGCCATTGGGCAGATTCGGACTGAAGGGGCTGTTGGACAGAACCCCAGACGTGTAGTTGTTGTGGTGGTTGAGCCCGTTGGTGTTGGACAGGCCGTGATCGGGGCCCAGACCTTGGTGGTGCTGGTTCTGGGAAGGGTGGTGTTGCTGGGCGTGCTGGCCGTAGTTGTAGAGCATGTTGGGGATCCCACGGCCAGCACCATTCAGCCGCGCATTGTGGCTCTGCTGATGGTTTTGGGAGTACATGCCAGGACGCTGACGGCTTGGCCGTTGACAGACGACGTGTTTGCTTCTCACAGAGGTGGGGGACGTGTGGCTAGGGATCGGAGAATTGTGTCGTCGTAGGCGGGCATCTGTCGCGAATATTTCTTTTATCGCTGAGAATGGCGCAAAGTCTGGATGTAGCGGTCGCTCGGTATCTACGTGTGCTTGGCTCCCTGGCGTAGGTTTCAGTCCGTCATCAAGCAAGCTTGACAGGGCGCTCCGCAAGTGTTGGCAGACTGTGTGCGACGACAAAAAAAGGCGGTGCGAGGTCTGAGCCAGGGACGTCAGCCAGGGTATCGTTGCAATGTCAAGTTTGTGAAATGACAGATGTCTTTGTCTGAGACTACAATACTTGGTGGGAGGGATTGTGTCACCTGCGCTGGTGGGAACGGGAGTATAACATACGACCAAGTGGCGGTGAATTCGTAGGGATCTCGAAGAGCGCTGGAACTGCAATATATACTCGGTATTGCTGGGAATACTTGAAGATGGTAGGTCGCAACGTGATTCAACGATCGCAGCCTGGTCACCGGTCGAGCGGTGTTCCGCGAGCTGGACAAGTTCGGCCGATGATCCACCCCACCGGATCGGATCATTCAAATCCCGGATCACGTGCGAGGGGTTCATCATGCTTAAATGATGCAAAGGCATGTTTCCTGTTCACCACTCTAATAACGGCTACTCAACACACTGCTACTCCTCTAGGTGCTGGCTCGCTCTGTTACGTCGTACATCCACCACCCCGAGACTGGCTGTAGCGTGTCCAAGCCAGTTCTTCTCTCGTCTGTTCCATTCTTGTCTTTCCCGCCATCACTCAAGCCGTATGACGTGTTTGGGTTCGAATCATCTAGACCTTCACCACTGCTCGACACTGCGACACCGACCATGCCTGCCACAATCTCCGTGTTGTATATGGTCCCATTGTCGTCCAACAGGGCAGGCACCTTGGTGTAGCCAAGAGGAATGTTCTTCGATTCCACTGATTCGAATGTGATGCCGTCAAGCTCGCATTCCGCCGTCTCACTACGAGAGTACCAGGGGTGCTCGGAGACCTCGAACTTGGCACGCTTGCCATGGTTGTCCCATCGACAAAATGCTGTCATCCAGCCAGAAATCCATGTAGGGCCTGAACCACCCCCCTTGTAGTGCGCAATTTTCGACCAGAACTCGATGACCTCGCTTCCTTCTGGCTCGTCAAAAGTGCGAACGAAAAAGTCTAGGACCTTCTTCAGACGCAGCGCGAACTCTTGCGCATCAGTGCCCCATTCATCAATTTTCTCCAGACGGTCCCGAAGGCGAACCCAATCATGCTTCTCCCCAAGTAAGGTAACAGAGGGGATACCGCACAGGAGACGAAATTTGTACGTGAAGTACTCTTGCATGGCACCCATGAAAAGCCCAGCGGCCACTACAGTGTCATTGTCGGTGGTTGTGGAGAAGTCGGGTAGAATCCATTGGCGAAGGTCCTTGTCCACCACGAACTTGTGCATTTCACCTGTCATCGACACGGCCATCCGGCCAAGATCGACGGTGTAAATGGTACCCACTGCTTCGACAACAAGCTCCTTTTTGCCTTGATGGGCCACGAAATGCTTCCGCAGGTTTTCGGCATTGGCGTTGATGTAAAATGATAGCTGCGTGAGGATCGAAAACCAGACATCCTCAGGCCGCAGGATCAGATGATGATGCGAAGAGTATGCATCAAGAGCGGCGCTGACCAAGCCGTTGCTGGCGGGCGATATGTTATGGTCGGGGTAGAATGAAGCCTGGAAGATTTCCTTGCATGCTTCCGACTCCCTGCGCGCCGTCTGCTCGAGGTGCGTTTCTGGAGAGGTCACAATCTCGCTCCTCCATTCCCGGGGGGCATTGGTGCTTGGCCGGGTAGTCACAGGCATGTTGCTGGTCTTGGTGATAGAGCTGATTGTTAAAGTAGGAACAGCACTCGGATTCAAAAAGCCACCAGAAGTGAAGATGCTTCTGAAGTATGTACTCTGTCCGTGTTTGTTCTGTAGATCAGTGTTACGTGAGATGTGCTTGGGGCAGTGTTGCTTTTGTACACAGCCCCAAAGCTTGTTGCGCTCGTTCTTTCTGCAAGTCAGCAATGGCCGATCAACAACGACCAATCAACAACTGTGATGCCTGGGAGTTCAGCAAACCTTAGTCTCGTGTGATTTGTTGTGATCCATGAACCTAAGGTACCGCAGTTGGGGTAACGACGATCGTACAAGCCCATTTCCAGGCTCATAAACGCTGTCGTGCACTACCCGGGTATTATCATAGCAAACATAGTAAATTTTCTATGGCTGTCTTTCCATGTATTTTGCATCTGGGTTCCGTGAGTCTGATGCTGCTCTCGTTATTGATCTGTTAAGAATCGTACGGTCTAAGTTAACTACCCTGCGAGATCTATGCGGCCGCCGAGCAGATGTGAGATAATGTAACCCATCGGCCTTACTGCTGAGGTAGTTTGCGTTTCGCTTTAAGGCATTCGTTCCAAATTGTGTCTGAGTTACAAGAGTGAGTGAGACTGTTGTTCAGGCAGGAGGAAGCCAGCATATACACCACATCAGATGTATATTCAAGGTATTTCTAACCGCAGCATCGAACGATATTGGGCAGTGCAATCGAAATGAGTGAGTATACATAATTACAGGAAACGATTTCTAACAATAGGCACGTAAGAGACACCAAATGGCCTAGCAAGCAAAAAGGAAATTTCACGAGTGACTACCACCTCTCGATGAGAGGCGCAAAAAGAGTGTCCTCAGTGAGGCTCGAACTCACGACCTCTGGATAACTCAAGACTGAGCTTGATCATATTATGTAATATGAGACCAACGCGCTAGCCAACTGCGCCATGAAGACAGATGCTCGAGGACTTGAGAGTTCGGTCTATGAAGGCTACTGTCAGGGCGGGTATGTGCGCCGTTAAAATGTGCGGCGGACAGACTGGGAGACATATCGCTTCATTGGTGGCTAGAGCCCCGTATTTCTCCTGATCCGGTCAACTCGCCGGGTATTGCTCCGACCTCTTCCGGTCCGATTCATTCTTAAACCAGAAACTCAGAGTCTTGTGAGGCCTGCACACGCAAATACTACAGGGAGGTCCAAAACGAGTGTCCGCTTTCCTGTGGTACAATGAATTATAACAACGGCTATTTCTGGACGCGGTGGAGCCCTACAGTGCGCCCAGGGATAGACTACACGAGCGCGAGGTAGCGCGACAATTGCGAAGCTGTCTCCCCTGTATTCGCTTGCTACATTCACTCCTGCAGCGTCTGGTCCCACCCCTCTGAAACACATCTGATGCCTAACGTAGGAAATTGCTCTATGCTCCATTTAGTTACTTGATCCGGTCACCCACATATAATGAGCCTCCTGCTACTCCGGCAATTCTCTCTAACCTATTCTTACTGTTCCCATCTATCGGGACCTCACTGCTAGCCTTGATGTCCGCCATGATCTCTCCTGTCCAGGTCGCGCGCTTGGTGGGGTTGCTGGCCCCACTATCCCTTTAGAAGAGCGTGGAAAGAAGGGATTCTGCCTAACAAAACTATTGATTTCCCTCTCTGCCCCCAGTTCAAAGCTGTTCACGAGTAATCTCTGCTCGATGTTTTTCTCGTCATTATGGTCGAAGCATACAGTCCCAGCCAGTAGCTTTATTCCGAGGACTGTGAATTTGGGGTTTCTTCTCCCGGTCATGTCAGAGCCTAGCAAGACTTCTTGCCCACCCTACACCCTGAAATGGACACTCTGCCAGAAGAAGACGAGGCTCCACAAGCTCACTGGGAATGCGGTCCAGAATATCATATCCTACCCCAGCATATTTTGGGACGATAAACTCGAGTCTGAGATTGCAGATGTCGTGGCGCAGAAGCGATTAGCCAACACCCACGAGGCTGAAGAGACACAACTCGTATGTTCAATCAATGCTCGCGGCGAAGAGGCCATACCCGGGCGTTTCCCGGGGTCCGACGTCAACTGGGCAGACGTAGATGAACAGATCGCGATACATGCATACATGCATGGATCCTGTGTCAGCTTGCCGCATAGCGTATCAATCATGTATAGTAGGAGACGAGACGGCCGGCCGGTTCTATTCGGGGGTGGCCGTGTGCGGCCAAAACGGCGAATGGTAGAACGTATTCTTCGGACGGCGCGCTCGCTGCACTGTACTTTCTGAGCAATTGCTCGACTCGTCTGATTTTCAGAAGCGGAGCCCGAATTTCCTTGTGCTTCTTATGAGATAGCTGTCGTGCCATGGCTGTGCTAGTGTCGCGAACAGAGGTGCTTGGGCTCGGTCGGTGAAGAGTCTACTAGCTCGCGTTGAACTGTTTTCCTCTTCGGTTTTAGCCGCGATTATTCCGCTGCCAGGCCCCTTGGCTCTAGTTGTTCCAAACGTGACTCACATAGCCAGCCAGCTCTCTTGAGGAGGCGTCATGTCACGTGATTCATTAATATGGATTAACTCGCCTCTCTCCAATTCACCTCGTTCCTGAATTAATCCCACTGGCAGGAGTTTTCACATCCCCATAGCCAATAAGATAGGCTCACTTGCGAAAGTATGCGACGGCGTTCGCTCACTCTGCGCACAAGAACAGCGTCGACGATATCGGCGTATCAAACAAGCATCTGCGTTTACTGCAGCTACCAATTATAGCCTGGCGGCGCAGTCACAGCATGCAGCGCTACAAGCTGCATCAAGGCGAGGCGAGGCGGGATGAGGCACTGATTGGTTGCTGTCGCGCTTAATATTAGTTGTGCACTTTGCGTGTTTCGTTCATATCACGGGAGAGCAAACCCCGCTTTGTCCTGCTTTTAGCTCCTAGCTAATTATCTGTTTCCTACATGAGTACGGAGTACAATAAGACGATACTCAATGACTTATTGGAGCCGATTATCTCCTCGTACTTGTGTGCCGCCCACTCAGTGAAAGGACAAACCATCATAGCCTCTCGCGCGACGAGCAACCGATCGCCCCGCCCTGCCTCGCGCAATGACTTTCACGTCGCCGTTCTCTGCGCCCTCCCCTTAGAAGCTAACGCAGTCGAAGCTGTCTTCGACCAGCACTGGGATGACGGCGGCCTATCATTTGACAAAACACCCGGCGATCCTAATTCGTACTCTATAGGTGTTATCGGCCGCCATAATGTCGTACTGGCGCACATGCCGGGCATAGGCGTAGCGAATGCCGCGTCCGTTGCGAGCGCTTGCAAGACGAGTTACCCTAACATCAGATTAGGACTCGTCGTTGGAATCTGTGGCATCGTTCCCGGTAATGGTAGCGATGAGAGAGTGCTAGGCGATATCGTCATTAGTGACGGCGTGGTGCAGTACGACTTCGGACGGCATATAGATGGGCATTTTATGCGGAAGAACACCCTGCTGGAAAGCTTAGGAAGACCCCTATCCGAAATTCGATCTATACTCGCGAAATTTCGTGGTATTCGGGGTCGAGCTTAGCTTACGAAGCGCACATCCAGCTACCTAAGCGACATTCGAGCAACACCACAGCTAGGCGCCACTTACCCCGGCAAGGCACGTGACAGGCTATTTGAGCCCGACTTTAAGCACATAGATGAACATAAGACATGTGGTGACCTTGGCTGCTCTGGTACTCCCGTGCCACGCAAGCGGCTCCTGCTAGAACCTGACGAGCCGGCCCCTAGCATTCACTTTGGATTGATCGTATCTGGGAGCACCGTGATGAAGTCGGGAAGGGACCGGGATAGGATCGCAAAGGAAGAAAACGTGGTCGCATTCGAGATGGAGGGTGCGGGCGCATGGGATAGCTTCCCGTGCGTGGTGATTAAAGGGGCATGCGACTATGCGGACAGTCACAAGAACAAGGTGTGGCAGCGGTATGCTGCGGCAGCCGCGGCGGCGTGCATGAAGGGCTTTCTCCAGGAGTGGGTGCCGATTGAAAGTACGTGGCCGAGTTTTACTAGGTCTACGAGCTAACGGGCGGTAGGTATAACACAGATACCCAAGGGTCCATGGTGTATGTCGCGGCATTTCGAGCTACGTATCTTTCTAATAGGCTATTAGTTGTTATTCCGCACCCAAAGAACGAAAATTTTGTGCCGAGAGTCTCTTATCTAGAGACCCTTATGTCACAGCTCGGCCTCGGTACGCATGCGGATAAGCTAGGATCGAGAGTGGCTCTCTATGGCTTGGGAGGTATTGGGTAAGCGATCGAACTTCGAAAGATAAGCCGGGTAACTAACAAAAAGGAAGAAAAACACAGATTGCACTATCCTACGTGCACTGGCTCCAGGAAATATGTCCTAGTACATCCGTGTTCTGGGCCCATGCAAGCAGTCCAGAGCGATTTTTACAGAGTTATACGTCTATTGCCTAAGAATGTAAGATTGCCGGTTACGACGATCCCCAAGCGGAGATACTATCCTTGGTGAAATCCTGGCTTGAGCAGACGGATCGGGGTCGTTGGCTTATGGTGATCGACAATGCGGACGATACCGAGCTCTTTGCCCCATCACAAAAGGACGAACTCATCCACATGTCAGGTCCCGCTATTGGCAGAGGGAAACTAGGTCGCTTCGTGCCCTCGTGCCGGCACGGCTCGATCCTAATTACGAGCCGGAATAAGCAGACCGCCGTCCGGCTAGCGCCTGCGAAGCACCGGATCCAGGTAGCGAAAATAACGGATGCGGAGGCTATGCGGCTCATCCGATCCACTATGGAGGATGATGATATCACAGTGGGGACCACAGAGCGACTCGCATCCCGACTCGAACACTTACCTCTTGCACTCGTGCAAGCAACGGCCTTTATGCAGGAGAACGGCACATCTATCGAGGATTACTTACAATTACTAGATGAAAGCAACGAAGTCCTGGTCAACCGTTTGAGCGAGCTATTTGAAGCCTTCGGAAGAGATTCCGAGACGTTACAGGTAGTAACAGCGACTTGGGTCATCTTATTTGAGCAAATCGAAAAGCAGCATCCGTTGGCAAGCTCTATGCTTTCAATAATCAGCCTTTTGGATCGTTAGGGTATACCCAAAAGTTTCGTGAAGGATTACTAGACATCTACGCAGCTAGATAACCAACAAGGCTAGAGTGGCTTAGAGGCTGTGACGAAGGCACTAGGTACTCTCATTGCATTCTCCTTTGTCTCAAATAGAAAGAATGACACGGTGGATATGCATCGTCTAGTCCAGCTCGTAACTCGCAAGTGGCTCGCTACTAGGGGAGCAACGGACGACTTTACGGTAGCAGCTTTAAAGGTGGTGTCGAATGCCTTTCCATGGGGAAGATTTGAAACCCGAGATATCTGCTTGCAGTACTTACCACATGCTCATGCTGTATTAACAGCGCATGGAAAGGACGTGGAGGCCGCCAAACTTCCCCGAGCATCGCTTCTCTATAATATAAGCGGTCTTTTCATGCATCAAGGTAGCTGGGAAAATGCCGAAGCCTACTTAAGCCAAGCTGTAAGAATACTGGCCCAAGCGCAAGGCGAAGAGCACCCGGATACACTAACAAGCATGGGCAACCTGGCAGCGACATACAGGAACTAGGGCCGGTGGGAGGAGGCAGAGACGCTTGAGGTGCAGGTGATGGAGACTCGCAAGACGAAGCTTGGGGCGGACCATCCCGACACGCTGACGAGCATGGGCAACCTAGCGGCGACATACAGGAACCAGGGCCGATAGGAGGAGGCAGAGACGCTTAGGGTGTAGGTGATAGAGACTTTCAAGACGAAGCTTAGGTCGGACCATCCCGACACGCTGATAAGCATGGCTAACCTAGCGTTAACATACTAGAACCAGGGCCGATAGGAGGAGGCAGAGACGCTTGGGGTGTAGGTGATAGAGACTCGCAAGACGAAGCTTAGGGCGGACCATCCCGACACGCTAACAAGCATAGCCAACCTAGCGTTAATATATAGTAACCAGGGCCGATAGGAGGAGGCAGAGACGCTTAGGGTGTAGGTGATAGAGACTTTCAAGACGAAGCTTGGGTCGGACCATCCCCACACGCTGACAAGCATGGGCAATCTAGCGTTAATATACTGGAACCAGGGCCGATAGGAGGAGGCAGAGACGCTTGGGGTGCAGGTGATAGAGACTTTTAAGACGAAGCTTAGGGCGGACCATCCCGACACGCTAACGAGCATGGGCAATCTAGCGGCGACATACAGGAACCAGGGCCGGTGGGAGGAGGCAGAGACGCTTGAGGTGTAGGTGATGGAGACTCGCAAGACGAAGCTTAGGGCGGACCATCCCTACACGCTGACGAGCATGGGCAATCTAGCGGCGACATATAGGAACCAGGGCCGGTGGGAGGAGGCAGAGACGCTTAAGGTATAGGTGATAGAGATTTACAAGACGAAGCTTGGGGCGGACCATCCCCACACGCTGACGAGCATGGGCAATCTAGCGGCGATATATAGGAACCAGGGCCGGTGGGAGGAGGCAGAGACGCTTAAGGTATAGGTGATAGAGACTCGCAAGACGAAGCTTGGGGCGGACTATCCCCACACGCTGACAAGCATGGGCAATCTGGCGTTAATATACTGGAACCAGGGCCGATGGGAGGAGGCAGAGACGCTTGAGGTGTAGGTGATAGAGATTTGCAAGACGAAGCTTAAGGCGGACCATCCCTCCACGCTGACAAGCATGAACAACCTCGCCCACACTTGGAAGCGTATGGGAATGGTATTGGAAGCTACTAAATTAATGCGCGAATGCGTTCGGCTAAGATAACGTAAGCTGGGCTTAGATCACTTACATACGAAGGCTTCTGTCTCTACTTTAGAAGACTGGATTAGCCAGCTCCAAATTTAAATACGGATTTTCTGGGATTGACTTTGCCTATCCTCTTAGTAAATAGCTCACAGCTTCCGTTCTTATCTAGGCCACTGCGTGCTATAGTATTCATAGGTCCCGAAGCTCTCGCCAATGAGGCATCCTGACTAGAGTGAAGGCTCAGCCGTGGTTGGCTATGCTTTATGCTAGATCACGTGAGTTTCGGAGGGGTAAGTGAAGCATGTTTGGTGGGGTGCATATAGTAGGCACCGCAGGGGGGCAGTGTTCGCAAATGTGACGGCTACCTTGCACTCGTGGGTTCTTTTCCTGTTCGCACTGTACGTCTCCACCGCGTCCAGAAATAGCCGCTCTTATAATTCATTGTATTACAGGAAAGCGGACACTCGTTTTGGACCTCACTGTACTGTTGAGGTGCGCTATATCACACGTCTTGCCAATGCACTCACAGTGCATGCTCATATCGCATAGTCTGGTCACAAGGCCAAATTGAATCACAACTGCATAGGGGTTGACTGAAATCACTCAAGTTTTGATACAGCAACTAGCCAGTATTGACCAACAAAGCATATCGCGTATTGAGGACGCTGCCTTTGTGTTTCCTTCTTGCCACAGCCGAAAGATACGACCTCGTGTCTCCGCCAACGTGTCCCACTCTACCATGAACGCGCTCCGGAACAAGGCACCTGTTGCCCCTCGACTTAAACGTTCGTCTCTGAATGAACGGCACGCTCATTGGGAGGTGTCATGGCCTCCTTCTCGCCGTACTTGGCCGAAAGATCGCCGCGCTCCGCTGCCCGGGAAGCCTTGGAGGCAACGCGGGTCTTCCACGCGGGAGTACCAATGTACTTGATACCATTGGGATCCTCAAAGATGGCCTTGGTCTCCTCGAGAGTCTTTCCAGCCGTCTCCGGGAACAGGAAGAAGACATGCCAGAACGCCGCAAAGAGGAAGACAGCGAAGACGAGATAGGTCTTCCACTTGATGTTGGCAAAGGCCTCGGGGACGAAGAGACCCAGCGCGGTGTTGAAAGCCCAGTTACCAGACGTAGCCAAGGCAACACCCTTGCCTCGAAGAGCGAGAGGAAACAGCTCGGGGGGATAGGCCCAGCTCACCGGGCCCCAGGTAGGCGCAAAGCTCGCGACGAACAGGTACGTGCCCGCGATGAGGGCCTTGGCAGGGGCTCCGGTGACTTCCATAGACTGGCTGGGAACTCCATTGACACCACCTGGAACGACGCGCCCGTAGGCTCCCATGACACCTGCGTTGACGCACATCCAGAGGCACATGAAAAACGCGCCCACCAACAGGGTAGGCCGACGACCCCATCTATCCATCCAGATCTGCCGCCATGGTCAATAAAACGTCGTCGACACTCTAATTGACAACTTACCAATGCGGGAAGAGTGCAAAGGACGTTTATTACATAATTAATACTACTGGCGAGTAGAGCAGCGTTTCTTTCGTATCTGGATGATGTTAGCGAAGTTCCGGAGTGTATCGTCAAAAAATGGTGGCCCTGCGACCTCGCGCGGGCGGTGCACTCAGGAAAGGGGCCCCACGTACCCAGCCATGGCAAAAATGTTATTGATGTAGTACACTGTGAATTATTGTTAGTTATTTTATTCTTTGTTGCCATGCAAGTGCTCCATAGTGCTTTGCAGTGGCCTGGTGTGACTCTGATCGTGTGGACTTACTCATGACGTTCATTCCGGTCAGCTGTGACCAGATCTGCGTAAAGAGGCCAATCAGGGTGCGGTTGATCATGGCAGGCTTGAAAAGATCTAGGTAGGTGACATCTGCGTGGCGACGCTCAAACTCGGCCATGTCTTTGATATCTTGCAACTCAGACATGACAAAGGGGTGTGAAGAGTCACCTTTGCCATGGACAAGGGTGAGAACGGCATGGCAATCTTCCCAGCGGTCCTTGCGGGCGAGCCAGCGAGGTGACTCTGGCAGAAAGATCATCATAATACCGAGGAAGAGACCAGGGATGATTTGAAGGGCCCACGGCAACCGAAAGGTAGTTGTGCTGTAGGTCTGGGCGGTGCGCCCGCCAATGAATGAGGACCCGTAGGACATGTAGTACATGATGAGGATGCCCCAGGTAATGGCCCACTGCTGGAAGCCGATAAAGCGACCGCGTTTGGATGGGGGTGCAAGCTCTGCAATGTAGACGGGAACCTGGGCAGATTCGATACCGATGGCGAAGCCGTTGATAGCTCGACCAGCGCAAAGCATGCCGATGTTCTGGGAACCGGAGCAGATGGCAGATCCGATGGTCCTGTACAGGCATTAGCACAAATTCGTACCACAGACAATTCGCGTCGTGCTTACCAGAAGATTGTTCCAATGATGATGGACCATTTGCGGCCCAGTCTGTCAGAGAGCGGACCGGAAACCAGGGCACCAACCCACGAGCCAGCCGACATGGCCGCTGTGATACCGCCCTGCACCAACGGACGTGGTCCAGTGCAGTGGTCTGCATTCGAAAATGGTGGACCGTCAGGGCCCTGGTTGAAGTAGCATTTGTAGCTCTGTGTCCCGAGCTGCGCAGATAGAGAGGAGATATCGAAACCGAAGAGGCCACCACCGATGACGGCCACGCCGGCGATGACATAGATGTTTCCAATGGCCATGTTGAGTAGTAGTTATAGCCTTTGGAACTCTGGCTCGTGAGTAAAGAGTCTTGAAGGCTGCGTCTTTCGCACCTGGCCAAAACAGAAGAGAGTCCAACCAACAGCTTGAGATGTTGGCGGTTCTTATACCAATGTTGCTTGCAGCATGGATCGACCGAGCTACTACCACATAAGCCAAGCAATACCACGCATCAACATTGGCCAACACAGGGGGTATCGCACACCGTCACACAGAGCCTCTGAGGCGCCCTCTTCCAATCCGAGAAAGGCGCCATATCGGCGCAAAGCGCAAGGAGAGGTCTCCACCCTCCCCATGGTCACCATCACCCACACCACACGCGACCAGGAACGTGCATCGACTGTGTGGGGTTGGCGAAGGATTAGCGAAGACCGACACAGACGTGCGGCCAGAGAGCGCTTTCGTCATATCTGATTACTTATTAACAAGCAATACGTGGTTTCGATGCTGCGTGAACAGACAAGGATTCGCGCACACTACCAGTGCCAGGGCCAGCTAATGATGCTGCCTAATTGGTGGGTATTCTTTTATCTACAACTTTCCTCACATAATACAACAACAACCGCTGGTTGACTTGTAAGCACCCACGAGCGTGGATGGATTGATGGTGGGCTGGGGATTGTCACCCACCGTCCACGATGCAGCAGCTCCAAGTGTCCAGACCGAGCAATTGGCCGTCTTGGGTTGCCGGTGTATTATAATTACGTACGTACGCGAAGAACAGAGTTTGGCAACAAATGTCTCCCCATCAACACGTATGAAGTCGCGGTATGACGCACGCCCGCAGGCCTCCTGGCAGGGTCGCGAGAGCGCGCGGCGAATGGGAGCAAGACGGCGGGAGAACCCCAGTCGCGGGTGGCTGACTGCCCGCTGCTGCAACCGCATGGGATTATCTGGCACTTGGACGCCTGCATGAGTTTGCCGGCGCGGGTCAAGGACGCGAGGTATGGCAGTCTATTGGTAGCAGACCTGCCAATAATTAATACGTCGATGAATGACAGTTCGCTTAGCCCAACCGGGCGTCAGTGCAGAAATTAGCCAGAGGGAAGGCTGGCCCCCTCTCCCAGGCATCTCCACCCATGAATTCATGCTGCAAAGTAAAGGAAGTTGTGAAACGAAGACGGACTGGAGCGACAGTGGGCAACCCCGATATCTTCCCCACAGTAGGTCCGAAATCCCCAGTGTCGACTCCAGTCCCCGGGCCGGCCCCAGCGCGCTTGGAAATGTCAAGTCGAGGTCGCCTAGCTTTCAAATTAGGACGCCACCCATGTCACCCTGGCCGTCTTCCAAAATGTATGTGCTGCTTGCGCACGCGCTGAAAGGCTTCGAGCAACTGCTGGGCCGACGTCCAGCGCGGAAACCGCAGTTTCACTTGAGCTTAACCCCATACGTAACGTATCTGGAAGCCCGTGGGCCGTGGGGATGGTGTCCATGCAGCCGACAGGGATCGCTGTGCGAATGAAATGACGCCCATCGAGATCTCAGATCGACGCCTCGCTCTGCTCTAGCCCGAATGTGTCCAACTGCGGTGATGCGACCCGAATTGCCCGCAGCCAAAACTTCCAGCACGCGATTTTTGCAACAGAAGTAGACATCCAATTGACGAACAAATCTGTGCTGGCTCTTCGATACAGTCGAGGAGATGTCAGCACGCCTCCCCTATATTTCTCTCCTTTCTGAAATCTCGATAGCCCCCGTGAAGTAACTTATAACCCCAGGCAGGGGGGCCCAGCAAGCCCGCAACGTGACTGCGGAGAGTTTCTTGGCTCGCGAGACGGGGGCGGTTCGGCAGCTGCTTCCGAGCAACACCAGCCGCCTGACGAGGCTGATCAAGCTATGACAGCAGCCAAGACAAGACGGGCCCGTGATTCTGCTTTGACAAGTTGACCATGTAAACCTTCTGGCGCAGACTGATGTCGTTTCTACCTTTTCTTCTGTCTGCATGCATGGCATGGCATCGGCCTCCCACATCATCAACGTCGCGTGGTCGGAGGATCCAAGGTGAGCCGCTGTACGCCGATTTGTAGGCTGAGCGGCCGCCAACTGCTAAGGAGTCAGGAACGTGGGAGTGGTGTGCATCCCGAACCCATGAATACCAAAGCGTGACCTGTGACGTCGTGAAATTACACGAGACATGTGTTTGGCGTAGTATGTTTATTACTGATCACAACTTACCCGAAACCTCTACGTCAGAAGCAGTCTTTAGCAGAGATATCGAACACGCCTTTCCTATGCCAACGTGAAAGCTCCATGCACTATCTGCTTACCGACGCCATGCAATGCCCTATGTATCCTTTCCCAGACAGACTCACACGAACCGCACCTCGTTGAAGAGACCCGCTCGCACTTGCACCAGACTCGCCAGCTCGAACACAAACGACTGGAAGATCATGACGTTGGTGACAACATGGGACACCGACACCGTCTCCGGGTCCTGTGGTGACTGCGGCTCGTCATTCTCGCTTTCCGCACCCTTGTCTTCGTCTTCGTCCTCGTCACCCATTTCGTCCGCGTCGGGGCCAATAGCCGCCTTGCTGAACTCATCTTCGTCCTCCTCATCCTCCCTTGACGTGCTGACGGGTTCCCTGATGGGCGCTTTGTTGAATTTGAGCGGGATGGGGTCTATCGTCTTGTCCGGGAGACCTATCCGTTGTGACAGGATAGTTTGGTCGGCGGCAGCAAAGTCCGCTATACGACTCGGATGCATGTCTCCCCGGTTGTCGAGGTCTACCCCAATGTCGTCTCCAATGCGACTCGGCGACGCTGTGCGGTAGCCGTTGTGCGTGGGAAAGGGGAACTCCTTGGGCGGCGGTATGGGCAGCGTGCGTGGGCTCGCCATGCCGTAGTTGTCCACCCTCTGTGATGGTGTCGCTACGCCGCTGCTGCCACCGCCGCGGTTCTGGTCTCTGCGGCCCCTAGGGCTGCCTGAGCGACTAGGCGTACCGAGTTCCGACAGCAGACGTTGTGCGAGGCCCTCGAACGCTGACGGCCTTGACGGGGAGCCGCTCCGTGAGAACTCGTCACTACGACGGTCCGGTGTTCCGAGAGTCATTGGGATATCCCTCGGTTGAGGCTTGGGGCTGTGCAGGATCATGTCTGCGGTGTGGAAAGCTTCTCGTCTTTGCTGAAGGAGCTCGTCAAACCTGGGGACCGTCTCTTTGTATGTGATGACCTGATCACAGAGTCGCTTGACAATGTTGAGCAAGCGTGGCAGAGACTGCTGATTCCATTGTGGCCTGCGTCGACAGTCCTTTTGTGACTTGGCCTGCTCGTCCTGCGGCTCGGTGGTCAGCTTCGCAGCATCTGCTGTTGGAGATTGCTTGGCATCCTCGTCTCCGGAGACTTCCTCTTCTGAAGCGTCCTCATCCTCGTCGTACTGGTACGAATGCGGGCTCCGAGCTAGCCATCCTTCGATACTCATGTAGCCGCACGTTGCGAGATCCACTAGGCTGTCGGTGACCGACAAGTTCGTCTCCACAGGGTTCAAAAAGAACGTTTCGAGCAAGTCAAGCATGGCATTGAGCAAAGGGTCATCTGGCCGCAGTGTATGTTCACGTACTTCTCGCGGTGCACCCGGTAGAGAATCAGATAGCGCAGCCGGTTTGTGGTTGTGGTTCTTTCCAACGTGTGGTGCTACCAGCTTTAGCGAGCATGGGTGGCTCTCGAGTCGTGCCATGGTATCCTTCAGGAGGGAGTCGTAGACGTCGTCGAAGTTGTCCTGGCCGCCTACGGCCCCGGCCAGGCTCAAAAGGTACTCAACCTCCTGCTCATGCGCACCAATGGTGCGATGCACCACGTGGCTGGGCAGCACCTCAGTCTTGAGCAATGTCATGACTGCATATCGATGGTGCCTCTTGAGAATGGCCGAGACGAGTTGAAGCGTCACGTAAATTGTCTGCTGATTCTTGGACCGCAGGCAGGCCAGGATGAGGTCGACAAGGTTGAACAGGAGAGGCGTGACGGCAGTGTCAGATTTGGACGCCATCATCGTGGCCAGATCCATCGATTTGCGCTTCCTGGCACTGCTGATCAAGGAACTAGGCGCGTCGCTCTGTGCATCTGGCGCTTCTGGTAGCGCCAGCAGATAATGCAGAATGAGGTTGATCATGTCAGGGTGATCGAGGGACTCGAGGATGCGCCGTAAGTATGTCAAGACCGCCACTGACGAACCCCCGTCAATATCGGAGGACTCGAGGAGCGATGGGTACCTGGAATGTCAGCTAGGCCATGAGTTCCCAGACATACGAGACTCACAGGAGCTGCTGCAGGAAGATGACCTGGAAGTGCTCCAGCAGCGTTGATTTGACCTCCACCGACTTGCAGTGGTTCAGCACGTCCTGCCAGAAGAGCAGGTGAGACAGAAAAGTCTCAATGTGCGATTGAAACTCGGGCGAGCAGGAGCTGATGACTTCGAAATTCGATGTAGGATGTTGGTAGTCGGAGAAGGCCAGGATCGGTGGCAGTTGATGAGGGAGGTGATCGATGACCAGTTTTCGACTCAGCTGGCTATATAAAGCTCCGAGTCCAGTCGCCATGAGTGTAGACAGGTCGCTCTCCACTATCCACTGCTCCAAGAGTGTCGAACTCGACGCGGCCTCGATGATATACAGCAGACCCGTCCTCGCAAAGTCGCCCACCTTGCCCTCGTGGTGGATGTAGTCCATGAGGATGTAGAAGAGCGGAAAGTCAGCCCTCTGTGTCCGTCCCGCAAATTTCTCTCGCAAGTCCCGTTTTCCCTCATCTTGGCTGTCCTGTGCCTTGAACCAGGCGGGTAGAATATCAGGGGCGAGGCGAATCTTGGTCGTGATGTTGAACGCCAGCTCCACCACCCTCGATTCGGTGTCCAGCCCCAACCGCACACTATTGGGCCCGGTGATTCTCACGAGAAGATTGGTCAAGCTTGCCGAGAAGGTTGTATTCTCGACGAAAGCTTCCTCCTCACTCTCGATGAGCGTCGCGAAGAACAAAACAGCTTCCTTGATGATCCACTCGTTGTACGACGTTGTCGCTATTTTCCCGATGGGCACGTAAATATGGCGGGAGGAAGCGAACTGAATGCACGGATGCGGGAGGGGTCGTCTAGACTCGTCGCTGAGGATGTTGGTGAGCTCTTGCAGGCGGATCTCGAGCGTTTCGGCAGCATCGCTATCGCGGGAGAGGTTTGACGAGGTACGCCATGTTGTCTGTCAGTGAGCAAGTGTATCGCGACCGTATAGAGCGGCCAAGACCTACCAGAAGATTCCCATACTCCTTCTCGAACCTGTGAAGGCGCTTCGCGGGGTCCTTGGCTTGGTCCTGGCGCGAGCTCCCCGAAGAGAGGGGGCTCATGAGACGTGACCACTGCTCGGTCAGCGACGCTCAGCTGTAGTGACGTGTTGATACTCACAAAGTCCATTGTGCTTTTGGAGTCACGTCATCCCGAATTCCGGGCATAGGGGAGCAGCCTGAGCCTGGTATGTTCGGCAACTGTCGCGTTGGTGATGGGGTCGAGTATCGCGGACTGTTCCACCCGCTACCCTAGCGTGATGCGGTCCCGATAGATGCATAACTAGCTGGGGTTGCATCTCACCGGTGCCTGGTATATCTCGAGGACTCACCACTTTATATGGTCCTTCTCATCCCTTTTGCTCAACTGAACAGGCAGCTCAATTCAACGCGTAGCTATGACAGCCCTCAAAGCTACAAGCAGCCATGAGACACAATGCCCAACCCTGCTCGTGCTGAGGCGATGGCCCGCGCGTGTGAGCTCCGCAGGAAGATGAAGGAAAGGCCGTATCTGCTTTCAATTCACTAACTAGCATAGTAGTAGGTATAATAATCTTCGCTCCCTTTTGCTATCAGTTGATGCTACCAGGAACACTACGGATATGTAAGGTTACCCAAGGCCTTGCCCAAGGCGTGTACGTCTAGACCGACCATAAGAGACTTTCTGTTTCGATACGCTACTCTTCTCAATACGAACTAGGACACTATATTCTCGATCGTGAAAGAATAGAAGACAAGTCCAATGTGTGACCTTCATGCAGGGCGAAAACGTCCCAGAGTCAGGTGCAACTATATGCCCCTTGGGTGTTGAGAGAATACATACATATCAGCCTGTAGGGTAGGACGTCAAACTCGACTAACACCACCTTTTTCAGAGCCATGATCAGTAGCGACTGGATCCACCGTAACGCGGGTCTTGCGAATTTGACATAACACTAATGATTCGAGCACGGGGACATCGGCTACGAAAGGTGGTGGCTGTTGGGAGAGTGTGGTTGAGGTGAATGACTAACGTCAACTTGAAGCTGGTCGTCGAGAGCTTCAGTGAGATGGGGCTTTTGGCGGCACCGACTTTTCTGTCGTAATTACCCCGCCGCAGCAAGTCAGCTTGCCCTACGGAGTAACTAATTGCAGACACTATCACGATCTGGGTAAAGGATGCCATCGCCAGTTGCAACAGCGTGGTGATCGACGGCGGGGCTACGACAACGACTGGACGATAGGCTGCGTTTGCCAAAGTTTGCAGTCAAGCGTGACTGATGGAGCGGCAGCCCCGCCGCATGGCGCATGGCATGGGTCGGCGTGGGCAAGAGTTCCATTGTCCTCTGGACAAGCATTGACGTGTGAATGAGGAAGGCTGCTCGCATTCGACCAGAAGCAACAAGTGATGAGACAACTCGACAGCGCATACTTTGTGTGATAAACTTGCGTCGTATCTGCAGACTAGAAGGCAGCATGGCGAGCCACATTATCGGGCGATTTACCCCAGAAATAACCCGATAAGCTTCTCTTGTTTGCTGTACCCCAACTGAGATTGAATGGCAGCCGCCAGCCACATGAAGCCATCGTGAGGCGCCGAGGACAGCGACGTCAACCAGTGCGCAGACAACCAGAAGAAAAAGCTTGTCTACGGACATTTTTTCCGTCATGCACGGGCAAGCAACGCAGCTCATCAGGCTGAAGCCGAGACTGTTGCCACGGCAGTCGCAGCTAAGGGCTGTTGAGCCCCATCCGACCCCAAGCATCGCGCTATGCTGAATTCGAGGAATGGGCAGCACATCATCAGCGCAGCGATTGGCGGACAGTGATCCTCGACGCTGGGTTGCACTCGCGGAATTCGGCACTCAGCCATGGTTGGCTGGTTTGTGCAACGCCTGGCGTGCTGAGTACTCCATGTCCCGTCTGCACACCCTTCCAGGCCATGTCAAATGCCGAGCCGCCATTGCTAGCACCGACAAAGGATAATGCAAGGCCGTAGCTTATTTTGCAAGACGGCTTGAGTGAGGCGGTGGTCAGTAGACTCATTACGGTTGCATGGACCCTCGAGCTGCACAACTCCAGCCCATGTCAAATCCATTCAACCAGCCCAGGGCTTCTCTCAGTTTCAGGGCCAAGCACATACGTATTATGCAGAAGTCAAAGAATCTAGCGGCTCTGCCAGTGGAGTACAGGTGCTGCAGGCCCTGAGGAGCCCTGGAAATCATCTGGGACTCAGCATGTCCATGACACATTCTGACCAATCACAATTCAATACGACAGCGCCTGTGTTCCTGTTCCGGCCGTTCCTGCCTCCAAACATCCACCCACTCGACTCCAGTGAGTCCAGTCATCCTCCTGCACTTCTTCCCGCTTCTGAAAATCTCACCCCTTCACCACCACGGGCACCCACCATTTGTATCACCCAGCAGGCCACGGGAGTATTCTTACTCCTCCATAGTCCGACGCCGCTGCCTGTCCGACGACGCCGACGACGCCGACGACGCCGACGACGACGGCGACGAAGCTTCACCCTTTCGTCTAGAAACAGCGACCTTTGCTACACCCAATTGCTCAATCAACAATTAGCTTTACCTCCACGCCGCGTCCAAATTGCACGCATGACGACGCCTCCCTGCCCCTCGCATCGCTACTCGTGACCCAAGCTCCCCGACAATCACCGTCCTGTCGGCCACGCACGACCACCCGCGACGGTCCCAGACACTCCCTCGGCCTTTGCGCATGCCTCGTGCCTCAGGGTCGGGCAAGCGACACTCAGGCGCCGCCGGTCAGCGCGACACTCGGCACGAGAATGGGCTCGTTGGCCCTGCTACTGCCAAACGAGTCGTAGGCAAACGAAGCCACGCACAGCTCGACGCATCCGCCCAGGGCTCGCAGCCTAGGACGGCTGCTGAACATGCTGCCTCTGGCCAGCCCCGCCATTCTCTGCCCACGTCGCCGCCCCGAACCGGCGGCGCTGAGCAGCAGCCCAGCATCAACGGCGTCTGCAAGGAGAGCCATGCAGGCAACGACACGGAGAACTCTGTCGACATCAACGGCGCGCGCAAAGTTTTGGATGCATTAGGTTTGGACGATACCTCGTCCGAATCCGGTTCATCGCACATGGCGCCTCATCAGACTTCAGGTGCTGGCGGCGTCGACGCCGGGCACCGCCAGATCGACGTCAATGCCTTGAAGGATGTCAACGTTCACCGCGACCAGGGCCCCCTTGAGCTTGCCGCAACCGTGCTCAAGGCGCTTCCCATGCAGGATACGCTGGCCATTCTGATTATTCTGATGCACCTACCGGCTCTATCGCTCCTCTTCATCTATGCCATCTTTGCGCTCCTTACGTTTGTCCCGCCCGTCACGCTCAACTCGTACGTGAGCATCAACTTTGCCGAAATCCTCGATGGCACCGCTACGACGCCTGCGCCCGTGACACTGTTCACCATGGACGTCATGTTCTTTTTCTTCTGGCTATTTCTCTGGCACCCACTGCAAGAGCTGATGCAGGACCTGGCGAAGCCGGTGATTGCCATTACGCTCGGCGGCGGTACAGGCTCGCGTGATGGAGCGTCACGAGGGATCACGACAACGTTTTTCTGGGTCATGCTGCATCACATTTTGAGGGGTACCCAGTCTCACTGGGCACGCATAGCTCGACACATCCCCGACAACTGGCCCGTACCTGCGGCCTTCCACGAGCCTTGGAAGCTGCACGAGGAGCACTATGAGACTAAGGGCTTGATTGGCTGGGCCAAGAGTTTGTTGGCCGTGCATATCTTGACCCAAGGAACTATACGGGCGATCAAAAAGTGGTATCTGAGGAGGGAGCGTGAGAACAAGGACGGGAAGGACGGAGGCGACCCTGAAGCAGGAAAGCCACATGGGAGCACCGACAACGCTGCGGACGCCACTCTCGCTACGCCAGAAATCGAAATCAACGCCCAGCAGGCGTCGGCGCCGCCTTTAGTGAGCAAGAAGAGGAGGAAGCAAAGCGCACAGATACGCCTACAGCAGCCCTTGTGGGCTGCACTCGCAAGCACAAAGATTGTATTTATGAAGGAGTGGGAGCTGTCCAACACGTCACGGGAACAGGCTGGATCCAACGCTACCGACGTCCACAATCTGGGCAACGCGCCGTTTGAGCGGCAAGAGCGCCAAATATGGATTGTTTACGTGGGTAGTGATGAGGTTCATTTTAACACCAGTTTGTTTCCCCATGAGCACTTGGAAGAAGACGGCGTTCAGGGGAGCAAGGGAGATTCGATTCCAGCCTCGGCGCAGAAGCTATCCGGTCAGCCTCTTTACGTCCGGATCAACAACGCCTTCTGGCAGCCAACACGCATGTATCCGCTGGACGCGCCCGGTGGCGAGACGGAAGAGGAGGAGGAGGGCGCTCGGTGGACAGGCGCTATTTATGGACTCCGACCCACGTCCAAGTACGTCGTCGAATTTGTTGACCGCAGCAACGACACTGTTCTGTTCAAGACAAGCATCCGCACCGTCAGCGAGCCGCAGCGCGAAACAGAAGCCGGGACTGCCGCGCCGCCTAACGGGCAGCACTCTCTCCAGCCCGACTCACCCGCCACAACGCTCAAGACTTCCATTGCTGCCGCCGAAGCCAGGCTTACCGAGGAGAAGAACCGCCTCAAGACAGTCCGCAAGGAGTGGAAGTCGCGCATCAACAACTTGAAGAAGGACATTGAACTAGCCGATAATCAACTGTCATCTGCAGGCAATTCCGACGAGAAGTACAGGCAGAAGATCCGCCAGCAGGAGACCCAAAAATCGCAGGCGGAGCGCGAGGCCCAAGCCCTTGTGGACCAGCTCAAGAACTATGATGCGGCGCCAGAACTCACCGATCGTAAGAAGAAGGTTGAAAAGCTCTACGGAGCCGAGAAGAAGCTCTACGACGGGGAGAAGAAGGACTTTGAGGAGTTCAAGTCGAAGCTGGACAAGGAGGTCAAGGCCAAGGAGTTGGAACACTCGAATCTCATCAGCAAAGTCAACAAGATCAAGACGCGCATCAACAAGATCGAGACGGAGCTGGCCAACATCACCGACGCCAACAACCGGGGGCTCGACGAGGCCGAGCGTCGCCGTCAGGAGCGTGTGACGTGGCAGGAGCACAGTGCCGCCGTGGAAGTGAACTATCGGGAGCGTCTGGCGCACATCCGAGCCACGAACGCCGGCAAGGTCGAGCAGATCCAGGCGATGCAGGCGCAGCTGAATGCCATTATGAGCACCAGTGCGGTCCACATGTCTCTCGACCAGATGGCCCAACTGGGGGACTACCAGCAGCAGCAGCAGCAACAGCAGCAACAACAACACCCTGGCATGTGGAACCCCAATCCTGCGGCCCCGCCTCACATCCCGTCAAACGTCTGGGGCACCACGTCTGGCGATCTCGTTCCTACCGTTTCCTCCTTTGCTGGCCCTTCTGCCTGGCAAGCCATGGCCACCGCGGCACCCTTTGAGCCCCGCGCTAAGACGCGCGGACGGAGCTCGAGCATGCTGAGCGATGTGAGCGGCTTCACGCAACCAAGCGACGACGACGAGGGATCTCTGCCAACGTGGCGGGGCGGACAGCGTCCTCCTGGGTTTGGCTATCCCGCGCAGGGCGGCAGTAGTGGTGGCGGCAGCGGGCAAAACGATAGCTTCCCGAACAGTCCAGTCTCGTGAGGGAGTAGATAGTAGGCAAAAACCGGCTGTGTTTGTCTTTCCTTTTACACAAGACTCTTCTCATTCAGTGATGTATATATCCCCGGCCTAGGCCCAGTCATGCGTCTGCATCGTAACGCTTCCTCAGTGTGCGGTATCGCTTCAAGTAGTACCTGCCCGGTTAGCGAAACATGGCCAGCCCTCTTCCAGCCACGGGAGCTCACAGCATCTCAATCTCTGTATAGTATTAGCTTACTGCGTTATGACAGGCAAGTGTTCGCGGAGATATACCTTTTTTCACGTACTCGCCCTGGCTGATCCCTTTCCGAATCTTATCCTCATCTGTTTCGCCGGCCTTGCTCATGAATGCCTTGTGCAGCCTGGGGCGGAAGTAATCATAGCCCAGAGGATACTCCCTACCGAGGTAGAGCAGTTCTACACGTACGGTAAGTCTTGTTTCAGTGTGAAGCAGAGGAGCACACACCCTTGTAGAGGGCAATGACCTGATGCCGCAACGATGGAGTAGAGGGAGGCATGATCGAGGGCCATTCTTGTTGTAGAGGTTAAACGAGGGCGGGCATCATCACGGTGATGTCGAGATGTAGAGACCATGACGCCACAGTGCAGCCACACAAGGCTGCCCGACCTTCTCTTCAGCCACAGTTGGACGCACAACCACCGAGGGCCTTGTGCCCGACCGGCGACCACTTCCTTTGCCCTCCCCCAACTCGAGGTCGCTGGCACGACTACCTACCTGGTGCTGTTCCGGTGGGCTTCATTCGGCAGCCAGGCAGGGATTACAGTCACGTCTCCAACATGTCGGCCATACGTCGAGCCGTGTCCTCCATCTACCGCGACCACCCATCGCTCCACAAGATTATCGGCCTAACAACGCGGTCTCCCATCCACGACGGTCCGCAGGCCAAGGCGCCGCGCAGCGAGGCAGACGCGCGCGCGTCCGGGCGGCACGTATACCACGATCAGGGCGCTATGGTCTTCCTCAAGAGGCTCGAGCATGGCCAAGTCCAGCGGATGGGCGACATACTGGTAGAGGTCGTGCGTCTGGGTGGTCCGGCTGCCATAGCGGATGGGGGGAGAGCGAAGGGGTATCGGGGTACGCAGACAGACGAGGATGCCATGGAGACGGCGTTGAAGCCCCTGTGGACATTGGAGGCGGAAGTCTTGGGCGGCCAGATACACGACGTGGGAGCGGCATGTCATCAGGATAAGGAAAAAGTCTAAGAATATACAAAATGTATACTGACGGCCTACATATATATATAAATCAAAGAGGTATCCCGACAAGAAAGTAAAATGTCATCGCATGCTGCCCACGCAGTATAGTAGTCCCCCCTTTTCGTTTTCCCTTTCGCTGTATCATCCCTTCATTGCATAATAGCACACAGTTTCGCTATCACCGCTTCGTAGCCCACCAGGCGCCGGACTCGAGACACTCGCCCCAGCGGGTGTCGTAGTCGCCCCCGTTGAGGAGCGTCGTTGTCATCTTGCTCATCCACACGTCCCACTCGTCCTGGCTCTTGCCGCTCTGTTCGCGCAGCAGGGGCTCCAGCGCCTGTATCTCCTCAATGAGGGTGAGGAGCGCGGTCCGGCGCAGCGCGGCCTGACCTGCCGTGAGGGACTTTTTCTCAATAATCTGCGGCGGCTGCTCACGATTCGACTTTGTGGGATACGACTTGCCGTCCTTGGTGACGATGCCGCCTACGCCCTCGCGCTCCCAGCGGACTTCGCTAAAGGGGATGGCGACGCGGTGGGAGCCAATGTTCTTGAGAGACTCGGCCTCGGAGAGGAGGTTGTGGTTGACAACGGTGCAGGGCTCGACCATGAGCTCGCGCGCGTCCATGGCGCGCTTGAGCCAGCCGTTGTACTCCTGCAGGTAGGCGGACTGCGGGGGCGAGAGGGGCGTGTTGGTGTTGATGACGTAGGCGCCGAGCGTCGAGGCGGCCTCCTGCTCCTCGACCTGGGTGTTGGCGGCCGAGGCGCTGGGGACGTGCTTGCGCAGCATGCGGATGGAGTGGTCCGTCTCCCAGATCTCGAGGGTGCCGCCCGACTTGAGGACGCGGATGCTCTCGTCCATGACGGTCGCCTGCTGGGACGTGGTGCACGCGAGCGCCATGTCCTTGTTGAAGACCATGTCGAACTCGCCGTCGGCAAAGGGCCACGGCGTGACGCGGAGGTCGTGCTGGACAAACGTCCACTTCATGTCGCGGTCTGGCTTGCCGCCTTCGGCCCCATTGCTCGGGGCCACGGACGCCACGTCCATGCCTGTGAAGTGTATGCCTCCGTGTCCCCGGCTCTTGAAGTAGCGATGGCACATCATGCTCCAGAAGCCCGATCCGCAGCCGAGATCTAGCACCTTCAAGGGCGGCTTGGCCGTCAGGGCCGGACTGGCGACGGGCGCGCCATGGACCTGGATGAGCAGCAAGGTCCGCAGAGACTGGCGATGCAGCTCTGTCAAGTCCACAGGGAGAGGGTACGGGTTTGTCTGGTCGCGCAGGTAGGAGCGTCCATTCCGCTGGACGAATGGTCTCTGCACTGGAGTCGAGTCCGGTGCGCTCGGGTCAGTCGATAGGACAGTTTTGCTCGACTGGGCGGTGGCAAGGCTGGTCGAGCTCACCGACTCGGCTCGTCCAGCAGGTGTGTGGAAAACCTTGGGACCGGCTGGTGGCCGGTATGCATCCAGTGTTATATCGGGGTACATGGCCACATGCTTCAGATCGCTCGCCGCGATGCTGTCCACGTGGAACAGCGGCCTGCTGTTGGCGGTGGTGGCGCTGATGCCGCCGTGCTGTTGCGCGGTCGTTGACGCGTGTGGTTTCGGCGGCAGAGACGGTGCTGCTAGGACTGGAAGAGGAGGTGCCCCGTTGACACCTCCAGGACCGCTGTTGCCACTGACGCTGCTCGGTTTGTTCTTGTGCTTCTGCTTGCGCGGGGTGAAGCTTGTCGAGCTCGTGCCTGATGTGACGGCGCTGAGGCTGGCGGCTGTGGAGCGGGTACGTGCGCTTACGGTCGAGGAGGAGGAGGATGAGTTGCGGCCCGGATCGACCGAGGGGGAGGTCGAGGTGGTGGTGTCTTTGTTGCTTCTGTTGGTTGCGGCTGCTGTGCTGTTGGAACGCGCGCGCGAGAGGGCGCTGCTGCTGGAGTGCTGCCGGCCGCCGTCCAAGAGTCTGGGGTTGTTAGTGGTCAGTGCTGATGTGTTTGTCGAGGTGGTGCTGTCATTGGCAGAGCTGGTGCTGTTGGCCTTTGTCAACCAGTAGTGGTGACTTTTGTTGCTGGAGGACGATCGCGAGGCGGAACGGATCAAGGAGCGGCGAGAGCGAGCGTGGGGAGTATTGTCAATGGTCGTAACGTCAGTCTCTGCGTCGGCGCCTCGATTGCGGTCGAGCTGCTGCTGATGGTCTGTTGATGCTGATGTCGATGCCGATGCTGGGGCGGTGGCTGTCAGGTCGCTGCCAGTCGTGGTGCTGCTCCCGTTGGAGTCGGTCCGCTGCGACGGGCCACGAGAATTGTTGCCGTTGCCGTTGCTGCTGCTGCTGCTGGACTTGTTAGGCTTCCAGGTCGGCAGAGGGGGGACAACCGAGTACAAGAATTCGGACATGAAGGGCGACAGGACTCCATCCAGTGCTAGTCGAGTCCGCTTTGCTGGTGGGAACCTGGAGCCACCAGGCGACTGGCTGGTGGTCTGGGCTTGCGGCTTGCTTGCTGGCTTGCTGTGGGCGGTGATCCAATTCCACGGTCCACCACTGGGTTTTCAGTCAGTCTCCTGAGTTTGTGCTGCTGCCAGGCCTGGCCTTTCCAAGTTCCGCGGTCCGGAGTGGAGACGGTTCGTGCCTTGGGTTTCTTCCGAGGGGCTCCAGTGAGGCGGCGAGGCCCGACCTTGGGCCCTCAGGTGGGGGTGGAGGATCCCAATAATGCCGCCGCGAAATGCCCCGCCCCCTGTAATCTAGGGGCCGTAGCCTGTAATTGTCCCGGAGTCGGTCTGCCACTGGCTGTGCCTGTCAGGTTTTGCCCTGACCTGCTGGACGGTCGGCGTCCTGTCGGTCTGGCGCCCGACGAATAGCCCTGCACTTCTTCCGTCGATGCTAATTTCCTGGCGCCAATGAGTAATGTTAGCCTAACGCGCTTTTCCCTTTCCTTTTTCCTTCTTTTCCCTGTCCTTTTCTCGTCGTTCCCGGGGTTTGCTGTTGTTGGTCCTATTGCTGGCTGCTCTTTGCTGGCTGCCCGGTATGTTCTCGCGCGCAACCGACAGGTATCCGACACCACTGGCCCGTTTGGGGTCTTGGCAGCTGGTGACACACCAGCTCCAGTCCCCGGACGCGGCGTTTATGCTTCGTGTTTAATGCGTCTCCAGTCCTTTCTTGGAGGGACCGAAACAAGCCTCGTCTCATGCGGCTAGCCACTGCAGTCGCTTTCCTCGTCGCTGGTGTCGAGTAGTATGACGACTGGACTGCTCACGCTCCTTGGCCTGCAGCTTCTTGTCCAGTTGTCTTTGCTCTTCCTCTTGTCCTCTGTCTGCACCTCGCGAGGAACCCTGCAGTCTCAGGACGGGCCACCTTCTAGAACAGATCTGACACCGCGGGAAAAAACACCCCTGAATACCCCGGGGATGCTTGCAGTGGCAGTCAGTCTCCGCTCGCAGCCTGGCCCGACCAGCCGACGCTGGTGGTGAGTTGTCGATGATTCTGCGGCACTGACTCGACAGACTCGTTTCGTGGCATGCAGCTGGACCTTTTGAGAAATGCCTCACGGGGTAAAGCCCTTCCTTCCTCTGTGCTGGCTTTGGTAGAGCTCGCAAGGTGGCATCAAACTGTGCGCTGGGTGTTCAACAAGTGTTGTGACAGAGTCGAAAGAAGTTTCCCCGTCGCACCGTATCCGTCTGTGCTGCCAATGAGCCTCACGCTCGCGTCGGCAACGCAGCACAGCGCAGATCCGCGACTCACGCTTGCTTGGCGTCGAATTGCTGCTGCTGCTGCTGCTGCTACCTCTGTCGTTGATCGTCAAAATGATCCGGCTACCAGGCAATGGTTAATGCATCTGGCTGGACCCGGACATGTATCGCTGGCGATGCTCCCTCATCCAGGCGAAGAGACCAAAGTTGAGATGTGATCTCTGTCCTTTCCCCTCTCGCATTTGCGACACGAGTCACGCTCCCGCGCAATTTCAACAACAAGGTAGGCTTATCGGCCACTCAAGTGCGCACACAGCCCAGCAGGATTCGGGATGGAGAAGCAACGCTCGCCTCTCGATGCGACGTGCTGTTATCGGTCCCTGTCACCTGCGCCTTTGGTCGTCCTGCGCGTGTCGCGATTGTCTCCTGAGACTATCCTCTTCGTCAGGAGGACTGCGAGAAGAGGAATCAATGCAGAAGAGCGGGCAAACGTTGCCGTGCACTTTCTTCTGCCAGTGCTTTCACAGTGGTGGGTGTGGTGTACATATCATTCCGCCAGAAACGCCGCAGGATTCGCGGGATAATGCTCTTATTATTCACTATCCCTCGGTCCCCTCTCAGCGCAAATGCCGAGTTGGTCTCGGACCTGGATCACGTCTACGGTCTACCATCACCGGTCAGCCCGCCTTGTTAGCCTCGCAGGATGAGGGGAGGCGGTTCGTCGAGTAATCAGGCTATTTTCATGTTCTCTCTCTCCCACGGCAGGCCTCGCCAGGCTTGTACTGGTTTGTCCGTGCAACTGACCGAGATACTATTACTCCTTCTCCCCCGCACCCCCAGACGGCCCAGCCGCAGGCGCCATGCGTCGGGCTAATTGCCCTTCGTGGCGCACCTACAGGCTTCAGCCGGTTCGAGAGAGAGCCTCACTTGGTCAACTCGCTCCCAATTCAGCGGTGTGCGGCGGCGTTGTTGGCAAGCCGCTATGCTCGCCACTTTTCGGCTAATATGGGGCAGGGGATATCGAGTTTCTGATTGTCCATCACCGAATCCCTTGGATTTCGAAAGTCGATGTTTGGGCTAATATCAGACGCTAGCGGATAATATCATACACTACGTCGAACTTCAGCAATACTACCTAGGCTGGCGATGGCTTGCAAGCTCTGCCAGGGCACGTCGCTACTTTGATCATTACTGGCGACCGCACGACTGACTGTCTTGCTCTTTTTATATGGTGCAACAAGGCATCTACATACTATGCGGGTGCCGATGGTCCCACGGCAGTTTCGCTATCGTGAAGAACTGATGATTCCTTTAGCATCGATTTCTTCAAGCCACATATGGTCGTGTTCATTGCTGAGTCCCGCGTACCTTCGCTGCCGTGATCGGATCCTGATGGGGCTCAAGAGCTAGGGGATCGAGGCCAATGCCGTTCTGGATGGCGACCAATTCCATGGCCACGAATACAACGAACCCGATCTACACGCTGTCAGTCCGTGCCTCAATGGATGCCAAAGGACATGGCTTTCAGCTCACAAACGAGATGCCCAAGGCCAAGTCATCGTAGCCGAGAGCTCTCTTCAAGATTCGAACCCATAGTCGAAGTCCACATGCTATCGTGTTGAGAACGACGAATGTGATCCCGAGCGGGTAGTATGCGTCTCGTGCTTGTGTTTCGCCGGTCATTGTGCAACAGGCGTTGGGAAGAGATGGCACGTAGAGACTGCTAGACTCTGACTACCACTCGGACTCGAGATCAAGGCTACGGGTACGAGGGAACTACCAACTCGCAAGAGACGAGACCTATAGAACATTGGACAACCCGTTTGAAAATAACGAGGCCGGTACGTACTACGTAGACTCAAGAGGTTCAGCCTCTCGTACAGTTCTCTATGGCATAGAACGTAAAATAGACAAGGTTAGATAATTAATGATTACTGATCTTGAAGATGGACATGTACAAGTACAGTCTACAAGCTGTACCGGCTATACGTACAGCCAGGTACTTCGTACTTCTCCGCTTGTCAGTTATCACTTCCCAGAGAAGTACGTAGTGCAAGCAGCCACCATGCCAGGTCCTTCGAGGAGGGCCGGGATATGCCATGACATGAAGCCACATGCGACATGTCCTGGTGAAGGCACAAAATCTTCCGACGATGCTTTTTATAAGTCTCAGCAACGGTCCTAAACGCGACTTGGCGTGCGTTTTATCCTCCTCCCCAGGTCTGGCTCAGCAACCCCAATATGGTTATACTTGTATGTCAAGCGGTCGAACCCGGGCATGTCTCCATGCCATGCTGGACCTGGTCCACGAGAGTCAAGCACTGCAAGGGCCATCGCCGCCTCGCCAAACGAGAAGCAATCGAGACCACTAATAACAAGTACGGCGTTGGGCGACGGGTCGTCTAAGCTCTGGTCGCGTGCCAATATTGCCGGCCTGGCAGTCTGCAGGGCGCCTGTGAGGTCCTGACCCCGGACCAATGATGCGCCTCTGGCGTTGACAGCTGATGCAGGGATGACGGTTGAAGAATGCGGCGCGTGTTTTGTGCCCCTGTCTGTCAGAGGAGATCTCCTCTTGGGTCCTACGAGTTGACTGCCGTAAGAGTCAAATGTCTGAAGACCCCCCAAGCAGTTTGCCATGAGTCCAGCAACGCTCTGGATAATCCTTTAGACGAACCAAACTCGAAACTCCTAATTACTACTACGTAGATCCCTCGAAAACTGATACTCTCTAATTACCGACGTTCCGAATTCATACGATAGCCACAATGACGACTCCCACATCAAAGACCCTGCCCTCGCGGCCGGAAGAGGTTGATGCAGCTTGGCTCACCAAGGTGTTGAATCTTCCAATCACCAAGGCTGAACAGACGGACATAATCCTGGATGCGTCAGCCGGAAAGATCTACATTACAGCGAGCTATAATGACAAGTCAGGCGCGGAGAAGACGCTGTACCTCTGTGTTAAGGGCGGGTTCAACCCACAGATCATGGCCATGCCCGACTACGTGCAGGTTTTAAAGGTTCTCTACACGCGAGAGATCAAGTTTTTCCAGGACATTGCTCCCGAGCTGCGCAACGTCAACGTCCCCAAGGCATACTGGGCGGGCGTCGACCCGGACCAGTTCCAGGCGATCGTGATCCTCGAGGACTTGAGCAAGGAGCATACATTCGGCGACTGCTCCAAGACCATGACGCTTGAGCAGGTCAAGGTCGGTGCCTCGCAGCTTGCTGGTCTTCATTCCTCCAAGTTCAACATCTCGTCCAGCAGTGAGGAGTACTCGTGGATGACAAACGTATACGACTTTGCCATCTTGCAAATGGCGGAGCCATGGGAGGCCATGATCCTCGCCGACAACAGGCCTCCCTTCCAGGAGCAGTGGAAGGACAAGGCGAAGATGCACGCCGTAATAAAGAAGCACTTTGCAAAACGCGATCCTCGCTACCTCGCCCTCGTGCACGGCGATCCCCACGCGGGCAACACGTTCCTCGACAAGAGCGGCAACCCTTCTTTCCTGGACTTTCAGACGGCACATATCAGTAGCATATTTCACGATCTGACCTACTTTCTCGTCGGTGCGCTGACGGTCGAGAATCGCCGAGCCCACGAAATGGAGGTGTTGGAGCACTATCTCAGCGAGCTGCACCGGTTCGGTGGCCCTGCGCTGTCGAAGGATGACGAGTCGGTTCAGTTTGAGTATAAGAAGAACATGCTCAGCGGTATCGGGTGAGTCGAGCCCGCTTATCCTCAGAGCTTGCGTTGTCATATGCTAATTATCTTGACAGTTGGTGCCTGACACCTTATGAGATGCAGCGCGAGTACAAGGTCCGCGCCATGTGCGAGCGATACGTGGCTGCGATGGTTGACCATAACACGATTGATGTTATCGAGTCAGCACCCGAGGCGAAGGCATAGGTAGGCGTGTGGGACAAGATACATTGAATAAAAAAGCAAGACCTCGAGAGTGTCTTGGTGTACAAGAACGTGATATCCTGGTGACGGGTCGTACCTCGTTGGCTAGGGATGGCTGCGTGCTGTAACTCTGTACCAAACTGTGGTCCGATGCCCGATATTGTAGAAGAGTCGTCTTTTGCCCCCCAACTCTTAAATCCAAGTAATCATGCAATCCTCGGGGTCCTTCCTTGCCTTCGTCCCAGTAACTCCCTCGTCCTTCGTCCTCTTCTTTACCAGCAAGGGTAACCCTCTCCACAGCTCGATAACATCGCGACCTATGCACTGTTGGCGGGCCTGGTCTCACTCTCAATGCCGCGGAGTAAATTGACAACAACCACATGAGCGCGGTAGCTTCAGGCCCCCGGTTTCTTGCCACGCCACTTTGAGAGTATCTTGTCGATTTCTTGTGGAGTTCTGGTGGCCCTGTCGTCGTCTCGCTTCGAGGATATGAGAGGTAGAAACGATGTACGGATACCTGCATGTCGAAGATAGAACCATATGTCAACGTGGTCAACCTTGGAGTCCAGGCCATTCACAGGGTGACGCTCGCGTATCTTCTGCTTATTTTGCGGTGGCATGTTGGGATATGCCTTGTCCATTCTTCGTGACCAATCCTCATTCGACTTGTCTTTCCTGGCTTCAAACTCCTGTTTGGCCTTATCAGCGATGTGTGTGGGCACATACAGCCCAATATGATTTACGAACTCCGATCTGATGCGATAATATTGCAGCAAACATGCCCAAACATTGTCTTGCACGCGCGGCCGATCCAAGCCCAATAACCCCAATACCAGCAGCCCCTCGGGGTCTGGCGACGTCGAAGTGATCAGATGATGAGAAGGACTGATGATATTGGTAGGAGATAGAGAAAGGGCAATCGAGCATTGACATTAAATTTTGAGGCAGGTCCAAGACTGTCCAACCATGCCACCCTCCAGGTTCATCAACAGGAGAAGGCCAACGTCATCTGCACCGACCCGATCAACAAATTCGATGCGTTTACCATGCAGGCAAGCAAATCTAGGTAGCTTGAGCACGCGCGGTCTGGGAAGGTTTTTGGGATGAAGTTCAGTCACCTGAAGTATCACGTGGTCAGCGCTAAAATATGGCTGGCCTCAGCTTGTCGGTTCCTCACTTTTCCTTGAAATCAATCTCCACCTCCCTATGATCAACATTGACCATCGGAGGGTGTCTGAAGCAAACCTTCGAAGAAGCAACACATAGGCTTCGCTCGCCGATTCCAAAGCATCATGTTTCGTATCATGAGCTCATCTTGTTTGCCAAGGGCAATAGTTCCCAGACTACAATCTGCCACAAAGCTCCCAACTTGTGCGCTTCGAGTCAAGTACGCAACTGCTTTCTCGAGGGCCATTTCGAGCGACGATTCAGAGCCAAAGAAACGGCCATAGAAAAACAAGTACGGAGAGGAAGTATGTCGTGCGCCCTAGTAGGTTCTATTCTTTTCAGTATCCAGCTTGCCCACTAACTTTGGATTGCTCAAAGCATATTTAACCTCCGCGATCGGCCACATGGATGCGAGTTCGTGCCTTCTGGCGACCCCTTCATAACTCGAGTGTGTCGCCGTCTGGCTAAGGAGAGAAACGAGAACATATATGCACGCGTGGGTTTCTCAATCAGACGCCAGTGCGTCTCGCTGTTCTCGTTAACCTAGTGGCCGCCAGTGGCGTCTTCGAACATCCAGGGACGATAGCCGCAGCCAGGATTTCAGAAAACACTATCAACAGGCTGAAAATGGCGGACAATATGAGGGAACAGCCAGAGGATATAATGCCAGTTCTCCATGTCACGTCTGATGCAGCCGGCAACCTTCACGTTCCGCTATTCAGTAACTTTCCGCCAGCCATTCTCTGCGCCTTTCTGAGCAGAGTCTCTCGTCTAATCACGATTCAATTGGTTAATTACGAGGCGATCAATGCCCTTCAGGCATTTTTGAACAAAGGCTCTGAACGTGGCTTCCGCCTGGAGAATCTCAGCGTCATTGTGCCTCTCCTTTACGAAGTAAGTTTCAGAAAGCTACTCGGAGTGCGGGAACAGGACCATTACCTGGTCAATATCGGAGAATCTAGTAACCCTAGGATCAGAATCCAACCTCCGTGTGTGAAGGCGAATCCGGGCGATACAAACGATCAGCCAGAGGACGTACATGGCTACTGAATATGTTACAATGGCTTGACTCACGGTTTTCTTTTATTTTGACCATCTAGTTGGGGCTAGATGGTCGTGGATCAGCGAAGCGCAACCCCTGAGATCCATCCACAAGATGCGTGAGAAATGAGTGGCTGGCATACTTCTCGAGCGTCGGGGATCAAAACAATTCCTCAACGTCCATGTAACAAACATGCTAGTGTCGCTAGATGATCCAGGAATAGTATCGTATCCTTCATTTCATGTCGTTAAAAGTCTATAAGTCTATCATACCCAAATTTAGATCTTCACACAAATGCTTCCTTAGTGTCCTTGCGACAAGCACACAACAGCCCACTTTCCGTACCACGCCCACTTCCTGGCCTTGTCGTTGGGGTCCTGGCCGTTGAGGGTCTTGAGCTCCTCGTCCTGGCCTGGCTTGAGGCCAACGACGACGTCAGCCTTGCAAGTGCGCAGCGACAGAACGTTGACGCCAGAGCCGGGGCCGAGAGGACCAATGGCCTCGCTGAAGGGTGTGGTGGTATCCCAGTGAGCCTGAAAATGTTAGTCAATATAGTCATATAACGCAACATCAATGGTACTTACATCGCCAGTCAGCTTGCGGTAGTTCAGGTCACCCTTGAAGATGACGAGCTCAGCGGGCTTGAGGTCCTCGTGCAGCTCAGGGGCCTCCTTGGGGAGACGCCAGAAGCTGCCGCCACGGGTCCAGTAGCGGTGAGGGCGCATGATCAGCTGGCCATCGGCGTGGGCCTGCGCCCAGTGCTGGAAGACGAACTTCAGGTCCTCCTCCTCGGTGCCGGCCAGCGGCGCGGGGGTCTTGTCCTGCAGCTTCTCCTCCTCGGACGGAGTCTCGAAGAAGGTCTTGGGGTCAGAGATGGCGTTGAGAAGGGCGCTGAAGTCGCTGGGCAGAACATCCGAGACGAACCAAGGGATGGACTTGGGGCGGAGGACGATTTGGGTAGCCAGGCCAGAGGCGAGAAGGAAGCCAGCGAGGATCAGATCGACGTAGAGCTCAAAGCCAGCGTTGTCAAGGACAATGTCCACGCGTCGCTCTGTCTGGCCGTCCTGCTGGGCCTTCTTGAGGATCTCGTACGCCTGGGGAAGGTTGTTGATCAGAATGTTCTTCTCGGCGTTCTTACGCGCCTCGGAGCCCTGGAGCTTCTGGATATCCTCGTAGGTGAGGTTGGTCAGGAGGGACAGGTCAGTGGCGTTGCCCCAGAGGCAGATCTCGAAGAACTCGGCGAAGAGGAGCTTCTCAGCCTCAATGTCATGGGTGGCGTTCTTGTCAGCGGCAAGCTGGTTGACGAGCTCTCTGTAGCGGGTGGCGAGCTCGAGGACAGCCTTGCGCGAGGTGCGGAAAGTGTCCATCTTCTGGCGGGCAAAGATGTCGTAGTCCTTCCAGTGGGTCGAGAGGCTGAAGAAAGTGCTGATGCGCCTTTGGACTGTTAGTACTTTATATGATGTGAAGGCATGCGGATGTCCTACCTGTACATGTAGCACTCGGAGAACAGCCAGGGCACGTCGAGCCATGATGGGTTGCCACGCTGCTCAATCTCCCTGTTGTAGGCCTCGACCTCCTCGGGGTACTGGTCGTTGACAATGGGTCTGCGTTACATGTTAGAAGGTTCTCCGACTGCCAATGGAGTGGCGTTGACATACGTGAGCTTGCGGTCGTGCAACACCTCGTACTTGAGGGTGCTAAGCTCCTCGATGATCTTCTTGCCCTCGGCCTGGGCCTCAGGGTTCTCGAGCGTGTTCACGGTGCGGTGAACATCATCAATGGCTTGTGTCTGCGTCTGTCAGCTTCTGTAAGACGTTCGAGAGGCAAGTTACTCACGAGAATGACAGGCCAGCGGTTGCGAACCGAGTCGTTAGCGAACGAGTTGACGTCCGAGGTCATGGACTGGGCTGTGAATTGTTAGATTCTACCCTGCCAAAGGGTGACGCAGCACATACGGGTCTTGGTATCGTAATCCATGGTAGCGATTGACTCTAAAATTCAAATTGTAGTTCAAAAACAGATGGTTTGATGTCGCAACATCAGCTTCTGAAGATCATCGCCAGTAAACTTTTGGAGGGGCACCGAGGGGCAGACCGCGATAAGAAGTTGCCCGGTTTGGTGCATATCTATGTACTAATGCAGCGTGCGGGTAGGGGATAGACGCATATGCCTCATCCAGCTCCACCGCGACGTCATCCGAGAGGATCAAAAGATTGGGTCCAAAACGTCGAACCGCGACTGACGTTTGACGACTTCACAGTTCATCCCCTCATACCCATAATAAATTTCTGCTTCGCGACCTCCAAGGCGCCAACGATTGCAGACGTCACGGCTTCATGATTATGCCGCATGCGCGATTGGCGTGGGTTTGATCGAATCACAGGCGCCAGTCCTCGACGTGCTTGAGTCGTTTGGCTTGGGAGGTAACATCGATACGACGGCGCAATGTCACAGGTGGTCCGACCTTGAGGGTAGCTCTCCCGCGCTAATTGACTGCTTAATTATCCAGAATGTTCTATCTTGCTCGTCGTGTATCTGATCGGACTCCATGCTACAGCTGCCGTCGAAGCGACGAACTCTGCGCCCGTTGGGCCACAGCCCCAGAAGCAAACACCCATCATAGCTAACGCAAACAAAAGCAAGACGAGTCTCGGCAGCTTCAACAACAGATGAAGTGTGCCAGCGTTGCGCCAATCGCCTGAACTTCGAAAGTGCATTTGTGCGAGACAGATTGACCAGATGAGATACACGAATATACCGCCAAAGACTGCGCCAATGATCGCGAGCACTAAATGTGTTAGTTGAAAAGTCAATCTTCGTGGGGTTGGGGGCACTTACGTGATTTGAATTGCGGCACTAGGATGGCAACAACTCCAGCCAATATCCAAAGGAGTCCTGGAACAATGTCAGTTTGTTTCTAGGTCAACAATGCTCAGGACAAGAGTCATACCGGACACAATCCCATGGGAGACTCTTGGTCCTAGGCGAAACCTCTGGGCCAAGGACGTTGCAATTCCACCATCATGGATGAACTGCACGATGAGCAGGCAGTAAATCACCGCTTGCACGGTGCTGGGGAGGAGAAGAATTGCAGATGCAGCTTGGCCATGCCCTCGAGGAAGGCTTTCCCAGACAGGCGAAGGGAGACGCATCCCACGCTGCATCAGGATCGTGCAGACACTCACACCGAACCCACCGAGGACGAAAGTCAAAATAGCGAAGGTCACGTATAATGACTTCCAAAATTGCCTAAAATCTTCGTCAGCTATGGCCATTGAAGCCGTGAAAAGGGGTTCGTACTCGGGCTTCTTCATCTGTGGCATCAAGGAAGGGATTGTTGTCTGCACGAGATAGATGAAGACAAGCTTCAGAACCGCCACCAACTTTGCATCCCGACTCGTTTCATGGTTGTACCACGGGTAGACGGCCGTTGTGGTATATGGACCTTGCTGTTTTCCATGGTCCGGTACTTGAGCCTGTGACAGGAGCGCGGTGATTGCGATGGCAAACGCAACCACGCATCCGCCCGTGAGAATCCCGAACTTAGCCAGACGTTCCGGGTTCCTCAGGGCTGTCAGGGAGAAACAAATGACAAGAAATGGAGCCAGCATGATCAAACCAGGTCGGACATTGCCGGGGAGCTCTATGCCGTTGAACCATGTCTCTGCGATGCTGATATTGACACACAGGTGCGCAGACTGTGAGGTTGTTAGCGGTGGAAACAGGGCCCAGTATCTCGGGGTTGACAAACCATGATTGCCTATCAGACTTTTGTTAGTCACGTTTCACTTCTACAGCGAAGGGAGAGCACTCACCAAATTCAACAACACGATCATAATCGACGCCGCGGTTCGTGCCATCCGGGCAAATCTCGGACACATACAAGCAGCAACATCCCCCATTGAGCGGATCTCAGGATGCTGCAAAAGGTACTTGTATGCCCACGTGGAAGTCAGCAGGCTTGAGAGCGCTGTCGGGATGAGCACCCCAAGCCCGCTGGCAATGCCCCAGGTGGCAATAATATCAGGCATCGCGGTAATACCGATGCCCAGGAGCTCTGCAACGAGTACAAAGCAGAGTGTGAGCCAGGACATTTGGTCTTTGGCCCCAGCTTCGGATTCGCTGTTCGTGCTGGTGCTGGTGCTCCTGCCCAGTTCTTCCTCCGACGAGGCATCGAACCTGTTGTGGAGGGCGGCCTCACGGATCCGCGCTCCAAGTCCGATGGGCTTGATCTCGGACATGTTCTCAGCGATTTTTGTCTCTTGTTTTGGCGACATTGTGCTGTTTGCGCTGGAAATGAGTGACGTCGACGAGTGTACGTGGGTGAAGGGGAGAAGGAGTAGAATATACGTGGTGACGAAGGCAAAGTGACTGACGTCGAAAGCGTATGTGCCGAAAATTGGAAGCTGGCGTATTGTACACAGTGAGATGGATGTAATGGGAAGCTTTGAATTCAGGGTCCATGTCCAAGAAATGTGCGTGCTTTATAGGGGCCATTGCTGACACAACGTAAAGGATGCCTCACTCTCGTGGAAACTGTAATTTCTTCTCAACAACTTGAAGCTAAAATGGCCTTCAAGAACACGTTTGCCTCGGATAGCTCAACGCTACACCAAAGGTAGTTCAGTGTGCGATTTAGGAGGTGACTTAGATGGCACTATAGATCTTCTAGAGTGCGAAAGAAGCTATCACGCTTCCACGTTCGGGTTATGGAAAGTTTTATGCTGACATGATAACTGAATGTATTGTCTTGGGACATGCCTGGCCTCTCCAAGTCTTCTTGCGACGGAGACACCTCTGCGTACTGTCCCCATCGAGGCTGGGATATTGTATCACGAAATATAGTTGCCACTTATACAGCCCATGGAAAGGATGTATTTGTCGAGGCACCACAGACGTGCAGCCTTCAGGATATTGGTGAATGATGGTGCTAACCATCTTTGTGCAGCTAAAACTTCCAGTAGTCCGCCTCTGAAGTTTAAATAAATTGACGTGCTGATCCAGGTACCAGAGACCGGCGCTAAACGCCATGCACCTTTAAAGTAGCGACGGCCTGGCTTCTTGTCTCAAGGGACCAGAAGACCCAATGCTGATGAGGAACAAGCTTCGAAGCTTGCAAAGCAACCAGCTCGAACATCCCTTTTTTCTCTTTCACCCCTTAGGCTTGATGACTGATGGCCGTGGTGCGGAACAATGGCTGGGGGTCTCTCAATATTTCCACGCCAGAGTTCGTGGTGAGCGACGAGCCCCTATTGTTGACTTTTGGGATTTTAGCTGCGCCACGGGCGCTGGCAAATCAGTCTCACTCAGCCACATCTGCAGCGACAACAGACAGGGCCAAGACCTCGAACCCCATCCCCAGCCTCTCCCATTCACGCTGCGTGACGCCTCTCGCCATGTGAAGTACACACAAAAGCAGGGCAGCTACGCTGTCTTTGCAATGAATCAATGATTGGTCATAGTGGTCGCGTCGTGGTTCCCTTGACCGCCAGACTAGACCGAATCCGCAATGCGTTCACCATAGCGACACGACTCGACAACTGACAAAGAACACGACTACAAGCATGCCTTTCGTAGCAAACACTCCGGAATCGCTCCTCGACCGCAACGATTCCAAAAATCCTGCCTCGACATGTCGGGGGCTCACCGCGTCTGGTCGACCTTGTCGAAGGCCCCTCGCTACCGCCGGCAGGGCCCTACAACCACCCTCGCGCAGTCGCTACGATCCTGCAGATGAGAACCTATACTGTTGGCAGCATCGAGAGCAAGCAAACTTCTCTGTGCACTCCAGCCCTGGACCGCGCGCAAATGCCACACCCATTCTGGAGGAGGAACGGCCCAGGACGAGCCTCGATACTTTGGCTGACCGCCTAGGTCTGGTGGATCTCCAGGACAAGGAAAAGAGGAAGAAGAAGAAGCAGCACACGCAGGGCGATCCTGTCAAAAATCCAAGGATATACCGACCACCTCCCAAGAAGGCCAAAGAGCCAACTCTGGAGTTTTGTTTCTGCTTCAAGATGCCTCTGGAAGAGAAGACGCCAGCGCCACGCCCCCAGCCACAGCCAGTACAGCAACAACATGCGAACTCGCACATGCCCAGCCCCGGGCGGAGGACAAAGCAGACCCTGAATGCGTCGACGGCATCGCCAGCCAAGAGCTCACGAAAGTCAAACGTCTCACAAACGGCGAGATTAAAAGATCTCATCCCCGATGACTTGGACACCATCACGGCATCTGCCATTTTGGCCGAGCTGGCCAAACCACATTCCGAGGCAGAAGAGCCAGGGTACATCTACATGTTCTGGTTGACACCAGAGGCCAAGTCAGGTGGCCGGGCTGCGCCGGTCGACGCGGCGCGGCAGATGCTCGCCCCGCCCTCACCATCGCCTCGGAACCGTCGCGTCAGTGACACAGTCCTGCCCTACGCGGATACGACTCGCAGCAGTGGCAAGAAGACCATGGTTCTCAAAATTGGGCGCGCGGCGAACGTTCAACGCCGTATGAACCAATGGCAGAGGCAGTGTGGTAGAGAGGTCGAGGTACTTCGGTACTATCCTTACTCATCGTCCACCGCGCCGCTCGATGCGCCGCCCCGCACTACGCCGCATGTTAAGAAGGTTGAGCGGCTGGTACATATTGAGTTGGCAGGGCGCGGGCTCAAAGCTGATGCTGGGGCGTGCGATGCCTGTGGCCGAGAGCATCGAGAGTGGTTCGAGGTCGACGCTTCGAGGAAGGGGGTTCGAGAGGTGGACGAGATTATAAGACGATGGGTGGAGTGGGATGAGGGACTGTGACCTGGACTATCGCAAGTTCGTGGTCAGGTTGGATGTCAGCCAGGATGAATACTGCTTACGATGATGACCATGATCAACGGGATCTTTTTCTTGATTACGCAACGTGGCGTAGGGTGGAGCATCTTTGCACATCTTTCAGTCATTCATGTCGGCTTTTCAACAGATTCAGCAGAAGGTATCTACAAACAATGTCTGGCTGAATTTCCACTTATTTGACCTTGCGGTGATGATAGAGGCCACGTATCCTGTATATCTTTATCGCCTCTACAATCTTGAGGGCCAAACTTTTTTGAAGCTTTGCGCGAGGCCAATCTTGCGCTCCTTGCGCCCACTGCGGGCACGGTCTTGCCTAACACTTCCCAGGGACAAGATTACTGAACAGGTAATAACTTGAAGGTACATTTCGCCCGAGCAAATGATTTAGACGGGTGTTCAACAACAGTCACTACCCAGTAAATAATAAGCTCAGACGCTCGTCGCTCACACCACACGGCTGATACATGCTTGGCCGTCTGTTGAAAGTAGGCTATCAGCTCAACCTGATGCTGGCTCGAGCTCCGACCACAATACCAACTTGGCTTGGTCTTTCTGGCAGCCTCGAAAAGATTCACGGGGAGGGCCATGCAGTCCACGTACTTCTAGTAAGGATAACCTGAACACACGCGTCCGTGAAAGTCTGCATCGGGTTCTGCTCCTCAAGTTAGGCCGCACACCAGACTACTGGTGTTCACTTGCGAGTCCTGCATCCATGCCGTCCCACGTGCCCTCATGAGCGTTTAGAAGCTTGTTCCTTAAAAATCTGAAACATCCAGTCTTCGTTTGTTTGTCGATCGTGGCAAGAGCATCATGTTTCAGCCTGGCCCTTGGGAGTTTTGCTGTGGCGAGAATTCTACAGAGGTCGTTACGTACCGACGGTACTTGCCTGGGATCTGGCCAGGCTGCATGAAGTGCTCCACGTCCAGATTAGAGGCTCAAGGCGGCTGTTTCACAATTCTTGTCCAATTTAGGTGTGTTGAGGTTTAGTGCCGTCTGTTGACGGAGGTGTGGAATTGTACTTCATCAGTGCTGATATGTGGGCTACCCTATACCTTGTAAGCAACATGATACATGTAGGATGGCGCGCCAGTTATTATTTCATTGAAATGGTTTATAGAGATATTTACCTTTGGCTGTTGTGTTAATTTTTGTGATAATGCTCCGTCTGCTTGGAACCTGTGTGGTTTTCGTCGTATTCCAAACAACAAAGGACAACATTTGCACGAAGTACAGACGCCAATCATCAAACAACGGCTTTCTTGTTACGAACAGCAAATTACCTGGCAAAGAACACGACGAGATCGAGAGAGCCGAAGTCACCTAACCCTCAGGTTTACATTTAGTCATATTACAAAAGCTAGATGTGCACTTGCGCCAATGGAAACAGGATATCAGTTGCAACGTGCAGTGATCCACCTTGGTGATCAAATATAAGGTAGAGATCGATTACCTGCCGCTGCGGAGACAGTAAGCAATCAACGGAAGACAAGTGTCGTGGGCAATGAGCTTGAGGCCTATGAAGCCGCCCCAGAGCTAAGTGCTGTACAGAAGGCTCTTTGAAGTAGAGGTCTAGACGATTGGCGGAGGATTTCGGCACTTGGCCTAGCGCAGACGGGATCGCGTCTAGCACAGTGAGATTATCCTTGTTTTTATTATCACGACGTTTGCCCTTGCCAACTGCCGCTGATGATCTTTGACATTTTGAAGCGACATACGGACCGCAGATATTATACAGGTGATGAGGTCCAAGCGCAACATGGCAAAACCCCTTTAGCGTTGCGCACAAATGACCGGCCTCAGTAGGGTAGCTTTACCGAACCCTGCCGAGAAGTCACGAACGTTAGGTAGACTGAAGAGGAGAGATGTGTGGTACACGGTAAAAGGAACAACTTCATTCTTTCGACGGGGACTCCCCGGGGCTGCTGCCCTTGGATTCGCCAGCCCTGCTCTGATCCTTATTGCCCGCCTCCTCTGGGCCGTCCTTATCAGTTCTCTTGGTGAAGATCTCGTCGATGACACCGAGCTCGAGCGCTTCCTCGGTGGACAGATACTTGTCCCGCTCCATCAGGTCGTTGATTTCCTCCAGGGAATACCGTTCGAAACCCTTGGCGGTGTTGAGATGGTGCCGCATGATACGATTCGATTGTTCGCGGATACGTTGGATCTGATTCGCGTAGATGAGGATGTCAGAGGCCTGGCCGTGGGTGCCACCCAGTGGTTGATGGATCATGATACTGCTGTGCGGGAGGGCGCAGCGCTTGCCAGGCTCGCCGCCGGCAAGAAGGATAGCCGCCATCGATGCAGCGCCGCCCACGCAGACTGTCGACACCGGCGATTTGATATATGACATGGTATCGTAGATGGCCATGCCTGCGAACAGTTAGCCAGCGTCCTCCGCGACGCATTGAGCGCTGATGGATTCACATACCAGACGTGACAGATCCGCCTGGCGAATTGATGTACATGGTGATCGGTTTGTCGGGGGTGTCAGACTCTAGCCAGAGCAGCTGCGAGACGACAGATGCCGACATGTAGTCGTTGATCTCGCCATTGACGCAGATGATGCGCTCTTGTAATAATTTCGAGAATATGTCCCCTGCGGTCCGCCAGTCAGTCGGTTCGCATATTCGAGCGTGCGAGTCGTCGTACATGTTCTTCGTCCTTGCGCCTGCAATCGTCAGTGGCTGTTTTCACAAATCGGTCGCGCTACCCACCGTTGTCTCTTCGATATACGGCATAGGGATGTTCATGGCCGGTGCTGCGCTGGCTGAGCCGCCAGAGGTGAAGTGGCCGAAGCAGCGGGCATATCTAGGCGCCGTCCGCCGAAGCGGGGCGAGTAATGATGGGCGTAGGCGCATGTTGAAGCTGATGGAGATGGTAGGATGGTGCAGAGCTGCTCCAACGGCCGACGTTTGGAGAAGGCCGGGCCGCCGCGTCGTGACGTGACGCAGGACCCGCAATTAATTAATGGTGGAGCACGCGCAGCAGAAGTTCAATCTTGGGGAAAGTGGAAAGAAACCCGTCTTCAACCTTTGTCGAAGCTTCGAACACGCAGACTACTTACCGCGTCGCATCCGAAGACTCTCATTGTGCCCGAATACTGCCTGCAGAGCGATGAAACGCTGCACGGCTGCGCTGCCGACCACGCGCAGCTGGCAAGCTAGGCGATGGGCTTCGCATGATCGATCGACGTTGACCCCCGAAGCTCTGCTTGAGCAAGTCCAGTCCGGTCTCGACGAGGACACAAAAGTCATTCCAGACCAGAAGAAGGTGTCGACACCGGCAGGAGAGCTTCCTATATCGCCCGTCTTCGATCCCGCATGGATCAAGTCGCGGCGGCGCGAACGCAAGCCAGCTGGGGCGCCGGTCTCTGGGCGCTTCAGGAAAAAGCTGGCATCAAATCCATATGGTAGGGGCCATTAGACACAGTCAAGATCGTTCTGACCCGCATGTAGCAAGAGCGTTGGCGCAGCCGTTGCGCGTGTGCGCGATGACCAATGCGACACTACCACGGTACTTCCTCCAGGACTTCGAGGTCATTCACCATCCAGAATCCGAACAGGCTTGGTTCGCTCCCGGGCCAGCAGCCTTCCAAGGCGTAGTCCCGACCTCCAGACCGGACGGAGACCCAAGGGAGACTTTGCAGGAGGGGGAGCAATCACCCGCAGAGAGAGAGCAGCGTGCAAGAGCTGGACAGTCCTTACAGGAAAAACGAGCATCTAAAGACGGCGACGCCGTTGAGGTCCGTGACGATGCGGAAGCAACCAAAGACGAGACGAGAGCTTCCCCTGACAATCATCGTGCCCCGCGAGCACCCCTGACTGCGTACATGCTTAGTCGCAAAGACGTTCTGGGACAGGTGGATCGGCAAACAAAGCTGCACGGCAGAATCTTGGGTCGACGAAGTGGCACAGCAACGTCAGCAAAGCAAGGCAAGATCGTCTGGCGAAATGACATGGGTGACTTTGTGCTGGACAAGATGCGGCGCGTGGTTGTGGACGCGCTCATTGCGCGGTCTGACGAAAACTTTGGTCCCCAGACTAAGTTTATGGAGCCTGTGTCTGATTGGGACAAGATCAAAGACGTGCCTTCACGGGAGAGCATCCTCTGTTTACTCAACAAGGAAGCTCGTAGTGACGGCCATGCCGTGGACGACGCAAGTGCCGCTGCGCTGTCATCAGCGACACCAGAGTTTGCGACCTTTGATGTTGAGGGAGCCAAGTATGGCAGCAAAATGGCCGTGCATGACCTATATTGGCTTCTGGGGACGACGGAAGTGGCAAGATTGAAGGAAAACAGACCGCACCTATTCAACGAACATGGCTTGCTTGTCCTGAAGGGCGGACGACGGATGGTCAGCATTCACCAGTTGTTGTGGCGCCTACACGGATACCTAGCAGCAAGCAAGGTGTAGATCTCGGACAATCGAAGCGAGTTGCGAATCCTCTCGGTACAGACCAAGGACACATGAGACCGCGACCAAGCTGGACGTTAAGTTTTCCGAGGATGAGGAACATCGACTCATGGTGGAGTTGGCTGCAGGCTGTACCAGTCTTGTTACACTGTGTGGCAAAAGACTCTGAACGAGATGCAGACGATCTGCAATCAGAAAAGACCACGAAAACCTCTCGTTGGTCAGATGTTTGCAGACACTTTGTTTGATCAACATGATGGGTGCAGTTTCGGCCCTCGCTGATCATCGATTGGTGTCCCCTTCAAGATGCTCTGTCCAAGGCCACTGGTGAGTAATGGAGACACCTATTGAGCGCCGAAGAGGAGTTATCAAGGACGATCAATCGACATTAGTTCGTCCCGTATCTTCAAATCGAACACAGCTGAGCAATGTACGATATCATCCAACGGGTTCAATGCTGCCCCAGGCATCAGCTTCTACGAAAGAGGCGGACAGTAATACTGACAAGCCGAAAGGCAAGGCATTTTGCTCAGGATTCAGGGTCCACGACATTGTGACACTGGGACCGATTTTGGAGCACACGGTCATGGCAGAGGCAAACAATTCGATGATCTGAAACGTCCGTCATGGCGTGGGAGTCGGGACAGTCAGCAGAGGGTTGTCCGAGATCAGACGCGCGCTCGGCATGATCGTCCAGTCTGCCACCACTTGCTCACTGACGTGCCCCGAATCGCGCTTCCAGCAGCGCTTGCGATCTACTGCACGACTGCCGCGAAGGGTGTCCGATTTATGGGGCCCTTTGCCGCGCAGAGGTGAGGCTGATGGTGATCAGGGCAACTTATGTCAGCTCTGGAGGGACCAGCTCGTGCCAGCGTCAGAGGCGAGGACCCTGAACTTGGGGATGCTGCAAGGGTCAGCGTCCATCTGGACGGTTTTGTCCTGGGCATGCGTTAGCCTGGCATGACTTCATCACACCCTCACGGACACGCCGCAGGTAAAGAGCAGCGCGAAGCTGCAGGACGCGGTGATGACAGCCAGACCTTGGAGCTTCTGTTGTTTGGAATGGGAAAACCCTTTTGTTTCAATGAGTCTCATACACATCTGAACATGCTCGACTGCACTGGACGACTTCAAAGGTTGAAGCTTCTCGTTGTCGTTATTCCGTTGCTACACGGAGTCGGTGGTGATAATACGACAAGAAGCTCACCAGGTGGACCTCTCAGCTCAGCCTAACCTTTTCTATTTTTTTTTAAAAGCTTGACCCCAACTTCTTCGTGTGGACCCCTGCAGGACCCTGGAATCCTGCCTGGCGCCACCGTGACGATGAAGGATGCTTGTTTGAGCCTCTGTGCACGCCGCCGCAATTGGAAAACCGCTTGACAGATCAGTACTGATGATCGTCAGTTTGGAGGCCATTGCATTCCTCATCTACTCTTGTACATCGCCGCCCTGGTACTTGCTTGGGTACCTCCCGTCAAGTGGCGCACGTGCGGACCCTTGACGGGCTTCCTCTTCGGAGAGGCTGACGGATGATCGTCACGTATCCCAGCAGCTCTGTCATCAACGATGATGCGCGGTGGCAGGAGTTTATAACTGGCGATGCCCTCGACTCAGCAAAGTGTCTTTCCCTTGACAATTCATCTTCTCATCCCAACAACATCTTTTCTCTTTTTGTCATTGTCGATTGCTCTGGTTAGCACGGCAGTATCTTTCATTTCAACAGATTAATCATTTGTTCTCTTCACTGGTTGAAGAGTATCACCTTCCTTATCTAATAGACGAGAAAGTTGGAACAAGTCGGGCAACATCGACTGTGTCTCTACGACAAAAAACAACGACTATCACTACCAAACACACCACCACATCACACAATGGACGAGTTCAACCCTGAGCGCATCCAGCCCGAGGACTGGTCTTTCCCCAACAGCCCCTCGTGCTCCTCGACGACGGCGGTCCTCATCCACGACGGTGGAGGCACCACCTACCCCTACCACTGCCTCGGCTCCTTGTACCGCAATGTGTACGGCATCAGGAACCCTTACTTCTTCTCCGGCGACATCTTCCCCGGTGGCCTCCCTGAGATGGGCAAGGTCTACGCCGACTACATCCGCGACGCCGTGAAGCGCAAGGACTTCAAGTGCCGCCGCAAGCTGGACGGCAGTGTCGACCTCCTCATCGGCGGATGGTCCCTCGGTGGTCTCCTCGCCCTCGAGGTCGCCAAGGAGCTGGCCGACGACAAGAAGATCAACGTCGTGGGCATGATCATGATCGACTCTGTCTACACCGGTGTCGACGCCCAGCGCCAGCTCGCCGACACCGAGGCCAAGCCCATCAACTTCTCCGAGGAGGGCAAGTCTCGCAACGAGATCCTGTCTCTCCGCGCCATGTCCGAGGCCGTCCGCATGATCGAGGACTGGACACCCCCCAAATGGGAGGGTCGTCTCGCCGGCAAGCGCCCCAAGTGCGTCCTCCTGCGCGCCCGCGACTACTACCCCACCGAAGAGGGTGAACTCAGCACCATTGACGTCTTCCGGGACGACGATATGCTCGGCTGGTCCGCATACGACCCCAAGATGTTCACAAAGGTGCTCGAGATCCCCGGCCACCACTTTAGCATATTCGACATGGACAAGGTCGACTCGACCACGCGCGGCCTGCAGAACGCCTTTGACAAGCTGACGCAGCCCTCGGCCCGTCAGCGCATGCTCGCCGAGCTCCAGTGCATGTAATCGAAGCAGGCGAGAGATTTCCTATCAGGAATGTGAATGGTATCAGGAGGATTTTCTTACGACTACACTATCCTGTCCTGGTACCAATCTTGTCTTCTTCTTTTACATCATACGAACGCCTTCATCAAAGACATCAGATTGATTTATGATGGCTACATAATGTCCTCCTATAAATACGGTTGCGACGATGAATGCACCTACGACTAGATACACACTGGACTTTCGATAATTCTATTCACGAGCATAGCACTTTGGGTTTTGGGCGTTTTCACAGTCACGTCTTTGAATGACAAGATGACTTACTAAAATTGATGACTTTTGTTGCATTGTTCCTGCTTCGTCGACGAAAATGATGTGTGAGGCGCTTTACGCACGTTGTGGTGGCGAGTGTTTCAGCTGTGCATCTCGTAAGGCTGCAGGCTCCGTCAGCCCACGGAGCCAAAGCTGGGACCCAAGTGGTGATCTGCTGTGTGTTTATAAATGGGCATGAGTCTCCTTTGGCTTCTGATCAGTCGATTGTTCTTTGAGACTGTTCCGCAGGTAACGTCAGGACGCCGATCCGTACACGAAACGCCCCTTCTTGGAGTGGATAGGGTCTCAACAGTCCGCAGGTTCGGGGAAGCAAAATAACCCATACTTCCGAGTGACGGCGGGCGACTATTTGATATCCCAATGGAAACAGACTGAAGTGAGCAGAATGTAGGAGGCAACTGTCAGGCTTATGGAATGCCGATGATGAAGTCAAACTCAGACGAGGCGGGGTGGATGGGTCTGGGAAGCTCTATCTGTTTATAGTGAACGATCCCTATCAAAGGATTGAATATTTGACAAGGGTGGACTAAGAAGCACAGGAAAACAGTGGAAGACGTCGCATTCAATTTCGGGCCAATCCATCAGACAAAATTCAGCTGAGCCATATGTAGGCCGCACCGGACAGGACAGTCTAAGTCGTGACGATGAATGATTGTGTCACCGCCACTCGGTTGAGCATGTACTATTGCACCATGGAGACTTGTATGCTTCTCGTCCAGATCATGTCTTCAGACTGCCCTTTTAGTCCCTTCCGAGTTTTGAATAGAATCGTGTTGAATTTTCGGTGGGCTATGTAAGTGAGTCGTCGATTCGATCAACAACATACACAGTGGCAATGAAGAACAGAACAGCGAGGAACGAAAGTCAAAATACGAATAAAAGCTTCAACGGCTTTTTAGGACTTTACTTTTCGTTTGTCCTGCCATTTAGTGTGGTTATGAGCTTCCAATGATAACAGATCATGTTGCTCCGTGGTAGATCTCACGTCAGGATACGCAGCGATTTCACGCAATGACACACATACATTCTAATTAATTTGCAGCTGACTACGAGACTAGCTCATCTATGTCTTATCTTCATTCATCGAATTGAGTTCCAGCATGCTATTATCCAGGTCTTATCAATCAAGACGAAATGTTGGACAGATCGCTGCATCCGGAAAGGGGGCACGAAAACCAGATTGACGGAGTTCTCGGAATATTTTATTATTAAACCAATGCTGCTCACAATCTGAGGCCTGTTTTTGTGCCAGCATCGCAGTCCAGAGTCCAGGCTCCCCTGCTGCGATGTCCGGGGACCCCGGCTTTTGCCACGCAGTTCACGCGCGTGCGACAACAAGCTTTGACAAAAGATTGAAGACCGACACCCAAGGAACCAAGCTATAAACCGATTCGGAAAACCGTAGAATCTTTGTCTCGATGCCATAAACGCCCCGAGCCCCATTGTCGGTTGTGATCCAGAACAGAAGCCGCTTTCTTCGCCTACCAAAAGCCGACACACCCCAGTCTTGTCCGCGATGCATCAGGCTCCGCTTTACGCACATGAGCCAGCCAGGATGGGGGTAAGTCTTCCAAAACAGGCGAGTTGTTCGCCATGAGTGCCGCTGGACGGCAGTAAACTTGACCTGTCGCGTCTAGCGATTCCCAAGTTCCAGGAGCTGCAGCGCGCGCACTCTCCACCCGACAAGAGGCCTAGATAAGCTGTATCGATCACCGGAGGCGGACCAAAGAACGTTTGACAGCTTGAGTGAACGATGCGCGTTTAGATGGTGCGCCTTTAGTCCAGATTCGAAAGGAAATCTGGCGTAACTGACAAGGCTGAGAGCTTGAGCCTCAACCCGGCAGATGAGAATGAACCACACATTTCTCGCAAGCGAGGTCCTCAAACGGCAAACTCAATTGGCCCGAGTCTCTGTCAGAACAGGGGGCCAATTGAGCTGTCAATGCCGACGGCCAATCTCAACAGCGTCCAGGGGCTGCTGCATGGGGAAACGGACTGAATCGAACGCTGACGGCGAACAAACACGCTCCTTTTAAGAACCTCATGGCGCCTTCGAAGGCTCAGGGATCCTGTGCTGAAGACTGCTGCAACTTCATCTTGATGAGTGACTGTCCACACGATTGATTGATTGTCACCATCATGTCCACTCGTTTCTTGTCGCTCCTTTCCGCCCTCTCCTACGCTCACGTGGCACTGGGAGGGCCACTTCTTGGTTCTATTCTCAACCCTTTGGAGGATGCCCTTGGCACGATTGTTTCCGGCGGTGGTTTGATTGAGGGCACGCTGGGCCAGGTGGGAGGTCTGCTCGGCGTGGACCAGGAATTTGACTATGTGGTGGTTGGCGGAGGAACCGCTGGCAATGCGATTGGTGTCCGTCTCGCCGAGGCTGGCTTCTCTGTCGCGATCATTGAGGCGGGCATCTTCTATGAGCTTGGGAAGCCGGTCCTTGGCTCGACACCGGCCGGAGCCTTCTTTGGCGTCGGGGGGAAATTGATCGATACCCTGCCAACTGTCGACTGGTCGTTCTTGACGGAGCCTCAGGCGGGCGCGAACAACCGCGAGGTGCACTACGCGCAAGGACGATGCATTGGCGGATCCTCTGCGCTGAACTTTATGATCCATCACCGTGGGTCGGAGGGCTCGTACGCCCAGTGGGCTGATTTGGTCGGCGACGACAGCTACCTGTGAGTGCGCTCTCTGATGATATTGTGAAGTCGGTGGCTGACAAAGACCAGGTTCGAGAACTTCTTGCCCTACTTTGAAAAGAGTGTCACCCTGACAGAGCCCAACAACGACATCCGCAGGGATAATGTCACGACCGTCTACGACACCGATGTCTTCCAAGAGCCCGGCACTGGCGGTCCCATCCAGGTCGGCTACACCAACTGGGTGTCTTCTTGGGCTACTTGGCTCGAGAAGGGTCTGCAGGCCGTCGGCATGGAGCGGACAGATGGGTTCGCCAGCGGCAGGCTGATGGGATACCACTACTCGCAAGCCACCATCCGGGCGTCGGACCAGACGCGCAGCTCGTCCGCGCAGTATGTGTACAAGGCAAAAAAGTCCAGCGCCAAGAAGAAGCTCAAGGTCTTCACGCAGACGCTGGCCAAGAAGGTCCTCTTTGACAAGAACAACAAGGCTACCGCGGTCGAGGTGAGCATGCTCGGCGCTCTTCCCACGTACAAGATCAAGGCCAAGAAGGAGGTCATCGTCTCCGCTGGTGCCTTCAAGTCGCCTCAGCTGCTCATGCTGTCTGGCATTGGCCCCGAGGCCACGCTCAAAGAGCAGGGTATCCCCATCGTCAAGGCTCTCGAGGGCGTCGGCCAGAACATGTGGGATCACATCTTGTTCGGCCCCTCGTACCAGGTCAACTTTCCCACGCTCGACAAGACCCTCCACGAACCCGTCGCGCTGGCCGATGCGCTCCTCGACTACTCCATCAAGGCTCAAGGTCCCCTTAGCTCCAACGTGGTTGAGTTCCTCGGCTGGGAGAAGCTCCCCGAGAAGTACCGCAAGGACTTTAGCGAGGCCACGCGCGAGGCGCTGTCCTGGTTCGCCGACGACTGGCCCGAGGTCGAGCATATTTCCGGCAACGGCTGGATTGGTGACTTTGCCTTCCCTGTGCTGCAGCAACCTCTCGATGGCAAGCAGTATGCCACCAACCTGGGCGCCATGGTCGCTCCCCTGTCGCGAGGCAACGTAACCCTCAAGAGCAACAGCCCGCTCGCCCCGCCCAGCATCAACCCCAACTGGCTCACCCACCCCGGTGACCAAGAGGTTGCCATCGCCTGGTACAGACGCATGCGCGAGGTCTGGGATACGCCCGAGCTCCGCTCGATCCGCGTCGGTGACAAGGAGGACTACCCTGGCCTCGAGAACCAGACGGACGAGGAGATTCTGAATGTGGTGCGCTCGTCGCTCATGACGGTGTGGCACGCGGCGTGCACGTGCAAGATGGGCAAGGAGGAGGATTCCATGGCCGTCATTGACAGCAAGGCCCGCGTCTTTGGTGTCGAGGGTCTGCGTGTTGTTGATGCGAGTGCCTTCCCGCTGCTGCCTCCTGGTCACCCGTCGTCGACGATTTACGCTCTCGCGGAGAAGATCGCCGACGCTATCATCAACGAGGAGTAGTGTTCCTTTCTGAGGATCCTTTCCATGTCGGGTGTGTTGTACATAATTTACTGCAATAGGCAAACCGTCTAGTCGCGCATCGCCGAACGACACGCACTGCGCTAGGGGATATGAAATACCGACGGCTGCCGGCTCTCCTACATAGTACATGAAATGTGAGATCCATTATATTCGCGAAATTCAGGCAAAGTGCCGTTTGGAACTCACAAGCTGGTCGAGGACATGTCACTCTGCTGATGAGACACTCCCACACTTCTGTCCTTGAATCATCGACGTCAAGATAGGTCTGAGACTGAGACATTCAGCCTCGAGCGACAGCCACCGCTTTTCTGGAGACGCCCATCGGAATCACAACCAAATGGTTCCGCCGTGAACACGAGTCTCGGAATCTCCGTGACCTTTTGCCCGCATCCCTTTGCTTGGCCTCCGTCATGCGCGTGCTTCTTGAATCTTCCAGTCCGAAGCCTCGCAGCGCCCTAGACTAGTCTCCTGCCAGGGACGTACCGTACGTAGCTTTGCCGCAGATCATGGGCCCGATGTGGGCGAGCTAATGATTCCCGTCTGCCGGAGGTTTATTTGGCGCCAAGATCGCGCTATCAATCTGAGCTTTATCCGTATTAAAGATCGGGAGCTAGTGAGCTACAGCACGTTAATATTGTAACCAGCACAGCTAGAATGAAAGAACTGTGCTCACGTGTTGATCTCACGCCAATTGACAATCCTTTTCACACTGACGAAGCAAAAAGACTGCGTGCTCTCTATACCAGCGTGGGAGTCTCACGATGCTTGCACGTGGCAATACAGAGTGCCGCCGCCTCCACACACGAGAATGCGGCCGCCTTGCGCCTCCAGCTCCTCAGGGTCCAAAACCCCTGATCGACTACATTTAAGCTAAATCCTTTGTTTTATTCTGAGCTTCCGCATGGCCCAAGTCATTGGCTCTCAGAGCAGCGCAGCGACGGGCGGCCGACGGTAGCAGCCGATCAACTACCGAATCGTTCTAGCGGAACTGTGGGGTGGCGATGATCCTGGATCCTCAGCTTTTCGACCCTCCTCATTTGGCATCGGCTGATGAAGGATGATGATGCGTGGGTAGCCTACGATGGGACTTGTGTGCAGATTCCCCATTCTCATATCTGTGCCCGTGGCATCAACCAGATGGGCCCCATAAGTAATGTCTGCTCAGGCTCATGATGCGGCTGTTTGGTGACAAGAGCTGCCTTTTTTGACGATGGCATCAGCTGCAAAATCCGCCGTCTGGCGGCCCCCTGGCCATATGACAGGCTCGTGTATAAGTACCGGACGTGATCGCCAGGAAGACTCCTGAATATTGTATCAACCAGACAGCTCCAGTCCTCTACACCACACTCCTTCTTTGCCTCATATCCTCCATCATACCTCAAAATGCCCGGCCTCTTCAAGTCAGCTACCGCGCTGCTCAGCGCTGCCGCCGTCGTCACTGCGTCGCCCACCCAGCGCATGAGCAAGCGCGACATCATCACTCCCCTCCCCGAGGGCGCGTCCGACCTCGAGCTCAAGTTCCAGCCTTACCTGGACTTTGACTCTGATGTAAGCCTTCCTAGGAGCCTTGCTCTTGACCAACCTCTGTATACTGACGCACATTGCAGGGCTGCTACAACACCGCGGCCATCTCCCCTGATGGCTACACCAACCCTGGCAAGGGCCCGACCGGCACTCCTCAGGGTGACTGCCGTGACCCTCCCCAGCTTGAGAACAGCAACGCCTACTCCCGTTCGCGCTGCAACAACGGCATCTGCGCCATCATGTACGAGTACTACTTCGAAAAGGACCAGTCTGTCGGCCTGAGCTTCACCGGCGGCCACCGCCACGACTGGGAGAACATTGTCGTCTTCACCCGCGGCGAGGATGTCATCTACGTCGCGCCCTCGTGCCACACGGGCTACAACAGCGGCAACAACGTCATCTTGGACGGCCAGCACCCGCTCGTCGTCTACCACAAGGACGGTGGCCTCACGCACTGCTTCCGCGTGGCCAATGGCGACGACCAGGCCAACCCAGAGAACCCTACCGGCGCCTTTCACCGCGCACCCCTCGTTGGCTGGGACAACTGGCCGAGCGTCGAGCTCCGCGACACCATGCTGCAGACGTGGAACGGTGGCGTGGGGCCCAAGCTCGACGATGAGTTCACGGATAAGCTGCGTGCGGCGGCTGGTACCTCTGTGCCTGGCTTTGATCCCGCCATTGACGGTTAGAGGATAAAGGCTATAGTACTGGTCAATAGAATACAAAATTGTAGATGTCTCAGTGATGAGCCTCGCGGTATATGTGTGCCTTCTGGACGTGTCCACAATTTCATCTCTGATGTACACGACTTAGGGGCCATGAGTATGGTCCTGGGTCTCGATGTGCACGCTTGCTTCCATGCTCTAGGCTCTTTGGTGCCCATTGACCATTTTCGTGTGGATAATCAATATCCACATCGACCAGCTGCTTCTAAAAGTGGGTGGATAGCACGTCCTGCCTACAGCAGTGTTCTGATGTCGCAACCAAGTGTCGCCACAGTCGCTGATAGAGTTCCTCGATACTGTTCCTCTCACGTATTCTTTGGGTAAAGCCCCTGCTTGGAGAGGCTTGCCACTCTCAGAGTGATGCCTGCACCTGATCTGAGAAGTTGTACCCCACGATCCCTTCGGCGACAATGGTCTTCTCGTCGAGGTCGTCGCGACAGCACAAGGACACCCGCCGGCCGATGATCCCGTCACCACCCACCGTAAGTGAGAGCGGTTCAGGGAGCTCAATCTCTGCATGTGTCCGCGTCGACGAATTCCCCGATTTTTGCAGTGGTATCGTACACATGAGCCCACATTCAGAGGCACTCTGCCGTAGATCGCCAGTGTCGCTGTCCATGTCAATACGTCTTCGTCTCCACGTGTGCCGCGCTCCTGGCTTACGTACTGCACCATGACAAAAAGTTCGTCTGTTTCCGATTGTGACGCGTCGTTGGCGATTGTCAATTGGATATGGGTTGCTTCGCTGCTGCGCTGGCTGCTCGGTGAGAAGAACGAAAGGTCGGCATTGAGCCCGGTACACTGGTCCAGTGCTGTCTGCGTCGGGAGCAACACGGCGAGGGCGCCTCCACGGGGACGGCCTGAGTTGTCTGGTCCGCACATGGTTTATAGTATCGAAGACGTAAAGGTGTTCTTGTGGAGAGGACAGGACAGGACAGGACGCTCGAGTGTGTGCTTCAAAGGTGATGATATTGATACCAAGAGGACTATGATTCTCGACTGGGTGTTCGAATTGCGATGTTGACTTACTGATCTCCACCCCCAGACTGTTTGATACATGCTCACAGAATTCTGCTCAATATCCCGCGTGGACTGGACGCGACGACGGGCTGGGCACACCTTGATGGCCGGGGAGGACCTTGAGGGCTACCCGCTCTTGGTTGCCGCCAATCAGCGCATCGCTTCCTAGGGGTCCGCTTCCCAATCGGGTAATGAGCTCAATGAGCAAGTTTGAGGGGGTATGCGAGAGATGGCCCGTGATGGTGAGTAATCACGATGTATTCGAGAGGGAACTCCTGAGAATCTATGAGGCATATTGGTTTCAGCATCTTCGTCACATTCAATGTGTGTGGTGGTGTCGAGGCGGTCACCCTTCAACGCGAGAAGAGGACCAGCATGTTGTGGCCTAGCTTCAGTAAGTGATGTGCGACGGGAGAAAGATGTATAAAGAAGAGGTGCTTGCTTGAGATTGTCTTGACCCGGCTTCCCAAGTAAAAGTCAATTCCTCGAGGAGTGGGTGATGCCATGACCTCCTGTTCGTTGAAGCTCCAAGCAACACCTTCGTCGACAGCATAGCGCATTTCTAAGCAACGACACACAGTACAGCCGACATCGGTAGCAGCATGTCTAATTCTAGAAGCATCAGCCTTTTCCATCTTTTGTGCAAAGTCGCCAGTCGCACGTCATTGGACGACGCGCTCTGATGCAATGCTTGTGTCAGGATAAGGTAAGGAAGGTACCTACGTAAGTAGGTAGCTCCTTCCCACATGAGCTCCCCTCCAAGACCGTGCCCCTCTTCTACCTTTCACTCTCACATCACAACAGCTCGCCTCTTTTCAACGCTCAGCTCGATAGTATCCATTCAACCGCAGTAATCAGAAATCCTCACCATGTCTGTCGGCACGTACTACCTCCCGGCCCTGCCGTACGCCTACAATGTATGTCCCACCTTACCCGAGGCCACCTCACATAGGAGCCGCTGCTGACAAGTCAGGCCCTGGAGCCCAGCATCTCGGCCCAGATCATGGAGCTCCATCACAGCAAGCACCACCAGACCTACGTCACCAACCTGAACAACGCCCTCAAGTCCTACTCGACAGCGTCCTCGTCCAACGACATCCCCCAGCAGATTGCCCTCCAGCAGGCCATCAAGTTCAACGGCGGCGGCCACATCAACCACTCGCTGTTCTGGGAGAACCTGACGCCCGCCAGCTCCCCCGACGCCAAGACAGACAGCGCCCCCACCCTCGTCGCGGCCATTGACAAGACATGGGGCAGCGTCGACAGCTTCAAGGCGACGTTTAACAAGGCGCTCTTGGGGATTCAGGGCAGCGGCTGGGGTTGGCTCGTCAAGGACGCGCAGGGTCTGCGGATCGTCACGACCAAGGACCAGGATCCCGTCGTCTCGGGCGAAGTTCCCATTTTTGGCGTGGACATGTGGGAGCATGCGTATTATTTGCAGGTGAGCGGTTGTCCAATGTTGAGTGAGTGACACACTGACTGGTGTAGTACCTGAACGGCAAGGCTGCCTACGTCGAGAACATCTGGAACGTCATCAACTGGAAGACGGCGGAGAAGCGCTACAAGGGCAGTGCCCAGGACGCCTTTTCTGTGCTCAAGGCGTCGCTGTAAATGTTGAGTTGAAGGCTCAGACATAGGATTGTCAGGCAGAGCATCCGGTCGTATGTACTCTAATACAACACCTGAGCATGTGGTCAAGTTCCGTGACGCAAGGTTCATGTTCCCTGCAAGGCCATCTGGGTTTGTTGATGAAGAATGCTGAGATCTCTTGCCGTGTGAGAGCATCACATACATCACATCTTCCAAAAGCAGACTTTCCACAAGAGCGAACGGACTTTGATCATATGCGCTGATGCAACCACAGCAAGACCGCGAACTCCACCCGGACAATAAACGTCGACAGAATTAATATGTGCATAGGTATTAACACCACTATACAACGGAGCACCGCCAACTCGTTCCAATGCCGCATTCAACTATCTCATTACTGCAGCTGGACGACCTGCTTGCCACCCACGACCTTGCCCTGACGTAGCTTATCAAGGCCGTCCATAATGCCCTTGAACCCTGGCTCAAGGCTGACAGTCGGGATGGGCTTCAGAAGCCGTGCCAATTCCGGAAGGGCGCTGCAATAGCGGACAGCCCACTCGCGGTCGCTCGGGCATGCCTCGAACTTGGGTCCTAGGGGGGCCAGCATCTGGAAGGCCCGGCCAAAGACGGTGTAGAGCATGACCATGTCGAACTGCACGCCGGGCACCTTGGATTCGCCATTCGGCAGCAGGAGTACCACCTTGCCACCCTTTGGCTTCAGAACCTGTGCGCAGATGGACGACGACGCGCCCTCGGAGAAACAATCGACTGCTTTGGTGAGATTGGGATACTTGGCCAGTATATCCTTCACCACTGTCGGGGAGCGATAGTCAAACACGGTGTCGGCGCCAAACTTCTTGACAAGCTCGAAGGAGCGCGGAGACGCGGTTGTGACGACGGTGTAACCGGCCGCCTTGGCGACCTGCAGGTGGAACAGCCCTGCACTGGTGGCACCCGCGTAGATGAAGACAGTCGAATCGCCGCCGGCCGCCGGCTTCGCGTTGCTACCGGGGAAAGGAAGACCGAGTCGGGCATTGAGGGTATACATGGCTGTCATGGCGGACACACCGTACGTCGTCGCATCCGCGTCGCTGATATCGTCGGGAATCGGCCAGGCCAGGTCGTGATCGACCTTGGCATATTCGGCAAACGCGCCCTCGTCTGCATACATGCCGCCGTGGGCCACGCTGGCCACGCGATCACCAACCTTCCACTTGCCGGCAGCACCCTCGCCAACCTTGACCACCTCACCCGCAAGGTCGCAGCCGAGGATGCAGCCCGGGGGCCCGAGGGCGTCCATGTGCTTGAAGTCGCTGGGATTCAGGGCGACCGTCTTGACTTTGACGAGGAGCTGCTGGGCGTTGATGGTGGGAATGGGGACATTGTCGTGGACCTTGGCGCCGGGGTTGAAGATGGCCTTGCCGCTGAGGGCGTTGAAGATCCTCGTCGGGAGGGTGCGGTGCGTGACGAGGGCCTGCATGGTGATGAAGACTGGGTATGAATGAGTTGATGTGATCAATTGAGCAATGGCATGTTGGTCTCAAATACTGGCTGCCGGCCGAGAGTCCGCCGGCCCTCTTATGTCAACAATCCGAATGCCAGGCCAACGTCAAGGTGATGGATGTGCAGCATGTGCCGTCCCTAGCGCCTACAAAATGATTTAAACAATTGGTGTCGAGAGCCAACCTCCAACTTCTCCCGCATTCCACTTCATGAATCATCTCCCGTCTGCGCCTGAGCCAGTTGCCACCGTCGGCCGCTTTAAGTAACCGCCCCGACTCTGCAATCATTGACCTTGGAATGCTTGGTCATTGGCTTCAGTTGGTATCAGTTTAAGCTTCTATCGACATATTAAAGACACGGCAGTGTCCTGGGACCCAGTCTGGCTGTGGAGGAGCATTCATCAATCACCCACCGCAACGCAACGCACACGAGTAACACGCAACATGAATCAACTACGGGCTCAATTTGAAAACATCCCGTACCCTGAGACGTCGTTTAAGGACCAGACTGTCATCGTCACAGGGTCCAATACAGGCTTGGGGTTCGAGGCAGCCAAGCACTTCACGCGACTCGAAGCTGCCCGGGTCATTCTCGCCGTGAGATCGCAGGCCAAGGGAGACGCCGCCAAGGCCGCCATTGAATCCGCCACCGGTCGCAACAATGCCGTCCAGGTATGGCTTCTCGAAATGGACAAATTCGACTCCATCAAGGCCTTTGCTGCCAGGTGCGAGTCTCTAGACCGGCTCGATGTGGTCGTCGCCAACGCGGGCATTGCAAAAATGGAGTTTGAGGAGACGGACGGCATCGAGAGTACGATCAAAGTTAACGTGATTGGAACCTTTTTGCTCGCCTTGAGCCTTTTCCCGACCATGAGGCAATCTGGCCACCGCACGGGACAGACACCACGACTGGTGATCACGACTTCTGTGCTTCATAACAGTGTACGAGGCTGAGTGTCCCAAGCTACAAGCAAAAACGACTGACTTGACATGCGCAGGCGAAATTTACCGAACGAACGAAGCCCGACATATTCAAGGCCCTCAACTCAAAGGCGACTTCCAACATGAAAGACCGCTACAACGTCTCAAAGCTCTTGGAGGTGATGCTCGTGTCCTCCTTCAGCGAGGCGATGAAGCAGGGTCCCAACGCAGATAAGCCCGTCATCATCAACTCGGTGAACCCAGGGCTGTGTCACTCCGAACTCGGCAGAGACTTAAAGGTAATGCACGCATATCCGGGGCGCAATGGAGCTGACTCTGGCGATAGGGCATCACGGGCTACATGTTCTCCGCTCTCAAGGCGATGATGGCCCGCACGACCGAAGTTGGCAGCCGCACGCTCGTCCACGCGGGTGCATCTGGCGAGGAAAGCAATGGCCAGTATCTCAGCGAGTGTCGCGTCACCAAGCCCAGTGCGTTTGTGCGGAGTAAGGAGGGCCAGGACACTACAAAGCGGCTGCACGCGGAGTTGATGACGATCCTGGAGCAGATCCAGCCCGGCGTCACGAGTAGACTGTAGGGCACGCATGGTCAAAGGCATGTTGTACAATTATTGAACCACTGATATGAGCGCGTGTCGTCGTCTGGCAAACCATCTCCGTGTCAAGCCAGTCTCGCCAAACCCTCTATGGTCCTCCACACGTCCCGCTGCGGGTATCTTGGGCCCGTCTCGGAACAAATCCCAATGTGCATCAACTGCGTCATCAGCTGCGGCACATGCAGCCTCATTTTCGTAGTGGGAGTCTCGAACGCATCTGGATACAGCGAGAGCCAGCCTAGATGGCCTGTTGTTCCGCCAGACGTGGACAGACTCGGTCTCCGGATTTGGATCTCCATTGTATCTGCGTCCAACATGATGGCCCCTAGACCCTTGAGTAGTTTGTACACCCCGGCGGCCGTGATGAAATCGGGCTCCATCTCCTTTTCGTCCTGCGGTGATGAGAATGGCGGAGGGGTCGAGTGACACACGGGAAGATGTTCAGGGTCGGCCTCTAGGAACTCAAACTTGGAGGTCTGGTACATGTATTCCCTCCCTGCTCCAAGAGCCCATTGTAAGGAGGCAATAATTTCCTCCCGTCGACGGTAGCGAAGCGTCCTGCCGAATTCACGCTGAATGTTGGCCAGTGGCGCCGTTGTAATGAGAGCATATCCGTGCGTGAGGGATATCTCAATGAGTCGAAAGGGGAAGGAGTATGCTGGTTGGAAGGTCTCTTGCGGGGGATGAAGCGTATATCCAGGCTGTTTAGGGAGTAAAGTGTCCCAACCGCTGTCCCCCAGCGCGTCGTCTGGTGAGAGTGAGTTTGGCAGAGACGTCATGAACTGATCGGTTGGCGTATAGCCTGCGCTGATGGGAGCTGTTGGCGAGTAGATGCTAAGAGATGAGTTGACTGGCCGGGACGTCGTGCCCTGCATACCAGGTGCGGATGTATCAGCCAGCGTGTGAGGAGCGACAGGCGCCGATGGGGTAGGCTGGCTTTTGTGAGTGATGGCTGCATTTGCAACGACAGCCTTTGAGTCCGGGGCCTGTTCTGAAGATTTCACTTTCGCATCGTCCACCAGACCCAGGGCGTCGTCGTCCATGGCAGCAACCTCCTTGGTCAGCGCCAGGACCCGCCCCATGGACCTCTGGAGGCTGCTAATGATGGAAGGGTACTGCGTCACGAGCGACTCGTTGGCGAGAATGTCGTCAAAGAGACCGATCAGGATGGAGCTCATCTCCTCCACCACATCTTCGAGACGCTTGAAGCGTCGGCCCATAGCCGCTTCGGCCGCCTGCCGTCGCTTGCGGAAGACATGCTGTGCTTCCCTGTTCTTCTCGCGGCGCGCCTGCGCAGGGTGAGCATCTGCAGGTCCGGCACTTGACGTAAGATGCCCGCGGAGAGTTCATACCTCGAGAATGTGCTCCTTCTCGGCTGCCGCTGCGTGGGGACCGGCAGCCTTCTTGGCGCGGCGCTTCTGTGTGCTGTTCTGCGTAGTTGGACCCATAGGTCTGACTGTACTTTGAAGGTGGACTTGCAGTGTCAGAATTTCAATTGCTTAGTCCCAGGATGAATCGCTCAATCCACGACGAAATGCGAGCGCGACGTGATTTGATTGAGCTGGACTCTGTAGGCTACGAGAGCATGCGCAACCAAGTGATTAGTCTGCCCTTGATGATTATTCAGCACATTGCGCCGGAGCCATGACATAAAAGTCCCGAGGCTAAAGTTAGACCTCCTTAGTCCACATTCGTCCTCCCGGGGTGTTGTAGTACAGCTTACCCTATAAGCATTCGACTTGGTGTCGTTCGCAGTGAACTAGAACTGTTAACCCCTATCTAGCCTGGAAACAATTATAAAAAAGGGTAAATTCTGGGGTATACTACCGGTTTCATTATATACAATAGTTCTAGCTGTAGTTACATCGTCGTCTGAACTGTTTTACCCAGTGTTGCTCACGATAGCCAAACATTCATATAGTGACCCCTGTGACAGTCATTGCGCGGCCACATTGAAACGAGTACAGCGATGCCGATCGGAGAAAGCGTTTGTGCATAACTAGCAACAAGAAATCAATAATCAAAGGCATCGTCATGCAATAAAGTAGTGGTGAAGACAAGCTGCATGCTCATCTTAGCCGCGCGGGTTTTTCTGTCGTTTATTCCAGGGTGACAAACAAGGCTGGTATCGTAGGTAAGACAGTTTAATACCTTAAATGCGATTGTATCTAAACCAACTTTGAGCCTCTTCGGTGCACGTGGTTCCTCGGCAGTCGGAGTTGTGAGGGATTGTGATCAAACCACTTCGAAGTTCGACCAGTCCTAACTTCAAGCTGCTCAACAGTTCCTCCACTTCTTCAGAGTTGAGGCGCCTCCATCATCTCCATACCTAGCCTCAGGAGATGCCTCAAGGCTGACCGACCCAGTTTGAAGCAGGAGTGGCCTCTCAGAGGACGTTATGCGGCTTTGATCTACCGTACTCACTTGAGAAAGTCGCTAGCGCTGTGGACACACGCATGTGCGAAGGTTCGAATCTCTTGATAGCTCTGTATAGTCCTTGGGCATCATAATTCATAACGCTCATAAGTTAGGCTATAATTGCTGCTCGATATTGGCACCACTCCTGACAGGGGTATTGCTCTCTAGGACAGACCGAGTGAGTACGGTAGCCTAGCAGTTGTCGCTGCCCCGGCCATTGTTCTCATTCGTTTCTTTCTTGTCGAGTTGTGATGAGTCCTTGAGGGTGGCTGGATCCGCTCCCACTGCCTTCGCCTCAGCTTGTGAGCTCGTGCGGCCACAAATGTAAGCATCGCTTAGCCGGGATTCCAGAGCCGAGACTACACTAGCGAGAACTAAACATACCACTGTCCACAAGATGGGGTTTTTTTGGTCTCGGGCCAGGTAAAAAAAAACAAGTACAGTCTCTGTAAAAAGAGGGTGACTGGCAGGGTTATCAGGAATCGACGTATATGCTGATCCTGCAAGTAAGGAAACCGGGCTCTTAAGGCGGCCCACGGATTCGGAATACGAAGTACAGGCGGCTGGATGCGCGGACGTTTTGGACTATCGTCGACAGGAGAAGGTTGTTGCCTTCGTTGTCTCGTCGATTGAGATACTCCCAAACCTTGAAGAAGGGCATGATGGTAGTCGCGTTCCTACAGCTATGTTAGCTCAGTTTCCGCCAGCGCATGGGCGACAGTGGACATTGCGTACGTTGAAGCTCGTTTGGTGAGTGGTGCTCATATGTAGAATGCCCAGTTTTCAGAATGAACATGAATGAGGTAGTTCGGCAGGTGGTTGATGTTTACTCTTCAACTTCTGCTGGTGGAGAGGAACAGATGAGAAGACGTACACACAATCTATTTTATCTCAATTTCTACGTCTTGTGATGCAAACTCAAATGATGGCTTCTTTTGGTTTTCCTAGCCTCTTGGTGCGCTGAACGGATTCGAGCTATGGCCGCCGCCTAGCGTAGAGGTTGTTGAGCCCCTGGGATATCACGTGGTTTGCCCTGACTTAGTACTACCTTCGGCAGGACTCGCGAGACCTTGGCCACTGCTGGTATTGCATGATTTTATGGGTCTATCTATTAGCATGACGACAAGCTGCAAGTAGGGTAGCCTCTAATCTGACTCACCAAATATCTCTCCCTGACATTGAGTCCATCCACGACATATGTCCGACTTGGCTTTAGTCACTCGATGTACTGTACACACTTCTGTGAATATATTCGGAGGTAGGCGCGGGCGCACATGCATCTCCTTATACTAAATATTACGGCATTACTTGATATCCCTTTCATCGCCAGTCATCACTCAACCCTCATATTGCCTTGCGCATCCCATCCCATCTCTACATGTAAAAGTAGCAGAAAGCACCATCTTTGCCACCCATTGTGTCGAGCAAAGAGCCGAGAGTCACGCCGGGGCCTGAATAGCCCAAGTTCACGTCATCGTCGAGAGAGCCCTGCCTGCTGCTGCCGGTGACGCTTCCTGCGACAGCTGACAGGCGAGTGTCCAGGTCCTGGAGCTGCCAGAGCCAGTAGACGCGGTCGACCATGGCATGGTGGAGGAAGAAGGCGGGATCACCGGGGGACACAAAGAGATCCTAGTACTAGTTAGTCACTGCTCAATGCGTGGAGTCCCAATGACCCAAAAGGTCATGGGAGAATGGGGAGACGTACACCTCCAGGGTCGCCGCCGATAGTAAAGTGGCCGCCGGCGTGGACACCCCAGGGTGTCTGCATTGTTTCCTGGAAGCTGGCAATGGTAGAGCTCTGTGAGATGAGGTTGAAGGTCTTGTCGGCCGTGCATTGCTGGGCGTTGTCGCGGCTGACAGCGCGCGTCAGGCATCGGGGGTTGTAGTTGAGAGAAGAGCCCGGTCCGAGGTTGACGGTCAATCTGGGGGGTGTTAGTTGTGACGGGGTTCACGACGTCAAGAGTTACGGTCTGCGGGCATCCTCTTACTTCTCAAAAGGACCGGTTTCGGCACAGTCCCCATTGACAGAGTTGCCTCCGATGCTGGATGCGTTGCCGTTGAAAAGTGGTGAATTCACCGGATCGTCGGCGTAGCGATCCCAGTTCCAATACTGGACACGAGATTTAGCAGCGAACGGTGGTCACATGCGAGCGGCAAGTACTTACAGGCTGGAAGCCCTTGTAACCACACTCGTCACGGAGGGCTGTCTCGTAGGCCCAGGTGTAGTAACGGTGCCAGGTGAGGAAGTTGGCCTGAGGAGGGAGTGAGTTGTTAGCCGGAGCGTGGGAGAGGGGTGATTGCATGGAGGGCACGTACGGTGTTGTGGATGGAGCCGGTCTGCTGGATGTGTGTCGCGACAAAGTCATCGTAGCGACTCTTTGCACCGGACGCCACGTTGGCTGGGGTCTTGGCCGGCTTGTTCATGAGGCATTGGACGGCGCTGGTGTAGTCCTGACGCTCGACGAGGGTTAGATCGGACCTGGCCGTGCGTCAGTATGTTGTACCTTTTGTGCTGTCATGGCAGATGTGACGTAAACTCACCACTCGCGACGGATAGCAGCCGTCTCCAGGGTGCATCCAGGTACGGGGTTGCGCTCGAGGTGAGCCTCGAGATTCTCGATGCTGGAGTCACGAAGTTTATCGACAACGTCCGCGGGGTAGGCCCGAGGTCGGACTGTTGGCTCTGGGACTGTTTCGGTGGTAGAGGAAGCAGTCGTTGAGGCAGCATCGTCGCTCGATGCGGGAGTCTCGCTCGAAATGGGGGCCTCGCTCGAGGTGGAAGCTGGTGAAGTGGTGGAGTACTCAGCGATAGTGGTCGAATAAGTAGTATCCGCCTCGATCGTGGTCTCAGGCTTCACATCCGAGCTCAGAGCTATGCTTGTTGACACACTGGGCGTAGCATCAATGGTCGAAGACAACCCGGCCTCGCTGGTGTAGATAGGCTCGACGCTCGAACCGGGTGACGTTGGCTCGCTGGACTGAGCTGGTCCGGATCCAAGTGCACCAGAGATGGAAGCTGTAGCAGACGGACGGTTCTGGCAGCGCGACGCGCAGTCCTCCGTCTCGGTGACCGTCTGCCAGACCGTCTTACGTGTACTGCATTGAGAGCGTTGTTTGGCCTCAGCGCTGACCAGCAGCAGGGCCCAGGTGAGGGTGGAAGAGAGCTGCATTGCGCCGTCCTGCTTCGCTCGAGGATTCGGAGAGAAACCGCTGGTGTTGAAAGGATAGTATTAATGACCGTTTGCTGTGATTGCGTCTAGCTGTGAAGGTTCGGGGCAAGTCACTGGAGAAATGTCGTAACGAATGGCTTGATGAGCACGTCTGTATAAACGAATGATACAGTAACGCGGCTAACGAGAGTGGTTCATAGGAAACGAGTGTAAGGGTGCAACGAACGTCGAGAGGACCACGCGGTGCTCATGGGCGAAGGAGACGAGGCTGGCCGGTGTTGCAGGACACCTGCAGGACGATCCTTTGTATAATAGCGTCGAGCCTGATGGCCGCAATGGCAATCGTGCATCCCTCGTCAATGTCACATCCTTGGGTTTCGGTGGTCACAATAGCAGCCGTCTTATTGCCCACGTCTCCGCGTCGTGATGGCCAATGTTGGCTCGCTTTGGAGTACCCCTGTCTGCGACTGTGCGGTGACCGGGGTTAGGTGGCGTAATTACAGATCAGATTGGCGCCTGGGGTCAATATGGTGATTGCGCCGTGTCTTGAACACGAGGAGAGGAAAGCTTCCGCCTTTGACGCCATTTCTTGGGCCATCGCGCCCCTTTGCTCTGAATTTGATGCAGCAGAATATATATACCGCTTCTGATCGCGGTTGGCGTCGCGCTCGACTTTGAACCTCAAGGTCGGACCACCAACTTACAGGGGTCGGAGTGTTCGTGTTGAGAACATGAACCCTGCCGCCAACAATGCATGCCCATCCTGTTCCTGAAACGATGCCGCCAATATTCAGTTGAAGCCGGCATGCCAGCCGGCTCGGCCATGTGGTGCTTTGAAGCCGAATGGGGCTTAGCATCAACGGTTGGTCCTCTTTCAGGTAATACTGTACTGTGATAATCCTTGGCGATGTGATGGTTCGCGCCCAGAAGCGTTTTTTGTTTTTCAGCTGCTGTCGGAAAATTAACGGCAGGCCCCTAGCTCACATGGCCAATTACGTGGTCGATGATTGTTATTATCAATTAGCCTGATCATTGATGTTTCTCTTGACAATCGTCGGTAGTGAGCAAGCTGCCCCTGGCCCCCTGGTGTCTGGTTGGCACGCGGTCGTGGAGCTCTGCGGGAGGCTCTCGACTTTGCAGGTGATGCTCTGCGAGTCTCAATTGATCTCGCCTCTAGAGACTCTCTGGTGCTGCTTCGTCGTTTACCAGCAAATAATAAGATCAGGTCCTTGCCCAAACGTCAACTTCGAGTAAGCGAGGGCCTAGGGGGGCCCTTGGTCCGGATCTGCTACACATGTACACCACCGTACTCACCCGACAGAGTCGGTAGCGTTGGTGTGCACAGCAGGGCCGCGTCGACCATTCGAGCAGCGCGGACTTGAGTGACGATGCGCGTCAACACTTCAATATGGAGTGATGGGTGTGCTGGAAAAGCGTGCATGTGGCGAGCACGCGCCGACGCATCAGGCCCTCGTCAAGATCTGTCACGAAGCCGGAGCCGAGGACTTCCGTCAACCCTCCGCTGCCCACAAGATACTCCCGTCAGCGTTGACATGGAACCACCGGCTATGCATCTCGTCCCAGGCCCAAAAATGCTCACTCTCGCCATCTCGGCTACTCTGAGATACACGCCTACCCAAGCCACTGGTTCTTTCACGCGAAGAGGACCTACCCCTCTTGCTACTGGTCACCGAACTCCTTCTCTCTTCCGAGAGGGCTGCCAGGGCGGACCGGATCTCGCCCAGCCTCTCGCCAACCCCCCAGTCAATGATATTGCGAACGTACGTGTGGAACGCCAGGTACCGCGCTGGGTCATGGAGCAGAAAGTCATCGACGCTGGCCATGTAGTAGTCCCGTTCGCCGTGTTACCATGTGATGTAGAGGCGTGCTTCCGAGTTGGTCATGGCGACAGATAATGCGGCGCTGTTGATGGGACGAGCTTTGTCGCTCTTGCGCCGCGCCAGCTGATGGTTGAGCCGTTCGGCCATGTTGACACATGATGCCGATGCACCAAGGCATTGGTTTGTCGCCACCCACAAGCTTCCACCATCACCCTTGACCTCGATACTGAAGAAGGGATATAGTAAGGGATTACCCTGGTCAGTAACTGTCACGTCTCTCCCCATGGAGATCAGTTGCGCATGACGCCGAGGGAAGGCATCTGGGAAGGTATACCCATACAGCATGTCGGGCGCTGGATGGCTGACCTTCCACTGTGATCCGGTAGTGGGGACAGCATGCCTGCCCATGGGCAGCCTCTGGCTGAGGCCTAGAACTGCTCCTTCGCTGCGCGTGGGAAATATTCTGTCCCTGAAGTAAGTTTGGACCATTGCTTGAGGACCGTCCAGCCACAGTCTGTTCAGTTCAGCATCTTGCCGCACCTCTTCGATTGAAGAGCAAGGAGAGTTTCGGTCCCTGGACACGTGATTGACAAGGTCCGCAATGTGATCTGGGTATTGCTCCCGGAGAGGGCGCAAGTAGATGTTGTTTGCGGCAAGGTTGAAACTCCGGTACGTTCGATCCTCAACGAGGCTCTTTGTGGAGCATTGGCTGGATAAGTCTACCGGTACTCCAGCCTGGGGAGATGACGGTGCAGGCGAAACCAGAAGGCCCTGGACATTCTGGGTGGGATTTAGCTCGGGTGCCGATTTGGCGGGCCGTCTCGAGATGGCATCGACGTGAAAGTGAAGCTGGCTATCCGACCGACTGCGCTTTCTCACTCGATCCGATCCAACAGACTCCAGCCACTCGGGAACAAGAGGATCGACGAATTCAGGTCGTTGAGGATGAGCTGTCTGATGCAGCGCAGACTTGGCGATGCATTAGTTGTGGGATTGGCTTGACTCAAGCTCGTGTCCATACCTCGTCCGTCCTATCCGGGTCCTCGCCAGGTGCAGGCAAACATGCCGCTGTTCCTGCCAACCGGGCGCGCTTCGTGGGAAAGGGCTCAATCTCCGACGTTGTGTCGAATAGCCTCTTGACTGTCTGCGAAGGCGTCGCGTCACGGGCGAGGGTCACGTTCGTCGTAGGCTGTCTTCGGTGTCGATGAATGTATAAGTCTGGTGAGCTGACCATCCTTGGGTTGCGCAGAGTATCGTCCATGATTGCGGACCTGAATTATTGTGTGAAGAAGCAGCGCCCGAGGCTTTCCTTGCGTGGCGTTGGGTGATGTCGCACGAGAGCGGCGACGCGGCGCCTTGGCTAGGCTGCTGCCTGCGGCCTGCGACTCATGGTGACCGTCCAGAGCTGAGGCAGTATCCTCGCATGTGTCAAGGATGGTGACACTATGGAGCAATAATGATCAGCCTGTGAGCGCCACGAACAGCCAGGCGCGTGCGAATATCGCTGTCATGGCAAACATGATGTTGATTCAGCAAGGTCAGCTTTCACAAGGCACCGTTCGCGTCGCATGTCAGTTGAATTCAGGCACAGACCCGGTAGACACATAATCTTGCCCAGCATGACGCCAGGTATCGCTATAAAGGGAGACCCCCTGATTTTGTCCCTTTCAGGATGAAAGAAATGACCTCATGACTATTAGTAGGGGGGTCCTCAGCTAAGGTAGCGTTAGGGGACTTGACCTCAATTGCGCCCTGCAAGGTTCCAAACACTCCATGAAGCTGATATATATATGTTCACACTCCCATATAGACTTAGACTCACACTCATCCGCCCAATCGCCATGGCTCGTACAGCATCAACAGCCACGGCAACGCGACGCAGCACGCGCAATCTGAAGCGCGAAACCCCAGACCTTGCAGCAGTCGCTTCTCCTCCGCCAGCCAAGAAGATCAAGGCCGAGCCTGTGACGCCGTCCAAGCCCAAACTTTCAACAGCTACCATCAAAGAAGAGCCAACCACACCGTCCCCAGTGAAGAAATCTGTCAAGAAGACGGCGCAAACACCCGAAGACAAGGCTGCCGCTCTCCAGTCCAAGAAGCTGTCTTCCTATGCGGCCTACTCTTCCAAGACATCGCCGTACCCCGACTTCGCCCATCCCACCCCTGACGAATGCAGGACCGCGCACAAGATCCTCGCCCAGCTCCATGGTGACCGCCACCGTCCGACGACAGTCATCGCACCCAAGGACTCTGCTGGCTGCGGAAACTCGCCCACTGTCCTCGACGCCCTCGTCAGGACAATCTTGAGCCAAAACACATCAGACAAGAACTCGTCCCGCGCAAAACGGTCCATGGACCAGGTGTACGGCGGATCCGACAAGTGGGAGGCCATTGTAGAGGGCGGCCAGTCGAAACTGCAAAAGGCCATCGAGTCAGGCGGTCTCTCTGTCGTCAAGTCAAAGGTCATCCTCTCGCTGCTGGAGCAGGTGCACGCCCAGCACGGACAGTACTCGCTGGACCACTTGTTCGACGAAGAGGACGATGAGGAATGTATGCGCCAGATGCTCTCGTACAAGGGCATCGGTCCCAAGACGGCATCGTGTGTGCTGCTCTTTTGCCTGGGGCGCTCGAACTTTGCCGTGGACACGCATGTCCATCGGTTGACGGGGCTCATCGGCTGGCGCCCGCCCAACGCCAGTAGGGAGCAAACGTACGCCCACCTGGATGCGAGGATACCCGACGACGAAAAGTATCCTCTGCATATCCTTCTCATTGCGCATGGCAAGAAATGTCCAGAGTGCAAGGCGGGCGGGCGCGCTGCTGGTGACTGTGAGCTCAGAAAAGCCTTTCGAAAGGGCAGCAAAGTGAAAGATGAAGATTTCGTCAAAGAAGAACACGAAGAAGAAGAGATGATAAAGGATGAGATAAAGGAGGAGCCAGAGGAGGAGGATATCAAAGAAGAACAGGATGCCTAACCATATACGCCTAACACTGAATGTACCACCACCATGCCATTGTTCTTTGTGAACCAAAGGGGTATCCCATGCGCACCATCGCTGTGTATGCCATCGCCGCCATCAAATAAAACACCGTAATCCAACTTTTGCCACACCACATCAGCAGCCCTCCCAGTCCATGCTGTCGTCTACCATCCACGCCCAGTCCTCCGTCCCAGACGCAGCCGGCTCGCTGCTGCTAGCAACTTCCCTCGCCTTCTCGTAGCCCGCCTCCAGGCCGCTGAGCACCCGGCCCAAGATCCACGTAAGATCATACATCCCCAGGGGTGTGCTCTCGTTGCCTTCCGCCGCGTCTTTCCACCGGTTTCGCAGCTCTTTCGCCTTCCACAGCGCAATGTTCACCTCGCCCTTGCCCAGCAACTCGTGCAGTGGGCTCTGCTTGTCGCTCAGGGCGAGCAACACGTTGTGGTGGTAGGCGTGGTTGCGCGCGTTGACGGCGCTGCTGCGGGCGTTGATTTCAATCCCAAAGATCCGCTGGATCAGCACGAGCGCATTCTCAATCCAAGTGTAGAATTCGTAAAAGTCAATCTTGAAGTTTTCCTCGGCAATGTTCGGTGGGAAGCCAAACTCCTGCGGGTGACGACAGCGTGTCCAGGCGGCTTCTAGATCGTGGGATTTCCATCGCAGTCGTAGACAGGCTTGCTCCAGGCGATGGAGCGTGCGTGCCGGACTGAGGGCGGCCGCAGCAGGGCTCCCGTTGCTGGTGGAAGGGGTCGTGAAGGCGGTCGAGTTCGAGCTGGGTGTGCCAGACACGGTTGATGATGAAGCAGCGCCGGTAGTAGAAAAGTTCGTGGAATTAGCACTGTATGAGGATGGCAGGTTGTCTCGTGCCCGATTCGATCGCGAAGAGTGATCTTGTGTGGGCGTTCGTATTTGGTAGCTGGCGTAGGCGGCGTGACTGGGGGCCGCGGCCCAGATGGAGCTCTTAAGACCCTTAGAATGCGCCATGGCGGCAGAGACCCCAAATCACGAAAGCGAATTGCAAAGTATATGTAAAGGAAACATGAATGAATGATTGCGTACAAACTGGTTGGGTGTTGTTGGTTGTTGACGGGACGGAGTTGAAAGCGCAAGCGCGGGATGTTGATGGCGTGTTATCGATACGCGCTTTATCGTCCGTACTTGCTACTAGGCGGTACTGATAGGCGCAGTAACGTGGTCGCTATGGATGCACCTTTGCCTTATGGAAGTCATTCAGTAAAGAAATGCTATTGAGTAGAATGAGACCTAGTATATGTTGCTTTAGAACTTCTGCCTTCCTGAGAAGTGTTGATTTCAGTTGAACATCACTACCATTTTGTCATCTTCAGTATTTTCATGACCACTAATCTCCGAACCTCCCTTGACGGAATTTCATGTGCACTTTCAATCATTATCAAGCGAACAGCTGCCATTGTATGATTTGAAAACAGCGGTGTAGTGGATTTCTTTCAGGGTGGTTTGCAGTCGTTGTTAAGAGAATGGGCTCACGGCAAAGCCCTTGATAGCTCTCCAGGGTAGGCCATGCACACGCGTTGGACAGCCGCTTCACCATCCGTCCACAAGAAAAAGGGCAGATCATTGATTCATCATTTCGTAATCATCTATAGTGTATACCAAGCCAGTCACTCGACATACCCTTGTCAAACTCCTTCAACTTTATTTACACAGCGCTCAAATCCGTCATTTGGCCTTCGATATTGCCGTATCCAAACCTCCATCACCCCCGCCGTGGACAAGATCGGGAGCCTTACCATGGGAACCTGGCCTATACATCGCCCTTGACTCTCTTGGTCGTCTTTGCAGTACCAATATGGGTGTTGTGAACCTGTTTGAATTAGTCACACTCTTCCTTCCCACTGGATAGCAGCAGGGTCACTCACCTTGGTCGCAAAACGAAGCGTTGTTAGTGTCTCCTTGAGATGAGTCTCCATCGGCGAGACCATGCAGAACATCATCGTCTTGGAGTTGCCGCCTAGACTGTATTGAAGCAGATGTGTCAACTTGGAGTTGCGGTACGGAATGTGCGCCGAGCCTCGACCAAGCGCCTCAATCACGTCGCCCAAGCAGCTCAGACTCTTGTTGATGTTTTGGGTTTCCTTCATACGGTCGCCCTCCGCCTGCGAGTGCTTCAGACGCTCCGAGCCCGCAAGATCCACAAGATTGAGCGTACCCTCGCATCGTTCGCCCGTGGTCGAATTGCTGCCCACTAGCTTGAGAATGAAGATGCTGTGAGATCGCGATGACCTTTCGTTCGCTTTCGTCGCGGCCACCGATCGGTTTTGCTGTGCGTGGTCCAGCATTTCTCCCACCATGGAGGGTGACTCGAGCAACACCGTCTTGCAGTTTGCAATGGAGGTCTGCTTGCGGGCCTCGTCATGCCGTAACTCGAGTCGCTTGGTCTTGCCACCACCAGGGGATGCCAGCAAGTCGTTGAGCTCCTCGTTGTAGACCTCGACAAAGGATCCCTCCATCGTGTACTCCCACGACTTCTCCTTCAGCTTGTGGATGGTATCGTAGATCATGTGCGTCGCCCGGGGTATCATGCCGTCCATAGCGGACATGGTGTGCGTCTTGCCGGACCCGGTCTGGCCGTAGGCGAAGATGCACACATTATACCCGTCGAGGGCGCTCTGGACGAGTTGAGAGATCTCAGCAAAGATCTCTTCGTTTTGTGAGCTGGGCGTGAACACGCGGTCGAACTCGAACGGGTGGCTCTTGCGCGATACAACACCAAGGCTGCTCCTCTCCTCCGGGCCGGCCACCACAATTTCAGCCGACGTCTTCTCATCAGGGTACGACATCTGCGCCGTGTTTTGCTCGTCTTTCTGCAGAGCCGGCCTCACACGGCACATGACCCGGATATTGCCTTTGAGCTCCTGATACTTGTTGAACAGGACACGGCGCTCCGTCTCCTCTTTGATCAGCTTAGCCTTGGCCTCGTCCGCAAATCGGAGAGCCTCTTGCAGGCGTGTCTCCATGTCCGCAAACGAATCGGACTGGGCTTTGCTGTCGGATTCGAGGAACTCAACTTGCGATCGGAGCGAGTTGATCTTGGCTTCGAGCGTGGTGTTGGACGCGGACAGATCCGCAATGTTGTTTTGGAGACTGTTCCTGAGCGCCTTCTCTTGAAGCAAGTCCTGCCGCAACGTCTCTGTTTCCGCTCGGGCCTCTTGGATATCACGGTCTTTTCGGCCCAGCGATGATTCGAGGCCTTGATGATCCTGGGCCATCCGGGTTTTGAGTTCCTGGATTTCCCGGTCTTTCCTTTGCCGCTCGTCCTCGATCTCCTGCTGGTAGTGTCGTGTCAAGCCATCGATCCGCTCCTGGTGATTCCTTGCCTCTTGCTCTTTCAAGTAATCCAGCTCTTTGCTGAGATCGTCCACTGCTGCCCTGTGCTGTTTGGAGAGATCGTCGACCATATCGCGGTGCTTCCGGTTCAGGTCGTCTACTTGCCGGCTCTGATCCCATTGTTGCTTTTCGAGATCGTGTCGCAGTCTTCGGCTTTCCTCCCTCGATTCGTCGAGCAAACTTTGTAGACTCTCGTTACGCTCGTCCAACTTGGTACGATCCCTCTCCAGTTCAGATACTGCAGCGCGCAATGATCAGTCAGCAACGTATTTGTGCATCCATTGAGTGGAAAATACTGACCGCGAGTTTTGGCCAGCTCTAGCGCATCCTCGTGACTTTTCCTGTCACTCAGAGTTGCGTTGACCATTTCCTTGAGGTCTTTGAACTGGGATTCCATGTCCCCCACTCGACCGTCGACATCCCACACTGTGAAGTTTGTTAGATTGGCTGTCTTATGCAGGAACTTTGAACCATTGGAGTATTTCAGGGGTGATTTGTATGACTTGATGGTGTCCTCGAACTGGCACCACTTGTGCTCAAGTTGCTCCTTTGTGGGAGTCTCTGGGGCCTTCTAGGCACCGGGTACTGCCTCCAATGACGCGGGCACTGCCGGGAAAACACGTCTTGCGGGAGTCATTGGGCTCATTGATGGTGTAAGTTGAGGGATTGAGGATGGTGGTGGGGGCATAGCCTTCGTATCTTTTGGGAGTCGAGGTGTGGTGCAGGATGCTCTGTGCTCATGAACAGGGGATGATGTGCGGGATGTCACTTGACTAGGTGGTCGGTCGTGAAGGCGAAGGTTGCCCAGTCTGGTGACGAGAGAGCTATCTCTGGTGGAAGTGTGCGTGGGTCGTGTGTCTCTTGGTTTCTGGTGTTGCAAGGAAGGCGGGGAGGCTTTGTCTGAAGGCGAGCTGGCCGTACCATTGCTTGTGGATCCGTTTGCGCTGGTATCCTCGTCGTAGTGGGCGTGCGCGGTTTTGGGACGGGGAGCTTGACTTTTGGATCGCGTGTGTGATGCTCGGGTGACGGGTCGTGCTGGCTGTGCGTGTCCACCATGCCGACCTGGGCCGATGCTTTTGCCGAAGCTGCTTGTCGAAGTGGTTGATGCATTGGATGCCTGTCGAGACTGGAAGGATGTTGGCTGCTGGATCTGGGTGGTGTCAGTATACATGGAGCTCGGGCAGAGTGATGGCGTAGGAGGGCGTCGTTGCGATGTCGAACTTGGCAGAGCGCTTCGCGCAAGCCCAAGCGGCAGACCGTGGTTGGTGCTAGAATGCGCTAGACTTACTCCTGATGATGAGATGGACTTCAAGCTCTGTCCTTGTATTCTAGACGTTGATCTCGTTATGGGCGCAGTAGCCACTGGCTTGGTCGCAAACTCGGCCGCCTGCTCAGCAAGGGGACGACGCTGTTGCTTTGGTCTCGACTGAACAGCTGCGCACGGTCAGTACTGCGTGTAGACAGGCGATCCGTCCAACCCACCTGGCTGTGGTATTTCGCGCTTTTGTGGTACAGTCGAATGACCCACGCTGCGCAAGTTGTGATTGTTGTCGCTGATCTCTGCGAGGCCGTGGCTCGTGGATTTGGGCGCGGGAAGCCGACTGTTCGCCATCTTGGACTGGCGCATGGGCTGCTGGTCATGGTCAGTCATTGACGGCCTGGCGGAGGTTTGCTCGGGACTGACCTGGTTTTCGGAGACCTCCATGCCAAGCGCTGGTCGCGTCAGAGGTCGTTCGCTTGTGCGTAAACACTGAGATATCGGAGGTTCGTCGTGTCGCTGGTCGATTGTGGCACGCTAGACAAATGAACGAAAGAGTACTCAAGGTTGTTCCTTGCCATGAGAGTCGAATGTCGGAGGTGTGTGTCCCGCGCGTCTCGAATGATTCGAATCTGGCTTGACTTGGGGAATGCTGGTGTTGAATCCCGCGTTGAGACTTTGCTTACTTTGATTGTGGCGCGACGGTTGCTGGGCAACAAGGTGGCTTATGCACGCATAAGCCTAGCGTGCGTCAATCTCAAGCTCTCGAATTGAGGATAACCCACGCCAACCTCAAAAAGAGGCAGAACCCAGTCTGCGTGAGGCATTATTTACTAAGTCAACCAGATGTTCTCTAGTCAAAATCATATTCTTTGGCTTCCTTCAAGTTCGTCAATGTCGTGCATCCATTTGCTACCTGCAAAACTTGGTGCGCGTAGGATTTGTGCATCATGAGTCAGCACATTCCACGGTGGGGGCTGTTCACATGTCAACCCCCTCCGCGCGATTCACTCCTTCCCCAAATTGTCAGAAACCCACCCAAGGGCCAAGACCGCCACTTCTGATGCTGCCTGCTAATTACGGAATATTGCGCTGACATCAACATCTCCAACTTCGCATGAGCTGACACGCGACACGGACCAAGGTCTCTGTCGCCGCACAACGGGCTAGCGCAAGCCGCATATTCTTCAGTGCATTACGAACAGTCAGCATCTATCGATCGCATCATCAACATGGAAAAGTACAGCCAGTTCCGCGATCGGGGTATGCCAACCCGTCTTTCATCACCACGAGATCCCTTTGACTGACAGTGCGCAGGCACGGGCATCGCCCCCTTCTTCCCGGTCACGACTCCTCTCACGGCGCTGTCGACGGTCACGCACACCTTCCTCTTCCTCTTCCGCCTGCCGCTCTTCATAAGCTACATCGCGAGCTACCTCCTCTTCTTCCACTGGCTGCCCTTCCTCCCCGTGGTGGTGAGGAAGATGGCGCTATGGGGTCTGATGGCTATACCTGGTATCTGGTGGGTAGATTTGCAGCTGGACGGCGTCAAGAGGGGCACGCTGGCTGATCAGCCACGCGAGCGAGTGCCGCACCCCGGGAGCGTTATCGCGGCCAACTTTACCAGTCCGATCGACGCCGTCTACCTGGCTGCCATTTTCGATCCCGTCTTCACCATCTCGTACCCTGGTACGCGCAAGGTTCAGAAAGTTGGTCTCGTGGGAGCTATTCTCTACGCCTTCTCGTCTGTCAAGACAGCGCCACCGCCAGGCGCCAATCTCGTCAACCTCAAGCAGCTCCTTGAGGAGCATCCCGGTCGCGTTATAGCCGTATTCCCCGAATGCGGAACTACAAACGGCAAGGCCATTCTGCCCTTCAGCCCGTCCGTCCTCGAGACGCCTGCCGACGTCCACATCTTCCCCGTCAGCCTGCGCTACACGCCCTCCGATGTGACGACACCTCTGCCTGGGCAGTGGGTACGCTTTCTGTGGAATCTCCTGTCACGACCGACAACTTGCATCCGCGTTAGAATCGCCGAGGGCCAGTTGAACACGTCGGTGGCGAGGACGAATGGCGTTTCGGCGCCTGCAGGCGATGGAGCGGGCGAGCTCCGGAGTCGATTCGCCGAGGGCGACATTTCAGACCACGAGAAAAAGGTCCTGGACCGCATCAGTGAAGCGCTCGCGCGGTTGAGCAGGGTCAAGAGGGTTGGTCTAACGATGCAGGACAAGGCAGCTTTTGTAGAGGCGTACAGGAAGAGGAGATGACGCCTCTCAGCTTGTTGGATATGAAGAGAAGGGATTTGGGGAGTCGGTCGCTGATTGCATTGCACGGAGCTGGAGGCTTATTGATTGTATCGTATCCTACATGTCTTTCTTCCTCAACGTGGGATCGGCGCAGTGTCGAATACGAATGAGAAATTGATACGAATTTTTCCTTCTTCTTTTGAAGCATCCTAAACTCGAAAACAAAATGTACTGGTATCACATGGCTGCCCGCCTTTACTCCTCCAGCTTGCCGTCCGTCACGCACCCCGAGCTCGCGTCGCTCACCAGGCTGGCGTACTTCTTCAGAGTGCCCCTGTTGTATTTGAGCGCGGGCTGCACCCAAGCCTTGCGACGCGCCTCCATCTCGGACTCGGACACCTCGAGGTCCACGACCCTCTTGTCCGCGTCGATGACGATGCGGTCACCGTCCTTGGCCAAACCAATAGGTCCACCCTCGATAGCCTCAGGCACAATGTGGCCGATGAGGAAACCATGGGAACCACCAGAGAAGCGACCGTCAGTGAGCAGCGCCACATCCTTGCCGAGACCGGCGCCCATGATGGCCGACGAGGGCTTCAACATTTCGGGCATGCCAGGTCCGCCCTTGGGACCCTCGTATCGGATGATGACCACGGTCTTCTCACCCTTCTTGATCTCACCACGCTCCAGGGCGGCGATGAAGTCGTCCTCGGCGTCGTAGACCTTTGCCGTGCCCTCGAACCTGGTACCCTCCTTGCCGGTGATCTTGCCGACGGCGCCACCAGGGGCGAGCGAGCCGCGCATGATGGCCAAGTGACCCGTCGCCTTGATGGGGTTGCTGAGGGGGCGGAGGATCTCCTGATCGGTAGGCATGTCCATGGCGTCCTTGACGTTCTCCTTGAGCGTCTTTCCGGTGACGGTCATGTGCTTTCCGGAGATCAGACCCTCCTTCAACAGGTACTTGAGCACGCCGGGGGTACCGCCAATCCTGTGCATGTCGGCCATGACGAACTTGCCCGAGGGCTTCAGGTCGGCGAGGAATGGTGTGCGGTCCGTCACTTTTTGGAAGTCCTCAATGGTGAGCTTGATGCCGACAGAGTGCGCAATGGCGATCAGGTGGAGAACGGCGTTGGTGCTGCCACCCAGAATAGTGATGATGGTCATGGCGTCCTCGAACGCCTCGCGGGTCATGCAGTCGCGAGGGCGAATGTCCTCTTTGAGGATGTTCCTGATGGCCGCGCCAACGTTCTGGCACTCCTGCTTCTTGCTGTCCGCCTCGGCGGGGCTGCTCGAGCTGCCAGGCAGCGTCAAGCCGAGGGTCTCAATGGCGGTGGCCATGGTGTTGGCGGTGTACATGCCACCGCAGGCACCGCCACCGGGGCAGGCGTTGCGGATAATGTCGAAGCGCTGCTCCTCGTTGATCTCGCCGGCAATGTACTGCCCGTAGGCCTGGAAGGCGGAGATAATATCGATGGACTCGCCCGCCTTGGTGCATCCGGGGCGGATGGTGCCACCGTAGACCATGATGCTGGGGCGGTTGACGCGGCCCATGGCAATGGCCACGCCGGGCATGTTCTTGTCGCAGCCGGGCAGGGAGATGTTGCCGTCGTACCACTGGCCCTGCATGACGGTCTCGATCGAGTCGGCGATGATCTCGCGGCTCTGGAGGGAGTACCGCATACCGGTGGTGCCCATGGAGATGGCATCACTGACGCCAATGGTGTTGAAGCGGTACCCGACGAGACCCGCCTCGCGGACCGACTCGGCGACGATCTTGGAGAGGTCGAGCAGGTGCATGTTGCAGGGGTTGCCCTCGTACCAGACGGACGAGATGCCGACCTGGGCCTTGTTCATGTCATTCTCGTCGAGGCCTGTGGCGTAGAGCATGGCCTGCGAGGCACCCTGGGACTTGGGCTGGGTGATGGACTTGGAGATGCTGTTGAGCTTGTCGTCGGCGAGGGCATAGCGGGCGGCGCCCGATGAAAAGGAGCGACTGGAATCGGTTAGCAAGGAGAAGCTTTCCATCGTGGATCGCTGGGGACCTGCCTCTGCCAGCGTAGGCCTGGGCGAGCCGCTCCCTTCAGGTTGGCAGCCGCGCCGAGGCGGATGGACCTGGAGAGCATGGTGGACGCTGATTGAATGAGTGAGCAATTCTCTGGCGGTGAGACGGGCGAGGGTTGGTCTCCAGCTTCTGCGGCAGGTTCCTCGAGCTCAGAGAAAGCGTGACGCGGGGAGGGAAGCTCTGTCGAGGATGTGGTTTTGGAAATTCGAGTCCGCACGCTGAGGGAAATCAGCTCCAGCACCGACTTCGGCCGGTCGGCATCGTGGATTCTAGTAAGAGCTAGCCAGAAGAGGCTAGTGCAGATCCTGCTTGAAAACAGAGGGGGTTTCATTGGTCAATGTCTGGGCTAGCGCAGTCTTACATGGGGTAGATGAGTCGTCTCCCCTTCTTGAGCAACTACCCTATACCGTTCGTTCATAAACTTCATTGCACACCGTTCAGTGTTCTATGATTGGCAACGTTTTCTTATGCGTCTACTACATGGATAGTGCGTGCTGCCGTGGATTGGTGTGACAACGTCGCGAATGTCTACGTCGTGACGCGACCTGGAAGGCCAAACCTCAGTGGCTACAGTAACCGCTTCTAAGGCACACGCAACCTCAGAATGCAATTGGTGGTTCTCGAAACTACGAATGTATTTGGCTCCGCAATGGGGAACTGTTGTTAGTCAGGAACCAGCAATGACTAGTCAGCACGGCCAGTCTCGGTTCTTAGATAAGGTAGACTATTTCATATTATTCTCAGTCTTCAACGATCATAGACATCTAGGTTTCCAGACAGGACCAGATCAATTGCTTCCAACCTGTATGTGTCGCTTTCAATGTGGTGAGTTTTGTTGCCTTCATAAACGAAATTCTTGCCGGCGCCACAACCGTACTGCGGCCACCGTGGCACTGGCTCACCAATGTCCGGTGCGGCCCTGTCACGGCCCTTCCAGCCATTTGGATCTCCAGTGGCGATGAACTTGATCAGATCGCTGCTCATGAGTCGTGCAAGATCTCGGTAGGACTCAGGAAGCCCCTCGAAAGGATTGACCCGTATCGGTGGGTATCCAACGCCATCCAGATTACGCATGGCGAAAGCCACCTCGACAAAGTGTGTTGCTCCGTCCAGGTAGGTTGCCCACGCCGGGATGGCGTTGAACCGGTATGACCATACTGGCAAGTGGTTTTGCGCCCAGGTACGTGTCGCCAGTCGTCTTGGAGCAATCATGACGCTGTCGCCGTAGTAGGCAGCCACTGGACGATACAAAGCACCCACAGAAGGGGGAGGAACCCAGTCCTTAGCCTGGTTGGCAAGAATCTGGTCTGTCGATTCCTCGGTGTAGGTATCCACTATCTGCTGCGCAAACGACGAATTGAGGGGGGGCGAGTCGCTTTCCAGAGCTCGAAGAAATTGCCCTGTGGCGTTGAGGCCCTTTGGCGCAAAGCTGGTCCCTTCGTCCGTGTTGTCGCCAATAATAATCGGTATCTTGACGAAGTTACCGTCAGCAAGCTGTCGTGAAGAATGGCGAGCTATGAGGTCGTTATCAATCTTGGGTCTCCAAGGACCCGATAGCTCAGTAGTGTTGATAACGGAATTGAGATCTTCAAACGACAGCCCGCGAAGGCATTCAGTAGGCTCGCAGGACGTATGGCAGTCGGTCTTCTCCAATAGCAGGTTCCAAGACTCTTCTGCCAAATCAGTCTGCGAGTTGAGAGAGAGCGGCCCACCGCTCTCCATGATGGCTTGATGGAACAGTCCGTCATCGCGACCGTCGTACGCGAGAATCTGGGATCCGACAGAACCCGCGCCGGCGCTCTGGCCCCAGATAGTGATCTGGTCGGGATCACCACCAAAAGCAGCAATGTTCTCCTTGATCCAGTGAAGAGACAGGCGCTGATCGCGGAGACCCATGTTTGATGAGCCGGTCTCGAAGAACTCCTTGGAGTTCAGGAAGCCCCAGGCCCTCAAGCGATAGTTGAGACTGACGCCTATTACGGGGTGGGCAATGGTCTTGGACTGGTCAACCAGGAAGGATAAGTTGTAACGCAAATCACTTCCGGCTCCCTGGACATAGCCACCGCCGTGAATCCATACAACAACTGGTAGCTTTCCATGCTGGCGCCCTGACGGTCGCCACACATTCAGGTAGAGGCAGTCCTAGGAGCAATGAGCCATACGTTCATGCATAACCCGTACAGCAGAATGATACTTGCCTCGCTAGTCTCGTAGCCGAGTTGAGAAGGCTGAGACAGATATCAGTTCCTTGAAAAGCCACACATGGAACGAGCACTTACACCATAGCCTACGCACGACGCAGAAAGACTCTTAGCGTCCCGAGATCCTGTCCAACTACTATCGAGCGATGCTGGGTTGCTGAATCGCAGGTCACCGACAGGAGGTTGGGCATATGGAATCCCAAGGAATGCATCCTGGTTGTAATCAGAGAGGTGAATGCCCGTGTAGGTGCCGTTCTTGACCGCGACCGTAGGCTGGCTGTCTCTGCTGGAAAGACTTGGTAACGCTGCAACGGAACTGGCAAGTAATGCCTGCCAAATAAGGTTAAACATGATGTTGCGCATCACTAGGAAGATGGTGTCTATCGCAGCCAGAGTTTCCCACTGACATCGTCCCAACTTATACTACTCTGAAGCAAAGCTGTATTATAGAACTGGGAGATTGTCTCATCCTGCTCACGAGCCGGAAAAGATCTTAACCCAATTGCCACGCAATGTAACCTAGCACTGCGGGGAATAACATGGAGACTGGGGTAAGATGGGGTCTATCCCCGCAATGTTTACTATCGTGGGTCCGGGCAGCTGTTTCTTAGGCTTCAGATTCGGAAACGCTTTCCCCATGTAATCCCATATCCATGTGCCGAATCCCGTAGTCTGGCTCAACGCTCCGCGGGGTCGAAGTCACCAGGGGTGTGATTGGTGCCGCACGCGAGGAGCTGTCTCTTATACGCCGGAGAAAAAGGCCTGGTATAAATTTTCTTCCAGGCACAGGCTGGTTCTAAGACGAGGGCGTAAGAGTTCTACCGCTCACGGATGCGTATTTGGAATCTCTTGGGGTATCCGAGGCTCGCAAGGACCGGCCCACATGTAGTATAAAGGTCCTCGTGTGTTTGTGAGCGCCTCGGGAAGATGAGTCGCACAAGGGCTCCTTGGCACCTACCCCCAGAAACTCGATCACCTCTTGTCACTTGCCCATAATGAAGCTACTTCAAGAGCTCGTTCTCGGGCTGTCTCTTGTATGCGAGGCAGCATGTCGCAGCCATGGCTCGACTTGCGAGGGATCTCAACCCCTGACAGTGAAGACCAAAACGGGACTTGTGACGGGGTTCGTCAACGAGACGGCTCCTGATGTTCGCCAATGGCTGGGTATTCCCTACGCCGAGCCGCCGCTGGGTAGTCTGCGCTTCCTCCCGCCAAAGCCCAAGAAGCACTTTGGACACATCAAAGCGCTAGCCTACGAGCCTTCGTGTATGCAGCAGCTGAGCAACAGCCAGAGTGTGTACACCGAGTACATGCCCCAGTTCCTCATCAACGGTGGTCAGTCCGAGGATTGCCTCTATGTCAATGTCTACGCGCCTCTGAAACCTGTTGCCAAGGACCTTCCCGTGTTCGTCTACATCCCAGGCGGTGGCTTCACTGGCGGCGGTGCAGACTCGCTCTACAAGATCCCCGACAAATGGATTCAACGGTCGCAAACTCATGTTGTGGTCATCATGAACTACCGCGTCAACATCTTTGGCTTCCCCAACGCGGCGGCCCAGCCATTGAACGCGGGACTGCTCGATCAGCGGCTTGTTGTGGAATGGGTCCGTGACAACGTTGCTGTTTTCGGCGGCTCGCCACACAAGATCACTCTTTGGGGCCAGTCGGCTGGAGCATCGTCCGTCGGAATATATGGCTATGCTTATCCAAAAGACCCCATCGTCACAGGTCTCATCGCGGATTCGGGAGCAGCGGGTGTGGCAGCGGGAGGAAGCGCCACTGCCTTCTCGACCTTTGCGGGCTTCGTCGGCTGCGGGAATCTGGGCCCCGAGGAGGAGCTGGCTTGCGTTCAGCGTGTTGACGCTAAAGAGATCCAGCAGAAGCTATCATTTGGGAACACGGGAGCGAGCTTCTCCCCAGCCGCCGACGGCGTGACGGCATTCTCGAATTACACTGAACGAATCGCAGAGGGTCTCATTGCAGATTTGGTAAGCGTCTACGGGGGTTCACTCCTTTATGGTCAGTCACTAACAGACGACAGCCCATGATCACAGGCAGCAACGCTAATGAAGGTGCTGGATTCGGCACCTTCGACCCGAATGGCATGTCACCCGGACAATACCAGACCGGCCTCAATGCCATCACGTGTCCCGTCGCTCGCGAAGTCAGGTAAGTCATCTGGTCCTAGCCCTTTGCAAAGGTATTCGGCAAAGGAATGTCTGCTGAAGCATATTCTATAGTAATCGTGAAAAGTACGGACAAGTTACTTACAGATACCTCTATGGCGGTAACTTCTCCAACATCTCACCACGCCCTTGGATCGGTGCAACGCATAGCGGTGAGAAATTGCCTTTTAAAGCGGCGATGAATCGCTTGACTGATTTATCCAATTAGCTGAGCTGCCAATCCTATTCGGCACGCACTACGAGTACCGCGGAAACTCCACCGAGTTTGAGTGGGAGGTGGCCGATTTGATGCAAGGTATGTCTCGCTCGACACGTTGCCGGAGTTGTACTGACATGGTGCCTCACAGCACTTTGGCTCTCGTTTGCCAGGAACCCGTCCAAGAGGCCTACGGATGGTAGCTTTGAATGGCCCAGGTACGACTCCAAGACCGATACGCTTGTCGAGTTTGCCATCGACGACGTCGCGGCTCACTTGGCGTCACATGAAGTCGTAGACAGCGAGTGTAGTATATAGTCCAGCAACTGTGGCAGACACGCTCAATAACAATAGTTGAATCCTATTCAGCTGGCTTTCAGCATCGCCCAAAGATTCCAACTCGGCGTGATCCCAAGGTTCAGATTGTCTACCAGGCCTTGCTGCATCTCAATGGTTAATCTTGTTTGCTCCGCTTCTCAGCAACCGTGTGCTATGTTTGGAGACCATGGCTTATACTCTCCCACTCTCCATGCTGTATACGTTTGCACTTTTCGAGACCGAGTGGTCTACTGAGTAGGCTTGACAAAGCCTGGTATAACATGCAAGATTGATTTCCGTAATGAGTCCGAATAGCACTTGTCGAATGGAATGGTTTCATAATCCATCGACCTCTCAGAGAGATTATGAGACACACAACTTCTCGTCCTTTGTGGGCGCATGCCGCCTCCTAACCTTTTCTTGCCCAGAAGCCTCTGCCTCTTGAATCATCAACGCCTCTTGACCCTCTACACTCTCGCCACCGCCCTTCTCCTCAATTCTTCTTGCCCGTCTTATGATATTTCTACTCAATAGACGGTGTAGGCTGGTCTTTGCTCTCTTGGCGGTGGAGCATCAAAATCGGTTATTTTGGAGATTTTACTGAACGTCTTGATTCTTCACACACTGGTTAAAATAGTTGTCAATGGACACTTGGATTAGAAAAGTCCGCTGCGAGTGCGTTTATACACTGTTGCACCTTATGTTTGTCTAGAATTATGAAAGCGACCGGGGCGGCAAGCTTTAGACGAGGCTCTTCACCACCGGCAAGGTCCGCTGGCCTGCAGTTGGGCGGACACACGTGTGACTCGGGTGATGTCTGTTGCGCTACTACTCCTGGATAAGATGCAAACAGATATTGAAAGATAGAATATAGCAACCACGAGTGATGTACAAGTAAATATCCAGGCGGGTTTGGAGCCGGCCCCACTATCGGGGGTCAGGTTCCGTACCGGGTTGCCGAGTCCGGACCAAGCGCCGACGTTGCGTTCAGCATCACAACCACTGCGTTGGAGGTCACTGCGATCTTGCTGAAGAAATCTTGTGTTAAATATCTGTTGTATAATTAGTGGCGCTCATCAACGGATTTGTTCATGTTGGCATCAAATGTCACGGACCCGAACAAAGTTCCTTCAGCCTCGATACGTCCACTGCAAGCTGTGAAGATAAGTACTATTTGATGAGATCAGTGGCACCCAAGCAAGGCACGCACGGGGAGTCTTTCCGGATCATTCATTTTCCATTGGAAGCTGTCTCATTTCGCACCTCAGCTAGAATTGCAGGTATAATGTGACCTAGAAAGGTCCCAGCCACTTGACGGACGTTGTGCGAAGCATCGACAACGATTCATCGAAAAAATGTCAACACGGAAGGGGGCTCGATAACTTCTGCTTTCTCCTACGCATTGCAGACTTACAACACGCCCAGAACAGCCTTCTTTCACCACTGTGACTGAAAGATTGTGGACACATACTGCATCATGCTAGTATGTGATTTCAATGTTCGGCGAGTGATACGCAGAATCAACTAAGGCTAAGAATTACAGAATGTGGAGCGCTCAAGCTGCGATGACTTCTACACAGGTTTGCCAGCACATCCCGTGGCAAAAACCTCCGAGTTCATTGTGAAGTACCGCTCACCTAGGTTAGCTTACTGTCAGATTGGGGGATTTCAAAAAGAGACTGCCCTCAATCTTCTCGTACCCGAGAGGGCTGGACAAAAATGCTGAACATTGTCGCTCACCGAGGACAGTGAGCGAGCATTGAGCAAAGAAACTCTTCCAACAAGGATCGAACTTGTGATCTCCCGATTAACAGTCGGACGCCTTGACCAGCTGGGCCATGGAAGAGGTGAAGGCTGCCGTTGTTAAGACTGCTCTTGAGCAGCTCGGCAGCATCGTGATCTCTGCGGCGCGCCGTCATCCTGATGTATATGACTTGTTATCTTTATTTCTTTTTGCTACGAAATGCATGGCCAGATTCTGTATGAGCGGAACCTGTCAAGCTCCACTCGGCATGTCCAAGGTGCGGATGTTGGGTCCACATGTCCGGACTCTGGGGCCGGGCTGGGTCGGGAGTCGGAGTCGGGACTCGGGGGCCCTGCAGTCTTTCTAGAAGACCAACTACGTACAACCACACGAGATGCACACATAAATCACCACCATGAGCATGTACGTTTCTTCAGACGCGCGCATCATCGCAAACATGGTGCGAAGGCTCGGCCATCTCTCGGTCACATCGAATCCTGACTACGTAGCTGCATAGCCTGCATGCACCAGATCCCCCCACAAGACCACCCATGTTGATTTCCAGATGGGGGTCTTGGTCCAGAGAAGAACGACAGGGCCTTTCCAAGGTCATTACTTGGGAAGATGAGAGCTCCCAGTCTAAATACCCCAGACATCAATAGTCTCCTTCTTTCACAAATCTCGATGCAGCGCCTCATCCCCGCATCTCGAGATGGACCCAGATTCCACGGGCCGAATACAATGTGCGTCGGTGTGAAAATCCCATGCAAGAGGTACCCTTGCCAATCAGATTCGTGGTGGAATAAAGCTTCAGTAAACGCCGCATCACAAAAGAGCCCCTGATTAGTCGACGTTCATGCTGTCGGATCTTCTAACAATCTTCCTGACTCAAGTCCATTGCAATGGCCACCGTCGCAGTCTACGACTATATTGTTGTTGGGGCGGGAACATGTGGTTCGTTATTGGCGAATCGCCTTTCAAGCAACCCAGAGCTGTCCGTCGCCCTTATTGACCCTGGTGTCGACACAAGGGGCAATGAAGCAGTCGAGGACCCTGCTCAATGGATAGAGGTGGGACAGACATCACTCAACTGGGATTACCAGAGTGAGCCCCAGCCCCAACTCGGAAACAGGAGACTTAGCATGCCGGCTGGTAAGGGCATTGGAGGAACCAGTTTGATCAACGGTAGGTACATGGAAGCTACAGACATTCGTGACTGACCAGTGCACTACAGGCATGACCTACGTCAGAGGCGACAAAGCCCAATTCGATGCATGGGAAAGTATTGGGAACCCAGGCTGGAACTGGGACTCGATGTTGCAGTACTACATCGAATTGGAGCATCTATTTGCGCCTAATCAGTGGCAACTAGACGCGGGCGCCAGCTACGATGAACATTACCACGGATTTGATGGCGAGCTGAGCGTTGGATTCAATCCCGACTTGCATAATGGGACCTTCTACAACCTGGCGCGTGAGACATGGGCCAGTCTTGGTCATGACCATAATGACGATGTCAACCGCGGTGTGACAGACGGTTTCAGCATCTGGCCCCAAACACTCGACCCGGTGAAGAACACGCGCGCAGATGCAGCTACCGCCTTTCTGTGGCCAATAGCGGACCGCAATAATCTCTTTTTCGTCAACGGCACAGCTTCACGCGTTGCTTGGGGGAATGAGTCGTGTCTTCCTGTGGCTCAGGGGGTTGATTTCATCGCCGCCGACGGCAGTTTGCAAACCGCACTCGCGCGAAAAGAGGTCATCCTGGCGGCTGGGGCTTTGCGAACTCCCCTCATCCTGGAAAAATCTGGGGTTGGTCATGCCGCTCGGTTGCAAAACCTCGACATTGATGTGGTTGTTGATCTCCCAGGGGTGGGCGAGAACATGATTGAACAGCCCAACAACGTGATCGTGTACAACAATGCCGCTGGTCCAATTCCTGGATACACACCTTATGGGACATTTATTACAGCAAAAGAGCTGTTTGGCGCTGATGAGGAAAAGATCGCCCTCCAGACAAAGGAGTCCATTCCGGCCTATGCTGAACAAATCGTCAAGGGCAGCAACGGGGCTCTGGAGATTGCTGCGGTCCAGAAGCTACTCGAGATCCAGTACAACATCATGTTTGAACAGAACACGACCATCGCCGAGGTTTTCACAGCGGCTTCGGGTACCAGCCTGGCATCTGCGTTTTGGGCACTCATGCCCTTGAGCAGGGGTAGTGTGCACTTGAAGACAAAAGAGGCCATCAACGACCCGCAGATCGACCCGCACTACCTGGACAACCCTCTCGATGTACACACACAGGTAGAGATTGGGCGACTTTGCTCAAAGTTCTGGGCGGGCACTGGGATCGACTTCACCACTATCGCAGGGGCCCAGGCCAATGCCACCAACGAGGAATGGACGACGTTCATCAAGGACACAGTGGCTGCAAACTCTCATTCCCTGGGGTCGACAGCGATGATGAGTCGCGACCTTGGCGGTGTCGTGGATGATCAATTGAGAGTCTATGGCACACGGGGTTTGCGGGTGGTGGACGCGGGAGTCCTGCCGCTGCAGTTCAGTGGACATTTGACAGCGACATTGTACGCTGTGGCTCAGAGAGCGGCGGAGATGATTCTTAAGGGGAGTCTGTGAGGAGTTAGTCATACTCTGACTTCCCGTTGGGTTAGAATGGACTGTTACCAGTGATCAGTGTCTCAGTGTTGGTCCAGGGGATGGTATGGGCTTCAGCGTGGTCAAAGACGGAGCAGTGTGTTAGTCCAAACTACGGAAGAAATGGCAGTCCGGCTCAAGCCTCGAGAGGACAGAGTAAAGGCGCACCACGAGAGCCTGTGGCTGACATTCCACGGGATTACTGTACGCCGTGAGAGCCCGGAAACACGAAGCTTGTCCCCCGCTAGTATCCCGGAATCAAGTTTGAACAGTAGTGCGCGCTTTAGCCTATGATGGAAGGCGATGCCAGCGATTGGTTGCAGGGGGCGGCACGTTGTGGGCAATGGCGCATGCATTTGACAGAGACTCTGTCCACAGCACCCAACTCGCGTGGGTGGATGTTCGGAACAGCTCACAGGAGAGTTTTGATGGATACACACGAGTTTTGGTCGAACCTGACATGCTAGACCCTGCTTGTGATCTGGAACAGACTGACCTGCGTTGTTGAGTGTCAAGGCAAGCCCCGAAAAAGTGGCCTAAAGAGTGCTCAGACTGAACGAGTGCTCTTCATAGTATTGCAATAGCGTATTTGCGTACCAACAGATAGAACTTCCAAAACAATTGTATTCATCTAGGCAACAGTAAAGAATTAACTCCGTTGTCCCGCTGCTCCCCAACGCCTCCTTGATCCCCAACGCCAAACAATATCTGAAGCGATCAAATAATTTTCCCTAGCAAGACCTAAGATCGGACAGGCGGCTGCCTCTAGTAGTCCGCCTGATCTTCCCTTGCAGCCTCAACGTCGGCAGCGTCCTGTCCACCGTTGACATCCTCGTAATCCATCCACTTCATCAGCTTGTAAACACCGAACGCCAGGACGGCTCCGAAACAAGGTGCAACCCAGAAGATCCAATGGTATCCGACAAAGCCTGTGATCACGTCCGGTCCGAATGATCGGACGGGGTTGATCGAAGTGCCCGTGTATGGTGTGCCTGCGAGGTGGGCAATGAACGCGGACATGCCAATGCCAATGGGCGCAAGGAACGTTGCGCGGTGCTTCTCGACAGCAAGGAAGTATATCGTCAGGACGAGCTGCGCAGTAAGGAATGTCTCGAGGAAGAACCCCTGGACCACACTCGTGTTGTTGGTCAGCCGATTGTTCACGGTGAGGGGACCAGGAATGATGCCATCAACCACGGCAGCCGCAGCGATGGAAGCGACAATCTGGGTCGGAATGATCATGGCGGCAGAGGCTGGTCTGATGACACCGACGAGGAGAAGACCGAGAGTGACCTGGATGCGTCAGCTGGAGATCATGTGTAAGTCAAGGATGTGGCATACCGCAGGGTTGAACATGCCGCCCGAGACGCGGTAGAATACCCAGACATTGATGGCCAAGGAGGTACCAAAAGCAGCAGCAATGTACAGGAAGCTGAGTGGAAGTAATGGGGACGAGCCTCTGCCCTCGGCTTGGCCATTCTGATTTGGGACGTCTGTTTGCGCCTGCGTGTTCAGGGCCGTTTGGGCAGCAACAAAGGCGAGGAAGAGGAAGAGGAACGTTCCGAGAAACTCGCCCACGATGACAACCACCATGGTCCGGACCCATGACGGCAGCCGAGTGCCCAGGGACATGGTCTGGTCGGCAGAGCGAATCTTGTGCATGTTGGCCATTGTGAAACTGTACCTGAACAGAGAATACTGGTAGACGGAGACTGCTGATGAATGTCAACTTCTAAGTGAAATGTACCAAGCCCATTGTCATTCTCATTCCTTATATATCTCATGAGTTCTCGAGCAAGATATCGACAGAAACTTGAAATGGGACAGCTTGTGACGACATGCCCAAGTGCGAGTAACACCAGCAAGCAAGCAGACATGCCGTGGCTGCGTTCAGGAGGAGCAGAGCAGCTAAGCCACTCGAGGATCCGCCAGACTTCACTTACACGGCGCACAGGCATGCACACGTAACTTGTAAGGCCATGAATGAATGGGCCCCGATGATTCCGCAAGATCCCGAGCGCGAGGGAGAGATCCGACGGCTAGGTGCTGGCCCAACCTTGCTTTAGCGCATCGTGGGAGCACCGACGTTTATGGCGAGTTGATCCATGGCTGTGCTGGAGGATGTGCGGCAAATGTTGGCGACGCCAAAGGTCTAGTTTTTCCCTACGAGTTGTTCTTCCGAATGACTATGTTGGCTGCTGCTCGCCTGGCAGATTCCCGACTAGCAACTGGCGACAAGTGTACTCGGACATCAAATTGAAGCAGGCAGTTCATGCTGCCGATTTCTCCCAGGGTGCACCATGTTCGCCCTCCCGAGACAACATTCGGTTACCACATGTTGTGCCCAATGCGGCGTGAGCTTATGAACAAGACCCTGGCGCAGATCGCCGCATCGAGAGGTGTGGCGGTTCTAGCGTGTAGATGGGGCCCACGATCGGTGCGTCCGAGTTGCGATCTTGGGAGAGTTCCACGCATGGCGCCTGTGCTAGTCTGGCGATAGCCTCTGGTCTACGAGTGGCAATGGCGCGATGTCGCGGCTTAGTGCACGCACAAGCACCGCCAACATGCGCTAGACCCGACCCAACGGTTCACGACATGGAGTGTAGCCACCAGACGTGGGCGTCGACGCCAGATAAAATTCTATGCGTCTGAGACGCCTTGTGGATTGTGGCACAGGGGCAGTGTCTCACTCGGCTGCAGCTTTTTCACGGGGATCTCCATATGCTTTGATAATCAACTTTGCCTTCTTCTTGCATATATCTTGTTGAGCGCCGAATACCGTTCGGAGTATGCAGCATTCCAGACCACACTGTCCTGGATCACAGGTCAGATCGTTACATGGCGTCCTGTCCATGTAGAGAGCTCGCATGTAATGGGTCACTCATATGGCTGTGACATGTGAACTGAACACGGAATCCCTTATGCCAGCACAAGAGCCGTGCAATCGGCTTCTCGACATGACACCACGTTACCTGCAGCTGTTTGACACTGCAGTTGTTGGCCACTGGCGTTGCGATGCTGCATGGCTGAACCAAGCAAGTGACCTGCCACTAGCCCTCATTGCACCCCTCAAGACGCCAGGCTGCTTCAAGTTACCAGAAGGTGGTCATCAGTGGGCATGACGTCTCGTCGGTTCGATGGCCCTGGCCCAAAACATAGACCACGTCCACCGGCAATTCGTTGTCCTCTGGCCCGCCCGGAAACTCTTCATCCAGCTCCCAAATCTCTCTTTGCATCTTTTCAGCCATTTCAACCACTTCTTCGGGTATCTCGCGGACGAAGTCCGAACTATACCATCCAAAGCCCAGGGACAGGGTGAGAGGGAAAGGGTGCTTCCGGAACATGGCGTCGCGGATGTATGTTGTCTCTGACACGACTCGGTACGTGAAGATGTAGGGCTCAACCCTGGGGACGAACTCGTCGTCAGAGATGGGAGCCAGAAATAAAGCCATTGGAGTATCGATGCGTTTCGGGATTTTTATTATTAGATTCTTGCGGAACAAATTTGAAGTAGACGTGATGATTTTGTTCAATTTGAGAAGTACTGGCATTTCAGTTGGCCAGGGGTTGAAGCTTATTCGGTGCCCCGTAGGACATTTGATGATTCAGAGAAAGCAGATTCATAGTTCTCGCATGTTAATTCGCATGAAAAGTGCCCAATTGCCTTCAACATGGGTGTACAGTGAATGTCCTTTGGCAATTGCGTGTGGAACAAACAACGCATAGCGACAATGCCCAGCTATGAAAATGACAAAGAGCGTGAACCCCAGCTAAAGAACAAACCCACCTAGTTCAGTGAATGCTTTTTTTAGCCCTTTGTTGTTACAAACAGTGTACGAGCGTCGCGTTCAAACATCACAGACCACTGGAACAAGTGTGGACAAGGACGCTACCGGTGTCAATGATTGTTCGCGGGCGAAAGCATGTACGTGGCTGTCTGGGCCGAGCGACTGGCCTGGGGAGAGAGCCTGCGCATGGAGATTAAAACGATTGCTCTCGCCCGATGTAAAATCTGATGCAACCTTTCTCCTTTATCAAACTTTTCATTGTCATTGAAGCAAAAACACCAACTTAGCCTTACACTCTCGAGTCAACACTTCGCCATGTCCCTCAAAATCAAGCCTGAAGGTGAGCAGTTCTCCTGGAAGATGTTCATGACCCACACAGTCAAGGACGAGGCCGGCGTCCGTCGCCGGTTCAAGGGCCTCATGTCAACAGGTTTGGGGGTTGCTGACAAGAACGGATGCCGCCGCATGCCCAAGGAAGTCCAGGCCCTGATGCCCTGTGAATCCAAGATCGCCGATTTCGATGCGATGACTCAAGGTGACGACGAGGTCGATATTGTTTGGACCGTCCACCTGAAAGAGGACGTTGACCCATTCAATGAGAAGGGCAAGGTTCAAGTTGGCAAGCTGACATTGTTCCGCAAAGACCGTAACCCCAAGGCTGACAAGATTGACTGGACTGAGATTGACGCTGACATTAATCATGATGAGAAGGCTCAACCGCGTCGGCTGACTATTCAGTAGAGCACACATGTACGAACAATGAGGTAAGATTTAGCGGTGGATGGCGCTGGCGCCGGAAGTTGCTTTTATGTAGCTGGTATACAGTAAGTCTTATTGAATTTTAAACTTTTGGTGATTAGAAGTAGTTCACGCGCGTCGGAAATATTCTGTGATTAACTGCTACTTTATTTATCTCGATATTTGTAGAAAACAATTAAGTCGTCTCTACACAAACAAAATGGATGATTCGCCAAACCGCCAAACATTAGCATTCTGTGAATGCAACATGCAGATCGCCAGGTTTTGGAACAGGGTCCTCGTTAACAATGAGACGCATTACAGGCCCTGCCGTGTTTCCAACACGGAATTTGCCCGTTTGAGAGTGCCAGCTGTTCGTGTTCTCAGGAGTGACCACAAAGTGAGTTTGATAGATGGTGATGCCAGACGCGGTCTTTCCGGGGCCAACTCGAATGGTGACGCCGTTTTAAGTGTCTTTGAACCCCTGAAGCCACTTGACGAATGTGTGGGGGATATAAACGCTCTTTGCCGCATCGTGTGTCCTGTGATCTCCAAAGATGCCCTGGTCAAGTACTACAGTTTCGCCATCCTTGTCCCCGTACTTCAGAGAGAACCCAGTGGAGAGTTTGAAGGCGAAAAGAGCGCCGGGTATGTTGGAGCGTCGGTAGGGTTCGAGAGAGAACGAAGAGACGAGCGATGATGCGGAGCTCTGAAGGTCCATGATGAGAACCGGCGATGCTGGTGGTGAATTTCGTGGACTTGGTCGTTGGATTGCGCGGAAGAGATATCCTTACGGTTGAAATCAAGAAAAATGGAGTTTTGGTAAGAGGATATTTAATTAAATGCATCACAGTCAGATCACTCGATTGGGCGCCCCTATTTACATCCAGGCTCTAAAAAAACTCGATAAGACAGCCCTCAAAGTTCCAGTTACTTCGCATGTTCTTACAGTCCGTTGATCAGTAAATCAAAACACCGTGGAACGGAAAGAGTTTCCCAAACACACACTCGAACAACAGTGGTTGGTGGACTTTATCTGCTAAATTGGGAAGCCGTCCTCAAGAGTTTCATTATGTTCGGGTCTTCTTTTCTGCCAGCGGGCTCCGTGTAGAGTGACACGGTCTTTGTTCATTGGAGAACTGGCCTTAATCTGAACCCGAACGGTCAATTGCAGTTTAGTCCAGCACCTTTGATTTGCTTGTCCTCCGGTCTTTGGCACTGACCCATAATACCCTTACACTCTCCGAGCTTATTTCTCTTTTAGAAAGAAATAATTCCAGTCAGTCGGTGCCAAACCATGACTTCGCCAACATACAAATATCGAATTGTGGTTCTCAAGGACCGCGATGGAAATCACAACGAATCCCTGGGCAATGCCACTCCTGCCGAGGACCTGTCTGTTGACAGAAATGGCCATCGTCGCATCGCGAAGGACAATCTGTGGAAACCAGTGATCCCCTATCGCACTCTCGACCGGGTCTTGCTCGGTATCTGCGTGCCAAAATGGGCTGGAATCAGCCTTTATGTCAAGGAGCTGGATTACACATTGTCTGACCTTGATGTCTGCTTCGAGCTTCGGGTCGAGAGTTTGAATGAATGGGAGGATTACTGTAAGATGTATCAATTTCCGTACGCAAAGATTGATCTGGCCGCAACGGAGTGGCCCAGTGTGAGGATCTGTGGATACTCAGGGGTCCGACTTAAGAGATATGGCTCAGTGAGCCCTTGCAATAATTATGTAGAAGAATCACAGACGAAGTAAAATGTCTTAAACGCCTCACTCAATCTGCTTGTAGACGGTTGTTAATAAAGAAACTTGTGCGTTCACTACAAGGTAACATCCTGTAGACTGTATGCTGTCGAACCATATTGAGTTCTCTGCGCGACGCTCATACCAGCCAAGTGTATGTCTTAAACTACCAGAAGTTGGATATTTGCAGTCGAAATCAAGACACACAAATGATTCAGTGCCCAGCAAGCATCCAGGCACACTCTACGGTGGTCGCCAACCCACATGACGGGCCCCAAGAGAACAAAGGGCGTGACACATTGACCTGTCCCCATTCAAGCAAACAATCTTGAATGAATACGTGAGCCCAACGCGGAACAAAGTCAATTTCGGTCATCCTTTGCTATTTGCCATTCGTGGCGCCCCCCAACATGGATGTGTACTTGCACAATCAAGGCGAGAACAGAATGCTCCTTGTTCACGCGTGGTACGAGATGTCGTTCCATGCTGGGAGAATGATGAACTCTCAATGAGATATCAGTCACTTTACCAGGGGATGTTCTCCAATTAATAGGTTGTTCGTTTTTCCTCAGACTTCGAGAAACTCAGTTCACGAGCGTCCAGCACATTACAGAACGCCGCCAGCTAGGCGACGAAGAAACATCGCTGAACACTCAAACGGAATTCAATTCATAAGAAGACATCGCCAGCATGACACGAGTATCTTTCTCTTCCGTCCAAAAAAATCTCCAAGTGCAAGCCAGACGGCAAGAACCAGAAGATGCCCTCATTTTCCTACAAAATGTTCTCTGAGAGCGGAGCAGAGCTCTGCAGCGGCACCTGCGAGACGCGCGCGGGCATCCCTTACAGCGTATCCGAGATGTTGAACACTCTGAAGGAAACGTATAGCAAGCTGTGCCTACTCGTCACCGAGACTTCGGAGACGGAGGTGGAGTACAAGGTGGTGCGGTACGGCTGAGGACGCCGTCGCCATTATCTTGTCCAAAGCTGCATGTCTGACGTGCAGTCTCATATGTCTTAGTAAGGAGTGATTTGAGGATATGCGGAAATAAATTTGTCATTCTATTCATTGACTATTTCGTTTCATCTAGTGATCACAGTCCCAGCGCCTCTCTCCTGCTCTTGCTGTTCAGATCAAGATACGGCGCCTCGCCCAAGCTGCAGACACGATCGCCCGCTCTGTCGGCACTGTAATCATACGTCGCGCAGTGGAAAGTCGACCTGTTGTCCCAGATGGCCAGGTCACCGGCACTCCACTTGAAACGCACCTGCGCATCGTGGTTCTGGGTGACCAGGTTGAACAGGTAGGCGAGGAGCACGTCGCTCTCGTCCTTGGTGACGTCGTTGATGCGCTTGGTGAAGCCCTTGTTGACATAGACGGACTTCCACCCGGTGACGGGGTTGGTGCGGATGAGAGGGTGCACCGCGCGCAGGTCACCGCCTTGGTTGAGGGGAGAGCCGCGCTTGTCCTTGCGGAGGGGGTTGCCGAGACGCTCTGCCTCGTCGTGGAAGAAGGAGGCGTCATGTGTGGCGGTCAGAGTCTCGAGGAAGGCCTTCATGGGAGGGGAGAGACGGTCATAAATCTCGTACCCGGAGGCCCAGAGCTGCAGTGGTCAGCATAGGGTGGTCTTGAACGTAGACTCCAGTACTTACAGTGTCACCGCCTGTCGGGGGCAGGGTGTGGATCTTGAGCATCGCGTAGTCTGAAGGGACCTTCTCAAAGGTGCTTTCGAGGAGTCAGTACCAAATTCACGTTCCCGCGGATGCTGATCACACTCACATGTCACTGTGCCACCCGGTGCTGGCAAAGCGGCTCACATCGCTCAACTGATGGGTCAAGCCTCCGCCCTTCTTCTGCTTCGCACTCGAGATAACGCTGACCTGATCGCCCAGCTCGCTGCCCTCTTCAGTCAGGGGATGCACATGCAGGTCGGAGCTTGCCGGGCATCCACTGGCCTCGGTCAGCCGCAGCATAAAGTCCTTCATCTCCATGGGCGTGGCATCGCCCTGCCCACGAAGAAAGACGACGCCTCGCTGGGAAATGGTCAGCGCCAAGTCGCGCATCTGCTCGTCCGAGCCCTTGAGCAGGTCGCGCAGGTGCAGTCCCGAGAATTCGCGCCCAATGACCGGGGTCACGTCGAATTGCTGGAAGCTGTCCAGGGTGCCGGCATATGTCAGGGGCTTGGCCAGGCGAGGTCGGCTGTCTGGGTGGCCGCCGACAATGGCGTCCTGCGCATGGTCGATGGTGGCAGACGGCATTTTGAAATGGGTGCTGGTGGATGATTGGCTGCGATGGGCGTAGAGTTGCCTATCTTGACGAGGAGTGACTGGGGATAGAGATGAAGGTGCAGTATTATGGCTGGCAACTCGATCACGTCTTAGTGGCGCCGGATGATGACAAGCGGATTCTGTTCTGGTCGTGGAAGTTGAGGCCGTTCATATACCCCCCAGCCTCGGCGAATCAGCTCGGAAGTGAAGCACGACATTTGGAGACGCGATTGACAAATGGTTCGTCTGCCACGCACCCGGAGAATATCTCGGAGGGAGTTTCTTTCGGCCTCGCTCGGAGGCGCCAGCCGCCCCAAGAGATTCGAGACCATCTTCCCCGCATTCTCATGCTCTCCACGCTCGGTACATTGCATGAGGCCAATCAGCTTGGCCTCCCCATACCAGGAGGGGGGCCCATGAGGCTGGTGGGGAGGAGGGCAGGGTTAGATTTGGGGTCCTGGCGGCCCTTTGCTGCGCAATAAGGAGCACATGGTGCGCTGCTCGTCAGGACAAGGTCCAAATGAGACAATCGTGCCAGCTGCCGACAATTTCTCCGTCTATATCGGTCCAGAGGGTATAGATTCACCGGACGGCTCCGATTCGATCTCGACGACATGCCACGCTGCCCACCCTGACCTTCCCCAGATTATCAAAAAGGGCAGCAAGATCCGCCCATTTGGATCGTGGCCATTACGCAGCGCACGCCAATTCCCTCGACGGCGATCACTGCACACACACACCAGACCAGACCAGACCCAGCACACAGCATCTCTCATCATGGGCAGTGACGATATCGAGGCTTCGGCCAACGTTGCCCGTGCGTCCATGCACTCCAACGAGCCAGACAAGGCCCATATCGAGGTCGGTCGTGAGAATATCCACAGTGTCGTGGAGCCTCACGACTCCTACGAGGGCAAGCATCGGTTTGACCCTGAGCTCACTTGGACCCCTGCCGAAGAGCGTGCCGTGGTGCGCAAGACGGATCTGTGTCTTCTAACCTGGCTTTGCGTGATGGTAAGTTACAAAGCCTCCTCTCAAAAACTGGTTTTAATATCATTCGATAGTTCTTTGGTCTGCAGCTTGACCGTGGTAACTTGTCCAACGCGCTGGCGGATAACCTGCTCGAGGACCTCAAACTGTCGACAGATGACTACAACAATGTGAGTCGCGCTCCTGGAGAGGAGAGAGCCAAACTTACGCTCGCAGGGTACCACCATTCAGCTCGTCTTCTTCCTGTTCGCCGAGTTCCCCGTTCAGATCCTCACCAAGCGCTATGGATTCAAGAATGTCCTGCCTTTCGTCATGTGCGCCTGGTCCCTCGTCTCCACCTTCCAAGCCTTCATCACGAGCCGCGCTGGCTTCTACGCCACGCGTGCACTGATCGGTCTGTTCGAAGGTGGTTTCATCCCTGGTGCTATCCTCATGGCCACCTACTTCTACACCTCGCGCGAGCTCTCGGTTCGGCTCGCTGCCTTTTGGTCTACCCTCAACGTCGCACGCGTCATCTCCGCCCTGCTGGCTGCCGGACTCCTTGAGATGCGCGGCATTGGCGGCAAGACGGGCTGGTTCTGGCTTTTCTTGGTCGAGGGTCTCCTGACCTTCTGTATTGGCGTCATCTCCTTCCTCTACCTGCCAACATCTCCCGTCGGGACCAAGAGCATCCTCTTCCGCAGTCCCTGGTACACCGAGAGACAGGAGGCCATCATGGTCAACCGCATTCTGCGCGACGATCCGGCCAAGGGCCTAACAAGTCTCAAGGAGCCCATCACCGTCAAGGACGTCAAGAGCGCATGGGGTGACAAGTCCATGTGGGGTCTTTACCTCGTGGGCCTCGTGGCCTACATCCCGGCCACGCCTGTCCAAGCCTACCTGACACTCACCCTCCGTCGTGTCGGCAACTTTACCACCCTGCAGAGCAACCTTCTCACGGCGCCTTCCGCCGCCCTGCAGATCATCACCATGTTGGCCCTCGCCTATTCGTCCGAATACTTTCAAGAGAGGGCCTTCCATTGTCTGTTTGGTGCTTTCTGGTCACTGCCCATGTTCACGGGTCTCCTGACCATGTCGGACAGCGGCAAGGAGTGGGAGAGATATGCGCTCGTCACACTGATTTCGGGGTACCCCTACTTCCATCCGCTTGTCAGCTCCTGGATCTCGGAGAACACATTCGACGTCAAGAAGAGAGCCATCACGGCGGCGACCTACAACGTCATTGTGCAATTGTGAGTCCCAAGTCACGGGACATGCAACACCCTTGCTAACATTGTACAGCGGATCACTTGCCGGCAGCCAGATCTATCGGAAAGAAGATGGCCCCTACTACAAGACAGGCAACACTGTCTGCGTTTCCATCCTCGCTTTCAGTCTCGTCGTCTTCCTTGTCCAGCGCCAGTGGCTCGCCCTGCTCAACAAGAGAAAGGCGCGCGCTTGGGATGCTATGACCGCCGAAGAGAAGCTCGTCTATCAGAATGACCAGGCGGCACGCGAGAAGGATGGCAACAAGCGTCTTGACTTTCGCTTTGCGTATTAGACGAATCTGCATTGTGATGCAGGGTGCAGAGAGGGGGCTTTCGGGTAGTCTTTTCAATATTTTATTTCGTTTATGCAGAAACACTGAGTTTTCCTCTGCGTAACAAAGACACCGATGAGTTTACCGAACTAGGGTGCACATGTGGACAAGAAGTCCTCACTTTCAGTTGCGCCAGCCAACCATATTGCATTCTGACTGTCAATTATACGTTAGCAGCTTGGATTGCGGTCGCGTTTACTCCATGTTTGTTGTTGTCTTGGCAAACGACAGCCCCTTTAATGCAAGCGATAGTGGGTCAACTCCCCAGTTCGATGCTAATATGGTGCGGACGTACTTGTTCGGTAGTTTTTTTTTAAGAGAGAGACAGAGAGAGAGGGTCCACTCGTTTGTCGCAGAGAAAACCCGAATTTGCTATTAACACCACCAGCTCAGTGGAAAGATTAGTTGAACTGGCAGAGCTTGTACATGCTAGTTACCTACCCTATAACTTTCCACTTCCTTTACCCCTGGGCAGCGTTTGGTCAGAATCAAGCAATCTGTCTGCTTTGCATGCGCTTCTGGTCGATGGGGAGGTTTTAGTCGGCTAGGGCCATGGCTTCTGGAGCTGCGAGGTGCTTTCATGACTTCTAAATGGAGGTGTCTTTGTTCCACATTTTTCCGTCATTGTGTGTCATTGCCTTCGGAAACAGGATAATAACCTACGAACACAGCAGCTCGTCAGAGTCAAACTACTCCATGACAGCCTTTTGAGCAAACAGTGTTCATATTTATCGCATGAATCATTGAGATTCTTTCTGTCATCTATTTGGACCTCTGGGAACTTGAAGAGTTCACCTCGTAAATCGGGTGTGAGCCATCGACCAATCACGTGCGACCCACAATGCAGCTTCAATCGAGGAATTGATCTCCTTCAATCTTCTCACCTGTATGCCTCCATTGCTCCTCATTAGCGACCACGTGTATTCTCAAGCGCAGAAATGGGTGCTTCTGGATATGGCGACCCCAAGCAGCCGAAAGCGGAGCGCGTAGCAATTTCTTTGCTCTCCCGGCACGACCTGCAACCCGTCTCCTTCAGCCCCGAGCACTGGAAGCCCGTGCAAGCGCTATGGGGCGGCTACGGCCAGGTCATCGCGTTTAACGCGGAGGCCAGGAGCGCAAAGGGCGCGGCTTATATGGACAAGCTATTGGGCCGAAACGATGGAGAGCAAGGCTCGATATATCCTCTCGTCATGAAGATCGTCACACCACCACCGGGCAGCCAGACATCACCGAGCGAAGGCGATTTACGCAAGATGCTGAGCTATGATGTCGAACAATACTTCTACGAGGAGCTCGCAACTACGCTCCCCAGCGACATACCCGTCGCCAAGTGCGTAGCTTCTTCAAGGACTGTATACGATCAGGCAGAGGGGTCGGCACCCGAGTCGCAATGCACAGCCATGATCTTGACAGACTTGAGCATCGATTTCCCTGTCGACTTCAGCAAGAGGCAGATGCTGCGACCGGATGTGGCGTATTCAGCTCTCACGTGGTTGGGCCTATTTCACGCAAAATCATGGGACTGGCTTCCTTTCAATCCCGAGGACGTTGTGCTCCCGCCCTTGGTAGAGGCACAGGAAAGGAAGGGACGCAAAAGAGGCAGATCGGTGTGGCGCAACGGGGGGTACACATATCTGGAAACACGACGATCCGAGTTTCAGGACCTACAGGAAGACGAGTCGTCGGAATGGTCAGCCGCACTCTGTCGGCCACACGGGAAACACCAAACACCAGCAGCGGTCCTGGCAGCGTCCTTCCTGAGCTCCAGAGGTCGGGCCTTTGAGACGTACATCCACGGCGACGTCAAGTCAGAAAACATGTTCGCGTCGAGGGATGGGGACCAAGTGGCGTTCTACGACTTTCAGTATGTCGGCATCGGGCTAGGCGTGAGCGACCTCGCGAAGCTGTTCACATGTTCCATTCCGCAGAACATGCTCGTCGAGGGCAGCGTACCGCACAGGCTCGAGATGCAGCCCAAAGAGAGGGCACTGCTTGAGCGCTACCGTGAGGTCCTGCTCACATCTGAGAAGGCGCCGGAATATGAATGGCACGAGTTTTGCAGACACTGGGAGACAGCACTGGTGGACTGGTGCCGTTTCCAAGCGTCGTGGGGCTTATGGGGCAATACCGAGTGGCTCGAGGCGCGTGTACGCTCGATATTGTTGGATCAAGAGTGGTGGAATTGGGTCGAGCGTGCAGCGTAGGAAATTCATTCTACCGCATCCCTGCCCGCGATGAGATTTCATATATGGGATCTTTCGAATCTTGCCAAGGCACGGGAATCTCGCATGGCTGAGGGGACATGGACAACTGCATGTGAATTGATCCTGATCCTGATCGTGGATGCCCCTCATGACGTCAATTCCCTTGAGCGCATTCAATCTGCGCCACACTCGCCACAGCCGTGCCGAAGCAAGGCTAGCCATCAAAGAAACACGCAAAATCATCGTGCTAATGACATCGAAAACTTGGAACTTGGCGGCCGCTATGTGAGGGTGTGGCTGATCTCCCGGCCGAAAGCAGGGAATTCGCGGCAGCAGATTCACTGGTGGTCGCCAGTGAAGGAACAAATACCTTTTGTAGCTGGACAAGATGCGTGGACAAGCACAATCATCTATTGCTACGATCTTTGGACAAACATACACTCAAAATGAAAGAATCTAAACGTACATTGTTGCTGTGCTTCATCCACGGGTTCAAAGTAAGCTAAGTCCTGGACCAAAGAAAGCACGCCGCTCATGAGTGTAGGGAACCGACAACACGTTCAAAGACTTTCCTGGGGACCTGGAACGCCAGGTGTCGAAGCAGCTGCCCGAACATCACGTCCAGTCTGTTGTGTATCCCAAATATGATACAAAGGGCGAGCTAGAGCAGGCGACAGCAGGCTTTGTCGAATGGTCGGTCAACCCTCATGGAAGCCAACCCACTCTATGTAGCTAACATGCAGACACAGGCTGAAGGAACGTGTAATTGATGTCCGCAAGGAACGACTCGAGAAACCATGGCCGCCCGCCGATCGCAAAGTCGGCGTTATCCTTGTCGCTCACTCCATGGGGTATGTACAGTCGCCCCTGATCGTTGCAGCTATTCTCTCCTAACGACACCAGTGGCTTCGTCGCAGCTGACGCGCTATTCCTCACCCTCAAGGACCGCCACTCCGACAGCGAGACCTTGTTCCCGCTCATACAGGGCATTCTCACCTTTGACACGCCGTACAACGGCCTTGCGCGGTCCATGTTTGTCTATGGCGCGTTCAGCAACTACTCAAAGGTATCCAGCGTGTTCAACGCCATGACGGCCCTGTCCGCTGCCGCACCAGCCTCCCTGGCGCGTCTCTCTCGCAGCAGGAACGCAACGGCGGCGACAGCGGCCAGCGCGAGCTCCTTCTCCGGTAGTTCCACGGCCTGGCAGCTCATTGCGGTCCGAACTGGCACGGTGGGCGCCATTGCTGCAGGTGGCGTTGCCGCGTATGTGCATCGTGAAGCGATCATGAAGGGTGTCAAGAACATGCGGAACCTGAAGAAGGAAGATGTTGTGGATGGGTACAATCAGAGCATTGAGTCACTGGGTCAGGGTCTGGCGTACATCAACCGTGGCAATGTCGGACGCTCTTTCGCCTGGCTGTCTGACCACTTCACGTTTGTAGGGTCACTCCTCAAGCCAAAGGAGCTCAGCCAGCGACTAGATCGCCTCGCTGCCCTGGAGGGTGTTGGTGTTCACGATTTCTACGTCTCCATGGGAGAAAACGGGTACTGGAGTGGTGGTTATTTCGTCCCAGAGCGCATGTTCTGCGCAGTGCCTGAGGGCGACCACCCTGCTGCCAAGCTGTTCGAGAGGATCGTGCTGCGCGATGCGGAAGACGAGATTGGTGCGCACGTGAGCATGTTTCGCCCGCAGAAGAACAGGGGATACGAAAACATGACAGATCGCGCGGCTGAGCTGGTGAAAGAGTGGTTCCTCAGCGACAAGCCGATTGTGGATGCCGGGTATCCCGAGGACGAGGCTGACAAGTCCGAGGACAAGGCTGTCGACGAGGCAATCAAGAAGGCAGAGCACGCCGACGCCGACGCGGAGGACAAGGCCAAGGAGGTTGCCGAGAAGGACGATGGGGGTATACCGGATGAGTCTCCCATCGACATTGCCAACGCGGCTGCGCTCGTGCCGCTCCCAGGGGGCGGGGACGACCTGACTGCGGACCCTGATGCCGACACGGACGAGAAGAGGACCTACATGCAACACCTTTTCCAAGTCGCTGAGCAGGCTGGCTCTGGTGTGCGAGGGTGGATGCCGACCAAGGTGCCTGAGATGCCCAGCATCGGGATGCCAGCGGCAGTGTCGAATCTGGGTAAGGGAGTGCAGATGCCGAGCATTTGGGGGAAGAAAGGAGACAAGCCAGCGGAAGAAGCGAATAAGACTGCTGACGCCCAGGAGACGACGAAAGAAGGGGGTGAGTCAGCTGAATCTACTCAAGCGACGGTGGAAGCAGAGGAAAGCAAGGAGAAGGGCGAGGCTGATGTTGAGATGACTGAAGCAGAAGAGAAGCCCGAGTTGAAATCTTAAGTCAGTTGGTTGGTCAAATTGTCTTTTGTAGTTATATCGATAGTATCTAATAACATGAGCTCTCCATACCAAGCAGGACATGGTGTAGGGTATGCCACGAACAACCCGTGTTGGGAGAGTGTGAACGACACTCACTACATGCATGTACGGAGTACATATGAATCATGTGCTTCATGAACTATGTAAAGATTAGAAAACCCACCGGTACTGTTCATCAGGAGAACCTATTGCCTCTTCCGGAATTGCTCAACTGGCCATGCGTCGCCGTCCGACCATCGGCCTGTTCGCCGACGGCTCCACTCAACGCGCTGCCGCTCGACATCCCGCTCCTCGCCGCTCCGCCGTGCATTCTCCTTCATTCCCACCTCGCTCATCGATCTGCCTCTCCCATGGGGAAGTGGCACTGCATTCGCTGCCGAAACGCAATTACCACGTGCGTTGCATCCACCTGGGGACGTGTCCGTTGATCGAGGCGCGCCAATTGACTCCAGCCAGAGATGGAGTCCATGATCGGGGGTCGGACGTCGCCCATGAGTCCGCGTCGGGTCCATGGGCTGAGGGCCAACGTCTGCACGCAATGTCGGCGGCTCAAGAGAAAGGTAATGTCAGCTTTGACCAAATCTACATACGCTTTTGGACCTAACTCAGACCAGTGCGATCGACAGACGCCCTGCTCAACATGCGTCCATCGTCAGATTCCGCATCAGTGTCATCTACCCTCATCATCTGCTACCAGAGCCTCTCTTGCGTCGTCAAACCAGGCGGCGACACCTCAACCTCACAGCGAGTGTACTCGCCAGCCATCGGGTGATGCGCAGACGCCTCGGCCTCCGACGTCCTCTAAATCTGGCTACCACTCGTCGCGAATCGGACACCTCCTCAACTCACGCGGCGCACCCTCTTACCATGGCTCGTCCTACTTTGGCCACCAGTCTGCCGCTTCGCTCATCTCCATGGAGTCACCAGAGCTGCCCATTGGCATGTCTTCCATCAATAACCCCTCGTCGCGTCCTAACCCGAGATTCCACCGCGACGAGAAGGGACCCTACTCACACATATGGGAGCTTGTCGGGTATCTGCCCAGGAGGAAAGCGCTGGTGGACCACCGCATCGAAAAGTTCTTCAAGGAACTTAATCCGGTGTATGATGCAGTCCATCGCGAGACGTTCCAGACGAGTTACGATGCCTTCTGGGATCGCAAATGGGGGGATGACGATCTGACAGCAGTCGATCTGCGTTGGCTGGCACTGCTGTTCATGATGCTGGCTTTTGCTGAGCTCCTTGACTGTCCGCCGGAAGCATCAACAGAAGTCCAGAAAAGCTGCGAGGAGACATCGGTACAATTCTTCTGGGGATCGCGTAAAGCCATCGTGATGGCGCCCACACTCTCCGGCGAAAGCCCTGATCTGGTCCGAGCTGGTATCCTGGTGTCGCGGTATCTGATGTACTGGGGTCGAAAGACGGAAAGCTGGCTCACAAGCTCCTTTGCCATCCGGATGGCGCAGGCCCAGGGGATGCACGTTGACGGCGAGTCCTGGGGTCTTCCACCCAAAGTGCTCGAGACACGACGTCGTCTCTGGTGCACACTCTACTCGATGGACCGATCCATCTCGCTGGCGACGGGCAGACCATACACCATTAACAGCAAGCACTGCATGGAGATGAATATACGCAACATCTGGATTGACGACAAGTCACCTGACGAGGCTGCGGCTGCTGTCGAACAACCCATCGAGAGGCCCACAGCCAGCCTTTATTACAAGTACCAGCAGAAACTGTCTGCTATCATGGGAGATATTCACGACGACTGCTTTGGCCTCGTGCCCATGACAACCTCCTACCACACGTACGAGAAGGTCTTGTCCCTTGACAAGATTCTGCTGGATTGGGCTGCTTCTTTGCCGGTATACTTCCGGCTCGACAACCCAGACACTTCACTTGACGTCGAGAGGCCTTTTCTCAGCTGGCAAAGAATGTATCTCCATTCATCGTACCACTTTGCACGGATCACTCTCCACAGGACATATGTACTCCTCGAATCCATCACGGACCGCTTCCAATACTCACGGACAGCATGTATCACATCTGCCTGCGCCGATCTTCGACTGAAGCTATCCCTCAGAAACACCTCCATGGCCGACCGTCTCCTCGCGGGCGCCGCAATGCACAACCTCTTCAACTCCGCCCTCGTCCTGGGTATCATCGCCGTCAAAGACCCGCGTGGCGCACGCACAGGCGCCATCCTTGAGGACCTGTCCGCCTACTGCGAGAAGATGCGCGCCGACACGTGGGCGAACGAGTTTGTCATGGCCGAGGTCAAGGTCATTGAGCTGTGTATCGCAACAGCGAGGAAGGCCAGTAGGGACGAGGCGGAGAGACTGCACCAACCTCCCCATGTGAATGATCCATCAGCTGCAGCTACTGCTCCGTGGCAGGAAAGTGATATGAGCTACTCGGCTGCCCTGGATGTCCAGGGACCGTACGAGAGCTGGCTGGATAGCTGGTTTGGACCTACGCGCACATTTCCGGAGCCAATTGACTATCAGTTCTGGGAGGATCTCGTTGGTACACTGGAGGCGAGGTGATATTCATTATTCTTCTACATCTTTGACGAAAAAACCACCGGGTTCGTCAAAGTGCCGATGCCATGTGATATGGAAATCTGCAACTCGCTACCCGCCTTCAGATATCGAGGCGGTTTCCGCCCGTGACCGATCCCAGAAGGCGTCCCCGTCAGAATCACGGTACCCTTGGGCAACGTGCTGTCGCGCGAGAGATGCTCGACAATCTCGCCCACAGAGAAGATAAACTCATCCGTTGTGCCGTCCTGCAACACCTCCCCGTTGAGTGTGGATTTGAGCGTCACACCACGGTTTATGTCTGCTATCAGCTCCTTGCGCACAATACAGGGACCAAGCGGACAGAAACCGTCAAAGCCTTTACTGTAACCCCACTGCGAGGTCTTGCCCTGTACGTCGCGCGCGGTCACGTCGTTGGCGGCTGTGTAGCCCAAGATGTATCTCTGCGCGTCCGCGCGCTTGACGTTCTTGCAGTCCTCTGCGATGACAATGGCCAGCTCGACTTCCGCGTCGACCATGTCTGGTGCTGATGAGGGCAGGAAGATGGGGGCGGACGGGTTTGTGATTGTGGTGGAGGGCTTTAGGAAGACTTCTGGGATGGTGGGTAGGGGGCAGTTGAGCTCCGCAGCGTGGTCTTTAAAGTTGAGACCTATGCAGCGGACGGTGCCAACTTCGGTGGCTGAGAGTGGTGAAAGGAGCTGCGAAGGTCAATAGAAGGTCTATTAGTGGTCATATGAGAGACTCACAGTCTTGATGGTGGCTGTCTCGCCTGTGAACTGGCTGTCATCGACAGCCGAGGGGCGATCAAGGAGACGAACTTGTACTTCCTGACCACTCGCCACAGCCAGCCCGACTGAAGAGTGTTAGTACGAGATGTTTTCAGCTTCACAGTCTGACTTACCATCGACATTCTCATCGACAGGCTCGCCACAGCATTGGCGGTCATCTGTCGAGATGAAGCGGACAAAGCGCGACCACGTCTGGGGTCATTAGAAGTGTGCTCTCCTATCTCGACAGCTTGGACTCACGGCTGGAACAGATCCCATCTTGGCGAGTAAGGCAAAGTTGATATAGGCTGGTTGAAGTTGCAGAAACAGAAAGATTCAGATACGCCAGACAGACGAGACAGCAAGCAGGACTCGAATAAATCATCGGCAATACAAGTCCCTGGACGACCCCGACAAGTCAGCCGCTATCGTGTTGCCGTATCTAGCCACCCGTTCGCCGCATCTACATCTCCAGTTGTCCGCCGCTTCGCCGACGCCAGATCCACCCTCGCCGCTGACTCCGCGACTCGCTCGATCTCGACGGCGAACCAGACCGGGACTGACAGCGAGAACCCCACAATCAGTGACACATAATGACCCAGCGGTAGATATCCTCGCCGCTTCGCCGCACGGCGTCCGCTGTCCGAAGGGTCGTTATCGTGGAGAAGTGGGTGCAAAAACCGAGGAGCGTCGAGATAACTATCTGGCCCTTGCCCGCTTGCATCCCATGTGTATGGTTCAAGTCTGGGGTATAATATGCGGCTGTCGTCCTAGATGTCCTGTTTTGTGTTCTGGTCAGTCAGCCAGTCACTCAGACATCCGACTTTTACTCCCTTCTTCATCAGCACACCACAGACATGGATAAGTCGGAGAAGATCATCGACGACGAGGCCGTCCGGCCCAGCGAGGATGGCCAGGATCCCAACCTGTTCCTCGACCCCCAGAGTGAGAAGAAGCTTGTCCGCAAGCTCGACTTATGGATTGCCCCTGTGATGACCGTCATCTTCCTCACTGCCTACCTCGACCGTGCCAATATCGGCAACGCGGCGTCAGCGGGCATGAAGGACGACATTGGCATGAGCGATGGCGAACTGGGCAGTATGTATCAATGTCTTTAAGCTGGCGATTCCCCAATACTAACAGAAACAGACGCCATCACCCTCTTCTACGTTACATATGTGGCTGCCGAAGTCCCCTGCTCACTGGTCCTAAAAAAGTTCCATCCCTCCAGGATGATCCCTCTGCTCATCTTCTGCTGGTCATGCGTCCTCATCGGCACAGGTTTCATGCACAACGTCGGCCAACTCTACGCCTCGCGCCTCCTTCTCGGTCTCTTCGAGTCGGGCATGTTCCCCTGCCTGGCGCTGTACCTGTCGACATTCTACTCGCCGGGCGAACAGGCCCTCCGAATCTCGTACCTCTTTGTCTCTGCCGCGCTGAGTGGCTCCTTTGGTGGTCTCTTTGCCTATGCTTTGCTCAAGATGGACGGTATCGGTGGATTGGAGGGCTGGCGCTGGCTGTTCATCATCGAGGGGTGTGCATCCGTCCTCATTGCGGCCTTTACCTACTTCATGCTGCCCGACGACTTTGAGCACGCTCGCTTCCTCAACGAGGACGAGAAGGCCATGATGCGTGTCCGCGCCGAGATCAACGCGCGCTACAACGGAAAGCCCGACTTTGACTGGGCCGAGGTCAAGCGCGCCGTGAAGGATCCCAAGCTGTACATCTCCTGCTGGAGTCAGTTCATGGCCGACATTTGCTCCTTTGGCCTGAGCTCGTTCCTGCCCCTGATCATCCGCAGCTTCGGCTACGATGTTGTCACGACGCAGCTGCTGACCATTCCCGTCTTCTTTTGGGCGAGCGCTGCGTACATGGTGGTCTCGTACATGAGTGACAAGTGGAAGCAGAGGGCCATGTTCATGATGCCAGCATGCCTCGTCACGGCCGTCGGGTACGCTGTCAACCTGGGCGTGCCCATGGACCAGAGGGGTGCTCTGTACTTTTCGACTTTCCTCATCGCGCCGGGCGTGTACATGATTGTCGGGCTCAACTGCGCGTGGCTGCTCAACAGTCATGCGCCATACTACAAGCGCGCCATGGCCATTGGCATGAACCAGTCTATTGGAAACACGGCAGGTATTGTGGTCGGCCAAATCTTCCGAACCAAGCAGAATGGCAAATATGTCATGGGCCTCAGCGGCTCTCTTGCTGCCGTCATGCTTGCCGTCCTGGGTCACATCACTCTATACACATATCTCCGCCGCGAGAACAACAGGCGAAAGAACCTCACAGAGGAGGAGCGCGAGGCGGAGATTGCTGCAGGGAAGACGGGCGATTTCCACCCCGATTATCGCTATGCGCTATAGTCTAGTCTAGTTAGCTCATGCATCGTCTGCCACTCTAATCAACATCTTCTTTGCTGATACTTCGCCGCGCGACAACTTGCCCATGGCCACCTGGACTCCCTCTTCCAGACCACCTGGAGCGACTTCGTAAGGGTGCCCCGAGAACCAGCCTTCTTGGAGTCCCAGGCTAATAAAGGGGTAGAGGATGGCGCCAAACTGCTTGTCAAAGGGAACGTCCTTTTCGAGGTGAGGATAGTACACTCGGTGAACGTGCCCCACCTGTGTGAACAAGATTTTGACATGCTCCGGTAGTTCCGCCAGAGCCTCCGGCTTGATCGTGGTATCAAGGACAGTTGCAATCTGAATGTCCTTGGCTTTCATCTTAGCCAATTGTCCAACGGTGCCCTTCTCTGAGACGGCATCGACAGCATGCACCTTTCCCTCATCGTTGGGCTCAATACTTTGCAGTTCTTTGATGACGTGCTCCTCGCCTTCGCGATAATCAATGACCTTGTCGCCCTTGGACTTGTCGAGGAGTGTCTCGACGTAGGGGATACCACGGCCTGCGATGGCGATGATGGGGTGCACATTAGCCAGCGAGGCAAACTTGATGGCGTAGGCTCCTACAGCCGATGCGCCGCCGTACACGACGAGGGGTGTCCGCTTCTGCGCCTGTTGCCATGGCATGGGCAGCCTGAGACGCTGGTAGACGGCCAGTCCAGCGGTCGTCGCCGCCAGGGGAATGGTAGCTACTTCTGCACAGCGATTAGGCCTCTCTTACGGGCTCTTCTCGTTTCAGCGGACATACCTTCGAAAGTGGTGCCCTGGGGAATATGAAAGGTCGTTCGCGCCCATGAGATAGCATACTCTGCGAAACTCCCACTCGGTTCCATCATCTCGTGAAAGGCGCCTACCCTGTCGCCCTTCTTGAATCCGACCACGCCCTCGCCTACCTCGTCGACAATGCCGGCGATGTCATCTCCCGAGTTCTGGGGGCCTTTGAGGATCCACTGGGGGATCTTCCAGTCCTTTGGGTTGGTGCCAGATACGACGACCTTGATGCGGAGCTGGCCTGGCTGTGGTGTGGGAATGGCAACCTTTTGCGTTGTGGTGGTGAGGTCGGCGTTGACCAGGTTTTCTTTCATGGTAGCCATGTTGATGAACGTTTCTTTGAACGTAATGCTTCGGCTTGCTTAGACAACGTGAGGCGGAGGAGTATTTAGGGCGGCTGTATTTGCGGGGATGCGACGCTTGGGGTGAGGACTGGACGTTGTGAACCTGAGTCTCAAGATGCCGGAAGACGAAACCCGAGACACCAATGGATTCAAAGATTGTAAATTTATGTAGAATCTGAATGGAGTCCGTTGCGAGCCTCTGGCCATTTGGTGGATAGAGATGACTTCATCGTGTAGGCCGTTCCGGAACTCCGTTGATCCAAAGCGGTGTCGACATCATGTCCGGCAGCGCCTGTGGCGCAAATGTTCAACTACAAAAGCACGTTGGCATCCCTCGGAAAATATGCTGTCGTTGGATCTGATACTGTCTGCATTTATAGTCTGCATGATCCTTTTTGTACATCGGCGTGATAGCACGAGTCAAGGTCCCAAGAGTGACAGATCGTCCAGTCTGGCAACCGCATTACGTGGAAATAAGGGAAAGCATGGCCCTTCGGGAAGGGGGGTTATCCTGAGCATTGTTAAGAGATAAGATGGTACAACAATTACATTCATGTTACATGCATCTGACTTACAGGTAGAGGCGAACAGCGCCTGTACTTATTTCTACACTACCCTGTAGCTCCCCCTGGCTGCCCCATGTACACACTGAAGGTGAGTGCAGAATTAGAGTAGGCTAATCTACGCGTGGCGAAAACAGCACACGATATTGAATTTCGGAATCACAATAATTATTTTCCGCTCAAGGACAAGAGCGTGTTCTGCCTCTCTACAGCATTGACTGTGTTGCAAGATGTCGCCTTTAGGGCCTTTAGGTTCTAAAAGCGCAAAGTGAAACCTGCTGTGACTTGTTGTCGTGACCAATTGGCAGCTTCAACTATTGATTCATCAGTGACGCAACGCTGGCAACAACTGAGTTACCCTAGCCAGCCCTATGAGCAGACCTCGACGCGCGTGCCGGCCATGTGTGGAGGGGACCGGGCAGGGCGCGGGCCGCCGTGGTGGCTGTTTGGCCAGGCTGGGCTTTACACTGCGCGCGCCTGAAACGCGCGTCATTTCACCGCATTTCAATCATATCATGTCGCTGGAATAGAAAGGGAGGGGAGGGGAGCTCGGCTGAGCTTGGTGGGAATATGCTTGGACCCCGAAAATCATCAGTTTCTTAGACCTCCTTGGTTCGCTGACAGATGGACAAATGAATACGTAGTAGAAATCGCTCAGATCCCCTGCTACGGCGTTGGAAATTACGAGACAGAAACAGGATCCCGCCCCGTGACCCTCGGGAAGCTGACGAAAGTTCCGGATAAACAAAACAGAAACTTCTGTCGAGGCGTCCAAGTCGAGCGAGGGCGCGACCAGTCGATGGAGCAACGTCCATGTCTGGTGGCAGTGCTTCAAATTGCCGCAAAACGGTTCCCGTGGAGAATCAAAATAGGGCGCATTCAGCTTGAGGCAATTACGAGAATGAACTCATGACCCTCCATGGTGCTCAAACAACCGGACACGCAGCCAGAGTCCACGAGAGACGACTGGAGGCCAAGTTCCAAAGCGCGGCCTCCGAATTGCCGCAAAGCCAAGTCCCGTCCGTCTCCAGGTCAGGGGACAATTTTGCCTAATCCGTCGTCTTAGTGCGATATCACTGGCTCACGTATTTTCTGCGAGACCCTGATATCGCCTCATATACTTTGCGCCAGCCGCGACTGGACCGAAGGCTGGGGGCCTCCCACTAGACGGATACTTTATTCTAGTCTGGGTAATAGATTGCAGGAGGGGAGCGAAATTTCTTCGACGCGCCCAGGCTCCAGTCGTACCGTGACGTGCACAAGCAATCTGCTATAAAGGGCGGTGCTGGCAGTCGACTGTTACCAGCAACGTTATCCCAAACAACCTCAACAACCACGTCGTATTCTCCTTCTGCTTTCCCACATCACAAACAATCGCACGTGCAATATGGTAGCCTCAGACAAACCCGAGCCCGAGGTCGAGCCAGACGACCAAAGGCAAGAGACCGACAAAGACCTACGCATCACCTTTGACGACGGTGAACACCCCGAGCCTCGACGTGGTCGGCGTGCTGAGAATGGCGGTTCCATCTTCCGTGGATGGTCGCAACAGCGCGATGGCAGCCGTGGAAGCTCACGTAGTCGACAACGCGCCACTGATGCCCCCTATGCCGGCTACCAGATCGAACACCGCACGCTCTCCATCCATGTCTCTGAGTCTCGTCACTAGGACACTAGCGTGGCCGTCGACCTCAAGGCCGCCAAGAAGGATAACACCGACTACTTTGCTAACCTGAGATACCATGAGATCCCAGTGCCCAGGCTTGTCAGCAGCTCAACGTCTCGGCTGACACTGGCCTCTCCAATGACGTGGCGGCCATGCGTCTCGAGTGCGACGGCAAGAATATCCTCCCTCAGCCCAAGACAAACTATCTCCGTAAGATTCTGGGCTACATCTTTGGAGGGTTCTGTTCCGTCCTCTGGGTCGGTGTTGTCGTCTTCTTTATTTGTTGGAAACCACTCAGCAAACCTGAATCGCCGACAAACTTGGCCTTGGCCATCCTCATCCTCATCGTTATCTTTCTTCAGGCCGCCTTCAACGCGTTCTCCGACTGGTCAACTTCGCGCACGATGAAGTCTATCACGGACCTTCTCCCATCCAAGACGCACGTCATGCGAGACGGACAAGTCTACGTCCTGCCGTCGTGTGATTTGGTCGCCGGGGACATTGTGCGCTTGACCGTGGGAGGCAAGGTGCCCGCAGACGTGCGCATCATCCAACATTCCGGCGACATTCGCTTCGACAAGTCCATGCTGACGGGGGAGTCGGAGGAGGTCGTGGGTACCGTCGACGTCACGGACCCCAATTTCCTGGAGAGTCGCAACATTGCTCTCATGGGCAGCATGGTCGTGAATGGCGAGGGTGTCGGGCTCGTGATCCTCACCGGCGGACGCACCGTCATGGGGCGCATCGCGCAGGCCATGAGCGACGTCAAGGAGATGCCAACGTTGATCCAGCGCGAGATCTGGCGCTTTGTGCGTATCATTGTCTGCATGACCATCCTACTCGCCACCATCATTGCCGTTACCTGGACGGCCTGGCTGCGGACCGATCACAGGGGGTTCATGAATGTGGTAGGCATGCTGAACAATGTCATGGGCTGTGTCGTTGCCTTCATCCCCGAGGGCATGCCGATTGGGGTCTCGCTCACCCTGCTGATGGTCGCGCGACGCATGAAGGCTGTCGACATTCTGCCCAAAGGATTATCCACGGTCGAGCCACTGGGTTGTGTCAATGTCATATGCTCCGACAAGACCGGCACGTTGACCCAGAATCTCATGTCTGTATCATCCATCTCCTTCGCAGACGCTCCCGCCTCGACGGAGCAAGTTCGACAGTCCATAGCAGGTGGAAACGCTGGCCAAGCCATGTCAATGCTCCATCGGGCCTCGACGCTGTGCAATGATGCCACGTTCGACGCATCGACGCTTCAACTCCCCGTCAAGGAACGCGCAGTCAATAGGAACGCTACAGACGCGGCTGTGCTGCGCTTCGTAGCCGAGTGCAACCCCAGAGACCAATCTCAGCTGTGCCCGGAGATACCTCGTGCGCATAGCATCCCGTTCAACTTTAGGAACAAGTGGATGCTCACCATGTTTCTCAACCAAGCTCAGTCTGAAAAGCAGCGAGACACATATCAAGTGTACATGAAGGGCGCACCTGATGTCCTCTTCCCAGCATGCACACACTTCTGGTCAGGCAAAACCAACTCTGTCCTCCCTCTGGACGACGAGATCCGGTCTGCCCTGAAAGCCACGCAGGACAGCCTGTCACGCAACGCGGAGCGCGTCATCATGCTGTGCGAAAAGACCGTCACCCCGAGTTCTATGCCCGGCACCAACGCCTTCAGCGAAGAAGTGGCGAGCAGTGCGCTCGAGAGCCTCACCATCGTGGGCATCTTTGGCATCATCGACCCGCCGCGCCCAGAGGCCGTCACCACTGTCGCACAAGCCCGTCGCGCCGGTGTCCGGTTCATGATGGTTACGGGTGACTATAGTCTAACGGCGGCCGCTATTGCGAAGAACATTGGTATCTTTGCGCGCGACGCCCGGCCGGACTTGGTGGATGCGATGAGGGCCAACCATGACGTCTCGGCTGAGAAACTGAGGCTTGAGCGGGGAGAAGACTCTGGCAGAGCGCTGATTGTGGAGGGCAAAGAGGTCCTGGGGCTATCGAGCGATGACTGGGACCTGGTGTGTGAGTATGAGGAGGTGGTGTTCGCTCACACGACCCCTGAACAGAAGCTCCGCATCGTCAATGAGTGAGTGACCCGTCCTTCTCGTGGACTTGAACTGACTTGAATAGGTTCCGCCAACGCGATAACGCTGTTGCCGTGACAGGCGACGGCGTCAACGATGCCCCAGCTCTCCGTGCTGCTGATGTCGGTGTCGCCATTGTCTCGGGCAGCGATGTGGCCATTGACGCTTCGGACCTCGTTCTCCTAGACAAGTCCGACTCCATTATTGACGCCATCCGTCTTGGCCGCCTTGTCTTTCAGAACCTGCAAAAAGTCATCGCCTACCTCCTTTCTGCCGGATCGTGGTCCGAGATCTGGCCCGTCCTGGTCAACGTCTTCTTTGGCGTGCCTCTTCCCCTATCTGCGTTCCTCATGATCGTCATCTGCGTCTTCACCGATCTCTTCCTGTCCCTCTCCCTGATCATGGAGAAGGCCGAGTTCGACCTCCTGTCGCTGCCGCCACGCAACCACAAAAAGGACCATCTCATCACTGGACGCATCTATGGCCAGGCATATCTCTTCACAGGCACCATGGAGACCATCGTGGCCCACTCCATGTTCTTCCTGTACTACTGGAGGCACGCGCGTATCCCCGTCAAGGACCTCTTTTTCCTCTACGAGGGCTACAAGGACGGATTCCACGGCTACACACTCGACCAACTCAACGCATTCAACTACACGGGGCAGTGCGTCTACTTTGTCGCGCTGGTGATTCTGCAGTGGGGCAACATCCTGGCCATTCGCAATCGAAGGTTGAGCATCGTGCAGGCGGACCCCTTTACCAAGGCGAGGCGGAATCCGTGGCTGCTGCTGAGCGTGCTAATAAGTCTCGTCATTGCCATCTTTGTGACAGAAGTGCCGGGCCTGCACATGCTGTTCTTGACGGCGCCTGTGCCGATTGAGTTTTGGCTCATACCGATTCCCCTCGCGCTGGGTATTCTGCTCATGGACGAGCTGCGGAAGTTGTTGGTCCGTTTGTACCCGTCGGGGCCGGTTGCTTGGGCGGCTTGGTAGAGTGTAGCGGGTTGATTGATAGACGTCTATTTGTAGTTATCATCTTAGCGGAACATAATACCCAAGCCTGTCAATTTGTCTTCGCTATCAAAGTTGCTTAGAGGGGCTTGGACCCAAACGGCTTCAGAATAGTCACGGCCACGTAGACATCTGCACATCCGCGAACATATGGACTCCTTAGACCAAAGCCAATGCAGCGCATACAAGCAGCAAGAGATTTGCCGCCGATGCCTGCTTGTATCCTGCATCCGGTTCATCCGTTCCCTCGGCCGACCCTGACTCTGTGGGGGTGGGCTCATCCTCCACGTCATCTCCCGAGCTGTTGTCCGAAGACCCGTCCTTGTCAGACGAATCCTTAGCCGGGACGTCGCCTGAAAGAGCGAGAAGACTCTGCACAGACGACAGGGCGGCCATCTTCTCGAGAACTCCACTCTCCTCGGGTTTGTGAAAAGTGGCGTTGGACCAGTAGATGCTACACTCGCGCTCCGACTTGTCGCCCTTGCAATGGTCAATGGCAGCCTGTGCCGTGGTCTTCAGCTTCGACTGGATCTTGTCCGCGAGGAACGGAGCAAGGCGAGCGGTGGACGCCAGCCAGCGCAGCATGAGGCCCTTGGAGGTGGGCATGTCGGTGGTGCAGACCATGTAAGGTTCACATTGCGCCTCAATGGCCACGCCGTCTTCAAAGAACGTATCGAGCAACGACCCAGAGAGCTTCTCTAGCCGTTTACGCCAGGTGTCGGAGCCGTCGGTCTAGCAAGTCGTCCCCTCGTTAGTGACTATTCCCTGTAGAAATGGGCTGTCCCTTTTTGAGGCAGTGGGTTTTTTTTTTTTTTTTTTTTTTTGGACAAAGGGCCTCACTTACCTGGTTGTACATGACGGCCGCCGTGTAAGTCAAGATGGCAGCATTGCCCGATACCTGGGAAGCGTCCGGGTCGCACTCTTGACCACTTCTAATTGTGACCCCGTCGTAGACGGCCCCAGAGTCCGCGTCGATGAGGTCCGATTCTGAGAGCCAGTCCCAGAGCTCCTCGACCGTGTCGACGTACTTGTCGTCGCCCGTGTGCAGGGCCAGACGCGCGGCGAGGTTGGCCAAGCATCCGCTCGAAATCACTGCAGTTGGTCAGCGACTGTTGGTATGCATGTTTGGTTCACCCGCAGAGAAAGGCAAATCTCATACCGTTCTTGTAGTTGTACCCGACGTTAAAGTCGAATATCTGCCAACGCAGACCGCCGCCGCACTTGTTGTCGAGTCGATCGACCTGGTCGCTGTAGACGGTCTTGGCGAGATCTAGCCATTGCGGCTCGCCCTTGGACGGGTCGGGGAAATCATACTCGGCAGCCGCCATGGCTGTGAGGGCCCAGTAGCACTGGTCATCATTTCCGAGTCTGGCTGTCTCGTTGTTGGGCCTGAAGTCCTCGCGGTCGCCGACTTGGAACAGCACGCCTTGCTGAACAAGGTCGTTGTAGGTATCGTCGCCCGTGAGGTGGAAGTAGTTGACAAAGGTGCTCATAAATACGCCGCTCTGGTAGAAGTAGACTTCTCGCTGCTCCAGAAGGCCCGGTGTGTGGCCGGCTTTGTCGCCGTCGTAGTACGACATGAGGTCCTCGGCGAGGATGCCAGCCGTTTCGACCATGTCGTCGCGTGAGTCAATGGTCAGGTCCGCTGCCGCCACGCCAAAGAGGCTGCGACTGAGGAGGTTGGCCGCGTAGAGCGGCGTGATGTGAAGTCCTCTCATGCTGCTGAGTCGTAAAAATCTAAACGAGTGACTGAGTTGAGTCTGGTGAGAACTCAGGTTAGAACGATTGTGGATGCTGGATGTTGTGGTGATCGCCGTGAGTCGTGACAGAAGCAACGGGGTTATTTTAATACGCACGAATACGGATTCAGTGAGCATAATTACCCCTGCGGTTTGATTGTTGCCTGCTGTGCCTCACTTGGCGCCAAGTCTTGCAGACATCACCTCGGTGCTTTGTCTTGTGAGCTTGCCGACTTGGACCATTGCAATTGGAGATGCAGATGCTAATAACGTAACATCTATTCCGGGGGTACACATTCTTCAGTCTTGTTTGACTCACGACACGCAGTGCGGCATGGTATTTGATGCCTGCTCTCAGGCTCTGAACGCTGACCACGTTGATTGTAAGCGCTAAACACGAAGATGATGCACGAGAGAGTTGGACGCCGGAATCCGCCCCCAAAGTGCCCAGATCATGATTTGTTGGGGAGCAAACAACCGAATCAGCGGTTTTGAGATGCTTTGGAGTCTTCTTTGTCCGAGGTATGGATTATATATGAATTGTCCAAAAGAGCAGCAAGGCACCCTGATTCATATCATATTGCCTGGGGCGGCTTAATTCGCTCCAAAGCCTGTAATTTATTAGACTCGATCGGCGAGCTGGGCCTATATCTGCATGAAACTATAAGTGACCATTTTCCTATTCGGGCAAAAATTAGGATCATTCATCATCAACAAAGGCGAAGCGGCCTCACGTACGCGGAGCAATGGATGTCCCGCCTGGACTGGCTGGGGTTTCACTATGCGTGTGACTATATACCTAGTCTCTTGAGTAGTATATAAAGGAGCTGAAAGAAACCCCTTCCCAGATTCAATGTTTCTGCATACTTTTGACCAGCAGATCCATGTAATTCAATAGCCGAATCCTCCAACCCCTGGCAAAATTCAAATCGCCAGGGCACACTCCCTTCTTCGACATGACCACCTCGATACTGTCCCCCGGCTCGCACTACTTCCAATCGGATGGACTACAGCTCCACTATGCAGTCCGCGGCCAAGGGCCCCTCGCGGTTCTCCAAAGCGTCGGCTGGGGTCTGTCGGGTGCGTATCTCTGGAATGGCCTTGGGCCCCATCTGGAGAGAAAGCGCACCGTGGTGTACCTTGAGCCACGAGGCAACGGTGATTCGGAGAAACCCGCTAACGCCTCTACAATGACGGCCAAGACCATGATGGATGACCTTGACAGACTGCGAGTCCACCTCGGTCTGGAAGCATACCCAACGCTCATGGGCCACTCGCACGGCGGCGCCATCGCTCTGGGGTACGCCCAACGCTTCCCCGAGCGAGTGTGCAAGCTTGTACTGCTTGCGCCGCAGATCATGGACGGCCGATCGGGTCACACGGAGCGTTGGATAGAGGTCCGCATAGGCGAATCTAGACTACGCCGCCTGCCTGTCCAAGATGGGCGAAGTCTTTGCCGCCGGGGGCTCACAATCGGATGAAAACTTCCTGGACGATCTGTCGACCATGGTCAACTGGCACTTCTCGGATGTGTCCAAGGCGTATCTTCTCCTGAGAGACATTGCTGGAATCGCGCATCCGGTTGTCGCATCAGCCTTCCAGACGAACCAAAATGACGCCCTGGAGAGAAACAAGCTGCTGCACATTGCGGAAGCTGGACGTGTTCAGGCGAAGACCCTCCTGCTCTTGGGTGAGGAGGACACGTCTTGCCCTCCAGAGGACAGCCAAGCTGTGGCAGAGGCCATGCAGGATGCTAGGATTGTCGTGATCCCATCAGTTGGTCATTTCGCGTGGTATGAGGCCCTCGAGCCTTTTTGGGGGACACTTCTCCCCTTCTTAGACGAGTAAAGGACAGGCGACTGGATATGAACAGAGATTCACTCACACCACTCACGCAAGCCGTCGAGTATTGCAAGGTACACGAGGATCAATGGTTCCGGTACGCATCCAAACTCCGCAGGGTTCAACGGGCTTCCAGATTAGTACGTTTGGCCGATTGGCAGTAAAACATGTACGAAGTTCGCAAAGCTTGACATGCCGAATGAAGGCCACAGGTCCATCCATGCGGCCATGGTGCGAAGACGTCTAGTCCCGAGGGAGTGTTCGTGGAGGGAAGACATGGCCGATCAGGTCGTCGTGTCGTCTTTCCTAGTCAATGTATAATCTTTGACAAGATGCATGGCGAGACCTGGGCAAGTGGCAGGATTCGAGATACTTCTAAAGTATCCGTGGCAGTACCGTTCCCGCGAGATTCTCAGCGTGCTCACGTCGCCGCTGGTCTTCCTAAGAGTGGCCGCTGTATTTTCGCGCGCTGTCGGCATCTATCTTGTTCCGTTCGTATCACTGACAGCGACAACGAAAATATGAGCATGCTGCGACCACCGCTCAACGGGATTCCTCTGCTGAATCGCGTGGTTGTTCCTGGCCAAGGGTTGCACAGGCACTGAAAATTAACGACAGCCGTGATTCAAGCCAGGTGGGGTTACCAGACTGACTACCCTATAGTGATGGTCTGTCTATACATGTGCTCCGTAAGTGAGCCTGTTCTAATTTGAACCGTCTGGTCCCAGCAACAATCTTGGTTGTTTTGTTATTGAAAAAGAGCTCATAGTCTCTTTTATCCTGGCTGAAACAATAATTCTCTATTTCAATTGATTCCTGGGGAACTCAACACTAGGCTTCAGCCAAAGCAGGCCATAGCCACGCTAATTTTACCCCAAGCCTCAGTGAACCGCCCCCGACTCCCCAGTTCTCACTCGTGACCAGTGACAACTTCGTCCTGCAACCCCGTCCCTACTCTGCCAAAACTGTTCCATCACCACATTGTGTTCTGGCGCGCCCATGCCGGCAGTGACAACTGCGCTTCCTCTCCTGTCGAAACTCCGCCCACACGTGGCAGCGCGTGCACCTCAAACTCCCACTCTGTAACCTCCACCTCCATCACTACCCAACTAGCCCACAGCCATGGCCTCCCTCCTTCCCCCCAAACCCAAGGCACGCCAGAATCTGGTCAAGCGCGCCTGCGATCCTTGCAAGGTCCGCAAGATCAAATGCTCTGAGCATCCGCCGTGCACGGGCTGCATAGCCGCCGGGATCGAGTGCACGTTCAAGCGCTCCCCTCTCACGCGAGGACCGCGCACCCTGCGGGCCAGGACCATTGACAGAATCGCCAAGGAGTGCAACAGCGTCGCGGACGGCAGCCAGGGCGATCTCGAAGGACTGCTGGATATTTACGCCGAGAGGCTGTTTCCGATATGGCCCATCCTGGACGCGCGAGAGCTGAAGCGCCAATTGACGGCGGAACCGAGGGACGAAAATGCACATCACCTGGCCCAGGCTGTGGCCCTGGCTACCGTCGCGCAACTCAACCTTAGGGCGGCCTGGTCACCGGATGTCCAGCTCGTCGAGAGGGACGCGCAAAACGTCTCGCTCGATTTGCTGGATAGTCTGCGGGTCTCCTTCTACCTTCACATATACCACGAGAACCAGCAGGCGGGCGGGATCAAGAGCCTGCTCTACCTACGGGAGGCCATCACTAAGGCGCAGATTCTTCGGATAGACCGCGAGGCGACGTACGCGCAGCATCCAGAGCCGAAGCAGCAGTTGCTGAGACGCGTGCTCTGGCTGCTTTTTGTGACTGAGAGGTATGTCTATTGACATGTTCGACGGACTAGGTACACTGACAAGCACAAAGAGGCGTCGCTATGCTGCACAAGCTGCCCGTCGTCCTGCGTCCCAACATTCTCCGGCCCAATGTCCTGCTGCCCTGCTTCGCAGAGCACTCTGAGACCTCGGCGCCCGTCCTCCCCGCCTTTCTCAAGCTCGTCCACCTATTCTGGACATTCGACCAGTCCGGCATCTTTGAACTCCTGCGCAACGCCGACGCGGACGTCTCGTCCATGGAGTCCCTGGCACGCGGGTGTCTAGAGTTACTACAGCAAAAGCTCACAGAGGAGCAGGACGAGGCGACGAGCGGGAACGATGTGCAGAGGGCCGACATGCTCGTCACACGACAATGGATGCGCGCTGTGCTCTGGCGCGCTGCGTTGCGGTTTGGTGTCGTGGCCCCCGGTCTCCTGAATCCCATTGACGTGGCGAGCGAGTTTCTGGGCCTGGTGAGTGCCCTCCCCATGAGCGCGCTGGAGAGCCAGGGTCCGACCCTCGAGTTCAAGACCTACGAGATCGCTACAGCGGTGGTGGATGCTGTAGCGGACAGCCGGCTGTCCTTTACGTTTTCCTCGTCCCTGGATCGACCCAAGGACGTTCTGGCTGGTCTACACGCCATCCTGTCATCGTCACGAGGTGGCAACAAGACATTGATCAATCTGCTGAACGCGCGGATGGCGGCGTGCTGTCCTGACTTGAAGCTCTTCCAGAACCCGAGCCCGCCCCGTCTGATGGGTCAGGACGCTTGGGATTTTCTCGAGGGGCAGGGCATGACCAGTGGCTTTGAGGGTGAGGAGTTGGCGTGGCCGCCGCTGGATCTTGGGAATCTGCTCAGGAGCCCGAGTCCCTTGACAAGGATGCTCTTGGAGCAGCCGCGGGCGATGTAGACGTTGGTCAAGGTGGGTGGATCGCCACGCACCCACTGTCCTTTGCTGCTCCTCGTGGTTTTGAGCCAGATCTGTTCATTTTGAACCCTTTTGTCAACACAATTGACCTTGTTGAGTCTCACTTATCCAAGACCTATCCCATTGAGATTCGATCACTTCATCTCCTCAAGAAATGCCTCTCCTCATCGGCCCGAGGCCGCATCTCGGTGAGTGACACATTCGGCGATCGGAAACCTCCAAAAGTACTCCGTACCCCGCCCACTATGCTCCCCGCATCTTGGAAGTCGGAGGCGCGAGGGCCAGGACAGGAGAACCAGGACATCCCCCACCACCAAGCAGGGTCCGTCCGAGAATTCCTCCGGCGGAGAATCCAGAAAGTGGCCTCCGGTCTCCAATTGCGATGGGTTTATTTCGCGTGCCGTGGATTGCCATAAAATTGTTCTTCTGTCATTGTTGAACCTGGCCTCTTCACTTCCCTCTGACATTCTCTCTACTTGACCCTCCAAGCCTCCCCGAATCTTGACTCTTCAGTCTTCCCCCTTCACCCCTTTCCACTGCCCTCCCACAGCCTCACAATGGCCTTCCCCGAGCCCCGCAACACGGGCATGCTGTACCGCCCTCTAGGCAAGTCCGGTCTCTACGTGTCCGCCATCTCGCTCGGCGGGTGGATGACCTACGGCGGCTACGCAGCGGACGAGACCGCCTTTGACTGCATGAAGAAGGCGTACGACCTGGGCATCAACTTTTTCGACAATGCCGAGAACTACGCGGCCGGCCAGAGCGAGATTGTCATGGGCAAGGCCATCAAGCACTTTGGCTGGAAGCGCAGCGACCTAGTCATCAGCACAAGTGAGTGTCTTTGTCTGGGGGGTTATGATTCTCACAACTAATTCTTGCAGAGGTCAACTGGGGCGCCGTGAATGGTGAGATCCTCATCAACAACCACGGCCTCTCGCGCAAACACATCATCGAGGGCCTCACATCCTCCCTCGAGCGCCTGCAGCTCCCCTACGTCGACATTGTCTACGCGCACCGCCCCGACCGCCTCGTACCCATGGAGGAGACGGTGCGCGCATTCAACTACGTCATCAACGCAGGCATGGCCTTCTACTGGGGCACGAGCGAGTGGTCGGCCGACGAGATCCAGGAGGCGGTCGGCATCGCGAAGCAGCTGGGCCTCATCGCCCCGATCGTAGAGCAGCCGCAGTACAACATGCTCGTCAGAGACAAGGTGGAGGGCCAGTTCCAGCGGTTGTACAGCCGCATGGGTCTGGGGCTGACCACCTTTAGCCCCATCAAGATGGGTGTGCTGTCGGGCAAGTACAATGACGTGGTGGACGGCCAGCCGCCCAAGGATTCGCGCTTTGGTGCCTCGTCGGAGCGTTTCGCGGCCATGATGCGGGAGCGCATGGGGAGTGCGACGGACGACTCATGGAAGAGGGAGATTGAGATTGTCAAGAAGCTCAAGCCCATTGCTGACAAGCTGGGCGTCACGCAGAGCCAGCTGGCGCTGGCGTGGTGTCTCAAGAACCCCAACGTCAGCAGCGTCATTACCGGCGCGAGCAGACCGGAGCAGCTGGAGGAGAATGTCAAGGCGCTCACGGTGCTGGACAAGCTGACGCCCGAGGTGATGGAGGAGATTGATGTGATTACAGGGAACAAGGTCACTCTGGACCCTGCGCGACAGGACTAATGAGGGGTGGCTAGGACGCCAGAATTGAATATATAAACCATAATAGAGACTTTGTATCTTCTCTGCGTGTCTTGCACGCTTTCACGGATTCTCCGTCGCCTGATTCTCCAGCCGAAGCTTCTGTCTGTGCTCCGCTTGTCGCTGCGCATCGGCGGCCAGGCTGCGCGACGTGCGTGCCCCGGTACCGAGAACACGGTCTCTTGTATCGGTGCTCATTGTCTGCTCAGAGGGTTCGGAGGGCGAGGGGTAAGTCGTGGCAGCGCGCGCCTCGAGGTTCCTGTGAAGGTCCAGCAGGCCTTGGGCGTTACCTGCGACATTAGTCAACGGGGCGAGCGCAAATGTATCGTGAGCGTAAGACGTACAAGCTGCGTCTTTGGGAACAGGCCCCTCGCCAGAACGGTTGCCATGGTGCTGTGATTGCCCAGTCTTGTGGGAGCCTGGGGGCGTTCCCATGTTGGGGGGCAGGTATTGGCAAGTGGAAGGCGAGAGCTTTGGTGAAAGATACCGGCTTTCAAGGCTCGTCAAATGTCTTGAGCCGGGTCCAGGAGTGCTTTTGTGCGCTCAGAGAGTGATTAGGCTCTCCTTTTCCTTCCTGAGAAGAATGCTCGAGCTGAGAGTTCTCCTCGTCTGAAGATGATGAGGGATGGCAACTTGGAAGGTGTGACAAAGGGGGGTGTTGCCTGAAAATCGCCTCTTTCTCTGAGATGCACATTCTTACTTCATGTGGCAGTTTACTGCTATTGAGGAAGGTACTTCGAGTGGTCGAAGAATTAAACCAGAAGACGTCTACCATGCGGAAGCGTGTTCCTCTCGGCGCGCCTATTCTTCACCTTATGTATCTTGGCGTGTCTTTCCACAATACCTCACCCATGAGGAACTAGGCCTCGCAGATCGTCTTCCTTCATCATCTTCTCCTCACTATCATTCCAATCATGTCTCACTATCTCCTGGACCAGAACATCTGTATCTGCACTTGTCCAGCGCTTCGTCCTTCACATGCGTCTAGCGGCTCCAAGTGTAGGATCCCCTCACGATCAGCTTAGGACCGCCCCTCTATCCTGCTTCATAGAGTTTGAGCACCCGATCTTGAAATAATGAGCTCGAACATCGTGGTATTGCAGTCCTTGCCGGCGCACCTGGTCCTCTCCTCACCTCCCAGCCCGGGCTTGGGCTACCCTAGATCCGCACTTATCTCACAGTCTACCTCAACTCACGAGCACAGAGTATCTGAAGCGCCAAAGGCGAACTTCCCTGGGCGTTACTTGTAATATCTCGATACAAGGTCCATACTGGACCATTATCCCAAGCCACGAGTGTTCGACCAGCTGTACTTGGTCAGCTTCAATCTGTCGTCACTTCACATCCAAATCCAGCCAGACCTTTGCGGGTCCGCCCAGTGGAGCCACATTCTTCCCCAACTCTGATCAATTTTCTGGGGGAGGGGAAACCCGGTCGCACGTTTTTGTCCCATTCAATGTTCCCTGCCGGCAATGCATCACCATCCTTGAGTCGCCCGACGACAATGGACCGAGTCTCTGTGGCAGGGTGGTCAGCCGCCGGTAACACATCGACGAACAATGAGGCGTCCTCAACGACGCGTTCTGTCTCTGGCGCAGGACGGCGCTACGTGCGCTCGCGCGAGGGCTGCGTGACCTGCAAGTGAGTCTCCCTCCCTTTGTCTCTCCAGTGCGCGCTGCTCATCACACCACCAGACGCCGCAAGGTCAAGTGCGACGAGCAGCGCCCGCGATGCTCTCACTGCGAGCGCCTCAACATGGAGTGCAAATGGCGACCGCAGACACGCCCCTCGACGCAGAGGCGCCCATCCCAGCCCCCGACGCAGTCTCCCATGACGGATGTGTCCCCCGGAGGCCCCGGGTCGGCGGGCCAGCAGGCGCCGCATGCGGTGGACGAGGTGTTTGACTACGCGAGCTTCATGTGGGAGGGCGGCGACTTTTGGCAGCAGGTCAGCCCCGAGATGGGGTCCAACGTCGGGTTGAACACGCACATTATGGGCACGGACGCGCAGCTGCGCTTCCCCAACATGGTGGCCCCGGCGCCTGTCACGTACGGCACGCCTGCGATGCGGAGCAATGGCAGTGCTGCAGATAAACCTGTCGTGAATCTTACGGGCGACAAGTTGATGGAGTTTTTCGCAACGTCGGCGAATCCGCCCATCTTGGAGGAGGTCGAGACGCAGAAAAAGTGGGTGCTCATGCGACAGACGGTAGTGGACATGGCCAAGCACTCGCGCATGCTGCACTGCGCCATCCTCGCCTTCTCGGCGATACTGGTTGGGCGGCGGGATCGCTCGCTGGTGGTGAGCGAGGAGAATCACTACGAATCGGCGGTGGCACGGGTGGTCGAGTACGACCAACAATCACTGGTGGAGCACAGCAGCGAAAGGGAGTGTCTGCTGGCGGCCCTGTTCTTCCTGGCCTACGTGGACATTCTCGAGATGAAGCTGGACGCTGGTCACTCGCATCTGCAGCGGGCCTACAAGATCTTTCAGCGGTGCGACAAGAAGAGCTTTGGCGCGCTGGAGAAGCAGATCCTGCTCTGGCTCCGGCTGCTCGACGGCAAAGCAGTGTCAGCAGGAGGGGACGGACTCTTCCTCTCCAAGGCTGATGAGCTCTTCCTGGTCGAGGCGTCGCCTGGTAGCTTTGACGGCGGCGACACGGACGACCTCTCCCGACAGGAGCCAGCCGAGGGCGACATTGAAGACGTCCTCTTCCAGGTCCTCTACCAGCCAGGCGTTGTCTTCTATCAAAAAGTGCAGAGCTTCATGGGGCGCATCTCCAAGATCGATCCGTGGCATCGCTCTCGAGGCACCGTCGAGGACGAAACAGAGGTCATGAACATTGGCGCCTCCATCGCGACCGACCTGCGTAATCTCTACGACCACCGCCCTCCCCTGATGGACTTTGCCGTGGCAGGCAAGCTACAGCAGCCGCACGTCTCGGCGCACCTCGCGTTTGTCATCACGCGCGCGTTCCGCACGTACCTGTCCAACTACTACGCCAGCAAGGTGCACCTGCACCGCGTCGCCTACAAGACGCTGCCCCTGACCAAGGAGGCCATTGACGCGCTGGACAATATTCGCAGGCTCGTCCGGCAGATGGTGAACGAGATGGACACGGAGGACTCGCTGCCGATCAACATGCTCTGGCCCTTGCTGATGCTCGGCGCGGAGGAGCAGGACATGGGCGAGCGCGCGTGGATCAAGGAGACCATCTTGCGGATGGAGAGGGTCGCAGGGAACGCCCGGATCACCGCGCAGGTTCTGGAAGAGGTGCAGGCGCGCCAGGACACGGCCAAGGCGCGGATGGACATTCGCTCCGTCATGCTGACCGTGTTCAACGCGTGTTTTGCGATCGTGTGACGAGGCTATTCTCTTACGTGCTGGATCCGCCGTGGAACGCTCGATTGTCGACTCGCGAGATGGCTCGTGATCTATTGGAGTCAGTCATACGATAATCGTCGCTCGCGTCGAGACTCGAGAGCCAAGACTGTGGGCGCCCCGCCGTGCGATGTTTGCCGATCGGCTTCTCCAACCTTGTGGACGCGAGCAATGGAGCATCCCCAAGATTCCCCGCATCCTTGCGTCGCGACAGAGGGGTCCGTCAACGCATGAATTTTGGACAAAAGGTGCAACTTTGACGATTTCTTCCCTCTGATTCATTTATCATTCTTGTCATCTTTACTTTGACTTCAAGAAAAACAAGACTATGGGTTCTGTACCAACCGCAAAGAAGGCCTATCCTCCTGGCATCCATGTGCCGTGCCTGACATGGTTCAAGAACGACGCGACACAGGAGCTGGACTGGGATCTCCAGAAGACGCATCTCGAGTTTCTCATCTCGTCAGGTCTTGATGGCAGTACGTTGTCTCCCTTCTGGTCTTCTTTCGTGCGCTAACTCATGCAGTCGTCATCGCTGGCACCAACGGCGAGGCAGTCACCCTGACCACCGACGAAAAGGCCCAGCTGCTGCGTACCACGCGCCAGATCGCCACCCAACTCGGACGGCCCAATGTCACAGTCACCATGGGTTGCACCGGCCAGTGCACGCGCGACGTGATCCGCGAGACGGTGGCGGCCAAGGAAGCGGGCGCGGACTACGCCTTGGTGCTGGTGCCGAGCTACTTCCACTTTGCGATGAACCAGGACGCCATTGTCGGGTTCTTCGAGGAGGTAAGCAGCCCCCGCTCATGAGACTTCCATAGATCAGCGAACTGACAGACCCCAGTTGGCCGACGCCAGCCCGATCCCCATCCTCATCTACAACTTCCCCAACGTGGTGGCCGGTCTCGACGTCAACAGCGAGATGCTCGACACACTGGCGCGCCACCCCAACATTGTCGGCGTCAAGCTCACATGCGGCGGCATTGCCAAGGTCGCGCGCGTCGCCGCGTCGCACCGCCCGGAGGACTTCTCCGCCCTCGCTGGGCAGAGTGACTGGCTCGTCCCCGCGCTGTCGGTCGGTGGCACGGGCGTCATCACGGGCGTGGCCAACCTGTATCCCAAGGCGTGCCTGCAGATCTACGACCTGTGGAAGAAGGGGGATCTTCAGGGCGCGCAGGCGGCGCAGCTGGAGCTGGCCAAGGCGGAATGGGGATTTGGCAAGGGTGGCATCAATGGGACCAAGTGGGTGGTGGCCAAGATTAGGGGGTATAACCTCGAGAGCGCGCACTGCCGGCGGCCGTATCCCACGTTTGACGATGCTGGCAAGCAGGAATGGATATTGGATGTGGTGGGCCAGCTGGGCAAGGTTGAGCAGAGTCTGGCCAAGAGAGAGTCCTAGACCGATTTAGACAGCATGAGAATAATGACATGTACAGCGTTGTCCACATCATTGCTCAGTATCATCTATGTACATGCTCAGTGATATGCTACATGGGCCCCCTCGTGTCACGAATAAACGCTCAATCTGTCGACTCAAATTGCATCTCGATGGTCATATTCTCTCAATCAAGTGCTTGACATCAATTCGAGAACTTCTTCTAGTGTCCCACCCGCTTGAGCCTCACCCTCACCCTCCTAGTCGGCCACTACCCACATTGAGGAAGAAGCCGAAGAACCCGCCAATCGCCAGCGCGCATCGCGACCAAGACATTCCCGTCGTCGGCTCGCCTGTCGGATACCGAACACGGCAGACAGACGGACACACTCACAGGTGACTGACTCGCTCTCCGTACAGAGATCGTGAATCGCCCCCAGAAATGCCGCTCCCACGTTGTCGGGAACGACGCACGCCTGCAGACGACTGCGAACTTGGCGTCGGCTTCGCATGAGGCTTCTGCTCGGGTGACTCCTCGTCGCTCGAAACCCCAGATTTTCTCCGCCTACCACGCTGCCCGTTCTGGAGACTCGACGCTTCCACGCGACGTCGCGGGGGGACGAGCGTGACGACCAGTGCTTTTGCGGGGGAAACGCTGCAACTTAAATATCCCACGGGGCCTCGCGTTGACTCGGATTGAGTATCTGACACTGCCATCATTGTCCATCGCGCTCGATACCTGCAGCACCTGATCGACTCCTACTCGGACAGACAGACGACAGACAGACAGACAGACACCATGACGTTCAAGGCTGTGGAAGATCGGCCGACGCCCAAGGAGGTGTACAATGTGCGCCTGTACTTTGAGGCGGCAGTCATTGCCATGGGCTCGTTGCTGTGAGTCCAATCCATCTCTGCGCTGACTGTAAAATCCACTGACAGGTAATCAGCTTTGGTTACGACTCTGCGTTCATCGGCACCACCATTGCACGCAAGTCCTTTGTGCGCGACTTCAACATCCACGAATCCGAGGCCAAGAGCATCTCCAGCAACATCACCGCCTCCTTCCAAGCGGGCGCCTTTTTCGGTGCCATCTTCTGCTTCCTGGGTAGGTCTATATCTCAAGGACGCCTCAGTGCAAGCTAACATCAGAACCCAGTCACCGAGAAAATTGGCCGCAAATGGGCCCTCATGATCTCCAACGCCATCTTCCTCGTGGGCGCTATCATCATGACCGCCGCGACACACCAGCTCTCGTACATCTGTGAGTCCATTCCCTCTGTCCCTGACACCCTAGCTCACCAAGCAGACGCCGGTCGTATCCTCACCGGCCTGGCCTGCGGCGCCATCACCGCCACCGTCCCCTCCTACATCGCCGAGCTCAGCATCAGCTCCATCCGCGGCATCCTCACCGGTCTCTTCGAGGTCACCTACCAGTCCGGCTCCCTCATCGGCTTCTGGATCAACTACGGCATCAACCAGAACATGGACCCCACCAGCACCACCACCTGGCGCGTACCCATGGCCGTCCAGATCATCCCCAGCGGCCTGCTCCTCGCCACCGGCTGGCTCCTCCACGAGAGCCCGCTGTGGCTGTTCAGGAAGCAGCGCGATGAGGAGGCCTTCAAGGCCCTCGAGCAGCTGAGGCGCCTGGATCGCAACCACACCTACCTCCAGGAGGAGGTCCAGAGCATCCGCTCGAGATTGGCTGATGAGAGTGCCCTCGCCGCCAAGTATGGTGACGGCGCGTGGGCCTTCTTCCGTGGTGCGCTCTTCGAGCTGTCGAGGAAGGGCATGTGGAACCGCGTGGTCCTGGTATTCATCTCCTTTGGCCTCCAGAACATGTCCGGTGCTGCTGGTGAGTACTTGGCTGCTTGACACCGTGAATCGATGCTAACAAACACTACCAGCCATCAACTACTACTCGCCCGCCCTTTTTGGCTCCCTCGGCATCACCGACGTCGCCCTCTACACGGGTATCTACGGCCTCGTCAAGGCCGTCGCCTCCATCCTCTTCTACGGTGTTCTCATTGATGTCTGGGGCCGCCGCAACCCGACCATCATCTCCTCCCTCGCGTGCTCGCTCTGTCTCTGGTTCGTCGGTGCTTACGTCAAGGTTGGCCATCCCGCCGACGTGATCGCGGCCGGCAACGAGCTCTCACCCTCGACAGCGGCTGGTGGCAAGGCGGCCACGGCCATGATCATGATCTACAGTGTTTTCTGGAGTTTCGGTCTCAACGGTATTCCCTGGATTGTCTCGGCCGAGATCTTCCCCGGTGCCGTGCGCAATTTGACCGGCACCTTCGCGGCCATGTCGCAATGGTACGTTCTCTTCCATCTCGCTGCGCAGACAGTGGTACTGACTGGAACAGGCTCGCGCAGTTTGTAATTACCAAGGCGTTGCCGTACATGTTCGCCTCCTTTGGCTACGGCGTGTGGTTCTTCTTTGCGTGCTTTATGCTCATCGCTGCGGTGTGGGCATTTGTCTTCCTGCCCGAGACAAAGGGCAAGACGCTCGAGGACTTTGATGTCATCTTGTAAGTGCCTATGCATCAAAGATGTGGAATACTTCAGACTAACAGCAACAGTGGCTATGTGCACGATCGTTCGTATGGACACAACGATGTCAAGAAGCTCAACGCAGATGGGAAGACCGACGTGGTCGAGCATGAGGAGGAGCAGAAGCCTCTGTAAACCATTTTCCTCGCCAGGAATTGTACGCTAGTAGTAATTGCAATGGATCACATTGACAGGAGATTGTCTTTGCTCAGAACGTATTTGAGTATCGGTCGCATCTCACGAACCCAATTGTTCACGCGTGTTCACCATTAAGTTACACCCACGGGCGCTGGCATTGTCCTCGACTTCACAAAACACCGGACAAAGTCACGTCCTGTAACCAGACAATGCAATCTTCAATCGGAGTCGGTGAGCACGGACACTTTTGGCCTATCGCAGGCAATGGTACCCTAGGCTTCGTCGAGGTCAAGACAAAGGCATTATTTACAAGGGCAGGAGACGAGCCAGTTCTCATGTCGCCGTCTTCGACCTTGAAAGATTCCGAAAGGCGCTTTCATGTCAATGGCCCGAGTGTCAATGGACTACCTTGTCGCGCAACTCGACTCTTGTTCGAAACAAGAACACCTTTCACGAAACATGATCTCGACCACGAACAGCAATGTCTTCATTGTCAGGAATGAAGCCACAATAGACGACTGATGAAGCTTGCACTGGCGGACAGTCTACATAAAGCCAACATCGACGCCAGATGTCTCTATCGTTGATTTAATTGCGACAGACCTGAACCTCGACAATCAACTCGATAACAACTTTCAACTAACCAAACAGACGCAAAACTAACAAAAATGCCACCCAGCAACACTCCCCGTCGGCTGTCCAGGAGACAGCCACCGCTGAAGCAGCCGCCCCAGGCACAGGGCAGCAACAACTCGGACGATACGAACGAGGAATTGACAAATTCCCCTTCCTACATCCGATCTCAAAAGATCAAGGAAAAGAAAGCAAAGGAAGAGGCAGGCCACAAGACCGCCAGGGCTCAGGCAGCCTCCACCGAAGCCAGGGCCAGCAGGACGCAGGTCACGAGGCTGGGGGAGCCTGTCCGAAGATCCGGTCGACTGCAAGCCAAGAGCCAAAGTTCTGCTACTACGAAGCCATCTCAGCCAGCGGAAGCTGGTGAGGACAGTGCGTCTGGCAAGCGAGCCGCGCCTGCGAGTGACGAGCAGCCAGCTGCGAAACGGCAGAAGGCCACAGCTGGTCCGAGCCAGGAGGGCGCATCCTCCAGCACGTCTGGGGCCCAGCGTCATCAGGGCGCAGCTGCATCTTCGTCAAGGCCAGTAAGGACATTTAGCGGCAACTATCAGCCTATTATGGCTGCTGATCCCTCCGATCGACCGCGCGCTGGTGCTACGGCCACAGGTCGACTGCAACCTCGTCCCAAGAAGGAACGTAAAGTCAAGTCAGCCGGTGATCGAGAGGAGTTCAGAAGAAGGGTCGGGGGCATGGAAAATGCCAACGCTACTGCAGGTCCAAGCAACACGAACGTGAGCGACGATCCCTTTATAACGCCTCAACAGGCCACAGCTGGGCCTAGCAACCGCGCCCCTGACAACAATCCGAGCTACAACAACCCTCCTCCCTTTTGGCATGGGAATCATCCCGAGGGGGCTGCACCTCTCCCTGATCCCAGGAACCTGAGATACGCCGCCCCGGGCAATCGGACCACAACTGGACCTTATGTTCCAGCAGTCAACCCAACCGCACAGGCCCCAGAGGCTGGCCTTGCGAATCCCCTATATTATCCTGAATGGCTCGAGCAAGGTTACCAGGGCGCCGCTGCCCCTGGGCTGCAAGACTACGGCTCAAATGATTATAATCCTGGCTATCAGGTGCCGCCGCATCCCCCAGCCCCAACTTTCCCCAATGATGCAGCCCCTAATCCAACGCACGACCGGCATGCATCCTACATCCCTGGTAGATCTCCTCCTCCTCTTGATAACCCTGATGTTCCTGCTATGCCTGATCCTCATGGTATCCCCCCACCTCCTGGTATCCCTCAGGCGGGCATGTATCCGGCGGTCCAGAATGTACCAGGGGCGCTTGTCCCCTGGCCGCATGGGCCTCCGGCTGCCGAGAATGCTCAGTGGACAGGCGACGCATCGCAGCCGGCCCAGCAGAACTTCCAGGGGATGAATTATGATGCTGCCACGGTTAACCCACAGGCCTTGCATCTACATCAGCCAATTCATGACCCGTTTTGTGACCCGTTTCACGCCCCGCCGATACAGCAGCAGCAGCAGCAGCAGCAGCAACAGCCTGAGGAAGAAGAGACTCAGGAGCAGCAGCCAGATGACGAGGGCATCGATGTTCCGTACTTTCCCCAATTTGACCCTTACATCTGGGCTTCTCGAACCAATGGGGACGACATGAACTCTGCGTTTGCTAACGATCCAACCCTTCGTGCCATGGTTGACCCTGATGCCCGACCGCGAGTCGACGACAGCAAGACAAGCCCAGCCCATTGTCCGAGTAGGACATTCAAGCTCCTGGGCGTAAACAATGCTAATAGGGACGGAAATGAAGCGTCGCTCACCATCCGCGATCCGCTGAACCCCGGTTTGCCCCCGGCCCCTGAGCTCCCAACACCTCACGTGCCAGGTGGGTTTCTGTCCGAAAAGTACAACCAGAACCAAGAAGACGAACACCCCGAAGGCACAGTCATTGACCAAGACGAAGACAACCGGTTTACGCGCGCTGAGAAAAAGGAACTCGGCATGCTGTGGAAAGTGACGAAAACCATCAGGCCTACAAAGTATGCACATCCTGAGCTTGTCAAGAGGATCACGAGGAAACGCATCGACGAGAACAAGATCAAGCGCTGTTACTCCGGCCCTAGGACCAACAGCTCTGCCCTGGCTAGGCCAACCTTTCTACCTGACGACGAGGCGGACTTTGATGAGCCTGAGGATGATGTGGAACCCTATGATCCCACAAGTGTGAAGTACATATTCAAGCCTGCTCCAGTAGAGCCTGACAACCTCTTCGCTACGGTCCCCGGCCCATCCTCTGCATCAAATGCAAGCCAAGTGGCTGCAACCACCGGGGCCCAAGCATCCTCTTCTCATAGATACCTGCCCAGCAGGCGTCCTGAACCCGCACAAGCCGACGCCCGTCGCGCCGATCGACGAGGCAGGATTCCCCCACGATCCGTCCCATTGCCTCCCGCACGCCCTCTGCCCCCAGTGAACATGAACAATCGACAGCCCACTCAGCGGGAGGTTGATGAACATATTGATCGTCGTCGCCAGCGTCTCTACCGCGCGCGTGCCGATTGGTTGACTGCCCACCCGTTCGACATCCTCCCTCGTGTCTTCCGGGGCAACACCATGCCACTTGACACGTTTCACGGCCAGCGCACGGCCCATGTTCAATTTCGTGCTGAGCGGAATGTCGCGGGCTTCCCGCAGCGTATCTATCAGTCTGGTCCCTTGTGGACATGCAGAGATTATGACCCCTCTGGCTTCTCGCGGGCGCATTGCAACCAGCGTGATATTAGGGAGAGGGCGGGTGAACTCCAGGATGAGGAGTATGACATGACGGAGGAGGAGTTTCTGGCGTTTGTGCCTTGGCGGGAGTGGAAGTTTTGATAGATAGACGGTGATTTGGTGGGTTGTCTGTCACGGAGGTAAGTTTGCGTGTTGTTTGTACTTGAATTTTAGTTAGGAGCAAATGTTTGTCAGTTGATCGATCCATTGCTACGTGGAAAGTCCTTATCGTCCTAGTCCCCTCTTCGTAAGACCTTTCCAAGGAAGTCTCCGCAATCTGTAGGTATAGTCCGCGTCAACTTCAGGTGGAAATACGGCATTGACGTCTAGAAATTCAGAGTAGCCCTTGGTCCAGAAAGATCCTCGCTGCACCACTCCGGCCGACTCTTTTACGAGGTCCTCTTTCACCCGGAGGAAGCGACGCGCAAGTGCTGGATACGGCGTCTTGCCAGCGTCGCCGTTGGTATTTCTCCAGAGGAATAACGCCCCCTTACTTTCCCAGTCGGTCAGGGCCCAATAGAGGGCGCTGCCATCGGTAATGTTGGTGTAGGTATTTGCGTTACTACCTATGAGCAGCTGGATGATCTCTGGGTGTGCGTGGCCCAGACAGGCCCATAGCAGCGGCGTCATGCCAGTGTAGGCTGTTGCCTCCAGAGATGCACCAGCTGAAATCAGTGCGAGGCTTATCTTGTATGCCTCGTCGTAGTTAGCCAGAAGTACCGCGTCGTGTAGGATCGTGCGCTGCGAGCCGCGTGGTCTGATGTTCGGGTCCGCGTTATGTTCGAGGAGTGTCGAGACCATAGAGAGTGCCATGCGATTAGGCATCGAGAAGGCTTGCACTAGTGGTCTCCGGTCGATTCCGGATACTTTACGCATGCTTAGATCCGACCTCATGGGTGCGTCCAAGTCGGCTCCAAAGAAGCACGCCTATCGCAGCAAGTCAGGCGAACGTTTTCTAAAGGCTAATTTAAGTAAAGTGCTGGCTTCGACGCCGCGCACCTCTTCCATTGAATATCCCTCCTCGAAAGCATCCACGTTATTATTTTCATCGTAGACAATATTGTGCTTCCGAAGCTGTTCATGCAGCTGGTCCCGATGGGCAGACGACGTTAAGTCCAGGACACGCCTGAGCAGCCATTGCTGACCCTGACTATACTTTCCGACATTCAGATGAGCAAATGGCATAATGGCCTCGGCATCTTCATGCAGGCCATCGTGGAGGCCCAGCTCGGCAAAAAGGCGCACGATGCTGGCACGTCCATACTTGAGAGCGCTCCACAACGGTCCATGCGGTTGCGATCCTCTTGGTTGCCATTGCGCGCCCCTGGAGAGGAGGAACTTGATAACGTCCTCGTGACCGTGTCTGACTGCCTGCCACAGCGCTGTGACCTTGTACCTCTGGCGCTGGTAGCCGGGGCTGAAGAAATCGCCACAGTTGAGGTCGTCGCCCCTGTCCGCGATGAGCTTGACGATGTGTAGGTGACCGCGCGCGGCTGCTTGGAGCAAAGGGTACGGGCTGGCCAAGTCCGGCGCGACATGCACCGTGTCATTCTTGAATGTGTAGCCCTCGTACAGCAGCAGTTCTGCGACTCGGATTGAGTTCCTCGCAATGGCTTTGCTGAGCGCAGACTTGGAAGCAGCGCTGCCCGCGATCGGGGCGTCCGGATGGCACTTGCGCCACTGGAGGATGATCTCGGGCTGGTCTGTCTCGGCCGCATGCTCCCACGGTCGGAGGCAGTGGTCGCAGTCTGAGAAGAAGCCGTAGATCAGGGGCGTAAGGAATGAGTAAAAACGCCTGGAGATGAGGGCGAGGTTCTGTAGATGCCAGACCCGGCAGAAGCCGCCGTAGCCCAAGTTGCTCGGCAAGCGCCATTTGTCCGACGCGCCAATGTATCCATCGCCTACCAGGGTGTCGAGGAGACTGTCGTGCTCGTTGATCCAGGGCTCTGGCGGGGGATCGTATGCGTACGCGACGATCTTGTGTAGCAGCTCATTTGGCAGCGTCTCCAGCGACGGTGCGGATGACATCAAGGCACAAGGCGTCCTTGACGCTGGATCATGGTCTGATGCCGCGAGAGGGGGTCATGAAAAGTGGGTGGCGACAGCACTGCTGGGGGAGATGATTGGCGACATAAATATACCCTGGCCAGGTGCTGCAGGGTAGGCGTTCTCGCGCTAACGGAGATGGTGAATGGCAACGCATGGCCTGCTTTGATGTGCCCACGTCTTCGAGGCCAGTCACAATTGTAGGGTTTCCTCCAAGGTTAGCTGAAGTAACGCAGGACATTCTCTCGGCGGAACAGCAACGTGCTGTCTGCAGTGCGAAGTTGATATGGAATGGACGGTCAGCGTCTAGTGCCGTGACTACCCTGTAGCCTCGAGCTTGCCCGTGAACAGCTCGGCCGTAGTACTTCGTGGAAGGTTGCAGGCTAATTAAATAGAAGAGGGAGATCAGTCACTTCGAATTCTGAATTTGCTTTTGTATCAATTACGACAAGAGGTGGTGAGATCGAAACATGAACACAGCGACGTCCACATAGTATCCTTGGACACTCGATGTGATGAGATGAAGCGTGGAACAAACTCTAAGGGAGAAAACTAAGGTGGAATAAATCATATTATAAGTGCAATGCGCATTTTGGATCTTCTATCCTCAAAGTTCCACTCGTTTCGACCACCTGGCATGGCAGACTAGACGTAGAAGCCGCAGGGAAGTCCATCGTAAGCTTGTACATTGTGGCTGGGCGCCTTGGCCTTCTCAAACATAGAATTCTTAGCCAGGACAAGTCGCCCCAGAAATCTAGCCAATTGCGCATGTTGAAGCAAAGCTGATTCAATCCCACTGGGATGCTTGTATCTCCTGAGTAGGCCAACCAACTCGAAAACAAGAAGCATCTCGCCGACCTCGGAGGGACATCAATCGCGATACAATTGAAGCCCACCGCCACATGCCAGATGCCTCAATGAGCCAGCCTTCCGAACAAAGGGCCCTTGTATCTCGCCAATCTCACTTGGCGCCTCTGACGGCTCTAACGGCTCCTTACCGAAAAAGGCATGTCGAAAGACGCAGAATCCAAGGCCAACGACGAATCTCGCGCTGATTCGCCACTTGACCTCTTCTCGTCGGAGACCTCCGCGTACATGAACTCTGTGTATCAGCGACCCAAGCGTGGGAACAATCGGCAGGTCCTTTTGCCTCCAAGAGCTCTCTCCACCGTGACAGAACGGCCATGAGACCACGTGCTCTGACGACAGAGACAGAGACACAAGTCGCCAAGCAACACGAATCCTCATGGAGAGACAAGTGTGTCATATTTTCGCGTCCATTGGGGGCAAGCACGCGTAAACCCAAAGGCGAGCCCAGAAGGTTGACCAAAGAACGCGGCGCCATCTTTATCCTTTAGAGTTAAAACCTACTTGACTAGCCAATCGCCTTCCCCACGTTCATATCGGACCCCTGCCACTTAGGGACGTTAGTTCGTCAGCTATCAGGGTACCTGTCGAGTGACCTACTTGGCAAAGGCATCGTGGGCAGATAAGAAGCGGACGGCGCCGCGCTTCTGTTTGTCTGCCCTCTTGCTCGCGCTGCTCCGTGGTCTCGAAGAACTAGATTGACCTGACACTCGTCGCGTCTCCTCATCACCATGAAGTCGTCGATTGCTCTTGCGCTCAGCGCCTTCGCTGGCTCGGCCCTCGCTGACGATGTCCTCTTCAGCAAGCGCCACAGTGACATGAAGCGCCAGGTGAACGACCAGGGCCAATGGAACGTTTGTGCGTGCAATGGGCTTTGCAACTTTTAAATAAATGCGGTGCTAACCAGAGGCAGCCTTCTTCCACGTCAACGACGTCCACGCCCACCTGGACGAGTTCTCCTCGTCCGGCACCGACTGCACCGAGCCTGAGGAGGGCTGCTATGGCGGTTACGCGCGCATCAAGACCAAGGTCACCGAGCTCAAGGAGGAGCACCCCGAGAACCTGTGGCTCAATGCAGGCGACGAGTTCCAGGGTACCCTCTTCTACTCCTTCTACGGGCCCGAGAAGATTGCCGAGACGGTCAACGACCTGGGCTTCGACCTCATGACCCTGGGCAACCACGAGTGGGACGGCGGCGACGACGAGCTGGGTCAGTTCCTCGAGAACATCACCTTCCCCGCCGTCTCCTGCAACGTCAAGAGCGAGAATGAGCTGCTCAAGAAGTACATCAAGCCCTACCACATCTTTGAGGACAAGAACCTAGCCATCATTGGCGCCACCACCGAGGACACGCCCGACATTGCCAACGTGGGCGACGAGACCGAGTTTGTCGACCCCATCAAGGAGATCCAAAAGTACGTCGACGAGATTCGCGACGAGTACCCCGACGTCAAGTACATTGTCGCCCTCACCCACCTCGGCTACGAGGTCGACCAGGAGCTCGCCAAGGAGACAGAGGGCCTGTCGCTCATCATTGGCGGCCACTCGCACACCCTCCTCGGCGACATGGAGGACGCCGAGGGCGACTACCCGACCATTGTCGAGAACAAGAACGGCGACGAGGTCTTCATCGTCACTTCGTACCGCTGGGGCGAGTACATGGGTGAGATCAACGTCCTGTACGACGAGGAAGGATATATTATGGAGTACCACGGCGCGCCCATTCACCTCACCAACACCACCAAGCAGGAGTCGGAGCTGCAGGACCAGGTCGACGCCTGGCGCGGCCCCTTTGAGGAGTTCGCCGCCGAGGTTCTGGGCGAGACTGAAAACGAGCTCGTCCAGGAGACCTGCCAGGACGGCGACTGCCTGCTAGGCCAGGTCATGGCCGACGCCATGCTCGAGTACCGCCAGAACCAGACGGACAGCGAGCCTCCTCACTTTGCCCTCATCAACGCCGGTGGCATCCGCGCCACCATTGACGAGGGTGACATTACCCGCGGCGAGGTCCTCACCTCTTTCCCCTTTGGCAACACCATTGTCGAGTTGAACTACACCGGCGAGGAGGTCCGCAACATCCTCGAGGGCCTCGTCTCAGGTGAGAACCCAGAGACAGGCGACGAGGTCACCTCGTGGTTCCAGGTCTCCAAGGGCATCAAGGTCACGTACAACCCAGACAACGACGTCGGTTCGCGCCTCGTCAGCGTTGAGGTGGACGGTGAGAAGCTCGATGATGAGGAGGAGTACCGCGTCGTCACGCTTGACTTCCTCGCGGGCGGCGGTGACTCCATCTTCCCGCCCGAGTCGGAGTTTGCCACGCTCGACACGCAGGATGAGGTCCTCGTGCAGTACATTGAGGCCCACACGCCTCTGGACAATGAGCTCGAGGAGCGTGTTGTCAAGACGGACAAACAGGCGGAGGACGGCAGCGATGATGGCTCTGACAGTGGCAGTGACGGTGACTCTGACAAGGAGGAGGGCAGCGACGGAAACCAGGATGAGGAGAAGGACAGCAACTCGGAGGGTGGCGATGGCGGGAACGCTGCTGGTATTCTTAGCGTGTCTAGCTGGACTGTCCTGGCTGTTGGTGGTGCTGCCCTGCTTGCTCTGTAAGCTGTGTTGGCGGCAGATCTTGATGGGAGATGGACATAGAGTATATGATAAAATACGACATATTTGCACATCTGTCAATTGCGAGATCGCAACTTTGGGACAGTCATTCACGTGAGCGCCACCATACAGTGACTTCCTCAAGAGACAATTGAAGAGTAGTTGGTACCAGGTATATTCAGCGACAATACATATAGTTTCGTATATATATATATCCCTCACAAAACGAAGACATGGCCACACAGACCCTAAAGGCTGCCTGCCAGTGACCAATTAGTACGTGTAGCGGAAAGACGACGAAGCATCCTCCTATGAGCAGGTTAGTATCACTTCGCAACGGCATGCAGGGAGAGCTCACATCATGGGCCTCGAGGATCTTGCCCTCACGGTCCGCCTTGCCATTCTGCCTCCAGAAGGCCAAGTCACAGATGCACACGAGAACAATGTTGAGAAGCGCGGCCGTGATGCACGCGTACATGCCGGGCTTGTAGCCCGTCAGCTTGTCCTGCTCACGGAACACCAAGCTACCGGCGATGCCACCAATACCACCGAACCCAACAAGCGTGGCGCTGCAAAAGGCGCGCTTCCACTGGCCGCGCACATTGTTGGCCTGGAAGGACATAACGGCGGGGATGTTGGAGTTGGCGCCCGCGGTGACGAGGAAGACGCCAAAGTAGCGCACGTTGGCGTTGGAGTGCCACCCCATGATGGGCAGCCCGATGAGCGCGAGGACCATGTTGACAATGATAATGGGCCCGCGCACGCGGTACTTGTCGCCCAGCCAGCCGGTCAGGAGCATGACGAAGCCGGCAAAGGCGTAGGGGGGCGCGACGAGGCACTGCGCCTGGGCGACGTTGAAGCCCATGTTCTCAATGAGGATGATGGGCAGCGTGTACGCGAGCGCGTACGAGAGCGTGGTCGAGCAGCAGAAGATGAGGGCGTAGGCCCAGATCTTCCAGTCGGTGCCGGCGCGGAGGAACTTGCCCATGTTGAAGGCCTCGACCTTGGAGTCGCCGCGGTCCCGGGCGATGCGGGACACGACCCAGGCGCGCTCCCGGTCGCCCAGGAAGGACCAGTTCTTGCGGTTCGAGTCGGGGAAATCGACCAGCAGCCAGTACCCGGCGATACCGAGGCAGCAGGTGAGGATGCCCTCCATGGTGAAGATCCAGCGCCAGCCGGTGAGGTTGGCCAGGCCGTTCATTTGCATGAGCTAAAGCAGCGTGAGTTTGGTACTGGACAGAGAGCAGATAGAGGTACATACACCGTAGGCGAGGATGCCGGCAAAGGCAGACGCCACGCAGCCGAGCAGGTAGAAGAGGGAGTATCGCTTGCCGACCTCGTCTACGCAAAGTCAGTCAGTGTCTCGTCACTTCTCCTTAGCAACGCAGTCCTTACATCGGGTGTACCATGTGCTGAGCAGGTAGACGCAGCTGGGGAAGAAGCCGGCCTCGAGGACACCGAGCAGCACGCGCGTGCCCGCGAGCTGGCCAAAGTTCTGGACGAAGCCCATGCCGATCATGACGGCGCCCCAGAGGATAGTGATGATGGCGAGATGGATGCGGGGCCCGATGGCGCGGCAGATGATGGTCGACGGGGGCTGGCAGATGATGTACGGGATGAAGAAGAGCAAGTTGGCAATGTTCTGTAGGCTCTGTCAGCAACTTGCAAGAGGATATTCAGACAGAAAGGAAGACGGACGTAGTTGGCGCCAAGCTGCAGCTCGACACTCATGCCCGCAATGTTGGCGGCGCTCATGTTGGTGCGGTCCATGAGGGAGACACAGTACATGAGGCCGACGGTCACGACGAGGCGGCGGTCGACGCGGCGGATGATCTGCTTCTGCTCCTGCTCGGTGAGATCATGGTCATCGGGATGAATGTCGGAGCCGCTGCCGGCGACGGCCGAGTCGTCAATGTGACGGAGCTCAGGATCACCTGACTTCTCGTCGAGGTCGTGACTCCTGCGGTCCATGGTTCAGTAGCGGTAAGACGGTGTAACAGAAGTTGGATGTCGATGAGGCGTGGCGAGGCAAGGCAAGAAAAGGGGAGAAGAGTCGATGTCTCGAGAGCCAGGTAGGACAACAAGTATGCAGGGAAAGGAGGCGAACTATATGCTTTCAGGATGAAGGACGAGCTCCCTCTCAAACAGGGGTCCATCTCATTGTCAACCTAGGATACGCTGCCCAAGGATCCTCGCAGCATCGGAGGGCGGGGGTGTCTGTGTCGAACAGTATCTTGGCCCTCCCCAATCTTCACGCCACCTGCATCGTTGACCCCAAATCTGAGGAGGAGGAGGTATGCACCACATAGCTGCGATGTAGTTGGCGCCCTAGACTAGCCTCCAAGGCCCAGACTAGTGGATAAACAAAGTGGGAAAAGGGCCTGGCTGGGATCATCAGTATCAGCACAGGTGCCGGGCGAGGACGGTGGTCCGTGCATGGGATCTGAATCTCCCTGTATCTGCCGCCGCTCCTCCTGCCTCTTGCTGGAGATGATCTTTGTCCTGGCCTGGACAGGCAGGCCGTTGATAATCCGGCGCGCGCGAGACATCGTTCCTGTGGGCTCCTCTCTGCCCTGCTGCTGCCCAGCCCGATCAACCACCAGTGCAGGCAACTGAGGGTCTGCCCTCAACAACTGGAGGCACAGCAGCGGATCCGCAGACGATAATACCCCCGATTCTCCTCCGACTCCAGTAAAGTTTCGCGGGGTAATTAGCAGCCAGGCGGCAGACAAACAAGCTCAAGCTTCAGCAACAAGGTCGCTGAGTGGCGCCCTTCCGCGTCGCCTTGGCGGCCGGGCCAGATGCCTAATTGGGCATATAGTAGGAAAGCCAATAGGCCGCCCGTCGAGATGCATCTTGTCCAGTATCCACGCGCTCTGGCAGTTGGCATCGGCTTGCGTCGAGCTGGCGTCCACTGGACGATGATCGACGCCTCTGGGGAAGCAGCTCCGTGGATACACAAAGAGGGATTTCTTTGCTGCAGAAACCAGGAAGCACTGCTCAGTGATAAGGACTGACAGCATTGTACCTTGAGCATCAAGTGCCATCTGCCCCCTCGACGTCTTGAGCTGCCAAAGAGGCGTCCAGTGACTCCAACCCCCCTGTTCGAGACTCAAATCAACGACGACTCCAAGCTGCCACAGCCCGGCCTCACGCACCAAGAGCGGTAGTCGTGTGCGCGCCATTGTGGCCAGCGCCAGCGCCAGCGCCAGCTTGTCTCAGCATCTCCCTCCATCCCCGCATTCTTCCCCGCGCAATCCACCAGATCATGCGTGGGGATCGAAGCCATCAGCATCTTCTATTCGTGGCAGACCCGCCCCTAGTGAGAACCTTAATGCACACGCCTATCAGCCACACCGCATTGTATCGCAACACCTCGTCTGCGATACCGAGGCACGTTTTGCCATGTTGCGCACCCAAATGTCCAAGACAGCCTTGTCTGGGGGGCAAACACCTCGGATCTCCCAAAGCCAAGAGGCCCAAGCAATTGGAATGCCATGCATCACGCCGTCAACCTGGACACGCGACTGGCTGGACGCACAGAGTCTAGACCATCATTGCGCGTCAGGCCACACCCGTCACCACGATCGGCCGTGCATGATGCCTCGGCTCACTGGGTGCGGCTGAGTGATGCGTTTCGTCCAGCCGCCCGAGAGATTCCGAGCCATCAATGTCCCTTGAGATCTTCGTAATAGATGTGAGATGATAGATAGTTGGCTTGACATTATCGCAACATGTTCCCGTCCCGTCGGATGGAGCTGACCTGTCCCCTGCACCCTTACATTGCCATGCCACCACCATGCCACGTTGTCCTGCCCGTCCACCGTACCATCGTCTCCCGCGTCCAGCGTGAGGATCAGCATCGTGACTTGGCGCTTTGCCTGTTTCGAGGGTTCGACGCGAATCACTGCTTTTGTTGTCTGCAGCTTGCAGACCATGATCCTGGGATACATATACCACATCAGCACCGCGGCCTTACGCCTTGGCCAAGCATGCCAGTCAGACGCGGTGCATATTCGCAACAATCGCCCAAACTCGGTATCCAAAAACAGGCGCCTGTCTGGGCCAACCGCCGGCCCCAAGGACCTTGCTCTGCTCTCAAGACGCCAGAGGCGCCGCGCTTCGAGCCGCCCATAGTTTCTTCAGGCTATTCGTCACCAAGCCAACAATGCCAAGCACGGTGAAGATGTTGACAATCTCCCAGGGGTACTTTGTCCGAACCTCGGTCTCTATAAACTGTGTTGGTCCGTCCTGCAGCGGCGGGAAGCGACCCGTCGTTGTGTACTCTTCCAGGAGAGCATCCTTGTTGTACCATTCCTCCCGCAGCCAAATGTCAAACTCGGCTTGCGTGGCGAGGGGAATGTCCGACACCTTGAAGCGGCGCCAGTAGAGGTTGACCGACTTGGGCGGCAGCCCCTGAAAGTACGTGCTCGACAAGCCAAATAGCTGCTCGCCGTACTCGCCTCGTCTGCACTTTGTCAGTGATCCTTCTCCTCGCTCTGGTTGACTCGTCACTCACGGAATGCCTTCGTACGCAATGGTGCAGTCATACACGTATTCCACCGTGCCTTTCAACTCGCTCAGGCAAAAGTACATGCCTGTCCCGCGCGGAAGAAGCAAGTGCTCTGGGTCACGAATGTCGTTCTTCTTCGCCCAGCTCTCTGACTTTGTGCGCCCGTTCGCGCAGAGGTTCGTACCCTCTGGGAACAGCATGAGCCACATGGGGTCGTAGTATGTCTTGCCGCTCGGGCTGGTCTTTGGCTGACGCAGTTTCCACAGGCGGTACGCCATGCGCGGCTGGTCGGTGGCCATTTTGCGCGTCATGAAGATGAAGCTATACAGCATCATGCCCCATCCAATAAATGGGATGTACCGCAGCGACGCCTTGAGGATGATGTAAATGTGCCCGTGGAGCCTTGGTCGGTTCGCATACGCGACCCACCAGAGATATAGCCAGTCTGTGTAGATTTGGTGGTTGGCCACCAGGATGACACGCTCGGGAAAGTCAAACTCGACACGTCCACCAGGCATCGCCCTCATCTGGCCCGCGACCGTCGCATCTCCACTGATGCGAATCTTGGTGGGACCCCAGATGTAGGTCATGAAACTTGTCACAATCGCAAAGTGCTGCTTCGTCATGGCCATGTACGCATAGTACCAGTCGCGGTTGACCACGTACAGAGGCAGCCCGATCACCTGGGTGGTGAATATCGTGAGGATGCATGTCGCAAAGTACACGATAAAGGCGAACCCACGCACAACCTGCATGAGTTTTCCATAGCTCTGCTTCCCAGACGGATGGTCGCTCTTCGGCTTCTCTGTCAGCCCCGCGTCATCCGGTCCAGGAATGTTGGTTGCTGGCGAGTCGGTCATGGTTCGTGAGGTCGCAGGTTTGGTTTGCGACAAAGGCAAGGCGTGCGAAGGGTCCTGTTCTGCTCAAAAGCACCGTATGCCAGACCTCTCGATAGGTAGGCAGCGCGTTGCGAAGAGACGAGGGCGAGGCTGCGACGCGATCGTTGGTGGTGCACTGCGCGGCACAGTAAGCGTGGAGGGCACAGGCAGAAGAAACAGGGTCAGAGTCGAAGGATTGCTAGCGCTGAGGCAGCTGTTGTCCAAGCAGCATGCAGTGATCGGGCCCCCAAGCAAGGCAGCAAGTTTTTCCAACTCAAGCCAGAAGTTGGAACAGCTTTTGCTTACGCCAGATTCCGGTAAGTTGATCAACTCCGTCCCGCGCCATTGAGTCGACTCAGCCCAGTGAAGCGGGCCGTGACGTGCCAATCAGACGAGGGGGTCGTGGCCGATGCGGGCGAAGAATTCGTGGGAACGCCATAATTCAAAGTCTATGTGGTGTTGAAAATGCAATCAGAGACAGAGTTTCGAGTTTAACCTTAATCCAAGAGAATTTTCTGATATGCTTTAGTAGAGAATAGTCTGTCCCTTTTCACACGTAATAATCCTTGCTGGCTTCATCGACATGTGATAAAGCCAATGCCCCGCGGTGCCAAACGGGAAGGCGGTCAACTGTCCGATTCCATTCTGCCGTCCTCCGCATCATCGGCAATAATGCAGCTCGAGATCCACTCACGACTGGCTGGAGCTGTCTGGATGAACGAACGAACGGTCCTCCCCCATCTTGACCCTCATCCAGGATGAGTCTGCCCCGTCGCGCAACTCTGTTCGGGCGCCTCTATCATACACCATCATGGTGGACGACGACTGCGACCACTAGCTGGGCTGTGTGTCTATCCAGAACCTATTCCTCGAGCTCTGACATTCGCAGCATCGTCGAGCTGCCTGACCGCATTCATCCTCGATACCTGCGCTCCACGAAACCAGGGTCCTCACTCCTGTCCTTGAAATGGCCACGCCCACCCCGAAACCTTCTCGTCGTGCAGAAGCTCTACTCCGAAACGGTCACGGACGCAGTCGTCAAGTTCGCCAAGCACATCCACAATGAGTACCCCGACATCCACCTCATTCTCGAACCGCGCGTCGCGTCCAGCATCCAAGAACGCGTCGACTTTCCCGTCTACTCCTCAGACGACAGACCCTACATTGCGCAAAAGGTGGACGTGATTGCGACGTTTGGCGGTGACGGCACAGTGCTGCGCGCAGCTAGCCTGTTCAAGCTGCACGGATCCGTGCCGCCCATTGTCTCCTTCAGCATGGGCACGCTCGGCTTCCTGGGCGAATGGGACTTTCAGGAGCACAAGAAGGTCTGGAGAGAGGTGTACATGAGCGGGAGCGACGTGGCTGTGCGCGACGCTGCCGTCCCCCGGGGCAATAAGGACAGCCCAGAGGAGCAAGACGATGGCAACAACCCCTGGGCGCTCATCAAGGGCAAAAGCATGGGCGCGCAGCGAGCATCCAAGGTCCTACTGCGACATCGCATCAAAGCCGACATTTTCGACGCGAACGGCGACAACATCAACGACAGGCTGTCCGACAACCTGCTGGGGGATTCCAAGTCCCTCGCCGGGCCCTTGGCTGGCACCCTCGAGCCATCCCCTTCACTACGCGCCATCAACGAGATCTCCGTCCATCGAGGCTCGCACCCGCACCTTGCCATTATCGACATTTTCCAAAACGGGCACTTTCTCACCGAGACAATCGCCGACGGCATCCTCATCAGCACCCCGACCGGCTCGACAGCCTACTCCCTCAGCGCCGGCGGTCCCATTGTCCACCCCCTCGTCAAGTCGCTCCTCATCACCCCCATCTCGCCCTGCAGCCTGTCCTTCCGCTCCCTCGTGCTCCCGCTCGACACCAAGGTCACGCTGCGTATGAGCAAGAAGAACCGCGGTCGCGAGCTCGATCTCAGCATTGACGGCAAGCGCTGCGCCGGCGTGAGCCCCGGCAGCGAGTTGAGAGTGGAGGGCGAGTTTGTGGGACGGAGTCACGACGGGCGAGGGGAGGAGTGGGCGGGTGGTGTGCCGTGTGTGATTAGGACCGAGGACGATGATCCTTGGGTGGGAGGACTCAATGGGTTGCTCAAGTTTAATCATCCGTTTGGGAGGGCGACGGAGGGCGAGGACTAGGTGAGCTGGGCCGTGTGTTGTCAGGACAAGATGATACCCATGTATAAACTGTGTACGATCAAGGTGGAATACCAGTGTACCGAGAGCCGACGGTTCGTATTTGGCTTCTCGCCCTGTGAGCGATGTAGCCTGCGTGGCTGTGATCGCTGTTCCCTCGGATATCCGATCGCTTTCTTCGTCTCGTCGCGGATGAGGCCTCCTACAAGACCTTGGCACACGCCATGTTCACGCCAACAGTGGAAGTGTAGGTGAGGCTACGTAATGGCAAGTCCACTTATACGCTCCGCGGCGACCGAACACTGGAAACTTTCTCGTGTCGTGATGGTGACTGGCAGCCAATTGCGCGCTTCTTCTTGGACTCGCCAAGCGACATCGCGCTACACTGGCGTAGTTTGGCCTAGAATATGCTCATCCAAGTCTCCATCTAACATTTTCGACTTTGGTATCAATAAGACGCGCCGCTCTGGTTGAATGCAATGGCTGAGTTTTAATTTTGTATCATCTGCCTTCAAGTTCTTGTCATCGTCACGGCTCATACGTAACCTGTCTGGCTTTCAAAAGAAGATACGTCAACCAGCCGTGCTGCGAAGACGTGTGCATATGTAGTCTGCCTCTAACGACCAAACCAGTGTTTAAAAGGCAGATTTCTATCAGTGTACCTATGTCTGTTATTACTAGTACTGTTTCACAAACAATGGCATTGCGAAGCTCTGTGACACACGACTGATCAACGCAGGGTAGGCTGCATTTACTAGAATGAAACTGCCGCTTCCCGCCTGTGATGATCCCCCCACGCAATTTCAGGCCACGCGTCTCAGGCCCGCGCAGCCAGTCACGGAACGGCCTGCGACGTCAATTCGCTGTGGCGAGCGGCTGTCCCCGGACGCCGCGGATGCTTGAGGTGTGATCTGCGATGGTGGGATCTGGAGCCTGGCGACGCGAGTACGACTGCGCCGTCCTTTTGCATTTGACAGGATGATTGACAATTGTCGGTCAGTGACCTGGGCACATCCTGCGGGCTGACGACAGCGAGTAAAAGCAGTGTCTCTGTTGTGGCACCAGTGAGCGAGGCATGTGACGATCGAAGTTATACGGAAGCGGTCTCGGGAGTGGCTGTGAATGCGTAACACCACCAAACGTTACCTTATGTATCGTACTTTTGTGTCAGCGAGTTGTTTGAACGTGCTGTCAGATTCTGCGGCCAACAAGAAATTGCGCACTCTCCAACCTGCATTGACGAACATGGGAAATTATCTCGAGACTGCTTCATTCCCACGATGACAAGGGCAACGGGACCCCTAATCTCAGACCATAGCGCCTTATCAGGACGTCCCCAGCTCAGCACGCAGATCTGTTAACTGATCATCTTCGCCAAGGATCATCAGCCTCGCTCTCACATAAGACCGTCTCCTTGGCGGCCTCACCCAAGTGCTTGGAAGGTCCATCTCAGAGGGCAGTGACGCTTACACAGCGTCGCGACGTGACCGCTTGGAGCACTAGGGAGGACATTTGGACCCCAAACGGCGTCGCATCCCGCTGTGCGATGGCCGACGGGGCGCTGAAACAGCCCGCTGGGCTGACATGGCCGGGTGCCAATGCCAATTGCCTGGCGATCCCAATCCCATAACCTCTCCTGGCCTGCCCGCCAGCTGCTCGTAACGTCCCAACCTTATTTTTTCTTCTTCGCTCCCACCCCCTTCTTGGTGTATACGATAGAGAATCGGGTAGTGCCTGGTTGTGGCTGCTACTCTCTTACTCTTCGCTTTCTGTTTCTTCCCTAGTGCGCAGGTGCTTTTTTTTATCGCCATGACGAAGAGTCTGGCGCTGCTGTTGGCGGCATCTGCTGCTGCTACTTCTGGCGTGGCTGCCCAGGCTGCAGGTACGTATGAGGGAGCAGCTCCTTCCCCGACCCAATCCCGGTGGTCGCCATCATCATCGCCATTGGCGTCATCGTCGTCGCCAGCAACACCACCTCTAACGTATCAACAATAGTTGACGTCCATATCTCTGCCCGCGCCATCGACAATGCCCCCGATGGCTACGTACCAACCAGCGTCAACTGCCCCAGCGACCGCCCGGCCATTCGCAATGGCACCACGCTGTCCGACCAGGAGAAGGAATGGGTCGTCCAGCGTCGGAACGAGACCATTGAGCCGATGCGCGAGCTGCTCCAACGGATCAGCATCCCCGACTTCGACGCCGAGGCGTATCTCAAAGACGCAGAGAGCAACAACACAAAGGTGCCGAACATTGGGCTGGCCTTTTCTGGAGGAGGCTCCCGTGCCATGCTGAGCGGCGCTGGCGCCATGGCAGCACTCGACAGCCGCTCAGTAGGCTCGGACGCAGACGGCAACTTGGGGGGTCTGTTGCAGAGTTCGACGTACATTTCGGGCCTGTCCGGCGGTGGCTGGCTTGTGGGCAGCATCTACGTCAACAACTTCACCACGGTGGCGGACAGCGTGAGCTCGGGCAACATCTGGCAGTTTCAGGATTCGATTCTCGAGGGCCCCGAGCAGTATGCGCTCCTCGACTACTACACCTCCATCCTCGAGGCGTGTGAGAAGAAGGCGGCGGCCGGGTACGAGCGCTCGATCACGGACTACTGGGGCCGCATGCTGTCGTATCAGCTAATCAATGCCACGGATGGAGGGCCCGGTTATACATTCTCCTCGATCGCTGACGATGACGACTTCAAGAACCACAAGGCGCCTTTCCCGTTCCTCGTGGCAGTGGGCCGCCGTCCCGACGAGAAGATTATCCCCATCAACTCGACAGTGTACGAATTCACACCCTGGGAGCTCGGCTCATCGGACAATACCGTCCACGGGTTTGCGCCGCTGCGCTGGATAGGATCCAACTTCACAGACGGCGAGGTGCCCAAAGACGGCGATTGCGTGAATGGCTTTGACAATGCGGGCTTTGTCATGGGCACCTCAAGCAGTCTGTTCAACCAGATCGTCCTGTACTTGAATGACCCCAACAGCGGGTACCTACCGGACTCGGTGCCGTCCGTTGCAGTGGACGCCGTGACGTCCGTTCTGGATGCCGTCGGCAGCGATAACGATGACATTGCAGACTGGACACCCAACCCCTTCAAGGGCTGGAACCCCGACGAGAACTACAACGCTGACGAGGATCGCTTGACACTGGTTGACGGTGGCGAGGACCTGCAGAATGTCCCTTACCATCCTCACATTCTCATTGAGCGCGAGGTCGACGTCGTCTTCTCCTTTGACAACTCAGCAGACACTGAGATGCAATGGCCTGACGGTGCCTCGCCGATTGCCACCTACGAGCGCTCCCTGACCAACATCTCCGAGGGCACCGGATTCCCCGCCGTCCCGGACAAGAACACATTTATAAACAAAGGCTTGAACAGCCGCCCGGTCTTCTTTGGCTGCGACGCCTCCAACACCACCGACCCGTCGCCACTCATCGTCTACATCCCCAACTACCCCTACATCTTCCAATCCAACACCTCCACCTTCAAGCCCAGCTACAACGAGTCTGAGCGTGACGCCATGATCGAGAACGGCTGGGCCATTGCCACCCAGCTGAACGGTACCCGCGACCGTGATTGGCCCGTCTGCGTTGGCTGCGCCATGCTGTCCCGCAGCTTCGACCGCACCAACGCGACTGTGCCGGAGGCTTGCCAGACTTGCTTCGACCGCTACTGCTGGGACGGCACGCTGGACACTAGCACGCCCGAGACATACCAGCCCGACTACTACGGCACGGCGCTGGACATTGAGAGCGGCGCGCTGAGGAGGGTCGCTGCTGGTGCTTATACCGTTCTGGGGGCAGGCATGGTTGCGTTGATGATGATCTGAGCGTGCACTTTTGGGTTTTGGGTAATTTTTTAGATTGTTGATACCATCATGTGGCATTTAGGCATTGGGCAATTTTGTTTAAAGAATATGCATTACTACTATCGTTGACCACTGTTCCTTGCATTGATGTTCGTGCTGCTCAAAACATAACCTTTATCAAGGACAATACATGGATAAAGTAAGTCGACTTTCCAAATTGCTCCTCATTGCAGAACGGCATCCTTCCCCGTCTTTGCACTCTCCACGACGCCCTCCAAGATCCTCAGCACGTCCCTTGCCTGGGTTGCCTTGACGGGAATGTCCTCTTCTTTCCCACTCACCAAGGCGTCACCGAGCGCTCTGTAGAAGGCCATGTACGTCTCCGGCTCGAGCTCGGGCACGTCGACTTGCTTCATCGTCTTGGCGTCCTCGCCCACCAGCGTCAGTCGCGCGTTGGTCTTGTTGTCGTCCTGGCCGAACCCAGCCTCCGTGGGCTTCATGCCCGCCTTGAGCTGGTCCTCCTGGCGATCCAACGTGTTCTTCCGGAAGGAGCCCTTGAAGCCCCGCACCCAGAAGCGAGGCTGGATGGTCTCGGCGCTCAGTGCGCTGATGCGGACGTTGACGATCAGGCCGTCGGGGTACGTGAGCTCGGCCGACACAGCGTCTGGGTTGAAGAAGTCGGCCTTGCCCTCGCGCTGGTTGAGAAGACGACCGTGGACAGACTGGGGGAGACCGAAGAGGGTGTAGGCCTGGTCGATGAGGTGGGTGCCCAAGTCGAAGAGCGCGCTGCCGCCCTGGGGGATGCCAATCTGGCCCTTCCAGTTGGTGGGCGCGTCGGCGCGGTAGCGGTCAAAGTGGGAGTTGAACTCGACGATGCGACCGAGGGTACCCTCCTGGACGAGCTTCTTGACGAGCAAAAAGTCAGAGTCCCACCGTCGGTTCTGGTAGACGCAGATCAGGCGGTTGTTCTCCTTGGCGATGGCGATGAGCTTGTCCGCCTCGGCCGAGGTGGGCACAAAGGGCTTCTCGGTGAGGACATGCTTGCCGCTCTCGAGCGCACGCTTGGTCAGCTCAAAGTGGTTGTCTGGGGGCGTGGTCACGACAATGACGTCGACCTCTTTGTCGGCGAGGAGGTCGTCGGCTGAGGTGTAGTGCTTGAGATTGGGATGTTCCGCAGGGGCTGAGTTGCCCTCCTTGGGCGAGCGCTGGACGATGGAGTGCAGCGTCAGCGTTGGGGTTGCTGTGATGAAGGGAATGTGGAAGATCTTGGCGGAGAGGCTGGATAGGTTTAGCGATGAATGAGTAGGCGTACGACACTGAGCGACTCACCCGTAGCCAACGACACCGACGTTGAGAGCCTTGGACATGATGCTGGAGTTCCTGATGGCTGAAGTGTATGGTTCAGTTTTCCTGCAATCTTGGAAGCTGGCAGCAAATTCTCAAGCTCATCAATGTAATTACGTCGCCTGGCGGCACGGAGTTTGTCATCTTGCGTGCGGCGTTCCCCAACGAGGCATTTCTGGCGGGCCTATGCGGGGCCGTCTTGAAGCCGTCTGGAAGCCCGCATGGCCTGGGTTGGGCGAGGCTTTGCGGTGATATTGAAGGCACAAGCATAGAGGATGAATGTCTTTCAATTGCATTCATTGACATCCAATGGCGTCGGCCGGTTGCGTAAGATGATTCGGCTCCACGAGGAAAGCATACAGTTCGAAACGCTGAGAAGGCAACTTAAGGAAGATCATCCTGACGCAAAGCAAGGACGGGAAAATAAACAACTAAGAACTGTGGAGAACAGATGTAGGCTCTCCCAATTTCATTCCCCTCACATCGTTACTTCTCAGTGTCTCGAAAAGGAACAAAACGCGTCGCGTGAATAACGGGGTAGGCAGCATAGGGTAGGTGGAAAGGCTATTCACGTCCCTACGTCGTAAAGCGACCACTGCCATCCAATCATCTCATGATCGCACATTAGTTTGTCAGCTGAAAATCACAGTCATCCCCCGCATGTTCGGGGGCCGAATTGGTCAGAATTGACTAGGGTCCGAAGCTGGAACCCCGAAGTGCGAGGCGCGACCCCGAAATGACCCACCTTTCCCGGACATCACCAAGAAGTCCGGAGAGGCGAGGCCGCGTGAGAAGATGACTGGCTGGGCTTACATGATCATATATGATGCAGTATCACTACGGCTGGGTCACGTTTGGATATAAAAAGGGCATTCGTGGTGCAGAAAGAGGAGCGAGAACAGGAACATTAATTCTAAATTGTGGCATCTACGCTCAAGAACAAAGGCCAACCGTTCAAAGCAATAACAACATTCGACTGAACCATAACCATGTCGGCCACTGGCAAGCTCATCGTATTCCGAGGCGGCCCCGCAACAAACACCTACGTCTGGAGCCCCTTCGTCACCAAGCTCGAAGCACGTCTTCGCTTCGCTGCATTCAGCTACAACCGTGACGCTGGATCCCCACGGTCAGCACCCAAGGGGAAGATTCCCTATGTCCAATTCCCAGATGCGACGACTCTCGGTGATTCGACCCTAATTATCAAGCACCTGGTGGATAGAGATGCACTCCCGGACTTGAATGCGCCCCTGAAGCCCGCACAGAGGGCGCAGGATCTCGCGATCCGAGCATTGCTGGAGGACAAGCTCTACTTTTACCACGGCAAAGAGAAGTGGTGCGATAACTACACGACAATGCGCGACGGTGTCCTCGCAGCCATACCATGGCCCATGCGAATGATCATTGGGTACATTGCGCAGAGAGGCGCTGTTCAGATGCTCTACGGCCAGGGCACGCTGCGCCTGCAGGATGACGAGATCACAATGCTGATGGCTGAGATCTGGGACAGCGTTGAGGCTCTGCTTCAAGAGGCCAAGGCATCAAGAAAAGGAGAAAAAGGTCCATTCTGGGTGCTGGGTGGCAAAGAACCAACAGAAGCTGATGCTACCCTCTTTGGGTTCGTAGCTGGGGCACTGGTCTGTGATGCGTGAGTGCCCTTGCGCGAGGTGATGGACCACTGACATACTGACATCCCCTAGGGCGCCAGAGACAAGGCAGATAGTGCGGGAGCATCCAGCTGTGCTTGAGTATGCGGAGCGGATACACGATCGGTACTTTCCAGATTATGAGCGATGGGGGTAAGGCTCATGTGCAAAGCGCGGTAGACTTTCACGTGGGACTTTCAACAAATTGAAACTGGTCATGAAATCAATATCTTCACAACCTACTAACAATGAGAAGCCGGGTCCAGAATCAGAGGCGTTTCTGGGAAGAGGATCAAGGGGGCCACGCACCGTGGCGTGGATAGAAGACCCTCGTGAAAGTACACCGTTTTGAATATGGTCGCGTATCGGCTGCAGCGAAATATCTGATACAGCCATGTAAGGCCTTTTGTTGTTGCATAACAGGAGGTAGTCCTTATCTACGAGCATAGCTCAGACGGTTGGTATATTGTCACGTCCTAGGTTAGTCAACGCACTCCTCTCGAAACTTTGATTTCCCAGACATTGATCAGATGTTTAACACAATAGCCAGATCTAAACTAAGCGCAATCGATTGTAGATAACAATGTTTCTTTCCGGGTTGCCCTCGAGCCATCCACAAAAGGCCGTACGGCAATATTGAATAACCAATGCCGAAAACAAATTGTAATACTAGCACGGCACGGGTAGCGGCACTACCTTGCATCTCACGCCTCCCGAGCAATTGATATGTTAATATCACAACTTTCAATGTTGCGTAGGACAAGCGAACTTGCACAGGGGTCTTGATCCTTCGGCCTTGGCCCGAGACACCAATAGCTCTTGGCATCGAGAAACGATTCACCTAGACTCCGGAAAGGAATCCTGCAGCCGGGCCATGTGAGCCGAAAATGTCAATCGATTGGTGTTCTCATGTTTGAATACGGCGGGCATGAACTTGGGCGGCTCCTTAGGGCTTGGCAGTCGCCCTAGATTTGTCGACGAAAGAGCATTGAAGAAGTGGCGTTCTCGGCTTTCAATCGATTGGCGAACTAGTCGGAGGCCTGCCGCTCGTTGAAGTGATCGGCAGATGCCTTTGGATTTCAAGTACCATCGCATGGCATCACTACTAATGCTAGGAACTCCCGGCCCCCAGGTCCGGGACCCTGCCCACATCGCTCCCCACCCACGACCCAGCATAGTCAGACGTCTCTATTCGTGGTGTTGAACATTACAGACGACATATTTTGAAATAAGACGATTGGTACTCATGTCAAGCTCTTGTCGAAGCAACACGGCACCCTCAGTTTCGACTGGTTGACTGGCACCAGTACACCACTGCTACGTCCCCAAGCTTGGCTTGCTGAATTATCGACAATAGATCCAACATTACATTCATCACCGGCAGTCGAGCCAAGCCTACTGACAGTGCCATGACCCGAAGAGCTCCAGCCAAGAGCCGGGAACTGCATCCTTCGGCTTCTGGGACAAAACCTTAAAGGTGGACACGGGAGACGCCAAGTGAAATACTACGTAGTGATTCGGCTATGCCTCTCGATGTATGGTTGGCGCCCAGTGAGATGAGCAAGCTACAGTGTTCAACATGCGGGATGACCTGATGAGCCATGGCTACTGGCCATCGCCAAGTCAAACTAATATCAGGGTTCAGACTCCAAAGGCCACAACTCTGGCTCCTTTAGAAGTCCTCTGACATCACCACCAATGCCACAACCTGTCACGCTGACAATGTGTCTTCCGTAACGGGATGAGAGACAGAGAGGCCAAGTGGTATAAAGCTGAGGACTTCCTCCCCACAAACGTGAATTGAAGCATCTCATCCGCTGAACAAGGCACTTTCACAAGACATAACTCCTCACATCAAATCATACGCGAATCTCCCTCCCCACCCAAGAAGCCAGTTTTCATCCACAATGTTCGGCAAGCACGCGTCTCTCCTAGCCCTGCTAGCCGTCCCTTTTGCCTACGCCGAAACCCCCCTATGCCTTGACCCGGCTGGGCTTCGAGGCGTTGAGCTCTATGACTATGCCTACTATCGCGAGGTTCCCGACGGTAGGACCCTGGCCTTTTGTTACAATGTGGGCCAAAACGACTGGGTCATCGACAACAACTGGATCACGGACATTGACGCCATGCTCACGACGCTAGTCAACCTCAACGGTGCGGCGCGCTGTGTTGATTGTCTACCAAGCGCTGAGCCTGCTGGCTGCACCGGATACTCGAAAATCTGGAACATTGATGGCAACGACCCTATTGCTGACCTCTTTGGGACTGACCTGCCGCCACTGGACACCTATTCGAAAGATGTATTCATGGACATTGTTCGGGATATGGCCGCAGATGGGGTCCGGCTCGAGGCCTTTGGCGACGAGTTGAGCCCTGCTTTGACCATTGACAAGCCGGGCCAGCTCCGAGAGCAGACTTACAACATTTTCGGAGACGGAGATACTTGCTAAGGAGGTGTGGTGAGCGAGGGGAAGCTTACATTTCGAGAGGAGGGAATGTGAAGAAACTTGCGACGCAGAAATATTGCAACGGAATAAATGATTCACTACCTCTTGGAGGTGATGTAGCAAATCTCTCTGAGCTAGCATGCTTTTTCAATGACGCAACTTTCTCTATTTGCACTTATACCCTTTTCACAAGCCCTTAAAAAAGTCTTTTACTGCAAACCGTCCTCCAACAGTTTCGGCTGCACCCGGTACAAGTAAAGAGGGCTGTTGTTTGCCCAAGACAATCCCTCGTTATGGGCCCTTGTCTGTCTTGGTAATGTTTGCTCTAATTAGGAAGCCAATCTGGACATATGGCTCTTTGTTTGCGTTCCCGTATCTCTTTTAGGTCCATCTGGGATTGATCAATGCACCATTGTGTCAGCATTCGAATGGGTTTTGAGTATGAGCCAGTCAGTTGTGACGTCTCAATACTCGTAATCGTATCTTTATTGGGAGAGTGATCCGGTTGTGGTCGAGTATGCGGAGCGGATACACGATCGATACTTTCTAGATTATGAGCGATGACATTGAGCCTATATGTGCATATTGTGGCAGTAGAGGACACGGGACTTTTGAAACGTCTGGGTCATTAATGCAGAAATTCTTGAGAGTTTACAGAGACGGATTGAAGGCTCAGTACGCCACTTATATATCTTCCCCAGCAGACGATTCACCATCCGCTTTAGGGAAACGGCTGCCATCCGCTTTGAACCATGTCAACCGCAGTGCGTGTGGCATCATCCAGCTTCTCTTCCGGCAGACCCAAGATCTCATTGTTAAGTTTCAGATCCGCCTTGAAATCACCTCCGCCATTGGGGTAGAAGGGTCGCGCATACAAAGCCCTGGCAAAACCAGTATGATCACCGTTGGCCATGTCCGCCAGACCCTTTTCGTATCTCTCCTTGCTGCTCTCGTACTGAATCTCCCAGTCTGCATCCGAGTCGCCAAGAACACGATGCACACTGTCCAGCATCTCCCTCTGGTTCACGTGGAAGCTTGCAAAGCAGAGCATGCCATTCTTCCACTGTTCTAGCGACGGCTCCGCTCCGCTCTCGGGCAACGACAGCAACTTGGCGAGGGCCTGTCCACACAGTGGCCAGGTACTGACGGGCAAGCGGCGTTGTCCATCATCATAAAATATGGCCTTCTTGGTCTTGATATCGATCCCGAAGGCAATGGAGCCCAGAGCCAGACTCCACTCATACCAGAACCCACAGACCATGGCGACGTACGACATGCCCGAGTTCGCAACGTCGTTGCACCTTTCCAGGGCACCGGCGCTGTACAAATCCTCTTTCATCATCTCTTCATTGCGAAAATCACCGCCGTATACATTGGGCATGACGTATGAGACGCCCGCCTTGGCGGCAGCTTTGATGATGCTGGCGTGTGTCTCGCTTGGTGCTCTGGCGGACAAGGTGATGACGAGAAACTGTTGGCCAGCGAGAGCGGCGACAAGAGAATCCTGGTTTTCGAAATCGACCTCGGTACGGGTCGCGCCACTGGCTATTGTCCCTGTACTGCCTTTTCGGACGAGAGCGGTTACAGTGTGTTTCCCGGTCTTGACAAGCTCCTGTGTGAAATGGGTGCCAACATGGCCAGTAGCCTATACGTCTCATGTTAGTATACTGCGAGTCAAAGTACAACCTGGATTGTGATCAGGCTGTGGAGGACGCACGCCAACAATGGCAACCCTTTGGATGTAGTCAGAGGGAGGCATTTTGAATAGTTGCTGACCAAAGAAGTTGAGACTTGTTTGCCTGGTTGTGGTGCGTGCTACCGACGCCCGGCCACGACGAGCCTTTTATAATAGATATCGATCCACTGTGTGTGTGTGTTGATTGAAGCATATCATGTCCTGCTATTCGGGATCCCGGCTAGATCGCAACACCCGATGCCGTCGAACCACCGGGCGTCTGGCCTTCGCATAGAGAGATGCAGCCAGCGTCAGCATGCATCTGTTCTGCTTTCCAATCCCATGATCCAAATCAATTGGCTCGCAAGTGGTGATGCACACGAAAATGCGGTATTGGGTGGAAGTGCCCCGGACATATGCTGCCTAATGTCCGGTAAGGCCTGAGGGATCGTTGTCAAGTCCGCAACGTCTGCCTGTGCTTTTCTTGCCTAAACCCGACATCCGGGATGACACTTCCGAATGAATTGGTCTTGAGTGCACTGAAACGGCGAGACGGGTTGCAAGTGGCCATCGATCAGATCCGGGCACTATGGCAGATCAGCGGACATGGTGCCTCTGCCTTGCTTTGTGACCGACTGCATATCTCTCTTCAACTGTCCTCGTTCTTTCATAGAGCAGACGACAGACATTTGGAAGCAGATTGACGATCAAGAAGCTTCCAGAATCACGTGATAGGCGCAATTGGAGGGCGCGAAGGATGCCCCTGGCATTCCGCTGTCACTCGTCGATAAATCAAGCAACTGAGGTTTGACATGCCAAAGGCTTTAAAATCCAGCTGAATCATTCAGAGAAATAGCGAGCCGATTACGAGCGAGAAGCCCAAGAGGCCAGTCCTACCGCAGTGTCGACAGAAAAGGCCCGCGAACATGCCTTGGGTTAGGTAGGGTGTAGCTCACCTCTAGCAAGCCATGCGCTGTGTTGAATCAACTGAAATGGCTTACTTCAAGGTATCAAGTTGCTCGTGACCAAGACTTTGGGCCAGAAAAACGTGTATGTTGGGGCTAGGCACTTGTAGCCGTCGTGAGGGCTTCTACTCTTGCCCTGCATGTGCCGAGCGACACGCTTTTGGAACTGCCTGTATCGTCCGCGTTTTGTAGACAACTCTTAAGCTATGTCGGGCCTGAACCATATGAGAGTCCATGGGCGTTAATTGGAGGCTGCTTCTGCAGATAGTGTGGTCCTGTGCACATGCGCTCGCATGCTTGGGAGGCTGTCGTGCTTCGAGTCGGGTGATATACGCACCATTGTGACCAACTGATGCCGTGCCTAGTCAAATGGTAGCCCAAGACTATGATTCGGAAATATGAAGACGAAACAAAGACCACAGTATCGCGAAACCTCGTCACTCTGCTGGCGATTTGGCCACCTCTCCGCTGTCGTGGTCTGATGTCCCCAACACGAACGCATGCTGCAAGTCAGAGTGTCAAGCAGCAGAAAACTTGTACGTATTTGGACCAGACCTGTCGAGCCGGGCACCTGCTGTAGGCATCAGTCTAGTACGTACCTAACTCAATCTGTTCAAGTGGTGATCAATGACTGTACCTGCAGACACCCACAAGCTAACAGCGCTCACTTCTGCAGGTACCACATCAAGAACTCAGGATTCTTCGTCTGGAAGATCTCCCGACCTGCCAACGCGCTTGATGCGCCACTGTGAAAAAAGTGGTCTACACCGCGTACATGCTCGTCGGACGTGCAATACTGAGGGTTGCAGCTGTTAAGGAGCGCCATGTGCATGGCTTGATATGTGTGTGGCAAACAAACTGAACGCAAAAGGACTGACCTCACGCTGCGGACGACGGCGTCCTCTTTGAAGACTTTGCTTGCCAAAGGCACCATGGGACAGCGTTTCTCCAAGAAACAGAGGTCAGAGCTGGACCAGGTCGTTGAGAGCGTCTGCCCATCACTCTCTGGGGCTCACAACCAGTCGGTCCGATCCTACTGCGAGTTGTCCTGATTTCACGTGAAGCTGGAACCAGATGTCCAAGTGCGCTTCATCTCCGAGGCACAGGCACATGTCCCAACCGCAACCTAACTATCTGTGCAGATGGGTGGCGAAGATCTCCCAACTCAGGGACTTGCGCCAAGTTCCTTTGAAGCTTAATTATACATTGTGCATATCCAATTTCCGCCTTTGCTTCGTGCCCCTGCGTCCGCTTCGGCAATGCTGTATAGGTGGGTGCATGTGGGTGGGCGAATGGGTGGCATGAGTGAGGCATTGTTGATGCGTTGAAACTTGAAAGGGGCCGGATGCAACGTACCAAAGACCGCGTCCTGCCTCGAAGGCAGGCGTGATTTTCCAAGTTAGACTAATTAGCAGGCACCCACCAGAATCCTCTCCCGCACTCCCGTCGATGCAAACTGGGTCTGGTCGACGCAGCCAAGCTGAAGATGCATCCGCGTCTCCAGCAACATGCATTGTACAGGCTTGCCTTGGTGACCGCTGCGCAAGTCGCCTGGGCCAGGAACTGGGCGTAAGCTCAATTCTCGATGTGCTCGGAAGCCATTCAAGTGCCATTTATACATGTACGGAGTACCAATTTGGTGCTATGAATGCGTCGTCGGTCTATTCAGTACATGTTGGACGTGACGGGCCTAGCCGGCAGCGGCCAGAGAGCAGCATATGCTCACGGCGTTTAGCTGCAGCAACAGTATGTACTACATGTACGTAATAGGCCAATTCACCAGCCCCTCAAGAGGCAACGACGGCTAGGAGGTCATGGCCTCGAGGCGCCAGCAGCATGAAGGAAACAGGTTTGCAGCGCAGATGAAGAGTGAAGTGAGTGACGTTGGTCAAATCTTGGGTAAATCTCTCCCCGTCTCCAGACCGATCCAACGATCCACCAGACAGCGCAGCATCAAAGAAGGAATCCTACTCGGCTTCACTAAGATTGTGCTATTATTTCATTTTCACATGAGCAAACCTCGGTCATTCTGAGACCAGGGACATCTGAAAAAAGGTTCTCCAGTTGGCCCCAAAAGTGTCAACAGGTGGCGCGACGCCATCGAGTCCCAGCAGCAGACGCAGCCAATGATCAGCTGTGCGACCGCCTAACGCGAAGAATCTGGGGGAGATTGGGCCACCCCGGATTGAGGGGGGAGTGGAGATGGTGCCGCAAACATCCTGGTCAGGCCGGCCTGTTCTCGAGCTGTTCCTTTGCTGCCTGCTTTGGAGTTTGGACCGCGCTGTGGCCGAGAACCGACTGGGCTTTCTGGTACGTAGCCTGTACGGATAGGGTCCGCCTGTGGTCCTGTGGATTCACGCAAAGGACGATGGTCGGTACGTCGGCACGCTGTGCTGGGGCCTCGCTGAGATGGATCAATGGAGCATGAACTTATGTATGCAGCGACTGGCCGCGCGGAAATTGCTTCACTTTTCTGGACGAAGGAGAGAAACCACTGGGCGCCTGGTACACGAAAGTTGCCTGCCAATTGCGAGTATTCCCTAGCCAGCTCTCCGTACAGAGTCATCCCCTTGATGCTGCCTCCGGATCGGTCATTTCGGTGCGAGTTACTGTAGGGATCGCCGGAATCCCCGGATTACTAGGATCACGATGGCCCGCAAAGAGCACAAATTCCTTGTCAATATTGCCATTGAACAGTATGGAGCAATGCAAGCAATGCTGAAAGGAGCGTCCAAGCACTAAAAATGAGTCTGGGCTCACTATTACACCTTATTGACGATTAACACGAAGATACGGTGCACCATCATGTGGCTGTGACAACCTAAAAACTCAATTCCAACCTCCTCCCAGTCATGCCTCTCGACCAGCCACGCATCAATCAATCGACAGGTACCACTGCCAGAGAACGTCACATGTGCGTCGAGCAGCGCCCACTCGTCCACCCGAGGCTCACATCCCGCCTGAAAGGCCTCGAGCAGGGAACGACCCCCCCGGCCCATCGCGCGTCGATCGCCTGGCCGATGCAGCTGTCGAATTTGGAAGTTGGGCCCGCGTCCAGCCGCCACTGGCGCTCGGCCGCTCCCAGCACCAGCGAGTAGCGACTGGGCAAGTGGGAATATGGATCCGTTGCCCCTGGCGGTCTGTCCAGTCTGGCCCCGGATTACCCCAGTCCGCATATGCAACCCTCTCGGAGCGAGGACGCGATGCGTCCAACCGGACCCTCCATCCATCATGCGCTGGGGAGAGGTGGTGTGCGCGAGGCAGCGAACGGGATCTCTGCGCTCGCTCTGCTCCAGCCAGCCAGCCAGCCAAGCAAGAAAGCAAGCAAGCAAGCGACAGGCTGCCAGCTCTCTCTCCATCAGGTACATAAGCCGATCCGCCCCTACGACCTAGACCTGCTCTCTCTCTTTTCCTCTCCTCATCCACTCGCTTGGTCAACAATCTAGTTCACTCGTTCTTGTACAACTATCAGCCTGTTTTATACACACCAGTATCTCTAATACTCCCCACCCACCAAACCGCCAACATGAAGTACGCTGTCGCCGCCGCCCTCCTCGCCGCCGTCGTCAAGGCCCAGACCATCAACGACGTGCCCAAGTGCGCCATCCCTTGCCTCGACGATGCCATCGCCAGCGAGACCAGCTGCGACACCACCGATTACGCCTGTGTCTGCCAGAACTTTGACGCCGTCCAGGGTGTTGCCACCAGCTGTGTCATCGACAAGTGCGGCGCCACCACCGCCCTGAGTGAGTTTCTCCGTTCTTTGTCACTGGAAAACATGATCTAACGACCCGTACAGACGAGGTTCTCCCCGCTGTCGAGGCTCTCTGCGCCGCCCAGGGTAGCAGCGCCGAGACCACCGCCGCTGAGACCACCGCCGCCGAGTCCTCCATGGCGCCCACCATGGAGTCCTCCATGGAGATGACCTCCACCATGGAGCAGCCCACCATGGAGCCCACCGAGACCGTCATCGAGACCACCGTCCAGACGACCCTCACCACCACCGTCTGCGACAGCGGCTGCGGCGAGGCCACCACCACGCCCATGCCCATGCCCAGCGGCAACGGCACCGCCCCCGAGCAGCCCTCGCAGCCCCCCAACGCTGCCGGTGCTCTGGCTCCCATTGGCGGTCTCTTCCTCGCCGTCGCTGCCTTTGCCCTCTAAGTCATTCATGACCTGGATGGTATCGGACAGGGGGGTTTGCCTTGTGTGCACATGAGTGTATGACATGGTCCTTTTGGATGGAACTCGGGGCACGACCGCTTTGTAATGGTGTTTATGATGGATGCGCAGGAGATAGCTTGAGATTGGCTCTTTGATCCGTCTTTTAGCCAGGAGTGTAATACAGGAATGAACAGTTGATACACGGAATGTGCTTGATGTGGTACCCTTGGTTTGCCATGGATGAGAAATGTCGTGAATGATGCTTTTGATACTGGCTTGATGATTTGTGCACCTGTGAACACCAATCTCGAGCAGACAGGAAGTTCATTACTCGACATATACAAGGCTAACTAGTCGTACGTTTGACAAGAACAGGAACGAGATAAAAGCACGGATGTGTACAGATGTAAACAGAATCCAAAGGATTGGAAATTGCACTGTCTCGACCTTCACTTCAAGTTACAAAGATCACCTTCCTTCAGCAAGGACATTTCGCAATACGCCGCTCAATCGGACAAGGCTATTCAGGTTTGCTGCCGGGGAATCACACTCCGATAGGTGATTTGTCTCCTAATGCAAAAAGAAAGAATGTCCTGACAAGTCGCGAGGAAGCAAAAATAATCGACATGGAGCGGATTTGAACCGCTGCGGCAAGTCGCGAGGAAGCAAAAATAATCGACATGGAGCGGATTTGAACCGCTGCGGCCGAAGCCATATGATTCCTCAAGAGTTCGAGTCATACCCATTAACCACTCTGGCACCATGCCTGGATTACTAAGTACTCGATTTTTCCGTTATATAACCCAACAGTTGCATCTACGGTCTTCCTCTTCCATCCTAGCTCTTCACATCGACAAGTTCAGAGATAGCCATGTTGCATGTATTCAAGTAACATACATGGACATAACATTTGGCAGTAACTACTTGACGAGGAGTGTGATCTTGAGATCTCGCCTGTGCTATCACTCGTGTACCATGGGACCTGTGCAGGAGGTTGTGGGATTCCCAACCTGTTTACGATTAATCGTATACGTAAATGCGACTCGCATTCTGTACAAATACGACTCGTATCTTGGGCCAAGTCGTATCTATAACTTTTGGACCCCCGCATGATTCGTATACGACTCGTATATTCATACCATCGGAAACTTTTTATTCCTAAACCTAAATTTGCCACCTCCATCGTGTCAACGCGAAGGACGACTCTCAGTAATCGACACTGAATCCCCTTCGTAGACCGCCCTTCACAGAGCAAACATATTTAAGGCTGTTCATTTATGGTATGTATATACAGTCACTTTTATTATTCTATGTATATACAGTGCCCCCTATAGCGGCGCCTCGCTGTCCTTAAACTCGCCCAGCTTGAACAGGGCCTTCGCATTGTCCCTTCCCATCTTCTTCTTGTCGCTCCCGTTCATGTGCATCTCATCCCACCAGTCACACGCGTCGGCAAAGTTCTCAAACGGATAATCTATAGAGAAGAGGATGCGGTCGGCGCCAACCTCCTGCATACAGAACTGCAGCGTGGTGGTTGAAAAGTGCCCGCTCGTGGTGATCCACAGGTTGCGCTCAAAGTACTCCCGGATCGTGAGCTGGCAGTCAAGACCGAGCGGCTTCTTGACGTCCTCGAACCAGTGGTTGATGCGCCACATGTCAAAGGGAATGTGCTCGCCCAGGTGGCCGAGGATGATCTGGAGCTTTGGGTGTCGGTCGAACACGCCGTTGGTGACCATGCCGAGCGCGTGCAGGCTCACGCCCTGCGCGAAGCTGAGCGGGGGCCCGATGAGCCACTTGCGCTTGGCCCAGAGTTTCTCGTAGATGGTGCCCGTGGGGTTGCGCGGGTGCAGGTAAAAGGGCACGTCGAGGTCGGTCACGGTCGACCAGAAGACGTCCCACTCGGGCCCATCGTAGAAGATCATGTCGTCGCCGTCCGGGCCGGCGCGCTGTGTGTCGTTGACGAGCGCTCCCTTGAAGCCGTACTTTGTCACGCAGCGGCGGAGCTCCTCGGCAGCTTCTTTGGGGTCGTGCATGGAAAGTGTGCTTCTGGCGTTAGCTGGGCTCAACCACGAGGAAGAGCATACTCACGCAAAGGCACCCAGGCGCGTGGGGTGGTCCTTGATGGCGTCCGCAATGTAGTCGTTGATCTCGACCGCGTGGCTGCCTGCCTCTTTGGGGTCCCAGATGTCCTGGACGCCAGGCGCTGTGTACGACAGGATGGTGTATCCGACGCCATGCTTGTCCATGTACTCGATGCGGGTCTTTGTAATGTCCAGGATCTCGGCAACGTGCCTGTCCTTGTCAATGGCGAACATGCCAGCCCACCATCGCTGCTTCTCCGCGAAGCTGGGGAGGATGAAGGCTTCCTCGAAGGCGACCTTTCCGAGCATTGTGACTGTGTCTTTCTGAGAGCTAAAGGGTATAGGGGGGAATGGATAAGGGAGAGTATGAGGTCACGTTGGAGCACGCGCGCTTATAAGGGGACTTTGATTCCTTAGTTCACTCCCGCTGTTTGCCATGGCTGTTAGGCTGGCAGTCGCCTCGCTTCGCATCGCGCTTGAGACCCTGGAGGATGGACGGATGGATGGATGGCTTGGGCGGCCCTCGACCGTCAACCGTCGCATCCATCGCGTAGTGGGGTGCGGGGATCGCCCTGGCGGATACTGTGCTGCTGCGGGTTACATGTGAGGTCAAACAGTAAGAAAATGCTGGCGGAAACTGTCACTGATAGCGTTGCATGAAGTATCCCCTCTTCCCCGCAATGTCGGAGCAGTATCGAGTCCGCTTCCTCCAGTCCTGATACTGTGTCCGTCGCAAACCGCCTACGCACATGCACCATGAATTGGACAATCCATCGGACATGTCGGCGAGTTATTACAACTGAAACTGCGAGGACCGATCTCGCAGGTTGAAGCCAGTGGAGACTTGAACGCTCAAGCTTCCAGTTGAGTGATGACTTTGGGGCCTTGGGCTGCTGGGGACCGACGTAACAACTGGCAGACCGCTCGTGGCAATTGATTTGGATTCACTTTGCGTACACAAACTGAGGCCTAGTTTTTGAAGTAAGACACCAAAGCAGTACGTTCCTCTATGCGATTAAGCCATTCCACACTCACTGGCCGTTAGGGACAGAGCATCCAGGAATCTAAAAGTGGTGTACGCCCCTGACTCCGATTCTCCGCACAACCCGAACGTCCAAGGTCAGTCAGCCATCGCGCGACTCCGTGGACTGCATCTCACGTTCATTTCTATAAACTATACGCAGCGAGTTGAATTCTAGGCCAATCCAGTCTAACATCCGCAGTTCTCAACGAGGAGCATCAACCATGTCGTACAAATCCGAATACCCTGCCGGCGTCCACGTCGACCCCGAGATCAAGTCCTTTTTCGAGAACTTCTACGCCATCTCAGACACTCCTGGCGACCACGACAAGTACGTCGACCAGTTCACGCCCGATGCGACATTTGTGCTCGCCTCGAACAAGTCTACCGGCCATGAGCGTACGTGCCAGCTTACCCTACGCCCAACGAACCCGCACTGACAGACAACCCACAGAGATCAAGCAGATGAGACTCGGCATGTGGGCCAATGTGACGTCTCGCAAGCACACAATCCCCAAGATCGCACCACTCAGTGACACCGAGTTGCTTCTCTACGGGACAGTGGCGTTTGAGCTCAAGTCAGGCGACAAGGCCGCATTGGACTGGGCTGGACGGGCTGAGATCGAGAAGAGCAGTGGCGATGGCAAGTGGCGATTCAAGTTCTATCAGGTATACCTCGACACGGGCGCATTGAATGCATACAAGAAGTAGGATGGGGATTTATATTTAGAGTGAATGGGCAAAATCGACAATGAGCTGACCGACTTGCTCTGGTGCCTCGATGACATGCCAGTGACCGACGCCCTCCACTATTTCGAGCTTCTTTTTTGCGTCTGCGCCCCAGCTGCCTCCAGTTACTTTCATAGTACTACCCGGAGAGAAGGAGACATACCTGTCGACAATAGTCTGACATCCCTCCAGAGGGCTCGTCTTGTCGTCGCCCCCCGCAATGACCAGCACCGGTGAGTTGACCTTGCTGTACTCGGGTGCCGAGGCTGTCGCAATCGTCCGGCAGAGGGAAGCGTAATTTTCGGCCGTTTGTGAGAGGATAAGGGCGCGGATAAAGGCATGGTGCGTCGGCGTGGACAGCGATCCGGTCGCAGCCTTGGGTACCGTGTCTGCCAGAGCCTCCAGACCGTCTATTCAAGTCTCGATTAGACCCGCCCCAGGGAGCAAAGCGATTTCAATACGTACTCTTCTGAACAGTCTCGATACGCTGATTGAAGACGGTGGTCAAGTTTGGTGAGGGATGCACAGGTCCGATCAGGACACTGCCGAGAACACCCTGTACTGCCAGCTCAGAGGCGATCATGCCGCCCATGGAGTGGCCGACCACGATGCTTTTGGACACATTGACAGACAAGGTGTTCAGGAGCTCGCTGATGACACTCGCAATCTCCTTGGGGGTCCGGTCTTTGCTAGCTGGTTGCGAGCAGCCGCTCCCTGTAGGTCGTCAGCTGGAGGTGTAGGGCCTGGACATTGATTTTCCCACCTGGAGTATCAATAGCGAGGCACGCGTAGTCATTTTTGATCAATTCAGGGACGATTGGTCCATAGAAGGCGTGTGATGATCCCAAGCCATGGATCAGGACGATGGTGGTTCCATTGGTGGCAGTAGGCGACGAGTGCTGATAGTACACTTTCTGCCCTTGGATCTGGGAGATAGGCATCTCGGCGATTTTGCAGCGCTTGAGATCTGTTCATCCAACGAGACCATCGTCATCACGAGCATCAACAGTAGTATTATGCAAGCCCAAGCAGCCCAACCCCGCGGCAACTCCGAGTCCCCGACTCCCGACGCCTCCGTGTGACGCTGAGCGGAAGCGGACGTGGTGGGGCCGGACAGCGCCGTCGCTTGCATGTCGCGCACCCGCACTTGGTTTTCCGCGGGTATTGTAGGGACTGGGCATGGATGAAGAAATTTGGAGAAGTCCGATTCGGACCCTGGATCATACTCTGGCAGGGTATTTTGATCTTGCTGTTTACACTTGCTCACACCTGCCGAACCATCACCGGGTGATCTGATCAGACAGCAGCAGAGCCTACCATGACAGTCAACGGCACAGGGTACAGCTCTATAGCTGAGACGTCCAACATCCGACAGATACTGGGGGGCATATTCGACGACAATGTGTCATTGCCGGATGAAGTCAAGAGGAGATCTAGAGATGTCAAGTTGACCGGCACCCAAGACAAGCCCTACTTTCCCATTCCCTTCAAGGAGACTGAGACAACAGCCGCGCTCAAAGCCATCGAGGGCAGCGTCGCCGCCCTTCTCGCCGAGTCAAAAGATGGGCAAAAGGACAGACAAATCACAGTGGACCAGGAGAAGACGACGGCATTCTTGTTCCAGGCATATCTGGCACGAGTAGGCGGACTGGGCAAGCTGGACAAAGATGTGCGGAAGTTCCTCAAGGGTGCGTTTCTGCCACATTGCGTATAGGAATGAGTCGGCTAATTGAGATTGAAAGACACGGATCTTTTGGCGGCACAGTCAAATAGCTATAGGCGCATGTCTGCGAACCTCTACGAGACCAAGGAGCCCGGCGAATACTATCACATCCACGGCTCGCTTGAGGCATCCACGACCCTGAAGATGCTTGGCCTCGTGACACACCGCCCTGATCTGGACACGATGGAAAAGATTGTCGCGACCATTGAGCCTGCGGTACAAAAGTTCACCGTGGCGGAGCTCGAAGAGATGAACGCGAAAAATAGACAAGCGGGTGTCAAGGCGTTCAAGCACGAGGAGTTTCTACAGACGCCCCATGTATGTGGCCCTTTTGACTTCCATTACCATCATACACTGACCAAACCAGGGCCAAGCGATTGCAAAGACAACACCGTGGACGGTGGAAAGTCTCGAAACAGAAACACCACCCACGCCCCTCCCCTCCACCACCGACAACCGCCCACTCTCTGGCATCAAGGTCCTTGAACTCTGCCGCATCATCGCGGGTCCCGTCATCACACGCATCCTGGGCGAGTACGGCGCCACAGTCCTCAAGCTGACTTCGCCACACCTCTCGGACGTGCCCTTCTTCCAGGTCGACGGCAACATGGGCAAGCACGCCGCCGACCTCGATCTTAAGACACCCGAAGGACGGGAGCAGTTTGAGAAGCTGTTGGAGGATGTCGATGTCGTGGTGGATGGCTACCGCCCCGGTGCGTTTGCCAAGCTGGGCTATGGGGAGAAGTATATGAGCGAGCTTGCGAAGAAGAGGGGGAAAGGTGTGGTCTATGTCAACGAGAACTGCTTTGGCTACGTGGGTGAGTGGGCACATCGTCCTGGCTGGCAGCAGATTGCCGACTGCGTGAGTCTCTCTTCTTATTAAAAACGAGTGGACTGCTAACATGGAATAGGTCTCTGGCATCGCCTGGGAGCAGGGCAAGTTCATGGGCCTGAATGAGCCCGTCGTCCCTCCATTCCCCATCTCGGACTATGGCACAGGCTGCATGGGTGCCATCGCAGCGCTGATCGGCCTGTACCATCGCACGACAAAGGGCGGCTCCTGGCACGGCAAGACATCACTCCTGCAGTATGACATGCTGCTCTTCCGCGTCGGGCAGCCTCCCGAGGCGGTGCAGGACGAGCTGCGGGCGCAGGTGAGCGAGGAATTCCTCGCGTTGCGTCATGCGCACAGCGTGGACCAGATCTCGGGCACGGCACTGCGGCAGATGCGCGAGGTGTTCCCGGACTTTGCGGATCATCCGCGGTATCTGGACCACTGGTACTCGACGGCGTACGGGCAGACGGTGGCGGCTGTGAAGCCCGTGGTCGAGATTGATGGGCTTGACATTGGCTTCCAGAGGGCGAGTCGGCCGAATGGCACGGATGCGGCTAGTTGGGACTTTGGCGAGGAGAAGGATTATAGAGTGGAGGCTTAATTTGCAAGGAAGCTTAATATGCAAGGAAGCAATTTAGAAGCGCTTGACACTTCAATGTTCAGTCAACTTATAGAGCCGATGATCACCATACGAGTAAGCATCTAGAGAGCCCAACGATCCCCATTGACTGCTCAACCGATTCCACAAACTTAGCCTCCATAAGACGCGTTCCACGGCTGCCCTGCTATAGAATCTTCCACCCGTGACATCGATATGAGACTGAAGCTCCTCATCTGGGCGGGAGCATCGGAAGACGACCGGCTCGTGGCGGCTAATGCACCCCCTCCGCCTCCTCTCCCACACCACCACGACGTACCCGTCCACCACCTCAAATCCGCGCGCGCAGCACTGCATAGGAAGCAATGGGGAAAGACCGTCAAGGTTCCCCGCGTTTGTTGCAACACCCGATGTTTGCGACGGAAGGGTCCTCCTTGAATATTGGGGTCAAGGGCTCCTGTCACCACCCTCTTGAGCTGACGCTGCCCACCTATCACTCTCACGCCATTAATCACGACATCTGCGCAGGAACTCTTCCATTCTATCTGATCCCACTCCTAATACTTCATTCTAACCAGTCGGGATTTTGTCTCTTTTGTAGTCACTTGTGAAGCACACAGCACCATGGCCGCCAATGGACAGAATGGCGCCGACGCCGCCACGACGCTGGGCCCCGAGTTCACAAAGGAGGTCATCAACTCCATGGGCCCCAACACGGACCCGCGACTGCGCGAGATCATGACGTCGCTCATCGGCCACCTGCACGACTTTGCGCGCGACGTGCGGCTGACGAGCGACGAGTGGCTGGCGGGCGTCAACATGATCAACTGGGCTGGCCAGATGAGCAACGAGAAGAGGAACGAGGGGCAGCTCATCTGCGACATTCTGGGGATGGAGTCGTGAGTATTCCTCGCCTAGGACCAATGTCCAAGACTAACGACGCAGCCTCGTCGACGATATTACCTACACTGCCGCCACCAAGGCATCCTCCAACCTCACAGCCTCAGCCATCCTGGGCCCCTTTTACCGCGAAGACCACCCTGTCCGCCAGAACGGCACCACCATCTCCTTTGACACACCCAAGGACGCCCAGGTCGCCTACATGCACGGCCGCGTCACGGATGCCGCGACCGGAAAGCCCCTCGCCAACGCGGAGATTGACATTTGGCAGGCGTCCACCAACGGCTTGTACGAGCAGCAGGACCCGGACCAGAAGGATCTCAACTTGCGCGGCAAGTTCATCACGGACGAGGAGGGACGGTATGCGCTGTACTGTCTCCGACCAACACCCTATCCGGTGCGTTTCCCATTTTGGAATCCGTCTACGCCCCTTTTGCTGACGACTGAGTGACAGTTGCCCCCCGATGGCCCTGCTGCCCAAATGCTGCGCGCCATGGATCGTCACTTTTACCGCCCCGCGCACATCCACTTCCTCGTCCGCGTACCCGGGTACAAGCAGCTGGTGACGCAGATCTTTGACAGGGACTGCAAGTACCTCGAGAACGACACGGTGTTTGCCGTCAAGCCGGAGTTGGCGGTGGAGTTTAAGCCGCGCAAGGGCGGTCCGGAGGCGGAGTGGGATCTGGAGTATGACATCAAGCTGGGGGCTACCGGGGCGTAACTTGTACGAGAGTATTTGTCTATTGAAGTTCCTTGTCAATGTTGAGCGAGCTTTTGTTGAAGTTTTCTTTGGGTTGTGGATGTGATGGACAGGGTGCTAGGCTTTGGTCCATTCTCTCCAAGAAATTGTGTTCTTCTAAGAGTGACTTGTTAAATCTGATTCGTCTTGTTTTTATGTCCTCACCGACGACTTCAAAAGTCAACCATGGACAGCTGATAGGTCTCGTTTACGCCCAGCAACGAGTGTCAACCGCAGAGTATGGCCAAGTGACAATTCATATAAATCAATGCTATGCTATATCGGACATCAAATCCTACAATCTCGGCTGCTCCTCCTGCTCCGACCCAATGACCACACCATTCGGCAGCTGAAGCCCTATCGGCAGACCGCAGATAAACTTGCCACTGTACTTCTGCCCGTTCTGCGCCGCAATCTTCTCCTCAATGTCCCTGTACATGTCGTAGGCATTCATTTCCTCAATCGTGAGCACCTTCTTCTGGTCCTCGACCTTGTACGTGGGAATGTCCTTGTTGTTCGAGAAGCCTGTCACTGTTAGCACCCTCGTCCCTGTCTTGCAACAGTCCACTCACCGATGCGCTCGTTGATGTTATACGCCGCCTTGGCCGCCGCGCTCTGCACCTTGGTCGCCCTCGGCAGACGCACCTGCGTATACACCGCAAGCGCGTCCTCCACGCTGCCGTTAAAGTACCCCTCTGAAAACAAAATGCCCAGCGCCGCCGCGTCCTCAATCGCCATACACGCACCCTGGCTCTGATGGGGCATCATGGGATGGCCCGCGTCGCCGAGGAGGCACGTCCTCTGCTTGTGCAGATACGGGTACGGTTCGTGCACCCACAACCGCCAGGGCTGAATCTCCTTGCCGATCGCGAGATGCTTCAACACCTGCGCGTCTAGCTTGGGGTATGGACGCAGCAGATCCTCGGTGGGCAGCGAGTCGGCGCCCCATTGCTGTGTCGTGTAGTCACCCTGCTCGCGCGGGAAGAAGCAGTAGTAGCTGAGCAGCTTGCCGCCATTGCAGGGCGACAGCACAATCTTGTCCCACTTGCCCTCCTGGCCGCCCCAGTACTCGAGCGCCGCGTTCTGCGAGTAGTCGACGAGGCCCAGCCGCACGGCGTCCTCGGTCATGACGTTGCAGTGCAGGCAGGACTGGTCTGAAGGGCGCTTGGCTGGATGGATGCCGACCTCGCGACGGACGGCGGACCCGATGCCGTCGGCGCCCACGATGAGGTCGTGCTGGACGGTGGACCCGTTTGTGAATGTGATGGTGTTGGTGTCGAGGTCGATCTTGTCGCACTTTTGGTTCACCTTGAGCACCGCAGGCTCCCCCTTGCCCTCCGCCTGCAGCGCCGTGTCCTTGAGCATGGCGTGCATGTACTGGCGATGGAACATGTTGTACACGTATCCCCACTTCTTCTCATAGTCGTCGAGGCTGTAGACGCTCACCGGCTCGCCCGTGTACCAGTCCCTGTTGATGAGCGACTTGAGCACGACGGGGTCGCCCTTTTCGACGTCGACGGCCCACTCGTGCAGCCAGCGCGTCCCGTTGGCGGCGCACGAGACCGAGGCGCCCACCTCGCCGGCAAAGTCGGAGCGCTCGTAGATGGTTACCGTGTGGCCTGCGCGGCGGAGGGCAATGGCCACGGACATGCCGCCAATGCCACCCCCAATGACGCCCACGTCGAGATGGCGCCAGCCGGACGAGGCCATGTCTGCTGTGCTTGCGGGGGACATTTGATGCTGTCTAGTCTTCTTTCTGCGTTCTTCTGAGAGTATCGCGGTCGGCAGGCTGGACGATGATGAAAGTTGGGTAGTGTGTCGACTGATAACGACGAGAAACGGCACCACCACACCAAATACACTTTATAATGATTCGCAGATGCAACTTCTTGTCCGCGACCAGCCGAGAACTACATTCTCTGTGCTTCGTGTGCCCATCCCTCCCCGCCGTATCGACAGCCTGGAATTGGGGTGCGCCGTGATAAGCGGATACGGGCGTGCTTTACCCGACGCGGTCTTATCAGGAGGACACCCACTCGGATGGGCGCATGGTCGGATAGACGGGTAGTGGCAGTGTCGTGTCATGCATGTCAGCTTGATTGTCCCCGAGTTCTGGATGAATGCTAGACGAGCTGTTCATGCGTCTGTTGTACGCATCCGCCGGCTGTGCGAGCACGGATTGACCACCAACATGATCACGCGGTACGTCAGTGACCTAAATCAATGTCTCGTAAGTACGAGTGTAACAAAACGCCTGCCTGCGGTGCACTACCTTGGCCCATCTGTCAACCAGCAACGCCCGTCCCTTCATGTCCGGTCACGACAAGTACGGAAAGCTATCCCACTGCGAGATGTCCAGACTGTCCCAGTCCATGAACAAGTCGCCCGGTTCCCCATTGCCCACGGGCGTGTTTTGCCCAAACGACAGCGTGGCCATGATCCCATCCATCTGCCCGTCACTCAGAACCGACGTATTACTGGCCTCTCCACCACCTGTCGGGGCATTGCTCTGCGCGCGGTCAAAGTTGAAGAGCTTGCTCACGTAAGAACTCCTCCCCTTGGCTACCGCTCGCTGGCGATACTCGGTGATGGCATTCGCGAGAGATGTGAGTATGTCGTGGTACAGCGCTGCCTGGGGTGATTTACGACCCAGATACGAGAGGAGGTCGCGCGCGTTGTGAAAGGCGGATTCTATACCGTAGTCCACCGTCCCCTTGGCAAAGATCTCGAACCCGAGGACGAGGCCAGCGGGAAAGATGATGGCTCTGTTTGTGTGTGTCAGCATAATGACCATGTTTAACAATATCTTAGTAACTCACTTGAGAATGCACATGTTTGCCAGCAGTAAATTATGCCTCTGTGCCCCCGAGCACGTCTGGATCGTGAACATGGCCGCGTCGAGACACGCCGATGCCAGCTGCGTGTGCACCAGTCCACTGGCAGGTTGCTGCGCCAGCGTGGCCACGAGAATCGGTCTCGTGACAATTGTGACGGCAAAGTAGTACAGACACGACACATGCACACGGCCAATGGCCCCCTTGTCCTTGACGCCCGCCGCCTGCACCTGGTCTGGCAGCGGGCTTGTCCTCAGAAAGTCGGGCAGGTCTTGACTCCATTGTCCCAGCTGCTGCAGATGCTCCTCGACGGCCGGGATGGTAATCTCTTTCTTGTCGTACATGGTGTCGACAATGTTGTTGATCAAAGCCACGATGCGGTAGGACGCCCCGAGACAAATCAAGCCTCGGTCGTCTGACGAGGCTACTGTGCTGTCTATGAGGGATTGCAGGTCCGAGTGGACGCCTGCCGTGGCCGCTGGCCGGCCCAGGATGGAGTTGACCACGATGTCGAGTACACGGAGACTCATCCACACGCGGAGCCTATCTTGCCAGTCAGAGATGCATGTGCCAGACTGGTCTACGGGTTCACCTACCTCAACTGATGCTTCGGGTCGTTCATGTCCGTGTAAGTCTCTCGACTGTGAATGCCCAATGCCACGGCTGCCCTCGTTGCGATGCCCAGATACAGAAATGCCGTGTTGCGACGGCACTCGCCTAGCAGGTAGAAGGACATGATCAGGAACGTCCTGACCATATCAATGTCTGGGTCCTCCAACATCCCCGAGAACACTTGCACCTGTGACTCCCTAAAGTAGGAGATTTCCCTGTCGTGAGTATCACCAGACGCCTCGCACTGCAGCCCAATGGCCACGACCAGGTCCGCTATCGAGCGCTGCGGTCGTCGTAGCGCCGTCGTGGAAGTGAGCATCGCCTCTAGCTCATTGGGGAGGAAAACGTCAATCAGGCCGCCCGTCTGCCATCTAGTTAGCCACAGTCCACAGCTGTCCTTTGGCCGCCAACTCTCGACTCACCACGCCGTGGAAACAGTCTGCGCACATGAGCTTGGCCTCGGGACTCAGGTCACTAATCCCTGGCTGCCGCGTGTGTGCCTGCGGGCTCTCCTTCTCCAGCATGGTGTCGCTATTCCCCTGTCTTGAGAACTGCGAGGGGCCAATCTGATCCGACACGATCCCTCTCACCAGTTGTAGGAAAGACAGCGAGCCCCCGCCGCCAATGTACACCCTCTCGCCCTTGAGGTTGAGCAGCATGCGCGACGCGGGCTTGGTCGCCTCCAGAGCCGTCTGTGCTTGTGACCTCTCGTTGACGTGGGACGACCCAGCGACACTTCGTCCTGTCAATGAGCCGTCCACATCCGTCGTCGTCCGCGACTCTGATGGTGATATCGGCTCGAACACAGCCGCGGGCGTCGCCCCCTCTCCTCCCCCGAGCAGCGTGGTCATGGGGCTCTGCAGGGACGACCTCTCCGCCGATATGTTGGGTCTCACCGCGCCCGTTGCTGTTGGTATTGATATGAGGTCACGGCCGCTATGGCTGATGGAATTGGAGCGCGGCTCTGGCATGGACGAGCGATGGCCACGCGGACGGTGGGTGAGCACGCAGGACGACCCCATGCCCCGACGCAGACAGTGCGTGCAGGGCGTCGTGCCGGAGCAGCGCTTCTTTGCCTCGCGACAGGCGTTGCAGGCCTCGGAGGCGCGTTGACGCTGCGAGGGGTGGACTTTGGGGCGAGGCATCTCAAGCTTATCTGGGGGTGGGTTGGGCGGAGGTGGCAGTTGTCCTTGTGACTGGACTTGACTGCGGCAGCATCTGCACCTATGTTGCTGCCGAGTTTCAAGGTGGCGTCCAAGATGATCAAACTGTCAAGTAATAGGGAAATGATAGTCGTGACAGTCTCAATGAACCGTTGGTGTGCATGTGCTGACCGGAAGCATGGGATTGCAGTTCAGGGTTTCCCCAGAATCGGGGTTGTCGCCATTGGAGTCTTGGGCTCTTGGGCGCTCGGCGCGTTACGTAAGTAGACGCATACCCTAGACCAGATAGCAGTTCAAGGTGGCGCCGTCTGGGGAAGTCCATTTAATTTATGAACTGATCTAGACTGAAAGTGATTGATCAAACCGTAGTTCTATGAGGCAAAGAGTTTCGATGTGTTAATTTGCAGCGTGTGATCATTGCGTCTGAACTTGGTGTATGCTCTTTGGCCTTGCACTTTTTGTGTTGCTTCAACGCAGTCATACGAATGTTTAGTGCAAAGATTTCCTATTTGACCTAGGGGTCTGCATGCACCTTATCACTACAGAATCTTGATTCGATTACGGATAGCTTCAGCCGTATTCGGCTCCAGCATAGAGATGAATCTAACACGAGATAAGCTGGATCCATGGAGTGTTCAGGGTATCCCAGAACGGCCCTTGGCCCTCGCTCTGTTCAACCACTGATCAAAGTCCCGACCCCGACTTTTGGACAGCAAACGTGCTGCTGAACATGCGATTGAACTCAATCAGGATGGGTTCACGCGTTCAAAAACACCTGTCACTTGCCATCACCAGTAGACTCGTCTGTCTGGTACCAGACACGTCGGTGCAGCACCCGCCCACAAGGCGTCCGTACCCGACGCAACGGACAAGGCCCGGGGTCTGCGCCAGGCTGCCGGGTGGATTTGGTGGCTGCAAGTCCAGAACAGCGTGGCTTATCGATTTCCGTAGTGCAGGCGAATGGACAGGAGTCGGATTGCTACCAGTCTATCGTGGAACAGGGCAGGGGTCTTATCTACATAGTCTGGCCTAGCAATGTCACAACGTGTCTGAGGTGGACATTGAAGCTGGTGTTCGCGATGCTGAATGGGAAGAATGCTGCCAGACGAGAGAAGAGCTGGAATTGCCTGAATAGACTGTGTAAGACAAAGCAGCAGCCGGTGACTAGGAGTCACCAGACTAGTTTCGCGCGGCGAAGGAGACCAGACTGGACTCACCCCGAGCCTCAAGGATCCTCCCCCGCAACTCCACCGTTCACCCCGGGTCTTGGCAGACTGACCCTCGGGCCTCGCGTAGAATCCTGAATCATGAGTGGAATGCCGCGATGAATCCAAGCTTAATGCTTATTGAGGAGCAGCCACAGGCCCACATCAGCCCCGGTCGATACGCTTTGGCAGCTAGGCAACCCCTTCCACCGCCCCGGATACCAACCCCTTATCTCGCTGCCAGACGCAGAACCGCAAGCCAATTGACGGTTATGTTCCCAGGCCTCTGGGCAAGACTCAACAGCAAGGGGCGGAAACCACCCAAGTACAAATTGTTCATCGTGGGATCAAATTCCTTTCGTGGCTGGCTCCAGTCGCTCCTCGCCTCAACTCCCATCCACCTGCAGCAGACTCTATTAGCCTTATACCTTATCTCCAGCCCAGGCCAGTCTCCGTGCAGGATCGGCATCCCCTCTCCTTCCGCCGTCATGGCCAACGAATCCATCTCCAAGGCCGAAACTGGTGGCAGCTTCGTCCAAGAGACTACAGAAAAGTCAGCAACTACAACAATGTCTCAGAAGATCGAGGCTGCGAATACTGACGACAGCAGAGATGGCGCCCCTGTCTACGAATACGATCGTCTCGCTGAGCGCAAGCTGCGCAACAAGATCGACCTCATGATCATGCCCACGACATGCCTGCTGTATCTCTTCTGCTTCATCGATCGCGCCAACATTGGTAAGTCAAGTCATCCAACAGTCTCTCCAGTTTTCAAGCTGACCCTCATCACATAGGCAACGCGCGCATTGCTGGCATGGATGTAGAACTGGGAATGAAGGGCTTCGACTACAATGCCACCCTCTCCATGTTCTACGTCTCCTACATTGTCTTTGAGCTGCCCTCCAACGTCGTCTGCAAGCTCGTCGGTCCCGGATGGTTCATCCCCTTCCTTACCGTCATGTTTGGCATTTGTTCCATCGGCTGCGGCTTCGTCCAGACCACTCAGCAGATGATGGGTGTCCGCTTCCTGCTCGGCATCTTCGAGGCGGGCATGATGCCTGGCGTGGCCTACTACCTGTCACGGTGGTACCGTCGCTCCGAGCTGACGTTTCGCATGGGATTGTACCTCGTGACGGGACCCGTGGCTGGTGCCTTTGGCGCGCTGCTTGCGGGTGCCATCCTGAACCTCGACTCCTTCGGCGCGGCCAAGGGCTGGCGGATGATCTTTGCCATTGAGGGCGTCGTGACCATCAGTCTGGGTGTCATCGGCTTCTTCACGCTGACCGACCGCCCTGAGACAGCGCGCTGGCTGTCCGCCGACGAGAAGCGTCTCTGTGAGGAGCGCCTGCGTAGCGAGCGTCTCGGCGCCACAAAGGTCCTCGACAAGCTGGACAAGAAGAAGCTCGTCCTCGGAATGTTCAACCCCATGGTCATCACCACTTCGGTTATCTTCCTCTTCTGCAATATCACCGTCCAAGGCCTCGGCTTCTTCCTGCCCACCATTGTCGGCAGCATCCACGCGGACAAGACCGTCATCCAGAAGCAGCTCTTCACCGTGCCACCGTACATTGTCGGCTCTATCGTCACGCTCATTATCCCCCTCCTCAGCTGGCGCTGGGACAGGCGTCAGATCTTTATGATTGTCACCGCGCCCATGGGTATCACCGGGTACATCATCTTCCTCGCCACCACCAACCAGACCGCCCGCTACGCTGCCACATTCCTCATCACCTCCTCGGCCTTCTACCTGGGCGCCCTCACCAACAGCCAGGTCTCGGCCAACGTCGTTTCTGACACGGCGCGCACTTCCGCCATTGGCCTCAACGTTCTCTTTGGCAACATTGGCGGCCTCATCTCGACCTGGTCCTTCTTGCCCTTTGACGCGCCCAACTATCCCATTGGTAACGGCTTGAACCTGGGTGTCCAGATGGGCACCCTCACCATTGCCACGATCATGCTGTTCTGGATGAAGAGGAATAATGCGGCGCGCGACAGGCGCGAGACCGAGGAGCTCGACAAGATTCGGGACATGACCCGCGAGGAGCAGGAGGATTTGGACTGGAAGCACCCTTCGTTCCGCTGGAGGTCGTGAGCGTGATCTGGCGTAGGCTTCATACCGGAGGGCCAGTCATGGTCACTCATATATATCTAGATAATGGCTAGCCATGCTGCAATCAAGGTATCATTAATCGTACCATTTCGCGAACCTCGACAAGCCTACTCCTGCCAGGTCACAGTCTTATAGTACAGAAACTCGTCCATGCCCTGGTACCCGTTGAACCGCCCGAATCCGCTCTTCTTCACACCGCCATGCGGCAGCGTGTACTCATCATGTACCGTCATCGAGTTGATGTGCACAGCGCCGCTTTCCAGCTCCTCTGCCACCTTGAAAGCCCTGTTCAGGTCCTTGGTGAAGACAGCTGCCGAGAGACCGTAGGCGGTGTTGTTCGCCAGCGAGATGGCTTCCGCGTCCGTCTTGAAGGTGAAGAGCGATGTGCTGGGTCCAAAAGACTCGGTCTGGTAGAGATCCATGTCCTCCCGCACGCCCTGCAGGACGATGGGCTGCATGCGTGTCTCTACCTGGCTGGCTGGGGCGCCAAGAATGTCCATCGATCTGGCACCCTTGGTGACTGCGTCCCCCACGAGATCGCGGTTCCGATGCGCAGAAGAGGCGCTGATGAGCACAGGCGTCGTCTCTGGGGTCCCAAAGACATTCCTGATGGTAGCCGCAAGGACCTTCTCAAAGTCGGCTGCGATGCTCTCATGGACAAGGACGCGCTCAGTAGACATGCAAATCTGCCCAGCCTGCGATACGTCAGCGAACAAACCACACAAGAAACATCGACGGAGACTCACATTCAGAAATGCGCCCAGTGCGCATTGCAGCGCCGCCTTCTCCAGATCCGCATCCTCCAAGACAATAGCGCTCGCCTTGCCGCCCAGCTCCATGAGCACGGGCTTAAGGTGCTCGCCCGCCTTTTTGGCGATGATGCTACCGACGCGCGTGCTCCCCGTAAAGTTGATCTTCTTGACGTGCTCATGCGTGACGAGCTTGTCCATGACCCTTGGCCCGTCCTGGGGCGCGTGGAGAATCAGATTGAGCACGCCATCTGGCAGACCGGCCTCGCGGAAGATGTCGGCTATAGCGTAGTAGCAGCGAGGCGTGAACTCGGATCCCTTGAGGATGGCTGTGTTTCCGGCTGCGATGGCGAACAGAACGGATCGCAGACCGAGGTGGTACGGTGCGTTCCTACTCACGTCAGTGCCTGCGCAACTTTCTTACAAGGAGACATACCAAGGCGCGATGCCCACGTTCACGCCATAAGGACGCTTGAGCACCATGGCCCTCATACCAGGCAGGTTGGACTCTGGAACAGTCCCCGTGACAGCGCCCGCGATGCGCCCTGCCGTATCTCTGAATCCATCAATCGTTAACCCCAGGATGAAGTCCTGATACCCCTCGTCGGCCCCAATCTCGTGGTGCATGTATCCGCCCAGCTCTGTCTTCCTCCTGGCGACAATATCAGCACAGGAGAGAAGGAGGTCTCGACGATGACACACCTTAGTCTTGGACCACGCTGGGAACGCGGCTTGGCATGATTGTACGGCTTCCTCCACGTGCGCGTCGGATGCGCTCGAGAATGACCAGACGGGCTTGTTTGTGAGGGGCGATATCGTGGGCGCGGTGGTTGTGGTGATGACGTCCTTGTTGTTGATCATCAGAGGGACTGTTGACATGGACCGACGGCCATTAGGCCTGACGGCCCGTAGGAGATGCGTGCGCATGGCTGTTGACTTGCTTAGTCTGGGCTCTCAAGCCGCCCGACGTGACGTGAGGCCTTGATCTGGTTGGCGGCGATGAGACAGATCGTGAAGGAGTCCACCAGGCGACATGGACACTCCACGCAAGAACTCATTTCCGCCACGGGCAGGTTGCACAGTCCTCGAATCAACTGATAGGCTGGTAGATCCGTCGTGGTACGGAAATTCCGCACATGCATGAGGCATGGGTCAAGTGGGTGGACAGGGGTGGAACTTTGGAGACTTGGATTGGAGAATGGAGATGCCATTCTGCACATCGTGTGAACATAGCGTTTTAGAAATGTAGACTAGCGAGAACACTGGCTCATCCGATATCTAGAGACTGCTTTTCAAAGCACATGCAGTGTGCGTCGTGATGCCTCAAAGGACATCAGCAGGGATAACAATGGCCAAGGCCGAAGGTGTTCACTTGGCAATAACCAACCCCTGGACCTTTTCACTGGAAGAACTCTACACCCCAAGTCCATCGCTCTCCCAATTCTGGAGCACGCGCTCCTGGATGTCCCTGGGGTAGCTCGTCTCAAAGTCCACCGAGTGAAACGTCTTCTCACCTCTGTACTCCATCGGGAACAGACAGTCCATGATCACCTTGCCACCGTTCCTCACACTGCCGCCTCCGTGGCACATGTACGGCGTCAAGGGAAAGCTGGGCACATCCTCAAAGACAAACTCGTCCTGACCTGGACGACACCTCGTCGCCAGCGCCCAGAGAATGTCGCGCAAGCTGTAGATGTCGACGTCTGGGCCGAAGAGGAGGATGCGGTTGGTGAGCATGCTGGACTTGTTACGGAAGACAGTCTGTCCTAGAGCCTCGCAGAATTCTTTTGAGGTGGTCTTTGACGCAGTCAGGGCCGCTGTGTCCACCTTGAGCGCGCACCAGGTCCCCATCATCTCGAGGGGGGCGTTGGCATCCAGAATGGGGAAGCCTTTGTCTTTAACAAAGCTGAGAAGCTTTTCTGAGGCCATTGCGCAGGTTGTGTGCTGCTACTTGTCAGCTTCTGCCCCTGTAAAGGGCGCACAACAACACTCACGGATTCATCGGTGATTCTGCCCGGAACAGACACCGGGAGAATGGCATCGTCGCGATAGGTGATGGCGTCCACCTTGAACAGCGGATGCATATGCTTGTCATTGTCAAAGTGCAGTCCCAAAAAGTCCTCGAATGGACCCTCATATGCCTTGTCAACCAAGGAAGCAGTGCCCTCGAGAACAATCTCACTAGTAGCGGGTACCTCTAGACCACTCAGCTCACATTTGACCATATCGAGCGGCTTGCCGACTTGAGCCCCAATGTACTCGACCTCCGTGACCCCCTCGGGGATAGGAAGAGCTGCCGCGAGGTTCAAGGAGGGGGGCACTCCCAACGCCAAAGCCCAAGGCATCTCTGTCTTGCCAGCCTGTATCCACTTCTCGCGAATAATCGCATTGTGCTGTCCCGTCCCAACAAGACAGACAAGGCTTCTCGAGTCGTGGATCATGCCTCGGAAAATCGAGCAGTTGGTCCACGTGCCGTCAGGCGATCGCAGGAGATGCACGCCATATGTCTGCAGGTACTTCCCACCGTCATCGGCATGCAGCATGGGAGCCGGTAGCTTGTGCAGATCAATGTCCTCGCCAAAGATCTTGTTCTGCTTACAGGGACCGTCAGCCACAATGTTGGGTTTCATAGGCTCCCTCGTCTTCGCTTCCTGTGTTCGCACAAGGACATCTTTCCAGCTCGCTTCCGGTTCGAGGCCAATATTCCTGGCTATGCGGCCGTATCTCTCCTTCTCGGACCTTCGCAAGCTCGCCGCGTTGCCGAATATTCGAAAAAGGCCATCTTTCGCGCCCTTCACATTCTGGAACAGCGGCGCCTTTGCATTGGTCTCGCTCACGCGACGGACAATGGCGCCAACCTCCAGGTGGGGATCGACCTCGCGTGTGATCTCAGCAAGGTCGCCGTCTTTCTGAAGCACGTCGATAAAGGTGCGAAAGTTGAGTTGAGCGTCTATGGCTTCTTGCTTGGTGACGAGGCTGCTCTGATGTCGAAGATGGCGGTGGAGTTGGCTTGTCGGTAGGTGGCGAGCCAAGCGGCTGCTCTTGGACAGCAGCATGTCAAGCTGCCCTTGCCACTGAGTTGAACTGCGAGTGATTTTGACTTGAATTTGGCGGCCTTAAACTGGATAGAGTTATCCAGTGAATTTAAGAGTGGCAGTGGAGGTGAGCTGTGACCACAGAGGTAGGACGACGGCATGCAACTGTAGAGACTGGGCTCATGACTGAACCCTTGGCATGTCGAGTCTAACGCCGATCCTCCAGCCGCCATGAAGACGATGAACTCGGAGTCGGATGAGAGTCAAATGGCTGTGATACAAATCGACGGAATGTGCCGTGTCCGCCTGGGCGCCATTCCGATGGGTGTGTCGATCGTTCGGAACGTCGTATCTTGGCCACGCTAGACATACACCGACTCGGCTCGCTAGTGTGGGACGGTGGGAGGGGAACATTCAGTTTCCATGCCGTCGGCTTGCTCGTGGCAAGACATGTATCGAATGTCTGATAATGGGGAGACGTCCACGTGAATGTCGTGGTGCTTGGTCGTCCTGCGCGTGAAGCTGCGCTTCTCCTGCTGCTGCGGAGCACTGGTTGCCACTGAAAGCCTTCTACCATCTCAACACTCCATCGTACCAAAAACAGCCGTCATTCTAAGGGAGGAACTCTCGAAAATGCGTCCTGCTCGCTTGACAAGAACTGCCGTCCGCCCTGGTCGACAGGCCCGTCCTGCCCTTTACCAGCTACAGAGGCCATCAGCAGCCCTGCCAGCACCAACATATTGCACAAACCATCCACGAGCCTCAAGAAATTATAGTGCATCACCTCTCCCGCACCATACGCAGCCCATCCTCTCCCCCTACCGCCCCAAGCGCATCGTGATCGGCATCACAGGCGCAACAGGCACCCTCTACGCCATCCGGATCCTCCAGATCCTCCGCGCCCTCCAGGTCGAAACCCACCTGGTCATCTCCAAGTGGGCGCTCGCGACCATGAAGTACGAGACATCCCTCACCGAAGCCCAGATCCGCGCCATGGCCTCCGTATGCTACACAGCCAAGGACCTCAGCGCACCCATCGCCAGCGGCTCTTTCCAGCACGACGGCATGATGATCGTGCCGTGCAGCATGAAGACGCTGAGCGCCGTCCGGACGGGTTTCTGCGACGACCTCATCTCTCGCGCGGCGGATGTCAGTCTCAAAGAGAACAGGAAACTGGTCATGGCGGTGCGTGAGACGCCGCTGAATGACATTCACCTAGAGAACATGCTCTTCCTGCGGCGGGCGGGTGCGTGCATCTTCCCTCCTGTGCCGTCGTTTTATAATCGCCCCGAGACATTGGAGGATATGGTGGACCAGACGGCGGGCAGGATGTTGGATCAGATGGGGATCGTCACGGAAGGATTTGAGCGATGGGAGGGATTCCGGTGGAATAAGAAGGTGGAAGAGGAGAGGCCAAAAGCGGCCGTTGGTTATTCGTAGAGTGAAATTCAGGGGTTCTTCCTCAGACCAAACATTGCTTCCTGCTCTGCCATGGGCCAGTCGAATAAGATGGACTCTGCCCAGCCGGTTTGAAAGCTCCTGTCTCCGTCAAGTGCATGTGATGCGTACCCTTGAATCACCGTCTGTGGCCCAACGAACTGGGAGTAGACCTGGGGATTCGTTGGCTGGCTTGCGGTGGCTCGATCGTGTTCCACGCTGGACGAGCCTGCAGCTTGGTTGTTCCAGGGCATTGGATGATGACTGCTGCTATCCACGGTTGCCTGGTCCCTCAAAGACCTGTGTCCATTGACGTCAAGGACACCCAACTGATCCAAGGTGTCCCGTAGCTCCACGAGTCGTTTGCCCAGTCGCCGAGATGCTCTCGACACCGGGCCATACTTGACAGCCAACGTCATGGCCATGTGAAAGGTCGCTTGGATGCAGTTCCTATGCTCAATGACGCTCTCTGTGAATTCACTGCTTCGTCTTTCCACAAACGTGACCAGCAGGAAGAACAAAGCGCATGTGGAAGCAAGGACATGCTGGTAAAAAGGCCGCTGCATGCGATATAGGTCTGTCTCCGTGTCCAGCGTGTATAAGATGTGCACGACATTGGAGACCAAGTCCAGCGCCGGACGGACGTTCCTCTCGCCAATCTCCTCGTCGGTATTGGGGAAGAAGAATGGGCGAAGCAGCAGCGTCCGCACTGATTCTGCGCGTAATGCGAGCAGTATTGTCCAGGAAGGGGGTCTCGTCGACGGAGATGCAAGTTGAACCCTGATTTGGCTCAATGACTGCTGCCCAATTGCCTTTCTCCGCCATTGTTCGAGCTGAAAGTTCATGATTTCATAGGTATCGTTGTCTTGGTTTATGTCCCCCTTTGCCGCCTTCGATATCGAGTCGGCAAATTTGTCGCTGATGATGAGAAACGCCGTCATGGCGTTGAGATATGGTGATTCGATCTTGTAAATGTGTTAGCTCCGTGATGTAGAAAAAAAAGCCGCAGGATCGCCTCACCAGATGCCGAGGGACGGTGTCAAAGGACGAGTCCTGGAAGTTGGGCGGCAAGCCTGTCGCGGCACTCCACTGCCGGTCCAGGATGACAACGCTGGCTGTCACCACGGCCACCTCTCTTTTCTGCGCCTCCGATGTGAGGATGTGCTTGGAGACCTCGCCATTGTGGAAGCCGAGCTCCATCAAGAGCCGGCCTGCCGTGCCACACATGCGCCAAGCACAGCGTGGCTCGTCCTGGAAGTAGTCATACAGGCCCTATTCGGGTCAGACAGGAAGGATGATGATTTGCAGATAATGCTTACCGCTAACAACACAATCACGACATCCTTGATGGTTGTCGCCGGGGCAGCGAGCTTGGCGTTGAGCGCATCTTGGAACCGCGATTGCAAGGCCATCTCGGCGTTAGACGTTGCGCTCGTGGACTCAGCTCGCAAAGCAATGGCCAGTGCGAGATTGAGGATCAGCAGATTGTTCTCCTCTGCAGCCGTCTGGTTCGAGGATTCCAAGCCGGAGCCACTGCACCAAGAATGGGCCTGTTCAGCCAGCTCTTCGATGTCGACGACAGGATGAAATTCCCCCACGACCTCTTGATAAATGTGCAGTAGCTTTTTGATGTCTTCCAGACCCAGGATTGACCGAAAGTATAGCAGCTTCAAATTTTCCGCCCGCTGCGATCGCCGAGACTCTGTTGATATCTGGCTCATTCCATCAGGGTGCTCGTCGTCCCCGCCATGTGTCGCCCCATTGTTCATGCTCGCCAGCGTTGGCCGCGGCTGGATGGAGATCGAGTGGCTCCTTTGCCTCAGCTTCATCTGCGCCATATTTAAGCTGTAGTCTGGGCTCGTTGGTCCGCAGAAGTTGCGCGCAGACAAGGGTGATGTCTCTGCGCCCGAGCTGTCGGGTCGCCGGGTGGTCGCCTGGGGGAAGGATATCGGACGTGTTGGAGATGGCAGGCTGGTATGGTGTTGTTGAGCAGGACCGCCTAGGGCTATTGCTGGCACCGGCTCAGGCAGGTTGACCCTGGAAGCCAGATTGTCGAGTTGTCGTTGCAACTGCGCCACCAGATTGAGCAACGACTCCTGCCCTCCCTCGCTCTGGTCGACGTGCCGGATTGCTTGCGATAGTGACATTGGATCTTGCCCTGGCACCTGTGCGCACTGATTCGAGAACGGTTCAAACCCTCGCGTTCTCATGGGCGACAATGACGCCCTCTGTTCGTCCTCGTCCTGCGGTTCCAAGTCATCAATGCATGTGGCATCCAGCGCAAAGACCTCGCCCTGCGCGACGCTGCTGAAAAGGCAGGCCCGCCCTCGTCCTGCGCAGTGTCCGCAGGGCTGGTTCCCGTCGCATTTCCCCTTGCGCCTTCGACACGCATCGCAGGCGCGCAGCGCATAGGGTCCTCGTCGTCTTCCCGATCGAGACGGCTGCTGTGCGCTGGTTGGCTTGGTGACTCGCGTTTCGTGCATCGCGGTTGGCGGCTGTCCTGCCAAATACGGAGCAATGGCATGACATGGGGACTAACAGACGTGGAATGGAGGGTGAGGGTTGTGACAAGTGACGAGGGGACTTGTCGGAGTAGGGCCTCAATCTCCGGTCACGCAAGTCGCGAGCATAGCGGCATTAGACCAGGTGCCATCTCCACATGTTATCGCGGGTTGCATCTGTCCCCTGTCCCCTGCTGCTTGTCGTCAATTAAGATCTTAACTGACTCGCGCAAGCGGAGTGCGGGGGCGGCAGATAACACCGGGTTCAGGACGCTCGCGTGGGTTGACAAACTGGCGATTAGAGTCCGTCGTTGACAGACGCAAGCTTGCCTACCCTGCATCACATTCTTCAAGGTGACTTCGCTATGATAATCAGTCTAGAAAATGACGTCCTTGGATAACCATTTTACAAACCGCACATTTCAAAGGTGAAACCTTCCATCCCTTTCTATTTGCAGATCCCGCTCTTGAGTTGACGGGCCGCTACCACCGCCATCGATTTGGTAGCATTGTGGTCGCGGATGAAGGCAAGCACTTATTGTCTGACCTTGAAAGCTGAGCGCGCCCGGAGCCGCTGACCAACTCCATGATATCTTGGGCCCACCCACCTTCCGTTGTGATCACGAAGGGGTCAGAACATGAATGTAGCAAAGCGGCAGATAACTCTAATCTCTTTCTCCTTTTTTCTGCAGTTTTATCACTACGCTCATTTTGTGCAATGCATGTACCCTCTGAGCCACTCCCTTTGACCCCAGGCACAGGCATTCCCGATCTGACTGTGGCTTTTGGCGGGTGGTCTTGTGGCGCAGTAAAGCTATACTTCCCCCCTACTGGCGCCATCTCTTGTCCCTCACCAACACCGACCATGGCGTCACACCTCAGGGCGTTCAAGAATGCCCTGAGACGACGCTCACTGTCTTCAAGGCCTTTTTCGAAAATTCCTAATGGCGAGTTGCCTCTAGGAACCCCCATTGAAGAGGAAACTTTACTCCACTACGAGCCCGGGCAATATTACCCTGTCCACATTGGAGACGTCTTCATAGCCCGGTATCGCGTCGCAGGCAAGCTCGGCTATGGCGCGTATTCAACAAGTTGGCTGTGCCATGACATCTTGTGAGTTTTGGACCCGACAGCATGATCAATCCGCCAAGAGGGTGAACTTGCCAGCGCTAGCAAGTACGTGGCTATCAAGGTGTCAACCTCGTTGCGCAAGTTTCCTACAGCCACCCATCGCAAGCTCAGGGTGTACGAACATCTCGCCAAGGTCAACTCGCCGCACCCAGGGCAATCTCTGCTCCGCGAGCTTCATGATGCATTCGAATTAGACGGACCAGCAGGCAGACACCAATGTCTAGTGCAGCAGCCAATGCACATGACGGTGCTGGAGATGATGCGACTGAATTCCGAACCGTTTAATCTACCTCTCCTCAAGATGACCCTGAGGCGGATTCTGTCCGCTTTAGACTTCCTGCATACCGAGGCACAAGTTATCCACACCGGTATGTAGCCTCGTGTCTTCTCGTGGATGTAGCGCCACCATTAACTATCAGTAGACCTCAAAACCGACAATCTAATGCTTAGTCTTGATGACGACACCATGTTGGCAAACTTTGCGAAAGCGGAGGAGGAGGAAACTAGTCTCTGTAAGAAGATCGACGAGTCGAGAACCATCTACAAAAGCCGTCGCTTTCGGCCACCTGTAGGCGGAAAGGGCTATGGCCTGCCAGTCTTGTGCGACTTTGGAGAAGCAAGAATCGGGTTGAAACATGAGACCGGCCCGTTTGTTCAACCGCATATCTACAGGGCGCCGGAAGTGATCTTTGAGATGCCATGGGGAAGTGCCGTCGACATCTGGAACTTGGCAGGTCTGGTGCGCGCCGCTCTCAGCCAACATGGTCAAGCTCTACAGACTAACCCACGGCAGATATGGGACCTCTTTGAGGGACAGCATCTATTCAGAGACATTTTTGACGCCAAGGGTGGCCACGACCCATTCAAGCACCTGGCGCTCATAGTCGCCCTGGCCGGGCCACCCCCGAGCGAATTTGTCAAGCGCAGTGAGACGACGGAGCAATGTTTCGACCCTAATGGTAAACGCCGTATCTGACACTTGCCCTGGACGCGGCCTCGGAGCTGACCCGCGGCCACATAGGAAATTGGATTGCCAATGAGGACGCCACGGTCCCTTGCGTGTCCCTAGAGAGCCTCGAGAAGCGACTCGTGGGGCAGGAGAAGGGCCTTTTCATTCAGTTCATAAGGTCTATGCTCAAGTGGCTACCGGAAGAGCGCAGAACTGCAAAGCAGCTTCTCGAGGATCCATGGCTGCTATAACCTTCTGCCGCGGTGATCTCATCCGGTCCCCTCATATACGGCAGTGGCATCCCCCAAGAAACTCTCAAAGACACCATCCCCCACGTTCGGTGCATACGAGTCAGGATTGCCCTCTCGATCCAGCGTCTCCACCGTCTTCTCCTCCGTCTTCTTCACCCACGCCTTGGCCTCGCCATACTCCTCGTCAGCTTTCGTCTTGTCACCCTCATCCAGGGCCTCCAACATGGCGACCAGATGCTGACAGGCTTTGGCCCACTGCATGGCGGCCGTAGACCATGGCTCAACATCTGTAGCGAACCCCTTCATGTCCATGCGTGACAAAAGCTCAGGCAGTTTCATGAGCAGCTGCAGACGCTCCCGCAGCGGACCACCACCACCCTTCTCCCTAGCCGCCCAGAACTCCTGAATATCCTTGCTGAGCGCGGGCGCAAAGATCTCAGGCTCACGGTAGGGCCAGTTCTGATTCAGGTCGACAAACGCCACAAGTGCCTCGTGCACATCTTCATCACGGCCAGCGAGCTCCCGCAAAGCTTCGTCCATTGACGCCTTGGCATCGTAGACGGGGCCGTTCTACGTGTAGTCGCCATAATTAATGAGCGCGATCATGGACGCGTACGGCTGCTGCATGGGATTCGACGTGAAGCCCAGCAGATGTTTATACAGCTGCGGGTCACGCTCCGTGAGGGGATTCAAGAACAGGCGGCTAAAGTCCCCGTCGTTGACGGGAAAGTTGTCCCAGAAGAAGAGGGTGTCAGTGACGTACGTCTCGCCCGCGCGGACGACGCTCTCGACCGTGACGTTTGGGGAGAAGACGCCCTCGCCCGTCCACTGGATGCGCACCTTCTTGTCGAGCTGCGTGCCGAAGCGGTCCTTGTACGGGTCGGGCTGGCTGCCGGCGTAGTTGGTCGGTACGGTCTCAAGGGCGTCGAGGCCGTGCTTCTCGATCCATTCTTGCTGCACGCGGTTCAGGTAGCACGCCTGCGCGTCCGCGAGCCAGTGCCACTCTTGATCGTGCGGCCACTTGTCGTCATCTGAGTCGCAGTGGAAGCCGTCGGTGGGAATGTCGTCCAGAGCAATGTAGAAACGCTGTACACCGAGATCACGAAGCTGGTCAAACTTGGCCACGGTGGCGTTGAAATCGTCCTCGGATGAGTAGCACAGGTCATTGCCGGGCGAGAGGGCAAACGTAAAGTCCACATGGTTGGCATTGGCCGTGTCGACGAGTTCCTGGAGCTTGTCGAGATCGTCGCCCTCGTAGAGCTCACGCCATCGTCTACGGAGGAGCTCATCGTCCTTGGGCGTATAGATGTACGTGTTCATTTTATGCTGTCCGTAGAGGACGAACTGATCTAGACGTGCCTCGTGAGACCAAGGGATGCCGTAGAAGCCCTCGATGGAACCACGGACGGGCATGAGAGGCCAGTCACGCGCCTGGATGCCCGGTACACCGCTGCGGTCGTCGACCAGCTGGCGAAGTGTCTGGGCCGCGTAGAAGGCGCCGCGGGTGTCAACGCCGTTGAGAACGACAGAGAGCTGTCCATCGACTTTGCCTGTTGCCAAGACGTAGCCCTCTGCGTCGAGGTCTGTCGCTGCTTGGCCGGTGAGCTCCTGTGCTGCGTCTGCTGCGAAGCTGTTCTCGGCCCCCGTGCCAACCAAGATCTGAGTCCCTTTGCCGGTGGGCTTTGTAGAGACGGTTGCCTTTCCGCCAGCTGAGGTGACGATGGTCTTGATGAGGCTGATGGTGGGCTCATCTGCCGTGTCTCCGGTTACAATGGTCACGTCCCCATTCAAGCGAATGCCGCAGCCGGTCTCTGTTATCTCTTGTGGAGGAGGCCACACGCCAAAGTGATGCGGCTGGATGTCTCTTGCGTCATGGCGACATTTCAGGTCGACAGATGCTTGTGGGTTGCTGGTCACGACCGCCGCCTTGGCTGATTCGAGGCAGAGAGCAACGAGCGCGGACAGACACACGATGCTCTGGCCAGTGTGCATATCGTCTTTTGTGAACGTGATTCTCACAGATGAAGGGGCTTGAACAGTCGTCCAGCGTCGAGTCGTTCAGTGGTTCTCGTCCACTTATACTCGTGTCGACGCCATCATGTCGCTCCCATCCCCGCGTCGGGCTTGAGCCGATCAGGTTGGAAGCTCACGTTACCATCTTCTTATCGATTTTATCTGCGATTGTATGCCGGTTCGGATCTAGATGTTGCAGCGAAAGTGGGAATCACTGTCATGACCCCCGGTCTTGGGGCGATAGTAATGCGGGGACCGTGTAAGTGAGGAGTGATGTCCTGGCCGGGGCAACGCACGTCGATCCACCTTCCTTCAGCAGGATCACTCCCTACTATGAGATATCGCTCGAACCTTGAAGTTCGGGGGCATGCAATGTCAGCGTCGGTAGTTGGCAGTCACCACTGGCACCATCGCAGTGAAATACGACCCAAACCCGGATAACAGGTCAACTGAACAGTGATTATCGTCACATTCAACTACCGTAACAGAATGAACAGCCCAGATGGCCTGCTCTGAGATTGGGCCGCTGCGACGTTACAGCCATGACGATCATTAGCCCACAGATGCGGTGAGGGGCCAATACTACATGCGCCAGCTACGGATAGCCGTAGCTATCGTAGCTCATGGAGGCATAGAGTCATAAATCTTTATTCATTCTATCTGTCTATCTAGGCCAGCGAGAGCTGCGACTCGAACCACTCGACAGCCTGCTTAAAGGCCTGCTCCTTGGCGCGCTTGACATTCGGCTTGGTCATGTCGCCCCGGACAGCAAAGCCGTGCTGGACACCCGAGTGCAAGAAGATCTGCCAGTCCACGCCGGTCTTGGCCAGCACCTCCTCGGACTTGTGGCGCTTCTCGGTAGGGAAGATGTCGTCAAACTGGGCGGCGGCAATGGCCAGGGGTCCCGTGATGGCCGCGAGCTCCTCCTCGTCGACAAAGGACGGGTGGGCGAGAAAGGTGGCGCCGATGCCGTTCTTGTAGTGACGGACGCAATACTTTGCGCCAAAGCAGTAGCCGGCGGCGCCGATCTTGGTGTAGCCCTGCTGCTTGGCCCACTGGAGGGCCTCGGCGGTGATGGCGTCGGCCTGCTCGACGCCGTGCGGGTTGTTGCCGTCGCTGCCCTTTTGCAGCCAGCCCATGAGGTCGAAGCCCTCGGGCGGGTTGAGGGGGCCCGGGTCGCCGTTGAAGAGGTCGACGACGACGCAGGCGAAGCCCTCGGCGGCAAAGGCGTCGGCCATGAGCTTGGAGTTCTGCCAGATGCCGATGATGTCGGGGAGGTAGACGACGAGGGTCTTGTTGTTGTGGTTGGTGGTGGTGGGCTTGGCGAAGTAGGCATCAATCTTGCCAATCTTGATGTTCTCGCCTGACGGGGTGCCTCTGTTGTGCGTCAGTGTCGGTTCTAACCTTCTGCCCAGTCGCGAACAATTTCTAAGATCGCGATGAGGCAAGACAAGATGTACTTACTCGTGCAGGTGGCCCAAGGCGCAGCAACGACCGGGTTGGTTGGAAGCCATGATGGATTGTGAATTGCTTGACGAGGTAATACGATTAAGAATTGATGGATAGCGTGTCTGGTTGAGCAGTGAAACTCCTCAAGATGAAGAGATCGCGAAGAGGTTAAGAGGGAGGGATGGCTTCATATTCCGAAAACCCGCGAATCTATTCGAATGCGCTCATCGCCCCTCGTCGATGTCATGTCCCCACCACCGTGGAGCATCAAGTGCCGACTTCCAGCCCCAGAGTCAATTGCTGAACAATCAGCAAGCCTCGGAGATGCGGAAGCGGACTTGCGGTTCCAATGGTGGGTGGCGGCTACTGCACGAGCTGATGGATTTCCGAGTGTCGGCTCACGAAGGAGAATCTATTTAAGATTGAACTACATACAGTTCGTAGATTGAAGATCAACCACCCCGACTATACAATCTCGTCGCTCTGCACGACAGTCCCGATGGCATCCCCCAGCTCGGCGAGAACCGTCCGTGTCAACTCGTCCCCCTTGACGCCGGGGATGTCGCGATCACCGACAGCATCACCCGCAATCACCACGTCGTAGCCATTCTCCATGGCCTGGCGCGAGGTCATGGTAACACAGACGTGGGCCTGCATTGGGAATTAGCATCTCTCTAGTAGACTACGTAGCAATGCAACGCACCATGTAGCCCGTCACGACGACCTTCTTACGCCCCGTCTTCTGGAGCAGCTGGTGCAGGTTCGTCTGGGTGAAGGGCCCGGGGAAGTTCTTGGTGACAACCGACTCGCCACTACGCGGCGTCAACTCCTGGAACTCCTCGGCCAGCGCGGTGCCGGGCGTGAAGATGGGGGCCCCCTCGGGCGTGGCGTGGACGACGTGCACAAGGGGGGCACCAGCTGCGCGGTACTTTTCCAGCAGCGAGGCAATCTTGGCCCGGGATGCATCGACGTCGCGGACGGCCAGTTTGCCTGACGCGTACTCGTTCTGTGCATCGATGATGACGAGGACGCTGTCGTCTGTAGACGCCTTGGAGGGTGCGAGGCCGAGTATGGAGCGGAAAGATGCCATGTTGATGTGCTTGCTGCGTTCAATGGCCGAGGAAAGATATGTCAGGTGGTGAAATATATATATTCTGTGTCGATTGCCCGTGAATCGTGCGTTGGAGAACGCTTGATGCACAGCAGCATCATCACGACGCTATGGGCCGCCTTGGCGGTTTATGTGCCCCAAATCGGTATAACGTCTGCTCTAGCAAGGCGCCACCCACGAGTACAAATCTGGGGAGCGTGTGGTCTTTGCATCAGCCAATGTGAATTAACGCTTCTTCTCCCGGATCTTGAATCCAAACATCTCGTTGCTCTGGACCGAGTTTCTGTCTCTCATCTTCTCCGCCACTTCGACGCCCCCCACCGGCACCTTGTACTCCCAGTCGCCCTCCTTGCCGTCCACCTTGTACGGGAAGGGCAGGTACTCAGGCATCAGCCCCAGCTGGCGAAGCACGGTGCCCTGGTCCCATGAGATGTGCTCATGGTAGAGCCTGTCGCCCCGGATGTTGACGACGGCGGTAAAGGGCACCTGCACCTTGAGGTTCGTGGCGGGGACGCCTGGCAAGCTGGATACATTAGTTCGATGTGAGGTAGAATGTCAGACAGAGAACTTACAGCCAGTCGAGCTCGCGGTCGTGTGTGAACTTGAAGAGGAACTCGTCAATGACGCGGTCAATGCCCACCGTCCGACTCGTCAGCTCGAGGTCCGTGTCGGCGGAATTGTTAAAGATAAAGTTGTGGCGATAGAAATCTGTCAGCTTCGCCCGGCCGATGCCGCCCGTCAACGTGGGCGCGTGGTTCACATACGGCTCCTGGACCATAGTGCTCATGGTGTGCTCGACGCTGCGGTCCGCAAACTCGTAGTAGCAGTGCTCGTCCCAGATGCTCTCGAGGTCAAAGTAGGGCCCGTCCATTCGGGGCTTGAGGAACTGCAGCGTCCGCGTGTGCGCGACCGAATCGGTATTGTAGTGAAAATGCGCATGGTTGGGCGAGACAAAGTTGAAGGACTGTACAGAGGGATACCGATGCTCCACGAGGGTGGCTGACTTGGGAGCTGGCGGCGCGGTTGGCCCAACAATGTGACGGAGCGTTGGGTTGGGAGACGTTGCGAGGTCTTGAACATCAGCTTCGTCGAGGTAGACGACGTTGGCCACGATGGAGGGGAACTGGTCCAAGATGCCGCTCACGCTTTTCCATAGTCTTGCCGAGTAAGCTTGTTCACTCATGTCAGTCATGATGCATCTTCTAAGCTAGTTGACCTACCGACGAGTCCAATCTTCCCCTTGGGCTCGCATTTGGCACAGGCGCCCAGTCCTTCAATGGCCTCTTTCAGCGCATCCTCAGCTGATACTGACGCGAGGATCGAGCTGGGGATCTGGACAACAGCATAGCCCTCTTCCGCCCATTTCACGAGCGGTGACGGCGACTTGTCTGTGATTGTGATGGCCTCGTCTGTCGCCTCCGGCGTGGTCAGCAGGATGAGGCCAGGCCCGGTTCCCCGTCGCGAGAGTGGTGGGAGCAGTGCGATGCCTTGCGCCAGCTTCTGTAGGTCGGGCGAGGGTAGAGGGGCGGGTGGTTTCGTGATGTCTGCGTACATTGTGCTCTGGTTGCGGGATACGCTTCAATGTTCGAGTCGTAAGACTGGTTCAGTGCTGAGCAAGTATATGTTTACACGTAGTTAGTCGACACCAAATAGACTGGTTAGAGGCATTGGTGCATCATCATCATCATGGCACCCCTCATGGTTGGAGAAGCGACTGGACTGGACCGGACACCTGGACTGCATGTCGGACCACGGCGGGGGTCCCGCTAGAGTTACAGCGGCTCCAGTGGTGCCTGGACCCTTATCAGCCTGGCGTCGGAAAGGACACTCAACCCCGCTGAACAGCGCCTGGAGGGCTGGAGCCGACTGAAGCCCGTTCCGACTGTGACATCTCCACTGCCAGGCGTCCGAGTCCGTTCCGCTCCAACTCCAGAGGGGCAGCTGAACCACCTGTCTCGATGAATCCAGCCGTGGCTGTATTCGAAGCTGCGATTGAGCGGTGATGCTGTTATACTACCTTTTTTGGAATCTCTGTCCATCAATCGTCCAGACCTCACCTTGACATCAAGCCCTCACGTCAAGACCACCATGAGCTACCCCATCACCTCGGTGCGCTCTGCCTTTGAGCTCACCGGCAAGACCTTCATTGTCACCGGGGGCGCCCAGGGCATCGGGTTCGCCCTCGCCCACGCCATCTGCGAGATGGGCGGCAACGTCGCCATCTGGGACATCCAGCCGTCCCCCGCCAACCCGGACGCCTACGCCGCGCTCTCCTCCCAGTTTGGCGCCAAGACCGTCTACATCCAGAGCGACGTGTCCAAGCAAGGGGGTATCATGGACGCGTTCGACAAGACGATCCAGGAGTTCGGGACGGTGGATGGCGTGGTCCCGGCAGCAGGCATCGCCATTGACAAGCCCTTTATCGAGCAGACCTGGGACGAGTACAACCGCATCCAGGACATCAACGTGCGCGGCACCTTTTTCACCGTCCAGCTCGTCGCCAAGCACCTCATCGAGCGCAAGAAGAAGGGCAGCATCCTCCTCATCGCCTCGCAGTCCGCCCACATCGCCCTGCCAGGGTACCGCATGGCCGCCTACAACGCGTCCAAAGGCGCCGTCGCCATGCTCAACAAGGTGCTTGGTGTCGAGCTCGCCCCGCACGGCATCCGCGTCAACAGCATCTCGCCCGGCTTCGTCGACTCGGACATGACGCGCAACGTCCGCGAGAGCAAGAGCAAGCGCGAGGGCGAGCAGATGTGGATGGCGCCCCCGAATCAGCGACTCAGCACACAGAACGACCTCACCGGCGCCGCCGTCTACCTTCTCAGCGACGCGAGCGTGCACACGACGAGCGCGGACATTGCCATCACCGGCGGCCTGCACGCGGGCACCATTGATGGGCTGATTAGCTACGAGGCGCCAGGGGCGAAATGACTGAATTGACTGTGTCAGATACTTGTACACGGGATGACTCCTATGCTTTGGTGACATGATATCGTAGTATGTGTTCATGCGGGTTGGTAATGGTGCCGGTGGCATTGGTGCACGCAACTGTGATCACGTGCCCGTTTCCCCAGCCAGCACGTGCTCCAGGCACCAAGAGTCATGGTTCCACCAACCCGCATTTCGTCGATCTGCGACTTTGAAACTTTTATCGTGTTCGACAAACCACATCACCATGTATCGCCAAACTGCGGCCGCGCGGCCCAATGGGTTGCACGCCATGATTTGCAGACCGGTGAGTATCTGCGAAACGCTTCTCTTGCCGATCTATCTCCTCTGACCCTTCCAGTGTCGGTCTGGGTGGACTCGGTCTGTTAGCCGAGTGGTGCCGAGCCAGATGTCCCGCCAGATGCCTCATCAGTTGCGATCGCTCTCGACAACCCTCCGTCGCTGCTCCGCGACCAGCGCGCCGAATACGTCCATCCCCAATCCACCGTCGTTCTCGGAAGGGCTCCCCTCTTTCGACGCTTCTCGCAAGCAACCGCCCCAGACCTTGACGGAGAAGATTGTCCAGCGCTATGCTGTCGGCCTCCCCGAGGGCAAGCTCGTCCGGAGCGGCGACTATATCAGCCTGGAGCCCGAGCGATCCATGTCTCATGACAATTCGCACGCCATCATCTCCAAGTTCAAGAGCATGGGGGCTACCCAGGTGAAGCGCCCGGGCCAGATCGTCTTCACAATCGACCACAACGTACAGGACACCAGCGAAGCCAACCTGAGGCGCTACGCCCAGATTGAAGAGTTCGCCAAGGAGCACGGCATCGACCGGTATCCCGCAGGTCGAGGTATTGGTCATCAGATCATGGTGGAGGAGGGATATGCCTGGCCTGGAACCATGGCCGTGGCTTCGGACTCGCACAGCACCCACTACGGCGCTGTGGGCTGCCTCGGAACCCCCATTGTCCGCACGGACGCCGCGAGCATCTTGGCCACTGGTCGCACATGGTGGCAGATCCCGCCCATTGCGCGCGTCACGCTCAAGGGGACGCTGCCGGTGGGTGTGACAGGCAAGGACGTCATCGTCGCGCTCTGCGGCCTCTTTAAGAGCGATGTGCTCAACCACGCCATTGAGTTCACCGGCTCCGAGGAGACAATGGCGAGCCTATCGGTGGACAGCAGGATGACCATTGCCAACATGAGCTGTGAGTGGGGAGCCCTGACGGGCTTGTTCCCCATCGACCGTACCTTGGAACGCTGGCTACGCGGCAAGGCCAGCGAGGCCGCCATGCTCGACGACCGGACGACGCGACAGCGCATCACTCACGAGAGGGTCGACGAGCTGTTTGCCAACCCCCTCACCGCCGACGAGGGCGCCCAGTATGCGAAGCAGCTCTACCTTGACCTCTCCACCCTCTCGCCGTACGTCTCAGGGCCCAACTCAGTCAAAGTGGCCACGCCGCTCAACGAGCTGGCCCCGCAGAACATCAAGATCGACCGCGCATACATTGTGAGCTGTACCAACAGTCGCGCATCGGATTTGGCAGCGGCCGCTCAAGTCATCAAGGACGCCGCCAAGGCCAATGGCGGCGTCATCCCCAAGGTGGCCGACGGCGTCAAGCTATACATTGCCGCGGCCTCGCTGCCCGAGCAGGAGGCGGCCGAAGACGCCGGCGACTGGCAGGTTCTCTTGGATGCGGGCGCCGAGGCACTTCCCTCGGGTTGTGCCATGTGTATCGGTCTAGGCAAGGGCCTGCTCGAGCCGGATGAGGTCGGCATCAGTGCTAGCAACCGCAATTTCAAAGGACGTCTCGGTGCACGCTCCGCGCGCGCCTACCTGGCCAGTCCCGAGGTCGTCGCTGCCAGTGCGCTCAGTGGTGTCATCTCCGGTCCTGGCGCCCACCAGGTGCCAGAGGGCTGGTCGGGCGTGGAGCACGGCTACGGCAATGGTGCGCTGCCCAATCCTGTCAACGAGCTCGGCAACATGGTGGAGCAGCTCGAGTCTCTCATCGACCGGATCGAATCTGCCGGCCCCGATCCCTCCAAGGCCGACGACGCCGCGTTGGAGATCCTGCCTGGCTTCCCCGAGCGTATCAGCGGCGAGATCCTCTTCTGCGACGCCGACAACCTCGACACCGACGCCATCTACCCAGGCCGCATGACGTACCTAGACCAGGTGTCAAAGGCGGACATGGCAGAGGCATGCATGGAGAACTACGATCCGGACTTTGGCGCCAGCGCGCGGCCCAACGACATCCTCGTGGCCGGTTTCAACTTTGGATGCGGCTCCTCACGCGAACAGGCCGCAACGGCTCTTCTGGCGCGCCACATCCCTCTCGTGGTGGCGGGGAGCTTTGGCAACATCTTTGCGCGCAACAGCATCAACAATGCACTCATGGGTCTTGAAGTGCCGCGTCTCGTGGAGCGACTGCGCGCCCGCTTCTCGGCAGGTGAAGGGGGCCAGGAGAACCGATCTCCGACCCGCCGCACGGGGTGGACGCTTACGTGGGATGTGAAGCGTAGCGTCGTCGAGGTGTCCGAGGGTGAGGGCGGCGAGACGTGGACGGAGAAGGTGGGCCAGCTGCCGGCAAATGTGCAGGCGATCATTGCGGCGGGAGGTCTTGAGGCCTGGGTCAAGGCCCAGGTGGCCGCGTCGTCCTGATGGGTTGGATACTCGGTAGGCTGGTCGTTTCCGCCAGCGGATCAGGGCTACGGTGCTGGTTCTTGGACGACAAGACAGCGGTGCCATCTCAGGTTGGCAAGTTGACTACATCTGGCGGCTGTGTTAGAAATCACTTACACGCATTTAGAAGAATATAGAAGATAATACCATACCAAGGAAGCAATATGGCCCGTCTACGTAGTAGGAACCCTCCATCTGACTGCCACTTGGAGCTGGCGTTGGGAGTCTGACTGTGGCCGCCCTCATGTCCCCTCCGCCCTCACTCCTAAGCCATGAATGACAGTTCACGAGTCCACGAGCCGATTGTCGGACCACGCTGGCCAAACCCCAGATTCGGGCGCTGGCGTTAGACTCTGGGGTCTGGGCCCTGTTTCCGACTCTGTGGGTCCATGTTCCGAAGGTGCATTCCGACATCAGGGTCCAATCCGCGCGAGCGTTGATGCCACTCCTGCAGCCAGCTTTGTGTCTAGTGCAGACCTCCTCCTCCTTATCGCCAGCTGGGGGTGTAGGTATCCGACATCAACGACATAGAAAGCGGCTAAGGCACTGGCTGGATGCCTCTTATCCTTGACCCCGCTGGCGGGTCAGCCCCCTCTCGAGGAGGATACGGTCGAGGGTCAATTCCGCTGCATAGAGACAAGAGTGAGGAGACGCAAGACCCCTACCCAAGATACGGTGCACAGAGCGGGGGTCCAAGTGCTACTCGTGTCGGCTGTGGTCGTATCGTGTGATGCTAGAAACATATGACCTGAGCCTTGCTGCTGGCGGCCTGCCCTTCGAGCTGTGATATCGCTCGCGAACTCGCTGGGCTGACTGTCCATCGTGCGACCTGACATCTCCTCGAGAGCGAACAAGTCTGACATTCACAATGAGCAAGTTCGACAGCTCCTATGACATTGTGGTCGTTGGTGCTGGTACGTCCCTCTCACTGCCCAATCTAGTGCTCCAATAGCACTCCCTCTGAACTTCTCTTCTAGAGACCAATACTGACCCTCGCAGGCTGGTATGGCCTCGCGGCGGCCAAAGCTGCCTCCCAGATGATGCCCACCTCGACAATGGCCATACTCGAGTCGGCCGAGTCCTGCGGCGGCACCTGGTCGGCCAACCGTCTCTACCCAGGCCTCAAGTCAAACAACATGCGCGGCACCTACGAGTATCCAGACTTCCCCATGACGGACGCCTACGGCGTGGCCAAGGACCAGCACATCCCCGGCACTGTCCTGCACACATATCTCACGGACTTTGCCAAGGCGTTTGACCTCTTTGACAAGGTGCAGTTCCACACAAAGGTCGACGTCGTGGAGCCGACAGACGACGAGGCCTGGCGCATCAACGTCTCCACGCCCAAGGGCACAAAGACGTACCGCGCCGCCAAAATCATCCTGGCCACTGGCTTGACCAGCACTCCCAACATGCCCGAGTACAAGGGCGCAGAGACGTTTGGCGCGCCCCTGTTCCACGCAAAGGACTTTTGCACCCGAGCCGACGAGCTCAAGGGCGCCCAAAACACCGTCGTCGTGGGTGGTGCCAAGTCAGCCTACGACGTTGCGTACGCCATGGCCATGGACGGGTCGACAGTCCATCTCGTCGTCCGTGACAATGGCCACGGTCCCGTTTGGATCACGCCCTCCAAGGTGACGCCCTTTAAGAAACGACTGGACCAGCTGCTCCTGATCCGGTGGATGACCTGGTTCGCGCCTTGTCCCTGGGGCGGCGAGGATGGCTTCCCCGGTATCAGGAGGCTGCTGCACGGCACGAGGATTGGGCGCTGGATCACTGATTTCTTCTGGAAGACCCTAGGCGACGATGTCATCACCGCAGTCGGCTACGACGAGCACCCGGAGATGAAGAAGCTGAAGCCATGGAACTCGGCCTTTTGGATCGGCAGCGGGCTGAGCATCCACAACTATAACACCTCGCTCTGGGATCTGGTCCGTTCAGGACAGGTCAAGGTCCACGTCGGCCAGATTGACCATATCGAACCCAAGACGGTCGTTCTCGCGGATGGTACGCGCCTCGCTGCGGACGCCATGGTCTGCTCGACGGGTTGGAAGAAGGAATCCACCATCAAGTTCCAGGGCCTCAAGGACAACAGCTTTGGACTCGACTGCACGCCTGGTCAGCTCCGCGCCCTCAACGACAAGGCCGACAAGGACGTCCTCACCCAGTTCCCCCGCCTTGCCGACCAGCCCACCCTCAAGTTCACCCCCAAGGCGGGCGAGCCGCTGCGCTACTACCGCTTCATCGTACCGTCAAGCCACGTCTTTAAGAGAAACATTGCCTTTTCGGGCGCCGTATCGACCGTCAGCACGTCAACGTGCGCCACCATCCAGGGCCACTGGATCGCGGCCTACCTCGCCAACCAGCTGGACCGGACGCCCATGACGCAGGCGGAGATCACGGAGGAGATCATGCTGCACACGCAGTGGGGCAAGTGGCGCTTCCCGTGTGGCTACGGTGCGAGTCTGCCTGATTTTGTGTTTGAGGGTCTGCCGTATGTTGATATGCTGCTGCGTGATTTGGGGCTGAATAGTCATCGCAAGGGGAGCTGGTGGCGCGAGCTGACGAGTCCGTATCTGCCGAGGGACTTTCGGGGGCTTGTGGAGGAGTGGCAGCATGTGCACGATGAGCCTTTGAAGAAGAAATGAGGTGCGGGAGGTGGTTGAGCTGAGTTGGCGTTGGTCTTGATTGGCATGCTTTGATAGTCGGTCCTTCTGGAGACTTCGAATTAACTAAATGTTGCCCCTGCTAAAGGTCCTCGCCAGTATCAATATCCTGAAGCTCCTCCAGTATCGAGTCCTTGACCGACTGATCGGCCCAGCACATTTCCACGGCGTTGCGCACCAGTCCCACCATCTCCCCCTTGGTCAGACCCCCATAATGGTACGCCTTCTCCATGTTGCCGTCTACCCATACATCGTGCATATACACGGGGTCGTCGCTGTTGATGCAGAACTTGACGCCCCTGTCCAGTAGCTGGCGCAGCTTGGGAAATAGCACCTCTGTCTTTGTCCGTCGGTGGTACGCGTGGGGACAGAGCGTGAGGCCAATGTTTTTGTCCACCAGGCCCTGGATGAGCTTGTCGTCGTCGAGCGCATCAAGGCCGTGGTCGATCCTCTCGATCCCAATGTCGAAGATGGCCTGGCGAATGTGCTCATGGGTGTCTGTCTGTCCAAAGTCACAGTGTGTGGTAATATGCAGGCCATCTTGCTTGGCTCTCTCGAAGCATTGCTTGAACAACACGGGTGGTCGCTTAAAAGCATTGCTCGCTAGTCCCACAGCGTGGAACAGTCCCTTGCCAGTTGGCGTATCGGCCCACGGGAGTGCTTGCTCGTAGGCCTTTGCGCCCTCCTCCACTGGCTCGTCCCTGAGGAAGCAGAAAATCCACTTGCTCTTGACGCCGTACTCCTTCTCGCCATCCTGCTGCGCACGAAGGTACCCATTCAGGACGTGCTCAAATGGGATGCCCCGTCTCGTGTGCGCCTGTATGTCGAAGAATGGCTCAGCCCATCTGACGTTCATCTCAGAGCACCTCTTGAGGTAGTCCATGGACATGTCGTAAAAGTCGTCCTCTGTCCTCAGCACATCGCATCCGGCAAAGTAGGCCTCCAGGAACGTGGGCACATCCTTCCTCCCGCCTTGTTCGGGGCGATGGTTGTATGTGACCTTGTAGGACTCGAGGAGCTCTTCATATGTGTGGTACGTGACGCCCTTTGTGACGACTGGTATCCTGTTGCGTTGGGCGAGGGCCCATCGGATGGCAGGGCGAAGGGTGCCCTCAATGTGGACATGGATCTCGATCTTGGGGAGGGACTGGATGAAGGGGCTGATCTCAAGGCCGTCCATCTTGGTTGTCGATTCTCACCTTGGATTTTCTTTTGGTTTTGGCAATTCTGTGAGGCTGGGTGACCAACAGAGGATTGGACGTTGGCCAAATGACCACTTGGCATGTTACGAGTCACGAGTCTTACGACATGACAGAGTCTGTTGAGAGACCGCGAACCGGCGCAATCCGTAATTGCCCATAGTCAAGGTCTCCCTCGATAAGGCTTGAAGGATCGCTACATGACACGCGGTTTCGGGATCCAGCCAATTGCGCACTGGCAAAGCCGATTGTCGACATGGGAATCTTCAAATGGTCCTGTCAGGTGGGCTCGTCGGCAATCGTCACCGGACCAAGTATCCGTCGCACTGTCTTGACCGCCCTTAAGTTGGAGCTATACACAGTGCCAAAAGCGAGCGGACTGTGCCGACCGACAACAACCACCTCCGTCCTCAGTTATCGCAACTCGCACCATCTCTCCACAACTCTCGCGTCCAATGCCTCCGCTCGCATCCACACCAGCACATGGTTCGCCGCTTCTTTGACCCAGTATGTCGATGTGCGGGCGCTGAGGCTCTGGTATTGATATGGCAGCCGAAGTCGGCAGCAGGGGGCAGCAGATAAGGTTGCTGTATGGAGGGCATGCGACGTGGTGATCGTTGACTATTTGAGATGATGGTCCCCTCATGAGGGATCTGGTTTTCGCGACCCCCATCGACCCAGAAAGGCTTCTCTTCAAACACCTGGGACCAGAGCATCTCCTCGTCAAGATGGGCAGTCAACCAGCAACCGATGCCCCCATCACCATGGAGCCGATGGCCTCACCCGTCGTCGTCGAGCCATCGACACCGCACATGGCGAAGCGAGTGCTGAGGAAGATTGATCGCACAATCATCCCGCTACTGTTCGTCACGTACATGTTCAACTTTATGGACAAGGTCATCCTATCCAGTGCTGCCGTGTTTGGCCTGCGCGACGACAATGTGAGTCGAAGACACTCGTGGCTACGTACCAGGCAGACTGATGCTGACCATCGCAGAACCTCCAAGGACAGCAGTACAGCTGGCTGGGCAGCGCCTTTTACTTTGGCTACCTCATCTGGGAGTATCCCACGACGATTCTCATCGCTCGTCTGCCTACTGCCAAGTACCTTGCCGGCAACACGGTCTTTTGGGGCGTGGCCGTGGCCATGACGGCCGCTTGCACCAACTTTGCGGGACTCGTGACTGTGCGCTTCATGCTCGGTGTCGCAGAGGCCACCATCACGCCGGCTTTCATGTTCCTGACATCGACCTGGTACACGCGTGACGAGATGCCCTTTCGCCTGGGCATCTGGTTCGCAGGCAACTCTGTGGGCGGACTGCTCTCCAGTTTGTTGGCCTATGGCGTGGGCCACATTGACGACCACGTCGGACCTTGGCGATGGATGTATATCATCCTCGGTGTCGGCACGTTCCTCTGGTCCATCCCAATCTTCATCTGGCTGCCCGACTCCATCACCAAGGCGCGTTTCCTCAACGAGGAGGAGCGCCAGTTCGCGGCTGATCGTGTCGTCGTCGCCGGCACGGGCATCACGGAAAACAGCAAGTGGAAGCTCGAGCAGGTCAAAGAGTGCTTTATGGATCCCAAGACCTACCTCATCCTCAGCATCGAGCTGCTCTCGCAGATCCCCAACGGCGGCTCGCAGTCGTTCAGCAACATTGTCGTCAAGTCGTTTGGCTTCACCTCGCTACAGAGCACCCTCATCAACATCCCCTACTCCATCCTGACAGCGAGCATCATCGCCGGCACAGGCTGGCTCGCCGGGCGCTTCCGAAAGGCCAACACGCTGCTCATCATCGCCGTCGTCCTCCCCTGCGTCACCGGCGCCGCCATGATCTACAACAGAGACCACATCTCCCACGGCGTCCAGCTCTTCGCCTACTTCCTCCTCGCCCCGGGCCCGGCTGCCATGCCTCTCAACATGTCCCTCGTGCAGGCCAACTACCGCGGCGTCACCAAGAAGATGACCATGACCGCCATGATCTTCATCATGTACTGCACGGGCAACATTGCCGGACCGCACCTGTTCCGCCAGTACGAGGCGCCCACCTACCAGACGGCCTTTCAGACCATCATGATCTGCTACGCGCTCGTCATCGTCATGGTCCTGATGCTCCGGGGCTACCTCATCTGGCTGAACAAGAAGCGCGCTGCTGTGGAGGGCTTTGTTGGCAGCGCGGGCGCGGCGGGTGCGGTGGGTGACGGCAAAGTTATCGGAGAAGATGTGAGGAATGTCCAGCAAGTGGTCGAGGAGGTGCAGCTAAGGCCGGAGGACTACGAGGACGTGACGGATTGGAAGACGGTTGGCTTTCGCTATAGGTACTAGATAGACAATGGGGTAGGAAAAAGTCCGCATGATGGAGTACACCCTCCTCCACCGACTAAACAATTACCCCTGAGATCGCATCACATACATTGCACGCACAAACTCCGCCAGCCAACTCCGCCAAATGTCCGCCATCGTCTCGCCGCCAACCAACGTGAACATGCCACATTCGTTCATAAGGAGATGCAGTTCTGCCTTTCAATTCGATGTTATTAGCCTGGAACTCTCGCCTTGTCTCGTGGAAGCCGAAGTGACAACCGACTCTCAATTGCACGAAACGCGATTGAACATTGACCAAACATAGCACCATGGTCGCGGCCAAAGACAAGGCCTCTCGGCCCTACGGTATCATCGTGATGGGAGCGACGGGGGTTACGGGCACAATGGTCTGCGAGCACATTGCAGCCAACCTGCCCACGAACCTCGAGTGGGCGATCGCAGGGCGCTCGCCGGAGCGCCTTTCCACGTTGGCGGCCAAGCTCAAGTCGGCCTGTCCGGATCGAGTGCAGCCATGTGAGCATCTCTTCCCGTCCTGAACTGGGTTGGCGTCCGTCGCACGTGTGCTAATTAAGTTGGCGCCCAACAGCATTGGAGGTTGTGATCCCGAATGATCCCACGACGCTCGGCGCGGCGATTGGCAAGGCCAAAGTCTGTATCAGCGTCGTGGTCTACCACGAAGATGGGGAGTCAGTTGTGCAGGCGTGTGTCCAGCAAGGCACAGACTACGTGGACTGGTTCGTCGCCCTCCTTGTCCTTGGTCCTATGCGTTGAGGAGAGTCGTCTGACGGCAGCTTGATAGTGCCTCGGTGCCAGTTTTGCTCCGAGATTGGATCTCCAAGTATCACAAGCAAGCAGAAGAAAACGGGGTCGCCGTAAGTACACGCTATCAAGGACAAGCTCCACGTACGCATGACACAGGGGCTGACACGGCCATGCACATAGCTCATTCACGCGTGCGGCGCCTTATCGGGCGAGATGGATCTCCTCGCCATTCACGCGCATCGGACGATCTCTGAGAAGTGGGCGACTCAAATGGGCAAAGTGACCCTCCGTGCAGACTATCTCGAGTAAGTTTACCATTGTCTCAGCACCAGGTGCTTCAACACACAGGCTGACGGACCCAGTAGCTCCAACGTCAGCGGCGGCACCTTGCGGACAATGATCACAGTCGCAAGTGGCGGTCCTAAAGACACGGCCGCAGCAGGAGATCCCTCTTTACTGACCCCGGTGCCGTACACTACCACAGTAAATACCGTCCGGGGTGTCCATCGGCACCCTGTTCTCGGTCTGCTCTCGGACTCTTCCATGACGGGCCTTCAGGCCCGTACTCTGATCAACAGATCCTGGGGTCTGCTGGGTGGTCCCAAGGGTAGCTGGGGCCCTAAGTTTCAGTACAACCAGTACGAAAGGGCCCATTCGTACCTGGGCGGCATTCTCAGTGTCCTTCGCTACCAGACTATCATCTTCCTGCTCTCGCTCGTCCGATTCGCCTGGTTCAAGAACCTGCTGCTACGCAGTATACCACCCGTGGGCAGCGGCCCTACAGCGGAGGAAAGCAAGAGCCAGCCCTTTACGGCGACGGTGCTCGTGGAGGCGGACCCGTCCGTGGAGAAGAACCGCGGCAAGGGCTGTCTTGTCAAGATGCGGTACGCGGCGGGTAGCTATCCTTTTGTAGCCATGCTCCTGGCACAGGCGGGCGCCACGCTACTGTACGATCGGAACTTGTCGGCCGGTAACCAGGGTGGTAGTCTGACTGCAGGCGTTCTGGGACCAGACTTTGTGAAGAGGGCAGAATCCGGGGGTCTCGAGATAGAGACGACCATGCTGTATGATCTACAGTGTTAGTAGAGCTTTGAATCCACGTGAGTACACAGGATTGACTAGGTCGTTTTTTTGCTGTATGCTGCATTCCATACATGCCCGAAGACCCAATAGAGCAGTGCAAGCGAGCAATACATGACGAACCTCGAGGCACTGCAGAGCTCCCCTTCCATATCAACCCGTGACATTCCGAATACCTTTCATGACAAGCCAGCCAGCGAGGAGTGAATGAAACCACCCACCAACTGAACCCTCAATGAGTGTTGGTTTCTCGTCATCCCGCCTCCACATCCACGTCTCGTTCACAAACAACACATGATCACCATCGTCATCAAGTTGCACCTCGGCGAGGATCAAACCGTGAGGCGCAGATCCTTTGAACGACAGAGGGGCCTCGATGACTAGCTCGACTCGCTCGGACCGTGAGGTGCTTCCCTTGCCGTGATACGCCACTCGGTAGACACCGTTGACGATATCACCATTGTGGAAAGCAAGAGCCCGTATCCAATCTTTATCAAAAGTGCGTCGGAGGCGGGGTTCGCCTATGGCGTTGCGCATCAAGTACGCCTGCGGCGTCGAGCTGAATGCGACTTGAGCACCCACGGCGTACGCCCTCATGAGCAGCGAGGGCGTCTCTCCCTCATCCGCAACGATCGTGGCCGGGATGGCCAGGCTAGAGACAGGCACAGGAAGGGACACGACGCGCTCATATGTCAGCACCCAGCCCGCGTCGTCCGCGCGCACTTGTTCAGGTAGGCTGGCCGGCGTCCAGGGCAGGGCGTTTGCTGGCGCGTCACGCGTGCGTGAGGCGGGGCGACGGCCTTTTGTCGATGAGGTATGGCGCGAGACTTGCCACGAGAAGTACGCCAAGTAGATGGTTGGAAGTGCGACAGGGAGCGCCAAGGCGAGCTTGACCCATGTAGGGCGGCTACCAAGCAAGGACTGCATCATGGGGTTATGATTCATGTGTGTACTGGATGGAACGGCGTAGTATCTTACATCCGCTTCTTCCAGTCATGTAGTACATTATTCAGTTAGAGGGGTTAGGGCCTAATCGGATATTCATAAGACAGCGGTGTAGTGAGCTACCCTATATTGGACACAGCAAGATCTCTCCTCTCCTCCGCCACCTCGCCAAGAACGACGACGGAATATGGCGCGATGGTCCCCAAAGTCCAAACCCCCGCAATTCGGAGGCAGGCTTGAAGAACCACGACGTTGGTGTGTTATACAACCGTCCTTGAAGTGTTTGATGCATTTTGCAAACACCCATCATGGCTCCCGCGACACATCCCTGTGAAAACGGCGTCGTATTGAACGAGACATCTATAAGAGCAGGATCTATTCAGGTTCCAGGGGTGCTAACTCTCAAGCTGACGCAGCGTCTCTAGCCCCGACTGCCGCTCGATGGGCACGTCACGACATGCTAGCACAGCCATGTGCCCATTTAGTACAAGGTGCAATCCAAAAGGCTCTGATAGCGGACCACGCCAGCCGTGACATCGCACTGCTTGTCCGTATCCGTGTTGACGACGCAGTTACCGACGACGTTGTCATCCAGGTCCACCAAGTCGTTGCCACGGGCAGCGTACCAGGCTGTAAATTGAAGGAAGGGGTGTTAGCGAAATTCACTCGTCAAGGTTCTTGCGGAGGAGGAGGTTCAAGCTCCTGGATGCACTTACTTCGGTGGAAGTCGGGGAAGTGCTGCTCAGCTACCGTGGGACAGCCCGTGCCAGGCCAGTTGGCGCAGTCGCCGTCGCCCCATACGACGCGGACGCCATCATTGCTGCTGACGTCGCTTGCTGAGTTGACGAGGCCGGCGTTGTTGAGCACGTCACAGTCCAGTGAGTCGGCAACTAGCCACTGGTTGCCCGTTCCTCCTACGGGGCCGCCAAAGCCAGTGATGGCGGAGGCGACGAGCCAGTACGCCTGCACATGCGACAGGCCGCCCAAGAGGGCAAGGAGGGATGCGCTTGTTTGGAAATGCATTCTTGAGAGTTGAGGGTTGAGATGTGCTCTTTGACCGAGTGATGTAGCTTCCAAAGGGGGTTTCTGTGGCCGTGGAAGAACATACCAATTTATACCCAGGGACCAGAACCCAGGGACAGTGTCCATGAGAAGACACTCTGGCTAGGCTGATGCGCAAACGTCATAGGGCATGCCAAAAGTCCATCGCCCGGACTCTGAAGCTTGTCCTCGCTTCATCCTTTGATCGACAAGCGTACATGCAGCGGCCAAAATTCGGCAAGCTGCCAAGAACTCGTCCCAGCCAACTACCGGCATCCCAGAGGCGTCGCTCATGTGCCGCGCACGATGATGGGCATGCTCTTCAGGATTTTGTCGGGGAAGACACAACTCGCTTCTTCTACTTTGTGCTAATTTAGGCCTCCAGGTCTCTTATCGCGGCGGTGCAAGACCTCAGATACCAAGACGGCTTATAGTGATAGCCTAAACACAGCGACATCAACCATTCTTGTCTTCATTCTCTTACCGTCCGACGGCTCCTTGTCAATCGTTTGGCCATGCATGTATAGTCCTCAATGGCATAGGATGGCTGCCTAGTCGTCTCTCGCATGGCGTCCGAAGGATCTGCCAAGATACCTTTCAAAGGATCTGCCAAGAGACTATGACAAACTGCTGACGGTGTCTGTACGTACTAGCATGCATAGTTGCATACGTAAACCCCAACGGTCATGTTGTGTCAGCACGGCAAGGGCGGCGCAGACCATGCAGGGTTTGTCCGTCAGCCCTGTGCAAAGTCGGCAGTCGACATGTCCTCAAGGGGCAGCCCTGCCAAGCGGGCATTCTTTCTCGAGTCGCCAGACAAGAGAAACCATCGGTGGACCAGGCGTACACACTTTACTCATAAGCACGTAGTTGATGGGCTGCGGCGGTGTTCACCCGGTCGATCGGCAGTGCGCCAGTCAAAAATTCGACCTTGTGTTGAAGTCTACTAGGCCTAGTTCTGACCCTCTGGGATACGTACCAACTATGAGTATTGGTCTAAGCTGCGGGAAGGAGTATGGGGTAACCTCAGGCGTTGCAGATCACCCCACGGGGTCAGACTGTATAAGACTGTACCAAATATGACATCTGATCGCCGATCGATGCATCAATATGTCAATTGTTTGGTGGCTTTTGTTTCGGCAACTACGCAGCATAGCGGGACCCAGAGACATGCCGATATCCCCGAGGCTTCAAGTCCATCCAAGGTTCCATGCTCGCTTCAACTATCCAACACTGACGAGACAGCTATGAGGACACAGAAAACCTTGGTCAGAAGGGCATGGGTGATCTCGACTGCGCTACAAGTCACAAGGTCTATCCTAGGAACCTAAGACCCAGTGGACGATACCTAGACGGGATCCAGTATCTTCCACTGGATATAGTCGCATGTGACAGGATAAAGATAGTATAGAGTCTCTGTATGTCACCGTTCATCAGTTTCCGTTCAATCGCTTGCGCTCGGCGTTTTCGGAGGGGATCGACCCGCGCGTTCCTTCTTATAGTCTCGTACCTGCGCCAATCATCGTCTCCGGGTTCCTTTGAAATGGCATCATGCACTTGGACTGGAGCCGGGGTATTTGGGGCAGGTACTTTGATACCTATTTGTACAACTTGTCCAGCACGAAACGATTATTAATCCAAGCCAGGGTTCAGGAGAATTCTTCCTGATCATCCTCCGTGGGCTTTAGGGGGATTCTCGAGGTCAACGTCCCATCCACAGAATCCATGATAATAAAAGACCCAAGCTATTGGGGACTCTCATCCTTCAGACCCCAGCTGTGCACAACGGTGGCTGGAGTTGGGGTGTTCTGGCGCACATAGTCCATAGTGTGGGCTTCGTTGATGAGCTTCTCTGCCAGACAGATGGTTAGTATATGTCCAAGTTTCGGGAAACAGATGATGGCATCGGGTCCGTCATCTTCATGTCTGATACGAAAGGCAAGATTGAATGAGCCTTTGAAGAAGCCGGCGACCTCTATGGCTCCTCCTTTACCCCTGAGATCGGCGGCGAATCTTGCGACATTGATCTTTGCGTCTAGAGCTTTCTCAATTCAGGCACGTAAAAGGTCGTCGCTGCTAGTACTCTCAATGATATCGCAGCAAGTGCCAAGGAATTGCTCGCCATGTATGCACATGTTCTCATCGCGGACGTGCATGTAGTTTGTCATTAGGATGGGATGTAAAGTCAATGGAGGGAAAGGTTCAAAAATTGGGGAGGTTTTCAGAACATGCAGGGTAGCAAACAACTGCTTGCCCTGTGTTTGGATCAGGGGGATATGAGGCGGTGTGACATATTTTCCTCATACACGTGTCTATAGACGAGCTAGAGTACACTGCTTTTGTATGCCCTTTATTTTTTTTTACTTTTTTTTTCATTCGCAGCTCTAACTTCACTATTGCAATTATTGAATCTTCGTTGATGCATTTGGTTGTGGTTCCGGGTAAGTGGAGTCTCCTGTCGGACTGATCTGCCCGGGCGGGGCGGGCTAAGGTTCAGCCGCAGACCCTGTGCGCTAGCTACACCTTACCTTATCACCATCCCGAAATCCCACTCGCGCTGGATTTCTCCTCCAACAACACCATCCACATCCAATCACCCATCATGTCGTGGCGCAGCCAAGGCATCACCGGCTCGAACAACATCCCTCTCGGCAACCGACGCCGCTTTGGAGGCGACGATGGCGACGACGTCGCCAGCAGCGGCACGCCCGACCGCGATTTGAAGCGCGGGCGCGACCCTGAACCTCGTGGCGATGCCGACGGCCCCCGTCGTCGCAAAAAGCGCAACAGATGGGGCGATCAATCCGAGAACAAGGCCGCTGGCCTCATGGGTCTGACGACTGCGATCATGGGTAGCATGACTGCTGAGCAGCTTGACGCCTACGCGCTGCATCTGCGCATCGAGGAAATCAGCCAGAAGCTGCGCATCGACGACGTCGTGCCTGCAGATGGTGATAGGTATTTAGGTCCATCAGACTATAAAGCATCACACTAACAGAATAAGGTCTCCTTCGCCACCTCCTCAGTACGACAACCACGGTCGTCGTGTCAACACTCGCGAGTTCCGCTACCGCAAGAAGCTTGAGGATGAACGCCACAAGCTCATCGAGCGCGCCATGAAAACCATCCCCAACTACCATCCGCCTCAAGACTACCGTCGTCCCACCAAGACACAGGAGAAGGTCTACGTCCCGGTCAACGACTATCCGGAGATTAACTTCAGTATGATTGCTAACCCTAACCATCTCACCTCTAACCCTGTCTTGTCCTTCCCCTGTTCTAGTTCTCTGGTGGTGTGCCGAGTGTGATTTGCAGAAGAAATCCTCGGGCGAGAGCAAAGATTTCCTAACCACCGTCTAACCCTTCTAACAAAGAAAAACCTTGATACTAACACATAGCGCCTTCAAGTTGGTCTACTTATCGGCCCCCGTGGAAACACGCTGAAGAAGATGGAGAACGATTCCGGCGCCAAGATTGCCATTCGTGGCAAGGGCTCCGTCAAGGAAGGAAAGGGCCGGTCTGATGCAGCGCACTCCTCTAACCAGGAGGAAGACTTGCACTGTCTGGTCATGGCCGACACGGAGGACAAGATTAACAAGGCGAAGCAGCTGATCCACAATGTCATTGAGACGGTAAGTTTTACTGGCGTTTGGCGCGTTGAACAAGTCTAACATCTCCCAGGCTGCCTCGATCCCAGAAGGCCAGAACGAGCTCAAGCGCAAACAGCTGCGCGAGCTTGCCGCCCTCAACGGTACCCTCCGTGACGACGAGAACCAGGCTTGCCAGAACTGTGGTAAGATTGGTCACCGCAAGTACGACTGTCCTGAGCGCCAGAACTTCACTGCGAGCGTCATCTGCCGTGTCTGTGGTAACGCTGGTCACTTTGCCCGCGATTGTCCCGACAGGCAGAGGGGTGCCAACTGGCGCAACGATGGGCCTCGTCCCGCTGGCAGAGTCGGCGGAGGCGATGCTGTTGACCGTGAAATGGAGGTACGTATCACACTCTTCCCCAGGCTTCGATGCAACACTAACAGTCTCGTAGCAACTCATGCAGGAACTCGGCGGCGGCCCTGCCCCCGCGCAGATCGAAGCTGGCCCCGGCGCTTACAATGGCGGTGGCGGCGACAACGCGAAACCGTGGCAGCGTGGACCTACTGGTGGTGCCGCGCCATGGCGCTCTCGTGGCGACGATGCGGGCGGTCAGCCTTCTGGCGGCGCTGCTCCTTGGGCCCGTGACCGCGGTGGTCGTGACAACTACGATAACAGCAGCAACAATTACGGTGGCAGCAATGACTACTATAACCAGCAGGGCTACGGACAGGCCGGCGGCGCCGCGCCATGGCAGCAACAACAACCAGCTCCCGGCACTGGACAGGGCGCATACGATGCTTACGCAGCCTATTACGGCGCTGCTGCTGCTGCCGCCCCCGGCATGGGTGCGCCTCCAGGCCTTGCAGCACCTCCTGGTCTTGACAGCAACGGCATCAATGCGCTCATTCAGCAATACTCTGGACAGGCCCCCCCTCCGCCCCCAAGTGGCGAGGCGCCTCCCCCTCCCCCTGGGGATCATCCACCACCGCCTCCTCCTGGCGAGCAGCCTCCTCCACCGCCACCAGCTTACTAGGTCCCGCCTTAGACTGACACAGCTACGACTGACCCCGATATTCTCTGGGTTCTAACTGTTCTCACGAGCTGCTGACATTGCTGCTGTTGTGCAATTTTAACATCGGACAGAGGAAGGACGATTTCTAACAGGTACAAAACCATGTAACCTAGGTCGATCGACACCAAACCCCCAGACTGCTTTAATGACAGATGTTCTTGTAAAACGCAGCGGTCGCAAGAGACGCTGCTAATCTAGGTTAATTCAAGTATTGTTGCTAACTCAAGGGTGCTGCTTCGCGTGCTATCATATCATGTCTGTCTTGTCAAAGTACCCTGAGGACGATGCCCCGCACCTGCCGCGCGCTATCATGTGCCCGCTGAATGGATGCGGAACATGCAAGGCAGGAGCTCGCAAGGCGCCACTTCCCCATGTGACGTCTGTCTGAAGTCGGATCTCCAACATCATTGTTTCTCTTGGTCCTCCCTTGATGTTATTCCCATCGACGACTTCGAAGCGCGCTGGCATCAGTTGCCTGCCCATAACAGTTCAGAGCTGCATGCTTTGCGGTTTGGCTTGATCGTCACAGCGCTACGTACGTGTGCTCATACCACCCGGTCTTCTCCAACCTCCCCCAACTCCGAGTCGAATTCCAAGTCCGGCCATCACCAACCTCGCCCCCCCACTTCACTCGAGCGAGCTTTAACGACTACGATTCTCTTCCGAGCGCAGTATCCTTGACTGTCGGATTTCCAGGCATGCAAACATAGATCTTGTTACTGAGCACGTCGGCCACCGCTGCCATGAAGCTGTCGAACCCTTTTGCGTTTCGGCCAGGCCAGGTGACGTTCTGGACCACAGTCGTCTATCTAGCCATCGCCATTCCGCTCATCTGGGTCCATGAGTCGGTCCCTCCAGCACCGCAGGACCGCTCGCTGCGCCAGGGCCTGAACTTGACCGAAGCCTGGCTTGACCTGCAGACCATTACCACGAACTACCATCCGTACAACAGCCGCGACAACGACCGCGTGCGCAAGTACATCATCGACCGGTCGAAGGCGATTCTGAAGCGGAACGATGTTCACTATAAGAAGGAGTCGCTTCCAAGCTCAGAGACTGCAGTCAATGGGTATGAGCCATTCTCAACCCCCCAATATCTAGCTAACAGTCGACAGTAGTACCGCCGTGACCCTCTTCGACGATCGCGTATCCAACTTCACCCGCGTCGACGAGAACTGGCGCTACTCAGCCCGGCGTGGGACCTACTTTGAGGGCAGCAACTTTTACATTTACATTCGCGGCACCGAAGATGCCGATGGTGACTGGTGGGCAAAGGACTCGAGTTCCAGCAAGGCTCAAAAGCCGGGCGGCGTGCTCGTCAACTGTCACTTTGATTCGGTGTCCACTGGTTTCGGTGCCACGGATGACGGGATCGGCTGTGTGACAATGCTGCAGCTCCTATCCTTCTTCACTTCAAGCGGACGGCAGCCCAAGAACGGCATCGTGCTTCTATTCAACGATGCCGAAGAGGATGGACTCCTGGGCGCTACGGCATTCGGACAGAGTCCCCTCCGTGGCTTTGTGCATACCTTTGTCAATCTAGAGGGTGCAGGTGCAGGCGGTCGCGCGATTTTGTTCCGCGCGACGGATCTCGAGATCGCCCAGGCATACTCTACCACCCCCCACCCATTTGGATCGGTCGTGGCTGCCGATGCGTTCAAACGCGGCCTCATTAAGAGTGGCACTGACTACGAGGTCTTTTATGATTCGTTTGGTCAACGTGGCATGGACATTGCTTTCTACGGACCCCGAGCGCGCTATCATACAGACCAGGACGACGCGCGCCATGCTTCTGTCGACAGCGTTTGGCACATGCTGTCGGCGGCCTTGGCCTCGACGGAGAAACTTGCCCACCAGTCCAACACGGTCTTTAGCGGTGAGCGCTCCGATGGCGACGGCCACAAGGTTCAAAACGGCAAGCCGACCCAGGGCGTGTGGTTCGACATGTTCGGCGATGCTTGGGTCACCATGGCGCTTCGAGGACTCTTTGCGTGGTCCCTGACGTTACTGGTCGCGACTCCTTTGGTATTGCTGATCGTCACCTATCTGCTGAAGCGCAAGGGCAAGTATTACTTCTTCTCCCGTGATGTGAAGATCGACTCGGAACTGCACGACGATCCGGTGCGCCTCGGTGGGTGGAAGGGATTTACCCGATTTCCTTTGGCGCTGATCTTTGCTGGAGCCCTGACGATTGCCTCGGTGCTGCTCGTCGCCAAGATCAACCCCTTGATCGTGTACAGCAGCGCGTATGTGGTGTGGGCCATGACCGTGTCCATCTTCTACTTCAGCTTGTGGATGGTCATGCGTGGGTCCAGCTTCGTGCGCCCCAGTGCCCTGCACCGTGGCTTCGTTCTCATCTGGCTGTTCATCATCGGCTGGGCCATACAGGTTCTTGCGACAGTGGCAGAGGATCGTTGGAAGGTTGGCTCGCTTTACTCTACAGCTTTCCAGCAATCGGCTATCTTTGTGGCGTTGTTGATCGCACTGCTGGAGATGTTTGCTCTCCCAGCAAAGCGTGACTTTGCCGAACTCTTGAACAATGCGAATCAAGCGGAGGACGCCGCCACGGCCGAAGAACACGAAGGGCTTCACCCGGGAACCCAGGCTAGACCCCAAGGCGACGGAGATGAACATGAAGAAGGCGAGGCAGAACCCAGCGAAACGACGCCTCTCGTGGGTGGTGGCAATGGCAGAGGCCAGCAGACGACTTTTGCGAGCACGTACAGACAATCTCAGTCCCAGCCGACCTCTGGCTCAGCCATTGCGTATAAAGCGCCTTACGAACGCGAGCAGTCCTGGTCGGGGCACCTGCCACAGTGGACCTGGGTCATACAGCTGCTACTGCTGGCACCCGTACCGGTGATTCTGTTCGGGAACCTAGCACTGGTCTCGACATCATCACTGCGGATGACTGGTGCAGACGGCAGCAGCTTGATGTTGCCCCTGTTGTCGATCGGGGTGTTTACCATCTTTCTGCTTCTTCCTCTCTCGCCTTTCATCCACCGAGTCACCCACCATGTGCCCATGTTCTTGCTACTGGTGTTCATCGGTTCCCTCATCTACAACCTTACCGCCTTTCCGTTCTCTATTGAGAGCCGCTTCAAGTTCGGCTGGGAGCAGGTCATTGACCTTGACAAGGGTACCAATGTGGCTCACATTTCCGGCCTGGAGAAGTTCGTGAAGCCCATCGTTAACTCTATCCCCTCTGCAGCCCACCAGAACGTCGGGTGCAGCACCGCCGGCGCCAGAGCCGGCTTGGTCAAATGCGAGTACGATGCCTCGGCCCTGCCACCCAGGTTGGTGGAGGGTAAGGATGTGGATGAGCTCATCTCAGTCCACATCCCCAAGTCGAAGGACAATTCAACCATCACTGTCAGCATCGACGCGCTGGACTCGAGGATGTGCGTGCTCGACACGTCGCGGCCCATCTTCGGTTTCTCCGTGGCGGGCGGCTCTTCAGATGACAACCGACTCGGTACTGTGCCTGAGGAGGGGTTCACGGGCGTTGACCTATGGCGAAGAACGTGGGATGGTGCGTGGAACGTGACGTTGCAGCTTGAGAAGCAGACAAAGTCACACGAAGTCGCATCCGTGGAAGAGGTGCAGAGTCTACTTGGCTCCGGTGATATCGACGAGCTGCGTAAGCGATCTGATAAGCTTGAGCTCACGGTAAGCTGCAAGTGGAGCGATGGCAACGAGCCGTCAACCATTCCAGCGTTGCACGAGTTGCGGCAGTTCATGCCTTCCTGGGCGGCGGTGACCAAGGTCCAGGTGGGGCTTGTGGAAGTGAAGAAGAGATATACGATCAAGTGAGCCCAGGGGTGGCAGGCTGTCTTTACAACATGTGCATTGTCGGTGTCGTTATCTATTTCTTTGATAGTTCAGAAGGCGTTACATTTACTTCCATGATTCTGATCCAACCCAGTCTACGGCCCTCTCAGGCCTGTCCTCACATGCGAGAAGGCACCTTTTGAAAACGCTGGTGTGCTTACAGACAAAATTCCACGGCCGCAGCAAGAAATCCCAAGCTAATCACTACTTCGCAGGTCTTGCCCTCTTCAAGCCGCTGAATCTGGACTTCACCTTTGTCCTGCTCCATCGCTCGTCTCTCCAAAATACCACCGGGCTGTGCTTCAACGGTCGGTGCGTCAATCCAGTAGACGGTAGAATAAGCGGAGGTAACAACGGTCGTGATGGTGAGCGGGATGGTGGAAACCAAAGTGGTCTCAATGACGGGGGGATACTCCGAGTCACCGTGGCAGGTCGACGTGGAGAACTCTGTCTCTGTGTTTGGAGGAATCGAAGTGCTACTTGGTCCCTCAGGAGGATAGCAGTACACTGTGGATGAAGAGATAGTCCCGCAGAGTTCTCCCCAGGTTGTGGATGTTTCTGGGACGTCTGTCGGGGTGGAAGGGGGGTGGAAGAGCCAGTCTACGTAGATGGTGGTTGTGAGTGATGCTGTTGTGATGATTTAGCCTGCGCTGTAGTTCCGAATAGGATCAGAAATACGAAGAAATGGTTGAATGCCATGTTTGATGTTACAGTTTTCGTTGGCTGGTTGTGTTAGTTGGGAATGACATTGACTTGCAGAGGCATCAAGTCATGTTCCTGGGCTTTTGAAATACTTTTCCGATAGCCTCGAGGCATTGCCCGCTGTCCTCCCGGGGTTTTCAGTATCATTTTTTTCTTTATCACCAGCCCTTGTGAGCGTACTTTCGTGTATACTGTCCGCTCTGGAATCTTGCAGGTCAAGAAACGTTGGCCTGCATCAGTACACGTGGGCTGGGCGTAGAGCGTGCAACGTCTACCGAACACGCCAACATCTCCCGCTACACATACACAGATGGCTGGTTGCCGATGAAATGTCCTTGGTAAGCGACATGCTCTCCTGGCGGAAACCCGTCCTCGAGCTTGTATTCCCAGCCGAAGGGGTGGCGGTGCTTCTCTCGAGCTATTTCCATGGGGAAGTATAATTCAGTTTGCGCAGATCGCACGATATGAAGTTGTGGCCTGCAATAAGTGTGCTTGGTTTCAATTTCAATGTCTATTAGGTATGTCGTATGGCGTGCATCATGTCGACCTTTTCATCATGACCCATTGCCGATAAAGTCTAGGTTCTAGGTTCTAGGAAACTCCTCCGAATCGTGATGCCAGTCCCCTGCAAACTTCCCTTTCTATAACGCGCTCCGGTCTATCTTGCTTGTTCCACCGTTCGTGTAGTGATACAGGGTTGTTCGTACGCCCTTTCATGAAAACGAGTCGAGGAGAGCAGCTCCCCACGGAGTGAACCCCCGCATGCTCGATGTTACCGCGACTCCTCTCCCTTTATCTGCTCAACCCAGTTGGAAACGATTCTGGCGACCTTGACCGTAGATTCTGTCTTGATTAGTATAATAGGCCACAGCATGGGGGTTTTCAATTACCTTCTGTGGTGGGAAAGTCATGTCTGACGCTCTCCACCATCCATTCCATGTCCTCCCCTCTGCGCTTGACCAACACTTGCCTGACTTCATCGTCGACCCAGTAGTCTTCGTCGGCGTACAGTGCGAACAGTCTCTTGACTCCCCCAGCCTCGGCTACTTGGAAGACCTCGTCGGCCCAGACGTCCTCCTTGATGGTATGAATTTCGGAAACCCCGAGATGCAGCGCTTCGCGCACCCCCTGCGACGATCGGAGGAAGTTTCGTGTGACCTCGGCTGCTGCCGGTGTGAATCCCATGATCGTACCCAACACCCATTTTATGCAAACGTCGGGGAGGGTGAAAAGAAATCCTTTGGCGACGATGTATGCATTGTTGCTGATGACAGGCCAATGCATCAATCGACCAAGTTGCTTTCCACGGGGCGATTTCCCGAGCTCTGTCAAGGTCGGCGTGATCAGGATAGCGCCCTGTATGGTCAAGTCGGCTCGCGCCAAACTGCGGGCGATGATTTCGACAGCGATATATGTGCCGACAGAATGGCCCATGAGTATCACATTCTCGTACCCGCCAGCCTTGATCTGCGCGCGGAGATCGGTGTAAATGCATTCGATCTGCTCTTCCAGGTCGTATAGAGTTGTGTCCTCCTGCGAGAAGCCGAACAGGTCTCGCCCGTATATCGCGTGAGAGCCATGGGTGAGCGAGGACAGCAGGGTGAGGAAGGGCTCGTAGTATTTGACCAGGCCAGGGTTACCGGTGATGAAGTAGATCAAGGACTTTGAAGATGGGTTCGCAGAGGGTAGGGATATTACGGCTGGCATCGTGGCAAAGAAGTTCTTAGGTCGAGTGGTTGTTGTCTTGTTTACGATGGAAGACAGTGCGCCAATGATCGCGGCCAAGGCCGTGCCTGCGGAGGTTGGCGCGCTGCGCAGATTGAGTTACCCTGCACACAGCTCATTGAGTTTAGGTCATGCACAAAGTCTACAGTACACGACTGGAATACCTGGTAGTTTAAAATGAACCATGAGTAAGTTTCGGCGAACTTGAGCTTAAGCATATTTTGTTTCAATGAATTTACTTCCCGTCACTGAGCAAACTGTCGATGATTGGCCAGGAGCCCAGAGCGAAGCATCACGTCACTGTGCCTCATGTCGAATGTCCTGAAGACGAAGAAATGGATGCACAGACAGCGATGCTGTGACGATTACGGATATGCAGCGCCCAAAATATCAATTAAACTACGTAGATTGCTCGCGAGAACAGTAGTAACTAGTGATCCCATTGACGCCGGGACTGACACGTTTCTTCGGCGGTAACCGCATTACTGCGATGACGATGCATGGCCGCCAAGGGCTTGGACTGCTTTGGAGGAATGAGAGGCAGCGTGTGTGGCGCAAGGAGCGTCCCACTCACTGTGTCAGTGGCTGCGCGCTGGGCTTATAAGCACGGCGTCGCCGACACGGAGAGGGGAGGAGGGCTGCAGATGATGAACTCATCGATAAATCAGTCATAATGAACGGGAATCATGTAATATTGCATGCTCTTAGGTGATTCCAGCCTGGGACATTTCCACATCCCCAGGCAAGGGATGATTTGAAGACCAGACCTGCGTGAAGGGAGAGCACATGTTCTTCAGCCCCCAGCCGTCACACATGCGCCTGGCGCTGCCGAGGATCCTTCTGAGTGTGATGAGGATGGGATGCCCCTTGCCAATCTGGGGTGCGTGAGGCGGCCGACTCCACTGATCGAATGTGTCGCAGAATGTTCTCCCAATCAATGCTTACGTTCTCTTACCAAGCCGAGTCCATTGTACGATTCAGGAAGGGGAAGGTATGTGAAGTATGCGATTACAGCAAAGGGAAGAATGCGAGCCCATTTGGTGTGCCACGGACGTCGCTAGATCCTCCTTTGGATCGCCCTGTTCAAGACGTGATGGGGAACCTTGTCTTCTGTCGGAGACACGGGCGAGTCAAGACATGGAGAACGGAAACGAAGTTCAGCCTGTTCAGCTGCTGAGTGTGAGACCGCCACAGCGTGCTAAGGCGGTATGGCTGCAATGACAGTGCACATTATCATAGATCGCCATGCTTAATGAATGAGCACTCTCATGTTATTAGTCAAGGAGATCTATGCGATGCTTCCCTAGAAGTTTTGTGACGGCGAAAGTGTGTCAGTCGGGCCTCAGTGGTGATGGCGCCAGAGACCACGCAAAGCCAGTCTGGCAGACTTCGCGGAGCAGAACCATGAGGTCTCGCTAGCACTGGATGGGCGATGCATCCTGTTAGAGACAAATGACATGCACTGTATACAGAGCGGGATTGGAGGTGTAGTGCACAGTATAAAATGTGAGATTGGTAACAGTAACTAGCTGTACCGTGCCGGCCCATCACCGCACTGTCTGCACCCTCAATTTCGTCCTGCCCAATAGAGTTCCGACCCCAGTGAGGCAGGCACGGCCAGGCTCCAGCACGGTGAGCACGGACCACTTCTGCGCTTGCCGTGTGCCGCCTGCCTCACAGTCTTGTCTCGCCCACCATCAGGTCATCAGATTCTGCTCCCCGACTCTCCCCCTTCCATCGACAAACCGACCGTCCGTATTGTTAGCATTCAAGCAGAGCCATCTATTTTGAAGACGAGGATCTCATACAGATGCGTCTCTTCACATCCCACCCCACCTAGTCCTCGGAGCTGTCGCCGCGGAAAGAGAAAGACCGCCCACATTGAACAAAGGGCCGAATAACGCCTGCAAGTGCTTCGACGCCCGCACCGCCCGCATCGCTCGCACCCTCACTCCCAATTCTCGCTCGTCTCCTTCTCGGCCTTACTCCCCGCAAATCCCCAGACAACGTTTTCCGGGGAAATCGATTTCAATCTCGAAAACAAAGGCCTCGACGACAAGTAGGGCAAGCTCAATCAGTCCTCGAAACCTGTCGACGACTGCCGTTGCCACGAGGCGGCGGCATCGCCTGTCTGAACTCTATCCGTACGATCCCACGACGCGCACCCACGACCGCCATCATGACCGCCGCTATCAAGCGCGCCTGCGACCCATGCCACCGGCGCAAAGTCAAATGCGACGGCTTCAACCCGTGCAAGAACTGCAACAACTCGTCCTTGTCATGCACCTACAATGCCATTCCTCAGAAGAAGGGCCCCAAGGGCTCACGCGCAAAGATCATCAGCGATATTCGTGAGACGCAACGACACAACAGCCTCCACACCAAGGTGCACGCTCGAATTGCCGGTGCGCCATGTACGCCTGCTCCCGAAGGCGTCAAACCGACGCCGGGCTTCTTGACACCTGACGTCGTCAGCGCCTGCATCAAGTTCTTCTTCGACCACATGTACGCTCAGATGCCGATCCTCGACCAACGTGCCATCGAGTCTCAGATCCCATTCATGGAGCAGAATCCCGACACATACTGTCTCGTTGCCTCGCTCTGCGCTTTTGTCATGATGCAGCCTGGCATGAGCCTACCCGCCAACGAGTACTTCAACTTCGACATGTACCCTGGCGCCCTTATTGCCGGCAGTCAGACCATCATGGACGAGGTGCTGCGTGTCCGCAAGGGTGTTGACCACCTCGACAATGTGACACATAACGCACTGGCAACTACTTTCTTCCTCTTTGGCTGCAACTATGCCTTGGAAATGCACAATCATGCGTGGTTCTACCTGCGCGAGGGCACGACCCTCATCCACATGGCTGGCATGAACCAGGAAGGCTTCTACGCTACACTTGACAACGTTGAGTCCTCGCGCCGTCGCCGGCTTTTCTGGCTTTTCTTTGTCATGGAGAGAGCGTATGCCGTTGGCAAGAACCGCCCCCTGACCTTGCAGGCGACGATCAATGTGCCAACCTCGAGCGACGACCAAAGCGACCCCCTCGCAAACCACATTGGCAACTTCCTGCTCCTTGTGGACGCGTACAAGCCCATTGACGATGCGTTCCTCAGCACCTGGCGCAAAACTCACGGCAATCTGTCCGCCTCGCATGTCGACAACATGCGGAAGCAGATGGGAGATCTCCTGCGGTCCTACTATTGCAGAGACTCGAGTTTTGGCGACATGCACGTGAATCAGAGTTGGCTCAAGAATACCGTTTGGCAACTCACCAGCCAGGACTCATACTCGACCAGCGTGTCGCGCGATCTCCTCATGCGGATGGCCGCGCAATTCCCCGGGCAGGGTATGGAACTGATGAACTCGTCGCTCCTGTCCTCAGTCCTGGATATAGTTCACTCGATGACCGAATTCCTTGCGGTCCAGCCCGCCTCTCGCGACCCCTTTGCACCTGGGCCCCAAGACAAACTGGCCACGCTGCTCAATACCGTGGCATTGTCCCGCAATGGTGACCACACCTATCTGCCCGTCCTTCTGACCGATGTTGCCGAGATCCTTCCACGACTCGCAACACCCATGCTCCAGAACGCAGTAGAGGATCCCAACCTTGCCAATGTCGACATCTTTGACGGCTTTGGCACTAGTGGCATGGCCCAACCTCCTCCCCAGATGCAGATGGACATGGAGACTCCATATGATCAGAAGTTCACCCCCGAGGAGTACGAGCAGCAATACGCCGCCACCATGGACCTGAAGCAGCAGCAACAGCAGCATTCGACGCCTGACTCTCAGGGCAGCAGCAGTCAGCCCCAGCAGTCCACGGCTGATATGAATTCGTCCTTTGTCAGCTCTCCCGGGATCATGGCCACGGGCGGCGATTATAACACTCAGATGGGCGGTTTCAATGCCTGCACGCCCATGTCGGAGATTATGAGTCCGATGGCGCACCAGCAGCCGCACATGTCGCAACAACAGCATCTACACTCCTCCCATCCCCACCAGCAAACAACCCAACAGCCGCAGCAACAGCAGCCGCCGCAGCCATACATGTATGACGGGATGAACATTCAGCACTCTCAGATGCCCATGAATACCATGCGTCAGCCTCCACCCCAACGGCAGCATAGCTTCCAGGTGCAGGTGCCAATGAGAACGGTCGGGGAGTTTCAAGGACTGCAGCCGTCAGGGCAGGACAGCCGGCAGGGCATGGTGGGGCTTGGGTCGATGAGCAACGAGATCGACTTTGGGGCGCTGCAGTAGACGTTTTGAGCTGCGCTGCGCCTGTACTTTATCTTTTCCCCTTTTCACTCTGTCTTGGTAAAGCGACGGCTATGATTTTTTTCTCTTTGACGACGGACACAACCGATATTTTCTCTTGTATCACGGACACAACATTTTGGGGCCTGGCGTTCTGGGCATAATTGGCGACGGTTCTCGGTGTAATTGAAAGAGAAGGACATGGGCCGTACATAGATGGATACGTAGCAGTAACTCCGTTTGAACATGTTCTCATTATTGCTCGTGGTATCTCGGTTCCAGTCACTGCCAGCTACTTGCCCCTTACAGTTACAGCCTTGACCGCCATCATCTCGATCCTTCCAGCATACAGCTTCATCAGGTGCGCGACGGGATCACCCCATATCAACCCCCGTAGCTGATCATCCGTGCAGACACTCGCCACGACACCCTCGTCTAACCTATCGCGTATCGTCATGCGATCTTTCGGTGCGCCGTCACTGCTCTTGGCAGAGCGTAAAACGACGATTCGACCTGCGTTGCTCAACGTGCATACCGGAACAGGCCATACGGGCCTCCCCTCAAGTCGCGCGTGCGAGGCTTTCGACTTGAGGTGGCTCAGGCTCTTCATCTCCTTAAGTTTGTGCTTTGTGTCAGGTGCGGGCTGGGCTAGAAGTTCCAGCAGGCTCTTGACGTAGGCCTTGTCAGCCCTCGTGACCGGGTCGCCCTCATTCACGAAGCTCAGAAAAACGCTGTTCTTGAGGGCCTTTCGCTCGGGCTTCATGATGGGCAGGAGACTGATGGGGGGCGTGCCAAAGGTGACACAGTGGACGCGCTTGAAGCGTCCAGTGAGAATGTTTAGCTCGCTCTCTGCCTTCTTCGTCGCGGCGAGCATGTGTGCGTATAAAAGCGAGGCGACGGCTCCTCCGGCCGAATGACCTGTGATGAGTAGGCTGTACCTTGATCTCGACGGGTCCTCCTTCAAGAGTTCCCTTAAGCGTGCCGCAACTGGCTTGACCATTTTCCTTGCGACGCTCAGAAAGCCGGCATGGCACAGATTGCCTTCATCGTCCAGGAATTCTCTTGGCGAGGCGGGCGCCGTGTTGAGGTTCACAGCCCAGTCCATGAAACTCGCAGTCCCACGGATCGCGAAGACAATGGTATGCATGTGATCCATAGGCACACTTTTGATGCACATGGCCTTTGTCCCGGTACGCCAATCGCTCGACACGTGCGCCTCAGCCTCGCGGCCCGCCGGACGTTCGTACACGGCAAGAGAGTACTGCGCGGCGAGGCATAAGAGGGGCCAGGTAGGCACATAGACAGCGAATGGCTGGGTCTTGGTCGGCGACTTGGAGTTGGCGTACATCTCGACCTTGGAGAAGTAGTTGCCGCGCACGACTTGGGCGGCCGTGTCTGTCGCGGCGCATTTCTCCTTGGTTTGTGCCTCCTCGTCGGCAGCCTTGTACTTGTTTCGGTCGCGCTGTCGCTCATTGGATGTCCTTCTCCCCCGTCCCTTACGTTCAGCATGGTGTCGTAGATCGGCGCGGGGCGGTGCTGAGGGCTGGTGACACTTGAACAGATCCGTCTCTGTGCCATTCATGTGTTCGCCGTCAATGAGGGTGAGAACATTGTTCAGGCGAGCAGCGACCTCGTCACAGGCATTGATGCTCGAAGTGACGAGATTCGTTGTCTGGTCGTACCATTTCGAGAGGCTGTTGTTGTGGGTGGCTAGGTTCACCATCGACTTGTTGGCGGGCGATTGACTGAACTTTGCCGCGTTGCCATACGGCAAAGAAAAGGAACGATAGCTGGGGTCGTGGGGCACAGGCTGTCCAGAGAAGTAGTAGTTGTGGTTAACAACAACTTGGCCGCAGGCATGTTCATGATGGCGATGCTCATCGGATGCTGGTAACGCTAGTTGTCGCGAGTCTTGATGAGCCGTCGCAGGCCGAGGTGGCGGGCGTATGGGAAGCGCATCATCCCGTGCGCTTTCACGGGGATCGGATTGTTTGGAGGAGGGAGAGGAGGTATGGTGTTTCGACTTTGCTCTTGTTCGCGGCTTTGAGGGTGGTGGCGCCTCCTTCACCTTTTCGCGGCGGGTGAAGAAGCCCATGGCGGTAGTGGGGTCATGTCTCGATTCCTCGGGTCAGCTCACTTTGCAACTGTGATTGCAGAACAGCCGCTGTGTTGCGCGATGAGGGTATCACGAGAAGATAGGAGACCGAGCATGGATGGGATGTGGGATGTGGGAGTGCCAGTCACATTAAGGACGTGCCTTTCGTTCTGGAATCAGGACTGGAGGGAAGGAACGATCAACGATCAGTGGCCCCTCCTTCCCGCTTGGCAGGCCATTTTTAGTGGCCACCACCAACGGGATACCCTAGGCGCCCTGACACCTAAAACTGGGTCGAGAACGTGATTGGCAGAGGAGGCTGGCGAGTTGCCCAATCGGGGGCTGCTGTCGCGCGCCGCCTGCTGGTCCCGTCTCTGGCTGCCGTTTGTTGATCATTCGAGAGCTTGCCAGCGACTTGAATGAAAGAAACCATAGACGCGATGTGTCGGGCAAAGGCAATTTTCTGGAAATATGAGGTTGCTCTCAAGAGTTTGGCACCAGACACCCTGGCCTCGCTCGACAGCAGTGGCGCCACGCCTTGACACAACCGCCCTCATCGAGGAGGAGAACTCGCCTGACTATCACCCCGACAGATTCATGCCCGTTCATCTGGGCCAGATCGTCAACAGCCGATATCAGGTGGCTAACAAACTTGGGCATGGTGCCAACTCCACTGTATGGCTAGCCAGGGATCTTCATCGGCAAGCCCTCGCATGACGTTCCATCCATGGTCTTCTTGCTGACCTACGAGAGTTGGCGATGGTCCGTCGAACGTTACGTTGCTCTCAAAGTCAACGCTACCGGCACGCGTTCCGGCTTGCTGAGCCCGGAAAATGAGGTTGATGTCATGAAGCACATCGGCGCCGCCAATCCCAAGCACGGTGGATGGCATTTCGTGCGGAAACTCGCAGATTCGTTTACACAAGACAGCCACGTGTGCTTGGTCTCGGAAGCCTTGCGTGAGCCTCTTTGGCTGTACAGAAAACGATACGTTGGCCAGGTTATCCCTCCAGACATTCTCAAGATCCTTTTGCAGATGATCTTGAAGGCGCTGGACTATTTGCATTCCGAATGTCATGTTATCCACACTGGTAAGTGACGGCCCCAAGAACCGCTGTGTCGTTGATGAGGCTTTGTTGAGGTGAGCACGACTTCTGTATCAGCGAGCTAAACACTGCGAATAGACCTCAAACCCGGTAATATCATGGTGAGGGTTGAGGATCCGGATATATTTCAGCAATCTGCGAAAGATGAATTCGAGAACCCACTACCGCAGAAACATCTGGATGATCGAGTGATCTACCTGGCGCGGAACAATTATGGGCCTCTCGAGCGACCAACGGGGAGTATACAATTGGTAGACTTTGATCTGGCAAGGAGAAGCAAGCCAGGGGAACTACTCAAGGGCGCCATCCAAAGCGAAGTTTATCGGGCCCCTGAGGTTATCCTCAACTCAGGCTACACTTATTCCACTGACATCTGGAGTCTTGGCGTTTTGGTGAGGACGAGAAGTATCTGCTGGGGTTTTCCAACTTGGACTGACGTGGCTGTAGTTATGGGATCTCCTTCAGATCCAGCCTTTGTTCCGGCCCATGAACCCCCAGAATCCGGAAGAATACAGTGAGGCTGTTCATCTGGGTCAAATTACAGCACTGCTGGGCCACGCCCCTCCGACCCTCGTCTCTCAAGGCGACAGATCAAACATGTTCTACCAGCCGGACGGTACGATATTGACCAAGGAAGTACCCTATCTCTCTGACTAACATGACCTTTCAGGGACCCTGCGGAAAGAAACCCATGTACCTCTTGATTTCTCCTTTGAAAAAGCAATCACATGCATGGAGGGAGAGGAGAAGCGCAGGTTTATCTGTTTTGTGAAGAGAATGCTGACGTGGGTGCCGGGCGAGAGAAGCACAGCCAAAGAGTTACTGGACGACCCTTGGTTATACGAAGATTTCAGTTCATGAAGGCCATCTCGTCACCTTTGAGATTGTCAAAGAAGTCACTCATCCTCAGCTGCGACTTCACCACATCAAGCCGGCACCTGTCGAGATTTCATTGCAGAATTCGGTCGTCTGGCACATGGACTACACACGACACCGATTGAAGTCATGTCCAAAAGATACCATTTGATGATATTTAGCAAACTACACCGAAAAAACGCCACCAGATTCGCCTTGGGGCTGATTGCCCTCCCTTCTCCTAACGCCATGACTGGTATATCCTCCGATCAAATAACACCTGTTCATCTACTACACAAAACGCTCGTGGAGCAAAACCCAAAGATCCTCCCGCCCATGATCACCAGCTCCATTCTGCTACTGGTCGCACTGGCTTGGTGGCTGGGAACGAGGCTGGCTCCTATTCATCCTCTCCGGCGCCAACAAAAAATAGCCCGTCCTGGTCGTCTTTCTTTGAAGTCTGGTACTCCTTCTTGCCCATAACGAACAGTTTACGTCTTTCGGGGCGCAATAGGCCCACTTCCCAAGCCTCCGGCCAGGGCTCATCCACGGAGATCACTTCTCGCAATGTGCTGCCCAAACCCTTAGAATGCATCACATGGCTCTTGTCGCCGCGCACGCTGTGCAGACTTTGAAAGAGATGATTGCGGTTCGCAGGCATCTTCTCGCGACGAGTTATTGCCGTCGCGGAGATCCTGACCATGAGGCCCAGCTGCGCGACCGTCGCCTTGAGTCGGCGCAGGTGCGCAGCGCTTATGAGCGTGGCATCGGGTCCAGCTTTGTTGAAGAATTCAATGACATCTTCGGCGACGTCTGCGTTCCAGTTGTTCTGCATCTGGAGCAGATCGAATCGACCATCGACATTGTCTTCTTCCTCGCCCCCGTCGTCATACCCAGCCCCTGCCAGGTTGCTTGCGTCGGCCATGGTGCTGCCGGCGTTCTCGGTATTCTCCAAGCCTCGTTGCTGCAGTGCTGACCTGACGTTTCGACGGATTTTTTCAATCCTGAACAGATAGTCGTACAAGTTGAATGGCCATGAGTCATTGCTGGGGTAATCGCGAATCCATTCAGGGGACGGCCAGCGAAGAACACGGGGAACTGGTTGGTCTAGAGGCAAGAATGGAATTTCGATCCCAGTGTCCATGGCGTCAGTGGAGTCACTGAGTGCAAATGAGGTCGCCGTGTTTGAGAGATCCTCAGACCCTGCGAGACTCTCAGACTTTGTGGATTTATCAGATTTCGCGTCGAGGAGCTCTTTGTCTAATTCTTTGGATTCGAGCCAGTCAGCGAGCAGTTCGCCGGCGGTATTCTCTGTGCCTGACAATATTTCGTCGTCGTTGAAGTAGACGTTGTCGTCCTTCATTGCTTCGTCTTCAATGTGGCTCGGCGCGCCATCGTCACGAGGAGCCTCCGCCTGCACAGAGTCGATTCCGCTAGGAACGGCAACGTCTAGATCCATTGGTATGCCCATGTTGTCGAATGGGTTAGGTTGTTCATTGTCGATCGCCGGCATGTCCTCCATCGAGATTGAACTGTCGACAGTCTCGTTGTGACTTGGCTGGGAAGACCCAGCAACCGTAAGCTGTGTCGGGGTGGGTAGGGGGGTATCTGCGCCTGCGCTGTCGTTTTCAGTGTCCTCGGACTGAGCGGCAGTAGACGTTTGGATTTCGCTACGTCTGAGAGAGCGAGTGACATGTTCGAGGTCAGCATCCTCAGGCTTCGGAAGCGAGAGAATGGTGTCCCAGTAGTCACTGGAATTCAGCTGATGCTCGGCCAAATTTGGTGCTTGCTCTGGATAGACGCTCTCGACGGCTGCGGGTGATGACTGCGCGACTGCCAGAGCCTCTGTCTCTTGAAGGCATGTATTCAGTAAGGTGATGCTCTTATGCACTGCAACCCTGTGTAGTCGACTGGCAGTGCGCGTAGACACGTGTAGGTCCCAGTCGAGCTTTTGGGGTGCTGGCCAAGGCTGGGGATTGGGTAGCGCTTGGTCGCGCTGCACGCCCATGCGTTGGCGTGGAAGGGGATGCGAAGACTGAGGGATAGTTTCTCCGGGGAGTGTTGTATCTTGATCAGCCATGATGTATAGTTGAATAGGTTCGGATGGCTTGGTAAGAAGTGTTTGGCTGGCGCGTATGCGAAGGGAATAGTGTATCAGATTTGAGCATGGTTTTGCGAGGACGGTCGAGATATGGACACCTCACAAGCCAGGGTCGATGTTTATAAGGGTTGTATTGTTAGAGGTAGCCCAAGAACAGGAAGAAAAAAGCGACAGGTAGTGGGAGCAGAAAATAGCTTGTCGCACGAACCTTGATTTGTGTGAGTTCACAGATTCCCAGAAGAAATGAGCAGAGTTTTGCTAATCAACTCATCCGTTCAAAACTTAAACGTGACCATGCCAATGAGGCATAGAGTTAGGAGGCGGACAACCGAAACTAATTGTTGTCTAGGAGACCGGGGCCGAGTTTAGCTGACCATTCTCACACACAATGAAAGTTTGTTGGGAAATGACGAGACGTTTCTGTCTGTTGTCTCTTCCATTGTGGCAGAAGGAGGGTCTGAAGGGTCTATGTTGCTGCTGTGCCCATCACGTGGTTGATGGCAGACTACTGTATCCTGTCCAAGGTAAGTACTTGGGTGGGAAGTATTGTCAGGCAAGAGCTCTCGATGACAGACGAAGCAAATAAGCATTACCAGGTGAAATCTTGTTTCAGCAAGATATCCTACTGGTCATGCGCACAGTCTGTCCTGGGCGTACTTCTCGCGTTGCCATGTGTAGGTACTTACCTTACTGTTCTCCCATGGACTGGGCGTATAAAGTCAAAATTGAGGATATCTGTCTTCAGCTTCTCGCGTGTAGTAGACCTGGCTGGATTGGAATTGTAACGGACTAATTTCGTCAATTTTCGCGTTAGGCCATTCTCATAGATACATATAGCTTACAGTTTGGCAGAGCCGCCTTGTCTCGCACAATTGATGTTGGACCTCAATCTCAACCCTGAGGTCACGATTTCGATGCGACATGACACCCTTGTGAGGAAGCAAGAGTTACTGCGTCCTTGAAGATGCCGATTGCAAACTAAACAATCGTACGTATCTCGCGAATCTGAACGAATCAGCCCTTGTCCATCTAGGTGCAGTATAGGCCAAACACTTGCGGAAGGACAATCGGCTTGACAGCAGAAGTCTCAAACGAATATGCGCCTGAGTAAACTCCCCACGCAATTTCATGAGGACACATATACAACACCAGCGTGGAATGGATGTGCTTGAGCATTTGTCGATAACCGTCGTCCCCCGGAGGGAAAATACCCCTGACGCTGTCGCGGGAACTGCCGCGACGTTTATCGCCTAGTGGCGCATATTCGTAAGTTACTAGACAAGACCCGGGCATTAGTCGCCCAAATATGTGACGTGAGTACTGTTTGATGTTGCTCGGCAATGCATCTGGGGGCCTAGCGAGCGACACTTCAGTTTGATGCTAACACCCGAAATCTGGCAAATAACTTACAGACCGATGCATATGCTGGCAAGGCACTGAGACACTCGGCCAATATCTCGGACGCGAGACAATATCATGTAAATACACGGTTGGTTATCTATGTCCAAGTCCACGGCCAATTTGCCAACTTCCCATCCTACCTGCTCCATGTGCCAAGCGACTCAGTCGCATCAAGGTAAAGACTTCGCTAAACGCCTCCTTCTATGACTCCCCAATCCAAGCTTCTTCTAGAGGGCATCCTCGGCGCGTACACAGACTTCAATCATTGCTCGCTCCCGCTCCTTGGTATGTTTGTCCTTTGCAGCGTTGGCCTCTGTCGAGCGACATATCATGGGGGCTACGATTTCAGAGAACTTCCTCTCTTTAGCTCGTCGCCCTTTGATGGTCGCTGCCTCGTTGCCCCCCGCCGGCGGTTTGCGAAAGCTTAGTCTTCGCACGGGGGCTGGTGTCGATGCAGGGGCAGGTGGTGTCAATTCGGTCGCAATTCTTGACAAAGCCGTGGTGAGAAACACAAAGGCAATGTTGTGGGATGGGGCTATAGTGAGTGTATCCAGGAGCTTCTGCTTCGCGTCGGGTGGCTTTGCAGGTGCCAAGGTGGCCAACGACGTTTCGACCTTGAGCCAAAGATGGTAGGGTATGATCCCATCCGTTAGACTCGACAGAAATAGTAGCAGTATCGAACTCAGGGCCTCCAGCTTGTGCGCTGAGCTTGTTTCGACAGGAAGCGACGGGATCAGGGACTCTCCCATGTCCAAGGCTGTGACTAGGCGGCCGCTCAATTCATTCATGGTAGAAGATGGAGCTGTCCAAGTTGATGCCTCCAGGGGCCACCCTGCTGCTTTTGGCACAGTCACCTCGTCCAGCATCGCTTCGTCGGCAATGCAGCGCTCTGCCAGATCTTCCATGGCGGTCGTGATCTTGAAGAGTTCCTGGGGTGCTGAGAACTTCTGCTCGGTATCACTTGGTATTGAGCCCTCAATAGCCCATTGCTTGACGAATGATCGAATCCCGCCGTCTGGGACGCGGATGAGTTCATCAACCGAGCGGCCGAAGCATGAGGGCTGCCACGATGCTCGTATTGGGATGAAGTGATCTCGTCCGTCGTCCACCCGCAGCACCAAGACGTCTTCCAGCTTGGCGCTTCCATTGTTCAGACTCTGAAGCAAAGGTATTGAAGATACGTATGCATTAACGTGAGCAAGTAATGTCTCGCCCGGCTCAAGTGTGACACTCTTCCCCAGAGCCTCGCTTTCTGTGTCCTCGTCGTCCGGGATTGCGAAGGACGTAGTCGTCCATCGGTCGGACATGTTCTCCTCGCGGCCTCCGTGTTGTGGCTTCTCGACAAACCCAAAAGTCGCAGATACACCGCTTGTATTCGCAATGGTCACGGATGCGAGCTTTCGCTCCAAGAATTGGATCTCGCCAAAGTCAATGGCACTCTCGTCGGCGCCCTTGCCAGATTCTGCTATCACCGTGATGCCAGGGCGCCCCTCGTTCTCTGCGCGATCCAACTCCTTGGCGACTTCGGCGTGAACCTTGCTCTTGAGCTCTGGTACAACGGCGTCGTAATCCAAAGTGAAGAGGGATACCACAGGTTTGTGGTCTGATGATGTGATCCCTTGATGTGATGTGTATATATCCAACTTTATGTGGTCTTCATACCCGTCCTTGGTCGTGACGACGTCTGGTTCTGGTTCGTCTTCGTTCTCGTCGTACTCGTCATAACCCAGCTCTGGCTCTGCTGCTGACGGCGACTCCCCGTCCGTGCCGGGATCGTACGTGAAAAGCACGTCTTCGTCGTCTTCGATTCCTCGGAGCTTCATCTCGGTATCCTTCTTCTTGGCTTCTTCCTCCTCTTTGTTCTTTGCCTCGTACTCTTCCTTGTCTCGTCGCGTACGGTACAGGATCCGATCACACCAGCTCGGCGCACGCTGCTTCTCGCTCGAGTCAAACAGCCCAACAGACCCAACGTCATATTTGTATGTTGGCAGAAAGGTAATGGGACCCTCTCGCCATCCGTCGTGAAACGCCTTCCGCTCCCGAATCACCCTTCTCAGCTGGTCATGCGGGAGCAACGAGTCCAAGGTAGCCTGTAGCGACGTCGGATCTTGACTCGGGTCCTCGGGAAAGTCGTCTGGATCTGGTAGAGAGCTTTCAGATTCGAGGCTTTGGTCTCTCGAATGCGATGATGAGGACGTCGTCGTCGTGTCATCGCCGTCCTCTGAGCTCCTCATCACTATCACGCCTTCGCCTTCGGGCGGATCTGTTTTCGACCCTTTGCTCAGGTCATATTCACCCTGGGTATGCAACGTGAGCAGCCTCCGAATGTCATCGCCTGGCAGGCCGTCCAGTCTGTAGTTGAGATCTCCGAACCAAAAGGCAAAATCCTCGGCGCCAATACCTTCTCCCTCGTCTTCCTCGACGCCAGCCTGGACAACAGGATCAAACTGTGTCTTGGCCACAATTTGCTTTGCGTCAGCGCACCGCCTGTCTAGGTTTGCCGTTGTCTCGCCACTAGCGAGATGGCAGTTGACAAACACCATGCGTGTAGTCTCCCCAAGAATGAGCCGCGTCGCAACAGCACCCTTGTTTGCAAACCACCCTCCGATGCCGGTGCCGACTTGTCGGGTGCACACGTTGCCGATGGTAGGCGCAAGCTCTGGGCTAGCGTACACGAGCTGCAGCAGCCCAAACATCTGCTCCACTGAAACAAGCGTGTATCCAGCCGGCATGGCTGCCTCCAAGGCGGCCTGCCATTTCTGAGTGGCACTGTTGTCCGTATACACAGCTCGGGCCATGTACTCCTTTGTCAGGTTCAGGTCGACGACCTCCTGAAGCCCCAGTATATACAGTCCCACGTCTTCACCTCCTACAAGGCGGATCGGGTCATGCGCGTCACCTTGTGCCTCCTTCACGGTCGTTTCCGTGCCCGCGTGTTGTCGAAGGTTGAGCGTCGCAAACTGTTGATCCAGGCCCTCTCCATCAACGAACCACCGCGCAAGATCCTTGTCGGTACCAGGACAAGCTGCTACGTTCCATGATCCAATTTTGACCTTGATCTGGTGCCGCCGCGTATATTCTGATCGGCGCGCATGGACGGCTTTCGCAAGCGACTGGGGCGTCGCAGTGGCCGCGTTCGCGAGGTCTACCGGCTCGGACGTCAGAGAATCGCTCTGTTCTGCCATGGCTCGAAATGTCTCGTGGACCGCACTGCAGGCTTGTTCGAGGGGATGCCGCTGTCTGATGGAAGGGGAGCGAAGCTTTCGTTTCTTTGCGATCTTCTAGACCATAGTGGGAGATGGGGAAGACAGAACGAGACCGATGCGGCACGCGGATCGGGTATAATGTTAGAGCACCAATATTAGTGAGTAACTTCGAGTTGTGATGTAGCGATTAGCAATGAGCGTGATGTCTCGTGTGCACGTGGGAGTGGATGTGTTCACGTGGAGTGGTGGGATACTATACGTCGTCAAGCCCCGCGATGGTTTGAGATTGAGATTGGCGTCATTGCGCCTGGCCTTGCCTTATCCATGGCCATTTCTTATCGGAGATCAGATAAGCAAGCGCAGCAAGCCACTTTCGCATCATGCATCGCGACTTGCTGCAGCTGCTCCAACCCATGCCCCGAACCTAGCTCTGTTTTTGACGATTGCAAGCCCCACAACATCTCGAAACGGTCTGCGCATACTTGTATACCCCGATAACTTCACCGACCAAGTCGACAATACCAGTACCAACCTGCGGCTCCATCAGCATGTCTAAGCAACAGCGCAAGGGTCGGAATCATGGTCACAATCGACAGCCATCAGGCCGCGCGCCACTCACATCTGACTACGAATCCGACACATTCGCAGGTCAAAACAATCTTGCCACCGAAGGCTCCTATGCGCCTCCTCCACCGACACGCACAAACACCGAGCTCAATCTTGCTGTGCTCCGCCGCTACCTTCCCAGCATAAACAGCATCAATAGCATTGCAGCCAACGCCGTCTTATACACATTCAACGAAGATGGGAAATGGGACAAGAGTGGCGTGGAAGGCACCATGTTCACCTGCACGCAGGATCCTCTGCCGACAGACCATCTCCAACGAGCGCGAGCCTGTCTATTCATTCTCAACCGCCGCGGGTTGAGCAACCTGGTGATCGATCTGGGCGAGGTCAAGGACATAGAAGTCTCGGGCGAGCTCACCATTCTCACGGTGGGCGAGGAATGGCAAGGTCAAGGCGACAAGACACTGGGAGTATGGCTGCACAACGACGAAAGCCAGACGAGAAGTATCAACCAGGAAGCAATAAGGACTATATGGGAGTATGTCAGAGCGAACGGTCCGGTCGGAAAGGGAGATGTCGAGGCTGGGGCGGCCACGCAGGCTATTGGCGGCTCGGGTCTGAGCGTACACGATCTCTTCAAAGCTCAAGGTGCCGCGCAAGGAGTTCAATAATAGCTTTCATGAGTCATTAATAACACAAGCGAACGTTGGCAGCATGTGCCAACATCAACCATCATTATCCATGCAATTGGTACAACAGCAAAACCCTCCCGCTTGGCTCAGACGGTGCCACTGATGCTCAACTCCCGAATCTCCTGTAACACCTGCTCCACCCTTGCGTCGAGATGTCCCTCTGCATACTGGTCTCTCGTGTCCGCGTCCAGGTACTGTTGAACCTGCGCCATCCGTGAGTACGCCTCGGCGCAGAACCTCAGCTGGATCTTGACAAGCGCTTCAAACGTCGGGTCGAGATACGGCACGCGCAGCTCTATCAACTGCGGCAGTTCACTGCTCAACTGCTCGTTAAGCTGCTCATACGCTGCTTTGGCCATCTCCATCTCCTTCTCCGTCCGTGGGAGCTTGGTCGCGTCCTTGTCGGGTTTCTCGGCGAGACGCTTTACTCTGGCGCGCAGAGCATCGTAGTCCAGGAGCTTGTGTGATCGTTTCTTGATACACTCGTTCACGTCGGGGAAGTAAGCGCAGAATCGCGTGATGGGGTCGAGAACGGTTGTGCGGTAGGGGCCGTCGAGAGCCTTGATTGTTTCGGCGTCGAGATCTTCGACTGCCTGTTTGTAGGAGCGGGACACGCCGTCTTTCGCGCCAGAGTCGCCGTAGAAGGCATCGATTGTTTCGGCAATTCGCATTTGAGAGGCAGTCATGGCTGAAAGGTTTAGTCAATCCTACAACGTGCGGACAAACGGGAGGGAAGTTCAAAGTACCTCGCAACGAGTCCAGGTAGCCTTTCGAGTGCTTTTGTAGTTGTAGCGAGGCAGCCTCCATTGTCTTGAATCGTCTGGCTGTGTTAGCTGGATGATCGGGCGTTTTTGGGCGCTGCTCGTCGCGCACCTTTCCTCCACTTCATAGTCGCGATCGTTGGTCTTCTCGACATGACCCGTCTTCATCATCACCTGCGTCGTCGCGCGGTTCACATTCTTCTTGAACCCTGCCACTCAATCAGCTTGAAGCCCCTCTGCGGGGTGTGTGATACGCACCCGCCCAAGACATGTTGCCGGTGGTTGATGGTCGTAATTATGTGTGATCGCTTCGCTGTGTGGGTGTCTTAAGGCAGTGTCGGTTTGGTGAGCTTCTCGCGAGTGCTGTGGTAGATGGGTCGTAGGATGATGATGCGCTCGTTGGGGTGATGATGGGCGGCGTTCATTCAAGGCGCAGCCACGATCGACAATTGAACGAGCCCAAGTGGGCGGGACTGTGGCTGGGGCCGCCGACGTCAGTGAGGCAGCGCCGCAGCAGGCTGAATGGGGAGCCAAGGGCGAACAGTTATTACCTTACTATTTCTCCGCGCCTACACTCCTAAAATTGAACAATCGGTGCAAATTCACCATTAGAGATATCAACAGCAAGCTAGACTTTTATTAGAAGCTTTAGAAGCTCCACAATGTTCCAAGATTGTCAGAATTGCTGCTGGTCTGGCTGGCCAGATCATGTGATCGCAACTCAGTTTGGGACCCACCCAAGATAATAGCATGGAACAATGAAAGTATTTCTCAACACCAGCGCATAGCACAAGGTGCACGGGAACATCCTGATCTTGATCCAACTCGTGTTATCTTTTTTCTGTTTCTGTGTATTGTTCTTGTCCGCGTCGCCTCACACTCGCAACCATGGTGAACCCTCGCTTTCTGGTCATCAGCCTCGGCAACCCCTTACCAAAATACACGTCTCTGCACTCAGCCGGACATTTCACACTTCGCGGCCTCGCGCCTCTGCTGCCCAACCAGCCTCCCTTCGCCCAAACCAAATTCGGCAAGGCCAACGCGCTTGTATCGCAGGGCTCAAAGTACACGCTTGTGCAGTCGCCGACGCTGATGAATGTCTCTGGACCATTCGTCGCGCGAGCATGGGCGGAGATGCTCAAGACGTACGAAGCAAAGGACTGTTGCTTGGTCATTGTACACGATGAACTCGAGAAACCACTGGGCGTTGTGAGATTGGTGGACTGGGAAAAGTCCCACAAGGGTCACAATGGACTCAAGAGCATCAGGGGCGTGATCAGCCAAGCAAGGTTCCCAGAGAGTCCGCTTGTGAGGATGGCGGTGGGAATAGGGAGACCCAAGGAGCGCGATCCCGAGACTGTGGCGCGATACGTGCTCGACTCCATTCCCAGAGAAATGGTAGACGCGTTCGAGGGGGATGCTGCAGGCAAAGCCCGGGAGAGGTTAAGAGAGCTGGAAGCTGAGTGGTGCGAGGAGGCGGCGAAAGTAAAATGACGATCTCGCGATAATCACGCATCGACGACGACCTCTGGCACCTATCGCAATTCAAAGCCATTACGGATCATCCAGCGAAACTCGACACGCTGTGATCTAGGAACCATCTTAGCCATATCCATCGGCACAGCGTTGTAACCTTCGAAGACCACTTGGTTCCGAAGAACACGCTTCAAGGTCATGAATATGTTTCGGGCCCGGCTGTGGATACACGATGCGTTCAACACAAACGCTTGGGGTCGTCCCCGACTACCCAGGCCATTTGCTAGAGCAGCGTTGCCATCTCTCTTGACTTTCCTGAGTGTCGACGAGTGTGTCAGCGGCGCGTTCTCCTTCGGAAACGTATACATAGGCTCCAACGTTTATGCCTGTCCAGGAGTCAAACCCAGACTGAATGACCATCCAGTGTCCAGGCTGTCGAGCTGGGAACGCTTGGATAACACTGGTCTTGGCAAGACGACCCAGTTGGGAACTTGGGGTCACATATCATTCACTGATAAGAAGGACATCCCGCTCCCTACTATCTGGGCATGCGAATTGCATCAAATGTCTCGCGCCATTTTCTTGGCCCGTGAGAGCCATGGACGAATCGAACCCGCCATTGCCGCCGAAATCGGTCTACGACAAGATGAGACCCAGATTGCTAAGCGAAGCGTGCGTGGAAAGTTACTCTGACTTGGCTCGAAGGTGCGGCGGCAGGCTATCTGCTCGGTTATGCGGAAGAAAGACTGGTGTGGATGCGAGCAGCAGAGATAAGGCTCTGGCGGGTCGAGTGAGCCCTTTCGAACGCCTCCCGCAGAGAAACGAGGGAAACAAAGTCAACATTCAAGAGCCAACGAAGGGACAAGACAGGACTAATTTATACACAAGTTCATGACCCAGACTCTTCCCCACGAAGACGGACGGGTAGATCTGATATGCGATTCAATCTCGCATTGTAACGCCCGCAAGTACAACGTGGTAACGCTTGTTTACCAGAGCTGTGCGGGCGCTCGATCGCGAAACCTTGAAGCCGGCATCTTTTGACAGCTTGGAGTGTGGATTCAAGGAGATGCGCCACTTTGCACCTTGCGCCTGCGCTCCTATCTCGACTATTGTTCCTCGGCACCGCAGGCCAGCACTCAGACCCATATCACGGGCCTGCGCAGTCAGAGATACGGACCTCGCTTGGAGAGAGAATCTGACAAATTGAAATAAACCCAGAGCCTTCATTCCTCAGCCGGGCCACGCGTCCGCCAAACCCCTGCTCATCGATTCCGTCTCTCAAACTGCTCACTGATAACAGCAATACGCACATGCTGTTCGTCGATGTAGAGAGAGGGATGCCTTCACGCTTCCATGTCGGATGATAGTGGCACACCCTCCACGACTCGAGAGCCGGGGATTGTGGAGCAATATCTCGCCAAGTGATAAGGCGATGAGCCAATCATACCATACGGATTTTACCTGTGCTCTTCCGACTTGGACACAGAGAAGTGCAAGTTGATGCAACAGAAAGGGAATCAAGGGGAGAGGAATGCACACGAAGAGAGGATAATTCGACGGACTCCGCGGTCTTGCTTCTATTTCGAAATTGCCACATTCTCTGGCGGTCTCGTTTGCTCGGGCTGTGCTCCCCACAGCCTGAGAAGACCATCTTCTTGCCCGCCTGTCGGCAGTCTACGGGCTGTCATCAATTGTCATGACGCTCATGATCCCCAGCTGAACCAACAGTTTCATACAATCTTCTGATATCAGGCGCTTCCATCACTTGCCACGCTGCGCGCTCCTCGTGGAAGACATGATCGATTAAGCTTATTTCATGCCGACCCACAAGCGCCAACGCAAGTCCTAGCCAAAAGCATTGCAAACCATGAAGATCATGATGATGGCAAACTGCATGGGATCATTTCAGTCACGGCTGGTTTGAAGATGTCTCGCTGGCAACACAGGCGTAGATAACGTTCTGTTGCGCTCGAGGTGTCTGCGCTCGAAAGGGGGGGCGTGCGCCCTATGGGAGGCTGGATCCTTATCAGTGGGCCCACCACCTTGGACGACACAACGAGACATCTTCCTGCTTGATCCCGCCCCGAGCTGACCTAGAGACTCTTTAGAAGAAGCTTATGGGTTGTTGGCTGGTGGTGGTCAGAACATGGTTCGCTGGCGCGAAAGAGATGCTGCTCAGATTCAGGCGCCAAGAGAGATGATGCCGCGATACGTGCTATCAAGAGCGCGATAGCTGGTCTATCTTGATGAATGATGAACATTAGTATTGCTAAACATTTCTAGCGATCATCAGATTCTCCAGAGCCGATGACACTCAGCCCTTGTTTTTTTGATAGAGCTGGCCAAGATCTTCTGGGTTGTCCATCGTTGTCACTACTACAAGGACGAGCGAGCATCACCAGATATATTTCCCTGTCATCGTCACGTTCCTCGAGCTCTTGCGCACCGTACCGCAAACACAGTCAAGGCCGACCTGATATTCAGCATCACTGACACGGCACGACACTGTCCTTATCTCCCCCACACTACTACGAATAAGCCACCCTCCACGCCCAGCAACGACCCCTGGCTAGCCGCATCCACGCCCACCTCCAAGCGGCAAGCCCACATGATAGTGACTCGACACGCGATAGAGTTGGACAGACGAGACAGAACCCGAACACGGTAACCGATCCCTGTTCAGCTTGGGTTCTTCGCCCTCGCGGAGACTCTATATAACCTCCATCCCGGTCCTCTGGTCTCCGGTCCGGGCGTTCCCTGTATCTCCTTTCTCTTCACCCAGACGATCACCCTGCAAAGCGCCCTTTGAGTGACACCTGCCCATCATGGACGTCCTCAAGCGACAGGAAGAGTACAATGGCACGACCACCGATGCCTCCTCGGGTTGGGACACTGGCGCCACCGACCTCAATGTGTTCTACGACGTGAGTTCTCCCATACCCATCCAGGCGACCTGCCTGCCTCGCCCGCGAGGATACCTCGACTAACAGCTCGTACAGACCGGCCACATGGCTTTCATGATCATCTGCGCCGTCCTCGTCCTCCTTATGATTCCCGGTGTCGGCTTGTTCTACTCCGGTCTCGCCCGTCGCAAGTCTGCTCTCGAGCTGCTCCTCCTCTCCATGATCTCCGTCGCCGTCGTCGGCTTCCAGTGGTTCTTCTGGGGATACTCCCTCACCTTCTCCCGCACCGGCAATGCGTTCCTCGGCGACATGAGCATGATTGGTCTGCAAAAGGTCATTGCCGAGCCCAACGGCGCGAGTACCCTGCCCGACATCCTCTTCTGCCTGTACCAGGGCATGTTCGCATCCATCACGCCCGCGCTCGCCATTGGCGCCGTCGCTGACCGTGGTCGCGTCCTGCCCGCGATCGTCTTCATCTTCATCTGGACGACCGTCGTGTACGACCCCATTGCGTACTGGACCTGGAACGGCAACGGCTGGCTCTACAAGCTCGGCGCTCTCGACTTTGCCGGTGGAGGCCCCGTCCACATCTCTTCGGGCACCTGTGCTCTCGCCTACTCCATCATGCTCGGCAAGCGCACTGGCTACTCCAGGACCGCCGGCATGCCATGGCGCCCCCACAACGTCACAAACGTCGTTATCGGCACCGTCTTCCTCTGGGTCGGCTGGTTCGGTTTCAACGGTGGCTCTGCTCTAGGCATGAACATTCGCGCCATCATGGCCAGCTACAACACGCAGCTCGCGGCGTGCATGGCTGCCCTCGCCTGGATCCTCCTCGACTACCGTCTGGAGAAGAAGTGGTCCACCATTGGCTTCTGCTCCGGTGCCATCTCTGGCCTCGTGGCAATCACCCCTGCCGCTGGTTTCGTTACCCCCTGGGGCGCCCTGATCATTGGCATCGTTGGCGGCGTCTGCTGTAACTTTGCCACCAAGCTCAAGTTCCTCATCGGCGTTGACGAGGCTCTCGACATCTTTGCCGTCCACGGCATTGGTGGCATGGTCGGCAACATCATGACTGGTGTCTTTGCTGCGTAAGTCATCCCTTTTCCTCGCCCCTACCACTCTCCTCAACGCGTCACTAACACAATTACAGTTCCTGGATTGCCAAGCTCGATGGTGCCGAGTGGGGTCCCCTTGGCTGGATCGAGCACCACTGGGTGCAGATGGGCTACCAGTTCGCCGGCACCGTGGCCGCCTTCTCCTGGTCCTTTGTCCTCACCTGCCTCATCCTGTTCCTCCTCAACCTTGTGCCTGGCCTCAGCCTGCGTGCTACCCCCGAGGAGGAGGAGCTCGGCATGGACGACTGCCAGCTCGGTGAATTCGCCTACGACTATGTCGAGCTCACTCGACACCTGTCGGACACTGCCAGCGTCATCTCCAGCCAGGTTCCCCCTGGTGTCGGGAGCAGCGCTGCCAGCAGCCATGAGAAGGGGGCTGAGACTGTTTAAGAAGCCATCCCGTGAATCCTCGACCCCCAACACACAATCTGTCGCGGGGCTTGGGTGAAGTTCGCTTGGTCAACATGAACAGACAGGTGCTGATCTATCGAGACTACATCATGATTTATATACTTTGATACCATTACTATAATTCCATTATTACTTCTACCACATGTCCTGAATGGGTGATGACCATCGATGCGGCATTTCTCGGGCCTGGACTTGATAGGGTTTCGCTATCCAAACAGAAGCACTTGAGTGCACGCATGTACCGTAGTTAATTCATGTAGTCGTATCTTCATTGGATGTCGTCCTCTATCGTCAACCTGTTCCGTCCCTTGAAACTCGACACTGAAAGCTTCGCGACTCATAACAAAAAGGCCAAACGCCGCCAGCCAGCTTCCCCATTTCCTAGCTGAGCCGCCCCGATTCCAATAAGGCTCCTTGACTCGAAACAGCATGCCACAGGCGTCAAAAGTCATCCGAAAAACAGAAGATGGGTATTCTCCAAACGCCGCTCTCAATGCTCGCCAATGCTCTGCAGAAATTTCGTTGCCTCCTTAAATCGAGTGATACGGCTGTCCGCTGCCACCAGTCCCGTCCGCGACGTCTTCATCAGGCGGCGGCTGCGCCTGGGCTTGGGGCATGTGTAGGGGCGCCGTACTAGCACCTCCTGCACTTTCTACGGGCGCTTGACTGGCTTGTCCGCTGTTCAACATTTCACCTAGGGTCGTCCAATTACCGAATCCGGGAAAGTGGTTCAGCGGGCCGTTCAGTTGTTGTGGAAGCCCTGCCAACCCAACATTTGGTATGGAGGATGCGCCATATCCATTTAGCGAGTTGAGAATCGCCGCCGGTGCACCGGTTGGAAGATGCATGGTTGCGTCCATGCCGTCAAAGTCGTCGTCGCCATCGTTCATCTCGTCGTCTAACAGGTCGAGTCCCGCGAGGGACTGGTGATGGTGACTCGCATTGTCCCGCATGCGCCGGAACGAGCTGTTCATTCGAAGTTCCTTGAACTGCTCGTCAGTGTTGAGGTAGTTGCGGAAGTGATTCACGCTGTGGCCGGAGAAGACGCAGAAGACGTCGCGTTGGTGTTGAGTAAACTCGGGTGGTGCTGCTCGGCAGAACGGCTGAAAGTCATCGCGCTGGAATGCCGCAACACCTGTGAGGCTCAGGTGCGTGAGGCGAGTGCAGCAGTTGAGAAGTTTGAAGATGCTCTGAAACATGGGTCAGCCAAATAGTTCGAAACTGAAAGGACATTTCTTACCTTCAAAGTGAGGTTCACGCAGTAGCTGAGGTGCACTCGCTCGAGACTTGACGAGTAGAAAGCATCGCCGTGTCCATCTATCACTCTGCCAGCGCTGTCCCTAACTGGTCGCAAGCGACGATGCGAGTCGGCCAAAGCCAGGACAGATTCGTCCGATATATTGCTGCACTTGACGAGCCCAATTCGCTTGAGCTTCGGGAGCGTGGCGAGCCTGCGAACGGAATCATCCGTCAAGTTGGTGCAGCACCCCAGGTCAATGTATCGTATGCGGTTGCATTGTTGGATAAGCTCCTTCACTCCATCGTCTGTGATTTGTCCACAGTGTCCCAGGTGTACGTAGTGAAGGTTTTTGCCCAACTTGGCGATCGCCTTTACTGAAATGTCGGTAATGTTACGACATTTGGCCAAGACCAGGTTTCTCAATCGTGGAGCAGCATCGATGATTTTCAGCACAGCCTCATCGGTCAGCCTGGCGCACGATGTCAGATCGAGGATTCGCAGGTGCTCGAATGTCCGTGAAGCTGGTAAAGAGAGGAATGCGAAGTCGTCGACGAGGTCACAGTTGGCCAGGCGCAGTTCCCTCAGTGAGGTACCCTTAGTCAACAATGCCGTGATGGGACCGTTGCCAACCAAGTTGCACTGATGCAAATCGATCTCGAGCATATTGGGGCAGTTCTCGGCAAAGGCGTTGACGGCGTCGTCCCGCAACTGAGAGCATTCGTTCAATTTCAGTCTCTTGATGGACCGACAATTCTGAGCAAGATTGATCATGCTTTCGTTGGATATATTCTCACACCCCGTAATGTTCAAGCCCTGGAGGCGCTTGCAGGATTCGGCCACCGCGTTAATCGACTGTTCCGTGATGTTCTTGTCGTTGGAAATATCGAGGGCTGAGAGACACGTGCTTCCGTTTACCAAGGACATGAGCCCTAGGTCAGTCAGGCCGCGGCAGTTCGGTAGCGTGAGTCGTTCGATTCGCGTGCAGACGGACAAGGGCTGCACACTGCCGTCGCTGACCTTTTCGCCGAGTGCTGCCAAGTTGAGGCGCTTGATGAAATCTGCGTAACGAAAGTATGGGTTCTCCACGCCTAAGGTCTGGCAGATGATTCCATGGTTGTGCCAGTTGTTGCACGTTGGCCTGTGCCACAAGAGGTCTACCGAGTTCCTGGCCCAACGCTTGCAGACCAGCATGACGTGGTAGAGGTCATGGGTAGACGGAGCAAGCTTCGCGAATATACACATCAGGATCTCGTTCGGCAAGCGGTCCATCGGCGGGCAATCATCGTTCATAACCATATCCTGAAATCCGTTGACGCCGAGCGAGGACTGTGAGTCGTTGTTGTTGAGAAAGAAGTCGGATTCTTCGTGGTCGGCGGCGGCAGGCGACTCGGTCGACGAGGATGACCGGGAATCATCCTGTTCGTCGGAGGCCGAAACTGAGCGGCCCGGTCGCGAAGAGCTGCCTGGGTCGCCATTATGTTGAGATAGCGCAGGTCTCATAGTTGATGATGTCGTCGAGGGCGGCGACTATCTAGATATTCACGAAGGGCGGCCAGCTAGCTGGTGGGAACGACCAGCCTGGTGCGCTGCTGCAGCTGTATCGTGCTTCAGGGTCGGGGCGCGGTTTTGCCTGCGATCCGTCTTGCATAAGATCTCAGGGATGGATAGTCGCTGTTTCTGGAGGTGATGCTCGTGGTGATATCAGGGTTGGGCGTTGCAGCCTCGTCGGTTACGGTTGCGGAAAGATCTCTTCAGGCGGTGTCGGTCGTTTTCGCGAGGGCCTGCAAACGGTTGTGGAAGCGATGACTGAGGAGGTCGTTAAGCGAAGGGTCGAGACGTACGCGATTGTCGAGGGATGATGCTGTTGTGCAAGAAACAAGACGTGAAGGCACAGTTGGGGGGAGGTGATGGTTAGAGTGGCCGGACTGCTGAGGTACCTTGAGACTGGATCACAAATACAACTGGCGGCTCGCCGTGCAATGGGCAGGAACGACTGGCCACAATGGTCGCCTGCGCAGCGAGGTGCACTGCTGGAGGGAGTCGGTTTCTAGGGGGGTCTATCGCTAGAGAGCGGGGCTCCCGCCGCAGAGCTACTCCCATTACGGCTAACTGTTGACGTCGTTAGTTCCCCTCCATTCAGCTGCACCTCCAACGTGACAATCTCTGGTGATGCTTCCTCTGAGGCTCAAGTGTCACCCGATAAATGGAAGGTTGTGGAGGCGCATGCGGCTTATGTTCACACACTGGGTATTAGAATTTGGAATAACTGAGAGACATCACTCAACTAGTACAATGAACGTGTCAAGAATGAAATCCCTGAGTTACGACCGTCCACTTTCCACAACATGTGATCCCATGTCACATGAAAAGGACTGCACCAGCTTAGTGAACACCTTTTATTTCTCCTCTTGATACCAGATCGCGATACATTCTTTGTTAGTATTGTTCTTCTGTCTATAGGCGGACTTATTTTTCCTTCGCAGGACGAGCATGTTCTGAAACTCCGACAATTTGGGGTAGGCGACACTGTGGGGATCACGTGACTCTTCTCCCGACGTAATCGACAATTGATGATCGCCGAAGCATCCCAGTTCCAGATCACTAGACGCAAATCTCCCCGGCAAGCCTTCAAGCTTGCACTTTTCCATGTCTGTCCTTGCCGCATCCATATCAATCACCCTGTAGACCACATCCTCTTTCATCTGGCAGCAAGTTTCTGCAATGCTACGACAAATGTCTCTACGGCCCGTCGCCCGGGCCTCTGGTCATGCGCATTGCGCATGCACAGCTCGAATCGCCGCCCGTCGCACGTTCACTGCGAAACCAACCCGCGCGACCGAGGACTTCAGCTTGAACAAGCTCCACAACAAGCGACGCGACTACGAGCGTAACCGAACCGCCTTCCTCTCCGCTGGCGCGATTGCTGGCATCGCGTCATTCATATACACGGCCTACAAGCTCAAAGTCGCCCTCGCTGCTCAAAGTGACAGCGACAAGTCCTCGAGCTCCGGCAGCATTCGCCTAGACTCACCGATACCGACGGGAACCTTCAAAACCGAAGCGGGCGAACAGCGCAAGGTGGTCCTGAGGGACGACGAGGGGCGCGAGATTGTGCCTACGGGAAACAGTGTCGTACAGACTTTTCCTCGGACGATCGATGTGAAGTTACCGACAGACACGAGGGCGGTTGGTACCATTGAAGCAACCATTTCGAGCAATGAGGGGACCGAGTATACCCTCGTTGGTCTGGGCACGCGCACTGTCACCTTTCTTGGAATCCAGGTTTACGTTGTGGGCTTCTATGTTGCCACGCAGGATATTGCCAAGTTGCAGACCTACCTCGTCAAGAAGGTGAACTCGCTCGCCACGACGTTGATTCCGTCTGAGAAAGAAACGCTGCGCAAGTCGTTGCTCGATGCAGCCGAAGGGGAGGAGACCTGGGATACCATTCTCCGCGATGCTGGTTGCCGCTCTGCCTTCCGCATTACGCCCGTCAAGGATACCGACTTTGGCCACTTGCGCGATGGCTTTGTCCGTGCCATTACAGCTCGGTCGCAGCGCGATTCCCAGAAATACGGCGATGAACAATTTGGCGAGGCGCTCAAGGAATTCAAGAATCTGTTTGCGCGCGGATCAGTTCCCAAGAAGAAGGAGATGCTTCTGTGCCGCGATCAGTTGGGACGCTTGTCCGTGCTGTACGAGGAAGAGGCTACAAAGGGGCCTCGCTCACAGATCATGGGCAGCGTGCAGGACGAGCGGATTTCGAGACTTTTGTGGTTGAATTATCTGGCGGGCAACAAGGTGGCATCCGAGCCAGCCAGGCAGAACATCATCAATGGTGTCATGGAGTTTGTAGAGAGGCCGGTGGGAACCGTGGCAACACAGGTGGTGTAATTTATTGGCTGCACATGTTGTACAATAGCGAGGAATATCATGGAGAATAACCACCAGCGAACTCTCTACCTTCTCCAAATGCACTTGGGCATATCTGATTCGTGCAAAGTCAAGTCTCTTGTGTACTCTATCGTCCAAGGTCTATCGCGTGAAATGGCTCTCTTCCATCTATACAACGCCAGCCTCCTTCAACAGACCCTGCAGATTTCCTGATTTGTCCAGGGTCTGCAGGTCAGAGTTGCCGCCAATGTGCTTCTGCTTGATGTAGACGTTGGGAACAGTGCGCTGGCCGCTGATCTGCTCGAGAGCATCCTGCATGTCACTGCCACCGTTGATCTGGTCAAGCTCGATCACCTTGAAGTCGATACCCGTCTTCTGCAAGGTCGACTTGGTGCTCTTGCAGTAAGGGCAGTATGACTTGGAGAAGACGACTGTTGCGCATGTCTGTCAGCACTAGTCGCGGCAATGCCAGGGAACAGCAGCAATGCGCCCCGCCAGGGTCGATTGCCTCTAGCCAACGCAAGCATATATAGATGATCTGCGGTTGACCGAGGGGAAGCTCGTCCTACTTACCGACTGGGTTCTCGTCAATGAGGCTCTGAACCTTGGGCATAGCTTCGGCGGCCATGATTCCGGATGATGTGGTGAAGAGTCTACGCAAACAGTTCATGAAGGATTAAAGGCGGAGTATGAGTTCGTCTGTGTTGTCTTTGGTCGCTGGTGAGGTGAGTCTTTTGAAACGTACGTTCAAGTTTGCGGTTGCGAAATTGTAGCGAACAGATGCGTCTTTAAGCTAATCTCTGTCCGGGATGATTATCCGTAAATGCGAAGCGCGGCGGAACAAAGCTTTGTGGGGTGCTGGAATAAAAGGCTGGCTGGCTTATGATGCAATCACTCAGCAAGCGAATGGTTGATTCGTCAGGTAATGCCGGCTCGGTCGCCTCCGAGGTGGCTTAATCATCAACGAGGGAGCTTCACGATCGCCATTTGGAATCATCACAGCATCTTGGCCTCCCATGAGAGGTACGAGTACGGCAAACCTTGTTTGAATATTCACGATTGCTGTTTGAGTAGCAGCTATTTGCTGATAATTGGGATGCTAAGTATCTAACATCATCACTCCGCACATTGTCCACGCTCCCACTAGTCCGGTCCATAGACCATAGGATAGGTAATGCAAGCCAGCGCATCTAGGTGGCACCAAACAGAACATATTTCGACTAAAATAAAGACTGAGCAGTGAACCGTGTAATTTCTTCAAATAATGATCCTCGCGTTGTCTTGGTTATTTGATCTTAAAAGATAGGTCAGAAGAAACTGCCTTGTTCATGCGTTATGAGCTCTTACACATGCTATCTATTGGCAAAAATGATCCAAGCTAGCTACTCCGTATAACAAGCTTTAATGAAATAAGAATGAGCAAGAGAAACAGCCTGTGTATAATGCTGACAGAAACGAGTGTCTTCTCTTTTACAACGCTTGTTTGACAAAGCGCACACAGCATACAGGGTAGGTAGCTTGCTACCAGAACCGTCAAGACGGATGACTAACCTGGGCAAACGTACGTCCATAGATCCATGTCGATGAAAGTTGACAGAATTTGGCTTCGAGAGGCGGAAGACTTCGACTGATATTCTTCATCAGCGGCTTGCAGCCCTTCCTGCCACCGCGCCTGTGCATTTGACGTGATTGGCTTCGCTACCTGCTGACAGTAGCTGCGTCTTCGGCGGCCATCCAAAGCCAAACTTCGAGGCTCATCAATTCGCGTCTTCCGCCCCTTTCATCCGCCAAAGTGCGCCATCCGGCTGCAGTCATCATACGCAGCCGCGCATTAAGCATACAGATCCTTTTAAAGGCCCATGAAGTACCGATTACACACGGCAAACGCAGCAGGCACGAGCTAGTCCTGATACTGACCAACGAGGCCACCGACGTCGACGCAACCCCCGCTTCGCCTTGCTGAGCGCCGCCAACTGGCCCCATCGAAAGATTCGTCGGTCGACTTGACGTCTTCCCCCCCACATTGTGACAACGCACCAAGACTGCGCTGCGCGGCACTTCCCTAGGGGCGTTGCCGACTCGTCAGCTCAACTTTTCGCGGTCTGAGCAGGGGACCGGGGTCGTCAATTACTATCTTTTGCGCACTACGCATCACGCTTGCTGTCATCGCACTTGCAACGAGAGCTTGCTTGCGCTGCAGCAGCATCATCCTCACGGGCACACGTCCCTCATTATTCCCCTCTGCTTCATAGGTGTCCTGTCACGGGTCACCTGCAGAGAAGTCGACAAGGTGGATTCCAGCCAGGCTGTTGTGGCCACCTCTGGCGCCTTCCAGAACTTGAGTTCCTATATCAACGGGACATTTGCAAACTTCAGCAACGCCTTCCAGGGCTCGAGCGAATACATCTCCGAGACACTAGGCGTCCCACCCACCGTCGTCTACAGCAGTGTCGCCGCCGTGCTAGCAACCATGTCCGGCTACTACTATACTCGACCCAGCCTGTCGCCATACAGCTCAATGGCAGGCGGCGCCCCCAACGTCACCGAAGACGACTACAGTTATGTGACCTCGCAAGACCTGGACGACCCCGCTCATGATGCACAACGATACCGATCGAATTCGAACGCATCGCCAGATCCCGAAGATGATGTGCTCCTCATCAAGAACAGGGGCGTCACATATCCTGCTCACTTCCCCGCCTATACCATTGGAGATGGCAAATTGCAGGTCAAGGATGTGAAGAATCGAGTCGGTCTTGTCATGGATTTGGGAGATAGGACATTGAAGCGGGTCAAGCTGCTTTATAAAGGCCGCGAGCTCAAGGACTCTTCCGCACCTGTTCGGGAATACGGCGTCAAGAACAAGAGCGAAATCATGGCGGTTGTGCCTGAGGGCTTCGAAAGCAGTGCATCCGACGAAGAGATGGTGGTCGTCGGTGAACCTGATGGAAAGAAGACGAAGGGACGCCGAAAGAAGCGATCCAAGAAGAAGGCAGAGAAGGCAGCCAATGCATTGGACGGCGAGTCGGCCAGCAGCCCCCGCGACAGCAACTCGACGTTTGGTTCTCCCCGTTCGCCCCCTGCCGGCGGTCCGGGCACCGAATCATTGAGGAAATTGGACGAGCTTGCCACTGAGTTCAGGACAAAGTGGTTGCCACTGTGCGTGCAATACACAGCATCGACACCCAAAGACGCGAAAAAGCGCGAGGAGGAACACCGCAGGATATCTGAGTCTGTGCTGCAGCATATCTTACTAAAGCTAGATGGAGTCGAGACGGATGGCATTGACGAGGTGAGGACGCGCCGCAAGGCGCTCGTCAGGGAAGTTCAAGAGGTGTTGAAGGGAATTGATGCAGCCAAGGCATCCGCATCGTAATGGCGTAATTGTACAACAGCACATTTTTTTCGAGCGACCATTTGGATCATGATGTTTACGACGAGTACACAGATAGACAGAAAGAATGAACTGGCGCTTGGCAGCGACGGTCCCAGAGTCTTGTCAGGATAACAGCGCGCGCCAGGCATTGAGGCATGCTGATGTTGCTCACGTGGCGTTCTGTTCACGTGCTGGCTTGCGTCTACAGGTCGTGGCGTTGAACCGGCAGAACTGCGGGACATCTAGGTTTTGCAGCCCTAAGCATTTCGAGTGGCTGCCCACCGCGCAAACCACGCGTTGCCTCAGTTGGGCTAGCCCCACATCGGGCAAAGGCACACTCCCACCGTTCAGTGGCCCTTGATTTTTCGCCTGGTCCATCATATCGCGACTCACAACGACCACTAACCCCCCAATTCCAGCAAACACCATCAGTAGCAGGATCTCGCCGCCCGGTTTGAGACTTTGCTCTGTCGACAATCTTGTTCCTCCTTTCTTTCTCAAACACATCCAAGAAAACCGAACACGATGTCGTCTTTCGAGCCGGTTGTGAGTACACCTCCATCCATCATCCCAATACGGGGCCTGTGTGCACCAACAGTCGGTCGAGGCACAGGAGAGATATGCATGCGAGGAAGCATCATTGCGAGGCGCCGGGGATGAACGCAGGAATCTGGGATGGAGAGCACTGCTGCGGTGCTCGCGGACATGGAGGCGCCTCGAGAATGGCATATCGCACAACCCTACCGAGACCGGCATCTTTGGGAAGAACCATCCGCATCAGAGCAGAGTGCTGACCATTTTCCCCTTCAGGTTGTCATTGATGGCAAGGGCCACCTCCTTGGCCGTCTGGCCTCGCTCGTTGCCAAGCAGCTCCTCAACGGTCAGAAGATCGTCGTCGTCCGCTGCGAGGCCCTGAACATCTCTGGCGAGTTCTTCCGCGCCAAGCGTACGTCAATCCAACAGACACCAAGCACCGAGCACGATACTGACGTCTCACAGTCAAGTGGGCTGCCCACATGCGCAGGATCACCCGTTACAACCCTACCCGTGGTGGTCCCTTCCACTTCCGCGCCCCCTCGCGCATCTTCTACAAGGCTGTCCGCGGCATGATCCCCCACAAGACCGCCCGTGGTGCTGCTGCCCTTGAGCGCCTGAAGGTCTTCGAGGGGGTCCCCCCTCCCTACGACAAGCAGAAGAAGGTCGTTGTGCCCCAGGCCCTCCGCGTCCTCCGCCTGCAGCCCGGCCGCAAGTACTGCACCGTCGGCCGCCTCAGCCACGAGAACGGCTGGAAGTACCAGGACGTCGTCGCCCGGTAAGTTCCCTCCATCATGACTGCTGATGAAGCTTTTGTTCTAACGAGTACGCAGCCTCGAGGACAGGAGGAAGGCCAAGGCCCAGGCCTACTACGAGCGCCGGTTGACTCACGAGAAGCAACTGACCGAGGCCAAGAAGAACGCCAAGACCAACCCCGAGACCGTCAAGGCCCTCGCTGCTTACGGCCACTAAACGTGGGACACATCCTTTTGCATCGGCACGACACATCGATTATGAATGAACCGTCGACGACCACTGGGCATATGTCTTTTACATTAGATTGGCGCGCGGCGGTTCTCGACACCAACAACACGACACACTGAACAAAGGGAAAAGGGATTTGACACACATTTGATTTTGTTTCGCGCGGTGGGGGTCTGGATTGCTGGACACTGGGAGTTTCGGCAGCTTCGCCTCTTCTCTCTTCCTTGTTCTTTTTGTTGATGGGTGGTCTTGGACGTGAGCAATCGGGGTTGACCGGCGGGGATATCGAGGGATTGTTGTTGTCATGACAGTAAAGAAGAGTTCACGCTGGGCCTCAGCGCGTCCGCCACGAAAATGAAAGAAAGCAAGAAAGAAAGAACCAAACCTTTTGTGCCTGCTCCCCACGACGTGATCCCGTCATGTCTCTGATCTGTCACTCCGGGCTGTTGGCTACGACGGTTGTGTGAATGCTTGCGAAGCGCAAGCACATAGTATTGATCCAGGTACTCTATCACTCCGTGCAACATATTTCAGTGCTTCATGGCATGCCCTTGCCAAAAGGCTGGAGAGGTTGCGTATGCGATGAGTGGCACGGTCTTGCGGAAACGACAGTGCCTTTGCCCGTTGCCAGGATGGCGAACAGACGATATGATGCATGGCACAGCAAGACATACTTCACATTGTCATTGATGTCTACGTATACGAATTAATTAGCTCTGCCGTGCGGTTGCTGAGTGTCCGGTCAAATGGATTTGGATCGCATGGCTATTTCCCACGGTGGATGTGCCCCTCGCAGATAACGTGTTATCGATAAGGTGAGCCCCAATTGCTAGGTGTCCTTGCCGTCAGGTCTGTTGTAACAACAAGACAATTCGACAACATCTACCACAACAGCAGCACCACTAGCTAAGAGACTTTCTCCTCTAAGCATAAACTCCCATACATCTCAATCAGTCTATATCGGCACCCTCCTGCGATCTTTTCCCCATCACAGCCCCCAAAATGGCCGAGCTCACCCACTTCGATATGCAGCCTCTGCAACTTACCGACGACTTTCGAGCAGTCACAATCGCACCCTCAGCCAGCAAACCCTCCCGCTCGCTCCAAGCCGAGCTAGACGCCCTGAACGACCTCCACCACAAGCTCATCAGCTCTGAGGAAGGCGTCCTCCCCACACGAGTCCCGGGACCTCCTGCCTCGATCCCCCCTAAGAGGGCACAGGCCGTCACCAAGCTTCGAGATCAAGCCAATGATCTGTACCGTAAGGGGAAGCACGTCGAGGCACAGAAGATGTACACAGCTGGTATTGAGATGGCGCGCGCGCGTCCCTCGTGGCAGCCTTGCGCCATCAGCAGAGAGGAGCTGGGCGGGTTGTACGCGAACCGCGCGCAAGCCTACATGGCCGTTGGGCAGTGGGCGGAGGGCAGCGTGGATGCACAGACCAGCGCCGAGCTGCGGAAGATGGGCAACGCAAAGGCCTGGTGGCGACGGGGCAAGTGCTTGATGGAGATGGGGAGGCTGGAGGAGGCGGGCGAATGGGTGAGGCGGGCTTTGGAGATTGAAGGCGGCGAGGCTGACTTGAGAGAGCTTCTGGAGGACATTGAGAAGAGGCTGGCCAGGGGTAAAGCTTAAGATGAGGCTTGATTGACGTGGCTCAGCATGATGGGGAAGATCAGGAGTTTGGGATACCTTTGCTTTTATTATGAATAGATATCGCCTGTTCACTACCAATGGTGCTCTTGCGCGGCGACCTTTGGCCGGCTGTGGGTTTATTGAAGTGGCTTGACAGTACGCATGTCGCCCCGAGATGCGATGTCTCGCATATCACTAGATGGGGGGATGGTTGGGAGGAGCAATTCGACGAGTTTCTCTGCCACCGCCCTACTACCAGCTCGAGCACGTAGTTCCAGTGCATGCAGCAAATCCGAGTACGGGTCTGTATTGGCCCGAGTTCGCGACTACAGGCAGTCTACTTGTGTGGTATATGATCCCTCCCAGCCCATGCGCTCTCGGGCCCAACAAATTACAATAAAAGACAAGCTCATTGACACAACAAACATCCCCTCAGCGAACGTTCGCCTGCTTCTTGATGGGAAAAAAAGCCCCGCCGCTAGGTAACAGCAAAAGATTCAAAGTACAGAACGCCAGGTCCAAGAGTCGTATTCTGAATGAGATGCATCCCCAATGCGTACCCTCCATCCATCAGCCGACTCGCGGTTGCAACCGAAATATGGTATTGATGTGCGCGTACCTCGCCGAGCTCGAGATGTATTCGCTATGCCTTCGGACGTCGTGTTGCCACGCGACGAGGTCTTTGCAGCCTTGTAGGTATGTTCATCATTAAATGACCCCTAGGTTGAAGCCATTTGACGGCTCGCCATCTCTATCCCGCCTTCTCGTCAACCTGGTCGGCCGTCGTGGCCGCAGTCGTCTTCTTCGCCCGGGGACGCATGACGGCATCCTGGCTCTTCATGCGTCGGTCCAGAGCACGGTCGATCTTGGCGCCCAAAGCAAGTCTGTGGAGGTTCTCGGTCTTCTCCTCGGAGAGCGCAACGCGCTGGGAGGCAAGGGCCTTGTTCTCCATGCGGTCGAGGCCAGTCGCGATCTCGCGGATCTCGTTGGTCGCAGAGTCGTTGGTACCCGTTGTCGGCGCGACCGAGGGCGCGGTGACGCTGTAGGTGCTGTAGCGCACTGAGGTTCGGGCCTTTTGCCGAGATGTCGCGTCAGTCATTATGGCTTTTTGTGCTTGTGATCGTGGGGAAGCTTGGCGAATGATGGAAAGAGAAGCGAGGAGTAGTCAAGAAGAATGAAATGCTTCTTGGCGTGTGTGGCGGGCGTATCTTCTTGCTGTTCTACACCGCGTTGCCCAAAGTCGTAGGTTCAAACACAATGGAACAGATATCTGGTGTTTGAGGAAGAAGAAACTGTAGGTACATACCGAGGGGGCCATGATGGGGCGAGACGAGTCTAGCGAGAGAGGCATGTTTTCTGGGGCCGGGCAAGTGGATTTGCCTTCTGCTCACGTTTGTCCTGGGGAGCTTGGTTGACGCGGATCAACGTCTGTCGACGGGCTGTCAGGCACCTGTTTGGCTAGTGAAGCATGGGCAGTGTCGTACCTGTGGGTTTTCACACGGTATCAGGATTCAGGAGTACGTAGTAGTCAGTCGGCGAGGGGCGTAGCTGGGAGGTCGGCCGTTGCGATGCGGCGATAGGTGAACTAGTAAACCCGAACAAAAGACACTGGACAAGGCGGCAATACGGTCATGATATTCAGATATGGTGCGATGAAACAAAGGTGACGAGGCGTGGTTTGGAGCGCTGATAATAATTATGGACCGTTCAGGGTCGTGGACGAATGTGAGGAACGGCGAGAAGAGGAGAAGGTGATGTGTCACTCGACTTCGACGCTGAGCTGCGCGCTCGCTCTGCACGCCACCTCACATTCCGGTACTGAGGCGCACTTTCAGCCTTCAGCGGACAGGCGATGGACACGGACTGGACTGGAGGCTGGGTTGTTGCAGTGCCGGTATCTTCCCCCTGGCTTCCACAGGCCATTTGTACAGCGAGACCTGCCTGTGGTCGGGGCGTGCAGCTGCCACTCGCTCGCGTGGCAGGTGCCGGGCTAAGGCACAGTGCGCGACAGCAAGGTGGTGCCTCGTGGCTCTAGCTTCATTGGCGAGATTGCGGGCCAATTTAAGGCAAAAGAACCTGAAACATACAGTCTGTAAAAAGAAAGACAGACTGTGCTTTCTCTTGCATTGACGGCAGTGCTTCTGATCGAGTCGTCGTCTTTAAATGCCTGTCCTCTTATTCAGAACTAAATTCTGTCGGTCTTCATGAGTGGACGGCTGCCACGAGTAAATTTCACAGCTTTGAATATGCTGCAAGCGAAAGGTCCTGCGTCCGCCCGACGTCGCACGGTGCGAACCGTGTCACTGTGTCGTCCGGCGATCACAGCTCACAGCTGCAGGACAGCAATCTACCGGCAGTGAGACAGACAAGCCCCCTAGTTCTGGACCCCAGGGCCCTTACCGCGATATCACGATTCTGATAAATTCTGGTGAATCACCTTGCGAAATCACAAGAACACTGTCGGACCTTATCTGCGAGGACGCTTCAACGCAATACTCAATTCATGATTCTGGTTGTGCATTCTTCACTTTGAGCTCCCACAGCGCACTAGTTAATGTCTCTTCTCTGCACAACCTTTCTCGCGTATTTGAACTTCAACACCTATAACTGATGATTATGTTGGTCTTTCAGACGTCTAGTTGCCCTGTTCGTGGCTAATACTGCGCTGCTGCTTGGCGAGTCCGCTCTTCAATGGGAGCTGTTTGTGCGCAGGCTTGGAAAAACTGGTAGACAGAAGATCAGTCGCCAAGAACGACTCTGGCGCATTTCTCGCCATATCTCGCACCGCATCCATGGGGATTGGGAGATAGACCCAACAAGCCACCTTCTCTCCCCTGTAGTCGTCAATGCGGCCTCGTGTACCCGTATGTTGTGGTCATTTGACCACATGGCACGAACGCAATTGGGCTTCAGGGAGATAGCCTCTACCCAGTACCATGCTTTGGTTGGCGACACGCCAACCCCATGCCCATCAGACCATAAACAAACCAGTGAATGACCTCGCATGTTCCGACAAGCCTGGCATGACCAGGCGAACCGTGGTTACTGGCCGTTCCTTTGAGTAATGTGACTTCAACGCATGCTTCGCTGACACATATAACCGGCATAAAGGGTCGTATCCGACGCCCCAAGCGCAATAAGAATGACGCAAAACCAGTCGCGGACACCAAATCCGATGATAGTACGGGTTGCCCAACGCGCAGACCTGCTTCTGGGAACCAGTCGACGCCGTGCCGACCAGCCTCGCGAACAGGCAAGGGCAGCCAGGAGAAAAGATCAACCATGGTGGTAAAATTGAAAACGCCAAAAGTGCCGTTCAACAGAATGCTCGTGATATCCATAAACGCCAGACATGCTCCCTACAGCCATGTTCACCTCATTCGAGGAAATTGCATCAGAATCTGCGTGCAAAGTTAGCATATTGCTCGCGAAGACAATGGACGGGCCACTTACCTAATTTCATACGACCCAGCCCTTGTCATATACCGTACCCATTTCACGCTTGAGTAATTGCTCTTCTCAAAGACTTTGAGGTACCGCACCAAAAGCCCTGAGCTGGTAAACATGAGCAAACTAAAGTTCATGCTCAGAGGTGGGCGACTCCATGTGCGTTGGTTGGTCATGCTGGTGAGGATAGCCTCGGCGCTGAGGACAAACTCGCTCTGGCCGGTGAAGCGGCTAATCTTCCAGACAATAACGTTCTCCGAAGGCTCGTACTTTGCCTTGCCCTGGGTGCAGCGCTCCGTGATCTTGGCCGTGTTCAGGGGCGTCGGGATCTTGATGACGACGTTGGTGGCGAAGAGTTTGGGACCAAAGTTGGCCTTGACACCGATGCTGTACTCGACCTTGGACCGGCCAACTTCGTTAACGATGGCGTGGACCTTGAAGGGGAGGTTGACATTCTCGGTGGCGCGGTAGCGCATGAGCTCGAATTCACCATCGGGCGGGACGAAGCTGATGATGCGGTCGCTGTCAAACTTGCCAAGCTTGACGCACTGGTGGAACTGGCAATCTTCCAGCGTGACACTACCAGCCGCTGCTTTTGTTGCCTTAGTGCCCATGCGGTTGCCACTGGGGAGGGTGTGAAGGCCGTCATTGTCGAGCAAGAGGCGGTCGTTGAGGCCGAATTTGCACTCGGGGGTGCCGGAGAGGTACGCGCGCATGATGATCTGACCATTGACGTCGGCACGAAGGACGGCACCCGTCGCCGACATCAGGAGGTTGATATCCTCGATAACGTCAACAAAGGCCTCGTTCTTGCGATACTTGACGTCTGCCTTTCTCCAGGACAGGGCGCCAGTGGCTTGCATTGTGATCCTGGACGTGTTTTCGGGTCGCGACTCGGACTTGACGCCTTCGGTCGTGATGTACATTTTGAGCGTGTCGGTCTCGGTGTTCTGAGGATAACCAAAGTCGATAATCTCTAGGTCGGATTAGTATACAGGGCTTTGCACACAAACACAGCTTCCTGGGACACACCGTCGAGAAGTTCGTAGACAAGAACAAAGTTGTTCTTGACGGCCTCCTCGTCGAATTTGCCAAAGTACCCCCGGCCGAGCTGGATCAGCCGGTACAGGAACTCAAAGACGAGCGCGGCATTGGCGTTGCTCTTGGTGATGGCCACCAGGTAGATGTTCTCGTGCTTGACATGGCTAAAGGTCGTGCTTCCGAGGGTCAGGATGGGAGAGCGGACCTGGGCATTCGAGATGACCTGGATGCGGAAGACGTCGGCGAGACGGGGGCGGCAGTCGTTGCGAAAGGCGCGGAAGATGAGGTTCTCGCCCTTTTGATTGAAGATGAGGACGCCTGACAACATGGTCACGGTGAGCACTGCGCGCGCGTCTGCCTCGGATCCTACTTCGCGGGTGGGATGCGCATGCGATCGGCCAGGCGAGGAGTCGAAGGCGTTCGTTCGCCAGGAGGGAGCACCGAGTCGTGGTGGTGGTGGTGGTGGTGGTCAGGTCCGTCGTGGTGGGGAGCTGGAGCTGCCACCGATATTAAGTGGATCTACATTTCAGGGGACACGACAGGCAACGAAGGCGCCGACAAGGCTCAGACGGCGGACATCCGACAGGCGCTTGTCCTTCTTCACATTTGTTTGCCTGGACTACGTATGTATAATTGACCCAGGCCCAATGCCTTTCGGTTGCGAAAGGGTTGGCTGAAACTGCCAAATCGCTTTGCAGATAGATCGGGATGTGCGCTGGGCGTTTCTTAGGTGGATGTGTCCGCACACGCGCCTTCGTGACGACCTGTCAGTTACTTCGCCTGCAGCGTACGTACTATGTTGCCCACCGCCCACTTCTTGCAACCGGAGACCTGGAAAATGATACTACGTACTCCTAGGACTGCAATTGCTTCTTGTATTACATACGTATGTACAGCCGTCATTGAGCAACCACGAGCACGTTGGTGTGGCTGATGCGCCAGGGTAAAGTATCCGTAGCCGTTGTGGCGCGTCCATAATTATAATCCCGATCAAGCGCAAGCGCTATCACCTGCCTGCAGCCGAGTCATTACCACCGTGAGACACGGTTGGCAATATTTGCTTCACCCAGCAGAGCCGTAAACTTTGTCGCTCCTTTCTTCGCGTCCAGAATCACCGCGCTCGCGGAGGTTCCTTGCTTGCCATGTCAGGCTTTCCCGAGTCGTTTGTCGGTCCTTGGACTGACCGACTCCGCGCGCACCGCGATGATCAGCTCAACGACTTCCCAAACTACCACATCGCGAACCCTGAGACGCTCATCACCACGAGTGTACCCAGGGCACTCTATGTCGGGACCGGGCTGAGTATCTTCACACGCGCACTGCTGCCGGCGATGCTCAATGCGCAACACTCCATTCACTTTGTCACTTGCTACTGGGCAGAATCACCGACCCTCAGTTCCTTTAGAGAGACGCTTCTGAAGCTCGCCAGCGCGCGAGCCGACATGTCGCCTGGGCAGAAGCCCCTCAGGATCACAATCGGATTCTCGTCCAGCGGTCTCTTCCAGAAACTCTTCCACACCTCGTCACGCAATGGCCATGTGGTACCACCTCAGGAGTGGGAAAAGATGGGCCTGCCCAGCGAGACGGCCTTGAAAATGGGCACGATCGAGTTGACAGTGAAGAGCATCTTCTTTACGCCTTTCAGCGTCATGCACCCCAAGTACCTCATCGTGGACGGCGCGAGATGTTGGGTGCCCAGCTGCAATGTGAGCTGGGAAATATGGTTCGAGGGTTGTATCGAACTCGAGGGCGAGGTTGTTGGGCAGCTCATGAGATTCCACGATCAGACATGGGGTGCCCACGGTGCCACAGAGCTGCTGTCAGTAGGCAACAGACGATACTCCTCCGCTACCTTGCAGCCACTGCGTCACAAACGAGCTTCGCTGCATTCCGGGGGCCTCGACATGTCGGCCACCCAGTCTCTCAAGTTTCCGGCCACAGCGGCCACACCCACCATTCTCCTGCCCTCTTCGCATCATCGCAATCCTCGCTTCAGCCTGTTCCCCTTTCTGAGCCAATCCAGCCCTCCAATCACACCTCTCAACGCGGCACTGTTGACGCTCATCGAGAATGCGCAGCGGCAGATCAACATTGTGACACCGAATGTCACGTCGTGGCCGCTCATGGAGGCCCTGTTGGCGAGTCTCGCCAGGGGCGTCGACGTTCACATCCGCACCAGCAGGAGCATGATGGTGATTGAGCAGCTGGTCACAGCGGGCACGACGACTGCGTGGTGCCTCGATCGCTTCATCAAAAAGTACAAAGCACTGGTCAACTCAAAACCAAAGCTCAACGACCCCGAGGCCCCTGCGCTTGGTGTCGGCAGGCTGGACATTCTGTACTACAAGCCGCTCAGTTTACGACAGGGGGAGGACGACGAGCCCGTACTCAGTCATTTCAAGATGACCATGGTCGACGAGGAGTTTGTTATTTTCGGATCCGGCAACATGGACCGGGCCAGTTGGTGGACGAGTCAGGAGATTGGCGTGCTATTGCACGCCCCAGAGTTTGACGGACAGAAACTCTGGGAAGGCGTCCTGGAGAATCGATCCGAGGTTGTCTTTCGCTCGGCCGACATGTATTGAGGGCAACCCCTCACAATTTCAGCGTCGTCGTATTTTGGATACAGAGCGCTGGCCCGTCGGAAACACCAAGCCAGTGTGTATTATAGCACCACCTACAACTATACTAAATCGTAATGTCTTGAACCAGATATCGGCAGAGCAGTATCGAGCCACTTCGGCCCAAATCGGGGCCGAAATTTGGGCAACCGAGAACCGCAGCGAGGCACCCCGCATTGACTGATGCTCTGGGTTGTACTATAATCGTCTGACAGCATCACTCACTCAATTATTCCAGGCAAGCAAACGTCACCGCAATGGCTAGTACCACTGAAACATCACCAGGTATCAAAGAGCGCCTCAAAGCCTCATACGATGGCGTCGCAGTGACCTACAACAAGTGGACCGAGAAGCACTCACCGCGCCGTCTTGAGTACCTGGAGAAGCTCAAAGATCATGTCCCCTCGCTGGCAAAGTCAGATCACACGGTGTCCGTCGTGGAACTAGGATGCGGGCCTGGCTCGCCCGTGCTATCCCATCTCTTGTCCGGCAATGAGCAGCTACACGCAGTAGCCAACGACCTCTCCACGACACAGATGGCTCTGGCCGAGGAGAACCTGAAAGCCTATACCTCGCGCGTATCCTTCTTACCAGGAGACATGATGCAGCTGAGTGTTCCGGACGACTCGCAGACGGCTGTCGTGGCGCTGTACAGCTTGATTCATCTCCCCGCCAATGAGCAGGCGATCATGGTCCAGCGTATCGCCGGCTGGTTGAAGACCGGCGGATGCCTTTTGGCGAACTTCGCCAAGGAGGATACCGACCATGTGATGGAGAAGTGGCTGGACAAGGAGGACTGGATGTTCTGGAGCGGAATGGGGGTGGAGGGCACCCTCAAGGTGTTGAAGGAGGCTGGATTCTCGCTGGAGAGTAGCAAAGTGGAAGGAGACGAGGAGGAGACGTTTCTGTGGGTTATCGCAAAGAAGTAAGACCTCTTTCTAAAGAGCAACTTGCAGTATGGCGGGTCTGAAGCTCTGATCAGCTTTTGAGTTTGTTGGACTTTGGAGTCATGGATCCGGAATGTGGCAGTCGTCAAAGTGGACCAGTGTTGAAACCGAGACTCCGGGGAGAGCCCTCAGCTCCGTCACTCCGATCAAAGATCAGCATCCTCTCTACGCATGAAAGGAGTTTTTATCTGCAGGTGCAATGAGTGACTTTATTACCAATCATTTGGTACACGTCATCGTGCAAGCCTTACTCCCCGATGAGGGCTCCCTTGCGCGGGATTCCAGAGAGCTTACACGAAAGCATCGAATCGTATAAGAGTCCAGATGTCTTTGCCAGGTACCTCGGGTCTTTAGATCGAAAAAATCCTATCAGGCAATGATAAGTGAGCAATTAATACGCCATAGTGGAATTACTCAGTTCGGATCTTGACGTTGACGTTGGGCCAAACCTAGTATAATTAGTGAAAGGGCCAAGCCGCAATCCATGCTGTGACGACATGACTTCGAACCACGTCCACCACAGAACCTCGGTATGGTCATGCAAGTGGTGAAGCCCGGAATCCTGTGGGGCAACGGGAGTCGTTTCCTTCGCTAACTGATTCAGTCGGAATTCTGCACGATTCTAAAGCAGACAGGTGGGTATGAGCTCATCTGTTACAAATCCACGGCTGGGCCCATGATGCAAGATCGCAATGGACTATCGTGGACCCCATATATAACAGGCCGGCCGAGCCCAGGGACTACGCCAGCCTCTACTGACACATAGACAAGACCTTGTCCGTGAAACCATTATTCCCTTTTCTCATAAAAATACTAGACCAGTCATTAAAATGGCACCCAAGCGTCAAGAAGCTGAGCCTGTTGATCCCAGCCCCTTGGGTCAACCCCTCCCCTTTGCCTTCAGCGGCAAGACGGCCAAGAACCGTTTCCTCAAGGCCGCCATGACTGAGCGCCTGTCCTCGTGGGACCCCAAAAACCTCGAGGCGCGCGGTGTCCCTTCAAAAGAGCTCGTCAATGTGTACAAACGCTGGGGTGAGGGTGACTTTGGCGTCATCCTGACCGGCAACGTCATGTTCGAGTATGACCATCTGGAGGCTGCTGGCAACCCCATCATCCCTCGCGGTGCTCCCTTTTCTGGTGAGAGGTTTGAGGCCTTCAAGGACTTGGCGACTGCATCAAAAGCACACGGGAGCTTGGTCGTCGCCCAGGTCAGTCACCCTGGACGGCAAGTTACCGACACCATTCAGCCACACCCCATCTCCGCAAGCGATGTCCAGCTCGAAGGTGACGTTATGGGTATGCGGTTTGCCAAGCCCAGGGCTATGGAGGAAAAGGATTTCAAAGACGTAATTGAGGGGTTTGCCCACGCTGCAGAGTACTGCTACAAGGCCGGATACGACGGTATCCAGCTTCACGGCGCCCAGTAAGTGTTGCGCCCACGGATCAAGTGAGCGCAGCTAACTTTTGACAGTGGTTATCTTTTGGCCCAGTTCCTGTCGTCAACGACAAACAAGAGGACCGACAAGTATGGCGGTTCGGTGGAGAACCGCGCCCGCATCATCATTGAGATTGCGGATGCCATCCGTCAACGTGTCACCGACCCGGCCTTCATCGTCGGCATCAAGGTGAACAGCGTCGAGTTTCAAGAAGGCGGCTTCTCGCCGGAAGATTGCAAGGTTCTGTGCGGTCTGCTCGAGCAGCACCGCTTCGACTTTGTGGAGCTGTCTGGCGGCACTTACCAGTCTCTCGCCTTCCAGCACAAGCGCGACTCCACGAAGAAGCGCGAAGCCTTCTTCCTCGACTTTGCCGAGCAGATCATTCCCGAGCTGAAGCAGACCAGGTCGTATGTCACTGGAGGCTTGCGCACGGCCAAGGCCATGGTCGACGCCCTCAAGACCGTGGACGGCGTTGGCCTCGCACGACCTGTTTGCAACGAATTTGATCTCCCCCACAAGCTCATCACCGGAGAGGCACCGAGTGCTGTTGATGCGCTCATCGACGAGCAGAACTTTGGTCTCACAAATGTCGCCGCTGGCACACAGTACGTTCAAATGACCAGTCGCGAGTGTGTGGCGCAATGCTGACCCATGGATAGGATCAAACTTGTTGGAAAGGACAAGCAGCCTCTCGACCTCAGTCGTGAGGACCACTTGCAGAAGTTCAACGAGTCAATGAAGAAATGGGGCGAGAGCATGGCAGACAATGCAGACCAGTCCAAGTACGGGTTCGTGGACATTGACGGTATTCAGCTCGAACCGTATGGCACTGCTTATGCCGCAGCATAAAGGAGTTGATAGATGTGCTGGTCCTCCTGGGCGAGGATGGCCAGGTCAGCCGATAGATATACAGCGCCTGTTAGAAGCCGAATAATGATACACTAGAAGAAGATTATGGCCTTTTGTTGAACAGAAGTCGGTGCACTGGTGCTACGTAGCTTTGTGAGTAATAGCCTGCAAAAGTTCCAATGTCCCGAAGGTGATGGTTACAGTTGATGAGGGTATATCTTAACCAGTGCCCATTGACGACGTCGGGGCAAGATTCGCCAAGACTATTAGGAGGAACGAACCAAAGGGTCCCATGGGCCACGATTCTGCAGCATTTAGGCGTACAGAAAGAGGCTGGCAAATTCGAACGTTGTTGAGCGGCAAATGTGCCACTATCAGGCGCGAGGAGCAGTTGATCCTTGGATGGCGAAGACCCACTCGGCCAATCGCCTCTTTCAGGGATATTGATGAAGACGGTTGAATGTGAGAAGCCAGAGTGTGGGCGAGGCGGGGAAACCCATGCAAGTGGCTTGCCGCTTGTTGATAAAGGGTTCAGAACTTCAGGGAGGAAGGGAGGGGAGGTTGGAGTCCTGCTCGTCCAGGAAATCGCACTATTTGACGCAGCCGCGCGTCCTTGAGCGTAATTCTGTCGAAGCCAGTTCGTCATCGACTCGTGTCCGGATCGACTACCATTCATAATAATGGAAGGCGCAGTAAGTGCTTCGTGTCGAATTCCAAGCGTCGTGGGGACACGAATGGCGAACAACGGAACCGGTTTGTGTCAGAATTCTAACGTTAGGAGCCGACTCGGCGCCTCAAGCAAGCTAGCCACAGGCTGGACAGCCGCTAGAACGTGACGGTGGAGATGCCCACCCCAATTTTTATCGCCAGACTATTTTGAGCGCCAGCGACATCTGGAACTTGGTTGGAACGCTGGACGAGATCGTGTCGATCCAGGGGCAGAGTCGCAGAGGACGTGCGCTTGTTTGAGGCGAGGGACGATGTCTGGCGCTCGGCTTGCCACAGAGCAGACCAGAAAGAAAGAGAGAAGAAAAATTACCTAGCCTGATGCTGCGATAAGAGCGAAAGAGACGCGGAGGGATTGACCCCAGGGCCACACGTCGACTGGTGCGTCGAGTCGCATCGACTGTGGGTGAACCGTTGGTCGCGGATAGCCCATGCATGCAAGCGTGAGCGCTTTGCATAATGCAGGTGCATTCGAGACCTTTCGTCCTCCATTCAGCGTCCGCTGCACCACACCTTCCCCAATCTTCGGGGCGCTATGCCGCCTGAGCCCGCTACTGTCCCGCCGCCAGGGCAGGTCCCTCCAGGGCCCGGCCAGTCATTCCTGTCTCGGCGCCACCCATCGGCAGCCATGGCAGGGTACCTTTCAATCTGTACGTACAGACCCTGGACATCCCAATCCAACAACCTCCCAAGTGCTTTTCTGCTTTATTACCTTGCTCTTTCACCCAACCCCCTCAGTCGTTCAACATTGTTTGTACGGATCTTGCGGGTTATAGCTGTCTTTGCGCCGTCCCTCGCTTGCGCTATTCCCTCTGGCGATCCCCCAGCCGATCAACCAACACATCACGCCTTCATTACATTGATCTCTCCATCTTGACGCTGCTGGCAGCCTCAAGAGTATCGTGGCAGCAAACACTTGGACTAGGACACTCGCTCTTGCTCAACCCGCCAACAGAATGCATTTGACCAAGAAGTTCGACCGGGCCTTTCAATGGGCGGGTGAGAAGATGGGCGGCGAGGCGCGCACAGCCCAGCCCGAGGACTTCAAGTCGCTGGAGGCCGACATGGCCCTTCGCCAGCAAGGTTGGTACCATCCCAAGGGGTTCAGATACTGGAAGATGGAGCTAACTGTCCTCGCAGGCATCGAGCGTCTTCAGAAAGGAGTGAATTCATACGCCCGCTGGATCAGCCGCCGCTGCGATGCGCTCGAGGATCGCGAGCGTGCAAGTCCCACGGGCCTCTTTGGGCGTACAATGGCCGCCCATGGTGAAGAATACGGTGCCGAATCGGAGCTTGGCAACAGCTTTGTCGCAATAGGCCAGGCCCACGAGCGTGTGGCTGGCTATCAAGAGGTTTTCCACGAACAGGTCAACAATACCTGGGGCGAAAGCCTCGAGAGCAGCGCCTCCATGATGAAAGAGTATCAGGTATGCGGATAAACCACCTGACACGATTTTTGACAATACTAACGTACTCAGGCTGCCCGCAAAAAGCTGGAGAACCGACGCCTTGCCTACGATGCCAGCACTGCGAAGCTCAACAAAGCCCGTCGCGACGACTTCCGTATCGAGGAAGAGGTCAGGAACAACAAAGCCAAATTCGAAGAGTCAAGCGAGGACGTCTTCCAGCGCATGCAGGACATCAAGGAAGCCGAAGCGGACAGTGTCCTCGCTCTCAACGACCTGCTCGATGCCGAACTCGAATTCCATGAACGCTGCGTTGAGGAACTTCGACGCGCCAGAGAGACGATCGACGCATCTGCTGGCGGGGCCGGTCCTGGGGCAAGAGCTCCTCCCCGTGTCCAAAGATCATCGCCTCCTCGTACAAATACTCTTCGCCCGGCTGTCAGGAGTCGTTCAAACACCGCCCGCTCCTGGCAAGATCCAAGGTCTAGTGCCGTTTATGAAGAGCCCGAACTCGAACAGGCGCAAGCGCCAGCTATGCCTCCTCGTCTACGCAACATCTCCTCTGGCGGTGTCCGTGGCTTAGCAGCCGCCCCCCCTCAGCCGCCCCGACCTAACATGTCGCGAGCTTTGACTGCTGAACCGCGGCCAGCACCACGGTCTAGCGCTCCACCTCTGCCGTTGACTCGTGTGCGCACAGATGGCGCACCTTACGGGGGCAGGACTGACGATGTGTTTGGTGATGACGCGTCCACCGCCAGTGGCAGTGGGAGTCCAGACTATGGCGAACGTAGCTTGAGCCCAGCTACAAGCTATGGTAGCCTCAACCGCAGCACTGGGGCGTTGGCGTTGAATGGGGTCAAGAAGGCACCGCCTCCTCCTCCCGTCAACCGGGCCAAGAAGCCGGCCCCTCCCGTCCCTGCAAGGAGAGAGAACTTGAATTATTAAAGGCGAAGGCCGGTCATGGCGTTGAGGTGTTGTCTCAGGTTGTTGCAATAGCTGGGGGGTTGCCTCCGTGTTTCTTTTTTGGTGTCGGGCCCAATTACCCTTGAATAACGTATAACTGCATTTTTTGTTTCTTACATGGAATGGAAACAGCGGTCTTTGAAAGTCGCGGCATTTTGTATTTGTGAAGACAGCACTACGTACACGATAGCGGGACTCGATGCTCGATCAATGGCAGCAATTCTGTGTCTACACGCGTAATGATTCTCGAACGGGTCAAACGATACAGCGAACCCAAATGTTGCTGCACAATCAATCTCTAGATTTTGAAAGCCAAAGGTCTCATCTTTGTGCCTTGGCGAATTGTCGTCTTCTATCTACGGAGAAGAGCATTTCGAACATCGACTTAGGGTAGCTCAGTTGAATCACAGTGTTTTACTCTTCTACACTGTGCGATAACTGTGTGTTATCTGTCACTGTGCAGCCTCCGGTGCAGAGTAACCAGCTTCACTTCAACAGAACGCAACAGTGAGTCGCTTCGAACCTCAATTCCCTTCTTGAGCCCCCGCAAGAGCGCACAAGCTGCCATGGCTACCGAAGACGCCAGATACCGTTCTTCAAGCCAGTACCGCGTCTGGTCGTACAGCCCTGCTCGCCTACAGGAGCTTCGCGCAAGCACCAACGCGCTCGCGAAGCAACAGATCGCACCTCATCTACCCGCCGATCCCGCACCCGACTTCGTTACAGCAGAGGAGGAACTGCGGCTAGTACAATGGGCGACCGTGGAGCTCCTTCGCGCGGGCGAATTTCTCGGGATCCCAACCGAAATTCGAGCGACCGCGGCCATCTTCTTCCGCCGATTCTACGTCACCAACTCTGTCATGACCTACGCGCCGACCGAGCTCCTCAAGACGTCGCTCTTCTTCGCATGCAAAGCCGAGAACCACCACATGTCCCTGGGCGAGCTCAGCAGTAAGCTGCAGGGCACGACAGCGGAGCAGATCCTGGCGGGCGAGTTCTTACTGTGCCAGGGCATGCGGTTCTGCTTCGACGTGCACCATCCTTTCCGCGCACTGGAGGGCGCTATCTTGGAACTCAGGCGGCAGGCGCCCCACGAAGAAGAGCGGATCCGCCAAGCACACGTACGGACGCGGGAGATTCTCAAATTTAGTCCGTTGATGACGGATGTTTACTTTCACTACACGCCGAGTCAAATCATGATGGCCGCGCTGCAGATGGTGGACGCAGGGTTCGTGGACATGCTCATACCGGGGAGCGGCAGCGGAGATGATACGGCCACTGCTGCCTATACGCAAATGCGGGACAGGATCATGGGCGCGATTGCCAATTGCCGGACCATGCTGGAGGAGGAGCCCCCGAGTAGGCTCACTGAGTTCTGGATCACAGTAAGTGTTGGCATACCCCTGGATGTTTGTCAACGCGGTAAGCTGATGTGATGTGTAGCCCATGAAGCCATTGCGTCGAAAGCTTCAGAAATGCCGGGATCCCGCTCGACTCGATCTCGTTGCGTACCAGAGGTCGAAGCGTGAAGAAGCTCTGAACAAGGAAAAGAAAGACGCCAATATCGCAGACGACGATGTGTTTGGTGGCGGCGGCAGTGCGCGCGACACCAAGCGCAGAAAAGTCGACGCGGTTGAAGACCCTTTTGGACCGGCCCTATGAGTCGACTCAACATGGCCAACTCGCGAGGCGGCGAGCGCTGGCTTGCTGACAGACGAACAAACGCGATTTGCTGTCGCGACCTTGGAGACGCAACGGGAGAGCTTTGGTCGATACCCCCCCAGCTCTTGTTCTCGAGCTGAGATACAGCCCGTCACGGACGGCTACCAACCCGCCCTTGCCAAGCCATAACCATTGAAGGGCAGATTTTGCAAGAAGCTCATGTATCGACTTTCGGAGTTCATATTGACACTTCCACGTCGCCGACCAGCCGAGTCATATAGCTCTGACACGACACACCACCTTGGCAAGAGCAATGTCGTTGCCTTGTGCAAAATAAAAGGTATTACCTGGAAATCTGTCATTGAATTCTGCTCAATGGAATCACCTAGCTCGGAGACTCGATCTTGTTGGTTCTTTACGTGTTAGACCTGGAACTGATGCGCTGACACGAGGTAGGTAGCCAAGCCACCACATCGCGTTCTCCCGGCCCTGGATGACTGGCGGCAGCAACAAACCTCGTGCCATGACACACAGTTTCTCCATCTGGGGATTATCCGGGGTGATATCTGGTCATCGAGTGAACTCGCTGCGTTTTACGATGCGAGCACCGACAATGAGCCCATGAAGCTGGTGTGGTTGGCAAGAAGGTGACTTGGCCTCGCCATGCTCACCGGAAGGATTAGTTAAGTGTTTGGCACAATGTGACGCTCGAAAGCAACGCAGTAGTCCGCCCTCCTCAATCATACAGTCTCATCAGGCGTTTACTGGATCATTTCATCAAAGTATCGTCTGGCAGCCTTATCCCCAGTGACCTTTGGCTATGACCAGGCCAGCAAACGAGACCCTGCAACCTCACATGTGCCTCTGCCCGGGTCACCTTTGTGGACAGCGCGTGTGTACTTGTGCATAACTTCTTGGTCACAATGGCGCTATGGATGTCACCTTGGGGTCCCGAATGCAAACATGACTGGCGACACGACGAGGCTCAACCACTCAACCGCGGACCTTGAGTGTGCTGCGGCCTACAGTTTTGTGAGCTCCGGCAGCTCTTCTGTTTCTGGGGCAGATTGTAACTAATTTGCGTTAAAGCGTCGTCGAATGAGAAGGCAACAGAAAGTGTTTCAGCTGGCTCATACCTTGAATCGGATTCATTGTCGCAACGGATTGTATGAGGCTCAAGGAAGTACGAACAATTTGACTGCCGCAGGCTCTCATCTATCTCCTGTTTGTCTCGCCTGTGCCAGGAATTTGGTCAACAGCTCCGCGATCTTCACTGGCTGGTCTTCGAGCGAGAAATGCCCACAGTCTTCCACGATACTGAGATCAGATCCCGGGATGGCTGCATGAAGCTTGTGAGCCCAGTCCGTCACCTGCCAGCTATCCTCCGCGCCCCAGATCAACTTGACCGGCAATTGCCCGAGAACCTGCATTTTGTCTGCGATCTCCATGGTGTGCTTTGGATCGTAGTGCTCAATCTGATGCTGAAAGATGCTCGCCTGGCCGACAGGGCCGCAGATGTAGCCGAGATAGGTATCGAGGCTTGACGAAGCGAACTGGTCTTGATTGTGCACAGCCGAGAGCAGCCAGTCCCTGAAGCGACGTTCGTGCTCTTCGACAGGGGCCCTCGTGATGTTGGCAAGTCCGCCCTGCATCTCTCGGGTACGCTTCGATGGGTAACTGTCAAATGACACAACATCGACCAGTGTCAGTGAGCGCACACGCTGTGGGTTGAAAACAGCGAAACGTTGGGCGACGGCTCCGCCAATGTCATGAGCAGCAACGTGTGTCGTTTCGAGTTCCCAATGTTGCAACAAGCCCTCGAGGATCGGGACTTGGCCTGAAATAGACGTGTCGACTGACGGATCCCAGGGGCGCTCGGATAGTCCAAAACCCAGCAAGTCAAACAGGTGCACTTTGTACCCCGCGGAAACGAGAGATGGGACAATATTTCGCCAAATCAGAGAGGATGACGGGGTGCCATGAAGGAGTACTATGGGTTCGCCTTGGCCGTATACACCATAGGCTATGCGGGTGTTGTTGATGAGAACATGGTGAGTTGCCAAGATGTCCATGGTGGCCCTCTAGAGTCCTGTTTGAAGAAGAAATAAGTTGACAATAGCCATGAAGAACAGAGGGCTAAATGCCTATTAGTAGATCCAGAGACCCTCCACTGGGTATGTCTTGCGCAGGGCGCGGGTCCACCTCAACGTCACTCTTTTCTACGGGCAAGTGAGCAAATTCCTATCTCAATACAAGATTTGTCATTCTAAGACTTTTTCAGACGGCAACTAGCCATTGAAAGGTGTTTCGTACGGCCTCTCGGCCTGGGGCGTGATCCGTGCCAGGTGTCTGCGCTGTCCGTTCTCCCAGTCAACCAGGGCGCTATGTTGCGTCACACGATTATCCCAGACTACCACCGTCCCAGGTTCCCACTTGACGCGAGCTTGAAAGTCGGCCCCGAACGCAAGATGGTCACACAAGAACTTGAGCAGAGCATCGGACTCCTCTTGCTTGAGACCTACAATGTCGCGAGTGACAGAGACACAGTTAGTGCACAACGACAGAATTGTCAGTCAAGAGTACACTTACACTGGGAGTTAACGTAGAGAGCTTTCTCTCCAGTCGCCGGATGCGTGCGGACGATGGGGTGTTCGTTGACCACAGGCTCCCTTCGCTTGATACTACCTCTGGCAACGGCGGCGTTGACCTGCTCGATGCCCGAGTGCGTGGCTTTGAGACCATGAAGCCGCTCCTGGAAAAGAGGACTGAGACGCTTATAAGCGGTTACACCATCTACAAACAGAGTGTCACCGCCAGTGTCTGGCCCATCAAGGATGTACAGGAATGTGGTTCCTGGAGGCTGTCTCTCGTATGAGACGTCCGAGTGCCACTCTGTAGAGGTAGTTCTCGACTCGAAAAAGGACTTGTGTCCCTGGTCCTGAGCACCCCGGTGCACAAGATGAACCTCGGGGTGTCCTTCAGGCGAGCCAGATGTGGGATGGATATGGTGGCGACCAAAGCATTCGCCAAACTTGAGTGCATCCGCAATCGGCAGGTCTGCAAAGTCCTGTTTCCGAAAGGCGACCACTTTACGCTCGGCCACGAAGCGAGCGAGTTCGTCTTTCCCCTTGTTGTTCAACGAGCTGAGCTGGATACCATGGACTTCTGTGCCAATGGAAGGCGTCAGATGCGTGACCTTGGCCCCCTCGGGTAGCAAATTGGGGAACGAGGGGTCGGCATCCAGACCGTGCTCGTAGTGTTCGAAGTCTTGGAGAGGGGGATACCTCTGCTCTGGGTTCCACGTTGGTAGATATTTGGGGTACTGATGGCCAATGTTAGAGGTGGTAGCTGGATTGAGCGCTCATGCTCACCTTGGCTGGAACTTCCCCCGTCTTCCCTTCTTCGACATCGCGGTCCAGCCTCAGGACTTCGATCTCCTTGTACCGCCCATGGTGAATCCTTTTGCTCACGCGGTCTGCAGCCGGGTTGGAGATTGTCTCTGTCGCTGCTGGTGCCATTATTGTCGCTGTGGATTGGGTATGGAGCTTCAAGGGGCTTCTACGAGTCTTTGGAGGTTTATTTATATGTTCAATTCAACCTTGGGTCGGCAATCAATGGCATACCCCGGGACCGATATGGCGAGATGACCAAAATTGCTCATTCGCTGACCTTGGTGAGTATGTGGCACCCTGATTATGGTGTCGACATTTCGACCGCGATGGCGCAATCCATTGCGCCATGCGAAACAGGTGTCGCTATGAGGGATGATCGTGGCGTAATTGATGCGGGACAGTGAAGACGCTGACAAGTGAACTCGGAAATTGCCCCTTGAGCTACGCAGACGTGTCAGCTATGCTGGGACTTGAGAGTGTAGCGAATCGCCAAGTACATGTACTCGCTTCGCATCAAGCTCTTTGAACACCACCCTGGCCGCGGAGTATTCGGTTGTGCCACAACTTCAGGAAGAGCGCATTGAGGCCGGGCAACCGTGATGGCTGAGGTGACTTGCGCGAAAGGCATTCATTCCGGCTATGAGACGACTTCTGCGCGGTTGACACCGCGAAGTGTCAATGTAGACGGTAGTGAATGGACGAAGTTCGAGCTCGATTGAGCAACATTCTAGGGACTCTAACCGTCAGTAAATACGTTTGAAAACTGCTGTAGACAGAATCGGCTCATCTATGAGCACGATTCCCACTAACATTCACGGCGACAGGGCCGAGGAATCAAGGATCCGAGTTCTGCTTTGCCGAGACTGCTCCGTCTTTGGTGTGTGAGATGAGCTTGAGCAGTGGTCTGATCGGGAGAAATCGTGTGGCAGCATTCATGTGGCCATAGTGCGGTCCACGCCTGCTTGCAGCTCGACATCCACCATGTCCACGTGTATTTTCTTCCAGCATCAGGCTGTGTGGAGCGATAAACAATAACCCTGTTGAGACTGCTGGAGACGGGCGGTCTGTTGCCGGGGATTGATTGGACAGGAGCATGCGGATGGATCATATCTGATCCTCTTCGGAGATGCTATTGGACGGAGCCCCGCCGAAGGCTGATTATCTGATCTGATTACGGCCCTCGGCGTCTTGGCCATGCCGCGATATCGGGGTGAGATACCTTCTCGGTTAGGATAATGGCCTGGAACATTGCTCGTGGCAGGGCTTGCATTGGTGTGAGAAAGCGGCGAAGAAAATTTCGCTTCCTGGTCTTGGCCCTGGTTAGGTATTAATATTGGCAGGATTGCAACGCTGTTTGCCTGTCTGGCTTCCATGTTGTCTCCGCCCTTTGTATCCTGTACTTCCAGATACTCTGAATTCTTCCTCTTGGTCTGATCCAGAATGAAATCCATCCAGCAGGAGCAGCTGCAAACAGCCGACCAGCGTGCGCCGGTCGTCGACGCCAACGTCTCCGTCGGCGAGAAGAATGGCTTCCAGCAGACCACGCTCGGTACACCGTCTGACCAAGATTCCGAAGCTGAGGACAAGGATTTCCAACAAGGTGTCCGCCGCGTCCGCGCCATCACCTCTGTCTGGTCCAAGAAGACACTGGTCTCCATGTTCGTCATGTACGTGTCGCTAAGCCAAACCGGATCTACTTCGAGCCTTCACTAACCAAACTTCCCTTAACAGGCTCTATCTAATTTCCTTCGTCGACACCATCTTCAACTATGTCGACTCCGCGCTCAACCCATACATCACGTCTTCCTTTGGCAGCCATGGCCTCCTTAACATTGGCAGTATCCTAGCCACGATTCTTGGTGGCTGCTTACCTCTCCCGCTCGCCAAAATAATCGACATTTGGGGCCGCGTCGAGGGCTTTTGCATCATGATGACCATCTGCATCTGCGGCATGGCATTGAAGGCGACCTGCAACAGTGTCCAAATGTACATTGGGGGCCACATTCTCTATTGGACTGGGCATATCGGCACCATCTATGTCATTACTGTCATGCTGGCCGACATGACGACCCTGACCAACCGGGCTATTATCTACGGCATCCAGCAGACACCCCGAATCGTGGCCACCTTTGTCAGCCCTCGCATTGCTGACGCCTTCTACACACATGTCAACTTCCGCTGGGCCTATGGCAGCTTTATCATCATTCTCGCCACCTGCAGCGTGCCCGCCATGGGCAACATGGTGTACATGTTCAAGTCAGCCACAAAGAAGGGCATCATTGAGCGCAAACAATCCGGCATGCCTTTGCTTGAGTCGATCAGATTCTACATCGTTCAATTTGATCTTTTCGGCATCTTGCTGCTTTGTGGCGCCCTCTCCTGCCTTCTCCTGCCGTACAGTCTGGCTGCGTATGCACCCAACTACTGGTCGACGCCGTACATCATCGCCATGGAAGTAGTCGGTGTTGTTCTCATCCCATGCTTCTATGTATGGGAGGCCAAGTTCGCACCCGTCCAATTCCTTCCCTTTGAGTACCTCAAGCAAGGGACAATCATTGGATCATCCATCCTCAGTGGCATCATGTACCTGTCTACCTTCACCTGGAACGCCTATTTCGGCTCGTACCTCCAAGTGGTAAACAGACAGAGCATCTCCAATGCCAACTACATCCTGAACGCATACTCGCTCACCTCGTCCGTGTTCGCACCCTTGATCGGATGGTTCATCAGCTATACCGGCAACATGAAGTGGACAGCCTACGTCGGCGTACCAATCATGCTTCTGGGAACTGCCTTGATCATCCCCCTGCGCGAGCCGGACACGAACCCCGGAGTCCTGGCCTTCACGCAGATCCTGGTCGGCTTCGGCGCGGGTATCTTTGCGACCACTGCCCAGATCGCTGTGATGGCCCCTGTCAGCCACCAATACCTTGCTGTCACAACTGCTCTTCAAGGGCTGTTTGGCGGTGTTGGTTCGTCGATTGGGTATGCAATTGCCGGTGCGTTGTGGAATAATGTGCTTCCCAAGCAGCTGTACAACCGTCTGCCCGAGTCCTCAAAGGGCGATGCTGCTACTATTTTTGGCGATATTGTGCTGCAAATGTCTTTCGCCGACGGTACACCCGAGCGAGAGGCCATTGTTGGTGCGTACGCTCATGTCATGAGACTGATGGTCATTGCGGGTGCCTGCACGATGCCCTTGTGCTTGCTGGCCATCTTCATTTGGAGGAACATTAACATCCGGAAGCTCGAGGAAGAAAAGGGCAAGCAGACCAGGGGCATGGTATTTTAGATGCAAAAAAGCATACTTTCGAATATTTGAAGACTTCCGTGAATTGCTGAAAGCACAGCAGGAGATGATAAAGTAAGATTCTTAACTTCCAAGACGTCATGACACACCTCAAGTTATTTCGTATATACTATATATACATACTGCGCCTAATCCTTCATGTTCATATTCTCATCCAAGCGACGAGCCTCAGTACACACTACCCGTCCAGTCCTGGGCGGCGGCAACTCCAGTGGCTCCATTGATCGGTCCGGCCAAATCGACGCCAGAGTTGTCGAAGATGCCAAACTTGTCGCCACTGTCCTGGCTGGGGTCGTATGAGCATTCGCTCGAACCCGCAGGGAGGATCTGCCAGTACAGGCTAGGCAGACCGGCAGAGTTCATGTCCTCGACCTCGGAGGGGAAGGCAAAGTTCCGGTCGTACTTGGATGCGTCAATGCCCCATTCTTCCAGATACACCTTTTTGCCATTGCTCTTGTCCAGCCAGCTGCTGAAAGACCCGCTCCAGTATCCAGGCACACTAGCATAACGATGGACAGAGATGGCATCGACTGCATCACACTCAGTGACAGCGGGCAAGAACGTGCAGTCATGGGAGATGTCGCCACCCAGACCACCGGTCGAGATGAGGATACTGTTGTCGGCGCCAAGCACGTCCCGCATGTGACGAGCACGGCCACAGGCCCATCCGTGAGGGTCGCCGTTCTGGCAGTTGCTATAGGGGGCAGTCATGGGCTCGTTCTGTGGGGTGTACGTCAGAATGGCTGCCTAAAAATATCCTCGCTGGGCATCTTACCTGCAAGTTGAAGCTCACAATGGCCTCGGGCCACTCCTTCCACACCTTTCCGGAGTGCGCGCCCTTGTAGTTCAAGATGTGGGTTAGGCGGTTGTCGTATGCATCGAAAGCATCCTGCTGCTCGTAGAAATAGCCGGGACCCCAGCGGTCGTAGTAGGCATCCCTGTGGTTGTTGTTGGCATCAGGACAGGGCTTGGCCTTGAGCGGCATGAACTTACTTGCGGTAGTCGTTAATCAAAGAGTTGCCGTCGTGAGGCGAGATGATTGTCTTGATGTTCTTGTCCACCAGCTTCACCAAGACCTTGTCCAGTGCGTCCAGGGTCTCATCATTGTACTGGCCGATGGTGTCCTCCAGGGCGGGAACGTCGTTGACGAGCTTGCTGCCCTTCTGGCAACCTGAGCTCTGTCGGTTGGCCCAGAGGCGGACCACCTTGACGTTGTAGTCGGACAGCTTCTGGATGTAGGCGTCCTGGTCGTCGTCGGAGAGACCCTGGAGGTAGTACAGGTTGGTGCCACTCCAGGAGGGAGAGCTCTGGCGCGGCTGCGGAGCGGCCAAGACGGCAGGCGAGCATACCGCGAGGACGGCAGCAACCTTGGACAAGACGCTCTTCATGATGGAGATGTTTGAAGTTGTGAGTATGTGTTGTGGGCAACAGAAGAGTGGATGAGTATGGGCAAAAAGAAGCTTGAACCCACGAGGAAGATCTCATTTATATAGTATTTTCTATATACACATTCACATTGTAGACTACAATCATATTCAATGACATCGTGAAGTGGCAAAGCTGCTAACACCGTTCAGGAAGCTCCTGATACTGGCGACGCGATGGAAGGGGATTCACGCTGGATGATGCCGATCACAGGCGCAAGTGCCGTGCGACTAGTCTGTCTTTGGCAGACTGATTGAGTGGATTGACGCCTTAACACATGTTTCGGTCGGCCGACCGATCGTGAAACGCTTCATATGGTCCCCTCTGTTGTGGGCTGAAGGATCGCACTAGTCCTCAGCTGAGATGCGGGTCGGCTGGTGGCCGGCATCTGGTTGCCGCGAACCGATGTGATTGTGAGGTCATCAACACAGTATTGGCCTGGCCTGATTTTGTGCGTCACAGGCTCTCTGTAACGTCTGGTGGTGGGAGACGGTGTTTCGGGGTTCCGTGTCCTGTGCCATCCCTATCCGAGGCTGACTTGTGGACCTGGGGAAGATATTCTCCGTGACTGCGACCCTGCTGGCCCTCATTTAATACGCCCGATTTATAGGGGTCTTCTAATACATGCCGGCGACATGAGGATGCATGGATCCAACCAGGCAGCCTCAAAGCGTGTCCCAAAAAATGATCCGTTTCATGAAGGGATCCTGGAATTTCCCCATTTGTTTGCTGAGCCAACTCCTTCACCTTCTTCTTTTGTCGCGCAATCGTCACTGTTCGGAGTAAGGCTGCAATGCAAGGTGCTTGGCGAGGCACTCATGTCCTTGGCGGGCATTTGATTCACCGAGGAAACACTAGTTCATCGGCAGCTTCCGGTTCTCGCTGAGGCGGCCTGAGCACAGACATGATGTGCCCCAACACGCTCCAACACGTTCCGTCTTTGCAACCTACTGCGTGCATCGCATCGCACCGCTTCTCTAACAGACTGACCACAGCCAGAGCAGCATGTCTGACGACTTACAATCTCCCGCTAAGGGCTCGGAGACATCGCTGACACCAGCTGTCGAGTCCGGCCGGAAAACGCAGTCATGCGCTGAGTGTCGACGCCGACGAATCCGCTGCTCTGGGCGGGTGGTCCCTTGCAGTCAATGCGTTTACTACCAAGTGACAGATCGCTGCCATTACCCTCCCAGGAGAACTCGCCAGGCCCCCTCCGCCAAGTACGTGCCAGCTTGCTCTCCTCCGCGTAGCCATGGTTAGCTGACAGTAGCGATCAGGGCGTACGCAGAGCTATCCACTGCACACGAAATTGCTCAGGGGATATTGGACAGACTCTTCCCAGGCTACTCCCTCGATCGCCTGCAGTCTCAGTCTCGTCAGCAGCTGATAGATCTACTGGACAAGCAAGCAACTCCACCGACAGTGCCACATCAGCCGACTCCTGCAACGTGCGACTCACAAGCAACAAGTATCCTAGATCTCGAGCCATCTCCATATGAGGAGTTCGCATGGGATGAGTCCTCCCACGGCAAGCTCCAGGAACTGCAGTGTGAGGATGATGTCAACGGCATGTCTAGCCTTTTCGAAGCTGGTGGACATTCCTATCTAGGCATCTCGTCAGTGCCAACAATCCTGCGTGTCATGTCTCACACCTGCCTTGAGCTCAGACAGGCCGTGGAGTGCACACGGTCGACAAGGATGGCAGGCGTGCCACCGGTGGCTGTGGGCTCTTCCACATTGCCGCCGACATTTGATGAAACGTTACTCATCGATGCATACTTCCGCAACGTCCATGCCATTACGCCGATGCTGGATGAGATTGGCTTTCGCCAATGTCGCGCTCAGGGTGGAGGAGTAGGTAAAGCCCGTGGTCCGTGGCTGGCCCTTCTCAACATGGTCCTCACACTGGGGTACCTGGCGCTCAACGACGATGGGCAAGATGGCCACGTCTTCTTCTACAAGAGAGCGTCAGAGTACCTTGACATATCGTGCTTTGCTGCAGGACATCTGTACACGCTTCAAGCCTTGATCTTGTTTGGAGGGTACTACCTGCATTATCTGAATAAGCCAAACATGGCGAGCGCTGTCATGGGTGCTGCTCACCGCATGGCCTTGGCCATGGGTCTCCATAGGCTGCCACAGACAAGAAGCGTCGCTACAGAGGATCACCTGGCAATGGAAAGCCGGACGCGAACCTGGTGGTGTTTGTTCTTGTGACGTTCGGGTCTAGACTAGCTACCGGGTAGATAGAATAGAAGTCGGGTTTGAACTAAGTACACTAGGATATCGTTAACTTGAGCGGTCGGGTCATAGTCTATGTGCGAGATAGTGGATCTTACGTAGATAATTATATTAATAGCTAAGGAGCTAGGTAGAGACTAACTATAGTGAAGCATAGCTTCCTATATACTAGTTTATGAAAGTAAGGGCTTACGGGAGCGTCGTGATCTAATAAGCCATGCGTTAATATTAGAGCGTAGGCTCACGGTAAGGTCGCGAGCTATACTTTATACGTGGTAGTATAATTAAAGGAAAAAGTAAGGTACACGTAAGAGGCGCATATAGTCGTATGCTAGGTCGTAATATAATATCTCCCCTCCCGAGATTCTATCCCTAGAATTAATTAAAACTAATCGTTAGTCTATACTCGTGAGTCCTATTAATTCTTTCTCTTTTATTATTTTTATATATACTAACGCTATGTCTAGTCGCTCTTCTAATGTTACTCGAAAGACTCGCGAACGCCTAAAGCTTGCTTATGCTATTACTCGTGACGGTACTAACGTAGATATACCGTGCACCTATTGTTTTAAGAATTAGAAGCCTTATCGTTTTAATAATAGGTCTTCGAAATATAGCGAGTATATTCGTCGCGGTCGTCCTTACGACGGGACGTTTATAGCGTCTTTATATATATATTTGTTCTTTTCTTACTCCTTTTCCTAACCTTCTTTAGTGAATTATTTACTTAAATAGCGTAAGAAGCTTAAGAAAGATAAAGAGAAAGCTAAAGAGGCTCTCCTTTATCTTTAAACTAAGCTCGCGACCGCTATTAGTCGTTTAACGCGGATACGGAAGATTCGTCGATATATAAAAGAGCGTATTAACGACTCCGTTCGCCGTGGTTTAGCCGGTCTTAAGGAGGATAAGCGGGATAACTCGGGATCTATAGCTCCCGCTAAAGCTATTCCTATTTTAGATAGTTATAAGCACTAGATTAAGAATAACCTAAGGTTCTTAGGTCTTCTTAATAATCCTAACTAGTCGTCCTTAGGTTTAGGTAATAATTTTATAGATATAGTCTTTTTATCTAGAGCTAGAGCTATTAGTAATAGTTCTTTACGAGGTGCCGATAATCCTTAAGATATTTAGCGGGTTCCTATATATTTTTATTATTTATATAGCCTTTCTATTTAATAAGGTACTTAACTTCTTTGTCGATAGTTTATTTATCGAGTATCCGTTCTAGTTCGTAGAGTTTTTCGAGAACTTCTAGTTCGTAGTTTATTTTTGCGTTTTATAATACTTTTTCGAGTAATAAAATATAAAAAACTAAGTATATCCTTATACTTAAGGGTAGTAAAAGTTTATAGTTAGTATCTAAGATAACTTCGTTAATTTTAAATAGTCTAAGTTTTTTATAATTAAGCTTTAGTAAAGGTCGAGTTATTATAAAATTTTTACGTAGTAAGTCGACTATATCTCCCCTCCGAAAGATCGGTCCTTTCGATCTTTTCTAATTATAGTACTTCGATATTTATATACATATAAATTCGAGCTATTTCTTTATATATTTATATAGTAAGCGTAATTAATCTACTTTAAGTATAGCTTTTTTAGTAAGAGGTCTATCCCTTAGTATTTTATTACCGAACTCGGGTTCGTATCCGTAGTTCGCGTAGAATAGTAAGATTTTAGTTAATTCCATAGGTGCGTTATTATAAGCGAGTTAGGCGAGTGGTAACTTCGAGACCTAATCGTCTTACTTATAGTTAATATAGCACCGTAAGTATTGCTCTAATATTTAATTTAATCTTTTTATCTATCTATCTATTTGTGGGTAGTAAGCTATACTAAGCTTATATTTAGTCCTAAGCTAAGCTATTAATACTTACTAGAACTTCGAGGTAAATATCGTTCCTCGATCCGAAATAATTTCTTCCGGAAGGCCGTGGTTAGCCACGATATATTTAAGTATTATATATACGAGTGTTTCTATATCCGTTGCTTCTTAGTATAGTAGGAAATATCCGAATTTGCTTATCCGGTCCGTGATAACGAATATACTATTATATTCGATATTAGATCCTAGTTCCTTAGATTTAGGTAGCTTCGTAATATAATCGAAGGCTATCGATTCTTATAGCTTTAAAGGCACTAGTAGTGGCTTTAATTCTCCGTATAGCTTATACCGTGTAGCCTTACTACGCGTATAATCTTTATATTATCCGACGATATGTGCGATATCTGCCTTAATTCCTTAGTAGTCGTACGTTCGTCGTATTCGTTTAAGAGTCTTTCTAACTCCTTAATATCCTACCGTAGGATACGTATGAATATTAATTAAGATTTTATCGCGTTACGGCGGTAGTATCTAGAGTAATCTATTCCTAGTAGGTCCTTTTCCTATTTCTATCGTATAGTCGTTAGGTATTTCTTTTTTATATTTTAATACCTATTTTAATATTTTATCGTAGTATATAGTATTTACTTCTACTCTAAATATAAGAAGGTTAAGTGTTATTTATACGTAGTTTCTTTTATTATTTTATTAGAGTATCTAGCCCTTGGCTTTTAGTACTTCGGTATCGTAGTCTAGTCGGCGGCTAAGTATATTTACTTTACTATTTTCCGAACCTTTCCGATAGATAATTTTAATATTATAATTAGCTAAGAATTTAGCGTATTTTATTTATCGTGCGCTAAGTTCTTATATTATCGCGAAGTAGGAGATATTTTAGTAATCGGTATAAACTTTAGTAGTAAACTTCGTCCCTAGTATATAGTACTTAAATTCCTTAATAGCTACGATAATTACTAGGAATTCCTTATCGTAAATAGGGTAGTTTAGTTCCGCGCCGTAGAGTTTCTTCGAGAAGAATATAATTAGTCGTACGTTACTATCGTCGTCTCGTTAACTAATTTATACTCCTATAGCGTAGTCCGATACGTTTATTTCTAATTCGAGTAATCTTTCGGGGTCGTAGGTTATAAGTACTATATTTAATAGTATAGTATCTCGTAATCCTTCGAATACCCTTTATTACTCTATTTCTTACTTAAATTCTCCCTTTCCCTTAGTAAGTCCCGTAAGTAGTATTGCGATTTTCGTAAAGTCGCGTATAAAGCGTCGATAATAGTTTGTAAATCCTACGAATGCTTATACTTCCTTAAGTATTATTAGCACGGGCTATTCTTTAACTATATTAATCTTTATTTATTCTATTAGGATTTCGTTTAGTCGGATCGTATATCCGAGGAAGACGGTTTCTTATATATAAAACGCGCTCTTTTCTAGGTTAACTAAGAGGTTCGTATCTTAAAGTATTTTTAGTACTTAGTAGACGTGTTTCTTATATTCTTTAAGGTTTTCCGAGAAGATTAGAATATCGTCTAGGTATACTATAATAAAGATATCTAGGTACTCCCTAAGTATGTTATTAATTATTCGCTAGAAGGTAGCTAGAGTATTAGTAAGGCTAAATAGTATTACTAAATACTCGAATAGACCGAACTTAGTGCGAAAAGCTATCTTTTATTCGTCTCCTTTCTTTATATAGATTAAGTTATAGGCTCTTTTTAGGTTAAGAGCGGTAAACTAGTTCTTACCGTGAAGTCTATCCTTAAGTTCGTTAATAAGCGGCAGGGGTGTCCTATCTTTAATCGTAATATCGTTAAGCTACCGATAGTCTACGACTAGTCGTAGCTTCTTATTCTTTTTTAGCACGAATATAATAGGATATCTTACTTCCGAGGTAGAGGTTCGAATATAGCCTTTCTTAAGTATTTCGTCGATATATTCTCGTAATATTTTAAGTTACTTCTCGTTAAGGTTATAGAGTTTATAGAACTTAGTCGAGGTTCTAGTTTTAAGATAGATTTCGTGATCCTACTAACTATATTACGGAATACCCGTTTCGAGGGTTTCCTTAAATAACCTACTATACTTTCGGTATTCTAGCGGTATATTCTTTATTCGTTCTTCTTCTATTATAGGTTTCTTTTTTCTTTTTTTTTATAAGGCTTAGTTTACTTTAAATATCTTTTATATAATATTAGCGAGGATTCGTTTTCCTTATTTATATTATATACCTGGTTATATAGCTTTCTCGGTTAGTACTATAGCTTTTGCCTACTTCGGCTCGCTTATATCTTTCGATAAAGATCCTTTAGAGGCTAAGTCGTCGCGAATATTCGCTTCTTTTTAGTTAAATAGTAATCGTCGCGTTATCGTATCTATCCACGCTAACTAGCTAGTGCGCTAATCGACTACTAAATTACTTCTCGTTAACTATAGGTGACCTAGTATTATATCGTATTTATATAAGTCTATAATATCGAAGACGATTATCTTATAGTATCCTTATATCGTTATATCGAGATAATCGGTCTCGCGGTCGATAGTTCTATTATTATAATCGAAACTTTATCCTTCGATATTAAAAAGCTTATATACCCGAGTCTTATAATTCTATAGTAATATATATCGGTTAACTACTATTAGTAAGATATAGTTACTTATTGCCCTACTATCTAATAGTGCTCGTAGGTAATATCCGTTAATCTAGACTTCTAAAACCGTTTTCTATCCTCTATTTATCTCTACGGAGTAGAGGGTCTTTAGGTTTCCTTCGTTATCCTATGCCCTTTCTATAGGCGATATTAATAGTTTTTTAACGGGTAGTATTTTATATCGATATTATTATCCTTAGGGTCGTATACGTAGTTACTATCGTACGACTCTAAGTATATCGAGGGATATCGTTTTCCTTTTTCTTCGTATAAGTAATATATATACCTATAGTAGTAGACTCTATAGTTTAGTATATATCCTTCGAAATACCTATATATAATATATTATATATATACTTTTCCCTACGGAATAAGGTATTCTTATGCCTCGATCCTATATCGTAGGTATAGCGTTTCCTTCGCTCTAGTATATCTTTCGTAGTTTATCTTTCCTTTACTAATATAGTCTCGATCCGCTTATTCGGTAGGGTTGAACGGTAATTTTATACTATTAGGGTGCTTCTCGTATCCCTTACACCCTTATCTATAGCTTAAGGCGTATTCCTTACTCTTAACTATCTTAATACCGAGTAATGCTTTTATAGTATTCTCGTGTCGCCGGAGCTCTTCTATCTCCTTTTATTCCCTAGTTCTATACTAATCGAATACCTTTGCCTTAGCGTATCGTAGATAGTCTACTAACTAATATCCGCGCTACGTTTTCTAGTCTCGTGCGCATACTTTAGGGTATTTTACTAACTACCTTAGTATTATATATCTTATACTAGGTTCTGCGTATATATACTTATAGAACTCCGCTTTATATTTTTCGTATAGGTCGTTAATAACGCGGGTAGCTAGTCCCTTAATTAGGTAGACTTAATGCCTTCCTTTATTAGGTATATATATTCTATAAAAGTAGTATATATAAGAGATCTATAAGAGTTCGTAGTATTTTAGCGTATCTAGGTATATACGTAGGTCGTTTCCTAAGATTATTCTTCGGTCTATTACCTAGTTAATTCCTCCGTTTAGTATTTAAGCGGGGATAACTATCTAAAGGTCTCCTCCTTACGGTAGGGGGTTATATCGATCTATCGCTGCTTTTATCTATTCTCGTGGGGTTACTCGTCCGTGTAATAGGTTAGTCTCGAGTATCCTTTTCTTCTATAGTAGTTCTTCTTCGTAGTCTAGGGTATCGGTTATATCGCTTCCGGAATTATCGCTATCCTTAGGGGTTATAGTGATTTTCTATATAATAGTAAGGGTCCTTGCCTTCGGGGCTTTTAGAAACTATCCCGATTCTTCCTTACTATTTTTATAGGTATAGTAGTTATTATTATAGTATCCTAACTAGTATAGGGCTTCGTGCGCTATTAGTTAGTTTATAGGTTACTTATTAACCTTCTTTAGTATTTTTTCCGTATTAGCTACTTAGTTAGGGCATAGTACCTTAGACTAGCTTAGGTACTTCGTATCGTAGCCGGACCTAGTTATATTTAGTTACTTTAGCTTACCTTTAGGTACTAGTCTCTAGCCCTAGCTTCGCCCTTTCTTTAGCAAGCGGTATTTACGCTTTTAATAACCTAGCTTACCGTAGTTATAGTAGGTTAAGTTTTTCTTATTATTATCTATCGCGGCGAGCTATCGTTATATAGCGTCTAGGTCTATAGGTCCTAGGTTTGTCGTATATACCTATGCTATATTTTGCTATCGGGGGCGTCCTTAGTTTAGATAGTAGCGACGTCCTCCGTTATTATTATTCCTAAAGTTTAAGTATAATTAATTTATATTCCTCTTTTTTCTTAATATTTTGCGCTTTAGGTATAATCGGTTATCGATCCTAATTACGTTCGTAATATACTCCGTGAGGGACTTAGGTATATCTTTATCGTAGAGTTACTCCTAGACCTCTAACTTTAGACTATTAAAGAAGTAGGTTATAAGAGGTTCGTCGTCCTATCCGAGTTTACTAGATAGTTATCGAAACTTTAATACGTAGTCCGTAGTAGATCCCGTTTGCTTTAGGGTTCGTAGGGTCTTAATATTAACCCGGTTCTTATCTATATTCCCGAAGACGTCCTTAATAGTATTCTCGAAACCTTCGAAGCTTGCGAATATAGCTTAAGTTTCGTTATCTTAGAGGTTAGCCGTAGTCTCTATAAAATCCCTTATATATAGTTCGAACCACGCTAAGGCCGTGCCGGTAAGATATATTCTTACGTAAAGGATCTTACTTATATTATCGGCGAGCTTAGTAGGGAATAGTCGATAATATATCTTAAGCTAAGTTAAGAACCCGTTTAGTTATCCTAGGTTATTATCGAACGGCCTAGGTAACTTAGGCTTAATCGTCTCGCCTAGGTCCCTAGCGTTATTATTCTCTATATCGGCTATAATATCGTATTACTTAAGTACTTAACACGGTAGTATATTAAATAAGAGCTATTAATATATAACATTCGGGTCTAGACTAGCTACCGGGTAGATAGAATAGAAGTCGGGTTTAAACTAAGTATACTAGGATATCGTTAACTTAAGCGGTCGGGTTATAGTCTATATACGAGATAGTAGATCTTGCGTAGATAATTATATTAATAGCTAAGGAGCTAGGTAGAGACTGACTATAGTAAAGCGTAGCTTCCTATATACTAGTTTATGAAAGTAAGGGCTCACGGGAGCGTCGTGATCTAGTGAGCTATGCGTTAATATTAGAGCGTAGGCTCACGGTAAGGTCGCGAGCTATACTTCATGCGTGGTGGTATGATTGGAGGAACAAGTGGGGTGCACGTGAGAGGCGTATGCGGTCGCATGCTGGGTCGTAATAGTTCTGTCTCGACACATGGGCGGGAACAACCCTGGGGCGTCCCATATCCGGAGCCTGGAGGCCAGCGCACATGTCGAATCCCCTAGCGCACCAGAGAGCTGATTCTGTGAGTCCTTATTGATAAATAGTGTACTGGGCGTGAGATACTTATACAGTTTAGGACTACAATGCTATCGTGGTGGATGCGAACGTGTCCTTTGCTCTCATCGCTGCGCGGATTCAGGACAGAATGGCCGAGCTGCCTCTAACGACACCAGCCGAGCTCAAGAAGCTCGACGAGGAGCTCCTCGACTGGCGCGCAAACATCAATCCTATTTTGAACAATGGTCGGCATAGCCCCGAGCCAGTTCGTCTGGCTTGCATCGTGCTTGGGCTGCGCTATCTGAACCAGCGCATGACCTTGCACCGACCTTTCTTACTACTTCAGACCATAAAAGCCAGCACGGAGGGCAATATGGTCTCTCAAGATGCAGACCGGATTGCCGATACATGCTGCGCAATTGCACAGGAGACTATCAACACTATAGCAGACAACTGGTACCCAAATCAGCTGTTGGGATGGAATTGTACCTGGTTTCTGTTCCAGGCGTGTCTTGTTATCCTCTTGAAGCTTCTATCCAAGACAGCGGGAGCAGACAGCCAGATATTGGAGGTGTGCGTTGTCCAGTGCCTTGAACTGCTGACAGAAATGCGCCCTTGGAGGAGATCAGCTGCGCAGACACACGATCTACTTTTATTCATCTTCAACGCCAGGACGGCAAGCACGCAGGACTGGGGCGCCAACTGTTCTCTGTCGGACGAAGCCCTTCTCAATCTTTTAGGCTTTGGCCCAATTGATGGTGATGTCGATTGGAGCCAAATCTTGGACTATAATGAACAGGCACCCTGTGGCGACTTGATGGATGGCAGCAGCAGCTATCTCGGCTAGACAAATCTCCGAAGAGGATCACATAATTCCTTCACTTCTGCCTAGATGTTGCCCCCCCGGGAATGAACGTGGCTTTCTTGACTACCACATGAGTGGCCCTAGCCCAGATACTGAAATGGATCGACGTTCGGCATGTCGTGGTGGCGGACCCCATGGGGTCCGCCTCGTGTACCGTTGAGATTGTTTTGAAATATGCAGGCTATCGGGCATTGTTCTGGATGGAGCTCGTTTTGACCACTCATGACGCAGAATTTGAAGACTTCAACCCGTTCTGGGACGGATCGACGGCGGGTTGAACGTAGCCAAGACGGAATTTCAGAAGCCGTCTCGGCTCCCATGCTCGCCAATGCTAGGACTTTGGCTATAACCTTAGTTTCACGCGTGGTTAGGTCGAATAATCCTGGGGTAGGAACTTCTCATCATCGAGGCAGTGGTCAATAATTAGTCAGTCATTGGTTCATTAGTGTAAAAAATGCCACAATGTATGGTCATGGTCGGTGGAAGCCTTGTATTGTTATGCTTGCGGCAGCAATTTCGGGGATAATCATAAGATTCAAGATCACGGAAGTATTTTCAGGGGTCACAAGAAATGCTAAGTGCAGATACACATGGCAAGTTCATTGTTAGAATGTCCATAATAAGGGACAGGTGGCCGTGGTCGGTGCCAGCCCACGCACTACTATCTATCAAAGATCCATTCATGTGTCAAGCTACAAGGCTGGTTGATTCGAATACCCAGCACCTAGTAGAAACCTCGCTCGAGGAACAGTGCAGGGTGTTTAATGCAAGACCTTTCGAGTGCTCGCCTTGCGTGGATTCTTGGCTTCGAAAACGGCGTCAAGCTCCTCGAGAGTTCGCCCTTTGGTCTCAACGAAGAAGAAGTAGATGAAAGCGAACTCGAAAAGATCCCAGAATACGAAGAAGACATAGCTAATAAGTGTCAGTGCATAAAATCGCGAGGTATGGGTGTTGTTTTCACCCACAACCAGTATCTGATGTTCTTCATGGCCGTCGGTGCAGCAAAGGTGTTGATGAAGCTGGCGCATCCGGCGGTTATCTGAAAGAGCATCATGCCGTTTGCGCGCATGTCGTCTGAAGAGCGTCAGGGTGGGATTCTAGCTCGATAATTCGGCATCTAAACTTACTTGCAAGGACTTCCGCAGGATAAATAGGCTGCATCGGAGTGAAGCCCACAGCAAAGACGACACCAAAGATGAAAATGAAGGCGATACTGGCGGAGCTACTTGGCACGCTGCCCGATTTCTCGTACTCTGCTGCGGTTGCAGCAACGATAGCGAGAGCGACGGACATGCCAAGGCACGAGCCCATTAGCATCTTGCGACGGCCAACAACGTCGTGAAGACGGGCTGGATAACCATGTCAGTATTCGCGATAGTGAGAGACGAATCTTGCTCACCTCCGATCGTGGCCGCAATCCAACCAGTGATTGCATAAATGGCATTCAGCAACAGTGTGAGACTGGTCGAGGTGATGCCGACATTTTCCAACATGATTGGCAGGTAGTAACTGGAGACATTGTTTCCGGAGAACTGACCAAACCATGCCATTGTCATTGCCAGCATGAGTCGATAGAGGCGCGCGCGGGACTTGAACAGACTACGCACGTCGAAGCACGCCCAAGCGGACCGTCCTATCACTGATTCCAGCGAGGCCTCAATCTCCTGCATCTCGATAGCCACAATAGGGTGGTCTGCATCTCCGTTGGCGTGATACTCGATTATGAATTGGCGAGCCTTCTCTTCGTGTCCATGACCGACTTGCCAGCGTGGACTCTCTGGGAGCCACCAACCACCAAGGACGACGATCGCCGGACACAAGATCTGCAGCCACAACGGGAGTCGCCATTTGATGTTCCCGTGGAGATGAAGGTTCGAACCATACACAGCTGTCGATGTTAGTTACGCGGTCCTTGTGTATATCGGCACCGAAAGATGTGTACTCACCAAAGGTAGCAATAATGCTGCCCATATAATACAGCGTGTTGTAGATACCAGCGACTGTAGCACGGTGAAGTGGCGGCGCAATCTCCACGAGAAGCATTGGGGCAGCCACCGTGGCGATGGTTGAGAAGAAGGAGAGCAGGAAGCGAGCGGCAATGAACGAGGGCAGTGTCGGTGCCACCGCCGTGAAGACGGCCGAGACGATGATCATGAAAGCGCTGATGACCAATGTCCACTTGCGTCCCTGCCAGTCGCAGATCCAGGTGAACAGAGCGCCCACCATCTGTCCAATCTGGAAGATGGAAAAGACCAGGCCGGTTGTCGAAGATTGGTTCTGGCTGACGTTGTAGTAGTCTTGATATTCGGGAAGAACGTTGATAGAGCCCATCAGCGAGCCATCATAGCCTGCGCAGACAGATGGATTAGAAACAGCGCACCTAATGGGGAATTGGGCCATTGTAGTTACCTTTCATCGTCGAGCAGAAGTAGATAATCAAACAAAAGAAGTACAGCTTGATATGGCCGCGCCCAAAAGTAGCTGGGCGCTCGCCTGCAGTATCAAGGGCTGCTGCGATGGCCTGTGGATGAGCAGTGACCTTCTCATCGTGCGTTGTTTCCAAGTCTTTGGTCGACATTATGCCTTTGGGTCTTGAGAGTGAAGAAGATCTGCAATTCAGAAGTCAATGCTGCTTGAACCTGTGTCAGACTCGTGGGGTTTTATGAAGGCTGCAGCTACTAGTGTCGCTCTCCGTCCGGGGTTTGCGGAGAGTGCCATACATCTCTGATTGCCAGACTCTGGGGACTGGAGGTGTTGATTTTTGGTGAACGCGGAGTTCTGTACGCCGTCTTAGCGTTCGCCCCGCAGACTTGAGGGCAGTAATAACCTTGGGACCGCCCGGCTGGCGCCACGATTCCCCCTACCCGGCACGGGAATATCAAAGACCGCCTCAGCCTTATAAATAGATTCGTGATGCCTAGAAGGGGGCCCTGGAGAAAGCACATTAAGGAATGCTGCGGCTTGACTAATCAATATGATTGGGTGGTTCCAACGGAAATTCCGCGAGCCTCGACGGCTAGGTCACTCATTTTAATGTGTCGTCGTCCGACCCGGAATCAAGAGTCCGGTGTCCGGACCAGAGAGCGGACGGCTAACCGCATTCGCCCTAACGCCTGCATTCGCCCGGCGACGGGTATCCGCTCGGAGCTCCGACCCTCCGCCGTTCGCCGTGAAAGACCTCCAGTCAATGAACTCTTTCTCATCTGCGGTCCACCGCTGTGCAATTACTTCACAGGTACAGCTAAACTTATCTATCACATTGATGCCGGACCCATTCCTCAAGAAAAGTAAAAGCATGCGGAGCTTGTCTGCGGGCCAAGTTGCAAGTGTCGCAAGCGATGTCCTGCGTGTGAACGGTGCTTGACGCGCCGAATGCGTGCGTCCACCATCAACAGCCCAGCTTATTTGTTCAGGCAGCCGCAGAAAGCCACGAGGTTGAATTGGTTGCTGAACGGGGATGGTGGGCCTTGCGGTATCAGCGTCAGGATCGAGCCCACTTGTCGCTCCGTCTTGGCCAACATATACGCCCGCACAGGCTACAGTTTGTCTTTCATCAGCTGATTTCAAGAGAGTCTGGTTTCCAATTCTTATATTAGGAACGTGGCGTATCTCACCAGTTGCCTTGAAGCAACACCAAATAATGGCCGTGCCAGCCTGTGTCCTGGGACAAGATTAAAGATGCGATGGCTTGGACAGCCCCTGATGATCCTTTCAGCCTCACTACGAGGAGGTCGGCTGTAGCAAATATGAAAAAAATGCGCCGATGGGGTCTCCACAGGCTTGAGGTATGTTTTTTCACTGCCTCATTAGAGATCATTCAAACCAGAACAGTCACTTTCCAAGAAATGCCGCCTTCCATGGCCCCTAGAGCAATTATATTTTGATTCTTTTGAGTTCGCACGCGCACTTCCAGGGTAAAACTTGTTGATACTGAGATAGGTTGAATCTCATATACATTAACACCAAGTTTCTCGTTCCAAGGGCCGTTTAGCTAAGTATTGCACGCGCCCTACTGAGCGGGAGCCTCGGCTGACATAGGAGGCTGGAACCCAGGATCGCTTTTCGCAATGGCGCTCCGATATGCATCTCTTTTGTTTACTCGTTGTAAGAATCCGAGTATGCCTTGGTACTCTTGGAGACTGTAGGGGAAGAATAGCCTCATTGTCGTCAACGAGAAGACAACCATGATGTCTGCTGCCGTGAATTCGTCCCCTGCAAGCCACTGACTGGCGCTCAAGCGATCATTCAGCAGTTTCAAGGACTTTTTCATGCCGTTCAGGGCTAGCCGAGCGCCTATGTCATCAGGTGGCAACCCCATTTTCGTGGCCATTCTTGCCCGCAAAAGCGCTGGTTGCAAAGTTCCATTTGCAAAATGCAGAAAGTACAAATAGTCGGCATAATTGTCTGCGGAGGGCGAGACCGAGAGCTTTCCATCTCCGTATTTAGTGAGTATGTACTCAAAAATAGCGCCGGACTCGGCGAGCGTGATACCACCGTCTTGAACGATGGGGGCCGACTTGGAGGGGTGCCTATTTGGTTTAGCTCTGCTCTGAACGATGCCGGCGATACGGTTCATGTTGGGATAATTTGTACAGTGCCTGTAATTCAGGAGGACTCATGAACGTCCTGGGGTCCCTCGGATACAGCTTGAGCTCGTATGGGATGTTGAGCTCCTCGCAAAGCCAGACGATGCGCTCGGATTGGCCGCGTTGCAGATGGTGTACAGTTAGCATGGTTAAGAATGTTTGGATAGGTCGTGAGACTCCGAGCCGCGCAGGTCGCTGTAGACTGGGCCCTAGTTTCCTTTTATGTATGAAGCGAGAGCGGCCATGAGTCATCGAGGAGGTTGCTAATAGGTCGGCTTGAGTAAGATGTATCCCTGGTAATCATGTGCATATTATCATATGCCACGCTGCGATGCAGCTCACTTGCCCAGTCTCTCATGCTCCACTCCAGCTTACGCTGACTGCGAGAAGAACTGTCTTATTTGCGAGATCGCAAATGGCATTCAACGATTTGTAAGGTCAAGGGTGCCGAAACAGCACCTTCTGGACTAGGGAAGAAAAGTACCCAATGGGGTCGAGCGACTGTTGCTTGTATTACGCGCGGCGACTTGACGCATGCATGTAAGACGCTTCCCCGCTTTATTATGTCACTCGTGGGCACCTTGATGAGGCGGTCAGATAAAGTCGTACCTCTCTGGACTATAATGGGCTGTTAGCTTGGGATTCTTATCTAGGCATTTCACTCAGAGGCATACGAAAGACGCCTCACCTGCTCCTGCGATAAAGATCTCGGAGCACATGAACTCAGCCACGCACCCGCCGACCTCGCTATGCCAAACACAGCTTCCAATACTAACTGGACCATGCCACATATGCTGGATATAAGCTCTAACAAGGGCCACAGGCAAACCCATGCAGTGCTGACCTCTGCCGATGTAATTGCTTAAAAGAGATTGCGCTCTGCATTCGCCGCCGGCCGGGTCCGGGATGGAGGCTGAGAGTAGATCACTTGTGTGATCAACCCAGAGCCTTTCAAATACGGGATGCATAACATTGCGTTCAAGGCCGCCTTCGCCAACGATATGGCTTGGAACTCTTAGGTCCAGCACTTGCCAGTAGATGAGTCCTACACTCGTGGGCACCCATGTACTGAATGAAATCGCCACGATCAGAGCACTCAACGCTCGCCCCCAATTTACCAATACAACAAGTATTTGCCGTCCGTGTTTCGCCCTCCAATTACCTCGGCTTCCCATAAGACCTCGTGGAATGCCTGAAGGTCCAGACTGTGGAGAGCTTGATTATGCGTCTTGTATCCGCTGAGCACTTGGCACACGTTGCATGCCAGCTAGAAGGTGTCCTGTTCCAGCTGGAGAAATTGGCCTTGGATTTGCTTGGACGTATGTGGTGCTGAAAGAAATGCCACGAGACTCCTCGGAGCTGGCGAGCAAAAAAAAAAACAGCCATTGCCCGTTGTTGACCAGAGAACGACGCCTTCGATGCTTCTCGGTGCGATACAAGCCGATTTTACACACCGATATACCTACATTCGCCTGTATTCCGCGAACTCTAATTGATGAATGGGAACCAAAGTTGCTTGTGGCGACAAAGTGTCGTAGGAATAACTTCTACCGTGTACGGGGGTATGGAGATCAACTAAGCCGGTTGTCGTCGACCGTCTGCCGTTGTATATCCCTTCTGACACTCGTTAGCAATATTGTGCCCGGTGAAAATAACGGCAACCCAGTTTTGCCCAGCTTTTGGTTCTTTGCACAAATCAGAGTTTCACAAGGAGCCATCTTCTCAAGGCCCCTCCATTAGAAAAAATAGAAAAAGCTCAGTGCGCAGGTGGTGAGTCGTCAGCATCAGTAGTGCAAGAGCCAACAGTGCGTTTGTATCGATCATACGATTAATCGGCTAACATAGGAGACAAATCACAAGTGCCACACTGAATCAAGGCAAAGGCGTCAGGAGTCGTGACCTTTTTTTCAAGTGTCACCCCTGAGCGACATGACAGCCTTCGTTTTCCCGCCAACCCCGCCCGAGGGTTGTTGACATGGTCGCAATTACATCCATCTGGCACTTCTCCTCATGCTTCATTAACATAAGAAAGCCGACAATGCCATTCTGTCAGGTAGTATGTTGGATGTTCATGGGTCTCGTGGTGAGAAAAGCAAGGTTTGGAGGCTGGCCAGTGTGCATGTGACTGGCACATGTACACAGACTGTCAAGTCCTACATTGACAGCGATAGCAACACTCACAATTCCCGGTTTGTGATGAATAAAATTCGTGCTCCATGCCTACATCGTTCAACAGGCAGCCTAAATGTCTTGAATGAAGAGCCAGTCCCTGTGTATAAATAGTCGGGATCCTTCCACACCAAAGGGACCCTGACAAAGACAGCCAAACCAGCCAAGACAACCAGCCAACAAGAAAACCAACCAAGAAAAGCCAACCAACAATCTCTTCTCTCACTATCCGCAACACCTTATTCTACCAACATGAAGTTTTTCGCACTTCTCTTCGTCGCCGCTGCTGCCATTGCGGCCCCTGGCGCAACCAACCAGGACCAGAATCAAGACCTGGCCCCCTATGTCCCCTGCCCTGGTCCTATTCAAGACACGCCCCTGTGCTGTGGGGATGTTATTGATGGCTTCAGCTTTCAGTGCCAATCCCGTGAGTACCCTTTGAAAGTTCATCTTTAATAGACCCGGGCCTGACTACTCGATAGCACCCACGCCGCCTGCCAGTGCCACCGATTTCACGGCCGTTTGCGCCGCGATCTTGCCTCTTGCCAAGCGACCTCGTTGCTGCTCATTCCGAATCGGCGGTCTGGGAGTCATCTGTGTCAATCCCATCGGCGTCTTCGCCCTGGAAGGAGAAGATGATGCGCCTCGGGGCTAGATGGGCTGACAGCAAATCCATTTTGAATTGATTGAACGTTGGGTTGCCCAAGTTCTCTTCACGATGGTGCGTGTTAGCACAGCACATGAATGAATAGGGGAAGGAGCTCGATGGTATTTTTTTGGGAGAAACAACGAGCCTCAGTCTAAGATATCCCCTATCCAATTGTTTTTCTCATACTTTCACGCAATTGCAAAGGCTACTGAAGTTTCTAAGCAAGCAAAAGCCAGACGCAGGGTAGCCACTATCCGCGAGGGCACAGACAATGAATAGAGGGTTGGACTTCAGCGTTAGCATTTATTACAACAGTCGCTACAGATCAATAAATCACTGCTTAAGCCTTGCTGAGATTTTTGTGCTCCTAGAACACCATATAAACAAAAAAGTTTTATTACACACAGTTAATTATTCTCCACGATGCGGATGGACATTCCCGGTAACCCGAGAGCCGATGCCGAAACCGCCTCGGTTTCCGTCGGGTCGGCCTTGGCAGGGCCCGCATCAAATTGGATCTAATTTCACACGCTGATGTGCAATCCGCCCTGCGTGAATGGTCAAACAGTCAGATTCTCTGTGATACGTCTGTCGACGATCGGGGCTCTGCACATCCTCGCGGTGGCTTACTGGACAGATGTCGAGTTCCATGATCATGTTTCGGGCATGTCGACCGCGTCGACAACACGCTCAGCCCATTCGAAAGTTTGCGACGGTAACCAGCATTCAGAGCGGGCGGGCACCTCTCAGTCGCTTTGAACCCAACGACAGTGTTGACTATATGGCCTTTGCCAAATATGTGCCGAACCTGCGTAAGATGTGAGAAGAAGGATCTGTTGGCTTTGCCGGGGTGCGCGCGCTGCTAATTCCTCCTGAAGCCTCGGTCGTCCCCTGACGTATGCAGAGAAAGTGCTTCTCACCCACCTTGACGGCGAACATGGCGAGAAGATCACAAGAGGCTCTACGCAGCTCAAGCTCAAGCCTCGACGGATAGCGTGCCAGGATGCGACTGCGCAAATGGCTATCATCCAGTTCATGTCGGCTGGACTCGACAAGACGGCAGTTCCCACGACAGTGCATTGCGATCATCTCATCGTGGGCCGAGACGGCAGCGAGAACGACCTTGCGGGCGCCCTGACAAGCCATGGCGAGGTGTATGAGTTCTTGTCGAGTGCGTGTCAGAGATATAACATGGGCTTCTGGAAGCCGAATGCCGGTATTATCCATCAGATCGTCCTCGAGAATTATGCCTATCCAGGGGGCATGCTTATTGGCACCGACTCGCACACGCCCAATGCCGGGGGGATGGGTATGATTGCCATTGGGGTTGGCGGCGCAGACGCAGTAGATGTCATGTCGGGACTGCCACTAGAGATCACAGCCCCTAATGTCATCGGCGTGAAATTGACTGGGCAGCTGAGTGGGTGGGCCAGTCCAAAAGGTAAGCAACCTGCAGCAGATTGCTTGCGCATTTCAGACCTTCTGACCATATTGCGTTTCTAGATGTCATCAACAAAGTTGCAGGCGTATTGGGCGTAAAAGGAGGAACGGGGAGTATCATCGAATACTTCGGTCCTGGCGCCGCCAGCATCTCGGCGACAGGTATGGCCACCATTACCAACATGGGTGCCGAAACAGGGGCGACCACGTCCATCTTTCCCTACTCGGACCGCATGGCGTCGTATTTGAGGGCAACGCGACGACCAGAACTAGCCGATGCACTGCATGTGGCCAAGGGTGAGCTACAAGCAGACGAGGGTGCTGAGTACGACCACGTCATTGAGATTGACCTGTCTTCACTCGAGCCGCATATCAATGGGCCATTCACCCCGGACCTTTCGACACCGCTATCGCGTTTCGGTGATGCAGTGCGCGAGAACCAATGGCCAGAGAAACTCACTGCTGGTCTGATTGGGTCATGCACCAACTCGTCCTTTGAAGATCTGTCTCGAGCAGCCAGCCTGGCCCGCCAGGCTCTAAAAGCGGGCCTCAAACCCCAAATGCCCCTGTTTCTCTCCCCGGGCAGCGAACAGACCGCCCAGACTTTGAAGCGAGAGGGTGTCGTTGATGTCTTTGATCGCTTGGGCAGTAAAGTCCTGTCGAATGCCTGCGGGCCGTGCTGCGGAGCTTGGGATAGAACTGACATGGAGAAGGTGAAGCCGCTGATCGTAGTTATTGAACGAACGCTGACCGCTCGGAAAGGGCACAAAGAATTCCATTCTGGCCTCTTACAACAGGAACTTCACGGGTCGTCTCGACGGCAATCCTGCCACACATGCCTTCATCTCATCGCCTGAGATGGTCATGGCCAAAGTCTTCTCCAATGACCTCGCCTTCAATCCGACCAAAGACAGCATCAAGCTAGAATCGGGAGCGGAATTTCTTTTCCAACCACCCGAGGGCGATTCACTGCCGCATGGTCTTTATGAAGAGACAGACCACGTATACGACGCGTCGTCGACTGATGCTGAGGTTCGCCAGGCTGTGACTGTACAGATCTCCCCGGAATCTCAGCGCCTGCAAAGACTTGCTCCCTTCGCTCCATGGTCAGGTCAAGACTTCCTTGACTGTCCAATTTTGATCAAGACGGTGGGCAAGTGCACCACCGACCATATCACCACCGCAGGGCCGTGGATGCGCTTCCGTGGCCACCTCGAGAACATCTCCAACAACACTCTGATAGGCGCCATCAACGCGGACAACAATGAGGCCAACAAGGTGGTCAACCAAGTGACAGGCGAGCTGAGCGGAGTCCCGGACGCTGCCCGCGACTACCAGAGCCGAGGTCTGCCTTGGGTTGTGGTGGCTGACCACAATTACGGAGAAGGGTCGTCGCGCGAGCATGCCGCACTGCAGCCTCGCTATCTTGGCGGCGTCGCTATCATTGCACGCTCGTTCGCGCGCATCCATGAAGCCAATCTCAAGAAGCAGGGCATGCTCGCCTTGACCTTTGCTGAACCGGCAGCTTACGACAAGATCAAGCCATCTGACCGAGTCAGTATTGTCGGGTTGAACGGTCTGGCCCCTAAGCAGCCAATTCGTCTTGAGATCACGCAGAAAGATGGAACGCGTTGGGCAGCCGAAGCAAAGCACACATTGACCGATGAGCAGGTTGAGTTCTTCAAGGCGGGAAGCGCACTCAACCTCATGGCGAGTCGCATTGGGGTCTCGTCTAAATAGTATCTGCTTATGTGAGCTCGTCGAGGGGGGCAATAGAAGTGGGTGGTTGGTGATCGCACAGACAATGTTGCTACAGCTCCAAAGTCACCCGAGAGTGAAGTGTTTCAAACCAGCATTTCTTTGGGGCCAGGGTCGAGACAATCAGCCACCTTACCTTGCATTCATAATAGGACAAAATCCAAGGTACCAAATTCGCCACGCGTCCCAGGTTCAATCCTAGCTCCACGCGCTAGGCACTTGCCGTTCCCAGAATTGTCGCTTCCACAGCCACTAGAAGCGATCACGGCAGCTTGCCTCGCGAATGCGGCAGCGAAGCAGGACCCTGGAATCTGGGCTGCCCTTGTACCCCACCCATACACAAGGGACCAAAGTCAGACAGGTCACAAGTTACCGAGCAGGTTTGCTTCCTTCAAGGGCAGGGAAGCGCTAGATCAAAGACAATTGGTTCGTTACCAAACAGCCAGTACTGTTTCACTTTCCCGAGCATCCAAAACTTTCATACATTGTCTACGAGTCGTGGGCGTGAGGCAATTGAAAGAAAGTACGACGTAGTCACAACTCTTGCGGGCCATGGCTGGTCGCTGGGAGACAAAGACACAATAGTGTAGTCAGCACAGACGTTTGAATTTTGAGAGAATTGCAGGAAACATGCGACCTGTACACTAAATGAATAGTCCAAGTCCGCACTGGTTTCGCTCCAATCTATGCCTGAGCTTCTCATCATATCCTTTTTGTTGTTGACGAACACACCAAGTCCGGCCGACTATGGTCACACTGTGATTTAGACAGTGCCAGACTTGTCAATGGTGACCTTCTTCTTGGTCTTGCCGCTGCCGGTGCCAAAGGTCTCGACCTTCTTGACAATGTCCATGCCGTTGACGACCTCGCCGAAGACGACGTGCTTGCCATCGAGCCAAGAGGTGACGACCGTGGTGATGAAGAACTGGGATCCGTTGCTGTTGTGAAGCGAGGATGTTAGCGACATTCGAAAGCTTGCATGAGTGGGGCAAATGCGTACGTGTTGGGTCCAGCGTTGGCCATGGAGAGCAGACCAGGCTTGGTGTGCTTCAGCTGGAAGTTCTCATCGGCGAACTTCTCACCGTAGATGGACTTGCCACCAGTGCCCTGAGATCATGTTAGCCTGTGTGCTTGTTCCAATGGCCGCAGGCGGCGCGTCAGGGTCCCGGCTCGCAATGGCGTCATGACACGCAGCCAGCTCAGCTCAGCTCAGCTCGGCACGTACGTTGTGGTTGGTGAAGTCACCACCCTGGAGCATGAAGTCGGGGATGACACGGTGGAAGGAAGAGCCAGCGTAGCCGTAACCCTTCTCGCCGGTGGCGAGGGCGCGGAAGTTGGCGGTGGTCTTGGGGACGACGTCGTCGTAGAGCTTGAACTCGACGCGGCCAAGAGGCGCTACGAGGCAATGCGTTAGCTACAGGCCATTGGAGATTCAATTGCGCAGGGGACATACCGCCGTCGGCAGAGATATCGAAGAAAACGTTGCTCATGTTTGCGGTTGAGGTAGTTGTGTGATTTGAGGAAGTTTGGAAGCTTGGAAAATGAAATTGAAGGAGGGGGCAAGGCCGCGACGGAGCTCTCAATGACGAGAGAGGGGCTCGTTCAATCAGGCGAGCGCTTGGCGCGGGGCTGGTGGGGCAACCGGCGAAACGATTTCCCTGAGTATCCGAGCGTCGTACAGAGGGGGCTGGCCCTGGCAACACGACCGCGATGACGAACTCATTAACGCATCAATCAACTGGAGCTGGAGCTGTCAAGACACGCGTGCCGCTTGTGAAGCAGCACAAGCAAGCTTGGGGAGACGGCGCTGCTCTCTGGTCACTTCACTATGCTGTCACGGCCCAAAAACGACTGGACCTCCGAGACTGGCCTGCCTGTCGCTGACGACAGCGTCCCCGACTCCCATTCAAGTGAGCGGCTACGTGCTTGTGTAGCAAACGCTGGTAGGTTGCACATGCTGTGCTGTTCTCAGGTACTTGCGGCGCTTTTATATAACAAAAGGCAGTCATCGATGGCTTCTTGGCGTGTACATTCATTTTCTCTACTCCTCTTTCGTCGACTTTGAGGGGCTATGAGAGGCGTCGTCAGCCTGACTGACGACTGTCCTTACTTCTCGGTGTTCCAACTTCTAACTACCGTATGGTCGCAGCTTCATTAGACAGTACCGGACTAATACCACGAACCTCAATGATATATGTAACGCTGGTTTCGCTATCAGTCAATGCGATTAGAATAGTGATTCGCTCTTCCGAATAGCTATTTTGTAATGACCGATGCTCCTCACGTGCATGAATACCTAACGTTAATGCTCCCTACATCTCCATTCCGATGTGCCCCGCCTTTGCCCCGCGCCTTCGCGATCACAATCCACAACGACTTCACACGCTCCAATCGACCCCCAGAGCTTGCCATTATAATTTAATTTGCAGTACATAAATTGTTAACATCCCGGGACTTTTGAAAGAGTCAAGCCGGTAGATTTCGTGAATGCGAGCTCGCTGCTAGATATATGTCTGCACGTAAAATATTGCGCGCCGAAGCTCCGAATGCGGCTGCAAGCGGCATGTCCGTCCTATGACGGTGAAGAACCTGGATTACCCTAGAGAGGTATGAAGCTGAGTATTTATGAACACCGCCTCCTTGATATTAGGGTGAGAACTAAGTTTGAATTAGAAAAGAGCAGTGTAATAAATAGGCTAGGATGAGCTTTGCTTATTGCTACTTTGCCCCTGCTCTTATTGAGTTGGATCGCACTATGGCAGACTCTTGGGTGCCACTTGTTTGCATCTCGCGTGCATTGTACTAATAACCAAACTATCGTGGCGCAACGCGGATCAACATAGCGCAACCGCTTAAAACCTTCTTGGCCAACTCTGAAGACGCCATTGTCAAAGTCATGGATAACATTTACCAACACTTCACCGGGCTGGCCTACAGTCCGGCTGATCATGTCATGTACATGTAGTGTTACCCCCAGACCATGCGCGGTCTGGTTGCCATGGCTTGGACAGGACTTCTACCGTAGGTTGAAGACGAGCGACCGCGTCATTTTACTCTTTAGCGCAGCATTGGTGGCTCTCACACTCCAGCAAACCCATCTCCGGCTTACTTTGGTTTACATATCCTCGTCCCGTCTGCCACTAGTTGTCGATGCGTTCCGCGAGCCCTGGGCCGCAGGTTATTGTACACTCAAGGGGCTTTGTCGCCTCCGTACCACTCGTCGTTGGCCAAGAGAGGGAGTCTTAGATCGTTAAAGTTGCCTAAGGAAAATCGAGGGTGTAACTTAGGTGTTCTGATCAATGCCGGTTCGTGGAAGTCGGGAAATTTGTCCCACTTAATGTCCTAGTCCTCATAGTGCATGCTGTCGATGATGCGTCTACTGGTTGTGCGGCAGCAGAATCTCTACTAAAGACAACGACAGACCGGAAACATCTTCGCACCATCGCCGTACCAGTGACGAATCGTGAGCCTGTGACACCCAAGAGCTTCGTACAGCGTCCCCTTTCAGATATAGTTCAGAATGTCTGAGAGTAGCTAAAGAGGCGCTACCAGAAAAACGCCAGCTTCGCCAATCGGCGAGAGTCTTGATTAGGAAGTTAACAGAACGAGGGTTCAATTCGACAGATCTAGAGTGCTGTTACTGCAATGACCCTGAAAGAGTATGGCGCCGACGAAGACTGCGCGTGAGTTCATCGGCGTCCTGGATTCCTGGACCCCGAAATCTTCTTCGTCGAAAGCAAGGCGCCTGGTCCTAGTGTGCTATTCCCTCACTTATTGGTGCACGTGGTGTGCGCGCCAAACCAGTCCAGTGCGGGCTCGCAAGTCTGCTTCCTTTCAGCAATCATGATCTCCGTAAGCTCTCCGGCTTCGTTGTGGAGGCTATGATGGAGGCGGCTTGCAAAGCGATGTGAGGGTGTCCAGGCCGCGTTGGTATGTATGTAGAATCGTAGATACTAAAGACAACTGGTCCCTAGATTAGCGTTATTGAAAAGAAGAAATCGGGCCGCCATTGGTCTAGAATTATCGAGTTTTCGACAACCTTTTAGGTAAGGTTCTTCTTCTTCCTTGCCCAATATGGCACAGATGCGCCATGGCGAGGATGAACGCATACGGGCGCGTATGGGCTCCAATGCTCTCTGGTTGCCCACGTGCCATCCGCCGGTTAGGTCGGCACGGCTTGGGAGCCGCCCGGCCCCACACTCACGGCAATAACGGCAGCCTCGCTCGACGACATTCCTCACTATTTCCAACAAGAGTCCCCCATGATTATCTCTCCTGTGGCCCACGAAGCCAATGACACGCTGGACCCCCATGGTGCCCGGCGAGACGGCTTAGTCTGTCCCTAGGTTCGCTCCCACGTGCTTCGTAGGACGTCTTTGAGAGGCCTGGATTTTGATGCCATCTCGCCTCTCTCAGCCACCATGAATGTGTTTCGGGGATTCAGCCCACCATGGGCAAGATCCCATGTTGCAAAGCATCAATGAATGAGCGGATCGAAGGCGCGTCGAATTTTCTCTCAAATCTTGGCAAAATGAAAGGACGCCGTATAAAGGTCGTGCGAGGCTCTGATTGACGTTCTTGCATTTGGCTGGACCAAGTTGTGGCCTTTGCAGCGAATCAACCAAGGAATCGAAGAATCGAAGCTATCACCCATATCTTCCCTTCTACGACACGACCGACAAGATGGCGGGCACTATGCATGGCCTTGACTGGCTCTTTGCCATTGGAACCCTGTTCTTCCTGCTGTCCGCTTGGAGTCTCGGTAAGTGAGTGCCCTCTCAACGATTTGTTGAACCTCACAGCATCCTACGGAAGCCTGAGCTAATCATCATGGTATTACCATACAGGCGCCAACGATGTCGCGAACTCCTATGCCACCTCTGTCAGCTCCAAGTCTTTGACCTTGGTCCAGGCTGGATGTGTAAGTCATTCTCCCCCTCCCGTCTCCAACAACACCACATCCCCCCTTCACACGAAACAAAGCCTACCTGCGTCCTGAACCTTTCAACTAACCAGTCATGATCACAGCTCGCTGTCGTCACCGAATTCATCGGTGCCATCGCACTCGGACAAAAGGTCACCGCAACTATCCGCAAGGGTGTCTTCGACCTCGAGCCCTTCCTCGACTCTCCCGGTACCCTGATTCTTGCCATGGTCATTGCCGAGGCTGGCTCTGCTCTGTGGTTGACAGCCTGCACTCGCATGGGATTCCCAGTGTCGACAACCCAAAGTCTCGTGGGTGCCCTCGTCGGCGTCGGCATTGCTCTTGACCTCCAAGTCAAGTGGGGCTGGGAGAGCAACAGTGTCAGCCAGATTGCGGCTTCATGGGGCATCGCGCCACTCATCGGTGCTGGCTTCGGTGCTGTCATCATGCTGAGCATCCGCCTCCTCGTCCACGACCGCAAGAACCCCATGAAGATGGCCCTCTATGTTCTTCCATTCTACTATGCCCTGACCGCCGGTATCCTCTCCCTCTTCATCATCATGGATGGCGGTCATGGCATTCCCACTCCTGAGGAGATGGGCACTGGCAAGGTCTGTGGTATCATCCTGGGCGTCTTTGCCGGTGTGTGGATCATTTCAGCTGTCTTCTTCATTCCCTACTTCCATGCCAAGCTCGTCAAGGAGGACAGCCGTCTTCGGTTCTGGCATATCCCCATGGGCCCCCTCCTCTGGAAGGAAGGCTACAGCCTCTACTGGCCAGGCTCCTCCAATGCGCCTGTCACTGTCGACTACTACGCCACTGATTACATCAAGGACGACGACATGTCCCAGTCACACACGCGCCCCGAGTCCTCTGACGGAGCGCCCCAGAAGGGTCCGATGGAGAACCCAGCCGAGGAGAACAACGCTCGCGCTGTTAGCGACAACCCACAGACAGCCGTCGACGAGAAGCGACAAAAGTCTCTCGAAGCTATCGACCGATTGCCCTGGATGCACCCCAAGCGCCTGTATGCGACTGCCAAGCTCGTGGTCACCTACGGCATCACCCGCGATGTCATTCACCACCAGAGCAAGGGCTTGGAGGAGGTTCATGCCCGTGCCCCTCAATTCGACAACAAGGTTGAGCACCTCTGGACCACGGCCCAGGTTTGCTCTGCCATGATCATGTCCATCTCCCACGGTGCCAACGACGTGTCCAATGCCATCGGCCCCTTCACCACCGAGTACATGACCTGGAAGAGCGGTGTGACCAGTGCCAAGACGGACACACCCACCTGGATCAAGGCCGTCGGTGGTCTTACCCTCGGTGTTGGTTTCTGGACATTTGGCTACTTCATCATGCGCAACCTTGGCAACCGCATCACCAAGCACTCGCCCAGCCGTGGCTTTGCCATGGAGCTCGGAGCCGCTATCACCGTCCTTCTGGCTTCCAAGTACGGTCTGCCCGTTTCCACCACGCAGTGCATCACTGGAGGTGTTGTTGGTGTCGCCCTGGTCAACTGGGACCTCAAGTCTATCAACTGGAAGCAGCTTGGCAAGATCTTCCTTGGCTGGTGCTTGACTGTAAGTGATCCCCTGTTGGTGAATGATTTGGTCGACCGAGTTACTAACAGTCGCCTCACAGGTCCCTTGCGCCGGACTTGTGGCTGGTATTATCATGGGAATGGCGATCAATGTTCCTCAGTGGAACCACTAAGTGCAGGACTCAACCGGCCTTCAGCCTTGCAGAAGCACTTTTCAAGGAGGACTTTCACTGCCCCCAAATACCATTAGACAACTGTTTCGCGATAGTACCCCTCCCTTTCATTGTAATAGAATCCAGTCTTTTATATATTAATATCTTCGTGTCGCCAATAGCCGCTGCGTACTTTGGCCACACCCTGATCTCACGAGAACATGGAATCGATAGAGAGCCTTCCCCGCATTGAAGTTACACACCTTTCGTGAATGTCAACCGCAGTTGTGATAAAGTGACACATTGACGAACGCCATGTGCACCTCCTATTTGGCGTTGACTTTTGCCAGACTCCGTAGCACGCGCACAGCCCCCGGTGTCTCATACCAGGCAGCGTAGCTGTAGCCGACCGTGAGCAATGCCTCTTCCCGCGTCTTCTGGCTGTAAGGCCCACTTGGTCGCTGGAGCACACCGGCGTCGGGCTCTTCCACGAGAATCTTCCAAAAGTGCGGGTTGTGTTTTTGGACGGCCCCATACAGCGTTCTGATATGGCCCCGGATCTTGTCTGCTAGCTGCGCCGTCTCCGCGGGCTTGGAGAGCGGGAGATCAGATCGTGCGGCCATGATGCTGCCCACCAGCTGGCCACGGATGAGGTCTATGATCTCGGCAGGTACAGTGCCGCGGAGGGCAATTTCCGCGTTTTGCATGGCCTGCAGATGGAGCAGAATCCGGACTTTGATGAGCACAATGGCCACGACGTGACTGAGCTCCATCCAGTACTCGTTCAACCATGCCTCATCCGGGCTCTCGAACACGTCGGCATTCTTGATGTCGAGGTAGGGCAGGCTCATGTCCCCGTGGTCATAGTGCATATCCTTATTCTTAATGGTGTGTCATTTGATAAAGTCGTATGCGTCCTGGTCACGGCCCAGGCGGATGTACAGACTGGGGACTAGCTGGCGCACGCCCATATTGTCGGAGCGGTTCAGGCGCAGCATGTCAAGAAGATGATCGAGCGCAGTCTGGACTACATCGACGGGACCGCCCGCAGTACCGTAGCTGAGCAGCAGCGCGTCAACGAGCCCGTACCGCGCACGCATGTACGGTCTTGTCTCGAGGATGCCCCAGAAGCGGCCGACCTGGGTTTCAAACACCCTCTCAGGCGTGAGGATGTCGCCACGCATGTCTCGCAGCTTTTCGTATTCACGTTCGTAGTGTGAACGAGCCTTTTTGATGACCTTGCACGGCATTTTGTGGTCGTCACGGTCTGCGGCCTGGCATTCGCGGCCACAGTAGTAGACGGCCTGGCAGGCGGCGCATCGCATCACGTCGCCCTGGCGATGGCAAAGCTCGCAGGCCCGCGGCGCGAGGCCATCGAGCTTGTCGACTTCGGCGTTCATGATGAGTGGCATCTCGGCAACTCTGTGGTGACTGATTGTCAAATGACAACAAAGGCGAGTGAGTAAAGCGGGACAGGGCGCGGGTGAAGCGGGAAGACGCGTCCTAAAAGTTGTGCTCTCCCAAGGCGGGGCAGGCAATGGATGTGAGCCTATTGGCTGATGAGTCAGTTGACAGTCGTGATCATTAAGTTGGTGTTTGTATCTTGCTTGTATACGGTCGCATTGAATAGAACACTGGATCAATGCACTCAATGAAGACCATTGTAGCGACACGAGGTAGTCCACTCAAGGGAACATAACAGTTCTGGCTGATATGACTGACGCCGGCTTGTCGTCTGAGCCTCGCCGGGTTAACAAAAGTCAGTGATAGTAGGGGACCTAGTGCAGGTTCTGAATAGGCTACGTATTCCTCGTTGCAAATTCATGTCGTGAGATATAACGTCTGTGGCCTGACTGCCTAGAACGCACACCCCGTAGATTTGCTTCAAGGTCTCGATTTATTAGGAGGCTCCATAAAAGAATCCTACAGGATCAATCAATGTCCAGGACTTGCAGGATCACAGCCTTCCAAATACAACACAAGCATGGTCCAGCGAGATCTTCATGTTATAGCTATAGAACAATAAGTTAAGACCGGAGTTAAGACCGGACATAATGATCAGAGTTCTGATACACTTCGCACAGACAAGGTGAAGCCACAAGACAAAAACAAAGTCGGATTTAAGGCCGGACATAGTATAAGTATACACTTACTCAGTATTGATATAAAGGACCTACAAGACAGTAAGTCAGGATATAATAAGTCCAATACTGAAAATCCCCGGTCTCCTGGCCCTATTCACTTGCCTGCATCTCCACGGTCTTCTTCAGAATCAACATGTCGGCCATGGATCCTTCCTTACGCGACACCAACTGGCCTGCCGTGGCTAGCTACGTCTCGGCGCGCAAGGATACTTACCCTTTCATCAATCCCGCCAAAGCCGACCTGTCAGGCAAGTCTGTCTTGATCACGGGCGCCTCCAAGGGCATTGGCAAGGCGACCGCGATTAGCTTTGCCGTTGCGGGCTGCTCGAAAATCCTCATTGTCGCTCGTTCTGACATGGCCGACGTCGAGGCAGCTGTCAGGGAAGCCGCCAAGAAGGCAAATCGACCCCAACCACTGGTGCATTCCATAAAGGTCGACATAACGTCAGATGACTCGGTGCGAGCGGCCTCAGAGGCCGCTGCAGACATGCTCGGCGGTAGTCTCGACATTTTGATCAACAATGCCGGCTATCTGGAGCAGTGGAAACCAATCACCGAGTCTAAGCCAAGTGAGTGGTGGTGGACCTGGGAGGTCAACATCAAAGGCACCTATCTCGTTGCCCACTACTTTGTGCCTCTGCTGCTCAAATCAACAACCAAGACACTCATCAACGTCACCAGTGGCGGTGCCCATGTCATGTTCCCTGGCGCTTCAGGCTATCAGACGAGCAAGTTTGCTCTTTGTCGCCTGACAGAGTTCATAGACAAGGAATATTATCAGCAGGGCCTGATCGCCATTTCTGTCCACCCCGGTGGCATCAAAACCGAGTTAGCAATGAACATGCCCCCAGACAGGCATGATGTTCTGACCGACACGCCGGAGCTGGCAGCCGACACTCTGGTCTGGCTCTCTCGTGAGCGACGGGACTGGCTCTCCGGCAGGTTCGCCTCTGTGAGTTGGGACATGGAGGAACTGGAGCAGAAGAAGCAAGACATACTTCAACGGAATTTGTTCAAGTTTCGCGTCCTGATTTGAGTTTGACGGCATGTACGTTGAGATTCCGGTTTCCTATCTATCTAGGAAACAGCGTCGGGGAGGGTTGGTAGTTTGACACGGATGGGATGACTTTATAGACTTGGGTGATCCTACTCTAATGCCTATTATTCTAACTCTTAGATCAAGGCCAGACTCACTCCCACCTTGCATTTCCACCATCCTTTCGTCCAGCCTGATCAGCATGTGTTTCATTCCGTCCAGTATGACCTCTGGCAGCCTCAGCCCAAGTTATGTATGATTGTCTGTTATGGCTCAATCTATTGGATCAAGAAGGGAAAGAAGTACGTCGCCCCCAGCTGGCAGCGTCTGGGTGATTCTTGAAACCCTCACACCACGCCTAGGTCAGTACAAAACCCACATTCCCTGTTATGCTGCTCCCATCTATGGCGCAAATTGCATGGTATACGGCGGCCCCAGGGAGATCAATATGTGATGAGGATATGTGTACTTGTACGTCCGGGCCGGTGGTCGACGTTCTTGTGTGACATTTGAAATTAGACTGCTTGCGTAACTTTCTCATGCGCTAGGAACAAGCATGGCGCAAAGGATATTACAGCTTCATGAGCAATTGGACGCTCGCATCAAATCAGTTACCCTTCGGGAGGCGACCAGGTAAGACCTGCTCGGTACGCGGGTTCTTGGGTGGAGAATTGTCGTCGCTCATAAATGTACTTACTCAATACTCATAGACCGGCCAGGAGTCTGGACAATCCACAGGCTACCACTTGCTGATGAGACTGTACCAGCCTGTCAGACACCAATGCAGGATCGTGTGACCGGTACTCCGTACCCTTGAGATCTTGACGCCTTGCGCCTTGTGGCTAACATGAAATCAGCGCGTGCAGAAAGTCACGGCACAGGATACATCCAGAAATCTGTACAAGCCTGCGGAACTGAGACTTCCCCGAAACCCTCAAATATTAATGGGGTTAGCCTGAATCCCTACGTTGTGCAACGGCTCCGTCAATAGGTGATCACAGCGACGGAGCAGCCGTCACAGGCATTGTGCACCCCTTCACCCTTCGCAGCGTTTCCGTTTCCGACACTCTGGCACGACCCTTCTGTTACGACCTGGTCCCTCGTAACCCCCTATAAGCAGCTATTACGCCTGTATTGATCGCTCGTCATTCGATCAATGCCTGATCTTTTGCCCATGGCGCAACGGTTAGGCGTAACCGTTACACCTTCCCACAACGGAAACGGTGAGTGAACAGAAAGCAGCAATCCGGCCAATCGGAGCCGAGGTCGTGATATCGCCGTCGACGTTTTGGGAGCATATCATCCGACCGAAATTGCGAACCAGTGTAGAGGAGAGTGCCAACGCTCGGGTTGGAATATGGATTCATCTGGAGGCGTCGTTCTGCAGGGCCAATCAGTTCCCGATACGGTAAGCAGGACCGACAATACAGTAGATTAAGTTAAGATTTTCAAATCCTGCTTCTCATAGGACGTCGGCCCTTTGCAGATCCTAGGGCTGAACATCCTTGTCGCAAGAAATAAGCAAACGCCCCCGAGGACCAATCCATATTCCCCCATCCATCGACTTTGTGATATCCCGTCTCACCGGATTGCAGCCTTGCGACATGCTGCGCCTCGATGTAGCTTATTTATACATGAGAAGTGTAACGTTACTCGCCAAGACTCAAGAGTGGCTCGAAGCGCGCGGCAAAGGGGCACAGGATCCCTTACTTTCTCACGCAGATAGAATGAAGATGCGGTTCAAAAAATGCCCGAGACAGCCACCGAAATCACATATCCTCGCGCCACATCCCTAACGTCGAGGACGTAACGATATGTGATCTGACGCGACCAACGTGGCTGCACGGCGCTCAGGGCCGACATGACAGCGACCAAGATATTAATCCTTTACTTTCATCCACTACATTATATGCTGGAGCAACAGAACTCGATCTTCTTCAGACAATGACGCGAGATCACCCAGCAAGCAGTCAGTTGACCAGCGTTCCGAAGCTTCGCGGTTCGTCAAACAAAACGAGACAATATCTCCTCGAACGTCTATTGACACGAAGTCCGGAAAAACGAACTAAGTGCACATCTTGGAAACCTCGATCTCTGAGCTGGCCATTTTTTGCCATACTTGTTCTCATAACGCTGCTGATTGCTGGGGCTATTAGGCATCTGGCTCAGCGAAGTCAAAAACATGGCGGCCTAGCTATATCCGCGTCCATTGAAGACATCCCTAAAATCGCAGAATGGAGCCAACTATATGCGCCTACTGTTGTCGCTGTGTTGTATGGATTGATATGGAGCTGGTTCGATCTCGACTCGCAGAGAATGCAGCCGTGGTTTGAACTATTCAAAGCCAATGGCGCCGGTGTTGCTTTTGGCTTCTTCGAGCATTATCCGCGCAATATCTTGGCCTTGACACCGATCAAGGCTCTTCGGCATGGGTAAGATCGGCTTCACGTCAAATCTGAGTCCTGCAATAGCATTAACATGCGCTTAACAGACATTGGCCAGTCTTCATCTCTAGTTTGAGTACAAGCCTCGTTATGTGGGCTATGGTTCCCTTGCAAAGCGCCATATTCTCCATCCAGTCAAGAAACCAAATGACTGGGATCCTTTTAAACAAGCAGTCCAAGTTAGCTGAGCTACCTGACCAGCTTAGTATCCTGAATGTAGACACGTGAGGACCGAACTATTACACGACATGGTTGAATCTGTCGTACCCTCCCTTCACCACACACGATTACGCAATAGCACTATTTTACGCAGACGAGGACGACTTCGCGGAAACAAAATCACAGGGGAAACAGTACGTCTTTCGTCTGAGATCTTCTGCTCTCCTGCGAAAGTGTCTCGCGCCACCTTTGATAGAATCATCAACAGCACCAACGTCGGCAAATCCGCACACTTTATCCTTAACGACAAAGGCTGCAACGCCACTGTGTATCCCCGTTCCTCTATTCTCGGACAGACTGCAGGGTTGCAAGGCCAGACCTCTGAATATGACATGTTCTATTGGGGTTCGTATTCGTCCGACAACTTCCACAGCTTGGAACCTACTGATGGCGGCTGGCGATGGGACTTGGCGTCATTAGAGTGTCCGGATGTGAAGCACCAGTTTGTCGCCGCGTGGGATCGCCAAAAAAAGTCAGATGATCCCAGTATTACCTTGGAGCATGACTTGAGCGCGATCTGGTGCGCCACTAGCTACTGGAAGCAGCAAGTCCGAGCCACAGTCAGTGCCGATAAATTCCAGCTTCTGCTGGACAACATCGTGGAACTGAAGCCACGTGAGAGGCTTAGTCCCAAGGAGCTCAACAGCTCAGCTTATGAGACATTCTTCAGGGGTGACACGATTGCAAAAGCGACACCAGACTGGACTATCACAAATTTCCAGAATCATGACGGTTGGATACTCGATTTGATTCACCAGAGACTTTCTCGGATAATACAAGGACCCGCTGAATATGCACTCGCGGTCGACCACTTGGATATTGAGCAATATTCTGATGTCGACGTGCTGACCAATGCTTACAGCCAAGCATGGAAGAGGCATTTCGCGCTCACAGCCAGCCAACTCTTCCGCAACATGTCAGCCGAGACTGAGGCGGTCATAGCTATTGAACAGCGCAGGGCCGCCATCGTGGTTAGCCGTCCATTAGCACTGACTGTTGAGAGTCTTCTCTTTCTCGTGGCCCTTTTGACAGTGGCCCTAGCGTGGTTATGCTATGCAAGCCCCAGTCACCTACGATTGAATCCTTGCTCAATTTCCAGGATCAGCCGAATAGTGTCAAAAAGCCCCGATGTCAGAAGCTTGTTTAACTCAACCGGCACTTTGCGCACGAAAGAGTTAATCGAGAGTTTCCAGGTTAAGCGATTCGCGCTAAGGAGGAATGATTATAGGGGCAAAAACAGGGTTAGGCTATTAGGTTAGGGCTAGAAAATCTCATAGAATTTCGCCCCTAGGGGTGAAAGTGGCCGTGAGCCTGCGTGCCTGCGCCTAGGGGCGAAAGTAGCTATAAGCCTACGTGCCTGCGCTACTTATACTTTCGCCCCTAAGGGTGAAAGTAGCTATAAGCCTACGTGCCTGTGCCTAGGGGCGAAAGTAGCCGTAAGCCTACGTGCCTACGCTACTTATACTTTCGCCCCTAGGGGTAAAAGTAGCTATAAGCCTATATACCTGCGCCTAGGGGCGAAAGTAGCTATAAGCCTATATGCTTATATTACTTATACTTTCGCCCCTAGGGGTAAAAGTAGCCGTAAGCTTACGTGCCTACGCCTAGGGGCGAAAGTAGCTATAAGCTTACGTGCTTACGCTACTTATACTTTCGCCCCTAGGGGTAAAAATAGCCGTGAGCTTACGTGCTTACGCTACTTATACTTTCGCCCCTAGGGGTAAAAGTAGCTATAAGCCTACGTGCCTACGCTACTTATATTTTCGCCCCTAGGGGTAAAAAAGGCCGTAAGCCTACCTTACTTACTCTCGCCCTAGTCTTTACCCGACGCTAACTTACTAATCTTACTATATCCTTCCGCCTCTTAAAGTAAAAAGTAGAAACTACCGACTGGCTTCCCTTTCTATTCTATTCCTTACTCCCTTCGCCCTCTACTCTATATAAACTATTTCTAACTCTTATACCGCGTATTACTCGCTCTCCCCGCTATAAAGCGCTTAATTAATATTCCCCCTAAGCCTTAGCGGCCGGCTAAGGCAGCCCGTATAATCGATAAACTACGGGCTACCGTATATACTATAGAGTCGGTGCGTTAATAAGCGCGTGCTTACTTACTCGCTATTATATAATTACTAGTCGATTTACTCTAGACGGAATAGCGCTCTAGCTAGAACCGCCCCCTCGATTATACCTATATCTAGGACTTATATAAGGTATTCGAGAAAGGTAGCGTAGCCCGCGACTTAGTAAAGAACTACTTATTCGTTACTTATAATTATAAAACGGCTAGAAAGCTATAATAAGCCTCGTCGGCTACCGGTAGTAACGATCTCTCTACCGGTTAGACTACGTAAGATACTATCCTATACTTTACGTACCCACGCTAAGAGTACGTAAAGGTAGAGCTCGAGCTAGGGTTAGCTAGGGTTAGCTAGGGTTAGGTTAGGGTTAGGGTTAGGGTTAGGGTTAGGGTTAGGGTTAGGGTTAGGGTTAGGGTTAGGGTTAGGGTTAGGGTTAGGGTTAGGGTTAGGGTTA